TGTCGTGGTGGCGATAAAATCGAGTGTTCCATTACTAGGTTGGTTCATTACGTGGTGCCCAGACTTATACAAAATTATTACGCCATTTGTGGATACAGTATATTCGTTCTCAGCCTAGAGCAAGTCCTGGTGCTTGGATGATGTATTAATGCCCCAATACCCTGTTCACAAACACCACTTCTTGTTTCTTGGACCACAACAACTCAAGCATAAAGCGTCTCCTGGCGGATCTTGTTCCGGTCTCAAACGAGCAATAATGCGATATGCGCTAAGTGATACATTGCTCGTTGCAAATAATGATATAATACAATCCGCTTCAATCAAGAAACCAAAGCAACCGCCCTCCCTGTTGAAGACAGAATACTATTCAGCCGACGCATTTTCCCCAAGCTGGCAGGCCACATCCAAATCCGATGAATAGGTACAGTAGGAAGATGACCACAACCACAAGCAAAACCATCAACCGAACGTTCTTCCACCACATCTGTCTCCTCAATCCTCGACTTCTAACCCTAAAATCTCTAGCACTTCCTCCCAGTCTATCGGTCTTGTCAATAAGAAGATCAAGACGCTCTCCTCGTTCAAGCACTCTCTCAATGTTTTCCGTCATAATATCCTTGACACTGTCAATTTCCTTGCGGGCATTGGCCAAGGAATCATTCGGTGGTGACGTGTTGTACTGCTGAAGCATCCCCTTGAGCGTTGAATTGAACGCTGCTGAACCATATGCCGGTAGAGATTGGAAATCCGTAGACTCGGGCTTGTACTGTGCGAGGAACTTCTTCTTGAGTTCCAGTAGAAATGCGAACGGGATCCGTCGCCCTAATTCTGTCTGCGCCACCACCAAATAGGTCATGGCAGCATGGCTGGATAGCTGCTCATCGGGGCTGTTCGATGTAGACGACGGAGAGTCTGCTATATAGTGCACAAATAACCGGTCGTGCGTATATGTGAGCTTGGCTGGAGTAGAGTGCGAGATCTTGGGGAGGATGACCGAAGCAAGCGAGGATGCCGATGTAGATGACGTGCCGGGAGATGTATGCTCGGTCAATATCGTGGTTCCGTGCGCGATACAGGCACTGCAATAGTAGTTAGAACTAATTGGTCGTCAGTCTCGATGTAGGTTATCTTACTAGAGCAGTTGGCTCTGGCTAGAGCTGGAAGTCATCCTGGGCAGTGGACGACGATCAAGTAACTTTTAGCCCTTTGCGCGCAGGTGTTCGATCTATCTCCTGGGTATGTGGTCAATCGAATTTCGGTGCAAGTACTGAATCTTGGATCTGTAGTAGTTATTTGAGGCTTGGTGATCGAATGGGAGCAGCCTGTGATGTCGAAACGCATTGGGATTCAGGGAGGACAACTCCAAGATTCATGTACGTCACTGCCAAGTGCTACGGCAGAGTATTGTGGTACCTGGTGGTACGGCGGATCACAGATCGAATTGGCGAAGTCCGTTTCAGCCTCGACGGTCCCATTTAGAAGCTGGACTCAGCTTCCAATACGAGTACAAGAATCCTTGGAAGCTGCTGTCGAGACCAGGGGCTTTCCTTCCTAAGAGAGTAATGCCGGCGCACACAATGTTGAACCTTGCAATCAGGGCATGACAGGACGCATGAATCACTAACCCCTTTCTTATCCTGCCACCCGCCATATTGAACGACTACCTCTGTGCGCTAATGTAGGATTCTGGACACCTTCGTTTTGTGCGCTGATATCATAGATGACTTCTATCGGAGGGACATAGAAGGCTCTACCGAGAATAGAAGGTGATCCACGATTTCTGACACCCGCTGGGTGCCTATTCTGACTAGAGGTTTCAGAGGTTGCCTATGAGATTCGTTACTACGCGATCCGTACCACATTTTATGATCTTGAAGCCTACCGATACCGATGAGGTTAGGATCTGATAAAGCCTCGCCGACCTCAATCTTGAAGTGTCAATACCACCCCAGACCTTACAGCATTGCACGACTAGTTCCAAGACTTCTTAGCGAGAGCTATGCGCTGCACATCCCAGACGGGCTCACCCAACCGGATGACTTGATCTCCGAACTCCTCCAAGAACTTATTTCCTTCACTTTCTGAATCTGGTGATAAGAAGGCAGCACAGTCCTGCTGATCTAGGTTGGGGGTCCCGACTGTTGCTTCTCTCCACATAGCTTTCCAGGTGCTTATCGCGGCATTCGCAGCAGGAGATGCTGGTTGAACATTCGTGGCGACGAGATAGAAGGAACCTCGAGTAGTGTGGTATTTATGTGGCTTATGGAGTTGTACGGTTGCGAAGCTGGAAAATGCGCGAAGCGTCTGCAGAGTATGCCACGACTCCACCTTGTGCATGAGCATGATCAATGTTCCCCCCTGGCGTAGTCTTTGCAGGGCCAAAATCATCTGGCTGCAGCTCAGTCGTGGAGCTTCGAGGCTTTCTCGCTTCTCGTCTCGATACTGTGCGTGTGTTCGCAAGACCTGGCCATCACAGAAGACAAGATCGAAGAAACGGCCATGGTATGGACGATAAGAAGAAAGTGTTGGTGTGAGACCCGAACATGACTCCATACCAAATTCTGTGCCGAGCATGGTGATATCCAAAAAGTTCACCGTGACTCGCGGGTCCGTTTTCCATTTAGGAACAAGCAGTGGATGGCCACCGAGGTCCTTGGGCAAGCTGATGCCGCAGATTCTCGCATCCTTGTTGTGGCGAAGTGCAGTGGCCATGAAACCGCCAGGGGCAGCGCAGAGATCTAGAATGGACGGGGCAGGGTCCTTCAAGGCAATAGCCCCTGTGCTCTTTTGAATCTCTTCGCCAATGTGACACATCATATTGAAGAAATGTCGACGAAGATCCGGTCCAGCCTCATCGGCCTGCTGACGTTGCTTCCGGAAGTGTGCATCGGCCTTAACATTGGCCCAGCCCTGCAACTGGGTGTAAATATTACAACTCGGCACGGGAGGCTAACTATTAAATACCTTTCTCCTCAATTCTTGCAACTCGCAGAAGATTTTTGAATGTCTTTCCAGGTAGTCGTTGACGAGCTGAGAGAGGGGTTGAGCGTTGCACGAAGCATCGTGCGATTCCATCTCCGTAAGCTGAATGGAAGTGCCTTCCACGACAGTCCACCTGAACATATATCCGCTGTACGGCCAGAATTTCCCTTCTTACGGTAATCTGCCTTATGAAAGTTTTATATGTCGCCTCCTCTCTCAATGGGAACATGTCTAGCGGGGTCACATTAGGCGTTTCGATGCCAAGAGCTCGAATCTGCCAATCGCCAACCACTTGATATTCAGGTATCTAGAGATAAGTACTTAGGTACCCAACTAGTATTTACCAACAGATCACCGGCAAATTCTTGGGGAGATCGCGGCCGCTGATGGTGAACAGCATCTGTCCTTGGAGCTTGGTCACCCCTTCCGGGTCACCAGCAACGAAACAGCAGCCGAAGTGCCTGGTGTCGAGGTGGTACATCTTCTGGCGTACATCTCAAGCATTGAAAGTTTCAGAACAATCAATGCCTGATACCCTGGAGGGTTCGGACGAAGAGACTGTGATCAGTCTACTGCAATACCGATTTTGGGTATGGGTAGTGGGAGCAGGCTAGGAATGCCCAGCTTTAATTTTGGATAAAGGAGTTCACAGCCTCGGCTGGCTCGGTCGCAAGTTATGGGACTTCGACTTCTTCCCCACCAACCCGCTCGTCCCACAGAAGACCTATCTCCGAAAGCTTAAATGCTGACTTCGATTACTACGCCTGCTTTTGCCATAAAGCCAAGCATGAAGGATTGTTCGACCTGGAACACATCAAGGTCTTGAAAGGAGCGCTTGGGGAATGTTGAGGCAAGAGCAGTATCTGGTGACGATTTCGGCGGTGGCTTTTTTTAGCTGGGGATGCTTCTGCGAGCGCGGTATATGTGACCTGCGACTGCATTGTCACGTTGTGGAGCATGAAATATCTGGTATTGTGCTTGGTGAGAACGATGAAGCCACTGAAGTCTTGGGCTTTCGCGCTACTGTGGCGTCCACGTAGCCGCGTTGAATGATAGAGTGTTTTTGGGTCTTAATCGTCGTGGTGGGAAAGGGGATTGATGATTGTGCCATCCCCGGAGCAAACCTCACGACAGGTCGAATGCCAAAAGTTACTTTGCACTTCGTACGAATACTTAGTATGTCCCCGTCACGGAGCATTTCATTTACCAACCCCTTAAACGAAGCCACATCGATTTTGAGTTTCGAGCCATGTATAAAAATCCTGGCAATGACTAAAATACGAAGTTACCACTAGGTATCCGTACCAGAAGTATCTTGGACATCCTTCTTGCCTAAAGTGAGAGGCTAGAGAAGCTGCAGTACCTCCCCAAGGCTAACCAGAAGCTAAAGCGTTTTACCCCTGCAAGATGGTCGTCTTCCAGATGGCCCGGGGTAAGGACAAGTGGGTTTGATTGGTGATTCCAATTGCAGATTTCGCAGCCTAACAAGCCGAAACGGCCCAGCGGGCCAAACTTCCGAACCCCGGCCTAGCTCTCGCTGCAAGAAACGAAGTACTTCATGCGAAGCTATCTAACACGACTACTCCGTGTGTTCCTATTCTTCGTGCCGTGTTTCTAGTTCCAAGCGGTCTCAGGTAGCAAGGCTGATCATTTGATGAAGGCAGGTCCAAGCCACAGCTAGACTGTAAAGACGCTTCTTCCTGCTTTGTAACTCTTAGCGCACTCGAAGTAGGCTCATGCCGAAAATGCTTCACGAGGTTTGTGGTTTCTGGGAGCTGAGAAGAAGCTATTCCCTACCCCTCCGATTTCTCATCAAAACCTAGGGGTTCTGCTACCATGCATTATCATTCTCCTTTCGCAGTCACGTATACTAGGATTTGATTCCATCCTCACTCGATCACAAGCAGGCACAATGTCTTCCACTGACACCAAGGCCTTATGGATCTGCCATGGGTTTGCCATAGGTCTCTGTGTCACTCGCTTGATACTTCGCAAATGCCGCCGTCATGCTTTCACATCTGGAGATTATTGGACAGGCGTCGCTCTCTTAACAATTACTTTACGTGCAACCCTGAACGCTATCATATTGGCAGGCGGAACCACTACGAGTCAGTACCATCAAACGCTCACCTGATTGTGACGAAGTTTATTGACTCAAAGCGACTTATCAGCCATCAAAGCTGACCTTCGTCCCCCGGGTCGCTTGGACCCTGAGGTGCACGACAGAGTCATTCTCAACAGCAAATTAAACATTGTTAATCGATTGACAGTGAATACACTGTAAGTAAGGCTCATTCAATAATACACTTTGAACTTTCTAAAAATTGTGGACTAGGCTCTGGTCTCTCAAAATGGTTGTTCTCGACCTCTGTGCGCGTCTCATCAGCAAAATGCCCAAGGAGAATCTCATCAAATATACCTTCTGGATCGTATTTGCTGCAACATATCTTGCGGGACAACTTGCAGTGGTACTAGAATGCAGGCCATTTTATCTCTATTGGCAGATATTCCCTGATCCTGGTAAATGGTATACACTCTCGGCAACGCTCTCTGTGACATGACAAGCTAATCGAAGCAGTGTCAATGGCAATACGTGGTTGATTACCTACGGTAAATATCCGTGCTTACTCAAGAGTAGAGGCGAAACTAACGACTCACAGAGGTGGGAAACCTGATTACTGATATCATGCTGCTGGTGTTTCCATTCCCTGTTTTATTTGCAGCAAAAGTCCGCTGGCAAAAGTACGTGTATTGGCATTACCGCTATGGCTGCTCAGTACTAATCACTCGATGGATAGGAAAGCGCAGTTATGCTCATTATTCAGTATTGGGGTATTCCTTGTTGCCGTCAGCTGCGTCCGAATCATTCAAGGCGTTCCCCATGCTCGCTCTCAGTTAAGCCGCACGGTATGGGGTTCGGTCGAAACACTATTCGCTTCGATCGTTGCTCAAGTACCTACACTATATACGCTTCTCCGCAACACTACTCAGACTAGTAGTTACCAGGTCCCTGAGGATACGTATCGCCTAGCATCCACGACCAACCAGACGTCTCGTTCGAAGGCCAGACGAAGCGACAAAGGAGGCGATATCGAGCTCGGTGACAAAGCATTCGATGGCAACGATGATCTCTATCGTGCACGAGGCTATGCTGACCGAACAATGAGTCCCAGGCCTGCTGATGCTGATGGCGAAAATGAAAGCACTAAGGGGATACTAGTCACGGTTGACATAACTCAGGTCGAGAAGAGTGAAGCTCGGCAAAGGATCACCGAGGTCTCGAGTCAACACAGCTAATCACTCGGAATATAATCCATCTTCCGGTTGTACAGAACTCGTCAGACTCCAGAATGGAATGCGGTATACTCGACGCGCACATGACTGTCAGAAGACCTTTAGACTTAAGGCTGTAGCTTAGAGTCGAAACCCTTGTACGATAGTAATCCAAAATGTTAGTAAGGCAAACAATAGATAACATAATTCGTTGAATATCTAAATGAGAGATTCGCTGGATATTCTATTTTTGTTCACCTCCATTTTGACGAATATCTCCTGCATTCATAGCTAGAACCTAACCAGAAGAAATTGTATCAAACTATGATCTCGCATGAGAAGTCCTTAGATCCATAGCTATAAGGTTGTGTGAAGTATTTTGATTGCTGATTAATCTCATAGTGCATTAGGTACTGCGGGCTCCAGAGCAAATACCAGGGGTCCATGTTCGATGAATTATGAATTTATGATGCCCCCTGGGGGCCACCTCGCAAAGAGCCCTGTGCTCGCTTCTGGCTCTACACGTCAAAACCGATAGCAGATCTCCCGAGACCGTCTTCTGGTGTATTGTAAACTCAAAGTTTCCATCATTACCGTGAATCTTACACTTAGCTTACCGTTCCCGCTCATGCTCCCCTGAACCAAAATCTCCGGGAATTTGGAAACTCGGATCCAGCCATTTGAACGCAAGAAGTTCTGACAAATTTTCGCTTAAGATCCTGGCTAGGTCCACGGTAGTCGGCTCTCCAGCTTCTCGCTAGCTAATCTCAAACCCACCAAGTGGATCATCTAGCCTACTGGTTTCGCGGGGAACCCCTGAGCGAACAACTGGTCTTTTACTACCGCCTTGGCAAAATGAAAGGCACAGCTCACTCACGGGTCACGACTCACGACTTACAAGGGGACCTAATGCTGTAGAAATTGTTTCGATTCTCCACGTCTTCGCATCTGCTCTCTTTTCCGTATAGGTTCGACAGGTCTTTAATCTAGAATAACTGACTTGGGTTGAAAATGATTTATCTTTCTAGTAGCTATCGGATATCAAAATTTCCCTTGTCCCGAAAGTACTGTCCATTCGAATAAGACAATTAGGTTCGTGGTCACCACCAGCGAAATCGAACCAGGCCCTGTATAACTTCCGTGTAGACAAGCACATCATGCGAGTCCAGGACATCGCTAAGATCTCCAATATGACCCTGACGAACCGTGACATTGTTCAGGTTGAGTTTTGTGCGGCCTTGCGTGACCATTCTGTAGAAATCTTCAAATTGATACGAGGGAGCTCCATTAGGTGGTTTTTGGAACTGGATGAAGCCTAGCCCTCCGAATCCCAAGCGTAAGCGGACAAAGCTTTGAGAAATGGCGAGAGACTTCAGCGTGTAAACAAGACCTGGTTTGAAAATACCCGCATTGATGGCTAGATCTCGGAGGAGCTCATCACCTGGGACTTAGGACCGTAGTTCTCGCCCTGTCCAATCGATGACATCGTTGTAAACAGCCCTTTTGGTTACAGAAGCTGGTAAGTTTGTTGCAAACTTGGCGTGAAGATTCGATGGTCAAATGGACGGTGAGTGTAGGTAGCTTTGACTGTCGAACAGGCCACGGGAGAAGGGTGAGCAGGTCGACGGTCAAGACACGTTGGCACTGATGCTTGTACAAGCTTGAGCGCCCCTGGGATCTCATGCTCTGCCTCTGCACAGTAACCAGCCAAACGCGGTGTGACCACGTGGGAGAGGAATCTGTCCCTGAACGGCAAAGCGTTAGTAAGGCGGCATTCTTTTGAGTTCACTGGTCTAAAGGAGAGGCGCAAAAGCTTACCCAGTTGTAATCCTCAACCCATTGCCGAACTCGAATCAGAACACGTTTTGCACGTTGTGTTGCGTTCGATGTTTTGTCCTCTCGCCTAGGATGACGATCACGCCGAATACGAAAATGCGCTCTCGGCACACAATCTGACATTCGGCTGCTTCTTTCCGATAGCCTTGAGATCCTTATAAGAACTCACCACGCCCTGGTGTTGTGTTGCCGAACTTGCCTGGAACGTATCACATCAATCCCTCACGAGGGTCTGCTTGGTAAATCTTCAGCTCCAGATTATTGTCGGCGCGGCCTTCGTGGATGTGTTTGCCTACATCTCTCCAGTTAACTGCCTAATGGCATCGATCGCAGCGGAATAACCACTGATTTTGAGCATGACATTCACATGAGGGTGAGATCAGCTATAGCATTGATTATGACGATGCTGGCGGTGAAAATTGTTCATTGGTCGATGCAGGAGGAAAGAGATCGATCTCGTCAAGCTCGAGACTTGGATTAGGAAAGCTGTCATCAAACGCATCAAATACTACAATTGAAATGATGGACTGTAGGTCCTCGATGGGTGATGTAATTTGAGATGATGCTGGCGAAGGTGGAGGAGCCAGAAGCGCGTTTGGCAATACCATAGGTAGTTGTTCAGTATGCTAAAACACCTAATCTTTGCCGAGAAGATTCCTAGTAGTCCGTAGGGCTCGTCTCCAGACGGTTGCACTTGGTGACAATTGTTATAGCTCTGGGCAATGGCACAGCAAGACTGTTGACCCCCATACCTCGGTAGTTGCTTGACCTGGAGAAGAAGATGTCAGTACTTGTGGAAGAGATAACGGTATAAGATCCGCTCGGCGACGGTGACTTCATCACATGGTGGCCTTCGCATCGACGAGAGAAAGCAGGGGCAAAACTTACATTGAGGTGGACAGACCCGCCTTTTGGCATCGATTGGTACGGTGACACTGATGCTCGGTATTCGCCCAGTTGATATGAATCACGGTTAAGCCTTGGATGGAGTCTTGAAGCGTCTTGCAAGCGCTCATGAGATCTAGACGGTCTTTGCGCGCAAGGGTGAGGCGCGAATGGCATGCATTGTTGCAGCTTGCGAGAAGCGCGCCAGAACTGCATGAGATTCCATCTTCAGCAGCAAATCGTGCGAGACCAGGTCGAAAGGCGCAGCGGCGATAATACCCAAAACGCGAGCGCGTCAATAACCCAAAAGACAACGCTGATATCCAAGGGCTTATGATTTGTGATTTATATATATCCGGATTGCCAAAGAATGGCTAAGCCAGGGGAGCGTGAACTCACATCCTGCCGATCTGAATGTTTGGTAGGGGAAAGAAAGAAGTAGAGTGCGCGACAAAGCTCGCGCGTCTTAAATAGCTGTTGTTCGGCTGCCCCGGTGAATTTCGCGAGGCATACCATTCACACACGTGAACAATGGGAAAGCGCTATTCACGACTGGGCTGAGGCAGTCAGGCAATCTTCACTCTTAATCAGATCGGCTCCAAGTGCAAAGGGTCAGTGTGTCAGTCTATGATAGTATTGTTCTTACATCGTTATACCGAGTACTTGATAGTCGCTTTTATTTGAACGATTAATCTAGTATTCCAGGTTATCAGCTGCGTGTCTACACAAAAGGTGGGAGGGTGCCCAAATAAAGAGGGGTGGCTGGGCGCCCCTCTAGGTATCTCCATCCTCCGCCCACCCCTCTATTAAAGTACAAGTGAACTTCCTGGGCACCTTCTCCTGGTGCTTCTTACGGTTAGCGTATGTTCGGAAAAGTTGAGCATGGGGACCAAATAAATTTCGAGCCCTAAACAGCGTTTCAAGGTTATCCGATGGCGAGATTGTGCTGTCTGGTATTATCCTTACATTAACTACAAGCAAAGCCATAGCAGAGCTCCAATGGCACCCGATGCTCAACCAGTACCGCAGCCCATCCCGAAACGTAAACGCAGTCGTGAAAGAGCCAGGGTCACCCGGGCATGCGATAGGTGTAAACGGTAAAGGATTTCTTGCAACCTCTCCAGCTTGTATGATGGTGCGCTAGATATGCTAACATCCGTGCCTCGATTTAGACGGAAGGTCAAATGCAATGGTATACAGCCTTGTGATTTCTGCTCCCGCGCAAAAGCAGCTTGCACATTTGATAGTGCGTATGCAAGAGGTCGACTGCCCGTGATCCCATCAGCTTCGGGTATTGAGACGCAATCCACCCCTATCCATATGGTCAACGTTACACAGTCCAGTACAACTCTCTCAGTACCTGATCAGCCTAATCAGCCGACATCAACCACGGAGCCAACACACCAAGTCGACGCCTTGCCCTCGCGGGGCCATGGCATTGCTTCATCGTATCACCCATCCACGTCCCTGGCATACGTCGAATTGTCAACACGTAACTCTCCAGAGCCGTCTCAGACCGATTTACAAGGCCATTATATCGGCCCTGCATCTGGTGTTTCCTTTCTTCTCAGAGTCCAGAAACGCTTGGTCCAGTCCATCTCATTCTCAAACCCAAGCAGTATATTCACTTTCGGAGATGCTCCCCTGCACCCCCCCGAATTTGACCCTTCTTTCTGTATGATGCTGCCAAAAGACGACGCTCAACGCTTATTAGACCGATATTTCGATTTCGCAATGCCGACATATCGCTTTCTCCACCGCCCAATAGTCCAGGAATGGTTTGTCGAGTTCTACGAAACTCTCGGGCTTATGCATGACGTTCAGAGTGCTCCAGCTAAAATTGCTCTTTTATTCATGGTGTTTGCTCAGGGGAGGGTATACATGCCTGATAATGACAGACCCGGCCCGTCTGATCTAAGGTACGTCACAAGGATTGACAGCTTCTGACATGAAACTACTAAAGATACTGCTATAGTGTTCGCTACTTCATCGCCGCGGAGCATCAGCTCACGAAAGAAAGGGGCTCGATCCGGTTGACCAGCGTTCAAGCCCGTCTGACGCAGTGCTATTATCTGCTCACTCAATCTCGTATCAATCACTGTTACAGTCTATTCGGCACGATATCCCATTTGGCTCTAGCTATTGGCTTGAATAGAAACAGGCATTCGGATTTTACCAACGGATCTAGCCGAGTAGAAATTGAGCTGCGACGTCGAACCTTTTGGTGTGCTTATACTTTGGATGCATACCTTAGCGCAGCATTGGGCAGACCACGATCATTTCATGATGACGACATTGACACAGAACTCCCAGCTTGTGTCGAGGATCATGAACTTGGGCTGGAGCAAGTTACAACTACCACGCCCAGTAGAGGCCAGTCGATCATGCTTGCCCCGATTGCACATATCAAAATCGCCCGCATAATCAGCAGAATACTGCGCGATCTTTACTCCATCAAACCGATATCAGCACGCCGCCGAGCGACTCTGACGCAGGAAGTTTCCCAGGACCTAAGTGATTGGCGAGTTGATTTGGCAAGGTTCCTTGATGCGGACTACTTCAGCACCTCTCTCCTCATTCCAATATTCCAGCGGCAACGGAATGTCTTGAACCTTACTTATTGGCACGCTGTGATTCTAACCCATCGACCGTACATCCTGGGCAACCTGATGCCACTCTCGCAGCTGGATAGTAACCCTGGAAATGGAGATGTGCAGACAGAGGAGAGTGTAAGACGGTGTCTAACGGCAGCTTTAGACACAGTGAACACTATCGACGATATCACGCAGGACCGTCAAATGTTTCGTGCATTTTGGGTATAACTCCTCACAGTCGAGATCGGAAACGGAGCTGACAAGGCACAGATTACGGCTTATTTTGCGTTTACGGCGAATATCGTTCTGTATATCTACGTGATTGAGAAAAGAGCGTCACCACAGGAGGTTTATGACAATTATTTGTCAGCGGCCATGCGTTGTCAATCTCATATATCAGCTATTGCTGAGAAAGGATCGCTTTCAGAACGGTATTGCCTTGTCCTAGAGGAACTCCGCCTTGAAGCACTACGTCAAACTGACTATATTTACCCTTCTGTGACTGGCTTAACAGAGCTGAACGACCGCCCTCAGGAGAGCGGCCTTCAGACCAATTCAATTCAAATCGGGGCTGACCCGTTGCCAACCAGCAATTATGCGGATTTAATGGATGAGAGCGCCATCGACTTCAACGATCTGCCAAGTGCGACCCTTCAGGACTACTCTGGTTGGGGCCAATTCGCCTCAATGGTGTCTTCAGGCTTGGGCAATCTGGATGGTTTCCTGTTTGACGAACCTTTCAGACTCTGACCTTAGATTCCGTTCCTCGTTTCTCACGATACGAAGGCACATCCTGTCAGTATGAGGACTCTTTTGGCATTGTGTATGCTTGGCAGTGTGCAGACAGCCGAGGTCAATCGTGCATCAAGGTTTCTAGTCTTCTCCAGTACATTGAAGTTCAATTGTTGTCCATGTTGGTGCCCGGCTAGAAGCTTCGGTCTTGCATGGGTTGCCGGATTACTTGTCCATCGCCTAGACCAAGTTTCTTAGCAACGGAAACATGAATGCTACAACCCCCCAGATCCCTGTCATCACTGCCTTACTCCGCAGCTAATTCGGAAAAGCTTTGTCTGTTCCGTCGGCAGTCGGAACTCACGCTTCGTGGAGAACCATTTATCCGTTCCTCGTAATTTGCATTATAATTGGGTGTCTCTTACTTAATAGCCGATGCCTTATTACTAGAAGCCGACGGTGATGATTACTTCGAAGAGATCTCTGCATATACTCCAAGCACATACCGAAGATGGCAGCATTGGTCTCAAGACGCCTAGCTGGCAAGACGGTCCTCATAACTGGAGCCTCGTCTGGAATAGGCCGATCTACAGCATTTGCCTTCGCGCGCACAAGTCCCGGAGATCTGAAGCTAGTACTGACGGCACGACGAGTTGACAGACTCAAGGATCTTGCAGAGCAAATTACCAAGGAAGTCGGTGATGGCGTGAAGGTATTGCCAGTGCAATTGGATGTCAGCAATTCAGATGATGTACGCAACTTTGTGGACAAGTTACCAGCAGAGTTCAAGGAAGTTGATATACTGGTCAACAATGCGTGAGCCCCCTTCTAGGCCCTGCTGGCCATTCTGACTCGAAAGAAAGAGTCCACCACGGTTCAGGAGACTAATTCATACGGTGGATACAGCGGTCTGGTCAAAGGTGTCGCCAAAGCCCCTGATATTGCAGAGGATGACATGAACGTCATGTTTGCGACCAACGTGACAGGATTGATCAATGTAACACAAGCGATTTTGCCCTCAATGCTGAAGCGAAACAATGGCAATGGTTCAGGCGACATTATCAACATTGGTTCGATAGCAGGCCGTGAGGGGTACGTCGGCGGTGGTGTTTACTGTGCAACCAAGGCTGCCGTCCGAGCGTTTACTGAAAGCCTGCGCAAAGAATTGATTTCAACGAGAGTTCGAGTAATTGGAATCGACCCAGGCCAAGTCGAGACAGAATTTTCGCTTGTCAGATTTGGGGGCAATCAAGACAAGGCCAATGCTGTTTATGCGTGCGTTTCAAGCCCCAGAGTCTCAACTTGCGTCGGTGTGATGCATTGACATGCTGATTTCTCAACAGGGGCTGTGAGCCATTGACACCAGATGATATCGCCGAGATAATTGTATTCACCGCGACCAGGAGAGAAAACGTTGTGATAGCTGACAGTCTGGTCTTCCCCAATCACCAGGCCAGTGCGACAATTATGCATAGAACGTCAACTTAACTTTCGGTTTGAGGCTTCTCCACAACTATAGATTGACTGGCGCATTAGGCTAAATAGCAGAGGATCAATAGATTAGAACGACTTTCAATAGAAAAATCAAAGGCAGAAAGCGGCCTTCGCCATTAGAAGTTATTGATCCGATCACCTATCCTCAATGAATATCCTAACTAGTTCCAAACAGGTGCCATGTAAGTTGATCGGACACGTATCTGAAGTGGATGGCCCATTTCAATGCTGAGTTGAAGCCTTCCCACTCGTTTGAAGCATCTACAATGGATATGGTGCCTCGAGACGGGCAGAGATCATCTCTTCATCCCACCATAAACGTTGAGTTTGACAACGTACATAACATACCTAGGAAACGGACCAGCATCATAACGGAGATGAAGTCGAAAAGGAACAAGTCCCGGTAATCCCCAGCCTTCGAAGAGAAGTTAGCTATCATTTTTCAAAGATCTGCTCCACCAGCTGCATTGCCCCCTGGGGTGGTGTGAGTAGTGTCTGCATATCCGTTCTGAGCATATCCGTGTTTCTTGGCGTCTTCCGCGATCCTCGGTGTGATATCCGCCCCAGAAGGCGAGCAAATACGTCCTCAATAAATAGATAGTACATTGTAGTGATCATGCTAGTGAGCATGTAGTGGTCAAACTTTATTGCCTTGATCTTGTTCGAGTAAAACTCGCTGCCATTAAAAACCGAGAAGAGTAACGCCTGACCCTCTGAGAAATCCCTTTCCCCAGAACCAGGCGCCTCCATCAGGGGCTTTCAGTGTAACCTTAATTCAACAGAGATTTAACGGCACTTGTGGTAAGCAGAATGGCAAGACTGCAGAATATCGTCAATGGAACGACGACGAATGAACCTCTGACCAACGGACATACTGATCATGTTGAGAATATCACCTTCAAAGCAAAATCGAACGGCTATTATGATTCCGGAAGTTTAAAGGAACCAGCAGTGGTTTACACAGATGTCCACGAGACCTCTCTACCGGCTACAAAGCTTGAGAAGGTTCCACCGTTACCGCGAGTGCCACCAAGTGGTGTATGGGCTCCGACCATCACTTTCTTCGATCATTCAACGGACAATCTTGACATTGAAGCCCAGGCTAGATACTACAGCTATATGGCTAAAACAGGACTGGCCGGCCTTGTCGTACTGGGAACGAATTCTGAGACTTTCCTCTTGACCCGCGAAGAACGAAAAACACTGTTAGAAGTCGCAAGAAGGGAGTGTGGCCCAAGTTATCCCATTATGGCGGGTGTGGGCGGCCATTCAACGAAACAAGTCCTGGAATTCATCTCCGACGCAGCCGAAGCAAGGGCCGACTATGTCCTGCTCTTACCACCGGCGTACTTCGGCAAGCAAACGACTCCGGCCGTCGTTAACGATTTTTTCAATGATGTCGCTCAGGCAAGCCCACTACCGATCGTGATATATAACTTCCCAGCTGTCTGCAACGGCATCGATCTCGACTCCGCGACGATCGCCGCTCTGGCGAGGAAGCACGACAACATTATCGGTGTGAAACTGACCTGCGGCGCCGTGGCAAAGATCACCAGGCTGACAGCTGAATTCCCGGCCGACAGATTCGCAACGTTTGGAGGACAATCGGATTTCCTTATTGGAGGTCTGGCTTCCGGGTCTGCGGGCACAATAGCGGGATTCGCAAACGTGTTCCCCAAGACCATCGTGCAGATTTATAACCTCTACCAGGCGGGTCGTTTCCAGGAAGCGATGGAATTGCACAGGAAAGCCGCCTTGGCTGAACAGCCTTGCAAGGCTGGTATCAGCGCCGTCAAGTACGCAGCCGCTCTCAACACAGCAAAGGCCGCTGGCATAGAGGGTGCTTTGGAGAAGTTAAAACCTAGGCGACCTTATGCCGAGCCCTCAGAGTCGGCAAAGAAGGATATTGAGCTGCAGATTGCGAGCTTGGTGGATATTGAGGCAAGTCTTTGAGCATTAGTCGATAAGCGACCATAGACATTGGTTGAGTTATTTCCTTGACATGTGCAATGAAATCTCATCAAATCGTTCTGCATAGGATCATAAAATAAAGGAAGGGTAGGCCATATCATTGAATGTGTCCCTCAGCGCATAACGATCACGATGTTGCAGGCTGTCAACTACAAAATGTTTTGATGCAGTGCTTTTTTCCTCTCTTCAAATCAAACACGGAGGTTAAAAATGTGACAGATATTATTATGCTTGATCCATCCCCAAGAGCCAATGGGCAATCTCCCTAGACAAATCAGATACAGAAAGAATCTATTCATGGAGACTATGACCCCCTCGCCGAAACCGCCATAGATTCTTGTAAACTGATAGTTGGGGCCATCGTGTTAAGCATTATGGACATAAGACTCTAGGAGTGAATATAAAACTGGGAGAGTAGTCGCCAACGGAAGCTGTGCAAAGCGAGTCAATTGGATTAAGAGGAAGTGAACCCAATAAAAGGAGTCATCATGATTTTGTCGTTCTCCTAAGACTCTAAGTTTCTAGCTTTGGCTGATGAAACATAAAATGCAAAAGACTGTGTCGCCAGATCTCACAAGCTCAATTTCCCGGCTCATTCAATTCGATGAAGACTTTGTAGTTGGTGTCTTTCGGCCAAGATCGCATGGCTTGCGGTTCTCATTGCCCTTTCCTGCTTTGTCCAAGGCCCTTATAGGACATGCTTGAAGAGAGGAGACTTGTCTCCCATATCAAAGAGCTCATCTTCGGTGTACTTGAGTCTGGCCTCGTCAGCAATCCTGGCCTTTCTCGCATTAGTGATCTTGAAGCTCCACTCAAGCAGCAATGCAACAACCATGCCGGTGGCGCCAAAGGCCAAACTGAGACCAAAGCCGGTGTAGTACTTTGGCTTCTCACTTTCGAGGTACATGTAACTGCCCACAATACCACCGACATTGCCGCAGGCATTCATCATGGCGATTCCTATATTCCTTCGAGAAGCCGGTGCAATGTTATTGGCATTCCAGGAGGCGGCCGCAGCTTGGATGGGATAGATACCAACGACTGCCAAGACTATAGCGAAATAAGCCACTCCTTTCTTTGCCGCAAGAGCGCCATTGAGCGAGATTATGACGCTATAAGCAATAGTAACGATGCCCATCGGTATGACCACGAAAGGCATGCGCCAGTAGAAGCGATCTGACAGTTTTGCGAAAACAATAGCAGAGATGGCGGCCGCCACATAAGGTGGGGCGGATGTAAGTTGAGCATTGGTTGAGCTGAACCCCATGGCTTTCGTAATGGTTGGGAGAGTGAATTTGGTGCCTGTGTGCGCACATGTGTCAGTACTGCCAACTTGAAGCCCATAAGGGTCCAAAGGGGAGTTTTACCATATGAAAGAGCCGACTGGCAAACCAGGAAGTACGCCATGACATAGACTCTCCAGTTCATGAGCACGATCTTGAGGTCTCTCAATTTAGTGCCGCTCTCTTCTTCTCGGAATTTTCCTCCCTGTTTGATGAACATGGAAAGTTCGAGATACCGAATTTCTTCAGGGTCTAACCAGCGCTTTGACAAAGCTGGAGTGTCGATCAGGAAAAAGAAACACACAACACCGAGAACCACGGTGGCAAGTCCTTCGAGGATAAAGATCCATCGCCAGCCCTCAAGGCCGCCAGCACCATGCATCCGTGCAATCCCCGCTGCCAACAGGCCTGAGAAAGCTCCAGACAATGCGCTGGCACAATAGAAGTACGAAATTCTGGTTGCCAAATCCTTGGGCATGTACCAATAGGAGCAGAGATATATTGCACCAGGGAAAAACCCGGCTCTATCAATCATTGTGTCAGACTCGTCATAGGTGGTGTAAGTTATAGGTGTCAAGACTCACTCGAAAATGCCGAGCAACACTCGGGTAATCATTAGACCTGCATAATTCTTCACCACCCCAGTACATGTCATTACGATGCCCCAGGAGACCACTAGGAGACCAAGGTAAGTTGAAGGCCGTTTGAACCTTTTGAGTAAGATGTTGCTAGGAATCTCAAAAAGGATATATGGGATGAAGACTAAGGATTCGTTGTCAGTCCCTGGTTAAATTGCACAAATATCTTGCCCATGACCAAACACTCACAGATTGCCAATATGGTGTTATACTGCACTCCAGTCATCCCAAGATCTTCAATCATCCCTTCAATCTTTGCATTTCCAATGTTCGCACGGTCAATATGAGCTGAAAGATATAATAAAGCAAGCATGGGTATCAAGCGAACATCGACCTTGAGAGAGAGAGAGCAATCAGTGGAAGAAGTTGTGGGGGAAAATGACCAAACTCACCTTTCGAAAGATCTTCTTCCTTTTTGCTTCTGGAAAATCTCTGTAGAAGTCGGCATCTTCATTGGTTAAACCCAAGACCCGGAAATTGTCAATCTCAAGAACGCGAGCTCCGCCTTCGAGATGTGTGGACTCAAGGTCAGTGTACTCGACACCCTCCTTCTCGATGGACTTTCTGAGAGACATGGTGACAGTAAGATAGGAGGAGATATTGGAACGTCCTTGACTCTGGCAAGCTTTGGAGGTAGGTTGCTTGTTGGTGCCAATGCCTTCATGTCCGCGGGGAGCGGTCTGATCATATATGTTCAACACAACAACGGATAAATCCCTGCACACTTGTGATATAACACAGGATCATCCCCGCATTCTGTACAGATTAGCATCAGCGCTATCCCCAGACGACCAGTGTACGTTTCCTCCATTCTGATAACGTGGGGAAGCAAGTAGGATGTTGAGCCTCTTGGCATGGCGGATATATATCTGCCAAGGTTAACGGAAAAGCAAGGGTGCGGGCCTTTATCCGAACCTTAACAACGCAATTGGTAACGTATCATTTGCCTCGCCCGACCCGTCGCTTCCTTCCGACGGCAGCACTCGGTTTGGACCCGTCGACACTGACTTTGTCTCGATTAATTGTTGCGGAGATTCCAACGAGCGTTCAGAGATTCGGGGAACATGCAGTAGAGCCTTCCGTTCGCCGGCGCCTTTCCCGATTATCGATCTATGCTCTCCGGCACCCTTCGCCAGCGGATCCGTTTCAAGAATGAACAGTAGCTTGATAGATATGCTTCTGAGTTGGTGACGGCGTTGCGATTGCGTTACTGTCTAAGCAGATCCATCCTACCATTCTTTGCTCAGAAAAAATGGCCAGAGCCACAACAGTCCAAGATGTCATTATCACACCGGTGGCATTTCATGACATGCCGCTGTTGAATAGCGTGGGTGTACATGAACCATTTGCTTTGCGTAGTATCATCGAGGTGATCACAGAGGATAGCTATGGACTGGGGGAGTCCTATGGAGATTCGACCCATCTAGCGAGGCTTCGGAAAGCGGCGAAGCAGATCAAAGGCCTCTCGGTCTACAGCACCAATTCCATCTACAAGGTGTGTGTTGATTCTCTGGTAGATGATACCAGTACGGGCGGAGATGGGATGGCTGGCATGGTAACCACGGCATCGGCCGCTGACAAAGTGTTTTCTCCTTTCGAAGTCGCATGTCTCGATATTCAGGGGAAGCTGGCAGGTCTGCCAGTAAGCGATCTGCTCGGCGGACGTGTCAGGGACAATGTGCAATACTCGGCGTATCTATTCTACAAGTGGGCTGGACATCCTGGACAACCGGATGACGAGTACGGGGTTGCCCTGGATCCCGAAGGTGTGGTCAATCAAGCACGGAAGATGATTGATGAGTATGGTTTCAAGGCTATCAAACTCAAGGGTGGAGTCTTTCCACCGGCCCAAGAGGTGGAAGCTATGAAAGCCTTACATGCCGCATTTCCTGGAGTGCCACTTCGCCTCGATCCTAATGCTGCGTGGACGGTAGAGACCTCGATATGGGTGGCAAAGGAGTTGGAAGGTATTGTGGAATACTTGGAGGATCCTGCGCCAGAAATCGAGGGAATGGCTGCAGTAGCCAAAGCAGCTCCTATGCCACTGGCCACAAATATGGCAGTTGTCGCATTTTCTCACCTCCCTGCCAGCATTCTCCAAGATGCAGTCCAGGTCATTCTATCTGACCATCACTTCTGGGGAGGACTGCGAAAATCTCAGACACTAGCAGCAATATGTGCGATATGGGGGATGCGACTGTCGATGCACTCAAACAGCCATTTGGGCATCTCATTAGCGGCCATGACACATCTGGCATCTGCAACAACCAACCTTGATTATGCTTGCGACACGCACTGGCCATGGAAGCGGCGTGACGAGGATGTCATAGTCGATGGCGCTCTGAAATGGGTCGATGGAGGCGTCGAGGTGCCCACCGCTCCAGGACTGGGGATCGAATTGGACAGACAGAAACTGGCACATCTTCATCAACAATATCTCGATTGTGGGCTACAGAAGCGAGACGACACCACCTACATGCAAAGGTTCCAGCCGGAATTTTCAGCCAAAATACCAAGGTGGTAGGACAACAGCCCGAACACACCGCATGCCCTGGCATTGGCGTACACTGCTTAGTACTTTCAAGTACGCAAGCCAGTCGATGAAGTTTATCCCAAGTAGCAAGAAGACTTTTAATGTGGGTCATACAATCCACAAATTTAATTTTGGATCCCTCTCCTTATTTTCAACTGCGTTCATGGTCAAAATTTCACCCAAATTCCGATACTTTTAGAAAAAGGCCCTTTGCTCGCAAGTCTGCGACTGGCTACGAAGGGCTGGCTCTGAACGCATCTAAGACGGCCACGTTAAAGTTATGACAGCTAGGCCTAACCCCGCAATACTACGTCGGTGGGTTTCTCCGTCAGTGGATTAAAGCGTTGCAGTAGTGTATGTTCATTTCAGTAACGATGAAGGAAAGTAACACTGATCTGCGGGTCAAAACTACAACTTACTCTATCATAGCTAGGTAAGCCTTCGAAACGTGGTGATCATTCATGTCGTAGCTAGTTCTATTTAGTATCACACGGAGCACATTGCTGCTACGACGAGCTAGTACGTGCTGTCTAGCCTTCCATGCTCCCCAGGAGTTTCAGCGGCATCATTGTAAGGATTGCTCGTGGTTCTTGCTTTTCGATTATTTTCACTATTATAACATTAGCGGACACAGTGAAATAGCTGATATGCTAGATTAGAATGAGGACTGATTGCACTATCAACTTTTCGTTGAAGTAACTACCACTCTAAGAGCTGTGGGAGTCGACCATACTTGCGGGTCTCTCATTCGTAGATGAGCTTTTGTAGGACTCAAAAAAACAATAAAAGATTGTTACAAACGCCAGGACGGCTTACAGTCCCTCAACGCCATGAACGCGCTCGCTCTCTATGCATATGACCTGACTGCAACCAGTCGGCCCATGTCTCATTGACTCCAAACACATTGCTCCTGCACGGCCATGGCGTAGAAGACAACGGTGCCTAGGATGGCCGCCACCACCGGGACAAGGACATCTACAACGTCCACCCATGCCGGCCGCGCATAGAATGGCTCCGGCGGGCTCTGTGCAGAGAACTCGAACATGCACAGGACAAAAGTCAGAGACAGTACACAGGCGTGAGTGCCGAGGAAGACGACGGGCAGTACGAACCACGGGCTCTGGCAGGTCCAAGCGAGGTTGTAGTGGGCGGCGAAGACGACGACACCCAAGGCGATGCTCTCGACGATGAGCACGGCGGCCTCACCGAGTGGAGGCAATGCGCGGACTGAGCGGGGCGCCCGTGGTTGCTGTTGTTGTGGGCTGCGTATATCCTGAGGAATTGGGGTTGGTGGCCGCACAAGATCATACAGGCTTGGTCGGCGGGCTGGGGGTGACATGGAGCGTTTGGCGCGTTCACTGAATGAGACGGCGCGTGATGGGCGTGGCATCGCAAATTCAAGGTCGTCGTCGACCGTCGCGTACGCTGGTGGTTTCAGGATGCTGGGTAGAGGTGAGCGGCCGTCATGGCCAGCGACCGTGACAGGAGTGATAGGACTGGAGGAGATATCTGCCATAGCTGGCGGTGCGTTGGGTTTGATTTGTACGCTTTTGTGTTAAGAGAGAGAATACGTATGTATTGCAACGAGGTATTGGAGGGAACGAGACAGAAAGTTGAAAAGGGCGGTCGCTCACCAGTCATTTTCCGGGTCTTTCCAAGTTTATATAACAAACTTGTGGAAGGCACCCTTTTCAAGAATGTGCGTGATAAAAATCAGAGCCCTAGTCGATGGAGAGCAGAGGTTCGTCGGAACCAAACTGTTCGTCTTGAATATTGACGGAATTTCTAGTTTTCCTGGGTCCAAAGAACTCTTTTCGCGTCACGCGGGCTCAATCCATCGTGCTCAATGGAGAAATGTACCTGAAAGTCCATCGCGTTGCTGTACCTTTTTCTCTAGCGGACTAGATCTGGAAGGGCTGGAAGGTGGATGACAGGTTCTTGGGCGATGTCTCATAGGGCCGGACCTGATTTGATGCAATCCGATTGATTGATTCTCGGAGATGTGTACCGAGTATAGGTGTATATAGGGTGGATGAAGGTCAGATCTGTTGGGCATCATGGTGCCTTTTGCCACAGGGACAGTCCGCAGGCAGACCCACATATTGCAGGCAACGAAGCTAATACCCTCTGAGAATCACGATGTGACTTGATGAGTGGAATTGCTCCCGCTGTCATTCTTCTTTCTTGAGATTCGCTAGCTGTTCAGTTCGGGGCAAGGACAAACAGGATTCAGCTGGTCAAATTGGGACGCGAAGAACATACTCAGACTTTTGTTGGGCTCCTCGCTTTGAATTTCTGGCTCCCAGCCATTCAATAGCTGTAGTCTATTGAAGGTCTTATATAAGCCTTTCCAGCTTTTCGAATCTCTTGTTTTGCTGCTTAAGGTTCAAGTTTCGGGGTTCGCCCGACCCAACGACTTACCTAGAACCGGTCGCTGATCATGATGAGGAAAAATTGTTGATTGCCATTGGCCCTCTCTGACCCCTAGATGATAGTCCCCTTGGATTGAAAAGGGGCGTGGCGGCGTGCAGGACGGAATTGTAAGTCGCGTATCGACCAAATCTCACCTTGAGATGATTTGCTGTTTTATTCTCTTTATTTCGTGGATAGGCGGCCGCCATTTACATCTAGCGTTGTTCGTGCTTCGACCCTAGGTAGAAAGGTTAAATAATTCCCGCGGATCGAGCCGCGACGTCGATCGTGCCCAAAAGGACACCATGTGCATCGATTTCAGCCCTCGGGAAACCGGATAGCCTGCTGAATTGATGGAGCACATCTCCTTCGTAGCAATCGTAGCCAGAATAGTGCATGATCTGCGATATCAGACGATACAGTGGTGCGCATGCTGGACCTGGACCATCACATCCGACCTGCCCACCAAAAAGGAATGAAGTCAGAATGGAAATCAAAGGGCTGGAAATGGGCTTGAACAGTTATATTGATGATAGTCCAATAAATGCATGTGCATTGTAGATCTCAGGCTTGGATATCCTTCCTATGCCCAATGTAAAAAGAAAAAATCTCAATAAATGCTGAAATCGCTTTCGTAATGTTCTTCATCAACGCCATCGCTGTGCAACGGGTAATAAGCTCGTAGGATATCATATGCCGTGCCATTGTCGTCCCATAGGGTTGCTGTGAACCCTTCATTTCGTGTCCTTTGTTGATGAGAGATTTTCATCTGTCGACTTATTGCCAACTATACCCCGGCGCCCTGCCAGAGTCCATATTGGCCTTCGTCTTCGCCCATGTCCTAATATCAGTGATGAGCTCTATTCTCTAAGAGGTTGTAGAGGGTCGGAACCTCCAAGGTCCGCTCCACCACGGGCCTTTTCTACCCCAGCCCCAATTACCCTTTGTGGCCGAGTGTAGATCATCGACATTCAAGTAGTCGACTCCCTCGCGGACCAGAACTCGCCAGATATAAAATCTCAGCCCCTTAGGCCAACTCGGGACATTCCAATATCGGACTTTCAAGCCGCGTGCATGAGCACCCGCGATCTGCATCCGGATTTTTTCCTTTTGTTGAGATGAGAGATGTCCTCGCCAAGGAAATCCAATGGATGCTCTAAAATCTACGGATGCGTAGTAAGAGTTTGCAGGTGAATAAATTGAGGGGTTTGTTGGAGCTGAGCCCGACTGCCCTTGACCTTGATCACCATCAGATCGAGTACTCGGGATGGTGGATCGCACCGCATCTGCTGGATTACCATTCGGCACAGATGCTCCGACTGGAATGGCAGACTCTGCGACTTTGTCCATCAAAGCTAATGGGGCGTCAAAAAACATATCTCGATAGTGTGGATTTGCCACCACCGAGCTGAATGGGGCATTTCCCGTCACGACGACCGTGATAGGGCCCTCGATTACACTGCTTCCATTGAAATAGGTGAGATAGTTCTTTTCCCGGAATGGCTGGAGCTGATCCGAGACATATGGCCAAATGGCATCGCCATCGTTTTTGAAATCGATGAGTAAGACCAGTGTTTGTGATGGCTTTGTATCAAACACCCCGCTGGGTTGAATGTCGCTCGAAGGATGGAAAGCTGAGATTGAATTCTGTGAACCAAGGATTTTGAAAATTGGATCAAGGTAGAGTGAGCGGAGGGTTCTTTCTGGGGTCAATGACTGTGTGGAATGTCCAACGAATAGGTCTTGGTCAAAGAGCCAGACGTCGGCTTCAACCCCCGTACAGCCAGCTCTCAAGGCGGAGAAGAGTGGTTCTTTTCGCCAGTAATCATTATGAGAGGCACAGGCAACTGGTTGAATGTCGGCCGAGAAGTCTGTCGGCCATCGTCCCAGGTCTGAAGAGAATCTTCCGGTCGGCGTCGAGGAGTCTAGTGAGTCGTCTACTTCGTCGGGGAAGAATGTCGTGATCAGACCACACGCCAAGATGATGAACTCAACAATTCCGCTGTGAGGTGGTCAGTAACCTTGGTGAGGGAGAAGTGCAAGTTGGTAATACTTACAGTAACATCAGAGCGATACCTAGCAACCGTAGTGTTCTTCTCAAGGGTGTGCTCAATCGTGACTTGCGACGAGTATTCTTTTCAGAGACATGCTCTTTCTCAGAGATGCGCCGTTTGTGGTCTTCTATTCCTCTCGGACCGCACAATCTCCTGAAGGGATTCCAAGAACGCCTTTTGGACTGAAAATATGGTGAGGTGTGATAGCAGCATGAGCAATCGAGGTCGTCGTCGACGGAGACGCAGGTGACTTTTGATGATTTGAAACCATCCGGGCGACCGGTGGTGGTGGGGTCTGGAGAGAAGCCATCCTCCAACCCAGGAGCACAGTCGAAAGGTTGTTCCTGCGTTAAGAAAGGTACAATCTCTCCATCGGAAGGTGAGTCATCCACAGACCTAGAATGATCATGGCGGATGGGCCGGGTCGAAGTTGATTGCATGACTTGTTACGAGGCCTGGCAGCGACTGCAGGCTGGCGCAGTCTTGCGGAAGGCTCTGGATGCGGATAGGAATTGGAGGGGGACGGGGATTGGGGCCGAGAGGACAGGGCCTAAGGAATCGGGGTGGGTGACCTCAGTGCCTGGCTAGGGGCAGGGGAGGAGTCGGTTCTCCGTGTGGTGCAGCCCGAAAAGCTCGAGGGAACAGCCGAGGTGCGCAGGGACTCGAAGAACCAGGGACCGAGTTTGGTACGAGAGCCACTGGCAGTGTGAGCATGAATTATTAATTCTTGATGAGCTCAGCAGGCGGTGTGGAGGGGCATGAAGTAATCGATAGCAACAATCACTGTCATTGGGGCTCGGGTGGGGGAGACACCCTGCAAAAGCAAACAGGCGCAAATGGTCGTTCCAGTTTGGATAACAAACCACCAAGGAGCAGCAATGCAAGTTGTTGCAGATGTATAAAAACGGGGAGCAGGAAGTGAAGCAGAAGAGAAGACGAGGATGAACGGGAGGTGCAAGTTGTGTGTCTATAAGAGGATTGGGGGATTGGTTCCAGCTCCAGAAGGATGGCATGCCGGTTTAGCAGAAGACAAGAGATCTGGATCGGGTCTTTAGTACGAAGAAGAGCTGGGCCTTCTACAAAGTTGCGAGCTTATTGAGGTGTGACCCGCTAAAAAAGGCCCTGGACCGCGGGATGGGGGCAGAAGGATACTCCAGAGAATCCAGATGGAGTAAAGAACGTGCGAGGAGGACAGCCAGAGCAACGAGTAGACAGGCAGCACATTAGACCCTCACTCACTTTCGGATGAACCCAATTTTCAAACTAGAGGGTCACACCGAGTGATGGCGAATACCAGGTCCCCAGTGTACGAGGCAACTTACCTAACTAAAGAGATCACGGCAAAGGCAATCATAGTAACGAACCTGAGCAGTGAGCACCTCATACGAGGCGCTCTCTCCGTGACCGCTAACTGTTGTAAGAAATCGAACTACCGCCGCAGATGACAGTTCACCCGCCTAGAGGGTCAAGGCACGGTTAAAGCTTACGGGAGGGTCTTTTCCATCTTCGGCATCGAAGGCCCTTTAGACGAGGGCGCGATCCTGCGTCTGGCGTAGTCCAACAGCCACAGTAGCACTCTATGCATCGACGAACTGAAATTCCTACGGACTTCAAACCTTTAACCTTCTTCCTGGCATGTTCCCGCCCGAGTGTGCTGACAATTGTCTGCGGAGGGATCTGATGATGGCGAAGGCGCCATCCTTCTGGTCCTTTACTAAAAACTAAGAAATTGATCGCTACCCCCAAACCATCGGGCTTGGGCCACTCAGGGACTTGGTCGTGTTGGCCATGGGGTGCCCTTCCGTGCCAGCCACCCATTGCGAGCTCGTCAACCACTTCTCCTACATGTGCTCCGCTTTTTATTGCCATTGGACTGTGAGGTCGTTGCTCGTCCAGACCACAAAATCTGTATTTCATGGCTACTACGGCCAGCAGCGCATTCCACCTCCATGTTATGATTTGTCCGTATGACTCTTTCTACAGTTGACAACTAGGCTGACGCCATTTTCTTGATGTGATGTCTCTTGGATGAAGTAATTTGGGCTTGGTAGGGTAAATCTTGTGAGGTACCGCGGAGATTTAGCATGACTTATTAGTTGAACTTACGTGGCATCGACGCGCAATCCTTCAGGAAAACCAATAAATTAAGCTCTTCAACCTGGCTATATCGGGGTCATCGATCAGCCAATCAAGGCATGATCCTCTCTGTCTGAGCCTTGCTGATAGCTAAAGATAACTTTCCTTTTGGTCTGGTAGCCCTGATGGAACTGTCTGATCCTTCAAGATCCCATGGTACATGGACGGTGGTAAATGTCAAACTTTGTTGTTGCCCCTGAAGAAAAGACAAAATGAAGCATACACACTCCCTGTCCAGTACCGCTCAATTCATCAAGTCGGTCCTGATGAAACATTCCTTCTGCGCTTGAAACCACTCCCTTTGAAGGTAGATATCATACGAGTGCCAATGACAGGGCCACAGCCCACAACAAAAGTCCGTCTGAGTCAGGTCATCATCATTTTCCAAAATGGCTCCTAGGTCTGCGCGCCATTCTCAGGCACTCTGCTCGTAGCATTTTCAGGTTGAAGTGCAGAGAACTTTCCATTCTTCCCCAAGGTGGTATGTATCTCATTCGTGTGTGCGACCCCATCAGGTTTCTCAGGACCCAAGACATTTCCATTACTCGGAGTAGTGTTCAAGAGTAAAGAATTGGTGCCATCCAATCCTCCCTGATCCCGCAGGTCAATGGGTTGGATGCCTACTCGATCAATCCAAACCTTGGTTGGCGCCCGCCTGTCACAATCACCAGGATATTGCATTGCCCCGAGCAACCGCCCGGCACTCAAGTGGAAGAGATATTGTTGGATGCGTCCTGGCGTGCCTCTCCCAGATACCAACGATGCAAGTGATGCAAGGAGCACGGCCGCGAAAACGAAGAGGGCGACAAAAGCTGGAATTGCAAACGGCAAGTGATACCGAATGCGTCTTGAGTACACAGTGACTGGCACAGTTGTCCTCGCGTCGCTCCCGTCGCTCGACTCGTCGCGTTTGTTTAGATTGGAAGGCAAAGTCTTCCCCGAGCTCCAACTTCTTGTCCCAACCAACATCTGCGCAGCCAAGTCTGTCCATATCAGATTGGGTATCTTCTTGATCTTTTCAGCACTGGCGCTCAAGTCTCTCCATTTCGCATACCTGCACGTTGTCATTTCGTTAGAAAAGCACATGACAGCCGCTCTCAACGTACTTACAAGGGCATGTTTGCCTGTCCGGACAGGTCGGGCATGTTGCTGCTGGAACTTCGGTAGGCATAGAGACCAGCAAGGAGATCTGTAATCCCCTCCGCTGCGGGTAGATTCGTTGAAGCAGGGATTCCTGCCGTGAAGAACCCTCCATACCCAGGAAGATAGAGATGAGGAGCCCGGATCGTGGACAAATTGACAGAGTTCTCCAGCTCAGGTGAGACGAGACCCCAGAGTTGACTGATGTCGCTGAGATTCCAATTAGGAAGATTCTCCATCCCCCACAGAGGCATCGAATGATTGTCAGTATAGTTCTTTTCAGCCACACCGATCACCGACAGAGCCTGGAGCGTGTTGCCCGTCCGTTCGGTCACGTTGTGGTTGAAGGTCACCTGCTTGATGCTGGCCTTTACGGTGGATGCACAGCTGTAGACTGGCTGAGTCCAGAGCGATCCGGGCTCAAAGACCAGACTTTGCGATCCATCCTTTCGTTGAGCGGCCCCGAAAACCATTCCGCATTGCACGTTGATATTACTGATGTTGGCTTGGTCTGCACCACCAGCTCCTGAACACAGCAGACCTATGTCTGAATAATTGTAAAGGGATACTTGAAATGGGTTTGAGTAGTTCAGTTGCGGATTCTCGGCAATGGAGCTATTCGACAGATAGGCGTCAGGATCTAAGAGTGAATTGAAGAGGGCGTCAAAATAGACTCCTCCAACTAATGCACCTCTGGTCTGTTCATCGGTTACAGGATACTTATCCCCCACCTTGGAATTGAGGTATCCAAAGGCGTCCGGTGCAGGTCGAGTAATATTCATGGTAAGCATAGCTATGTGCAGGGGAAATGAAGTCGTCAGTACAAAGCTCGATGATCACTCCAAGCCCAGGCCAGGGTAGGTTATACTCGAGGAGGACTCCAATCTCATCTCAGAGCAACTCGAACAATCAGGGAGAACTTACCATAAGCGTTTACCATCCAGCTTGCTTTATACGCTCTGTCGCGAAGTTTCGGATTTGTCTGAGAATCGCGTAAGTCAACCCTCGGCCATTCCTGGATTAAGTTGGCAAACCCTCCGTTGTCTACCAGCCATATCTCCTCCAGTGCATAGCTTGTTTGTCCCGTTTCGGGTATGCGAAACTCAATGGTAATGTTCGTGTCCACACATTCGGTCTCAGGCTCCATCCAGAGCAAATCCTCCGTCCACTCAGCCCCATACTGCAACCCCAGGGGTACGGTATGATTCCGAAAGCCAATCCCTCCAGTCTTGGTGTTCACCACTAGGCCCTCGACAGCCTCGATTGCATCATTGAGGATGACACTGGTGAGGTATCGAAAGTTGCTAACAACATATGTCGCATTGTCGAGGATACCTCTGAAGGTTTGAAATGAATACTGTCGCGATTGAATATCGAAGAAGCTGGATACACTTTGTGGTTGCTCTGCAAGACCACTTTGGTAGAGCTCAGCTAGGACCGTCGGAATGCGAATGTCATAGTCGTCGTTGGTAATGTTCGAAGTGAGAACAGTGTCATTACCGCCCAGATCTATGTCCACAGTGGTTCCAGGACATTGCATAGGCAGAAAGCCTCCGCAAGTTCGAGTGAAGCCTATAGCACCATTGGCACGGGTAGGCGTTCCATAACCCATGGGTGAGGAGTCCTGCATGTACGCGAACTCAACATTCTGGACGTTGCGTGCTGGCACAACATCCTCGTACAGGCCTAGTGGGGTGACGACGGCTGCGATAGTCACAAGACCAAGAGTGAGAGGTCGAATCCAACTGAGGTACACAACCCGCTGATCCACTCCTCTGCTTGCTGCAGAATCGGCGCGCAAGAACAGCGGCCACCAGGAACTCAACAGATTCCTTTCGACCACCGACCATGTGACTGCACTGTGCTCATCTTTCAAAAATCCGACCAACACAACAATCAAAGCATTGGGAATCACGAATTGGAGAACGAAAATCGCAGCCGCTATGATACCGGAAACGTATCCAACGGTTAGGGTTAACATTTTCAAGATGAAACGAAAGTGGTCAATTGGGTCGCAAGGCGCGACACAGGTCCTTCAAAGAACGAAAGAACGAAAGTCCGAAAACACACAATTGTGTGGCGCGAAAGTCATGAAATATGATGCGGGTATGAAGAATGCGACACAGTAGTCGATCGACCACATAGCGACGTTGGGGGCCACTGTCTTGGTCGCTTAACATGGAAGCGTTGACCATCGACAGGCTAGTCACATCAGTTCCAAGAGCCGCTTTGATTGATCTAGGGATTGGAGATGGGGTGACAAAGCTGGACTGCTCCAGACTAAACATGGGAAAGATTGCAGTCGCATGGTGATCGAGTTCTCCGATTTGTTAACCAGCATCAAAAGTAGGGATAGCCATGCTTTCCATCGAATTTGGGGGCTAGACGAAAGGCGTAAAGGTGGATCAGGCCCGGCTCGAAGCATGATATAAGAGCTTGATACCCGATGAGTCAATTGCACGACACCAAACAATTGAGATGGTGCCAAAGTCGGGCTGGGTTGGAGCAACACCAGGTTGTAAATGGCGGGCTCTCCGGCGAGAATCGTTACTTTCCGCATACCCTTAATCATTCGCTGTTTAGACGCAAAGTGAACCTGACGGACAGGGTTCAGAGATTGAAGGGCAATGGCATGATCTGATTGTTGGTTGAAGGCTTCAAAGGGCCAGACGACAAGTTCAAGATTTGACCCGAGATGTTCGTTGCCAATTCCACCGGGTTGAGAACCGGACAAGGCAGATGAAACCGCCAAGGTCTTATCAGCAAATGAAAACACCGATGTTGAGAACTATTCTCCTAGCTTGGAATGAATACGAGAATGAAATGCGAACAACCGATCCTCAGGGAGCCTGGAGCCTGCTTCGGATACTGTACCCGCGATGGGACTGCGTAGCTCGGCTAAGCTTCTTAATCCGGTGGTACAGCTATAGAGTCACGTGTTTGACAGCCTCATTCGGTTATTGAAAGGGGCCGCTTGGGGCCACTGGCGTTCACACCTATGAACATTCTACCAGCCTCGTTCTGATTGCAAATCAAATTACGACCACCAGATCTCTTGTTGAGAACAAGTCGACGATAATTTTGCAGCTACATACTTATACTGCCTACAGCCATTGTTGCACTGAAGGACCCCGCCTTGCTCAAGCTCTCATCTGTGGATCATGACCTACCAATCCAAGATCATCCCATCTCAGGAAACATTCTGTATCATGAGGTACACTATCTGAAGAGATACCTTGTGCCTCACAAAGGCCCATTGGGATGGATTAAAACTTTGGTGTATCCCTCTATTCTCTTGTCGAACTTATCATAGGCAACTTCGGCGTCTTCAATGCCAATTTCGTGGCTCACAACGAATGATGGTTTTGCTTTGCCGGCGATGATGAGATCCCGCAATTGCACGTTATACTGCTTCACGTTGCACTGTCCAGTGGCAAGTGAGAGCCCCTATTTTGCAGTTAGCTACAAGTTGTTTCTCGGGTTGCCACCATCATCATCAGAACTACCTTTTCGAAGAGCTTTCCAAAACTCAAGCTGATGCGACCCTTTGCACTATTCTCATCTGGAGCACCTGGGTCGGTAGGGACATAAAGACCTAACGAATGTTAGAAGATGACCAATCGACCATTTCCGGGTTAGCACCAGACCTGGAATACCGAGACCCCCACAGGGTCTGGTAGCTTTGATCATGTCCTCAAGGACAATGTTTGGCTGCTCAGTCTTGCCTCCAGTGTCAACAGCTTGGTATCCAACTGCATCCACAGTTCTGTCAACCATGCCGCCATTCTTCTCCAAAATCTGATCCACAGCTGAACCCTTGGAAAAGTCAATGGGGATTGCTCCTATCTTCTCAGCCGCTGCCAGTCTTTCAGGTACACGATCCACAACAAAGACTTTGCTTGCTCCTCTCAGGACCGAACTGTAAGCGGCCATTAAACCAACTGGACCCGCACCCCAGACAGCAATAGTCTCACCAGGCTGGAACCCGCTCAAGGAAACACCATGCCATCCAGTGGGGAAGATGTCTGCTAGGAGTATAAAGTCGGCTTCGTTCTCAGTACCAGGAGGAAGCTTTAGCGCATTGAAATCGGCAAAGGGGACCCGGATGTATTGTGCTTGACCACCTCGATATGGACCCATTGCCACATAACCATAAGCACCACCAGCAAACCCAGGATTAACACCTGTACAGAATGCTGTTTTGCCCTTGAAGCAATTCGTGCAGCGTCCATCCGCAACATTGAAAGGCATAACAACACGATCACCTTTGGAGAGGAGAGTTACACCCTCTCCAACTGTTTCCACAACTCCCATGTTCTCATGGCCTGAATGCAAGGTAAGCCTGATTATATACTCAGGATGTGCGCTTCTAACAAAACATACCAAACGTAATGCCAGCTTGTGCACCAGTGCGACCTTCATACTAAGGATAGCATCAAAGTCAACAATCAATCCAATCATTGTCTCATACAACAGACAGCTGTCTTACCATGTGGAGATCGGAACCACAGATGGCTATTCAATACTTCATGTCAGTGCTCACATTCATAGTTGAGTATCGGGCATCTTTTCCTCCAGCTCATTCCAATATCAAAATAAATCACGTGTTTCTCACCTGCAGTTGTGACCTTGACGATGACATCGTTGGGAGATTCGATTGTGGGTATAGGAACATCTTCGACCTTGACCTTGAATGGTCCCTGAGTGGAATGGTCAGAGGTACAAATTGGCAACAAGAGTTACCAAGGACAATACGTGCCTGGTAGTTCACAGCTCGCATGGTCTCGGTAGACGACATATTTGGTATCAGAGGCCAACTTTAACTGGACTGCCAGTAAATTCGTTATCGGAACTGAATCGAACGAAGTGCTCCCGATATCAAAAAGTCGAGTCTCGCCCGATTGGTCGGTCAGATGGACTTAGGGATGATGCTTGATGGAAATCCTCGAAACTAAGGTAAGGCAGCACTCAAGAACTAGGATCCTATGATGTAGAGGGACGAAGTGTAAACTTTCCATCTCGATCACACTACAGCACACCCTGTATATATACCCTTAACAACGATCACGGCAATTACAAATGTATGCATGAGGCCGCTTCTGAATGTTGCGATCAAAAGCGGAGTAAAGCCCATTTACTCCTCCTTCAAAGGCGAAGTTATCCATACTCAGACAATCGTTACGTAGGAATCGGCCAAGGGGGGACAAATAGTACCACCAGCATGCACCAGTAAGCCACCACCAAGGAATGATGCAGAAACTTTCTCCTCCTCCATGGCTCCTCCACTCCAAAATTGCGGGGTACATACATTATCCAAAGACTACCCGGGAGGCCGCTGTGAGCTTCGAGGAATCGGAGCGATGCAAGCCCCTGGATACGAGACAAGAGGAAAGCTGAACACGAGGGGTTCGGCATCCACTTGGATCCACTTGGGGTTGCAAGCTGATGCGTTCATTTGTATAGACGAGCGTTGGCGAGAACAATCATGACGTTCTGACTGGTGGAGAATTCTTGGAGATCCGTTGTTCTCTCGAAAAGTTAGACCACATCATCATCCCATCTCCTCATCTTCAACGCACTTACCGTCGTAGCGGCCGCCCCGGCCAACGTCCTTACATGGTCTTTGAAAGTCTAGGTCTGTCTTGTTATTACTGAATCAAGTAAGCGAGCCCGAAAGATTGTCACTGTCTCGGTATATTGACCACGAGGTACAGGAATGAAGGCTGATTTAATTCTTTGGCATTGGTTCTAAAAATGTGAAGGTGTTGGACCTACATGGGCAGAGCTTCAGCACATTGGGAGGTTAAACGAAGTCCATTCCATTATCCTGCTTCATCTCATGAATTCACCCACTTCTCTCCTTATTGAGAACAATGCCTGATTTGACAGTTCCTGATTCCGAGACTGCCGAAGGACGCCTTAATCGCATGCTGTGTCGAGTGGTGTGCGGGGGCTATGTCGAATGTGTCGAGGGGTATACATGATGGTGCATCTGTTGTGATCATTGGTGATTTCTTAAAATCGTGCTGAATTCGCTGGGCGCGTAATATCGTGCTGGGTTTAGGATGATGGGGCTGAGGGGTATGGGATTGGGGCTCATACACAACAAATGTGGCGCCAGGGTTTGCTGGCCAGTGTACATCAGACACGGTGAGATTGTTGATTTCCGTGTGTCTACCTGGTTCCAGCGGCGGGATTGCTGGGCGCCACGAAGCTTTTGGATAGTCGTGGCGATAAAAACTTTCTGGGTGAGATGATTACATATCCATGGAGTCATTGCCATTTGCGAAGTTGAATTGACCTTGAGGTTGATTCGCACCAAGAGTGAAACCAGTGGCGTTGGCTTGTGGAGCGAGTTCCTCAATGTCGGCACCAGCATCCTCTTCATCTGAGAAGTATCTCTCGATAATGTTGTATGCCTTCATATAAATTTCTTCATTGGCGTTGTTTTGACAATCATGGATCTTCTCCATACCTCCCGCTTCTTCGATGAATAGAGCATATCGGTTGACTTGGCCCTCGGTAGAACGGTTATCGGCAGCCTCCTTGTCCATTTCTCCTACCTTCAGAATGTTCTCCAAGCCATCAAGAGCCACCTGAATGATCTTGTTGTCAGGGCAAGCGAGAAGGTCACACAGAGGCTTGATACATCCTTGAGAGACCAAGTATCTGATCTGATCTGGTTTCTGAAGACCACCAGATGTAGCATTTGATATGGCCCAGCAGGCTTCTTTGCGCGTCTTGAAGTCACCATTAGACAAGAGATGGATCAAAGGAGGAATGATGTTTGCGTCCACGACGGCTTGAATCTGTGTGGAGTTGCCGGCAGTGATATTGGAGATGGTCCAGCAGGCTTCCTTGCGAATACCATCTTTCTGAGAGCTGAGCAAAGATAAGAGGGCAGTCAGTGCGCCGCAATTGATAATCACTTGGGTCTGGACGTCGTCTCCAGTGACAATGTTACCGACAGATCGGAGAGCTGGTGTCTGGACAGATGTCGAAGCATGCATGAGCAGTTCCACGAGACGTCGAGGAATGCCTGCTTCAATGACGGCTTGTATCTTGTCATTGGCACCGTCAGAAAGGTAGGAGATGGCCCAGCATGCATCAATCAAAACTTCATCATCCAACATATAGACAAGTTTGGCCAGTACAGGGAGAGCAGGTTGAATCTGGTGATTGTTAGTTTGAGAATTATCCACCGCAGGTGGTAAAACTTACTGTACTCCAATCTGGCTGAGGAGTTTTGCCACGGCAGAAGTTGCTTAGTGTCCATGTGGCATTTCGCAACATGCTCAACTTCCGACCATCTGCAATGAGATTGAGAAGAGGCTTCAGGGCACCTTGGCTGAGGACATAGTCTCGGCAGGCGGGACTGTCACCAGCAATGTTACCCAAAGCCCACACGGCTTGCTCACGAACATCTGGTTCAGGACTGCTGAGAAGTTCCACAAAGATAGGAACAGCACCTGCCTCGATAACGACTTGGGTTTGTTGTGCTGAGCCTGATGCAATATTTGTAAGAGCCCAAGCGGCCTCAAACTGTACGAGGGTATGCGGAGATCGGAGGAATTCGACGAAACGACTGACAACGCCAGTTTCAATAACTTTCTCGATGGGAGGGTTGCGTTCTTTGGAGAGTAGTTTTCTGAACTTGGTGGTGGCTGAAATCTGAGCATCGATCTGGTCGGAGAAAACTCCTTTGACCATTTCTGGCAATTCTGTGCTCAACTGAAGAGGGTCAGCATAGTCAATGGATATGAATTATGTAGCTCACCTCGCTCTCGATGGTTCCAGCCTCATCGTCGCTATCAGCATCCCCGCCAATACCGATTTCTCCATTGCCTCGCTGAACACCTCTGCGCTTGGCGAGGTTTTCTTCTCTCTTCTGTCGTCGAATTTCAACTTGTTGTTCCTCACGTCGACGACGCAGTTCGTCGGGCTTGAAACTGTTCTTTGCCTTGAACTGAGTGCGGCGATGTTCGGGAATGTAGCGTTCAGCCATGACGCACGTCTCAGGGATAATTCAGATGAATTTGGAATTTGCGTTGGATCTCAATCTGGCACTAGGTGAGGTTCTGAAGAAGATCAATGAACAAAGCAGAGTAAGGATTTTAAAGGACGCAGACGACCAGTGATGGCAGTTGCGCAAGTGATGAAGGCCAGGGTCGTGAAGATGGACGTGCAGTTGGATTGTTTCACTCTTTTCTGGCATGCCGCTTCTCAGGCTTGGCACGAATTCTGATCACGTGCGAACGTGTCTTCCCAATTCGCTAGCGCGCTGCGAATTGAGTGACTACGCGTCTCTCGAGGAGGTGGAAGTCACGACAAGGGAGACCACCAACTAAACAACTGACTGTGAATGCGACTGAGATTGATAATTACTTGACTTGTTTTCTATAATTGTCTGATGTTGCCTAGTCATGGCACTTTCAATTCCGTTATCGCCTCCAACAACCCCAGAGCTCGCATCTCAAGAAGTCCCCATTGAAGCGATGCCCACTCATACGTCAATAATCCCTCGAGGCTTTACTGATCTCCACAATGCTCTCACCACAATCGGCACACAGCAAAATGTCATTGGAGTCTGTTTTGATTTCTTACCACCAACTAAATCTAAAGGCACAGACTATATGATCAAATTCCGCTTGCATGACCCATCATGGAACGGGGTGGGGGGGATGGAATTCCGATACTTTCGCGGTTCCAAGGAACAATTACCCCGTATCGAAAATCAAGGGGACGTGGTGATCCTGCGCCAAATCAAGACAGCAAGCTTCAATGGCTCTTGTGGCCTTTCGAATCGTGCGACTGAATGGTCCGTTTTGCCTTTCAGTGTCATGCAAGGCTCGCTTGATAATATCAAGTCTGCAGCCTTACATTCTTTTCAAGGCAGAGCAAGCTCCCAGAAATTTCTGCCCACCATTGCAGAACTGCAATACGCAAAGTACATCTCAGAGCAGGAAGATCCAAATAGATGGCCAGCTGTGGTCAACACAGCTAATCTCCCCACTAGCAGTCTGCAACACGCAGATGACCAATCACGTCCTCGCAAAAAGAAGTTCACCGAGATCCAGGCCATTGAGAAGCCTATCAATGGGCCACCAGTCTATGTTGAGCTCTTGGGGGAAGTGAGAAAAATTTTCTCCTCTGATCTGAGAACCGAGCTCTCCATAACAGACTACACCTCAAACTCTTTACTTTACGACTATCAGTATGGCGATGACGAAACTGGACGAGATGGCGATCAATTCAACTATATCAAGGATGAATCAAAAACGTGGCCGGGCCCATGGGGTACCAGAACGATAGTTGTCACATTATGGGACGCTCATCACCAATTTGCCATCAGCAACGTCACATTAGGATCATTTGTCTACTTGCGCAATGTCAAAATCAAACTCGACAAGAGTGGACTAAAGGTCGAAGGAGTGTGTAATGGAGATAGATTTGGAAAGGTCCATGTGGAGCTTCGAAAACCAAGAGAGGCAACTGGGGACGATCCGCTTTTGAGTCTCCTTCGACGGAAACGTGAATACGAAACAAAGGCAACAGCAGAGAACATTCATTTTGTGCGTGACGCGCAGAATAAAAAGAGAAAAGCAGACACAGAAAAGCAGCATCAGCAGGAAGAAGAGACCAAGAGCAAAAAGCAAAAGGCGCGAGAACGCAGAAAGAAAAATCGCAGGTCCAAGACAGAGATCGAAACGGCAGGCATACCTCTTACACTCAATCAAGAGAGGCCGCAGCATACAGTCAACTCAAGTATACGGTGTTTGAACCATGACGTACCATGTACAACGATTGCAGACATCCTCGACCCTACATCTTTGCAGAGGAAAACTCCCAAGGGAAATTCATTCTCCGTGCCATTCCAGAATTGCAAGTACAAGTCCAAGGTTCGAGTTATCGACTACTTTCCAGACAATGTGGAAGACTTTGCAGTTCCTCAGAGAGACTCCGAATATGACGTCTTATCTGACCATGGCAGTGGCCCTGAGTCTGATGTTGACCTATCGCAGGGTATTGCAGAAGGGGTGAAATGGGTCTGGCGTTTTTTCTTGCTCATTGAAGATGCAAATCCACAAACAAGTAACGGTAACGTCTGTGCCCAAATGCAGCTACTTGTCGCAGATGCCGATGGGGAATTCCTACTGAATCAAGAGGCATTCGATATGAGGGATGAGAAGAACGGGGTGGAATTGGCCCGTACAAAAGAAAAGCTCTTTCACTTATGGGGAGATCTGCAGGAGTGGAAAGAGGAACACGAAGCCTCAGAGGCGCTCGATCGTACGCCTCAAGCGAGACCTTTCGAGTGTATGATCAAAGAATATGGCGCACTAGTTCCATCATATCTCAGGACGTCTCGGGGCCAGGATGGAGAATATGAGAGGTCATTCAGGATGTTTGGAGTGACAATCTGAGGGAGACTATCAGTGGTAAATCTGAACAAGAGCAGGTCACCATGCAGCATTCCTCGACCAAAGAAACTCCGCCGAGCGAAATACACCTCTTTGCCAGCCCACATGATTCTCGAGTAGCTCACGATTGCAAACGTTGTTCTTGCACAGAAGACCACTCACTTCTGTCTAGACTCATAATTCCCGCAGAGATCAATTGCTGGCTGCAACTCTTGAAACAACTTCATTCCAGAGTAGGAGCTGCCCACGGCATCGATCAGTGGCAATCATTTTGTTGATTCCCAACAAACCTCCCCCTGGTGGCGCCCGAGCTCCAGTGGAACGCAGTTAGGATTGCGCACAGCAATGTAGACGGGAGCTATCATGAACAGCATGTGAAACCCGGGTTCCTGTACTAGTGAGATGACTCGAGCTTCAGCAAAACCCGGGGCATAGATGGCGGGTCTACGACAATGCCAGTACATCCCGACAACAGATCCCGGGAAGTGGACCGATGAACTTGCATCGATCACATAAGTCTGCACATTCACCTACATACTTCATGAAGATACAGGCAAACTTGACTCTGCTTCTGCTTGCGAGTGACGAAGCATGTATTCATTTCATGATTGTGGCAATGCAACTTCGTATCATAAATCGCCTCAGAGCGCCACAAAGAGCTCGCACCAGATGCAGGCGAGGCCAGATAGGCAAATGGGGGCACTTATATCAACCCCCGACCCAACGGGGATATTCCGCACTGTATGGTAGCCGGGAACTCCTGGTCACGACGAGGATGAACTTCAATGTGGGAGTGGACCGGTGGAGCTTAGATGCAGGGGATGAGAAGCGATGTGGGCGAAGGGGGTGGACAGAGAGGATAAGAGAGAGCATGTTAGAAGGGGAGGCGTTCAACAAACGATAATGGTCCCTATGGAATACTCTTTACAGCAGTAGTCCGTACGACTAGTTTGTACATATGTTCGCCGGTCCCGGTGTCTAGGCATCAGACGAACGGACGCAGGCAGGCATTCTCCGGTGTCAACTCGATGGATCCTTTGCAACGCTCGATTAATTACTATCTGATGGGATGGCTTCTTGCCTCTCGCAGGGACAAGCCTGCGGTTGAACTTGTGTCGACCCCCCAGCGACGAGCACCAGTCGTAGCGCCCCCAGCGGGCGCTTGCGAAGGAACTGCATTCACCCGATTTGTATAGGTATCGTTTCCACAACCGAGACCAATTGGACGATAGTGTTGATGGCGGTCGACTCGGTGTGCACGACATCGGCTGTCCATCGAGAAATGATCCTTGGGGTGCATGCAAGACACCACCACGCCTGGTGGAGTCGCGAGCTGGCTATCCGGCACGAAATAACTACGGGTTTTTGGGGGGAGGGTGTGAGGATATCTTCTGGATTGTTCGTTTGGCACGAACTGCTTACCCTCTTGCCAGTATCCGGATTGTCTGGCACATTGTGGTTGCCAGGCACGGCCGAATCCCGGACGAGGGTGCCTGGTGCATTATTGTGTCCACCTGCTGGCTCAGCGTGAACACGAGGACTCCATCCTCTGGGGCTATCCATTGTACAGGCGTTCACGAGGAAGACTCCAGCCTTGTGCATATAAGACGGTGGACTTGCTCGAGGGGGCCGCAGGCTTGTGGGACCGGCCTTCCGTTCCTGACGAGCCGGTCTACTCCATGTGCATGGCAATGGGGCTTTGACTCTTGGTCAACAAATCTGTGTGGAAGACGAGAGACGTTTAATCACATCAGTGGATCGTGAAATCGATCAGTGCTCCCGCATTTTTCTGTGGAAGTACATATGTATTCATGGTACGGGACGCGAACACACCGAGACCCGAGCTCAAAGCATTGGCATTGGGGAGAGCTGTCGTGCCCCTCCAAGAGCCAAGGGGATAAAACACAGCCCCTCCCTACCAACCGGGATGCCTAATTAGGTTTCCATTCGAATCCTGTACGAAGACAGTGACTATGGAAATCAAGCAGGTTTTGGACACGCCAACAACGAGCGACTCACATGGAAGGAGTTCAAACTTGAAGCCAGACAGCATATTGTCAGAGGTACTCGTATATCCGCTCAAGCATGTATTTGCAGATCAGTTTCTTGGTCCCGTGTGAATTCGATTGTATTCGGATGTAACTTCCAACTATGCAGTTAATATAAGCAGCTTAAAGTGGTCGATCAGTACGGGTTTTCGGTCTCGAATTGAAAGTGAATTTTGCAGATCAGCGTGAAAAGAAGGATGGGCGAGCCTCTTTTTCCGATGTGGTGGGTGTCACCCAGGTGCCTGGGGTGCGCCGACCAGTAAACTTGGTGGCAGATCGTGGGGAGTAATTGATCGCCTGCGACAGTGATGATCAAGATCGACAAGCCCAGGTGGCTGATGCAGCGTAAAAAGTTGACACGCATGCAAACAGGTGTTCAAAATTTTCCCTGTAGCTGCAACTGAGCACCGGGTGCACGTCAACTTTGGAAGAATCCCATTCTTGACTTACGATGATCACCATGATGGATTTTCGCTCCACGATCTGCACTCCCCCAGATTCCAGTACTCTGGGTGTTATGCTTGAGGCGTCATCGCTGTGTTTTCAGAGACCACATGCTGATCAACGTCATCATTTGCGATTTGGTCGTGAAAACCACAGAACGCTTTGAGCGATTTGGCATCAATTTACCGTCATAATGCATCACTCACAGGCATTGCCAACTGACATGTTGACGATGGTACAGAGCTCAGAAACGGTGGGACCCATAAATCTGGCTGTAAAGGGCAATTATTGATGCGATCTGGTATCCATGTGTCTCAGCACGGCAGGTCTTGTTGGCCACCTACGAAATGATACAGAAGGGGCGCTGTGCTAGATGTCGAGCCGCAGTAGCTGCTGCTGCGGAGGCCTGGACAACAGTCTTCATATCGCCTGGACCAGACGTCGTGCCGTTGTAAGAGCTCCTCTGTCAGTGGCCAGAAGTCTTGTGGACGGCGTTCACTTGGGATAAAAAATCGGTACTCCGTGGATGAAAAGACGGGTCCAGGACAGTCCCTAGCGTCCTCGTGGGAGACAGACAGATTGCGAGGCCAGTTGATCAGGTGCCTTGTCACAAAACAAGTCAGATCATTGGCTCAAGCCTTGACCTTGACTTACGAAGACAGTCATAGCCGATCATTGCCAGACAATAGATCATCGATCCTTGGTATCCGTACTTGATGTTGCTTTAAGTGTGGCTGCTTTTGACCGTACAGACGGCCGTTCCCTCCCCAGCTAGAACGCCGGGGATGAAAATTCGCATCGTATTTTAAAACTCACTTGATCAAATACGAGTGGTGCTCAAGGTAATTCTCCGATCGATCTTCATGAGACATGATCAGAGTCCAGAGCCTCTGCGGAGTAATTCAAATGGCTCTTGGGTACAGTGCTGCAAAAATTTGAACACAGCGATGAAAACTGTCGCTGCACAAGGCTGGACCCCTTGATGCCTCGGACTTTTGACCTCTACAAAGTTAAGGATAATCGATGTCAGGTGAGATCGCCATGCTCTATAGCGATGATACAGTCTAGTGTACTTTGATATCAAGTATTCGGGTCCATTTGTTTACCATCTACACGAGTAGGCAGCAAAATAATGATACGGCGATTCTCGACGACCTCTCCTGATAATTCTCAAATGCCCTTCTGCAGTGAGCATTCCTGCATCCAGCTAGGTACTTGAACGGTTAGTCTAATTGGGAAACACTAATTTGTCCGGCTCGAACATGGCAGCAACAAGGGTGGATTAGAGACTGTGGGGATGACCTCCATCGCGGTTTAGCTCTTTCGAACGACGTGCATTCGTTTGTCTAGGCCGTCTCATGACCACCCCAGATTTTCCGTGTTGACGTGGGCGTGCACTGCACTTGCATCAGCCTTCTTCCTTCGGGAGACACGTTTCTCTCCATGGAGATAGTCAGTTTCGATATCCGTGATCCGTGCATCATAGAGTTTTTGGAGCAAGACTTTCCTTCCGCCCATCTTTCTTGCATGGACCAGTCATATTCTGGGTCTGTCTCTGCAGACACGGATTTGGTACAGGATTTGAATTGCATTAAACTCTAAGGGCCTCACCCATGAGATTCAGATTGGCTGATGTGTTTGAGGGCGGAAGAGTTTCGGCGAGCCCAGAGATGCGGTTCGAGAAGTCCTATGACAGGCCTTGCGTGACATTCTCGTACTTTATTTTTCTTTTCAAACGACAGTCATGTTGGTGACTGGAGAGGTATCGTGGCCATTATTATGCGGCCAGGCTAGTAATCCGAGCTGTCGCCCTCCTCTGGGGCCAAGGTCTGGTCCGGGTTCACCAAGGTAGTATAGTACTATATTGGTTCCAATCCTGATACCGAACGTCCACGCGAAGTCGTAGTCGTAAATATAGACGAATCTGATCAACGTATCAGGCCCTGGTCGAATACCTCGTACTGCGAATGACAATATCGTGTCTCGGATGTGGCGTACTGGCTAACATTGCATCTGATCCATACTTAACCTAAATCAAGTCGGGAGATGAATGGAAACTGGAAAGACAGTATTTTGCGCCCCCGATGCCAACCAACGAGAATAAAGAGTACTGATTCGAGCTTGGACAACAATTGACGCTGGGTATTGAGCGAGTGGACCCATGGGAATGACATGGTACGCACGCCAGAGTCACCTCCATGTACGGATACGGGTATGAACATCTTCTCTCCCGAGTTGCTTGTGACCTTGAAGTACTTTTCGTTTCCCTGTAGTCGGGCGAACAGACGAGAGATGTTACTCTACGGATATTGCATTTCCGGAAATGATGATCTTCTCCTGAACGATCGAATACTGTTTATCTCTGAGAATAGTGCGAGTGTTGGTCGACAAGTGATTGACGGGAACCGTGTAGGCGATTGCTTCCTCAGTCGTAGTGTACTTACTGTACCTCGTAGTGGCAGGACCTGATAAAATGAATCGCTTAGGAGTCAATCGGGGGTCTTGGTGGATTGAACAATAAATCATTTGAGTGGTTGGAGGTTGCACCCTGGGGATGAGGTGCATGGTGGACTTGGTTAGTGAGTCTGGGGCATTTATTTCGGCATCCCAAGGGCCCCCTGGGCGTCATTAGCCCTTGGAGATAATTTAGGCTGGGCATCTCTTCGACAGGCTTCGGACACAGAGAGTGGTTCAGAGGGGCTCTCCAAAGCAGCCGACCATCTAGGGCTTGCAGCCTGACAATAATTGTGCAGTTTGTTCAGGTATATTTTGCTTCATGCATAACCGAAACCATCTGACCAAGAGACAAGTACGAGCAGTACTCGTGCAAGTAAGTCACCAGCTGCCTAGAGAAGGACAGGATAGGCTGCATATCCAGTTGATTTTAGTCGGTATGTTGCATGGCTCATCCTCAACCAAAAGTCAATGCAACGCCCAATTTATCTCTTGCGTTTGTGGCGCTTGCCACATGCTTTCAATGGATTCTCTTAATAACACCAATATACCGAAACGGATGTCACTGGAAGGAATGTCAAACCAAAAATGGAGACGGTAAATCCACTTCCACGTTCAGGGTCTTGTCCCGGATTAATGCAACAGTGATGACTCGGCGGAGTGGGCGCCAGAACGCCAGTAGACACCGGTGCCTGCGAAGCACGGTTGTAGGCATCCCCAGAATTGCAAGCTCGGCGTCGAATGGGCTTTCTCTTTTTGAGGGAACCTTTCAACATCCATTCGGAATCCATTCGGGAAGACAAGATAATGTCTCTGGTGCTGAGTGCCGGAAGTATGAAGCCCACGAAAGTCCCTCTAACTTGTTTAGTAGGGCGAATAGCTTGGGAATTGCACTTCCAGCCGTGTACTGACAAGGTCAGCGGGACCGGCAACTGTCCTGCTGTTCATCTGACTCTGTTCAGGCTCTCAGAAAATCCATGTCGCACCTTCATTATTTAGGGAGTAGTAGCTCCCTTAAGCTGCCAGCACCCTTGCCAGGTAACTAATTTAGTTAGTATCTGGGGATTGATGGCGAGTCAAAACTTAGTCGGGATTGGGAACTTGTACGCTGAGTACGAGTACACGTTGGCTCACGGCCTGCAGGTGGGAGTCAGAAGTCTTTGCAGGCTCTCGCCTCGCTCCTAGTTTGTCGGTGGTGCTCGCAATAATTGTCAATCATCACAGGTTCGGCATTGTGCCTGGGGTACTGAGTTTGTAGCTTCTAAGCTAGGACTTGGGGGGACTGGGCTAGCTCGGCGGGAGGAAACCGCTGTGGAGGGAGCCAGTGATCCCTGGTCTCACGGGCCTGTCCACCTGCCGATCATTGGCCACCACTGCCCACAAAATGCTCGAGCTTACAGGCCTCTGATGCAAGATACGCAGCCCCTAGGCGCTGGTCAATTCAACCCCCCCGGGCTCCCCCAGGTTCTTGATTTTCTCGCGCAAGATAGCATTTCCTCCCGCCACCACTAACTAACTGCCACTGTGACCTCGATTCACCAAATAGTCCGTAATGTTTCTTCTTGACACCACTGCCTGGGTTCGCACGACTGAGTGAGGTCTTTTTTTCTGTCCTGGCGCACGCTGTAATTCAATTGCCCAAACAGCTTGACTCTCAGGCGACTCAACAATACAATCTGTTTGATCCCACCCCGAGGCACTGGACTTCCCCTCCTTGATACTCCAAATTCTTCTTCGGGCACTGCTCCAAAGTACATGCCATTTCGTGGGCTCAAGCAACCCAAAAATTCCCTCTCACTTCTCGCTCTCCCGACAAACAGACATTCTCAGCCTAGGTACGGAGTAGGTACCCTCTGACCATTGGCATCCTTTTGAGGCGTCACTCTTGAACCAACAGCGTTCCAGAACGCACATCTCCTGCCTGAACGGGCACTCTACCAATCCTGCTAGCACCTCACCCGGGCCCTGCAGGTTCAATTTTCTGTCCTGCTACCAACCACCATTCGAGCCCACCCACCTGTGACGTTCTGCGTCCGAAAGCACCTATCCACTGCTGGTCTTTTTCTCGAGCATAGCATAGTATTTGTCCCTCCAGGCCAGTTTACTGCCGCACCTTCCTGCGCTTTTGTATACAGTGTGCCTGGTGTGACACCTTCGACTTCATTCATCCTTCCCGAATCCTCAGGTAGGCGAGTCCTTCTGTTGCATGAACCACTCCCATTGTATAGCACTATTATTCTTAACCCATGGTCGCCGGATTGATCGCTGACGGACACTAGATTCTAGTCTCCCGTTACTGCTCTCTTGCCACTCTGACTTCCTGGGCCGGCCGTTCGTCTTCCAGTCTGCATCTCGTCCTGTGGGAACAGTTTGCGTTGGCGCAGACTCCCATTACAGATTGCTGGTTCCTTTTCTTCGACGGAGAAATAACCTTCCTCTGGTCGATCCTGGGAATATCGAGATTAAGTGCGACTCTGATGGCGATTTGACCTGCCGACCTGATTCTTGCAGAGAGACATAATCTTGAATCGTACTGTGCGAGTCGTGGGTCAGTCGAGTGCAGTGGAGTGGAGTAGGTCACTGCAAAAGCAGGGACTAAATCTGCATCGACTCTTTATACCAAACTGGAAGCCGTGGTTCTACAGTACTCGAGAAATCGGAAGGAGGGATAGACGTCTCCCAAGGGTCCAATTTTGGCCTCTTTCGAGCATCGACTCAAAGAGACAGCGGATAGCTGGCACTAGCAATCACGCATCACACTGAGGTATGGTTGCTGTTTCGTCACCAGAAACTGCCTCAAGCCAGGTGATGGAGAGCGCAGGGTCGTCCAATGGTAAGTTCAAGTCGGCACCCAGGCCCATGCACATCTAATACCTCTGGTTCAGCTAGCAAACCGGCGTCCGTTAATGGCTCGACTACCTCCAATGTAGCGACAGTTCCCATCTTCCCTCCTCCCAAAACGGACAAACCTCGTCCCCATGTTTGCACTACCTGCAATAGATCCTTTGCGCGACTCGAACATTTAAAGCGGCATGAACGATCCCACACGAAGGAGAAACCATTCGAGTGCCCCGAATGTACCCGTTGCTTTGCCCGCAGAGATTTGCTCCTGCGCCACCAACAGAAGCTACATTCAACCACTACACCTGCTTCCCGGCCTCGCGGCGGAAGGAGGGAGAGTGCAGCTGGAGTTGCGACTGGACGTGTTCGAAAGAATTCCACGACGGGCAACGCGGCGTCCATGAGACCCAGAGCCAACACACTCAGTCATGTTGACGCTGGAACGCTGGGCATGCTTGCCAACTCCCCCAACAACTATGGACGCCCTTACATGGCCGGTCACAGTCACCATAACAGCATGAGTATGGTCCCTAATTCTCAGGGGTTCCAATATCGTATGCACAGTAATGGTCATCAACCTCCTCTACTCAATCTGCCAAAGCTGGACACTCAAAGCATACCACTGGACCTGTCCAGTGGCCTACGCACAGCTCCTCCCTTTGGAGGATTTGGTGCTGAATATGGGATGAGTGGTATGAATTTCGAGCACGACTTTGACAACACCATAAACCCGCATGCGCTCCACATGTCAGGTCTCCAGGGAATGGGAATGGACACATCTGAATCTCCATATCAGCACATGTTTCCGGGGATGATGGCTTCTCATGCTCTAGCGGAGGACGATGCTAATTTCGAATGGATGGCCCATGGATTCGAGAATCAAATGTCCTTTGCCCAAGCGAATGAAAATGCCATTGATGATTCGTCACCTTCCGCAATGAGCACCAATAGTCCCGCTGGCATGGTCGATATGACTAACGACCAGAATATTGCCTCTATACACCATCCTTCTGCTTCAACGGCAAGCATGTGGTCCCATGCACTTGCAGCTCAAGCACAAGCTGTGAACAGCCCTGTGAGCATGGATCTCATGTCTACGTTCAGCGAATTAGTCAATGCCCCTGTGGGTACCATTTCACCAAAGTCACTGCTGGCCCAGGGGGGTGTTCTCGAGATGAACCTTCAAAGCCCACCGGACATGTCCAACATGGATCAGATAAACATGCACCCGAATATCCATTTCACGGGTTATCAACTACCGTCAAGTCGCGATGGGCCGACTTCGAGTATCTCCAATGCTTCCATGGAGAGTAGTCTTCACCAGAATTCCATGACAACGACATCCTCTGAGCTTGTCAACGATAACATCCGTTCCGTTCTGATTGCAGGCCTCTCACAAAACGCGGGATTCGGGCAACGCAAATATTCTCAACCCGCTATTAGCTCTCCCTTGTCACCGCCACCCGCGTCTCGAGCGAAAGGCTTCAATGTAAACACTTTCCCCAGCACACATGAGTTACAACGCTACGTCGCTGCATACATTACATACTTTCATCCCCACCTACCGTTTCTACACATACCAACCTTGAATTTTGAGTCGCCGGAGTATACCACACCCATCAGACTCGTACCTGGACAGTCTCAATACGGAAAGTCAATGGTAGCAGGAGGTGGAAGTTGTCTTATTCTCTCTATTGCCGCAATCGGGGCGCTCTACGAACACGAGTCATTTCATTCCAAGGATTTGTTCGAATGTGCCAAACGGCTCATCAGCAGCTATCTGGAAGAGCGGCGCAAGGCAAACATGACAAAGACTCAATTCGCACCCCGACATTCGTCAGAACGAGAAGACACCCCTCTGTGGCTCGTTCAAGCCATGTTGCTAAATGTCATTTATGGTCACAATTGTGGTGACAAGACTGCGGCAGAACTTGCAAGCAATCACTGTGCCGCTCTTGTCAGTCTTGCGCGTGGAGCAGAGCTCGCTCGACCGGCGCAAAGCCACGCTACCGCGAGTAATTTCCACGGCAACATGCACGCCAATGGGATCTCGAACAATGGATGGAATTCAATGGTGAACGAGCCGGATGATTCGGATTGGCTCGAGTGGAAGAACTCGGAAGAGCGTAAACGGACACTGTATGCGGTCTTCATTCTCTCGAGCATGCTCGTGACTGCATATAACCATCCGCCAGCTTTGACCAATTCGGAGATCCGTCTGAGTTTGCCTTGCAGCGAAGAACTCTGGGCTACTGATTCTGCGCAGACATGGCGAAATTTTGGGGGTGCGGCGCAGGCCGAGATGAACTCAATCACGTTTGCCGAATCGCTTACTCACCTATTGATGTCAGCTCCCCGCCAGAAACGGCGGAATAGCACCACATCGAATATGGGAGTTACGGCAGAGAATGAGCTTAGGCCCAGCACCTTTGGCTGTTTGATCCTAGTCAACGCGCTGCACAACTACATCTGGGAGACGCGTCAGCGACACCTAGGACGACAGTGGTCAACAAGCGAGACGGAGCAAATGCATGCACATATTGAACCGGCACTCCGGGCTTGGCAAGCTGCGTGGGCAAGCAACCCAAGCCACAGCCTCGAGCGTCCCAATCCATTTGGAGCGGGACCACTCTCTGCTGACTGCATCCCGTTGCTCGACCTGGCTTACGTACGTCTTTTTGTGAATCTGGGGAGATCCAAAGAGGCATTTTGGCAACGTGATTATGACGCAATGGCCGAAGAACTAGCGAAGGGGCCAGACACCATGCAAGCACAGGGAACCAATGATGTGAAACAGGAACTTAGTCCACCGAACGACAATGCAATGAATCATGGCCAAGAGCAAATGCCACCCATGAGCAATGGTTCGCACCACTTTGGAGCCCAGAGCGAACAGGAAGCCAGGGATTCGCGTTCCTCGCGACGAGAACGACACCTCCGGAAAGCAGCATTCTACGCAGCTGACTCCTTGTCCATGTCTGACAAATTAGGTCTAACCTTTGCAGAACAATCGTCGCGCGAGCTTCCCACGCAGTCTGCAATGTGTGCATTTGATTGCGCCCAAGTGGTGGCCGAGTGGATCGCAACGGTCCAAGAGAGGGTGGGCAAATACGTTGGAATCATTGGTCGTGACGATATGAGTCTAGTGGAGATTCCAGGCATCCTCCTTCTCGAAGACGAAGACCGGAAACTGATCCAGAAGATTGAAGAAGTCTTGTCCAGTGCAGAACAGAAGATTGAATCGCGAGGCGGGCCTGGTTTGATTGCGGCTCGCCAAGGCGGGTATGGAAGTCGAATCCTCGTATTAACTGCACACATACTGGAAAGAGAAGCGGTCTGGCCAGGTAAGCATCGCTCAAATCCTGGTGAGGAGACGCCCTTTCTAACGGTTTTGCTAGTCTTTAAATTGATGGCACGATCACTTGAAACACAAGCCGAACATATCAAAGAACGAGCATTGGCTTCGGTCTCAATCGCATAGCAGAAGCGTTCTGCTCGCGGATGACGTTGAGAAGGCTGCTCTATTTCACTTCTTAGCTTCACAGCACCAGCTTTGATTGATATTTATTCTTTTCGTCATGAAACTAATACCCCCCCACGACGTGGATACATAGGATTTGCGAGGACATATGCACGCGATATACCCCGACTACGAAATCTGTGATGACATGGCAACAAGCAAGGTCTATTCATTTGGCGTTTGGGAGATTGGAAAAAGTTCGAGTTAGAAAGGGCGGTCTTTTGCGCTGAACCCAGCACAGCGGACAGGGATCTGGGTGGCTATGTATCATGAGGAGCTTATTGCTGTGCTATAATGGATGTCACGATCATGAGGATTGATGTGAAGCTAGGGGAAGGTCGGATGGATGGGACAAAAGCAGGGGCTGGCTGGGAGGAGCTTTGCAGATTAATGCTCTACGACCGGACATAATGGAGCAGCAAGGACACTGGAGGTGTTAGCTAAATGGCTGAGATGTCGCCGGCTATCTTTGCAATGAACAAAATGCTCCCTCTTGATTGCATGCAAGCAACTCGTCATTACTCGTAGATTAGGGAAGCGAGGTCGATTAGTCCCTTTATCTACCTCCCTACCCTGGGCACGAATAGAGCCAAGTTTCTTTCTACTGCACTGCCGTGCAACTTTCCTCATGCCCGCTTGATGCAGTGACACGAACGCTGCATACATCGGTGTGACCAAAGAATCTTTCTCTCTTTTTTATTTCCTTCTGGCGGCGAACATCAAACCAGATCGAATAAACCAGAACTCTTGTCTAGCGCTGATTGATTAAGGTATCGCTTAGTGGGCAATGACTACGAACACTACTTGCCTAGGTAGGTACACATGGGTCTTGGTGCCCAGCGTGAATACCTGGCAGGTAAACTGTCACCTACCTAACTCACAACGTGATGAGAAAGAAGGCTCTTTGGTGAGCAGCAGTGATCTCTGATGGCATTAGTACCGATCTCTGCTGTAACAGTCTCCGGGCGATTACGTATAACTGGAATCCGGGGTGAGCGGCATGCTTATGAAGGGCCATCGACTGCCCAAAGAAATAATAAATAATGAGCATGGTCCAAGGGTCGCCGTGCCAAGACAGTCCGGCGAGCTCCCTTGAGAGACCAACCGCCCGCTGAGAGGCTGTTTCTCACCTCCCCCAACTGGGGTTCCTCCTTAGCCGTCAGTACAGCCAACCAATTTCCAGGCTTGACCTCATAGACTCCAAGTCACCCGTGACTTCCGCCCAAGAAAGTCCAGACAGGCCTTTCCTTCCTGGTTTGAATTTGGCGTACCAAGAGGACCCTCTCGGTCAACGCCAGCATACTCCGTAATAATGAAAAAGTATGTCTATCGCTTACAACTCACATTTCAGTGTCAGATAACGATGTGATAACAAGACGCATCTTTGTTGAATCTCCCCCTTTCTCTTCAGAACATCGGTTGGCTTCCGAATCTCCCCGTACTTACAGTACTATCCTGGGTCTCCCGACGCGATTGACTTGGATCAGAAGCCAGATATCCGACTCTATTTCAGGATCCGCTCCGAAATATTCTTGTCGTGCCAGGCCAGAAGCCGAGTCCCAGGTGCAAATCTGTGTTGAGGGTGGCGGCCTCCTGGGCCCTGGCTGGCATCGGCGGCGGGCGTCCTCTGTGGTTGGCTCGCATCCTCAGAACTGCTCTCCCTCGTCTTGCTGCGCAGGGATATCTATCCGCTTCGCACCACGCCGCCTCCACTTGACACCTCCAATCCTGTCACTGATTCACCCCCAATACTCCACCACTTACGCTGCCCAGCATCAAATGCCCAAATTCTGTTTGCAACGTGCTTTCGTTGCAACTTGGCATACTCATCTTTGCTCCTCTTTTGAGGCCACAAGCTCCATTGCTAAGTCGACTTGTCACGATCAAGTCAGCCCAGTCTGGGCTTCGAACCGCCTTGATCTCTCTTGGACTCTTGGTATCTGACTTCCTGCCAGCTCGGTGTCATCGGGCCCCACCCTTTTTTCAGCGGGCCTCTGCTGGCTGTCCTGCTTTATCTTTTCTCTCCCTTCCCTTCGCACCATCTTGTAGGCTTTCGCACTACTTGTCAACCTGCGCTTCTCCCATAGCAAGCTCGAGATCTTGAGGGTCGAAGCAAGCCTTTGAACCATTCCATCAAAAACTCGGACTCATCTCGACCTGAATGCATCGGGTCCCGTATTGCGATCTACACCACCGAGCACTGAGCGATTGGGGATAATCAAACAGAATCCGGGAAAGAAAAACACACACTGCCCACAAGTGGCCAGAGGATAATAGATATTGTCTAATACATACATAATACGGAGGAGTCTGTCACCAAACCCGGAGCTGGCCACAACTTACGATCACCACCTCAACCCTGGGAGGAGGACTTTGTCCATTTCGTTCGATATTCGAGGAATCTGTTCAAGATGGCTTGGGATCATTTGTCTATAAACAAGCCGCATTTGGTATACATCATTCTCGGCGGCTTCACCAGCATTTTCATGCTATGCTCCCTCTTTATTAAGGAGAAACTGTACATTGGAGAAGCTACGGTGGCGACCATATGTGGTGTCATCTTCGGACCTCATGCCGCCAATCTAATTAACCCCTTGACCTGGGGCAATACCGATCAAATCACGCTCGAGTTCTCTCGCATAGTACTCGTGGTACAATGCTTTGCCGTCGGCGTCGAGTTGCCAAAAGCCTACATGGAACGACACTGGAAATCGGTTGTCTTCCTACTCGTCCCAGTCATGACTTTTGGCTGGCTCATCACCAGCCTCTTCATATGGTGGATGATTGAACCTCTGACTTGGTTGGAGGCGCTGGTTTGTGCTGCTTGCGTCACAGCCACTGATCCTGTCTTGGCCTCTTCAGTTGTCGGAAAGGGAAAGTTCGCCAAGCGTGTTCCGAAACATCTTCGAGATTTGTTATCCGCTGAATCCGGTTGCAACGATGGCATGGCTTTTCCATTCATATATTTGTCTCTATATCTCCTGAGATATGACCTTGGTGCCAAAGAGGTGGTGTATCACTGGGTGTGCTTCACCATTCTGTACGAATGTATATTTGGTGCATTTTTCGGCGTCATGATCGGCTATATTGGTCGCCATGCCATCAAATGGGCAGAACGAAAAGGCTTGATCGATCGTGAAAGCTTCCTCGTGTTCTATTTTGTCCTGGCTTTGTTTTGTGCAGGTTCCGGCAGTCTGCTTGGCATGGACGACCTCCTCATAGGCTTCGCCGCCGGAGTTGGTTTCTCCAATGATGGATGGTTCACTGAAAAGACAGAGGAGTCTCATGTTTCCAATGTTATTGACTTGCTCATCAACTTGGCTTACTTTGTCTACTTCGGTACCATAATTCCCTGGGATCAATTCAACGCACCCGAACATGGGATGGTCCCCTGGAGGCTGGTCGTTATTGCGGTATTTGTCATTTTCTTCCGACGCATCCCGGTCATGTTGGCATTGAAGCCCTTTATACCGGATGTCAGGAATTGGCGAGAAGCTTTGTTTGCTGGTCATTTTGGACCCATCGGAGTCGGTGCGATCTTCGTCGCCATTCTTGCTCGTGCGGAGCTTGAAACAGATTCGACTGAGCCACTGGCCGTCCTCCCAGAACCGGGTTCAAAGGATTATGACTTGATCTACTTGGTCTGGCCGATAACAACATTTCTCGTCATCTCGTCAATTCTCGTTCATGGGTCGTCCATCGCCGTGTTCACATTGGGAAAGCGTATCAACACTCTGACCATTACACTTTCCTATACCCAAGACAACGAAAAGGGTTCCGCTTGGATGAACCGATTGCCAAGGATAAGCTCACAGTCGAGGTCAATGTCACGCATGTCTGTCGAATCCGATGTCGACGAAAAATTGGACGTCCCGCCCGGCGAGTTGCCTCCTATTGGTATTCCAAAGCTACACCTCCGCCGCCAACGTGAGGATGAGTACGAAAATAAACCAGCACCACGCTCGTCGAGTCATGGACGGGCTCGCAGACGCCGTAGACGCGACAAGGAGTCTGATATCCGTCTTGGTGGACCCATCAGTCAGAGCGCGATCGCACCGGCGAGACGGTCTGAACCAGCTCTTTCGACACAAGAATCGGGTTCTGACACTTTATTCGAGAAGTCTGAAGAACCATCGCCAGAATCTCGTCAAGACCGACTGGGTGATTCCTCAACCTCATCACCTGGCCCCGAGGAGACGGACGCTGATCGTGATCGGAAACGAGGTTCACGACGCAGACGGAGATCAGAATCCTCATTGCCCGATGGTCAGGATGTTGATATCGAGGCGTACCAAGAAGGTGATGAACTTGTTATTGAGGATGAGGAGGGCAATGTCATTGACACTGTCGATACCTCCAATATGACCGAGGAACAAAAAGCTCAGAGGATTGAAAAGGCGCGGAATCGTCTCAGGAAGGACACCAGTGGCGAATATACCAAGCACAAGGGCGAGCCACACCCCAAAGACGAAGGCTCAGAGATAGAAGAGGAGATTGAGACCGCCCTTGAACAGCCAACGAAAACCCTCAAAAGCCGGTTCGATCAGTGGAAGGGCTTCGGCCGGAAGAAGGAAGACGAAGCGGAAAGCTCAGAGCAGCCCAGGAAACCCGAAAGAAAGAGGGGTCCTGCACACGCGTATCAGTTCGGAAACACCATTATTGTCGAGGATGAAGATGGCGAGGTTATCAAGTCTTACACTATTCCTTCTGAAGGAGGTGGGTCCAGACAACAATATCGTGAGGGACTTCGGCGGATGAGCACTTGGGTTGGTCTCGGTAAACAGGCGGTTGGAGCGGAACCTGCCAATACTACCGTCGAAGGAGAGACTGATGGTACCGCAGAAGCGGACACAACTACAAAGAATATCCCTAACCGCAACGGGCCAGATGGCCTGACAGATGATGGCCTCAGGATGATTATATCCAGGAGTGAGCAGTACGGCTTGACCGGTCTCCAGAAAAAGACACGGGATGCACCGGGTACCATCGCCCTTGGATCGGGGCGACGCCTTTCGACTGCAGACTTTATCAAACAAATGCAGCAAATGGACGCAAAAAGCAGAATGCATGAGGTAGATCAAAGTGATGCTCCTGAAGAGTTGAAGCGCGAGGTGAAAAAGGCAACTGAAAATCAACGACCTGGTGCTCGCTCTGCAGGATCCAAAACAGGTTCAACATTGCAAGTACCCGGATCACACGATGCCCCAAGACCTCGCAGCAACAGTCCAACAAATGCAGATGACTATTTCAGTGTCAGTAGAAGACCTCGGCCTCACCGGCTAACCAGCAACGATCGCACTTCGACACTGGAAGAAGAAAGCGACGAGGATGAAACACCTGATATTCCAACCCATAATGTTCGAACTAGTCTTGCCAAACACGCACAAGGCCAGACAGCTGCAGCTGCGCGAAGACGCCAGTTGGAGACTATTCAGTCCAACGAAGACGATGATAATGGGAATCAGGGAGAGACAGCTGCGGAAAAACGTCGACGATTGGCTGCCTTGGGTATTGGTGGAGATGATGGGTCCAGCGAAAGTGACGATGATGATCGACCGCGAAGTCATGCAGCGGCAGTTCCTGAACCCGGTCAAGAGGGTCCATCGCAACCAAGAGCTCGAATTCAATGGGGCGGTGAGAAGGGCAGAGAGAGGCAGCAAGAGCAGCCGGTAGAGGTCAAGAAGGAGGAAGAAGACATCTATGCTGGCGATCCAATTGTGGGCGCTGCTCGCAAGTTGAGAGGGATGTTCAACAAGAATAAGGCTGCCAAGTCTGCAGCGGCATCGGCAGGATCATGAGTATGGTTTGATTGTATGAGAGAGAAGAGATGTTTGGTGGATGATTTGGGTTTCTTAATATGCCACATTGGTGTATAGCAGCGGTTTTGTGCTTTGTTTAAACGTCTGATTCTACGATCAACTAGGGGCCATTGCTGTCTCGAGACATGTTGAATTGAGCTACCATGAGCGAAGAGTATATTTATGATAGCTCTGTGTTGATATGAATACCTACTGCTTTCATTTTAAAGCGTCCAAAGAGTATCAATAATTTCTCACCTACGAAGATTGCGAGATTCTCATAAGGCCATGCATACTCGGGACTCGGCACTCGTTACCAGTATTTAAGTGACAGTGGGACCTCCCTATATGTATCCCAATTAAGCGACAGTGGGCTGACGTTTTTCCACCGACGCGTCTTAATGAATTGCCACTTTAAAAGACGCGTTCGAGTTCGGCAAGACGTCATTCCCAGCACTCATATCAGCAAACTCCCCATTACACAACCTTATTTATCCTCACATACAATGGGATAGACAAACCTATGTAACAGAGAAGTCACTTTTCTAATGATATGATCGACAGATCTGCCCTTCACTTCTCTCTCTCTCTCTCTCACTCTCTCTGTCTGACATTTTCCTTCAACTATCTTTAAACCAGTTCACCCTTCTCCCTCAACATCCACCTAACTCACCACCCGACCTTCCAAACCACCTCAAACATTCGATCTCCAAACCCGCATGCATGGCCATCCTGCGGCGGTCAGCGCGCAGCAAGGCGCGACAGACTACTCTCCAATTCTCGCCCCTGTCTTCCTCGTCGCCGGCTAAGCAGAGCTACAGTCCCTCCGTGCAGGGCAGGTTGGCTGCGGTGCGGTATGGCGGAGCGAAAGTGAATGCTCGTGCCACGGCGGAAAGGCATGCGCAAATTCAGGATCAAGATCTGCCGGGTGAGGAGTTCTCGTTGCCAACGCCTGAGCCGTCGTCGCAGGTCTTGGAGAGAGATCGAAATGGTGGGGTCGAAGATCAAGATGAAATCGAAGTCCGCGGTGAACAACAAGCTAAAGTTGCGGGGAGTGATTTGGCAGAAGACTCCGAAGGTGATGATGATCTTGTCTCTCCTGCGCACAAGAGGAGGAAGATGTTTGATGGCAGGGATATGCCCGCACCCTTGAAAAGTTCTCCGCCACCACGACGGTCAAGCAGACTTGTTTCCCGATCTTCTCCCCTACCGACTCTCGAAGACATGGCGACCTTCGCTACTCCAGCGCGCAGCTCGCCTCTCGCAAAACGAGCTACACGTCTACGACAGAAACAACAGCAGCGGTCATCACCACCCACGCGCTTAGGTCGTTCTCCTTCAGTGCAGACACTTGACTCTGTGGAGATTCCATCCCCTTCTGCACGTGGTTCTTTGCATCTCTCTGATCTTGGTTCTGCTGAGACGAGCGATGATGATGATAAGATTTTGGCGACACAGGCGCCTCGGAGACGGCGGTCTGGCGTGGCCAAGGATCCCTTCATTGTCAATGACGATGAAATACAATACATCTCTGATGATGAGGTTCCAGAGGCTTGGGTCCCCAAGATTCGAAAGAAGAATACCCGAGATGACTTTGTGGTCGAGGATGAAGACGTTGAATATGTTACCTCTGATGAAGACGAGATACCACCAGCAAAGCGAATCGAGAAGTCTGATAAACATGCGTCGGCGAGAAAACTGAAGAAAGACAGTCAGCGCAGAAGACGACAAGAACAAGATGAGCTTGAGGACGACTTGCAAAATTTGCAGGACTCTGATAACGAACTCAGTGCTCCTAAGACCCGAACCAGGGGCGGCCCCGTCACGACCCAACGGGATCAAGCAAAGGAACACCTTGAGCTCTTAAGGCGGCGCCGCGCAGGGGAGAAAGTCCCTCGCGTGGTTGATTCTGACGATGAGGACGAAGAGATGCAAGATTTGGACCTTGGTCTTATTGGACATCCAGATTCCGATGACCGGGAAGGGTCCGTCCATTCCTCTACTGACACTGATATTGAGGATAATCAAGTCCAACTACAGGAGGAAGACGAAGATGATTTTGTGGTCGAGGACACTGTAGGAAGGCACGGGCGACCAAACTCAGCTATCCCACTCCAATTCACCTCCTTCGCCTCCGCGAAGCCTCGGGAGCTCTTCATCCACATCATCGAATGGTTGGTCAAGAATAAAATCGCCCCAGCTTTCTCACGCCAAGACGAACTCTACGATCTAGCCTTCAACCGGATCGATGATCAGGTCAAGGCACAAGCTGGCAGCAGACTGATCTCTGCAGCATGGGGCACTGAATTCAAGCGCGCGATTCTAGCACGACCAAATATGAAAGTCTCTATCATGGGAGGAACAGACGAAGAAAATGAACGAAATTGTGACGCTTGTAACAGAACCAAACACCCTGCGCGTTACGAGTTCGTCTTCTCCGGCCAGCCGTACTACAAGAAAACACTGGAACCTCTTGATCACTCGGATGACGAAGGGGAGGAGTCTGACCACAACGACTTCGACCGTGACGAAGAAGGCCATTCTCTCCCCAGCGCAACGCATCGCTTCTACCTCGGACGCTTCTGCGCCGCAAACGCAGACATGGGCCATAAACTAACACACTGGAAATACCACCTCAACGCCAATCTTTTAGGTTATCTCGAAGAACAAGGCGTGCTGTCGTCCGACGCGATCCTCGCACGCGAGAAACTCAACAAGAAGAAACGCGAAAAAGAGGCCGAGAATATCGTCGATAGCATGCAGGAGACGGGCATGATCGCGGACCTCTGGGCGGATTTCGAGAATAATCTTAATGACGCGAGATTGGGGATGGAGGATTTTGATCGCAAAGGAGGCAGGTCGAAGGGCAGGATTGGTGCCATTCGGTCGACGGTGGATGGCGTTAGGAGGGAGTGGGACAAAGATCGCTATCGCGTTACGAGGGCGCCGTCGGAGTCGGATTAGGGAGCTGACTAGGCACTGAGGGCATAGCAGAATTCGTGAATCACGAACCCTATTTCCTACCCTTTCATCTGCTTTGTTCAATTATTACAGGAGGGAGAGTTAGTCAAGAGACGCATTTGAGTGACCGACGAATTCTGACCGGCTCGGTGCTAGAGATTGGAATGGGTGACGATGCTCTGCGGGATTTTGCGGCAGTTGAAGAGAAGTTCAACATCGAGTTCGAAGCAGGGCATTTTTGCAAGTTTACGACACCACAGCAGAGCTTGAACAGGCTGCATGCATTTTGGAATCAGCATATGCTCAGGTTGAGTCGGAATTTCTTTTCTTTCTTTTCCAGGATCCAGCAGACGTCAGAGATGAGAATATTCATCCACATACATAGAGAAAGCTTGTGACGCTATCCGTTCTGCTGCCAGTATACCTCTTACAATAAATACACTCCACACAGGACAGAATGCATGCTCCGAGCTTCGTTTCATTATTTTCCCTCGAGAAGCGTGATTTCCCCAGTTATTGTTTCCTATGCCTGTCTAGCCCACATGCCGTAATGTACAAAAAGATCTCGCCATCTTGGTCACCCACCGTGGATAGAAAGTACTTTCGCACCCTCTCACCCAATTGTCTAGGCGAAGAAAGCCTCACTTACAAAGCAGGCTTCGCTTCACCCTCACCACCGCCCTGCTGGATCATGCCCTGAGCGCCCTCCTGCATCAGCGCGCGCTGTCTCTCCTCCTCGATATACTGCTGTTCCTCGCCGAGGGCCAGGGCGTAGGGGATGCCCAGCAGCAGGATACTCGTCGCGAGCACCCACAGGCCTTTGCCTGAGTACGCGATGGTGGTGCTGGTCGCGGACACGATCGAGCTCGACACAGATGAGATCTTCGCCCGTGTGTTCGGCGGCACGATGTCGCGGAGTGCGCTGAGCCGTTCGTAGAGCGTTTCGTCGTTGCTCAGGGTGTCGAGGTCGGATGCTGACGAGATTTCCGAGTCTGGGGTTTCGATTGGTTAGTCTACGTGGTTTGGAATGGAGGTTGGGAAGGGTTGATGAGATAGGCTATATGGGATGGACGTCTTTGATGCATGATTGATCTCCTGACCATCGCTTTGCAATGTCGTTGAGGGATATGCGACGGATAGTTTTCATCGATCGATGCGCTCAGATGGAAGAAATCCTATCGCTTCAGGATGACTTGTTAGGGTTTGATACATACCTGTGTCTGTATAGTCCTCATCATCATCGGCGAGCAATACGTCGTCCTTGGATCCCACCGGTCTGTTGATGAAATGTTCATCTTCGAGTTCTTCTAGCTTGACCATTTTGGCTGATGTGTTTCCCGGAAAGCTTTATCAATGGGTTCAAATTGAAGGAACTGGTAGCCAGATGTAGCAACCGATGTGAGATGGCTATCCGTTGGCGATGGAATGGACTCTGTTCTCCGTGTATGTAGCTCTTGTGACCTCAGTCAAAAGTTTGGCCTGCGGACTTTTTGGCGATTTGGAACTACGGCGGAGTTTTGACCCTCTGAAGGCTGAGGTTTGTTCTTGGCAAGTTTGCATGCCAAACATCAACTCCTACCTTAGGTAGGTAACGATTGGAGACCATCAAGAGCTCCAATCCTCGGGCGGACAACCACAGGAGTCTAGTCGTATCAGCTATCCTGATTGTGAATCCCACGCTCCTAGTATCCTGAGTATGAGGTGCAGCCTTCGGTAACAAGGGATTGGCCCTCAGACGACCCTGCTCGCCTCCGTGTTTGGCGTTCAGTTGACCAGCATGACTTTGGCTTTGTCAAGGTAGGCTCATGTTCTCCATTATTACGAATACGATCGAGTAAACTTGACTATTTTGTTGGAAGTCGACTGGGCTTCACCAGGATTGGGATACCGTCCCACGATGATTTCCTTCGTCCTCCACTGATATAAAAGTCAGGCTTCAAGCTCAAGCAAGGACTTTCAGTCTTTGTTTCTTGAGTAAGATGGTAAGCAAAAACGGAGAGTGTGAAATGGCACAGACCGCAGCCCAGGAATGACTCGTTTTCCTGGACCAGTGCTTGCCAGATGGACTGGATGGTGGCTCATATGGCACGAGCTGAGTGGTATATCACAACATCACATCATGGAAGAGCTTACAGACTCATACTGCGCCAGGTAATCGAGAGAAGGTCATCGATCAACTGCATCGAACCTACGGACCAGTTGTGCAGATATCACCTAAACAGATCTCTGTCAACAATCATGCTGGTTTTCATGAGATTTTCGCCATGAATCGACGCCTCGACCGTCCCCCTTTACTTCTTATGCACAACTACGGCTCTGAGAATATGTTTTCGACCGTCGATGGAAATCTTCATCAGCAAAGAAGACAACCCATGAGGAACCTATACGCCGTCCGATCTATCGAGTCCAGTGATGTGCAACGTGTCTTTAAATCTGCTCTTGAAGACTTCACTCAGTACATAGACACCCACGTGACTCAGGAGAGATCAATCGACATCTATCTCTTGTTCCGATATTTGGGGTGTGATATCATGAGTAGCATTATATATGGACCCAAGCACTCCCTTCGTCTCCTTCATCATGAACGCAACCGACAAGTATTTGAGAAAGATCTGATATGGATTGACAAAAGGTTTATGTGTCTGGCAACCTTAATCATTTTTCTGTTTCCGCGTAAGTATTTCTTGCAATGATCGAAGAATACCCAATTCTTATTTGCAATAGGTCTATCAGTCATTCTACGAAGAATTGGCTTGATGCAAAAATCATTCGACGAATCTCTCCCTGGTAATTCAAAACTCAAGTGGACCGCAAGAGAAGCCATGCAGGATTGTCACCTTAAACAGACATCGCCAGAGGGTCACCAGCTCGAAAGCCACGTGGAGAAGCTTTCAGCTCATTACCAGCGTTTTGGAAAATCCCAGGCCATTCCAGATGAAAATTACATCCTAAGTGACTCTCTTGATCATTTCACTGCAGGTAAATATCCATGAAGCCTTGGAAGTGTACAACGAGGGTGGGCTGACACGGACTTCAGGATTTTCCACGACCGCTGATGCCCTTTCAGCGATACTCTTCCATCTATCACAGCCAGCCAACTTTTCTCGGCAAGAGCGCCTCCGTACTGAGCTCAGGGAACACGCCATCAGCAATGACTCAAATATTACCGTGGAGCAAACAAAGAAGGTTGGCTTTCTCGAATGCATTATCAAGGAGACGCTCCGTACGAATCCACCCATGCCAGTTTCTCTTGAGAGGACTGTACCTCTGAACCATAGTATTGAGATTCATGAAGGAACAATCCATGGTGGTGTAAGTTCTTTTTTTTGACCTCGCGAAGCCTACCATTTACCGGTGTTCTGACATTGCACAGACGCAAGTTGGTGCTCAAGCTTTCTCTATCCATCGCAACGAGACAGCATTCCCCGATCCGGAAGTTTGGAGACCTGAAAGGTGGGATATCCCGCATAGTTCAGCAGCTTATACTCTCATGAGACGCCATTTCTTCGCATTTGGCGCTGGTCCCCGGATGTGCATCGGCATGAACATTGCCATGACTCAATTACGGCGTACTTTAGCATTGGTCTACTCCCGATATCAGACAAGCCTCGGCCCTGAATGGTTTGACAAAAGCGGAAAACTGATCGACTTTGAGGAAATGAGGAAAGTTGTTTTGCTTTCCGATAAATCGAACCAGATGGTGCAATTTGAGAAAGCCCAACCGTGATTGGTGTCCCTGGTGGGCCGGATAACGTATAGATCTCGACTAAATTCTGTACAAATAAATCGACCTGTCCACTCTCATGCACAAAGTAAGCAGTTGTACTCAAGCAAAAAAAAAGGAGGTACCTCCTCAAATATTTTGTCAGATCGGATCAAGAAAGCCACAAAAGATGTTTGGATTGCCGGCGCTCAGAATCGAACTAAGGTTTCTTCAGATTGAATCAGGTTGGTGATCAGCCAACAGAGACAGTGGACAAAGTCCTCCCATGATTACGCAGTATTAGCCGCGATCTGTCTTGAGTAGCCCGCAAGGGCGCCATCTCGACTCTGAGGCAGTCTTTGACGAAGCGTGCTAGCCATTGCACCACACCGGCAGATATTGATGGTGATTTAGATAGCACAGTTGCCAGTGAATGTTGATTGAATCTGAGGAGTTTGAATCTAGATATTAGAGGGAGTGGATCGCTCGCAACCTAACCTCCCAGGCGTGAAGTAACTGGAGGACAAGGCTGAGCGTGAGCCTTGTCAGATGACCCCAACGCCAAGATGTGGAGAAATTTCTCATACGCGCCGATTGTATGAGGCCGGATTTCTGGATGTACCACTACGTTGTGTCTCTCTTCCAACGGCTTTTGTCCTTTCTCAAGTGGGACGTCCACTCTTTAATTCATTGACTGAGATGTCATGACTGACCGACGTCGGGTCAATGGCCCAGCTGGCAACACCAGCACCCCAGTCTTTGCGCCTTCTTCACGGGCATCCACGCCGCAGCCTCAGCGACTGAGAAAGCCAAATGAATTGCGCAAGATTTGTACGTGCCCGTGTCCTGTTTGGGGAAGGTACTGGCATGACTAACAGTCTTTAGTCCTTCAAACAGGGTTCATACCATCGGCCAGTGGTTCAGCATATCTCGAACTCGAATCCCCGCCGACTGCAAAGGCAAACAAATCCTCCGCTTCTTCCACCATCAAGTTATCGTGTGCCGTCCATGGGCCAAAACCGCTCCTTAGGACTGCCTCGTTTTCGCCAAATCTACAACTCTCAGCGTCTGTCAAATTCTCCCCATTCGCCACACGTATCAGACAAGGCTACGTTCGAGATTCCACCGAGAAGGACTTGGGAATGCATTTGGAAAATGCGCTTAAGGGAGCCATAATACCAGAAAGATGGCCAAAGAGTGGGATTGATGTTTCGGTCACTGTGCTTGAAGCCGAGCAAGATCACGGAGTTGGGGATCGTATCACAGGAGTGGCTCTGTTCAATGTGCTTGCGGGATGCATCAATGTCGCCATGGCAGCAATTGCTGATTCCAAGATCGATTGTCTTGATTTACTGGCTGCCGGAGTAGGTGCCATGATTCCTGGACCAAAGTCGAGTCCGATCAGAGTGTTGGATCCTGCAGCTGCTGAGCATGAAGAACTACTTTCAATGTGTCTAGTGGGTGTCTTGTCATCTCGGGATGAGATAGTCGAGATTTGGTCTACGGGCTCCATTGACCCCCAAGGTTCAGAAGGGGTTCTAGGATTTGATGAGTTGGTGGACAGTGCTGTTGCTGCTGCTCGCGGTGCACAGACAGTCTTGAAGGAAGTACTGCTCGAGGCCCTCACCAGAGATTATGGAACCAAGAAACAACTTGGCAGTGAAATGAATGATGTCGAGATGAATACATGAGACGAGACGATTTCTTCTAACCAAACCTGATCCCGTCCACTGACCAAGAAGAAAAGTCACACACCTTCCAAGGTTAAGTAGGCAAAAGGCTTGCGAGCTTTTTGAATCTTGGTCTTTGAATGCCTCCCACAACGTCATAGCCGAATTGACCATCACCATCAAAATACTGTCCTTCTCCCAAAAAGTCAACCAACGGACATCGCTGTTAGACCGTTTCTGTGTATCTCCGGATCTGCTGGAAGAGAACAACCCTCAGGAATCTAAGCAGATCAGTTGTACCAGCACGATCAACACGGCGGCCACCACATGTTCAAATTGTATGAAGTCATTTCAAATATTGGTTCGACTTATTCTCACTTGAGATTCACCATCAAACATTCACTGTACTGAGCGGATCTACTCAAACTACAAACCTCACTACATAAACCTCTTCACCCTTCCAATCTTCTTTTCTTCCATCCCTCTTCAGTCAACAAACATTCCTCTTCTCATCCATTTTGACTCGTTCATTTCTTCTTACATCAATACCAAATCTCTCACGCGCAGACATCGACAACCATGGCTCCCAATTCCAAAGACGACGGCTTGCTTTTCCTCTACAAGTGTCTTGAAGCAGCTGGTGGAAAGGCAAGCTTCCTCACCCAATTCGACGATGATTACTGTACTGACCAGAGCTAGATCGATTTCAATAAGCTAGGTGCTGCGACTGGTTCGACTCCTGGCGCTGCTCGGATGAAATATATGAGATTGAGAGAGAAGATCCTCCCAATCAGCCCTGATCTTGCAACCTCTGGATCCATCAAGAGAAGTTTTGCTACTGCCAAAACCCAACGCCCCTTTGTCCTTGGCGCGGTGCCTCAGAAACGAAAGGCTCCAGAGGTCCTCAATGACAATGGAGAGGATGCCAATGACGACTCTGGTTCTTCTTCCAGCGATGCTGCAAATTTAAGCAATGCTACAAAGGCTCAAGCATCTGTCACTCCGGCTGTGAATTCCGGGAAGCGCCAGGCTCCATCTGGCAACAACGACAGCAGGAATGATGAAAAGATCACCAAGAAGATCAACTCTGTTGCTTCTGCCCAAAGCTCACTTGCCAATAAACGCAAAACTCGAGGCAAGAAGCTGAACTACGACATTTCAGCTCTTTGTGGAAGTGCAAACGACGACGGCCGCTCCGAGATTACCCAAGTGATTGACGACAGCAGCGATGACGACTTCGATGTTGGTGCCGCTGAGACTCGGTCGGGTACTCGTAGCGATCTGAACATGCCTACTGCCAAACGAGCCAAGAAGGAGACATCGGGACAGATTCGTGGAACCATCACCAAATCGGCCTCATACAGTCGTAAAAAGAGCACGGCAGCCCCCAAAAAGAGATCGACAGCAAGACCCCGGATTCCGGCCAAACAGAGGCAGAACAATTCAGGATTCCGCAAACCTGCCATCCCCAAGACCAAGTCCTCCATTCTTCGTCCATGTGATCGACCTTTTCCCAGCATCGAAGCCTCATCACCACCTCTCAGTGAAGCCCCAACCGACTCCGACTCCGACTCCGACTCCGAGGGCGACAGTGACATTGACATCAAAAGCCTCAAGCCTGGCACAATCCTCTCCTTCGGCAAGGACGGTGGCAACTCTATGCCCAGCAGCAACAACAAGGACGGTATCACCCAGACTCCCAACAAGTCAGCTGCTCGGCCCGCAACCAACACCACTCGCAGTGCTCTCACAATCTACGGCGCCTCGGACTCGACCTCTGAGTCCTCCGCCTCGTCCAAATCATCCATCTCTCCTGGCCCAGAACTCCAACTTCAGACAAAGCTCAACGCCCACGATGTCCTCCCATCCGACAGCGTGTCAATGATCAACGAGTCCAAGCCGGCATTCAACCCTGTCACTCCTCCTCCCCAACCTACAAATACTTCAACTGAAACTCGCAGCGGTAAGTCGATCGATGTGATTGTCCTCGACGATTGAGACTTTCCCCTTCCAAAAGTGGGATTTTACTTTCTTTTCTACTTCACTGGTGTGTTTTCACGTCTTTTACGCAATGCTCAAATATCGCTGCAGAGGGAAACTGACTTCTCTTTCCTTTCCTTCTAGCTGGCGGAGCCACGACCCTACAACTTATCAAGAGTTTCCTTTCCCCGCTGGCAGCTTGGTCGAGTGCCTAAGGAAGGTGTGGTTTTACATGATGCAGGCCGCCGTAAGTTTCTGGTGGTGTGGAGACCGGGTTCGGGAAACTGAGGGAGTTGATGGTGACGGTGACGAGGAGAGGCGACTAAGGAGAGAGAGAAGTCTTACAATTCGAAGAAGGAAAGGTCGATATGAGAAAGTCAGGACAGGCAGATAGGACCGAACCTTCCAGGCGATGATTGATTGACTGCTTGGAAGGTTGGTTCGATAGTCTTTGGATTGCACGACAAATGACGGCGTGGTATCATTCATCCTCAGCACAACAGTTGGTCGGATGCACATTACAGGTTCCAGAAACATCAATAGCCGGCTGAACATTCAGCGATTCGTACTGAATTTGATTTTTTTCTTCTTCTGATTATTTTTTTCTTCTGATCATCACTATCTTTTCTCACTGTGCGTGATCCCAATCGATTCCTTTGGTCGATCAATTACTGGCCCAGCTTGATCTTGGTATCAAGTAGACTGTAATCTGCTCCTGGCCTGGCGGGCATATCAGTTCCGGTGCGAGTTCGAGAGAGCTCCTGCAATCATTTTTCCCGACTTCCTTTTTTTTTCCACACTGGTATGTCTTTTCTCGTTTTTTTCTGTCTATCTCTTGTTCGCGTTTTCTCGTTGCTCGTCCTCAGAGCTCAGAAGACCTTTTTTCTCCCTCGGTGTGTGCAGGTCTGGTTGCCTGGTCGTAAGGACTCTTCATGAAAGGTCACGTTTTCCCTTTCTCCTCATGCCACATGCGATATCATAACATGGTGCATTTCATGTCGTAATTTTGAAGATTGCAGACTTGGTGGACTGATATGAATAGTGGGCAACCGACCCCGTGCAATATCTGGCAGAACCCTTGGTTTTTCCAACCATGTACCCTGCTCAACGGTCTAAAACCCATCGTCAATCATTATTTGCCTTTCATAAAAACGCCATAACGCTATGGGGTCTTTTGCTTTCATCAACCCATTACCTCTCCAGTACTCCGATTTCCATGCAAAGCCTCTCTCTTCTTTCATTCAATCTTCAGGGAGCAAGATGTCTTTGCTGCAGGGGCAAATCACGTCACCAAATCGTGTGCACAATTTGCTGCAGATGCAAGCACCCCAGCAGACACACATGTTTGCTTCAACATATTCCTCGACACTCATGTGACCCTGATAGTAGCGATATTCGCCGACAGTGACACCTTCGAGACGCGCACCGGCACACTCAAGATGGGCCTCGCGACGCAGGTGCTCCTCTGATGGAGTGCGAGTCAGGACTTTTGCGGCACGGCTTGACATGGTGGTTGCGTGCTCCCATGCTATGGTACGTGTGGGCATGCGGTCCATCATCTCCTGAGTGTAATCAAGAGTGTCGGCGTTTGGGTCAGGGATGAAGTTGGTGTGTGTGTAGATGTTGTTGGGATGGAACGGATCGCCGAAGGGGAAAGTTGAAACTTTGTCGCTACGGATGTTTCGTTCCTGTTTGCGTTTGAGATAGGGGACTTCGAAGCTGGGAAATTGGCCAGGATAACTGGTCAGAGTCACTGAGGTGCGCTTCGGGCTGGGAATTCCAAACGCAGCAGATTTGGCTGATTTCGAGTTCTCGTCAAAATCAGAGTAGTCGGAGTCATCACTGTGAACGGAAACAGCCCGGAAGCCGTTTGCATATGGGATCTCTTGGTCAGCGGTGTGCTCTGTGACTCGAAGTCTCTTGCTTGGAAGAACGTCCAAGAGATCATCTGTTTGTTTTGTTAGCGAGTTGAAGGGAGCAGACTGCTAGAGTTATGGAAGGCAAATGGCACTTACCTTCGTCATCCTCGATCCAATATTGGGTTGCTGCAACAGGTGAAGACTCTGGAGCGGCCCGCTTATTCAGAGCAGTCCGCTTGTTGCCTTGAAGGGCAGATATCAGCAGATAATTGAGGCGAACGGCAGAGAGTTGTACATACCCTTGATCAACGTGTCTGTAAAAGCGAGCTGGTCGGCGGGTGGAGTCAAGATCATACGAGACAGACGATCAGCCGAGTCGTCGTCTACCATTTGTATGACATTCTTCATTGCTCTGCGAGACTTGGGCTTGAGAATGGGCTTAGGCTTGGCCATGGCCTTGGGAGAGATGAGAACCTCGACTTGCTTTCGGGGATTGGTGATCTTGGTCTTGCTGGGCTGCCACATGTCGGGAAATTCATCCATTCCCTCCCGGTAATTGGCATAGCCAGAAGCCTCATCAATGATAGGAGCGTAGTACAAGCCTGGGGCCTCCTCAGCTTTGGTACCAGCGTAGAATTTTTCAGTCAACGTTTCTCTCTCTGCCGCTTCAGGTTGGTTCACAGTCAAATGACCTTCCAGGTGGATGCCATTTGCAGTAAAGTGGTTGTCCAAAATAGCTTAAAACATTATTGTTAGCGATGAAGCAAGAAAGAAAGAAAAGTAGATATTCAACTTACCGTCGGTTTCGAGATCAACTCCAGTCATGGCAAGGGCAAATTCAGCCGCTGAGGAATTGTCCAACTCCATGGAAGAGCGAACATCGTAGAGAGCAACTTGACCTTGGGGAGTAGCTTGATGGATTGTCAGAATTGCACACTCTCTCTGAGGTTCTGGGATAAGGGCTCACTTACCGATTTGAAAGCTGTTTGCGGTGCCATTTGCAGAAGTGACACTTCTGTATGAGCGAGGGCTTGAGGGAAGCGCAGGCAAAGGTTTGTTGAGGTAGTCTCTGAGACTTCTGGCATCGCCTCCAAGCTTGACAGAAAAGCCGGGGCTTTGAAACTTTTGTCCTGGTCTTCTCAGCGCAGGAAACGGGTGGAAAACTTGATGCACTTACCGGTTGCAGAGGTTTGATGGTACCAGTCTAAATCACTCTGTCCAAAGGACGAGCGCGGACTGACGATTCTCACTCCAGCACCATCACAGAGGCCGATGCTTGTGCGAGTGGAATTGGCATACCAGAGGCGGGTGCCACTTCCACTACGGTGATGGGAAGCCATTTTGCTTCGGACTGAAGGGGAAGAAGGCGTGGTTTTTGAGATTTGATATGAGAAGACAGGAGGAATGGGACAAAATGATACGGAGAGTCAGGGACAAGGAGGTAGGATGATGCCTGGGGAATCTCTGACGAAGCAATGCAGAGAGGAATGCTGGCGACGGTAAAAACAGTGGGAGATTTGTGATATAGAATTGAAGACGGGGAACTCTGTGGGGGAAAAGATTTCATTTCACGATGGCAATTGAGGTCATCCATGTTTGCCAGACTCAAAGTGAGAGAGAGAGGCTGGGAGGTCTATTGAGAGTAGTGAAGTAACTGATAGTGAATAGAAGTTGCAGCAAAAACCCAGCCGTGGGATTGGTAGTTGCAGTGAAGACTCGTGAAGACAATTTTCAAAAGGAGAGGTGAGAAGTGAAGATTCCCAGCCGCCACGCTGCTTGTTCAAGCCAGAGGCCAAGTGAGCTGCTGTGAAATGCAGTGCAATGTGCATTGATATTGGCGTCTGGAGGGTGCCAGTGACGTTGCCATCGGCAGTGCTTGATGATCTCAACGCCGACTAGTAGGGTAAGACCTCCCTCCTCCACGCCATATTATGTGGCACTTACATGTTGATTGAGCGTGAGATCAGGGACACTGTCCATCATTCCTGCAATGTTCGTGCCATAATGAGAGCCTTCGACTACCTGAGCTCATCTGGATCAAAATTAGGTCTCACACTCCTGATGAGTAGTGAACTCCAGTCGAGTGAAATGATATACGCGGGAATGAGGGAACCACAACCTGGCGGATTTTAGATCAACAAAAAGATTCGATACATTTGATGGTAGAGACCAGGAGTCCAAACAAAGTTGTGGGGTCGAATGATTCCGGCAACCAAGAGATCCGAATCTCGAATCCAAGGGAATTTTCATGTCGATGAAGTTGGGATTCAGTTGTTCGACATTATCTGTTTCAACAGTCTAGTTCGCCATGTGTTGATCAAGCCGATCACGGTTAGTGACTCGGCAAACCTTCTTCTTGAAGGCCACTACCACCGAATAACGCCTGTTGGTCAGGAGGGCGCCCAGCGCAATAATGGGGGCAAAAGACAGGGGCACCTACTAGGCACGGGTTGAGGGAATGTTGCGAGCTTCTTAGGCTATGCAGTGCCGCTCTGAGGGGACAGGACCCGACTCGCTGGCTGCTGCACCTCGTACCCGCCTTTTGTTACAGTCGATCGCGTTTAGGTATCAATAGCCCTTGGAGGCCAGGTTGTTTGCCCGGAACAGCCCCTTCTCAGGCTCACTGCGATACTTGTCCTCTCGATTCTGGAGTCCCCTCCGTCCTCGGTACTCCGTGCTGATTGCCAATCCTGTCAAAGACGCCTGTTGCGAATTACTCCGTATGGGTCCAACTCTGGCTCTCGATCCCAAGACCTCAGTTGCCAACTGCCAAAAACTTTAGACGCCCTTTTTAATCAGTCACCCTGTCTATCATCACCTCTACCGAGCAGTCGTCTTCTGGACCACGTCCCTTTCTTAATCGACTCCTTCCATTCCTTATTTCTATACTCTCTTTTACACGATACACTTGTTTCTGCCTCCCGTCTGCCATCTCACGCACGCCTCCTCTCGCCCTTGGAGCATACTCCCGTCCTTATCACCACATTTGTCTTCAATCCATCACGCCTGGGAGTCTCGGAACAAGTGGAAATGTTGGTTGAGAGATAGCGAGATAACAACTTCTCTCTTCGGTGGCTTTCCTCTATAATGGCGCGGTCAAGATCCAGACACAACCAGGCATCAGCATCATGGCTGACGCGGTTGTTACCCTGGGCTCTGACCGCTGTACTTGCCCTATCCGTTCCAGCCGCCGCAGAGAAGACTGCGGCCGACTACTATGTGACATCGTTACCCGGCCAGCCTGATGGGCCGTTGTTGAAGATGCACGCCGGGTATGTGATGCGTGCTCCATAGCCCCTTCCAACTGGACTGACCCTGCGACCAGGCATATTGAGATTACCCCAGAACACAACGGTCACCTCTTCTTCTGGCACTATCAGAACCGCCATATTGCCGACCGATCGAGAACTGTAATCTGGTTGAATGGCGGCCCAGGATGCAGCTCAATGGACGGAGCTCTGATGGAACTCGGCCCATACCGAGTAAGAGATGGTGGAAAGTTGGCATATAATGAAGGCTCCTGGGATGAGTTTGCCAACCTGTTATTCGTCGACAACCCAGTTGGCACAGGCTTCAGTTATGTCAACGGTGACAGTTACTTGCGCGAACTGCAAGAGATGGCAGATCAATTCACGATATTCCTCGAGAAATGGTTCGCCCTATTCCCTCAGTATGAGAACGATGACATCTATTTCGCAGGCGAATCATACGCCGGGCAACACATCCCATATATCGCCAAAACCCTGCTGGATCGCAATACAAAAGCACAGGCTGAAGGAAAGCGGACGTGGAACGTCAAGGGTCTATTGATCGGCAATGGATGGATTTCCCCATCCGAGCAATACCAGTCCTATCTGCCATTTGCGTACGAAGAGGGTCTGCTCCAAGGCGGCAGCCCTGAAGCTCAAAGAGTCGAGGCCGCGCAGGCCAAATGTCTTGCCGAATTGGCCAAGCCCGGAGTTGCCGATAAAGTCGATGTCAACGTGTGTGAAAGCGTCTTGTCCCACATCCTTGATGCGACCAAAGCCGACGGTAAATGTTATAACATGTATGATGTACGATTGAAGGACAACTGGCCATCTTGCGGAATGGCTTGGCCTCCTGATCTGGATACAGTCACTCCATATCTCCGACAAGAAGATGTGATCAATGCTCTTCATATCAATAAAGACAAACGAACAGGATGGACTGAATGCTCCGGCGCTGTTTCTTCCTCCTTCAGAGCTAGTCACTCAACACCAAGTATCCACTTCCTTCCCGAAATCATCGAGGCTGGGGTACCTATTCTTCTCTTCAGTGGTGCAAAGGATCTGATCTGTAATCATAAAGGAACCGAGGACATGATCGGTAATATGAAATGGTTGGGCGGCACAGGCTTTGAGATCTCACCAGGAGTCTGGGCCCCGAAGCAAGACTGGGAATTTGAAGGAGAATCGGCCGGTTTCTACCAAGAAGCAAGAAACCTCACCTATGTTTTGTTTTACAATGCAAGTCACATGGTGCCTTTTGATTGGCCACGACGGAGCCGGGACATGCTCGATCGATTTATGGGTGTCGACATTGCCAGTATTGGTGGTCAACCCGCTGATAGTCGCCTTGATGGAGAGAAAGCAGGCAGCGAGACCAGTGTTGGAGGCCATCCGAACAGTACTGCCGCGGTCGAAGAACAGACCCAAAAGCTGAAGGATGCAGAGTACAAAGCCTACTACCATAGTGGCGAGGCTGCTTTGGTAGTGGTTCTCATCGGAGCGGGACTATTCGGCTGGTGGGTATGGCGAGGCAGGAGAAAGTCACGTGGGCTCGGATATATCAGCGTACCTCTGGTCAATGGGAACTCGGCCAAAGGCCGGGACGTGGAAGCTGGAGACTTTGATGAGAGTGAACTGGACAATCTGAGTTCAAACCGGCGACATCATGATATGGAGTCCAATCGGTACGATCTGGCCAGTGACAGTGAGGAAGACGATGGGGACACCAGAGGCAAAGGAAAGCAATGAGATTGGTACCAGAAAAGGACGATTCGAGGACGTCCAGGATAATCACGATAGAATGCTTTGGCAAGCAATGGCCCATCAGGTGTTGAAAAAGGAGGGGTCTTTGTTTGAACTGAACAAGGAGTATTTTGGGAGGGTCCCAGGGCTGTGGCATGGTCACATGCGAGCGAGCGATGTGTTGCTTGCGCCTCCAGCATTTTGAAGCAGGCCCTCGAGTTTGTAGGGCATGCGTGGCATGGCAATAAGCTCGACTACTCGGTGCGCATCACCGGTTCCAACGGCTAAATGTACCCGCTTTGATCTCCATCTCAGGATGATGCAGCCCGATCTGGGATCATGTAGCCACAGCGTTCTCCGTCACTACCCATTGCCACACTTGGTGGAGGCTTTGGCAACCGAAAAAGATTACATATCACAGTAGTTAATCGCCTAGAGCTGCGAAAGCTGCAAATATAAGAAGAGTTGACAGCTGCCTCGGGCTACTCCCCAGCTTTGATAGCGGGTCACTCGCCTGTTAGTTTATCATCAACCCGAATAGGAGATCGCATTGCCAATAGTGCCCGATGGTGGACCAGGGATCCGAGAAAGTGGTGGAGGGTGAACAGTGAACACGACAATCATCCGTGTTCCGTAATCATGCCTGCAAGAAAACCCACCCCTCCTGTCAAAAGCCCGTCAAACACGCATCTCTGAGGTCCAGTCCGCCCTCAGTCCACCCCTTGACATGTGGGTGGGAGTAGAATTCTGGCGAGTTGTTACACGATTGGCAAACATGATGCTGGATACATCCGATGTTACTGTTACTCAACATTAAACCTGAAGTGAAAGGAGACCATGAGTTCAACGGTGCTCCATAGCCTTATGACCTTCGACGGCGATGGCAGTGACTTTGCAGCCAACTGTTCCTTGTTGTCAAAGGAATCTCGGTATATACCCAGACTTCATTGAGTGCCAATTGGTCCCTTGATATCCGTGCGGACCACCTTCAACGGTCTGGCGGATAGGGAGATCACTGGAGATGATGGGGATGGCCAGCCTCCTAGTTGGTTGGGGCTCTCGAGTTCCGGACTTTTTGGTCCCTCACCGTCATCCTCTCTCCCTTCCGGCATGGCGTTCCTATCCCACCTGTTGTGTCAAGTCCGTACCACGTCAAATGCCAACCACTCCACCTTTCAACTCGCTGTTCACCAGAACAAGATGTCCTCATCCTTGTCTTCTCCATTTTGATGTGTGCCAGTCTCAGACCAGACACATTTGGCGCGCTTTCCTCCAAACAGCCAGAAATCTTTCGACCTTTACGCCACATCTGTCACTCATCTGCTTTTTCAACCGTTCACATCTGACTTTGGGCTGCATCCCATTCCTGCACGATCCTGGCTCTTGTCGTTATCCAAGAATGTCGACTATCTTGGGACCCCAGATCTGGGTCCGTTGTAGCCTGTAGGTCTCGCGCACGTCCGCCTCAGGAAATCCCCAACATGACCCTGGTTCACTTCAGTTCAGTTCCGTCCAGTCCCTCCTGCCTTTTGTGAAATGCTTCAAGGCGCTCTTTCCTCGCCATCTCGCGTTTGTATTTCCAACTTCCTGTTACCAACTTGCTTTCTTTGTTCTTGTTATTCTCGTCTGTCTCATATACCCTCGGCCATTCATGAAGCTGACTCGGGTTTCAACATTTGCTACCAAACAAGCCATCATCCTCGTATCTCTTCTACCCTTCCATTCTACCAGAGATCGCAGAATATAGGTTGATACAAGGCTATACCTGTTTGAACCTTCAGCACCATTTGTTCTGTCGCCTGATTCCCATTCAATCCCCTGGGAGACCCTACAAACATCGGTCTACAACTCCATGAGCTCCGCGGTCCTCATAAATCGTAATGTGGATCCTTTCGACATGGCACAGGTCGCTTCCGAAGTATCCTATGCTGGATGGCATATCGTTCTTTCATTCTTTACCTCCTTGGTAGGATGTGTAACCACCTTGGAGCTCCTTCAACGCCGGACCTCGACTAAAGGATTATACAACTGGGCTATGCTTTTTGCCGCAGCCATCACTATGGGCGGCTTTGGAATTTGGGCCATGCATTTCGTGGGTAATAGAGCTATTGTACTGGAGCATGGCGACCCAGAACGTCAAATTTTGTACAATCCCGGCTTTACTGCTCTATCGTTTTTCGTCCCGATACTGGTATTGGTATTCGCCTTCTATACCCTCGGAGTGACCAATCGAGCTCGTCAGTTGCATATTGCAATCGCTGCATGCTTGACTGGCGCCGCTGTATGTGGCATGCACTATCTTGGGCAATTGGGTGTGGAGAATTATCACTGTTCCTACCATGTTCAAAACGTCATCGGAGCAGCTATTATCTCAGTTATTGCCAGTTATGTTGCTCTCAGCGTATTCTTCCGACTGAGGCAAGCGTGGACCGACAGCTGGTGGAAAAGAGCCCTATGTGGTGCTGTACTAGCCGTTGCTGTGTCGGGAATGCATTGGACTGCCGCTGCGGGAACCATCTATCACTGGAAAGGAGATGTTAAAGTTCATGGTAACTCCAAATTGAAGACATCGATCATTGCATCATCTCTGGTAAGTTTGTCAACTTCTGCCATAAGTGTGCTAGATCCAGTTGGGCTCTGCTAACTCTTACCACAGTCAATCGGATGTTGTCTAATGCTTCTTGTTGTGGCCATCATCAGAGGCCATAATCGGAGGTCTGCAAGAATCAAAGCTCAACGTCTAGTGTTGGCGTGTGCTTATTTTGATGAAAGTGGCAATCTCATGGTCACTCAGGAAGGCGTCCTTCTCAGCGAGAAGATAACCAACCATTATGTGGAAAAGGCAAGTTTGTCGATACCATTTAGAGATTTGTCACTTACGCGTGAACGCAGACCTTTGGAGAAGATGAGCTCAGCAGAACACAGCCAACATATCTATGGGTCTTTCGGGCATCTCGAAACTGGTCAGTGTTGAAAGACCTAATTGCAGGGATGAAAGATTACTTGGAAAACGACGCAACAGCACGGAAATATCGACCAGGACATCCATCCCCGGCCCTGCAAGATGATTCCTGCGAAACTCCGATCAACTTCGCACCCATCTTCAAGCAGCTGTTTTGTGTGGCCGCTCAACAGCTCGCAGTTTCCGTCCACGAGCCCCTTGAACGACTTGGCACCTTATTCGAAGAACCACTCGACACAGGAGCCATCTCGATTAACGTTCCCGCCAAAGCTCTTGACCTCAGTCCGACGAGATCATTTAGCACTAATGATGTTGAGGGAGGCTTCCAGACCATCACGAGAGGCAAATATTTCTTTATCAACCGCCGCTTGAACCGAACTGAGGTCGCTCGATTTGCAGCTCTGGGCTATCGGTTTGCCAGTGTTGATCAGATAGCGGACCCCCTTGCTAAGAGCATGCAGGTCAATCGGGACAATATGATCGCTCATATCGAGCGGATGAGGATCAGTACTTCATCCGAAAATCTCATGCCGCCAGGGCTACACCTGGCATGTTTCATGCTTCGCCCCAGCATGTACAAGAGCTTTGATGTACTGGTTCCAGAGTTACGCCAAAGTCAATTACCCTACACTACAGTGCATTCATCAGCATTTTCCCAAGGACAAATGTCTCAACTACGAGCGTTCGACGACTTGAGCATGCGAGAAGTCATGAAACTGCTTGCCAATCCTTCCACAGGCATAGAACTTCGGGAAGAATGTCGATGGCAGCTTTATAATGCGTTTGTAAAGTTACTGGAATTGATGGGCGATACTGATACAATGATGCAAGCCAAGTTCTCGACAAAGGAATTCCATATTCCGTGTCAAAGCAATTCTGACCCTGGCCCAGCCACCTGTACCTTACTGACAGTGCGGAGCATAAGAAACATACATGCCACCTCGGCGAGAAAAGACCTCACCTACATCCCTTTGACATTTTTCAGTGCACAGCAGCAGATACAGGAGTTGGACGCTCCTGATGAGATCTTCGCCCAAAGTGTACATCGCGAGTTTGGTCATTTGCTCCATGAAGAACCAGAAAAGCAAGTCATTACGAATAATAACCGGGTGTCTCGCAAGGCGAGTGTTCCAGGAATTGGAGCCAAATCCAGCGAGTCAACTAGGTCACCAATATTCAAGAATCCATTGGGAAACTTCAAGAAAAGCCGACGAAGTGATGAGACAACAATTGTACATCATGAAAGGGGGACTGAAGATGAATCAGATGTTGAGATGAATGGAGTCCGTTCCATGGATAGCAGCACAATCTCACCATTCGAGATACATACGCAGAGGACACAATCAGAGACGACGGATCTTGCCGCACTCGAAAATGAACGAGGCGGATGGGTGACGGAACTTTTGGATCTTTTGCGCTTTGGAGTAGATGGGTGGGGTGCAGCACGTCGCGGAGGTTGGAAATGGGATATCAACGTGGAAAGCTCTTTCGAGGTTAGGACTAAGGAACAAAGGCTTGATTCATGCAGTCATGAGTGAAGGAAAGCCACGGATCACAGAACATGAAAAGCTAGCGCAGGTGTTTGGGAGATTGTTGTATATTTAGGGTATGGTTGTTGATAGCCCTCTCCTAGTAAATGGCTCTTTGGATATGACCATAGTGAGATCGAAAACTTCAATATCCATCGTTTAGGTGTTCTGTGCGTCATCCGCATCAGGATCTCCATCAAACACATACTCAATCCGCAATGCTACGTACGTTTGTTCTGTCATCTTCGGACCTTGAAGAGCACGTTTTACCTGGTCTGACGGACACCTGGCGGCCGGGTCAGGCACAAGGCCCTGTTGGCTAGGCAAGGCTGCCACAAGTCAACGAGGCTGAATGCTTAGTCATGCAGGGGATCTGCCCACCACCAACACCTGATGTCATTTTTCCAACAGGGAAGACAACTTTACTCCTGCCGACTTATTCTGTGTACAGACTGCGAACACCGATTATCTACCTAGGAAGCATCGGCAGTCTCAAATCTTAGGCCCTCCTCATCCATCAACCACGCGAACGTCGCATGTTACGTCAAGCAAACCCTACCCAACCTTTGTGCCTTGACTATCCATCCATCCATCCCACCCCACTCCACCCGCCCTTCCTGTGATGCGAGTCACGCACGAGCGATTAATTGGACGCACTTCGAATTGTTAGAAAAGCAAAAGAAGTCGAAGACAACCGCAACCACCACGGGCTCTATAGGCCTCCTCCCACCTCCCTACAAGCATGCCGTTCGCCCAACTCGTGATCGGACCCCCGGGCGCGGGAAAATCGACATACTGCAACGGGATGCAGCAGTTCATGGGGGCGATCGGACGCAAGTGCTCGATCGTGAATCTCGACCCGGCCAACGAACACACGTCGTACAGGTCCGCTGTCGACGTGCGGGATCTCGTGACGCTCGAGGCTATCATGGCCGACGACGACACCCGGCTCGGCCCCAACGGCGGCGTGCTCTACGCGCTCGAAGAGCTGGACGAGAATGTCGAGTGGTTGGAGGAGCGCCTGAAGACGTTGGGGGACGACTATGTCCTCTTTGACTGTCCCGGGCAGGTCGAGCTGTTTACGCATCATGCTAGTTTGCGGAGGGTGGTGGGCAGGTTGGAGAAGTGCGGGTATCGTGTGTGCATTATTTCTCTCCGTTCCGAATTCTATCTGGTTTGCATAGGGTTCGGGTTTGGCTAATTTGTGTCCTGTGTGCAGCTTGTGGTCGTCAACCTGATTGACTCATACGCCTTGACGCTTCCGTCGTTATACATCTCTACCCTCCTGCTCAGCCTACGTAGTATGCTGCAGATGGACCTGACGCACATCAACGTGCTGACCAAGATTGACAATCTGCATAAATATCCACCTCTGCCGTTCAATCTAGCCTTCTACACCGAGGTCCAAGACCTCGAATACCTCCTGCCCAGCCTCGAGCAAGAAAATTCCTTGTTTGGACAGGGAAAGTTCCAAGCTCTCAATGAGGCGATTGTGAATCTGGTTGAGGAGTTTGGACTGGTCGGATTTGAGACGCTGGCCGTCGAGGATAAGAAGAGTATGATGTCCCTGTTAAGGACGATCGATCGGGCAGGGGGCTATGCGTTTGGGAGTGCAGAGGGCGCAGGCGACACTGTGTGGCAGGTGGCGGTGCGAGAAGGACTAGGGACGCTGGATGTTAGAGATGTGCAGGAACGGTGGATTGACAATAAAGATGAATGGGATGAGAAAGAGGCAAGAGAATGGGAGGAAGAACAGAAGAGACGGGAAGAGGAATTCAACGCCAATGCTGCCACACAGGGGTTCGACCCAGATATGGATCTCGAGGGATTCGATCCTGGGAACATACCATTCGATAGTGGCGTGAAGGTTGTGCGCACTCAAAAGAAGGATGCGAAACCTTCTTGACCAAGATGGCTGCAAGGAATTCTCGCGGCGGGTTGTCGATCTTGATGCTGGTAGAGCTTCGTCCGGGAGGGATTGCACGAACTGCTTCGCACGGTTCAGTCGTCAGTGTCAGTCATTTCAGCCGCTTCCTCCTCTTCTCCATCGTCAAAATCCTCGATGCCTCCCTCGCCCACATTGCGGTCCAGCAGACGATTCATCACCTTCACTTTTCCTCTTTCCAAGGTTCCTGCTTCACTTGTTCCCACCAAGCTATCAAGAAGCGCATTTTCTTCGCCGGTTCCTTCCAACTTGGCTCGGACCACGTCCCTCCTCGCGCGTTTTAACAATTCTTCCTCACTCTTGCGGATTGTGCCACTGACGCGAACGACCTGGACGACGCATTTGATCCGTGGATCACCATAGCGTTCGCCGGGTAGACTATCCATGAACGTCAGACTCGCCCATACCAGACGGAAATGTGCTCGTGGACAGCGGAGAATGCAGGTTGAGGTTGCGGGCGAGAAGTAAACGATTTTCAGACTGGATTGCGTCACGCCTAAGCCATGATCGCCGAAAATGTTGCTGATGTTGTTCCGGAGGGTTGAGAGGACATTTCGCGAGGTTACATGGTTTGGGCTTGGACGGTGGATGGAGATGTAGGATAGTGGTTGTGTTGCTGTGGGATCGGAGGGGTAGAGAATATTGAAGAGGAGATATCTCTGCTTTATTCTAACCATCTCAATTGATCCATCGACAAGAAAGTCATAAGTCACCTACCTTGGTAGATTGATCAATTACCATCTTTGATGAATCTTGTAGTGACTCTGAAAGTCGGTTTTGAGCAAGGGTGGAGCATTTCGACTGAATTGAATGTTTGTAAACTCCGCCGTAGTTATGATGCAAGGCTCCCGAAGATGACAGCAGAACAAGGCTACGAGTCTACGACAGTCTTGACGTTGACGCGTTGCGGTGTCAGAATGTTTGAACTCGGCATGATGTAATCCATCAGCTTCACCGGGGAAGTCGGCTGTCCAAAAGTTGAAACAGTGTGATCGATAGGAGTGGACATTCAGGAGTTGACGAAAAAGCCACCGTACAGGGGATGCTCCTCTTTTCGATGTCCTGAAACCACAGACATGGTGGGTGACCTGTATATAGAAGCAGTCACGGCTAGATATGCCTGTTGAAAGAGGCACAGCACAGAGAAGCATTCTGAGACTCCCGACTAACCCGGATTGTAGACAGTGCTGCCCGGTTTTCTCAAACAACCGCGTCGAGGTACGCGAGGTCGATCACGAACTAGTTGGGATGAGGTATTCATCACCTGCAATGCTTGACCTTGACTGGCAAGAGCTCGCTCTCACTGAGCCCTGGGGGTTATTACTGCTATCCTGGGACTTGTTTGTACATATGAATCCTGAATGAAATGAGATTCACGTAATATTCTCATGATGGATGCTCTCTCCGCCACCCAAACTGTACGGTGTCCCATTGAGAGGTTCAGACAACGACAAAACCATGACAGGAATCTGGGGTCAGGGTCGGGTCTGTCTCGGTCTGAGCCCCAAGCATATTTCGTCGCGCGTTCAGCCATTTTCTGGAATGCGGATGTGAGAGTCCATAGCTCAAGAAGAAGAGTGGTCAGATGGTTTGAAGAAGCGCCTGATACGACATGTCCCAAAGGATGATGGTCTGGTGTTTCATGTTGGGGCATTTGCATGGAAGAAGGGGGTGGTGATGGCGGCTACGAAAACGAATAGGCGGTGGTGACTGGATGAGAGAAGTCTTGGTGGATAGCCAGGCACTTACGACTAGGCTCATCATTGGGCCTTTTTGACCGTGGCCCTGGGAGCATGGGGAAAAGGTTTGGTGGCGCCCATGATGGTCGGAGAAATAGGCAGGGGTACCACCATCTTTCTAGGCGGTTTTAGGTAAAGTCCCAGGGCCAGAGAACCCAAAGACAAGGATAAACGGAGCTTCTCTCACGCCGTCGCTTCAAGCGAAAGCAAAGATCGCAAGGCGGCAGTTCAATTGACCTTCGGTGGCCTTTGGTGTGGGCGGGAAATCCACTCTTGCTGTCCATCTCATGCGCTATCTCAACCTAAACTTCTGCTTTCACTCTGCAAATCTCTGTGCTTTGGTCCTCCCTGCAGGGCATTTGCTCCCTTCTTTTTCTTTCCCCCAACGATCTCCATTCGTCGAATCACGCTCTCTTCCGATCGAAAATCTTCAACTGGAAGTTGAGGAGGCCGCCGTTCCCGCCAACTACTAACGCAATCATTTATTCCACACCACGCCTCCCTTCCTTTCGTCTATCACAATCACATTCCTTATTGTTGCAGTGTTCGACGGTCGATTCGTCGTACTTTAGCACCCACCGCGCATCTCGCATCTCGCATCTCGGTTCCTTTCCTTGTCCCGTGTGCCTACAAGTCATTTACGCTGCCTGGTCATCCTTCTTTCACGTCCAAGCTCGTTCTGACTACTACTACTACTCCACCACCTTCAATTTACCACTGGGACTGGACTGTGTCCTCCCTCAAACATTCTCTAAACAATTCCTTCAATTCAATTGCACCGCATCGGACCAACCTACATCCATCCCCACTACATCTGCTGCCGGACGGAACAAAGACCACACAGATAGACGCACAAGCCAAGTTGTCACATCTGAATTCGGATTTACAAGGCCGGGCCCGAGTCGAGCTTGAGAATAAACAATCACATTCGAGCATCTCACCCGTCTCGCAAGACCGAATACTCTCTTCATCAACCCGACAGCCTCAAACAATCATGTCTTCATCCACCATGGCTCTTGCTCGAGCTTTCACAAAGCGCAGCAAACGAGGTTCTGATGCAGCAGCCATGCAACGTGGTACGAGTGTCAGATATCCTCCCGGAACAATCAACCGCAGTCTCATTTCTCTCCCAACAGAACTGCTCTCCACAACCAACGTTCAAGCCTTGACTGCTCCAGACATTCGAAGCGTCTCCGGATCCACCTCCGGTTCACTATCATCTACACTTGAGTCCGACTTTTCGACCATTGACCGAAGTTTCCTCAACAACGCTGGTAGTGATACCTCATCAGTTGACAGCAGTGGTCCAGCAACCCCTGTGACACCTGCAAATGACGGGGCCAGGTCATTTTTCGAATCCAAGCAGCCGCCCGTTTTACCAGCTCTTGCCTCGCTAGCAGATCTCGAAACACCAATGGTACCCCAGCGTTCTCCTTCTCACTCCAAGAAAGCCCATGTCGAGTTGTCACGAAAGCGATCCATCCAACGCATGTCTCCACCTCCGACGACTTTAACCAAGCCTGCCACTCGCAACAGTGCCGATATCTTTAACAAGGCCGCAGATCCAGACCATCCTTTTGGCCGGGAACTCGCACAAGTCAATGAGATTGCAGAAGAGTTTGGTGCTACCTCTCGATTACTGGATGAAGAAGAGCAGGATATCATGAGCAAGGGACTGTGCAAGTTCGGCGTCGAAGACTACTTGGACGAAATTGCCGGTCTCTATGGAGGCATTTTCGAGGATCAATTGACATCACTGGCAAAGCCGTGGATCTGAGAAAGATCAACCCTTGAGAGATTTGATTCCGAATCATTTCTTTTATGCAGATTCACGACTTTATGACTGGGAGATACGGAACACAGCTACTTGTGGGGGCGTTTTAATGGTGGGCACCCGAGATCCAAACACGGGCTTTTTCCCTTGTCCTGTCAACATGACGAGGTCAAGCTTTTTTACAATAACAACAACAACACTTTTCATCTGGTGGAGTGAGACATTCCTTTTTATTTTCTCGGCCGATCATTCGAACAGTCCTTTGTATGCCAATCTCGACCACAACATGGAAGATGGACGAACATACAACATATGCATTGTGAGGCACAAGATCTTACCGTTTTGTTGTCGACACAGAGTGAAATGTGAATGAATTGAGCTGATATAACTGTATGGATAAAGAACGCAATGGTGGTGGCGGTGGATGGTCGGCAGGAGGAGGCGTCTTTCCCTGGCTTCTCTTCCTCGAAGCTCTGCTACACTACTGCTACTACTACTACCGAGTACATCTACATACCTATGATAGAAACCACTCTCTGGAGCTATCCAAGAATCAAGACACATCTTGTCCCAGAACCTCTCTCCGTCTGATCCAAGTCAACCATGTGCATTTATCCGACATCGTCAGTTTCTCTCCGTGTGCGACCTACTGACCATGACTGCGTCGGTCTCGCTCTCGCTCTCGCGCACGTCGCGCCTTGTGTGTCGTGAGTCGTGACAAGCTTTTCCGCCTTGTTTCCGGGAACCTCGCCTATTGAAGCTATACGAGACGAGGTGAGTAGGTACGAGTAGTATCAACTCCATGTTTCAGCCGTCACTCCGCAGCCAGGCTAGGCAGAACAACTTGTGTGTGCCTCGGAATCCGGGACCACTGACCATCCATTGCATCGGGTCCAGATGTTTAAACTCAGGAACCACGGGTCGTGATGCAAGTTGTGTCTCAAACGACCAAGTCAGGAAACGCCAAGCGTACTCGTAGCTTGATATACAGTATCCCGTGGTATGTGCACTGGCAGTGGGGGACGGCGTCGTGTTTAAAGCCTGAGTGGCAAGCCCCAGACTTAGTACTACCGAGCACGGATAAAAAGATCCAAGTGTATGTACTCGTACGGACTCTTAGATGCCGACTACCTCGTACACACGTGTGACTGATAATCCTGCATACTCGTGCTCACTGCTCAATGCCCTCAGGGTCTCATCGATCCTCTCGTCCTAACTCTACTAAGTATCCCGGTATCCGTAGTTGGCCACGTTGTGATGACCCTTCCGAGAGATAACCTTTGCCATTGACATTGACGGCGATGGTGACAGCCGCGTCTCCACGTACGAGGTAGCTGTATCCGCGCTGATCAAGCTCGGACCATTGTGCTCTTGACCCTCTTGCCTCTGATCCGAGATCACGTGATGATCTTATTTCGCTGTCCGTGCGGGAGGTCAAGACTTCATGGGCATTGTTGGTTGCAGAACTGCTACGGAGTGCGATCAAGAGAGGTCGCAAAACTCAAATCACGCGGCTTCCAGTCTCTCGGGTTTTCTTGTAGGGTGTGATCGCGTGTCGATGACGATGGTTCAAGGGTGCACGGATGGAGAATCATGACTTGAAGACGCAAGCGGTGGTCCTCCATGGACTGGGCTTGGGGCTGGGACTGGAGAACAGCAGGCGCTTGCAATTCCACTCCAGCCTTGAAAGAAGTGATCTCGCTGGGGATGATGTTGAGCAGCTTCCTTTGCAGCTGCAGCCCATTCTATCAGACTGGTCATTTGGGGCGTGGTCAACAGACGGGCAGCAGAGATTGGGGAACTGCGGGTGATACAATATCTGGATTGACACGGTTGAGAACAACACAATTGTGACTGTCACCATCCACGTTGCCATCACGAGTTTGATCATCAAAGGAAACCAAGATAGAGCAGGAAGATTGTTCCTTCGACACACAGCCACGATTTACAGTTGTAAACTTGTGGCTCGTACGCGACAGAGAGTCCAGGCCTCCGTCGAGCAAAGTTCAGCTATCAATCCCTCTAGCCTACAGCATGGCCTAAACCCCTATCGGGCACGACAGCCGTTGCTCCGTACTTGCATGTTTCGTTCCAAGTCGAAAAAGAATCATGCCAGCTGAAAAACTGCACCATCTCACCTTAGGAAGAGGGTGCTAAAATCAAAGTCTAAAGTTTATCACGCCCTGCTTAATCTTCCAACGTCCTGACATTCGGATTGCCCAATTGTCAGTAGCAAGTGGAGGGTGTGGCTGAGCTAATAAGATCCTCCCCTGGGATTTGGAGCCGCCATTGCTCGGGCTCAAAAGCCAAAGGCTGGTTGATGAAATTGCATTAAAAAACCCAGCCTGATGCTCGAAGACCGGGAGATGAAGCAGAAGACGAGTATCCTCGTAGAAATTCGTAGCTTAGATCAGATGACTGCGTTGGCCTCGTGAAGAGTTGAACCTGGAGTGTTCCAAGTAGCCAGCTGGACAAGGGTCTTGTAGGCGGTACGGATACTGTAGGCGTGCATTGGCGAGATATTCGGCAAGCCTAAAAGCAGCTGCGAGCGGGCGTCATCCCTAGCCTCTCGGGCATGCCAGCTCGGCTCCCTGCCAACAGCATCTGGGGGCACTGCCGATAAACTGCCAAATCTGAGCTACGCGTGTCACGCCCATCTTTTCTTCACCGTCCACTTCGGTGCATGGCATGTGCTAACTACAGTCGATCACTCCATTGTCCGACCCAACACGGACATTTAATACTTGGACAACGTCAATTCCAAGACTCAAGTTGAAGCCTGAGAGCCTGACAACTTCTTCTTGACGCGTTCCATCTCCATCATCACCATCGTCACCATCATTGATTGCGACTTCATATTCTCCACCATTCCAAAGCATGAAGTACTACTGAGTACCTGCTCGCTGACTTAGTTCATCTTTTGAAGCTTACTCCAGTCTCCCCCTTCGCGTCAAATCATGGAGCCGCTACACCTTGTTCTCATCCCCCGCCAGGCGAGCGTAAACCAAAGCAACGATCAAAACATCGGCTCTGCCAGGGGAGAAGACTCCCCGTCCTTGTCTGGTCTCATATCAACTCTCGTCCCGACTCTGCTCATCGCCATCGCCTATTTCGTCATCTTTATTCTTCTACGAACTCGATTCCCACGCCAATACGCCCCACGAACTTATCTGGGTTCGTTGAGACCTCAAGAGCGAACTCCCGCTGCTCCAACCACCCTATTCGGATGGATTCCATTCATGAGAAAGGTAAGAACCTTAATTTCAATCCTGTCGACGAATCATGCTGGCCGCGATGAGTATCGACTAATCTGCTTAGATCCCTGACGAGTATGTTCTTCAACACAACTCGCTTGATGGCTATTTCCTTCTTCGATATCTCAAATTATCAATCGTCATCTGTTTCGTTGGTTGCTGCCTCACCTGGCCCATTCTATTTCCTGTCAATGCCACCGGGGGTGGTGGCCAGCAACAACTCAACATCTTGAGCTTTGCCAATATTGAGGACAAAAATCGCTATTACGCCCATACCTTTGTTGCCTGGATCTACATCGGCTTCATCTTCTTCTTGGTCACCAGAGAGTCCATATACTACATCAATCTTCGCCAAGCCTACCTACTCTCACCACTCTACGCCTCCCGTATTTCTTCCCGTACCGTCTTGTTTCAAGCGGTTCCCATCGAGTACGCCAATGAGACCCGAATCCGTCGCCTTTTCGGTGACGAGCTCAAGAATGTCTGGATCGCCTCGGAGGCGAAGAAGCTGGAAGACATGGTCGACGAGAGGATGAAGATTTGCCTCAAGCTTGAAGGTGCCGAAACCAAACTCATCATGCTAGCAAACGATGCACGCTTGAAGTCTATCAAGGGGAACCCTGGCCAAGAAGCCCCCGAGACCAATATGGACGCGGAAGATGACTACAGTGCTGATTCTGGATCTGCTGCGGCGCGGTGGGTTCGACCTAGCGACCGGCCTACCCATCGCTTGAAGCCAGTGATTGGCAAGAAGGTAGACACGATCAATTGGTGTCGAGAGGAAATCGCTCGCTTAAATCCACTGATTGACGCCGACCAGGTCCAATATCGTGCTGGAGAAGCCAGCCCAAGAAATGCAGTTTTTGTCGAATTCTGGAACCAAACTCAGGCTCAAGCTGCATTTCAGATGGTAGCTCATCACCAACCACTACATATGGCTCCACGGGTGGTCGGTCTGAGCCCTGACGAGGTGGTGTGGAGAAACCTAGGCATTACTTGGAGGACACTCGCAATCCGAAACATCTTCTCAATTGCGTTCGTGGTCGCAATGATCATCTTCTGGTCCATACCGGTCGCTTTTGTGGGTTCTATATCACAGATATCCTACCTAACTCAAGTTGCCCCTTTCCTCTCGTTCATCAACGACTGCCCGCAAGTCATCCTAGGAGTCATCACAAATCTATTACCAGTCATCATGTTGTCAATCCTAATGTCGCTCGTGCCTGTGGTAATGAGGATTATGGGCAAGATTGCAGGCAAACCAACTCTCAGCTTGGTGGAATTACGTTGTCACGAATCCTTCTTCTGGTTTCAGATCATTCAAGTTTTCCTGGTCACCACCCTTACGTCCGCAGCTAGTGCTGCTGTTCCACAGATCATTGACAATCCAGCGTCTTTAACCACGCTACTAGCCCAAAATATTCCTTTGGCATCCAATTTCTACATCTCGTACTTCATCCTCCAGGGGTTGACGTTCTCATCCGGTCAACTTCTGCGCATCGTTGGACTCATCATCTTCAATGCTCTTTCAAAAATACTTGACAAGACACCTCGGAAAATGTACAATCGATGGAGCAGCTTGTCGTCTGTCGGGTGGGGAAGTGTGTTTCCGTTGATCGAGTAAGTTGACACCGTGCTCCTTGATATTATCAGTGACTGACCCACCTCTAGATTGATGACTGTGATTTCCATCACATATGCTCCAATTGCACCACTCATGCTAGGATTTGCTACGTGTGGCCTTTCTCTTTTCTACTTTGCTTACCGATACAATCTCCTATTTGTTGACAGTTCTGTTATCGACACCAAAGGACTGGTCTATGCAAAGGCACTTCAACATACCTTGGTTGGCTGTTACCTCGCCACAATATGTCTCATAGGATTGTTCGGTATTCGCGCTGCACCTGGACCGCTCATTCTCATGGTTATATTACTGGTCGTCATGGTTCTGTATCACATCTCGTTGTCCTCGGCCATTCAACCTCTACTGCATTACCTACCACGATCCTTGGAATCTGAGGAGGCCGCCCTACTCGAAGCAGAAGATGGCACACTTGACTCGAATGCACCAGGAGGTTCGAGTCCTGGTGCCCGCCATGAAAAGAACGCAGCAGAGGAATTGAAGCAGACAAAGAAGACGATTGGACCGGAGGGTAATACAAAAATTGGCATGTTTAAAAAGTTCCTTCGACCAGATATTTACTGCTCCTACGCTCAACTCCGCAAATTGGTTCCACAGGATTTTGCTGAGATTAGATACAGCGCCGAGGTTCAAAGGGATGCATACCAGCATCCAGCGGTCAATGCTACTGCACCTCTACTCTGGGTTCCTCATGACCAAATGGGAGTGTCAAGACAGGAATGTTTCCACACGAACAAGGTTACCCCCATGACCGACGAAGGTGCTTACCTCAACGAGAAGGGCAAGATTGTCTGGAATGAGGAAGAAACCGAAACACGACCTCCTATTTTCGAAGAGAAAATCTACTACTGAGCAACGGATTCTCAGGTCATTTTCCCAGGCTGTATTTGCACGTACCCTCTTGATGATACCCCGGCGTGGAGGAGGACTGTTCGAAATAGAAGCAGACTTTATTCATAAAGTAGTAGTACTCTTACGACTACGATATGAATATTAGTATTTATTAATGACTGGTTGTGTTGCGAACCATGAGTTGGTTTCACTCAGATTCCTCAGACGCAAAATACCATATTTTCAAATGCTTTTCTGTTGTCCTCTGATCAAGAATATACAATGTTGGCGAATTAATCAATAACGTGGTATAGATCTATTAGTGACCTTTTACAGTCACTACGACGCGCAATTGTGTACAAGATGACTGTAACTAGACTATAGAGAATAGATTACTACTAATGTAGATGAATATAAATCAGTTTTTCCTTGAGAAGTCGGAAGCGTAAAGTACCTAGGTACGAGAATTTAATCAAAGATCCACGTCACCTACCTGGGTATCTAGTAGTCGGCTAATCTTTATAAAACATTACAATTTTCGCGGTTCGACCTAGGCATTACGTCAATGAGCGGCCACCTGCACTCTTCATATCTACCTAGGTCGCTATGTTTTGTATTCTCACGTCGTTCATTTCTTTTCCTAGCTAGGTGCTTCCTACTCCATGAATGCGCTTTTCAGTGACTACTCCACTCTACTTTCTACCTCCGTCTTTTATGGTTTAGGGGTCTTGCACTTGTCTCGGCCAGACATTTTCTAGCATATATTTTTGGATATCTGAGTGCACAGGCAGTTTCTAATATCTTTGGACAGCCATTCCCTTATGATGGTGGCTGTCAGTGTCCGAGGTCCTAAGCATCCTCTGGATCAAGTTGTTGAGCCGACTACTACGTTGGGCTGCAGGGTAAGAAGCTGTTCTCTTGAAGATGACCCCTCTAGGCTGACTTCAAGTTGGCTAGTTAGACCAGGTTGTGGTTCAGCCTTACTTCTCTTTCCCGCATCATGTTCAATACTCTGAGGTGATCTTTTCTGCCCATCCATCGTCGTTGGATGAGCATGATGCTCCAGTCTCAGTCTTCATGTGTACATACTTCATGCATCCGATTAAGCCTGTCGATTCCCGTTCCCCTTCGTCCACCCGTGTTGTAAGATGACCTCCAATGCGGTGCCCCCTCCTCCGTCCAGTCGCGATGAATTCCACATTGCGATTATATGTGCCCTTCCCTTAGAAGCCGATGGCGTCGAATCCATGTTTGATAAGTTCTGGGATGACGAGGGTCGGGACTTCGGCAAGGCGCCAGAGGATCCCAATGCATATACCACTGGAGTCCTCGGGGGTCATAACTGCGTTTTAGTACATATGGCGCAGATGGGAAAGGTCTCGGCCGCTTCATCTGCGGTATGGGTGAAAGCGAGTTTTACGCGAATCAAACTCGCTCTGGTCGTGGGTATTTGTGGTGCGGCGCCGATTTCCTCGGTAGGTGAAGAGATCATCCTTGGTGATATCATTCTCAGTGAGGCGCTCATTCAATATGACTTTGGACGACAATACCCCACCACGTTCCAGACGAAGCACACTCTTGATGATCAACCTGGAAGAGCGCCCCTCGAGGTGCGAGCTTTGCTCAATAGACTGCGAACGGACAGAGGGAGACAACGACTACAAAAGAAGGTCGTGCAATATCTCTCTGATCCAAAATTGCCTGTCAAGTACACCAGATATCCTGGTGCAAACGCCGATGTCCTCTTTGAACCTTCTTACCGCCACGTACATCGTGCTCGCGCCGATTGTTCCATTTGCACAGAAAACCGCGAAATCTGCTACCAAGCAGCGGCTGCAACCTGCGATGAAATCAGGTGCGACTTGGACCGACGTCTTCCCCGAGAGCGTTTGTGTCACGAAACCCCGCCAGGTTCACAGACGCATTGTCCGTTCATTCATATTGGTAGGATGGCATCAGGCGACACAGTCATGAAATCCGCCGAACATAGGGACATTCTTAGTCGTCGAGAAGCTGTCATCGCTTTCGAGATGGAGGGAATAGGAGTTTGGGATCACTTCCCGAGTCTCGTTATAAAAGGCGCAAGCGATTACTCGGACAGCCACAAGAACAAGGCGTGGCAGGTCTACGCGGCTGGCACCGCTGCGGCATGTGCGAAGGCATTTCTAACAGAGTGGATATCTGGGGCCCACCCTATTAGAGATGACCTCCTTCCAATCCGTTTACTGCAGTCTTCGCCTTATAGTCCACCATCGGTATCAGATTCTGCTCTTGTGAGATCAGATTCATCGGTTCCAGCGAGTATGGCTTGCTTTGAAGCTCTTCGATCTTCATGAACGCATTACTGACAAGTGCAGATACGTCGGTTCCGGCAGGCAATGTACATTGGATGCTTACACGTTCTGTCAATACGCTATTTACTGGCAGAGAGGGCATCTTAGAAGATATAGAAACTGCCATTCGTCGCAGTCTCAATGACACGGAAAGCACCGTCCAGCGCAGATTTGTTATTACTGGGATGGGTGGCCAGGGAAAGAGTGAGCTTTGCCTTAAAGTTGCAAACTCGATGAGACAATTGTAAGTTTCCTGGCCTATGTGTGTTGATAGCCAATGCTAATCCATACCATATTTTGGGGCGTTTTTTGGGTAGACGTGAGCTCTTATGCCATCGCAGAAAAGGCATACATCAAAATTGCGAAAAAGCTGAATCAGAATGCAGCTAGTCTCCCCGAAGCGGTTCAATTACTTGCAGAGGTTGGACATTCGTGGCTCCTTATCATTGACAACGCCGATGATCCTGCTCAGGACTATGATGCATATTTCCCTCCTGGTAACCGAGGTATTGTACTGCTGACCAGCCGGAATCCGGACTGTCGTACCCATCAAACCACTGGCTTCGAGTCTCTGAAAGGACTGCCGACTAAGGATGGCGTACGCCTGCTCTTCAATGCAGCCAACACTCCTCCGGAGTGGCGCGAAGAGTTTGGCCCTAGTGCAAAAAATGTTTGCCAGCTCCTTGGACACCATGCTTTGGCACTGATTGCTGCGGGATCCTACATTGGTCGTGGGCACTGTGATTTGAACCAATACCCAGATATCTATCAGAAACAATCAACTCGTCTTTTACGGTCAGTCGACCTAGCACCCACATGAGAGTTAACTTGGCATCGGGTAACATGCTAAAACAAGACTATAGATTCCATATTCAACAAGCACAATCTCGTTACGGTCATGTATATGCCACGTTCGAAGCATCTGCTCAGATTCTAGAGGCATCCGGCGAAGAAACCGCCAAAGACGCACTTGACATGCTGTGCACACTGTCTATGCTGGGTGCAGGAGAAATGGCAATGCTTGGAGCAGTTGAACTCCCCTTAATAGTCTTCCAAGCTGCATGGGAAGGGGCACGGAAAGTCTATGCATTTGATGACGACAATGAGGATGACGTGGATGGCCTCTCCAAGTGGCATACCTCTTTGTTGCCGTCCTTCGTGCAGTGTGAGTCGACAGAATGGGACAACTATCGTGTAGTCGAAGCGAGCCACCTTCTGGCGTCTTTGTCACTGATTATCGAGCACAAGCTGGAGCACTCCACAACTGTGTCCATGCATCCTCTGGCACATAGGTGGGCCAAAGGGCGGCAGGCAGAGGCTGACCAAAGTCGGTCATGGTTGTCTGCAGGGGCATTGATTGCACTTGCCTCACACTCACAGGATAAGTTCAAGCACTGGCACCTGCCTGAAAAACAACTTCGACCGCATCTGCATGCATGGCTAAAACAGAAAGAGACTCGTTCATTCTCTGCTGAAGATCAACTGAGGATTGCTCGGACGTTTACGACAATAGCTTGGCGCCTACACAGGATGCGGGACGACAGTGCACTGAAAGATTTGCTCATTTTCATGTTCAAAACTTTCAACCTTGATCCGCTGGTACCCAAACACCCCTGGCTTTCCCTGTATGACCTGAAAGCTAGAGCTTTACGAAACCAGGGTCAAACTACGGAAGCGATCTATATACTCGAGCATATCAAGAAGATGGAGGAGACTTTACCAGAAGACAGTCCACATAGGCTTCATACTCTACACACTCTTGCCTTGACATATAACCAGGATGGACAGGCCGGCAAGGACGGCGAGGCCGTCAAGCTTCTCGAGGAAGTGGTTCGGATCCGAGAAGCTAGCCTGGAAGACAACGATTCAGATTTACTCAACTCCCAACACGCACTGGCGCGCGCTTATCAGTTCATTGGTCAGGACAGGGCCGCATTCGCTATTCTTGAGAACGTTGTCTTTCGTAAGGCGAATATGCTGCCGGAAGAACATCCTCACCGTCGAGACAGTCAACATGAACTAGCAGTGATGTATTTCGAGAGTGGTCAGATCGAGAAAGCCATCGAGCTGATGAAGAAAGTCGTGGATGTCGATGCACGTATTTTAAGCACTGACGATCCTTCTCGTTTGGCGAGTGTTTGGGAGCTCGAGAGATTTGAGCGAGCTCTGCGCCGCGAAAGGGAATAAATGGTAATCATGATGCCACACGGAATGCGGTCGAGTGACGGGCGACAAGAATGATCAGATGAATGTCATTTTGCGCCGATACATATGCTGTCCTTGCACAGTTTATGTCTTAATGGAATAGGCATTACCTCTCACAGTGAGAAGACATCAAACACTGACCACGTTCAAGTAACATCGTGATCTATATCTACCTTAGTAAGGAGACAGTCAGAACCGCCAGGTTGTTTGGCCTTATTCGAGTCATCGACCTCGGGAGGTACCGTTGCGTCATTAGAAATGAAAAGACAAAAGAAATCACAACTATCCGTAACTAAGCTAGGACCACCTGGGCAGCGCCCATCTCATCCACCTCGTCCTCATTTGTTTTACTCTTGGGGATGTCAGGGACAACGACAAAGAGAGATTGCGACTACAGGACTTCTTCGCTCGTTATTGCGGCCACGCTTGGAATAATAGGTTTCTTTGGTACAAAATGCCTTTGTCGACTAAGGAGGCAGACAGCGGTAATTTTCGATTCCTCTCCCCAGAATTTTCTCATGTCTGTATTCTGACTTTAGTTCAAATTAGAATGTAGGAAGTGTAACCGTCGGCGCATTCGCTGTGACAGGACTCTTCCCCAATGCTTGAAGTGCAGCTCGCGGGGCTTCCCTTGTCCTGGATATAACAAGCGACTCAAATGGATTTGCGGAGCCGTAAGCAAAGGACCAAATCGTCGGGATTTTGTGTCCACAGAATCCCCCTCGAAAGACTTAGAACCCGTTCCTCTACCGCTCACCAACGCGGCAAAGGACGATTCTACACCATCGCAACTTTCGTTGGGCAGTCTCAGCATTCCTGGTTTACCATATTGTATGGAGCTTCTTCACTCCGTCCCACATATCGTTCAGAGACCGGCTCTTCTTGACCACTATGTTAGAGTTGTATCGAGTCAATTGGCGTGGTACGAAGATGGCTCAAACCCTTGGTGTCAGCTGATACTACCGCTTGCGAGTCAGTCACCTTCTCTTATTGCTACCGTCCTTGGTCTCGCAGCTAGCAACATTGGATCCAGGTTATCCGACGAGAATCATGACAGGGCTATTTGCCTTCATGCTATGTCCTCGTACCGTGAGAAAGCTTTCGCATTGCTTGCTGAAGACCTCAAGGAGCTGAGGTGCTGTGTCGATATGACTACTCCAAGACGCCAGTTTTTGAGAAATACCGTCATAGCAAGTATCCTGTTGCTGTCCTACCTCGAAGTGCATTGGCCTTTGTCTGGTATATGGCGAACACATCTGGATGCTGCCCAAAAAGTTAACAGTTATCTTCTCCCTATGATGGGTGATGACTCTATAAGTAAATTCCTATCTGAGGAACTGCTTGCCGCTACTACATGGCCACTTTTGACAGATTACACAGCTAATATAACCTGCGGATCCATTTCTGATGAGATCCTGGTGACCGCCAAGTTTGACAGTCAACTATTCATATTTACTCCCTTCCTTTCGATCCTGAGGCACATTACCAGCATTGAGCGAAAACTCAGCGAACAGGTTCTTGGGCCAGAGAGGCATATATATCTAAAGAAGGCCTTCTTGCAAGTGCAATCGGCCCTCTTAGAAGCACGGGCTTCAGCCATCAACCTACTCCCCTCAAAACTATCTCTTTGTACTAGTTCTCACATGATCGACGTTCGTTGTCTTGTCGACGCCTACTTCCACGCAACTACGCTTTACAGCTGCCGAGCACTCCTTGAGGATAGTATTACACCCGACATTCTTTTCGACCTACGCACCAAATTGTTCCACTCGCTACTGACTTTCTCGAATCCTGACTCTTGTCCTCAAGATCAACCTTGGCCGCTGTTCGTTGCAGGTACTGAAAGTGTGGATGACCTGAATAGTCAGCATTGGGTTGAGCAGCGTCTACACTCCATCATGCACTTATCCTGCGCTATTGACCGACCACGCATGCTCAACTTCCTCAAGGCATTCTGGGAGCAAAAGCAAGAGAGAAATTGGATCAAATATGCTCGACAGTGGACTGCAGTTGAACACAAATTCTTGATTCTTTGATTCTTCAACCCTGGTCGTTTTGAATGACTTTATAGTTTCTTACAGTCGCACAGTTTCCTCATCTTCGACTCCGAACAAGACCTGCATCGGGTCTTTGTACTTATAAAACCCAACGGCCGGTTGACTAATTCCATACCCAAGAAGGCGCTGTACCTGAGGGGAGAATCTTTTCGCTTCCTGGGGTGGGACTGCTAGCGTATGGTTCTCTTCTGGCCGCATATAACCCTTGCACATGAACAAGCCGATAACCTCACGGATTTGGTCACTATATGATCGGTCAGCAATCGGCAGTCCAGGCATACGCAGATCTTTCTCCTTACCTAGTCTTGTTGGCCCCACCGGCATGGTACAAGTTACCACCGAATATCAAAGCATCGCCAACGTCAAGCTCGACTGCAATGGCTTCCTCGTTCTTTGGAGCACGATCTAGACTCCACAAGTGAGAGCGAGGTACTACCAGTGTTGCACCATTCTCCTTTGTGGATTTGGTCACGGCTACCAATAATCCCATCATACAAGAGTCGAGTCCACTAGGGAGGTGGTAGTCACTGTAGATACGTAACAATCCACCAAGTCAGCGTCTAGCTCCGAGGTTCAACAGTATTGGCCAGCAAAACGTCGTAAGATATGGTATGACGTACCTGTCATCACGGTGAAGATCCTGCTGGCGAGTGCCTGGTAGGATCTGGAAGCCAAAAGTGCCGGCCAGAATTGGCTTGCTGGTGAAGGCTGCCCGCCTCTCACCATACCACGGCGAGCATCTGCTCGTTAGAATCGCATTGCAAGCGTCGATCCAGAGGTTGGAAGTGGCAAGTTCTACACAAGCATCCGAAACTCCAAGCAATCCTGTTGCACGGCGAGTGGTTGAAGGGAAAAATCCAGACTTGTCCGGTACGTCGGCTTCAAATGTGGATTTGAGCTCCGTTCTAATCCTCCCAGCATGCTCCGGGCTGATCAAGCCTCTGACAACGACACCTCCGTCCCGCCTGAGAATCTCGACGAGTTTCTGATGGGTTGTGGAGGAATCTGTGGCGTCGAGGTGCTCAAGCCGTGGAGCTTGTGAGTCATCGTCCTTCGGTCCGTGAGGTAATATCGAATCAGTGGTTGTAACAGTGGTGGTGGCCATGATTCTTTTATCTGAAAGATGTTTCGCTGGAAATGTGAGTAGAATTGATGTTGACTGAAGAACTTTTGGATTGAGGTTGTAGTTCCTCCTTATCTACCTTTTTATACAACGGGACCAAGAAGGCTACGACCGTCTCGAGTATTGTTGTCAGAGTGCTTTTCTCCATTTTCACCCACGGACTAGGTCAAGATAACCCGGGACGTACAGACCTCAGAGTATTGACTGAGACACGACTCCTCCGGATGAACCACAGATTTAATAGGCTGTTATTCATTGGCTTGGAGGGACCCTCCTCAATCAAGATGTCTAACTCGGCAGTCGTGTTAGCAACATGCTACGGGCTGTGATTGAACTGATCGAATTATCATCCCTATCCATCAAATTCAAGCGTAAGTACACAGTCTACAAGCACAATAAACCGGCTGATTAGTGCTAGGGACGATAGGAGATCTCTCCGCCGTTCCCCATCAATTAGGAATAGTTACGTCGGGAGAGCCAAAGGAACCCGAGGAGCCCGAGCGAAGTACTTGGTTTGAAAAGTCTGGATCGAGCTCACAGGTGGAATTCGGCAGTTCCTTGGTGGTCTAGTACTACGGGGAGGGACCTCAATATGGACAGGACAGGACAGCACGGGTGGTTGTGAACCTAAAGGTTCCTGGGTGCTAGTAGTATATTCTATGCGGATTTTCCACGCCTCCACGGTCATCCAGTTAGGTTTGTAGACTTTTGGTTAGCGTGCTGCTTCTCCCAAAACCCCTTCGAAATTGGTTTAGTCCCCTCGGCAAGTCACAATTTGCGACACACAAGATTTTCCAATTGTTGATATATCACCCCGTGAATCGTTCTGATACAGACATACACGAACGATCAAGCAGTGGACCGAAGTCAAGCGAAGTATTATCATTGCCGCTGAGTTTAGTCAATCGAACTCAGGCTAAATGGAGCTTCGATGGCACCATGAATGGGACGGGCACGGTATTTTCCCGAGATCGCTAGCCCATGTCCTGATCGCACATACTCCCAGATTTAGCCTGCTTGGTGCTGTGTGTATGGCTGCGTCTACAGAATCGGAGGATATTCCTCGAGATCGCTAAAGTATCAATTTCTTGTCGGATCTCGGCATTAGCGCCTGTAAAAGTCAATCGGATCGCTGGACGTACAAACGATTACCCGCTAAGACTTCTGTGGTGCGCGAAAGGCGTCATAATTGCCAATCTGAAGAAAAACCAAGAACTTTTATGAACAAAAGAACATGCCCAGAGTAGTTGCAGCCGTGGCGAGGTTTGGCGAAGCGGTTGACGGCACAGAATGATTTGATAAACACGTGGCATGGCAAAGGAAAGTGGACCAGAATTTCTCGGCAACTGAAGTGATGAGCTGTCTGACGGGAAGATTGTTTCTGTGATCGCAACTAAATGAGATAGTAGAGTTGTGGTTTTAGAAACTGTCTGACCATTTCAATCGCCAGAAGTGGAATGCCCAGCCCCCGGAAAGCTTCTCCGAATCCCCACCCGTTCTCAAAGCAAGCCTTACCGACGTCATATCATCCCAAAGGCTGACGACTCCCATCAACATTACCTTTCTTGGCCTCGATCACACGACAGAACGTCACGGCGTGATGGTCGAACAACGTCACTCCTGGCGCTCACTGTAGATAATGGAGGATGATCTGCATTGAGCATCCAGGGAAAAAACCGGTTGAGGCTCTGGGGTGGGGGTCTGATATCACTGGTATTGATGGGTTTGATATCAGGAAGGCTCGCCTATGTCGAGGATATATATTCCATTCCCTTCGCTCTTTCCTGCTCGAAAGTGTTCTTCAAGACATAAAAACTATCTCCACTGATAATCAACCTTTCTACCTGAGTTGATAAACACTACGCACGACCTAGACGATACCTGGTATAACAACTATTCCTACCAGTACTTCGCTGCGCAACAACTACTAGCATCCCTATCGCATAACAATACAACGCAATGCCTTCACGACACGAAAAATCCTCCACAGTACGTCTTCTGCTGCCTTCCCTGTTCCCATAAACTCTACTAACACTCCCGCTCAGGGCAATGTATGTCTGTACATGCTCGCGATCTTCATCCCACCAGTGGCAGTGCTCCTCCGCTCCGGATGTGGAGCTTCCTTCCTAATCAATATCTGCCTTACAATACTTGGCTGGATTCCCGGTGTCATCCACGCATGGTATGTGATTTCGCGACGCGAGAGGACGAAGGTCGTCAAGACCCATACCCATACTTCGCGACCGGTGCGTCAGCCTATTGTCATGGGTGGCGGACGACCGCCAATGGCCCAGAAGCGCAGACGCTGGTAGATGTGGATTCGGATGAACTTCCATTGATGTATTTTGATCGATTGATTATGGGTTGACCAGATCAACCGGATGGAGTGGATTTCAGTGTGGAGGCTACTTCGGCTGAGGTGAGCTGAGATGAGAAATCAGTTCTTTACGATGATGGAAGGGATGGCATGAGGGCAGTTATTGCCATGACAGATGGTTGCGATGATAATGTTGGGTACCCGGGCCTCATCCTGTTTCCATTAGGTCCTGTATTTTTAATGATTGAAAACGAGAAGCGAGCATGCTTGGTGGATACAACAGACCACATCTGTATCAGTATTGAAGTTGAAAGATCAAAAATCCGATCTAGCTTTTAGACTGGAAGAAGATTTCAGAGGCGCTGGAGCGATTGAGAACCTTTTGAAAATTCACTCCTATTTTCTAATGCTTCTATGGATACAGAATCCCATCATATAAGTGGACATCTAGGAGACCAGAACTAACTCGTATAAGTTTCAAGTTAGAAGGATTGTCGTTGTAAAAAGCGTCCGGATGAAAGTGAGGGTCCATTCTAAACAAGAGGGAGCATTTGTTCACTTGACAATTTGTATATAAGTTTTCGACATTTGAACCACGAGAACCTGATTACTATTTTCGGCGTGGCCCAGCAGCTGGCGCTGAGCTACCTTACAGCAGCAAGGCCTACTCGTAGTCGGTGGTTAGTATTCGTTGCTCCAATATCTTTCTACTCCGCCGCAATGCTTCATCGATCTACTAGCATGCCGTACACAAGAGTAACCTAGCCTCGCTATCGACAACTTTTTGGGAGTTGCTGGACATCAATCACAGGGAGAGCATGAGATTGTTGTAGCAAGCTACTTCGTCCCAGATCTATGAAAGGTGCATCACTCCTCTGAGAACAGGATTTTGGGATATCTCCACCGAACATCACTTTTTGGATAGCGACGCAAGCCGGACGGCAGTCTTGTCCCTGACGAACTTCCTCGTCAATTTCACAGGCTCAAAGGACATTTTGGAAGCTCGCCTGCAGTTCCTCAACGTTCTAGGGAAGCGAAGGTGTTATCGGCTACCTCCACAGCCCCAAAGAGGGAGATATGAATAGAATGAGCATATGTCATAACGGCGACTATGGCTCGAAGTCTGGTTGTCATTTTTTCGCCAGCTAAACTTGCTGTAGTTTTCACACAGCCAGGGAGATGCTCTGCCGAGCGCAGAATGATGAGACTCTAATCGGTCTAGCTGGAATTTGCGCTCAGTGGCTTTGATTGGTACGATGGACGTCTACAGCAGCCCCAAGTTGAGCTTCCACCCGATGAATGGGATTTGCGGTGGTTGCCATTCGACTTAGGCATTTCGTGGATGGGCGGCCGCCATTCACTTCCGGCGTTATTCGTGTCTCGACCTTAACAGCTCTTCTCAGCCCCAGACGATAACCGTGCGAGTTCTGTAGTGCCATCAACTGCCATAAACGCCACCGCCAACCCCAGAAATACTGAATCTCCACAAACACGAACTACAAATCCGATATCAGGGATGGTACGACTGTTGCACAGACCTCGCAACTCGTATACAAAGTTCTGGTAGACGCAGCTGAACTCCAAAATTCCCTTAATGAGCCTCGTCCTCCTCCATTTGGTCGATGTGGCCTGTGCTTTGAAAATGGCTACATCTCGCCAAGTTTAGCACGGCGACAAAGATTTGGGACACAGCTTGATATAGAATCAGCTGATGTTGCAAAAAGAGACGGTGGAAGAACATAAATATGACAGAAATAGTTGGACCGGGGTCCAGCTCCCAACCACAGGCTTTCATCATCTAGATCATATCCAGATTTACAGTCTCGGTATTGTGAGTGCGGCCAAATATATCTCTACTTCCTTCGTTGAAACTTTCGCCTCGGACTTCGAGGTTATGGCGAAACATTGGCTCCTTTTGACCCTCGCCCTGGGTTGGTCCAGCGCGATGAGCTTCGCAGGGTTGGGATCTTTCCACGACCATGCGCTCGCGAACCCACTATTGTACGGAAGGGCTGTACCGCCTCCACTCTGCAACTCGACTGAGATTAGCACGATGAACATGGGGTCATGCGTCTGTCGTGAACAGCAGTTCGGCTGCTCTTCTCCTCCGATGAACTGCTCGGTCTGTCCGAACAGCAAGGGAGAATTTCTCACGGCCTTCAAGAACGTCACGACGTGCCTAGGAGGATGCACCGACAGGGAGGCGAGCTGCCAAGGATGCGGCCTATGGTTCCATAGTCTGTGTGACTGCTTGAAAAATCCGCAATGGTGCAACAAAACCAGCGGCCCCATCAAGAAAGACACTGGTCCCATCTGGGTCCTCCTCTCGCAACCAGGGGCAAAGGAGAATCTCACCACGACCAACGAGCGCGTTTCCGGAATCCTCGACACGTACGAGAAGCCCAAGTTTTTCGATGAAGGCTGGGAATTCTCGCAGTCCTGCTACAAGCCCCAGGAGCAAGCGTTGGCCATGAACTCCGTCCGCGTGAGGACTCACGAGCAGATCCACACCCACATCTGCAAGCGCAACGACGCCATGTACAACTTCCTCGGTGCGGAAAATCCCAACCACTACAACTCGGAGGATCTAACCCTCGTCTCAAACTATCCAAACAATGACGGGAAAGGCACCGACATACTATGCTTGGTGGTGAAGAATGGCGATCCCGTGAAAAACTTTGCGAGCGCCTTGGGCCAACTGTTTGCAAAATATCCAAACACTTGCCAACAGCGAATTGGACAAGCCATTCTACAGGACAAATACAAGAATACTTGGGCATGCGCAACTAACACTACTAATGGACCGCTGGGATTGTTTTGCGGTAAATAGGAGAAGGACTGCTGATCAAGAATGGGACATAGCCATGGGTTTGTAAGTCCGATTACTGGAGGCGAAATCTTTCCTTGACGCTTATTTCATACATAGCCTTCTAGCCGCAGATACTCGAATGAAGTCCAATAGCCAAAGGCTAATATGAAAAGCCAGCGGCTTGAACCAATTCTCTTCTTGAAGTGCCCGATTATTAGGCCTTCATATGCTCAACTTTTGGCACTAATCATTTTGATATCGATGATACGCACGCTTCAAGTCCTTTTCAAGTCCAGCTATATGTGCATTGCCAATATTCGCACGATCAAGGAATGCAAGTAAAGAAACCGCGATAACCAGGGGGATAAATAGGCAGTCGCCATTTTACAATAGACTTGTCTTCACAGGATATTACAACTTTCGCCGCTCGACGTAGATCTTTCGTGAATATGCGGCCGGCCCTTTACATCTGGCGTTATTCGTGCTTGGAACCCTAAGAGTAACATGGGATTCGGATTCGGATCGTGCGAAGGCAAGATCCTGCCCTATGATTGGGAGTCCTTCCATAATTTCCAGAGCAGGATTCGGATCTCCACATCCAGAAGCAGGAATACTAGGTTCGAAGTTACGTCTCGACTCGAAAGTATGATAGTCCATTCAGATTTGAGCGAACTATATTGAAAATCATTCTCAGCATTGTTCATTTTGGAAACGATGATTGAGTTTGGGGCAGTGGGTTAGTGTGAACAACGTCCTCTCGGACTGTTTCCTTTCGATCAATTGATTGGTGTGCTGCCATTGGTAATGTTCGATTGGGTAAAGGGGAGATTTGTCCAATTGAGTAAGGGAGAAGTATATCCCCTTGATATCATAGGTGTCCTCCTGATGACGAGGAGCCAAAGGGTGGCAAGGGGTATACCAAAAATCCAACCCAACAGCTGAACATGGTTCTTGGCTACTTGCAGATCACAAGTCGATATGGATGCTGAGGGAGAGGCGTAGAGAACCTTCAACTCGATGAGAATTGGACAGTGGAAATCGTGTCGAGTGTCTTTGTCAAGACAAGAAACACTGTGAGCTACCTAAAGGGTACCTCCACATTAGGCACAGTCATGCGAACATGATAGTCTATCATAAATAGAGAGATGGGTGAATGGTGAAATTGATAAAGATGAAAAGATTGGCTAAATCATCAGGCATTTGGCCAAACATCGTTCCACCATACTATGTTTAGTGCTCTCTCCGCGAGTGTTCCCCAGAGATCCAGAGTTGATTTCATGCAAGACTATTCGGAGGTGGCCAGTGACAGCACAGGGTGATCAGGATTTGGTGCTTGTCAGAGCACGCCACCCTGGATTGAGTGTAATAAGCTGGAAACATCAAGGAGACGAATCCCTGCCTCAGATGGTGGAGAGATGGGATCAGGGGCATGATGAAATGTTCGAGAAGTTAGAAAGATTTGAGATCATGAGAGTTGATGAAAAGTTCCAGCCAGATGTTGCACATGGAGAGGATACTCCATAAGGCTTTGACGTTTTCAACGGGCCTTTCGAGTCTGAACTGTTTTAATTAGTAACGTCAGAATTGTCTAAAAATGTCTGCAGGGGAAAAGTAGCGGGCGCGGGACGGGACGGTCGTGGCTTGATACATTTGGACACTCTGCATGGACGACTAACCAGCTGTTCTGTTCCTGGAGGCCTCCGAGCTGTAGTGTGCGGAGAATACTCACAATGCTATCCGGAGTATGGACACCCGCACCTACTCGTACCTAGAACTTCGAGGATGCTACGAGTGGTCTGAGAAGGATATGTTTAGAGGCTACCTTGGATGGTTGGGTATGGCTGGTATGTCAGGCCAGGTTGGCCAGGTGAGACAGGCCGCTTCACATGATTAACAAATGTCTTGAGCCTGGTTAATTGTTCTTGTTGCATGTTCAGCATACATGTGAAACAGCTGACTGTTGTTCCACAATGCTAGTAAGACGCGAGTCATTTTGGCCAGTCCGAACGTCACGATTCATGACGCATGAATCTCCATTTCTGCTTTGTGGTATCCGTATGCAGAAAGAATTTCGATTCGATTGATTCAAATGCAGCATCTACCCCAGTGCAAAGATCATCTGGTTTCGTGCAATAGTGGTCAGCCTGAGTAGGAAGTAGCAGCTGGAAGAGCCGGTGGGACAAGCTGATACCAGGTGCTATCTCAGACTGCCTCGAACTTAACCAGGCTTAAGTAGCCGCCAAGATTTCATCCTTCCGAAAAGGATCACGCCTCATTGAGACTGGTGGACCCCCACTACAAAAGGTTCAGGGATCTCAACGCCTGGAACAAGGATTATGGGAGGCCTATCTTCGAGCTGAAATGGTAGGTGGATGGAGAGATCGAGCAATGAGTATCTCCCACGCTCAATAATGTTGTCAAGTTCCTACTAGGAGACGACTGGAATCCCTTACCTCTCTCTAGCCAAAGTTCTGCAGACTGAATTGCAGCTGTAACTGGTATGTGGGGTGCGATCGACATTTGACGCCGGAACCGCTCAAAGACTTGGTGAAGTAAACTCGTACTCCCCACATACTAGTCAGAAGTAGGCAGTTCAGCGGGCATTGCCAATGTGGGTTCAATATCACAGCGTCTTTCAACAGGATATGGGTTAATCCGATAGAGCAAATGTTCTATATTCCAGTTGAACGGCCTTGATATAAATCTCAAAACAGGTGCAGCCGGAGGACTCGATACGGAGCAATAAATTGAGACTTGTATCGTATGGCCACAGTAACTTAGCTTCCTTCCATGTAAGGGATGTCGATGTGGAGAATCAATCACTGACGTTTGCTCTGTCTTTTGTGGCTGATGTCTTTGAGGAGAACAAAATGAGTGGCTGAAGAGGTAGACGAGTTTCTTAGTCTGGGTTTCGTACGGAGTATACCTAAGTACGATTTTCCTCTCCTCACCTACCTTGTATCCGTACACTGTAGTTGGAATGTAGTTTAATCAAGACCGGCTCAGAATGGCGCTTTTTAATTTTTCGTGGTTAGTTTGATCGAGAATGTTCTTCAACCCTATCAAGAGTTGGAGTGGAGGAGGAGGAAGCCTTAATTTCCACACCGTCGAGCTTGTTATCACATCATGAATCGTGTCCACGGATATCCCTCCTCATGATTATTCCTATGAAGCTGGCCGGCATGCGACACGGTGCCCTTTGTTACTAGAGAATCTTTGATTTTCATAGGCTTGCAGCATATTTGAATCTGGCCGGGGGAAGTCCGGTTCCCACAGGCTAAAGTATCAGATATTATTACCAGTTGTAGCAGGTGCCAGGTGGGACAAAATTCCTCCCTCTTTGCTGTATCTCACAACTTGGCCGACCATTGGCTCCTGAAAATGATCGACCGAACCAACCTGATTGAGCATAAGATTGACATTTCCGGGTGGGGAGGTATAAGGGCTAAGTATCTTTAACAACAAAGTGCTGATGAGAGTCAACTGTAATGAGACACTTTTCAACGCATCAGTTTGACTGATGTGAGGCAGTCATCCTCATGAAAATGTAACTATACACAACCCTAGCGAAGTTGGCAGCAAATGAATTTGGAGAGACACCAGGACTCTGACAGGTGGAGGTTCCAGTGACTGATCCGAAGTTTGCCAGGGTCATGACAACGTGCATGAAGTCTCATGCAACAAGTAAAGTTGTTACGTGTACAGTCTGGAGTAGGAGTACCTCGTACTCAACACGCAGTTTGAGACAGTGGTTGATGCAACCAAACCTGTGTCGAGGGAAGTAAAGTCACCATGTGATGTGATGAAGCGCTCGAGATGGAATATGGATGGCAATCACAATCCCTATCCGTGTGACCCTGCCCTATGGCCATGATGATGGTCAAAATGTAAATATTGCGTATTGATATAGGCTGGAAAGAGGCACTCGGGGGGGAACGGGATGGGCACTCGATCCCGAGTCAAGTTTCGTAGCGGGCCGAACGGGTGGAGGAAGAGGCAAGCCCAGAGGCTCGACAAGCCCATCTAGGGCAAGACAGGCAGTGGGTGACTCCTTGAGAGTTGAGATGCGTGCCAGTGGTGGGTGTCAGTGGCGGTCGACTATTCTCCTAGGGTGTGCCCGGCCTGGCTAGGCAGGTCATTTACGGGCAAGCTAATGCTTTGTGCCTAACAGGACTCGTCCCCACCCGCAGCTAGTGCGAGTTCTGTGACTGGGCCAGAGAAATGGGCTTCAGCATCCTCCACCTCTTCCGCCAGATGGGTTAGCGTGGAAGGAGAAGAAGTCCCATTCCCACCGTCAACTGGCCTGCAGAGACCAGGCTACGCTTCGGGGACGCTCTCGCACGTACGGGCACTGATCACTGACCCTTCAGGCTTTTGCGGTTGGCTTGTGCCAATCCTCTAGGCCCTGCATCTCCGCTCTAGCATCAAGCAGCTAGCTCAGACGCACTGACTACTTTCAACTTGGTCCTCCTTGACCACGTTGCGAAATCCACCGCAGTCCCTGTAACTTGCTAGGCTTGTTCTTTCCGCCCATCTCGCCATTTCCCACTTGTGACTTGACACCGCATCTTTTCTCCTCCCCCCCAAACCCGAGCAGCAATCCTCTAAACCCTAGCATTACTGCTTCCGTACCTCCTCCACCACTTTCTTACAAACCTTCCATCAACTCTCGACTCCGCCTTTGCAACTCACTCATCCTCGTCCTCATTATCTGATGCACCCAGCTCCTTGCTACCTATTGCATATCTGCATGCTCTAGCCACCGCCATTCTACCACCCTCCATATCTGCTATTCAACTTGGAATTTTCGTCATATCTGGATCGTTGTCCGTTCTGTCTTCACCGCATCCTACCACGATTCTTTCTCTTCACCTGTCAGTGCATCACCACCTGGCACGAGCTGAGCCACCGATATCATGTCCTAGGTCGTTCTGTGGCGAAACAACTATACATCGTCTTTAATATTCCTCATTGTTTCACGCCTACCATGGCCCAACCTACTAGTGCTCATTCGAGCTTCGTCTATTTGGTCGAGAATATTCCGGATTGGCAGAAGGAAGTCGATGTTTTGGCAGCACGAACCTTGGCTAAGAATGGTGAATTCAAGGCTGAGTATCTTCGACTTGTGAACCAGATCAAGCCGAGACGGAGGAAGTCACCCTCACTTGCATCCATCCATACCCTCGATGACCTCGAACAGCCCACCTCCGAACATGTCCCTTCAATAGTTGGAGGTACTGATTCCAGTGATGTCCCCTCTCCGCCCGACCGTATTGAGATTGATCCTCTTGAAGCCGGGAATCGACATATATATGCACAGGCCAGGAGGATAAGGAAGCCAGGCCCTTCGGTTCGTTCTGGTGCTTCTGGTCCTCTAAAAATCCGCAACAAGAACCAAGTCGTGGTTTACTACGATAGCTTTGTGCAGGAACGTCTAGATACATTGGTGAAGCAGCTTGGAAGTGGCCGAAACAATCTCCGCAAGGGCAAGAATGCACTGGTTGCTGCCAAAGGCTTTCAGCTCCCTAGACTCAGCCGAGCAGCAGTGCGAAACTATGACTCGATAGACGATATCCGAAGCATTCTTGCCTCACGCAGCAACCCTGCACTGCCAGGTGGGAAGAAATCAACCACTGCCTCGCAGTCAAACACTTCCGACCACGAGTCAACATTCTTCCAAGTCGACAAGGAGCTTGAATCGATCCAGTCGCTTTGTGAAGTGGCCGCACACCAATTTCTTCGAGATGGTGATTGCCAGATCGAAATGATTACAATCAAGCAGAAGCTTGGAGAACTACTGACCCGAGCAACCTCCTTTGCCGAGACTTTGAAAGTACTGGACGATCAACAGTTACAACAGGGTGCCAAGCTTGACGCAGACAACCGTTCGTTGGTCTCGGACAACAGTCATCATGATTCGGATGGCAGTCTTTCCGTTGATCACTCTTTTCTTGGTACACCCAAACTCATGGCCCACAAACCCTTTGCCATCAATCATACCCTGGACGACATGAAAGCTCGTGGAGCGTTCTTCAGCGGCCCAGACACCTCGTTTGGCACCAATGCCCTTGTAGCCGACAACATCGAAGTGGATGATGATAGCGAGCAGGAGGACATCATGGTTGACGTGGCCGCATTTCGGCTGGCCAAGGCAAGACAAGCACGAGTCTAAAGGCCTACCATCAACTAAAACTTTTTTTTCGAATTTTCTTGTGTATCTACCCATCTATCTACCATCTATCTTTGTGGCATATTTAGCGTTCTATTTTCATTTTGTTCAGAGGCATATTTGCAGCACTTTAGCGAGCTTGCGGGATGAAAAAATCAGACCAAGGAGTTTATGTGGAGAGGAGCGGATGAGGTTGGATGAGAGAACGGCCAACATCTATTGGTATTTGGTGGAAAATTATAACTACAGCTGTTGTACTGAGATATCAAGAGTCTCCTCACTAGGTCGAATCTTGATATGGTATCCGGCATCTGGTATCTACTATGTTCTCCTCCGAATCGAGGGAATCCGGTGAGCAATTACAATCGGATCAGCACACGCTGCTACTACTTCGTGGACGTCCAGGATGTTGACAGAGTCCTTGATCACTACAACGGGAATGAGAAGGCGTAGGAGAGAGGTGTGAAATGTGCATCAGATTGTGACGGCCGACTTGGGATATGGAAGGTTTTGTTTTTTGGGTTAACATGGTGGTTCACGGCCGAAGGGCAATGGTCGGGCGGGAAAGATCGTGGAGAGGAAGGCTCTTGAATTTTTTTTAATCCACAATGTGTTCACATTTTGGTTGATGGACGACTGCTGTGCATCTCTCACACACGCAAGCATCGTCACAGGCAAAGCCATTCGGATGAGCACCCTGGCCACCTATCTAAGGCTATCGCGTGCTTGAACACATTATCAGTGGTAGTGATGACAAAATATCAAAGCCGCATGATACAAACCGAACACCTTTCCCGATATCTCTTAACTCTTCTCCTCGTGCCTCGTTGAAACCCAACAGCTAGAGCAACACCTCTCTCTGGCCCCTCCACAGAGCCATCCGCTCATGTGATTTCTAAGATCCTCCCGAGGGAACCACATATCTCAAGTTGCTACAGACGTACTCGTAACGGACACCTGCACAGGACAGGAACTGATATCCGCGCGGAAGCCTTTTGAGCCAAAAGCCCCAGGGTCACATCCACATCCACATGCCACACCCGCTTGCGCGCACGTTATACCCAGTTCCGGAACGCCATCCTGATCGTCCCCCCTGCCCTAACCGCCACCATGGGCAACCTACTCACGACTCACGAGTCACGACACAGCTACGGAGTACGTAGCTAACTAGATAGTAAGTATCCGTAGTAGGGCTCGCCTTTTCTCTTATCATTCTTCTCGTTCCGATCTCCGGTTTCCGAGTTGCAAGTGCACGATCCCCGTCCGCAACTTGTTTCCGGAGCATGGGGTGGGTGGCTTGGGTAAATTGACGAGGGGTGGTGAGACAGTCACGGTGCTGGAAGGCCGGACGGTGGAAGTGGCGCTGTCAAACCACGAAGTACGAAGTAACTCCTACCTACTCGCTGGACGGGGTCTACACAACATGCAGTGTCAAAAAAAGACTCTTCGGGGATATGTAGGCAGGTAGCGACCACGAGTCTCGCAGCAAAGCCAGAAACGGCGAGCACATTTCATTTTCGTTGCACGTAAAGAACTTTCGCCTTGCGAGCTACTGTACGAAAGATGAGGGACCGTGCTCGGAAATGCTGTTTGCGGGATGTCACTTGGAGGCATTTACTGGCAGTCGCATGGGAAGGATACGACCCAAGGAGACAAGTCAAGAGATTTTGACAGCTGGTGCCAGTGGTGGTACGAGCGTAGGTTTTCTTGTTTGGACATGATCACCACACATTTACTTCTTAACTCCGAGGTAGTGGTCTGAGCACTGAGCACTGAGCATTTTGCATTGAGCATTGAGCAAAAACTAGAAACAGCTTGGTGGTCTAGATTTAGTTTTTAGACGTTGTAGAGCATCAGGAGGAAGGTTCAGGGCTCGAGTTGGGGGGAGAAGTGTAAATTAATTTACGTTGGACTAGTTGAGTCGCTTCCTCTGGTTGCGAGATTCTAACTTTGTCATTGCGTCACTTTCTGCAATGAGGCATGTACTGCTGCTGGGCAACACCTTGCAGCCTACCTGCAGAGTCTGTACTTTCCGTAGGTAGAATCGTCAACAGCCATGTGAGGACCCTTGCGTGCTGCAGAAAGCTTTCGCTTCGACAAGCAAGCCAGGTGAGCTGCAGTAACAGAAATGGCGTTCTGGAAATACCATCTTCATGGAGCTGAGAGGATATTGACCATGTCGATCAACGTTCGGAGGCATCCCCACTCAATGATAGCCCCTTCTCTGGCCAACGTAGGTCAGATGTCATTCAATACATACCCTCGACCCCAGCTCGGACTTTCTCAGTGAGGCTAAAGTGTCTCTTCTTGTCATCTTGATTGATACTGTGGTCGATCAACCATGGTCTGCTGACTGGATCCACACAATAGACTTGCCTAATGTCCATTGTAGATGAGGAACCCCTGAATTTCATCGTGGCGGTGAAGTAGTTCAGACCTGTGATTGATGAGACCACGGATCAATGAATCGATGCATTCATTTCGGTTGTGGGCTGGATCAACCACCGTTGCTTGAGATTTCAACAGCTGCATGACTTGCTTGTGCTTCTTGAACGACATTCCAGAAGAGTTGTTTCTTGACCTCACTGGCCAATAATCCCGCAACCTCTTCAGTCGAGATTTTGCTACCACCTCTGACTACCTGCTCCAAGGATCCATCACGTACAACTTTGAAATTTTTATCTCCAGAGCCGGCAAGCTCTTGACCACGGCGGCCAAGGGCAGCATTGGTTCGTTGCTTTTTGGCGGCTTCGTGTATTTTGATGGCGTGATCGGCGATTTGTTTTGATGCGTAGTCGCGGTTGGTGAATAGAGGTGATTGAGACAGAGTGGATGTCCAGTATTTATTCCATAATAAGCCCAGAAGATGAGTATCGAGTGCTGATTTGTAGTGTTGAACCTCCAAGGGATAGTAGGAATTTGCGTGGGTTCCAAAGTCTTCGATCTTTGCGGCAGGGATGGCTTGAAACTCGTCACTGTCATCGGTAAATTGCTTGGTTGTTGGACGTTGATTCTCCGGATATGTTCTAAAGGCACCGATTTCCACTTTACCTGCGCTGACAGTGCGGTCAGGGTCGATTACTACTGCAACAAAAGGGTCATTGACCATCTGATGCGTCATTTGGGTGTTGACATCGATTCCAGAGAGCCAACATCCATAACCGGGGTGGGAATGATACCAGCCAACGGGATTCTCCAACTGTCCACCACCTTCTCGTGAAGCAATACCAAAATTGACCATGTACTCGTCGGCATCAGCGTGGGCATTGACTCTTGTTTCTGTGCCTTCGACTGGCAATCGAAAAGCATCAGTGATGATGAGGGATTTGCCTGAGACGTACCCAATCATCAAGCCCATGATCTCGATGTTGCCTCCTGATCGGGCATGAGTGGTCATCTTGAGGAGAGCCAAAGCCGAGATTCGTACATGAGTGAAGTAGTTGGGGTCTTTCTTCCATGGAGCAGTATTTTGAAGCGCCTTATAGGCCTCTGGGTCGGGAAGGCTGTACAACGCATTTTGAGATGGATCAACGGTGATGATATTGTTCTGGGCCTCCCATTCGCGGAAGGCAGATACGGTCGACATGATGAGGTGATAGAGTGGAAGCGTGTATAGAGGTCCGGATGTGGGGAAGGATCTCAACACTCGATCGCACTCCCTCTTAGAATCGTGATATCTTGCCTGACTTTGAGGCAATGATGGAGATGGAGATAGAAGCGCAGTTGAACGGTTCTGCCAGTATTGACAAAGGCGGTGTTGGGGTGGAGTCGTGGAGGCGGTGAAAGGGTTGGTGGTTGCCTATCGATAATGCTCATCACGTGAGAACTCTTGTTGCTGTGCCAACTCATCGACAAACATTCTGCTCCACCACTGTTCAGCTTCTAGCCATGATGGTCTGGCGCAAGATGATTCTGATTCGTTGTACGCCGTGACCACAAGTTGACCAGAACTCTCCGTACTCGGTTCGCACCTGCTTTCATCTTTGCTTCAAATTCTCATCATCTACACGCCGATCGAATAGTGATTGCTCATCATCAAGTGCTCGGCCACGAGCCCGAGTTTGACGAGGACAACACACAATAGAGACATCATGCCAGCTCCAATGGATACCAGCTATCTCACCACCCAGGTCACTACCATCATCGGCCAACTACACTCAATATTCGACGAGATTGGTGTACCTCGCAATGAGCGCGATTCTCGCGAGACGGAACTCTTCGCAGCTCTCTCCGAGGCACTACATAACCAGCTGCGCTTGGTGAATTCGTACGTTTCTAGCTACCATGCTGCGTGCAAGAACTGACTCATGTGTGTAGTGAAAAGACCAAGCTGACCGAAGAGGCACAAAACATTATAAACACAATCAAGCAGATGGAAGCGTCGCTGGACGACGACAAGGATCGCGGCTATGATGTTGACACCAATGGGCTGCGCGTAACCTTTCCACTAATCGATTGTTTACGCGATTTGAAAGAGAAGTACAACATTATTAGCCGTCTGCATCGAGAGCGCTTTGATCAGGTCAAGAAACTCGTCCAGGCTCTCGAGTCTTATTCTTCCCATCTCGAATCGTCCTTTGTCAAAATCCGCCTCCCACCCACCACCTCCAACACATGTCCGCCCTCTTTCGACCTTTCTCCCTCCTTTGTCGCTGCGCTTGATGATGAGTTCACTCGAGTCTACGATGAATACAACAAGAGAGTCGTCATTGTGCAACAAACTTCAGAAGAGATAGTCCGACTGTGGTCCGAGCTGGGCATTCCTCAAGCTCAAACAGATTCCTTGATCGTACAGAACTATCGGGATTCGCCTGAACAATTAGGTCTCCACCAAGCAGATCTTGATCGCCTGCGCAGTCGCCGAGACAAGTTACTCGATGAGAAAAAGGGCCGTGAAAAGCGCCTGACAGAAATCAAGAAGAATATCGAAACTCTTTGGGATCGATTGGGAATTGAAGAGCCTGATAGAAAGGCATTTCTCGCTTCCAATCGCGGATGCGGTCTAAGGACAATCAACGAATTTGAGGACGAATTGGCGCGCTTGAACGAGCTCAAGAGACAAAATCTGCACCTCTTTGTCGAGGATGCTCGAGTGAGGCTTCAAGAGCTTTGGGATTCGCTTTTCTTTTCCGAAGAAGAAATGCTTGACTTTACTCCTGCCTTCTCAGACGTCTACAGTGATGCTTTACTCTCAGCACACGAGGCAGAGATCGAACGACTTGAAACGCTCAAAGAGCAACGAGCTCCAATCTTGGAAAAGGTCGAAAAATACAAATCCTTGATTTCCGATCGAGATTCCCTTGCTGCATCTGCCAATGACGCATCTAGGTTGCTACTCAAGCCACAGAAGGGAGAGAAGCGTGATCCAGGCAAGCTTCTGAGAGAAGAGAAGATGAGAAAGAGGATTGCGAAAGAGCTCCCGAAGCTCACCGCCGAGTTGGCAAAGATTCTGATCAGATATGAAGATGAATATGGACGCCCATTCTTGATTCATGGAGAGAATTTTCTCGACGAACTCGAAGAGGCTGAAGTCAAAGCGCCTCCACCTCGATCCAAAACACCCAATGGGTTACCTCCTCGAGCAAAGACACCTGCCCCAGCAACGAGCACTACAAAACCGGCAACCAGTGGTAGAGCAACCGCTCAACCAGCCCGGCCAGCCAGTGTCATGAAGGCGGCTCCCCCCACCGCCCGGTCGACAGCGAAAACTCCAACTGGTAGTCGACCAGGAACTATCAGACAGCAAGGAGGAGTCGCTGCAGCACCTCAGACCAAGTCTCCATCCAAGATCCCGGCTCGAGCGCCGACAACTGGCCTTAAGAGTGGAAATCAGTCCCCTGAACGTCGTGCGATCCCACGACCAACGGCAAATAGTCCTCAGAAGCAACTGCAGCATTCTGTGCAGGAGCCACTACAGCAGAATTACGCACAGAATGCAAGATCAATGGGCCCACCACGTGCGCCACCGCCGAAGATGAGAGATCTATTTGTACCACCAGAACAGACACCCTCAAACGCGATGGACTCATTTCCCGCTCCATCGGTGAATCGGCCATTAAGCACAGTTTCGTCCAGCTCCAATGAGAGTAGCCGATATGTTCGGCCCATAAGCCCAGAAGATGTATACCACGACAGTGAAAGAATGTCTTACATGTCGGCATCCCTGGTAAATCGGGGACAGGCACAATATCATCAACAACAACCCTTCCATCAATCACAAATCCATCACCAAGAATCTCATTACCCGCCCCAAAATCACACCCAGTCCGCTTATCAAAATCAATCCATACATCAACATTCCCACCAACCTTCTTTCTCTTCCTCAACTTCAATGCGAAGCCACGATACATCACACCAACACGTCCTCTCGGCACCTCAATCTACAATCTCCTCTCGACAACCCTCCAACACCTCTTCTAACATGACCACAGGCACGACAGCCTCCGGATCTGAGAACTGGGAAACATTCTCTGACGGCTCAGAAATGGAGCCCGAACGGGATGTACGAGACAGCTACTACGCCAAAGTGCAACAACATCAAGCCCTCTCCACAACCAACGCTCTCGGTATGAACCCCAACCTGAATGGCAAGAGACCTTTGACGGCGCATGGTCCTGGCGATCGAAGCCATCTAGCAGGCCAGATGGCTCCTCCGCCAGCCAAGATCCGCATGCACGCCAACAACCCACACTACCAGCCACAGCAGTTCCGGGAAGTGTCGGATGAGAATATCCGCCGCGTCGACGATAGTGATGCGACATGGAGCACCGAAGTTGAAGAGACGTATTGACTCAGGGAATATAGTCTCAAGCGATTGATGTTGCATTATTGGTTTTTCTCGGCGAAGTAAAAAAAGCACTTGTTTGTTTTATCTCTCAAGGTCTCACCATATGGATAGATCTTGATATCTCATGATGGAGTTTTGAGCTAGGCTGGCTCTGTGTTTGGCTTTTTTCTTTTCAACGGGCGGAACTCTTTCTTCCCTGCTCATTGTTCTTGCTCTTTTTCTCTCGGTCTGCGGAGCGGGACCGCATATTAACGATTTGGATGGGTCACTGGGTCACTGGGTTTGTGGGGCGGGCTTAGACATATTAAGCAACGGAATGGCGCGTACGGTGTAATATCAGACAACATTACCACTTGAAAGCGTCCAGAGTAGTGGGCTTGAGGATGAAGGGACAGACTCGTTGAGGTCCATACATACTGTTCAACAGATTTTTCTGGCCGCTCCCCAGAAAATAAATTCAAATGATGCCTTCATCGTACAGTCCATTATGATAAGTTCTGATACAAGCAGGCTACAGGGGGGAGAATCACCGTGCCAGTGACACTACATCACACTCCCCACCACATCTGTGCTGTACATCTAGACGTAGAATTTCATGATTTATCAGGCATGAGTTGAGCTCTGCGGCTCTCACGCTCTCTTCACTCCCAGCCCCTTAACCCTCCCAGCTCCGTCCTTCGCTCGTGGATCCAATCATGTTTCTTGGACTGATTTCTTCGCCTCTGCTTCATAGACTTCTGTACTACGTGCAGCTCCCACCATTTCCTGAAGGATGTTGATCCTGTCATTGTTTCAGCACTCCTGATTGGTTTGTCGTTTCCATCCTTACAGCAACCAGAGAGCACAAAGCTTGAACGTGGTGAAATTAGGCAAGGGATGTTATGGTCAGACATAACGTACGCTGCTCTGACATTGAGGAGGAATTGACGTCCTTGTCAACCCAAATTGCAAGCATTTTTGGACGCCTTTTTCGAGCGAGATGGCTTCGAATATGGTCTCGCCTTAGCTTCCTCATACCTGGACTCGCTCAAAGTATCATCTATATAGGCTACTCTCCTCCTTTGTCCCTTTTCGGAGCGCTGCCTTCTCATCTTTTGATCTGAATTTATTTCCCTCGTCTTCCCTGCGGCACCATAATAGCGCAGCGCCGCTGAAACAGCGTCTAATGACAAAGACAGCGAATCGAGAGGGGTCGCAGCTGGAGATTTCTCCTCGGGTCGCTTTGAGTGTCGGAGATCGTTGCTCGTAACCAGGATATTCGTGGGAAGTCTTTCCAAGGTGGTTTTCCCGGGCATACTGCCTGTCGTAATCAAAAGCGTCCGGTGAAGATCTAGGACGAGTTTGGCTTTGCTGTTCAGCTCGTTTGAACCGCTCTTCCAGTTCAAGTTTTTCGTGTGTCAATTTCTGCAGTTCCTCCGCCATCTTGACTTGACTCTCCCGCGCTTCAATATAAGCCTTGGTCAATGCCTCTCGTCCACTGATGTCATCCCTTCGCCTTTCGCACAGGCTGCGGTCGCGCCGAATTCATAAAGCTTCGTGGTAAGGGTGACTCCAAAGCTCGCAATCCCGATTAACGAGGCTGCCACTTCAGCCATGAGTCACTATCCTTTCGCAATGCTTGATACTTGCTTTCAGACGTGGGAGAACAAGCACCCGATGTTGTGATCCACCTACTGGGACAGATTTTCTTGATAACGACACCACTGGGGTTTCGCGAGGAAAGCAGAGTGTGCGCCGCTGGGCGAAGAGGTGAAGGCAAGTGGGGAAAAGAGAGGGAAATCCTATCTCGTGTCTGGAGGCGGAGCCAATCGACTTCGCCGCAATCCCATCAAATCTGCCTGCATGAACACCCTGTTAGAAGTTTGCCTTGCAGCAGTAGACATCTCTGAGACGACCAGCCATTGGTTGTAGCAATGCAGGATATTCCAAAAGCACTCATCAGAGATCATATTGCGGTCCAATATCTCGATGGTGGAGGAAAATCGCAGGTAGAGAGTTCGCCGGTAAGCAGTGCACGACACGAGCGCCGGGATTTGTCGAAAATGGTAGTCGAGGACTGCTCGAAGCCAGTTCGAAGAGGATAGGTCGTCCATTCACCGTCCGAACGCGTACTCAATACTATCAATGGAGAGAAGCCAACGTCGCGCGGAAGGTAACACGTTATGACAAAAAGTGTCGGAATGGCCTGAAGTCACAGAGTCTAAGGGCTCAGAACTAAGGCTGGAAGGCGCAGCCCAACGCTGGGAAGCCAAACCCATTCCGACAATTGCAAGGGCGTATTGGATGTTGTTGGATTCATACTCGGTAACCCTCTGATGGATTGCTAGATTGGCCAGAGCATGGTAAGTGCTAGTCATTTGCAAGGCTTAGTGGTGCCAAAATACGACAACTTCGATCTAACGATGCTGTTGGGTGGGAGTATCGATTTCCACTCCCAAGAGCGTCATAAAATGACATTTCGGATGGGCACTGTTGTCTGTCTCACGACAGCCTTAGCCTTCGACTCTTCTTTCTTCATCCTGATGCCATCGGCATAGGCCAGTTCACAACGCTGTGCCACATCGTCCTCCCAGAAGAAGGTTTCGAGGTCTCTCTTGAGTGTCTTCCAGGAATTGGTTTCGGGATAGGTCCGTAGAAACATTTGCATCACGGACCTCCATTCCGTTGGGGGATGTAGACTGTTTGCGAGTGTGGTACATATCATCATATAGGACCACAGGTAGCATTTTCGGTCTGGGAGTTTGGTACATGATGGTTGTTTCAACGCGGACTCAGTTAGGATTTTCAGTGCATTTTCGTAAAACCCGGTGAGTTCGTCATCGAAGTAGATGCTTCTTATCAGGTAGCAATAAGCCAATATCCCATTGGTCAGAAATCGTTCGGTTGCGGTTGTCTGCAATGTTGATAAACGATGGAGGTCTTCTAATAACCCCTGCACCTCTGGTCGTAATTTCATCTCGAGGCTGGCTTCGAGTGGCGCCGGACCTAGTTTGCCACTCAAATGTGTAAAATCGGTCAAGAGGCGGATGATTTGGAGAGAGAGGATACCATCCAGGCCCAGGTCCGAGAATCCTCGGGGAACTTTGGCCAGCATTTCACAAACATCTGGAGGAAATGGGTGGGTCAAGTAAGTGGTCAATTCGGAATTCTGGAGAATTTGGCCTGCTTTTCTGATCGTCTCATTAGAAGTGGTGTCGGCAGCGAACAAGAACGACCAGAGTGATTCGTAGGCGACGACATTGGATTGAAGTAAATGTTCCCATGGAGAGTCGCCCTTGAAGCCGCCTCTGATCTTGATCATTTGTCGCATTCCAGTAACGTGGGCCGTTGCAGCATGATGATCACCCAGGATGTAGTCAATGGTCCCAAGAGTGGCGACGACAAGAATGGTAGCATCGTCGGCACATTTATCAGGGTCTTGAAGCCTGCGACGCAACTTGGTCATGACATTGGCTCGATGGAGCGCAAATGGCTGATCTTGAATGGCGGACCTTTTCTGAGTGATGAGTAATGTACCACGACAGAGGGCGACCAGCGCCTCAAAGTAGATATCGGTTTGAAGGGCAAAAGGCCATAGAAGGCTCAGGTAAGGATTCTCATGGCCGTCGAAAGCGAAGGCACGCCCATGTTGAGGCCCCCATACCTGAAGGACTACCAAAGTGGTTATTTAGCTGGTGTGGGCCGAAGAAGAGAAGGCTAGGGGTTAAGATGATGGTAACATACAGTACTGGGCCATATGTGACACGGCTGGGGCGGAGGAGACGGGAAAGGATTGAAACGGGTCGAATTGAGCGCCAATAGTTGCAGATCGGCGGGTGAGAAATTGGGATTCAAGGAGTTTCTGGAAGATCAATTCCTGAGACTTGATGGCCTTGTGCCGTTTTGATTTGACAATAGTAGCACGTCGTCGAAGGGATAAAGCCACACGGCGGGACTTTGGTTGATATTGTCGAATCCATGTTTGAGGAGTCACAACATCGACGACCATCAGGCTGTCACCTGGCCCAGCCGTGCCCACCGGCATATTGCTGTCATGCGGTGGAAGAACACCCCAGAGCCAGAGGTGGGAATGTGGGCTGAAGGAGCAGCTTACTCTGCCGTCTTGTAGATGTCGCGGGATCGAAAAGACTGATGAGACGGCGGCTCTTTACTCAGAAAGGAAGTTGGGGCCAGGGAAAAAAAGAGATATGGGGGAGGGACGGGAAAGTGCATTATGCATGGCACAGTGGCAGTCGGTTATTGGAAGTAGCGGCCAAGACTACTCAAGCACCATGATAGAGCCTAACACGCCGGTGATGTTTTAACCATTCCGAATGTCTTGGCCACCAAGTGGACAGGCCTAAGTCAGATTTAAAGCACCCCAAAGGGGCCTAAAGGAAGTCATGTGTCTTGACGAAGTTCCGGGTATACGAAGTAAGACCTCGGTACCTCTAAGGAAGGTGACTTGACGCAGGCGATGATCAAGTCAGAAGCCCTAACTCCAGGCCAAGAGTACCTATACAGGCATGGCAGCCGAGGCGGGGGGCCCCTACCAGCCAGATTCCCATTCGAGGTTTAGCTATCCGTAGATGGCGCCTACAGGCTACAGGACAACAGGATCTTCGAGAAACTCGCGGATAAGCCTTCCACACCACTGAGTGAACTGCTTACTATATTTACCATCAAACTAGAATGATTCAAAAGCGCGGATGTCGCACTGCCATGTCCGACCCTCGAGTCTCTTCTTTGCTATTCGACCACCAACTCCGTAGCCACTGATTCAGATCACTTGAAACATGTCAATGCGGTCTGAAGACCTCGTGCACCCAACAGCTCTCCACTCATCGTCGCTCACTGACTCACTGCATGTATCTTTGCACATGTCCGAGCAAATCCAAGAACTGATTCTCGATACTTCCAAGGTTTGATCAACCGGGGACCACCTGGTCAATTCTCTTCTCTATCTTATCCACCACCATGAGATTTCCACCTGACTACCCACAATTCCTCTTATCCTGTACCGAGTACCCATACCGTCATATCCAACATTTCTCTCCCTCGTTCCTTCCCTGGGCGATAAGTTTCTTGTCCTCGATCTTGTTGTTTGCCTCTATTCCCTGTTCAGTCCTTGTATTCTAACCCATTTTCCTTCTTCTCTGCTTCTTGGTTTCTTTTTTCCTTCTACAGTGTGCGAAGCACCCTTTCAATTCTTAATCTTTGGCCCACTAACGTCCTTGAGCTATTGATTCCCTCCGAGTGAAGGCGGGCCTCCAAGAGCAAACATCCTTTAAATATGGAACTGCAATAACGACATGCTCCTCCCCCGTTCTGCTCGATCATGGTCCCGACGAAAGCCAACCAGTGCTGCCTTGCAATTACTGGCTTTCTTCTTCTTTCTTTTGTTTCTCCATACTCGAGTCGCTCGTCTCCCGGTTCAGGATGAAGCTGTGAGAAAACCTGGTGCAGACCGACCGAAAAGTCCACTCCTCCAACATCAAGCCGCCTTCTGGAAAGATCTATACCAGATCATACTCAACAATGACCCTCATTGTGAGCACCTACCAGAAATTGTGGTTCCGCACAAGTTGGATATCGGCTTCGACCCTTCACATAATCATCCGCGCCCAGATGTCTTGTGGATGGAGCCTGCTGATATCAAACACATGCAAGAGGCTCATTCGAATTTTGTTCATGATATAAAGAGATCTCCTCCTCGACTTGTCTATGAGCCAAATACCAGAGGCATCGTCATGACTGCTGGGTACCTCCAACTTCCTGTGCTGGTGACATCCTTACGTATGCTACGCAGGACAGGCTCCCTCTTGCCAGTCGAGGTATTTCTCGCAGATGGTCCGGATTATGATGACGACGTCTGTGACCAAATCTTACCATCTCTAAATGCAAAATGTCTCCTTCTGTCTGATGTTTTTCAAGCTGCCAAATCTGGGCTATCAATTGACCATTATCAGTACAAAATTATGGCGGTCCTCTTCTCTTCCTTCGAACAAGTCCTCCTCCTCGATTCCGATGCCTTTCCTCTCCATGATCCTCTCTCAATCTTCGGTGAGGAGCCCTTCAACACGACTGGCATGGTTGTGTGGCCTGACTTCTGGTATGCTTCGGAATCACCTTACTATTTCGAGATCGCCAAACTAGACACCGTTCCAGCACTACATACTCGAGCTTCTATGGAATCGGGAGAGATATTGTACTCGAAATCTCAGCATGCTCTCTCCATCATGCTTGCCACCTATTATAACTTTTACGGCCCTATGTACTATTATCCTTTACTTTCGCAAGGCGCTCCTGGCGAAGGCGATAAGGAAACTTTTGCTTGGGCTGCCACTGTTTTTGGCGAGCCTTTCCATGCTGTCCGTGATCCTGTCAAGGCTCTTGGCCGACTTGATTCCAGTGGAACATTTCTTGGAAGTGCCATGGTGCAGCATGACCCAAGCGTCAACTTTGCTCGGGAGCCGAACACCCGGGGCGCTTCGGACCACAGCGATTTATTCTCATCACATGTCATTGCCCCAAGACCTCTGTTCATTCACGCCAATTTTCCGAAATTCGATCCATCCACAATTTTTACCGAGGGCAACGATCGTACAGGCATAGGCGGGCCAACCAGGGACAGCAATGGAACTTCCATTCGATGTTGGATGGACAAGGAGAAGGCCATTGAGAGGTTTGGTTTCGATGTCGAGTACCGATTCTGGGAGGAGATCAGAGGAACCGCATGCGAGTACGAACGCCACTTTGGCTGCTGGAAAGGCAAAGAAGGAATCTGCAAAAGAGTGACGAAATACTGGTACGACGTCTTCGAACCCATCGTGACAAGACAGCAAGAGCATTCACTTTGACGGACCACACCCACCGGGTGGGAAGCAATTTATCCTCCTAGTCCAAGCACGTCACAAATTTTACCGAGAAAGAGCACGCCGATGATATTCATACATGTACTCATTCCCCTTTGACGAAAAATCTAAATCTAGCCCTCGAAACCGCTGGCTAGCACACACACAACACGACTTTATGTGACCAACGACATCAACACAAACGACCAAATGAATACCCAGAGCCGGGCGGCAACACGGACGGCATGGCATGGCATGGCATGGCGTAGCAATAGCATAGCACACATTTGAGATTTATATACAAGGGCCCAGCAAAGTTTTGGTCTCATTCATCCCCAGTCTGCTTGTTACCATGACTTGTAGCGAGCGAGCGAGCGATGCTCATAATTCAGTCTCTCAGACCTGTGAGATGACATCTACCTAGGTAACCCATGTATCCCTAGCATAGGGCGGGATACGTAGCAATACGGACTGGAGATTAGCAAATTCAGTTAAAATTATTCGGATTTCGAAAAAAAGTGTGATAATACATACATACATATCAGGCCAGTCCAGCCCATCCATGATTACTTGATGTACAATTGCTGTCTCTTTGTACATACTGTGTGAAAGTAACGCCTGGTTTTCGTCGCATGGGAATCTGGCACTGCGGACATAATGACAAGCGCACCGTCCTTTGAAGGAAACCTCTCCGTCCAATATTGCTGTCGAATCTAGTCAACACCTTGCATGATCTCAATAAAACCATTCCCTGCCAGTTTCCATTTCCATGTTCATTTCCACCCATAACGCCATCATCACTCCCAGTATACTGGGAAACCACTCGCCCAGGGTAAGTCCAGCCGCGTTCACCCCCACAGTATCCGCCATGTCAGGTAATATCGTGCCCGGCAGGAGTCATAACCCACTCCCAATCCCCGCAAGAAATACACGCCCACCAGACCTCCGTAGTCTGATACCCGCCGGAGGCAGAATCCAGCATCGCAAAGCCCGCCTCCACACACCACCCCATCAATAGCGCAACCTCACCCTCGTCCATCGCAAAGCCCAGGGTGCGACTGATCTCCCTCGCGCCAATGCCAGGCAACTGCACGACGAGCCCTAGCGTGCCCGCGACAAACATCTCCCATAGCTTCGGCTGAAAGCGCGTGTGGATGTCCAGCCACGGTGGAATGTGGCCCATGGGGAGGTCTGCTTCTCCGCGAGGAATCGGTGCATTTCTTCCTGACTGCGTTGTGTCGCCGGGGATGTAGCGGGCAGTGGGCGTAAGGTGTGTGGTGAATTCGACGGCTGATTTCTCCATGTGTCGCGATGAGTAGGCAACTTGTTCCCAGTCGAGGCCGTAGCGGGTACGGGGGATGTCGCCGCCGAGTTTGGGGATGATTTGCCCATTTGACATCAGATTGAGGATTGTGACCATTGTGCCATCGTCGATGATGGTTTCCTTTGGGATGGAGATTGAATCACCACGCTCGAAGGCTGCGTCGAGAACGGAGAGTTTAAATGTCATGGCTTGCCGCAGCATTGTGGCGTTGATCATGCGGCGTTCATCAAAGCGCTCATAAAATTTCTTCGCAGGTTCCCACAGGCCTCGGCCTAGGCTCATGATCGATTTTTGGTGTGTGGAGCCCTTTTGGATGAGCTTCTCGTCTTGTAAAACTTTCAGTGCCTGATGGAGGAGGTCGTTGGTCTCGTTCTCGGTGGAGCCCAATGTAGCTAGCTTTGATCGTACAAAGTCTGGATCGAAACCTGGGTCTGTGGTCAAGATCGATGCGAAAACCCAGGATCTGGTAAGACGGAAGTCAGGATCCAAGTTTTCATCCTCATAACGTGGTTTGAATTGCAGATTCATGTCCAGCTGTGTGGAGTCTTGTGAAATGGGAGCAACGGAACCAAAGATCGCGGCACTGAAGGTATTTTCCTTCATCTGTGTCGTGATATTGTTGGCATAGGTTAGAAGAGAAGGATAATTTCTTAGCTCAACAAAACTAAATTCATGATCGTCGATAAGTGAAGCTTTATCGGCCGGCAATTCTTCAACACCTTCCACGTCAAATCTATCGAGATTATCGATAGCCCAGTCCACAATCCCTTGCCAGTCGGTCGCTTTGATGTCCGAAAAGTTGACGCACGGTACTTGATCAGCTTCCAGAGCTTCCAGGTATCTCGCTTGTAAGCTCTCTGTAAGTCCTCTGATATCACCGCGGTATTTATTCGACAGAGTCTTCCAACGACCTTGAATGGTGGATTCCAGTTCGTTGGGAAACAAGGTCATCACTACCGGCCAGTCGATGAAACCGTCTAGCCCGCCTAGAAGGGTACGGACGACAACGACAGACACCGCCAAATGGCGCACCTGTTGTGCTGGGAGATCTCGAAGGTATTGTATACCCCGAATGAAGCGTTTGTGACCGATCGTTGAGATGACAGAATTGGTCTTGGTCTTGGCCTTGATCTTGGGCTGCCGTATCGTAGCACGTGCCTTTCGTCGTTTGGTAGGAGGCGTAAAATCGACATCGTCTTCTTTGGCTTTTCTCTTCCGCTTCCGCCTCCCTGGCTGGGTATCTTCGTGGTCTGACAATACTGGGGGTGCAGTGAGAGTCTCACGTATACCCACAGCAATCTTCGCTGTCTGTTCTTCATCCCTTTCTGCGAGTGCTAAGACTGCATCTGGAAGTGGGCTTTCCGGAGGGAAGGGGATTTCTCTTTGCTCACCATTCTCGTCGAAGTGAACGAGGCTTGCAAATTCAACTTTGCTGTAGCCCATAATATCGTGAAATAGCATTGTCGGAAGTGAATGATCGATGAAGGCGTAGCTGGTACGGAAGTTTTGCGCAGCACTATTGTGATTCTGTTCCCAAGCTTCGACAGCTTCGATCTCTTTTGCAAAACGTTGCCAGTTCCGATCGACATCTTCGGTACTTACGTACAAATTGTGGGCAGGAGTGACCAAGATGATGTCCTGCAACGATGTGGGGAAGTCTTGAACCAGCTTATTTGCCCACATGAGAGGTCGATCCTTGGAGTGAAGTCCTTGGCTGCGACTGCTTCGTTCACGTCTTTGGGCGAACTTCGCAGCTTCTGCACGCTCGCGAACTCTACCAAGTTCATTCTGCCAATTTTCCAGGTGGACTAAGGGGAGTGCACCTAAATTGGCAACTTTCAGAGTGAGAAATCCTGTAGCTGCACCTGGAGGGGTTTCTCGCACTGGAGACAACGATGGAAATCTTGCTGAGTTCGTCTCAGGTGATCTGTCAGGTAGTGCGTCGGATTCTGGTGTGGATAGTCGCCGCTTCCTTGTACTTGGGCCTGCAATCTCCGAGACCCGAGGCATGGCTATGAATAAGGGTAGCAGGGAAGCTTCCTCTGTCCATTCGGGAGGTATATAATCTGCCGGCTCGACTGCGATGATACTTTGCCTGACATTCTCCACCAAGTCTGAATCGGCACTCACATTTGGCAGATAAAGAATGGAGCGACGGACCATGACACCTGCTTTCCCACGAAAGGCAAAAGACGTTTGCTTGAGCTTTCCCGATGCGCAGAGACGCTTGACAGTTGACTTGATGGCCTTTAGTAAAGTGCTTTCTCCATAACCTTCCTCCTTCCATCTTGGAACAGCAAGGCGTCTCAAAGTGAAAGCATCGTTAGGTGCAGCCCCCTTTGTTATGGACATCAGATGAAGTACAAGCTTTTTGCATAGGCTATTTGCGCCCGCAGTGTATTTTTGCCCTCCCTCTTTCGCTCGCTTCCCTGGGCTGCGTTCGTCGTCTATGAAGTCGGGGTCGTCCATGTCCGGTGTTTGTACGCGACGTCGCTTTCTTTGGACGGATCGCCTTGTAGGAAGAAGCTCAGGCTCCGAGGCTGAGGAATCAAGCACCTCCGCGATGTTGTTTAGAGATCTCTCTGTATTTTGAACCTCAAAGGAAGATTGCTCTTGGACGATCACATCAGGGTTTTCACTCAGGCCTGAAAAGTTCACATTTGACTCCAATAACATGCTTGCTGCCACTGCGTTTTCTGACGCTATATTGGAGCTAGCAACCATCAGCGGGACAGGTGGGCTTGTTACTGTTGGAAGGGAGTCTTGTGCCTCATCACCAGTTGTCTGTAGATCTCGGTTGGCAATTCTTGAACCACTAGCACTTATATTCCACTGCGCTAAGAAATCGACGATTGATTGATTTTCAAGCACAGCATCTGAAGCGGTAGTGCTAACTGGCGCTTGTACTTGTTCATCGCCCGAGTCGCTGGATGCCAAATTTGCCGGTGCAGGAAGCAACCCCAAGTCTGGTACCGGTGTTGCTTTTTCTTGGGTTGGATGCGATTCCACAGATTCTATGACTGGTGGAACATGCTCTGTGGGTAGGGTCTGAAGTTCTGTAGGAATGAGGATACCGGTATCACCCGTGGCAGTCTCTGCATTCTGCCTTGCTTTTTCTGTCAATTGTCGTTTTCTGGAAGGTCTCGATCGGGCGGGCGGAGTGGTAGTATCTGGCACCGTAGGGAATGGTGACACTTGTTGCGATGGTGGGCTAAATTGATCATCGCGTTTGCGTTTCCGATACGATCTCGACAAAGTGGGTGTAGTGATGGCAATTGGTATTGCAGGGGGTGACGTTTGCTGCAAGAGGGTGCTAGCTTGATCGACCTGTTGACTTTCGACCGCGAGAGCCTTTGACTTACGTCCTCGTCGCTTTTTCGAGACCTGTGGCTGAAATTGCACAATCTGAGTCTCGTCATTGGTAGTTTCACCGTAGTCACGAGAGAAATCCTTGTGCAGAGTTCTGGGTGATAGAGAAACTTGAGGACTGGAAGCCGATATTCTGTCAGTTTCAAAGAAAACTCCCTTCTGAGGGCCGAGTATCTCACTACTCGGCTTCCCGGGAGGCGGAGAAGGACGCAGGCTTGAGAGTGATAGCCGGCCATCTTCGAAAGCAGGTCCTTCCTGAGGCGCAAGGCTCTCTTTGTTAGTAGCCCCAGGGGATAGAGACGGCTGAGGAATCGTATTCGATAACGCTTCTTCTTTATCTTCGAAGAGGCCCTTTCGAGGGCCAAGTCTCTGTTTGGTGTTCTTTAGAGTCTTCCGAGTTGGAGTTGCAGTGCGCTTTGTTGCATGAATGCTTTTTAGATGCCTGGCTCCGCTCAGAATATGGTCAAAGCCGAAATAGGCAAAGGTGTGTGATGCGCTCGAAGACAGGAAGCGTACAGGGTATGCTGGCCGTCTATCGATGAGTTTCACATCTTTTAATTTGCTCGATTTGAACACCAGAATTTGAGACAGTTGCTTTTTACTATCACCAAGTAGTCCTTTTGGTGTGAGGTAAACACCGTCGGAATGCCGCTTGAGAACAGATTTGGTTGCTTGCACCCATTGCTCATTGATATCATGTGGTTCCGCTGGGATCGGAAGATGAGCATCAATAGCCTCCAACAGAGTTTCATCGAAATCTTGAGGGCGACGTCCGTAGAGTGCTAGACCATCTGGGTGCTTCATAATGCCTTTTTTAGGTGCTTGAGTCAAATGAATGCCACGAGCTGCACTAGCATATATGATTGCTTGTGAGAATTGCTTTCGCCAAAACTTTTCTGTTCCACGTACGTATTTACGTGGCCGACCAAGAATAATCTCCTGTTCGGATAGCTCGCCCTGATCGGTTTGACTTGTCTGCTTTGGAATCGCTCGCTTCGGAGTTGCTGGCTTTGGAGTTGCTCGAAGTGTCTTTGCTCTGTTTGATGTTCGAATCGCAGCTGTCTGAGGCACAAGACTGAACTTGCCAGGCTCCGTCTCAACAATCACGGGTTCACCATGTCTCGGAGGGATATCCTCAATTCTCATCTTCTCAATAATGCTGGCCAACTCTATTTTGCCTTGCATGATTTGCAGAGAAGGTGGCTCGCGTGGAAAGCCGTTCAAATCAACAGCACTCGATGCGGCCCCACGACTCTGAGCGTCATCCGCGCACATCATGTTGGCTAGAGCTTTCTTTGCACCAGGGATGTGGGTGATGTCGATTGTGTTGCGCGTGGCAAGTTCACGAAAAGTGTCCCATGAATAATGGAAGAACTGTGCAACTCCATTGGAAGTTATATAAGCGCGTACGACCGCTAAATGCTTTAGGTGAGCCGGTTGAGCCAGCAATGAGCGGCAGGAGAGTCGGAATAGTGATGCTTCAGCTGCACGTCGTATGAAAAGGCCAGTGGTCGCTCTCCGGGCACCCTAGATAACAGTGTTAGTTGAGCCGGTGAAAGGGAAAGTGAAGCCAGTCTTACCACGTTGGTCAATCCTTTGGGACTCGAAACCTGAACGGCATCTCGTAACATGTTGGGCATCAATCGGGCGGGGTTCCATTGCGCGAGTGCCAGAGGTGGCGAGGCAGCAGAATCGAAATCCATCTCCTTTGTCTCGCTCGCAGTAGATTTGGAAAGCTCCAGTGGTTCTTCCATGCCCATTATGGAAGCCAACTCTGCAAATGAATGTCGCAAGGCCAGCTCATCTGTGTCAAACTCCTCTAGACTACTTGGACTGGGGATTTGTACCAGTTGAACGCACTGCTTCAGATCTTCAACAGTGGCGGAAGGGCCAAATGCAGTCTTGACACGTTTCACAAGCTTCACGCGTTCGAGGCGGCGGATGACTTTGATCAAAATGGCGAGCTTCCCAGTTGAAGACATTTCAAGTCGTTCTGAGAGGTCGGTCTGCGGGATGAGATTCTGAGTGGAAAGCATTTCAAAAATACGACGAACAACGCCACGCACAGTTGATTTTTGTTGTGACTCGCCGCCCGTGGCACTGGAGAGGACTGATTCCTTGTTGGTGGTTGTGGCGGCGAGTTTTCGTAATGTAAGTCGGCTCGTCTTGGTTCCATGAGCATAAACGGGTTCTTTGATAATGTATCCTTTCCTATGCAATACATCCGTCCTCTTGGGTACAGATCGCTTGTCTTGACCGGATGCTCTGGTGAGGGGACCTTGCAGAATGCCGATCGAGCGGGATGCGGCAATGTGAGTAAGGAGCGCAAACTCTAGAGGTACAAGCTTGCTTGAATCCGGAGGATGGCCACATATCGCACGGTACATTCGCTCGTAGTTGACCGTGACGTGCGGACCTTGCTTTGAACGCGATGATTGTTCTGCATTGTTCGATTCCTGTGTCGTTTGCTCCGGTGGCGCTTCTTCGACTGGTCCAGATTTGTCGTTGACTTCGATCGCCGACTCGGGGCCAGAGGATATTTGATCGAGACATCCTGGAAACTCAAGTTCGACTTCTGGAAGTGATATTTTGTTATACTTTTTGCCCTTCCCGATAGAGACATCAGGATGTCGTCCTAGCCATACCCAGACTTTGGACAGGAGGGCTTTATCAACCGACACAGCGAGAAGTAGCGTCGAGGTGCCACTCTGGGATCCATCGTTTCCATTGTAGAAAGACCGAACATAATTGCAAAGTTCGTTAATAGATGTACCTAAAGGCAGAAGATCACATGAGTTAGTACATGGTGGCTCGGTGGCTCTGATAGGCGAGTGAGGAAGCTGGTGCGGGGCAGAAAACAGCGTTCTTCCCACTGGGCCACAGACGAGCCCAACTCACCTCGACTACCACTGAGTGCAATTTCCTCGAGGAGGAATTCGATCAAGTCATCCACGCTCTTCGCCATCGCTTATTCTCCATAGCACAGATGGGATCTGTTGATGATTATGAGGAGAAGACTTTGGCAGTTTGGATGAGGTTCCAAGTTCGAAACGATGACTGTGCAGGACTTTTCCTTCACTTTCAAAATCACCAGGCAATCAAGGTGGGGCCAGGACCTCGAGGGCTTGGCGCCAGTGCGCTTGGTGATTGGTCAGTTTTTGACCACACTTCAGTTCAAAGGTGAGATTCAGCCTCAGTCACATGTGTCAGAGTGGTGAGCCTATCTAAAGTACATGATAATTTTCAATTCACGGGCAAGACCGAAGGGCAAAATGTAATTACAATTTTTTCAAGGCATTTTGGCTCTATGGTTGCTCTAAACTGTGTCGAGACCTGCTAAAAACGGCCAGCTGTGAGTGTAGGGGAAGATCCTGGGGCCGTATGAAAGACCGACTGAGATTCTCGTTCTTTTCCGGATCCATGCGTTTTCACAAACAATCACGCTGAAACTCCATACTTTTCCCCAAACTCCATCATGCTCAAGAAGCGGGAGATTTCCCCCCGACCCACATTGCTAGAGGACGTGAGGAGAGAAATAGCCAAAATTTGAGAGATTCAAGTCCCTTACAAGCTGCAGCTGCCTTAACGGGTCAGACAAGCAAGGTGACTGTTAAATGTACAGGAGCTCTTCGGAGAGAGGAAGAAGATGAACGGCGAACCTGTCAAGTGCGTGTGAGTAATGTCGTCAAATCATGAGGCCAGAGCTCTCGATGGCGCATTCCGGCGATTGTTGCGTTGTTTGGTTGGTTTCGACACTGTGCTCCAACCATCTTCTTCTAGAGCAGCGGCTGTGGGAGTGGTGTTTTCAGGAGTAGCAGGTGATTTGCCACCTCTCCATGATCCGTTGGCACGAGTAGATCCCACGTTTCGAACCACTTCTCTGGGCTTCACAGCCTTGTCGTCCACCGGCAGAGCTGCCTCGCCTTCCTCTTCATTGTCTTCCTCAGCAACCATGTCATTGGTTCCATCAGCTCGTCGCAGAATGTCGATTTTGGGGGTGGCGTCTGCATTTTCTTCTTCACCATTCTTAGAGTCCGCCAGCTCTTTTGGCTCACTTCCAGATGGCTCCTTAGCTTTCTCAGCATCGGCTTTTTCCTTTGCAAGGCGTTTCTCCTCAGCCTTATCAGCCCGGCTCTTCTCTTCTGCTTCCTTCTTCTGACGAATTGCAATTTGTCTTTTCTCCTCAACTTCTTTCTCCTTTGCAGCAGTGTCGACAGGTCGAGCGGCTCCGAAAGGACTTGCCTTTGAATCAGTCGCGGCTGGAGACGCCAGCGGATCGGCTTCCGAGACCGTACGTTTTTGTAGGTTCAGTCTCGGTCGTCCCGCAGGAGCAACGGTAGATGGGGCTGGCGAAGATGGCTCACTTGCTTCAGGAGTAGGAACCTTTGCTGGTGCGTCTGGCTTCATTCTAGCGCGCCATTGATTGTCCATCTCGGATGCCGTGGGCTGACGTTCCGGTACTGGCTTTTCAGTATATTCTCGCCTTGGTGGGCGAGAACCATCCTGAGAGCGACCCTCTCCCCAAGCCGGAGAGTTCTTGCGGAAGCCTCCTTGAGCATCCTTGCTCTGTTGCCGGCCACCCTCACGGAGAGAGGTTGGGGCGGGCGTGGCTGGAGAAAGAGGGCCTCTTCTCTCCCAGTTTGAGAAGTCCCGATTCTTTCCATCTCCCTGTGCTGGCTCAAACCCACGACGGGGTGCGCGTTCGCTACCAGCGTCCGACATATTGTCGAAATTTTTCGCGCCAAAGTTGGGTCGGTCAGAGACTCGTCGTTGGTTCTGTGGTAAATCTGGGAGTGGGCCTTTTCGTGACCAGTCACTGAAATCGCGGGCATCCTGTCGCTCTTTGGCTGTATGCTGTTAGATTTATTGCAAGTTTTATGTATTTGAGGGCGAACTTACGTGGCTCGGCAACGCTGACACGAACCTGTCGTCCTGCAAGATTGTTACCACTCAGGTTCAGGGCGGCCTTTAACCCATCCAATGTTGCAAATTCGACATAGCCGAAGCCTTTGGGCTTGCGGTCAAGTTTGTCTTCAACAATGCGAACATTGGTGACCTGACATTCATTGAAGAAGTCATTGACATCCCCCTGGGTCGCATCAAAGGAGAGGTTGGCAAGATGTGCGGTATATGGAGGTTGAGTAGGGAGAGGGAGTGCTTCTCGAGGGGGGTAGCCGTCTCTTCTGTCTGTACGAGAGGTTAGCCACGAGTGATTAAAGAGTCCAAACGTGTCGCACTCACCGGCGAATCTGTCACCACCAGATGGAGCCGTGGAGCTGAAACCACGTCGATCTGACCCATAGCTAGGTCTACTGTCTGAGGCTGCAGGTGCACCGGAAATGTCAATGAGAGCGTCTTCAGAGCTAGATTTCCTCAGGGACCGTACAAGGTAGAGGCATGTCTTCCATTTCGTCCGCCCACGAGCCATAGTCTGTCAAGCCGTCAGCAAGATTGTTCTGCGCATATGGCATTCATCGTCACCCACTTTCATCCTGGAGGAAAGTCCCCAGGGACATTTTCTGATTCTTTTTGGGACCTATTCATGGTTAGTGACGGGTCAAGCGACATGAGGGTACCAGCCGCATGTGCAGGTGCCTTGCGGGAGGAACAAACCCATGATTGCAAATTCTCAACGTCGCAGATGGTGAGTGTGATAGGTGATCGATGGTCTCTCGAGCAGATCTAGGTGAGCCACAGTACGATGAGAGACGTACTTGGGCAATTGGAGGGGCGAGGGATGATCTATGAGGTCGCCTCGCTGAGAAGTTTGGCGGCGCAGTGGAACAAAGTGTCGAAGAGGCTTGAGGGTGGCAGCGCCTGCCATTATTTTCTCCATCCACAGTCACGTGGGGTTTCTTGGCGATCACTTTTGCAGGATTTCAACTTGAACCTTGAACTTTTGCCAGTCTGGAGGACGCTCAATTTCATTGGTGGCCCGGAATCAAAGGCGATGCTGGCAATTCATCAGAATTGACGCTCGGGTTCTTGTTATCATCATCGAATCTCGGTATTATATTGTGGTCATTCCACAGGTGACTGCTCCTCATTTGCTGATCTTAGGCAACGCTTCGACAATGTTGTCCTGAGTGTCTCCGCTCAATAGTAATGGCCAATATCCCCAATGGCAACCCATCACTGGCAGCAGGGAGGAGCAATGCCAAAAGTGCATCTTCAGTGATTTTCCCTGCCCTCTATGTGGGTCTAGCTACAGGTTTGTGATGTTCACTTCTCAATGTTGAAGATCCGAAATATTCACAATCAGATCCAGGTACTTGTGGTATGGTGTATGGCTCGGTTGTGTCGACCTTGATTCAGTCTCCAAATCCCAAGACATATACGACACTGGCAGCATTACAATGGGCAGCAGCAGGGACAACGTTCTATGGTAAGGATCCTCATGGCTAGGATCTATCCATTAATGTACATGCATTTACAAATCACAGCTGTCCGTTCCACGGCGTTAAAAGCCACATCATCTCCTGAAAGACGTCTTCATCGTGTCTTAGCTAGTGGTCTGGCGGGATCATTCAGCGGAGCAGTTGCGGCTCAATTTTGTAAGTCTTGCTCCTAGGAGAAAGCTTGCAGAGGACTGATCCGCAGTAGTGCCCCGTGGAGCACTTTTCTCCGGAACTGTCGGCTTTGGAGCCATTGCAATGGCTGCACAATTAGGACTTGATGCCTATGGTGATAGACCGACTAGTTCTGAGTCAAGACCCCTTATGCAACGTATTGCTGCTTGGACTCCAATGAAGCCCTTGACCGACGACGAATATGAAAAGATTCTTCAACAGAAGCTGTTCAAGGTGGAGGTGGAGATTTCTCTGGTCGACGATCAGCTGGCTGAACTACGAAGGCTGAGAGCAAAGCAACAAGAACGAGCGGCGTCCGCCAAAGACTCGGACGTGTAAGAGACATGTAATGATAGAATCTGAGTAGTGTATAACAGGGATGGTGGAAGTGGCAAGTGGTCTTGCCGACATTGCACCAAACGAACACCAACATGTAATTAATAAGTGCCGCAGGCTTCAGCTGGGAGGAGGCCTGGAAGTGGGCTATGGTGGTTACGTATTGCACCTGCACAATTGCACGCAAGAGCTCAAGGGGGATCTGGGGAATGTCTCAGACCATATAATCAATACACCGTACCGATGAATCGATGAATCGATGAATCGACAATTGTCAAGTTACCTAACGTTGTGTAGAGCGATGGTTTGAAGGAACAAAAAAGAGTTCCGCTTATCACTCCTCTCATCTGTCGATCGAGTGGTTCAAGCATAAAACCGATTAGTGTGGTGGCGCCTGCATAATAAGCATTGAGCTTGTTCACGGCAGCCGCTGAATCACCTATCGACAGCCGCATTCAGCATTGCATCTTCCGAGTCTTGGTGTAGTAAAGCGTGGGTGCGGGTGGGGATGCCCAGGGTGTTAGGCATTGATTAACAGGTTTGTTTAGGCTTCCGAGGGGTGGGATTTGAGGAGGCCATAGGCGTGGGCATGGGCTCCCGGGATGGGATTTGGCAGCCAGGATTGGTTGTCTTCCAAGGTTTGGATGGCAACAGCAACCGGTGGGCCCGACGGGCCTCCGCACGTCCCAAAAGTCCAAGCCAAGGTTGCTATGCCTATCTCTATGCGGCCTTCCCTTTCAACTGCGACCTCGTGTTGGCCCGCATTTTTGAACATTCCCTCACATAACCTTGTCGGCGCACTCGATCGTCTCAAACCCTGACCTTCGATCTCAGTCCCACGACTGTATTCAAGATTGACACCACCGTTGTCCTGGACCACTTTTCCTCCGAGTATCCAACCTTTCTCGAACGGAATTCCGCCGCAGAGGGCAACATTGCAGAGGTTGGTGGGAGGAATTTGAGAAACACAGAGCTTTAACACCGATGCACTTGAAGCAGAGAACTGTTCTCAGAGTCAACATGTACGGTCATGAATGCATATAAGCCACATCCTACGCCAAAGAGCTGGCTCTTAAGAAGACTCCGGTGTAGCTGGCATGATCCCCCGTCGCAAATCACTATACCCATCGCATTCTAGATCGAGGACCATACTGCTAGGGACATAAACATCTACCATGCCTTTGGTCAATGGCACCTCCTTCGCCGCCGTCATTCTCCTGGTGTACCTGTCCACGTTTGTCTTACTCGCCGTTTTCCGGATTGTGACCGGCGTTTCGATCCAAAGGATTGGTTACTTCAGCTTCAGACATATCTCCTACACTCCAAGAGAAGGTTTAAGGATAGACTTGCGCGGAATTGGCCTCAGTCTTCACCGGCCGACGTTTGCTCAACCGTCCTGGGTGAGCTTGGTCTTTGAGGAATTGAAAATCACTCTCGATCCTGCAACCTTTGAGACTTCCCCAGCCATTTCTGCGGACGGATCAGGCTCACATGAGAAGCGCGGGGATGACGAGCCCGCGAATAAGGAGTCGAAGGGTCGCAGAGGAAAGAGAAGCCAATTGTGGAAGAAGTTAACAAATGTCAAGGAGCGTATCAAGCGCATTCACAGCAGAATCCACCTGCTTCGCCTGTTCGATATTGTTGCTACGAATACAACAGCCGAGGTTGTGGGAGTGGGCTATGTTCAGATATCTTCTTTCACTGCCGCTGTCTATACGCGCCGAAAACTCCTTGATAGAGGTCGACTATTTCGCCATAAGAAAGACCCAACAGGTGGTCAGAAGCCCGCAGAATGGGTTTTCACCGTGAAGAGCATCATAATGGGTGTGGGAGGCCGCGATCCGATCGAGGTCCTCGATGGTATGACTATCAACATCCACGGACTGTTGTACAAAGAGCGAGCAGGTTTACGTGATACATCAATTGCAATAAAGGCCGGCCGCCTTTATGTACCTGTTGATGAGATTACCCAATTTTCACGCCGAGGCAAGCGAGAGATGAAGAGTCAACAGCCTCCGCAGATCTTGAGCCCCATCGAAGAAATTACCTTTGAGGACGTTGTTGAGGAGCTTGACAGTCCTGGTAGTCGAGAGGCTTCAATCGTCCAGGCTGTGGCAGATTCCAAAGAGTTCTTCAGTTCCATCCTTCAAAGTGTCCAAGAGATCCAACTGGCCTTGAGCTTCGTCCGAATCTCTAAAGAGGTTGAGTCTCTTCGCCAGGCAAACCTCCCTCTTACTGCTAATGTCGTCATCCATGAAATTGGCATCGACTTGCATCGACTTGATCAAAAATCCCCGGCTCACCGGACATACTTCTCAAGAGACGACATTGCTCATCAAGCCTTGGTGGCTGCCTTGTCGATCTCTGTGAGCTTGGACGAGGATGATTCACACACAAACAAGATTATGTATATACCCATGGCGACTACTACCATAAGGACGACTTTGCCTGCAAAGACCATGAGCTTCACACAAGATCGTGATGTTGCTGAGCGAAATACCAACATTCTATATGCAAATTTCGTCGTCACATCCCCCTCGGTCGATCTAGTCCCGCAACATCTTATCAGACTATTGGCTATAGCACAGCACAGACCTGCTTCGACTAGCCCTTCACCTGCTCGTCATAGTCTTATTTCTCGGTTATTGCCCAAAGCGAGCATCAAACTCTCCATTCACGAACCGGTTGTGAGATTCATTCTACCAGTTGCTGACCCCGCGCACGCTGCTCCTGGCGAGTATGACATGATCATATCTTCGATTTCGTCAGTCTCTTTGGACGTGGAGTCTTCTCATTCCGCTGTCGGAGAGCTTTCATATTCTCTCGGGTCGAATTTTCGGATCATGTCCCACCAACTTTACTATCAAGCATCTACCGGCGTAAAACATAACCTCGTACTTGCCGAAGCGCTGGAAATCAGAACTCAGGTTGTTGCATCTACAGATGTATCGGTCGTCATGTCTGGAAACCTCCGTACTTTCTCAGTTCTCATGGTACGTGAAGAAGTCAGCCAAGGCATCTATAATATAGTCAGGCACTTCAAGCGCCACAGCCGAACCGAAAGGGTGGTTACTACAACCAAACCTTCGCCAACCGCCTTCCTGAGGAAGTTGCCATCGTGGCTTATCGAGGTCAACTTTGAGGGCTCTGGGTGCAGCATCGAGACCGCAGCGATTGATTCTAGTATCTCTAGGCAGACAAGAGGGATTGCACTCGAACTAGAATCATGGACAGCTCACTATCAATCTTCACGTACAGAGCCTGTGAGGAAGCCGGGTCTTACTAGAAGGAAAACCAGCACTTCTGCCCGATTCGACGAGACCTTCTCCACCGGCAAACATACGTCGCACCCTATGTCTCCTCCACGAAGGCATCATAGTGATCCAACCGATGGAAGACGGCTTGCAATTCACGTCAAGGGATTTGAGGGCTACATTATCGAATCCCTCGACAGCTGGGAATCACGCCCATTCCTCTCTGTTCCCAGATGTGAAGTGGCACTCAGCACGTCCCGTGATCATCAAGGTCCATTGTTCCATCTACATTCTGTCATTCGATCGATTTATCTAGAGTTCTCCTTGTACAGATTCTATTCATTTGGAGTGGGAGCCTCGTTCTTGAAAGACGCATTCCTGGGACCTGCTCCTGCCGCTAAAGGTGTCACTAAGTCTACAGCATCTAGCTCCCATGACGCTCAGCCCGAGACGGTTCATTACCCTACACCTCCAGGCTCCGAAATCATCACTATTGATGTCAAAGCAAACTATGTGCAAATAAAGGGCCAAATGCCCTCGGACCCGGCGGTGCTGTTACAGATATATGATGTTTCTGGTGGGCGCCATAGGTGGTCTGCACCCTTTTTTAGGTCTCATTTGATCCGCTTGCACGCTGAAGCGCCCCATCTCAAGCGTGTATGGGCACGTGTGGTCGGCGCAAGTAATATCCGTGTTGACCTTCGTCATAACAAGAAGAAGACTATCCACGGTACGGTCGAGGAAAAGTCGATTGATGTGTCATTGGACTTCATCCGTATTGGAGTTCCTCATGGACTGCAGATGTACAAAGTCTTTGACAACTTTATCAATACGGGAAAGGCAATGGCACAGCTTCAGCACCGTTTCCAAACAAGAACTAATCAATATATTTTGAGAAAGGATCCAGTGGGCCCCAAGCAAATACCTCGTGTGTCATTGCGTTGCAAAGCACTTTGCTTTGAGTTTGAAGACGATCCCTTTGAGTGGAAACTCGGTGTGATCTATAGCATGGGGCGCATTGAGCAGAAGCAACGCTTAGCACGAGCAGATGCATATCGCTTGAAAGTCAAACGACTGAACGAAGAAAGAGTCCCTCGATCATCCTCACGATACAGAGCTCATTCAAGTCGCGGCGCCTCACCAGGTGCTGCTTCAAGTTACCACTCACGACGATCGCGGAGTTTTGATAACAATCCAACTCCTCGCAAAAGATCTACATCTCGGGGACGCCGCGGGAGAGAATCAGGAAAGATCCGTTATGATCGCGATGGAGTTTGTTCCCTGTCAAATAATGCCAAAATCAATGCCAAAGAGGCTTGGGATAAGCTCGAAGCACATAACGCCAGAAGTTGGAAAAAGAAGGTTGATTGGATGACTCAGATGCAAAACAACACCATCAGAAACATTCGGCACATGTTCGCTGGAGCTGATGAACCACCAGATGAATCTGAAGAGCATGAAGCAATCCTAAGCATTCCCAATCGGCCTGGACTGATGACAGTAATCATTAGCGACCTGCATCTCGTCGTTGATAAGCCTTCATTTCCACAGGCGGAGCTGCCGAAATTTCTGCACGATATCGGGAAAGGAATGCCCTACGACACGGAATACGCACTTTTGGTCCCTCTCAGTCTTGCCCTTGACATGGGCGAGGCTCGTGTCATGCTCCGTGACTATCCTCTAAGCCTGCTCCATGTACCCGCTATCAGACCAGGGCAACCACCTAGATTGCCAAGTTGGTCCTTACGCTCAGATTTTGTCATCGCTGAAGAATTTCGAGATGATCAGTCTACAAAACATGTCAAGGTTACCATTGTACCAAAAGGTCAACACGACAACGAAGGAGGTTCCATTCCAGCCTTCGCTATTGATGTCAGGAGAACGGTGTCACCCGTGAAGACCTTCTCTCGTCCCGTTGTAGACATCAATACAAGTCTACCCACTACTATATCCTGGGGTACATCATATCAACCTGTCATCCAAGACATGATGATGATTATCGAGGGCTTTACTAAGCCAGAGATAGATCCATCCGACCGCGTGGGCTTTTGGGACAAAATTCGACTAAGCTTTCATTCAAGGCTGACTGTCAACTGGAAGGGCGATGGCGACGTGCAATTGCGCCTCAAAGGGTCAAGAGATCCCTATGTTGTGACTGGCTATGGAGCCGGGTTTGTGATGTGTTGGCGAAGCGATGTTCAATTGTCAATACATTCTGGGGATGATCCTCGAAACTTCATGACTGTCAGGAGTGGAGAGTACGTGCTAGCCATTCCTGACTACAGCCATGAAGCCCGTAATTCACCTGAACAGAAGGCAAGACATGACAGCGACAGCATGTCCAGCAATAACTCACAGAAGAATGCTGCGATATTCAAGAAGGTCATCATGAAGGTCTCTGGCAACGTCCAGTGGACCGCTGGGCTTGTTTTTGAGAGAGACTTGGACGATGGCGGGCGATCTTCAGAATTCGAGCCTCATTATGGAGTCGTTCTCAAGAATCCGAATCAGATGCACGATGTGGATCTGAAGGACTATGATGCTTTCAGGGGCTTTCGCAGCAATCACATTCATCTCTCAGTTGCAGTCGCTGCTCCTTACGACCGAGATTGGTTGAAAGGCGACTCCACTCCTTCTGAGAGTTACAACAGTGTCCATCTAAGTCCAAGATTTTTTACTCACTTCTTCAATTGGTGGTCTTTGTTTTCGGGAGTAATGTCTCTTCCCATCCGACAAGGACCTCTGTGGAGAGGGCCTGAGAAGTCAAGCAAAAAGTTTGGCAGACATCTAGCGACCATAAAGTACGGCCTTTTGTTGTCGCCACTTTACATCGCCCATGTCTATAAGCACAAAGATGCCGAGGACTATCAAGAGGATGTTGTGTCAGCAACCGGGATCAAATTCAAAATTGACAGCTTCATAATGGATATCCACCAACGAAGAGAGTATTTTAATACTCTCTCCAAGGGCAAATCCGAGCAGATGAGGACTAGCGCTATGAAGATCAATAAGGCTGAACTTGATTTCATACGGGCTGACATGAGAGCAGTGGCTGCAAGTATAGGGGGCACAACCGCGGAGGATCTTCAGAAGGCTACGGACGAAATGCTGTCAACGTTTCAAGACGCACCAGTCAATGTGGACCTATCCCAGTTTACAATTCCTGACCACGATTTCACTTGGATCGATATGGACGATTTTGTTGAGCTAGATTGGGTTCTTCCGGCGGAGTCAAATCCAGAAACCAAAATCCTCCCTCTCGCATTTACTCCTCGATTTACGTACTTTCGACAAACTGATCAAGGAAATTCTATACATGGCGATGAATCACGTGTTAGTCCATTTGGAGAGGAGAACACACACTTCTGCGTCATGTCTCAACACAATGATCCACGGAAAGTACAGATGAATTTGATCGAAGATCGACTACATGACTTGGAGGAAAAACTGCAGACACACAATCGCCTGATGAGTGATCATGAACTTCTAGTCATCCGAGACGGTGATCATGACAAAACTATCAAAGATAAACACGCAACTCTTCTTGCGCAACAAAAAGAATTGGAGAGTAAACAAAAATTCCTTCAACATGGACTTCGCCGGTTAGCTGCACACGTGGCTCCTGGAGACAATATTGAACCGGCATCTGGGCTGAGACACGGCAGTACTGCAACAACATTGACTGAAAATGATAACCAGTCTACCGCTAATCAGCATGTTGACATGGATGGCCTCTACTCGGCTTCTCATGATGAATTCGCCAGTGACTTTAACAACCGGTTCATCATTCATAACGCACAGCTCAAATGGAACAACGACCTTCGGAATATCATTTTACGCTACAGTCATCAAGTCAGTCAACGACGTGGTTTTGTCTACTATATGTCACGCCGAGCCGTCAAATTCATCCTTGATATAGTCGATGAACAAGCGAAATCCAAGGAGCGACGACGCAAACGAGAGAGAAAGCAAGACCTTCAAGTCCCCCCAACTCCCAGCGTCATCTCTCCAACAGACGAGAAGGACGAAGATTCAGTAATTGAAGATAGAATCAAACAGCTGCTGAACGATGCAAAACGATTTGTCCATGCTGCAGATGAGGATGATGATCAATCTACGAAACAAGAGAGTGAGCCATCACCTGACCGAAGACACTCCTTCAGCAGTGATATAGGTGATGGCATATCCGAAAATTTCAAGGCAATGAATGGCTACCATGTTCGACTGGTCGCTCCACAAATACAACTCCAGAGTGAAAAGAACACTAAATCTGTTGTCTTGGTATCAGCCAAAGGCATGCAATTGAAAGTGGTTGCAATAATGGACAAGGCTCGAATGGCAGATGAGGTCAGTGGTTTGGTGCAGCGCCGATTTGCTCTTGACATGGATGGAGCACAATTCTTCGTTGCGAGTACGAAAACGCTTGCAAGATACCTTCATCTTTATTCGGGCAATCGATACGGCAATACTCCCGGATCTTCATGGCCTCCATGGGTCTCTCTAGAAGCGATGTTTGATTTTCATTTGGACCCCTTTGGCTTTCAAAGAGTCATACAGAAAACATCGGCAAGTCTCCGATACGAAAAGTACAACCCACTTCGCCTGAAGTACAACGAAGAGGTGGAGAGTAATGAGACTGGTGAGATCAAACACCCGTCACGGAAAGAAAACCGTATCGATCACTTGTGGGTCGATTTCCCTCGGGTTCGTGCTCGTTGCGATTCTACACAATATTACTCCATGTATATCATTGTCTTGGATCTACTTCTCTACAGTGAGCCTTTGGAAAAGACTCGCAGTGAAAGGTTGGAGAAGATCATGCTTGCTTCCGACTTTAGCGATTTGAGAGGGGCTCCTGAAATGGCTGAAAGCTTACAAGAGAGAATCCGACAGCTTGAAGACATCAAACTTCATTTCCAGATCAATGCCAAATATTTGGATAAGGAAGGGTGGCAAGACCGGATCAACCTCGAGAAGGACCTCGCCAATTGCGAGGACGAATTGTTTTTCATCATGAAAGCCATCAATACTTCTCAGCAGAAGATCGACGATCGCAAAACATCTCAATCTAGCGGACTTCTACGATGGTATTTAAGTGCTTCAGAGGTAGTTTGGCATCTCATGCGTGGCAAAGATGACCCATTACTCGAATTTCAACTTGGCAATGCAGCCTACGAACGGATCGACAACAGTGACGGCTCAAATCACAACGCAGTCGAGATTGAACACATTCGAGGATGGAATTTACTACCCAATGCCATCTACCCTGAAATCATCAGTCCATACTTCGACCCCTCGAACCGACGACCAAGCGTGGCAGAAGTGCAAAAGATGGTTTTGGTACACTGGTATATGCTTGAAGCTATCGCGGGTATACCAGTCCTGGAGCAATTTCACGTCACAGTCTTCCCGTTAAAAGTGCAACTTGAGCGAGAGCTAGGAAAGAAGCTATTTGAGTATATCTTCCCTGGTGTTGGGTCCAACGCGTTTGACAATGGCAATTTTTCACCCCTCATGGTGAAAAATATGCAACCCATCGAAGATGATGCTGAAGATCCAGAGTTGGAAGAAGCTCGTGTAGCTTTAATGACTGGAAATGAAAGTCGAGTTTCCACGAGCATAGATGGAAAGCGTGACACATCTCCAGGAGTAATGGCCAGGAGACTAAAGCCGACATACACACTCCATCACAATACTTCTGGCCGCAACGGGACAGCATCACAGAATAAGAAAGGCTTGGGTATTTCTCCTGAGCATCACAGATTTTTCAAGCACTTCAATTCTTCCAATGCAAGGTCCGCAGCCTTGGGACCCCTCAACCATCCAGCTCCTTTGCGTAAATCATCAGCTAGTAGCTTGCGCTCAACAAGGAAAAATGATGCATCGTCTACGAGTCTCGTGGGATTGGGCAACAGCGAAGAAAAGAAGAAAAATCCCCTACACCGTGGTGCCAGCAAGGATCGAGGCTTAGGAAGCAAGAACAAGAAAGACAAGGCTGCCGATGATCTCTCACAGATGATGTCTCGAGCTTCAAACTACATGACACTGGCACATGTGAAATTGAACAGTTTCGTTATCTGTCTAAGCTACAAGGGCAAGAGTGATCGCAATTTCGAAGATTTGCACGATTTCGTCTTTCGCATGCCGACGCTCGAATATCGTAACAAAACTTGGTCCAATCTGGATCTTGCGTTGAAGCTCAAAAAGGACGTCATCAGAGCTCTCATCTCTCATACAGGCGCCATCATTGGGAACAAATTCTCCCATCACCGTCCCAGCAAGAAACAAGTCGAGCGACTGAAAGAAATCGCACATAACTCCACACTTGGCAACTCCGACTTCAACCTCACACAACCCTCCACATCCGAGACGACGAGCTTATACTCGTTCTCCCAAGACAGCAAAGACGACGACGACTTCGAATCGAGTGGAATCACCTTCCAATCCCCCGTCGGCACGAACGGGCACAAGATCGGGACATTCGGCGGACCCCTCCTGCGTAGTGGCAGCTGGGCTAGCAACATCAACAACTACCCGACAAGCCCGAACCCATCCACTCTCCCACTCCCCAGACCGAACACATCCAGCCTGGCAATGCCAATTCCCCGCTCAAGCCCCGCTGCACCACCCACCTCGACGACATCAGGCGCATCGAGCACACCATTATCCATCAATACATCATCCACTCCACCCCTTGACCCAGCCCGCCGCCCCTCCACAGCAACCGGCTCGCGCAGTCTGCTGAAAGACACAATCGGCCGCCACTTCTCCGGCGACACGGTCAAGGGCCGCGTGTCGTTCGGCCCGCTCAGTCTCGGGAAGAGCGAGAGCCATCGTGAGAGCAGCGCCAAGGACAAAGATAAAGAACGGGAGAATGGAAACACCGCCGGTGCTCATGACGACGGCATCGAGAGCGATCCCGAGGGCCACAAGAAGAAAAGCGTCCTTTTGCTGGGCAAGAAATATCTGAATCGTTTGAGTTGAGCTGAGCTGGGTTGATGTCGTTTGCGTGGGGTTGGTGGTTTGACACACAGGGTAGAATGGGATGATATGTTGATATGTTGATGACGACGGCGGCCTCGGTGGTTGTGGCGTGGCGTGGCGTGGCGTGGCGTTCGTTTCTGAGAAAAAGCCAGGATTCAAACTTTACTTTGACTACTAAGTATTTACTTGAGGGACAGTGAACGCACAGATGCAGATTATGTACGTAGATGTCCTTTTTTCTTTCAATAACAAAAACGTAAAATTATGATTTCCTTTCTGGTTCGTTCATGATTGATTGATTCTATTGGGAATTTTGGAATAGGCGTTCGTTACTGTCTCTCTGATTCAAGTTCGTAAAGGGGAAACAGCAAGGCTAGGATATGGAAAGATGAAATACTCCCACAGTCCTCCGCGAGTGCTCCGTTTCCAGTCCCAAAATTCAAGTGAATCATCGCCCGACCAAGATAGCTGGGCGTTGCTGTCTGCTGCCAGTGGTTGACCAAGGATGCTTGGTGGCAGCGTGCTTATTGTGAAGAATCTTGCCCAAATCCCAAGTCATGCTTGCTATACTCAATGTCTGACAATAGGCCTTTCACTAGAGATCAAGCCCAGCTCTCTCATCGTCCTCCGGATCCTCTTGCAGGGCACCACCTCCATTTTGATTGCTATCGACACTGCCATCGACATCACCTGCGGCGTGCTCCTTGCTTTCATGGTCATCACCTCCCTTGTACGTTACGAGTTCCTCTTCTTCGACGAAGTCGAACGCACCTTTGACCGGCCGGGGCTTCTTCCAACCCATCATGGCTTCATTCGGGAGATAAGTGTCGAAAGTGGGATATAGGGTCAAGAAATGATCGAAATACATTAATCCACAGTTGAGGGTTCGCACCGTCGCCTCCAGTTTCATGCCCACACGCAAGTCTTCCTGAATGATGGATTCGATGAAAAAGAGATACTCGTCGTCTTTCTCCTCTTGTCCTGTTGTGGGTTTATCTGCTTCTCTACGTGCCTGTTCATGCTCCTCCGCTGTCAGATCCTCCGGTGGTGCTTCCGGATTTTTCCAAGCTTTTGCATAGACACGTCCGACAGGACGGAAGTGCGCGGAGTTAGCTGTGTAGATTTCCTTACATTCAGCTGTTGGTGGTTCTACCCGGGTAATTTCCAGTCCAACATAGTTTTCCACGGAGACGACTTCGAGGTTTTTGGAGCCTTTCATGACATCGAGGTAAAAGGTGTAGACTTGCTCCGTCGCTGCGCCGGCGATACCGAATTGCAGGATTTGGCTCGCCTCTTCCGGCTTGAGGCCGACGAAATGTGCCTCTGTGTTGTTGGGATCGCCCCACCAGGTTTCTCCGTCATATTCAGAATACTGCCCCCCAAAAAGGGTTGAACAAGCTCTGTTGAAGTCTCCTGGTAGACGCCGTGAGGCCTCTGCAATGCTCCAGAGTTCTGGGTTTGCATCATAGCGGCAGAAGTTACGTGTCTTGAGAACATCAGCACTGTATTCCGGGCACACGTCGTGCTGTAGTAGATAGTCCATGAAGCGTTCCAAAGTGCTAGTAACACGATCGACGACTTCACGCTGCTCAAAACCATACAAAGGCCCAGCATGACGGGAGAGAAACCCTTTCATACAGGCTTCAAAGTCCACGGCATATAGGCTAGTCTCAGTCTCCAGGTCACGCTTCTCCTCTGTGATTGATGCATTGCTGAGAATGCTTGCTATCGTAGATTTGTCCATGTTGCTGAGATCTTGTCCGCCTTGGAACGCGTTAGGGCCACATTCAACACCGCCATAAGTAAGGTATTTGAAGAGAACGTCACGACGCTCTGGACTTAGTTTGCGGGTGCGCTCAAAACGAGCTATGGCAGTCAGAATACGGTCGATGAAATGTGATTTTGGATCATAGAGCTCTCTTTCTTCAGCGTATTGCTCCGGGGTCAAGGGGGTGTCGGCGAAGAAGCTCTCGAATCCTGTAGGTTTGTCGAGGCCACGTTGACTAGCGGGCTTCCTCTTTTTCTTCTTTTTCTTTTTCTTTTCGGCTGTCTCTGGCGGAAGATTGGAGATCTTACCATAATCGCCTTCGAGACGTTCCGCATCATCATCACCGTCGTCGTCGGCATTTTGTTCCTTTGAGTGATCGATTTCAAGATTACTAGATGATTGCTGGGCTTCGCCGCTGGATGTTTTGGTGTCGGTAGTCGATCTGAGAGGAATGGATTTTTGATTCAGATCGGCCTCTACCGAGATCTGAGAATTGACAGATCCATTTGGACTTTCCCATGAGCCAGAGCTATTTGCAGCGTTCTCGGGAATGCTCGCCATGCTGAAAGAGTAATGTAAGAGAGCTCAACGGTGGGCAGAGAACTGGATTGAGAGTAGCTTGGATGATAAACAATGAAAGTGGTTGAAGTGGAGAGATCAAGAGAATGGGTTGAGTATTTGGATGAATGCGACTGCTCGATTGTAAAGGCTGGAGACATTCTTCACCTTCCTTGTGTCACCATGGCCGCTTCATGGTTGACGGTGAGAAAACGAAAGGTGTGTCTTGTGTGAAGCAAAAGTGAAGAGATCATGTCCTGCACATGCACATGCACTGCACCGTTTCCTGTTTGTCCTGATATCACAAATTCTATGTTCAGCAGCAGGAGTAAGAAGCGGACAAGGCTGCGGTTTAGACGCAAATGAAGTCACTGGAAAGACGATGTTTGAAAGGATGCAAGGTTAGCCCAGTAAGATAGCCAATTAAGCCATGTGGCCCCCACACTTTCACCTGGCAGCACCTATTTAGTCTAGCAGCTCACCCCCGGAAGTACCTAAAGTTTCGGAGACCTTGGCTTCGATCTAGGGGTTGATAGGCACCGAACCACCCAATCTTTAAGCATGATTGGCCTCCTGACCCTGGCGCATGCCCCTCAGCTTCCCCTCCAAACAACCCTTGGAATCCCGCTGAACGATCCTTCATGCACGTTTCAGCTCGACTACCCCCACCATCACTTTATATAACGCTCTGATGTTGCGACCCAGACCTGACCTGTAGTCTGTAACGGTCTATCTTTCCTGTCTGTTTGTCTGTCTCTCACTCTTGCTGCCCTTCACTATCTCGTTTATCGGTTATCTGAATTGAATTGTGACCAAAATCAAAATGGCTACGTCCCAGCCTGCAGCCAAAAAGCGGGCAACAGAAGCCGTCCCGGATGCCTCTGAACTGGTATCATTTGAACATGGAGCAGCGGGACAGTAAGTTCCTCCCTCAAGAGCCCAACGTTCAAGGGGTCTCAAGCTGACCTACGTTACCAGCCAAGGCATCTCCTCCAACGCCTCGGGCTCACTACTGATCAAACCTTGTGTCCAAGCCGAAATCGACTTCTACGAGTCTGCCAAAGAACACCCACTCTTTCAAGCCCACATGCCCACCTTCATCGGCAGTCTAATGCAGAACGACGATGAGGCCGAGTCAGCCGAGACAGGAGCATCCACAAACGCAAGCGCAGGGCCTGTCGTGACAGACCCAACGCCGGGTCTCATCAAGCGCGCAACATGGAAGCCATCAGGCGGCAAGAAACTGAGCACCGGGCTAGCCATCGTGCTGGAGAACACGACTCACGGCTTCAAGCACCCGAACGTGCTGGACGTGAAGCTGGGGGCACGGCTGTGGGACGACGCTGCGCCGGGCGCCAAGCGGAAGACCCTCGACGACGTCGCCGCTTCCACGACCAGCGGCAGTCTAGGCTTTCGCGTTGCAGGCATGAAGGTCCATCTCGACGGAAACGGCGGTGATGCTACCGAGGCGCCGGAGCCAAACGTCGAGATCAAGAACGGCGCCAAGTCGTATAACAAACACTATGGCCGGACGTTCGACAAGGATAGCGTCGTGGACGCGTTCACGACGTATCTTGGTGGTGTGACGCGAAACGAGGCATCAGGGGGCAAAGTCGAGTTCAAGAAACGTCATGGCGCGCTGATCGCTAAGCGTATGATTCGTGAGCTCGAGAGTATACAGTATGTGTTGGAGAACCAGGAGAGCAGGATGTATTCGGCTTCCGTATTGTGGGTGTACGAAGGGGATGATGAGGCGTTGGAGGCCGGGTTGAAAGCTGAAGAGGAAGGGGATGGGAAGGAGGAGGAGGATGAAGAAGGCGATGATCATGACGATGACGACGATGAGGTCGTGACGCAGAAGGTGCTCGAGGCTAGATTGATTGATTTCGCACATGCCAAATGGACGCCTGGTGAGGGTCCGGATGAGAACGCCCTGCATGGGATTAGGAGTCAGATTCAGATATTAAAGGGGTTGGTCGGATAGAATTTCTAGAGATTAGCGAGACGGAATGATTGAATGAGCGAGCTGGGTTTCTTCATGAATGATTTTTGTTTTTAGTATTCAAATTTTTTTTCTAAACTGTAGATGGTTTTTGGGTGTCTGTCATCAGATGTGTAGGGATAGATAATTTCGCAGAAGTCATCGCTGTATCCCATGTTCTGTGACCATTCTGATCCTGAATGCTGATGTAAAGCAGGACTCTTTTTGAAAATTGATATCACATGCTCGTGGATTTTGACTCAAAGACGATCCATCCCAAGCACGCTTTCTGGCCATCCAGCCCAAACGATAGCCCTGTTAGGGACTCGCCCGGCCACAGGGCTCAGCAGACTGATGCGACCTCTGCCCTCGTCGACATCGGTCACATAGAGAAAACCCATGACAGATGCATCACGGATGGTGCTTTGATCTGCTTCTGCATCACAGTTGAGAACAGCAAGGATTGAGTTGCGCATCGCAGCCATGGGCGCGGCCAGTCGTTCATAGATCTGTGAAGCAGGGAGTGCAACTTTCGATCCTAAGCCTGGTAGTGTGGTTGGTGATGCATCGTCCAGGCCGCCGGGAAGAAAACTATCGTCGTCGTCGTTGTTGTAAGATCCTCCGCCGCTGCTTGATGAAGGGTCTGGTGTGGTTGAAATGCGTCGCCAGATATTCAAGGTTGTGAATTCGACTTGCTGTTGTCGAGGTTGTAGTGAAATACCATTGCTTAGTCGAGGATTGCCGTAGAAATATGCCTTGATCTGTGCCGCTCTCACAGCTTGCATATAGCCTTCGTCCCGGTCGACACAGCCACCAGATTTGTTCATCTTGATCACCGAAATGGTCTCGTGGGGGTTGTTGTTTGTTCGAGATGCTGTGGGTTGCCCGTCAAAGCGCTTAACCATATCGCTGTAGAGCCTCTCTGATCCCAGACATATGATTGCTGACACGACAAATTCAGAGACAATCTCCTGGATGATATCGTAGCCGATATGGGTGGACTTTGGATTGACCAAACTGCCAGGGGTGTCGATGATCAGGCCGCTTTCCTTGGCCTCGTGGTCCTGCGCCAATCGCCCTGCTACGGTCAACGCAAGACGACTGGTTTGGGCCTTGTAGACTTTCCCTTCCTTTTCAAGCGGGTCGGAACTGCCTGAGAAGTAGACCAAAGGTAATTTGACAGGAATGACACCGTTGGGACCACTCATGGGTGCAGCTCCCCATCCTTCCTCGACATCCATCAGTGTTTTGAATACCGCCGCAGTCATTGTGCCCGGAATGCTCATGACCCCCTCTTTGACATCCAGATTCACCACAACGGGAGACCGCGCGGATCTTTGTGCGTAGCCAGTGAGGATCTTTGCAAGTGTGCTTTTTCCCGCGTCTTCGGGTCCCAGAAGCAAAACCCTCGGTCCTTCTCTACCATTCGTTCTTGCTTGATCACGCAGGGACTCGAGTGCGAAATGGGCGTTGATATATTCGCTCATAGGTGTCTCTTCAGCGGTGTATTCACTTTGCAGTGCATCACCACTGACTTCAAAGGAACACCCATGCCAGGTAAAGATGGAGGCTTTGGTGCCGGTAAAGGTAAAGGTGTTTCCGGCGACAAGTTCGGTGCCAAACAATTCAGCTGTGCCGGTCAACAGCTAGAGATGACAGGTCAGCAGTGGAATTCAGATCTGGAGGAGAATGCGGAACTCGGCCTTACTTTCAGGTGAATATATTTGCCGACAGCGACTTCGAAGCGCCATTCAGTTTCTTTTGTCAGGTCATGTTGGACAGTCTCAACTGCTTGAACGTCTTCCGGCTCATCTAGCCCAAGACCTGGTAGCGACAGCGACATCTCATCATTGTGGACAAAATGTGAAATGCGTCACGCGCGAAAGACAGACTCGGGTGAAATAATAAATAAAGTTGACTGCGGAGAGGCGCTGGAATGAGCACCACTAGCTCTTCAAGTTGGTCGCGGCTAGCCTGACCCTGCTGCTTTAAAATGGACAATCCCACCTGCACACTTTTTTCTCACCCCAGATAGCCATCGGCTCTCCTTCAACTCAGCCTAGCATCTGCCAATTGAGAAGATGTATTTATGGCGTCGAACTATTCTATAATCATTTGAAGTTGTGACTAAATCAGCGCGATGATAATCTTCCTTATAAAGATCGTGTTTGCGGTGTAAACCTATCTTCGATACTCCATCCTTCGCTCATGGGCCCACTATGGGCCTATCTCTCATACTTCGTACAAAGAAGCACATACTCGCATTATATGGTGTGTGGAAAGCGAGACCAAGCAACTGTATTATCAGATATATACACCCAGAACAGTACCCAGTAGTGTAGAGACCAACAGAGCTTCCTTTGCATCTAGACCTCCGTCTGCCTACGGTGACCCACTGACTTAGTGATTGGATATTGGTATCTGACGGCTAGTGGAGAGGCTGTTCTTGCCGCTGCTGGCAGTGTCATGATCACAACTCCCATCTCTTGCTGTTAGCTCCATGGGATCGCTGAGCAGCCCGCGCCTTTTGGTCGTAGGATATGCCGGAGGATCTTCCCAGGAATCTGGCCCCTTACTGTGCAGCACCGAACGCTGCAACTGAAGCTTGTCATCATTCATCCATGCCTCTTTCCGTTTCTCGCCACGCCCTATCTTTGTCTGGATCTTGCCGACAACGGTGTCAAGGACGAACGACGTGACTATGATTAGACTGCCCACGATCAATATTAGGGCCATGCCCAGCACTGAAAAGGAGATACTGTCCGAGCTGTCGAGGACTAGCTGATTGACGCACATATCAGCCTCTATGGAGTTCCCGTCTTTGGCGGGCTGAAAAACATAGGATCCTTCGGCGACGTTGGAGGGACCCGTTACGTATTCCTGGACGCCATACTGTAGGCGCGCAAGGCCGGTATCGAACCAACTCCCCAATTCAATCTGCCATTGGTTGGCTGGGAGCGGTTGCTGCTCTAGTTGAGCCACGGTTTCGGAGGCACGCAGGGCTCCTGCCATGCGAGTTGTGACTTGTTGGTATATGTTGGTAAATATAGCAGCCTGAATGATGCGATCAGCTGTATGTTTTTGGACTGGGTTGAGGTTGAGGGCCAGTAGAGCGTTGCCAGTGGTGAGCTGCTTAATTCCAAGCATTTGTGTGCAAGAATTGGTGTACGGGTTGCATATTTGGTATTGTTCGGCGCAGGTGATGGCGACCGCCCAGAAATCAGTATTGTAATAGGCCAGGTCATCATCCAGCTTCTTTGGGATGTGCGCACTAAAGACTGGATCATCGCAGGGCTCTTGGAAGAGTATCGAGTTTGAGGCTATGAAGACTATCGACAGGTCTGTGTCTGCTCGTCTGAGGGCGGGGATGGGCACCCAGGCATCGTCGGCGCTGACTGGATAATAAGAGGCAAGAGCTTTGGTTGTGTAACCTATATCGTCCATTATTGCGTGGGTATTGTATTGCCAGGTATAATTGCCGGTATTTGTTGATCCATATTCGTAATTTAGTAGAGACTCGCCCGAGCTACTGACATTTCTCAACAGCTGAACTAGAGGGGCACAACTGGCCTGCTTCTTTAGTTGAACGCGGTTTTCATTAGGCGCATTGATGCCTAGATGCGTGTGAGAGTCAATGGCCACTGAAACCATGTTGAAAGCAGCGGTGTCACCATACACGCACATGCCTGAATCAAATGGGCACGTCGAGTTCTGTTCCGAAATCCAGTCGATAGATCCGACTGGAAACGTCCCGCATTGTTGCTGTGACATACGAGTGCCGTAGCAGTGGCGCGCATAGTTTGCGGCCACAAGTGTGTCGTTCGCCGTCTTCTGGGTAAGCGCTCTAATGCCCTCTGTCGACGTCAAGTTGGTCAGCCAGTACCCACAACTATCTTGTCCTTGAATTCGTCGCGCATTACCAGCTGAGACTGAAATTTCAGAGGAAAAGGTCGCAAGGGCTCCAGACAGTAAAAGGTAGAGAACAGCCAGCAGAGCCCATGGCAGGGTTCTAAGAATAGTATGTCTTGCCTTTCCTCTCCAGTAGTACATTTGTAGTGTAAATGACCATGCAGCACCTCCCGGTGAAGAAGTGTTTCGGAAAATGTTTTGTTGTTGATAGTACAGTCCATCGAGTTCGCCTTTTTGTGGCCGCCCTTGATGAATTGCGAAGCTAACAATACGCCAAAGCTGCGCTCCGACAAGGGCCATGAAGGTTGCTATAAATGAGATCAGGATGCCGCCTGATCTCTGAGAAAGTGTGATCGTAGCCCCAAGGATTTTTCCTTGTGACCAATTGATCCAATAACCGAAATAAATGCTGTAAGTTGTCATGATTGTCGCTCAAGAAGAATGAAAGGAGCTGGGCGGTTAGAAACATCCTCACCATCCCTCAAGGCTTTTAAGGAATCCCAGGAAACAGTTATCAGAGTTGGCGTTTGTCTAGATGACAGGCTAACTTTCAGCTGCACAGTGGTCGTTTCGCCTCTCAGGAGTGAGTATTTCAGCCTCATCAAGGGTTCTTGAGACGTGCCTGGCTGACACAGGTTGTTGACAGGAAGAACCATGATCACTGATCATTTGCGGAAATTGGCGTTGAGTACAACGATATGTGTAGGACTGCGTTAGATTCAGCCTCACGCACTCCCTTTGAGCTCCTCTACTCGATCGTAATTAGAAATTGCGGAATACGAGGTATTGGACCTGGCTAGAAGTGGCTGTATCAAATGAGTGTCTACTTTAGGAGACATCACAAACGCCTGATTCTTGGCACGTTGGTTCCAGGCGCGAACCCAGCCGAAAAGTTCGGGAAGGCCTTGCAACAGGAGCAAGTAATGGCAACCTCTGTACCTCGTACGGAGTAGATGTGGCTGTCGTGTCAAGGTAGATAATTGTGGCCATATTGATCTGCGTTTTTCTTAGCCCGTCGCATGCCAACCGGGGTGCATTGTACCTGGCATGCCGCTTTCATATATTGAGCATACTCGGCATTCCAGGGGTTGGAGCAAGAAGGTCACAATTGTATTCGTTATTGAACATGCAATCATCCGCTCGTTGTAAGTACACGAGGGAGACATTTCAACTTAGGTCAGGAACCTTCGTGTCTACCTTTATCTGTAGCCTCACTGGCACCTTAGACATAAAGGGGTAATGCTCTGCCTCTTCCAAGTCCTTCTCGGATGCTCATCCTTGGGGGGTTAATTAGATCAGCGGAACGACGATAGGGCCCCCTTAGGAATGATGGTCGGCGCTGCTTCTCCAACGTCAACATCACTTGGTGTTGTGAATGACCCTTATCATTTATCCGGCGTTCAATTCACTGACTTGGCGGTCAAGAGTCAGAACTTGCTCTTTCAGCATTATTAGTGCTCGATTAGGCGGAACTAATGGTTTCCATGGCCCAACAAATGCTCCATGTGTTCTGTGTCTAGACGCGACGCGTTTGGAGATTCACCTCGAAACATTTGATATCATTGGGATGAAGTCCTCCGAATCCGTGTGTAGCTCTTTGGCATCCATCTCTTCACAACCATGGTAGTTCGTACAAGTTTATTCATGTTCGATCAGTCCATTCATTCTAAAGCTTTTAGTCAGTCAGTTCAATTACTCTTACTCCGTTCAGCCCCGGGTACTTTACGTACTCTACCCTTGAGGTCTCCTTACTCCGACCATTCCTTTAGACGAGCGAGGAACCGTCCGTAAGGTTCGCATACCTATACGACTCAGCTTCTAGCCCACGAAAGTCGGCCAGCGATATATACGGTCCGATGAACTCTCGGTCAACCATCAAAGCATAGCTATGGATAAAATTCAGACCAAACTTCGTGGTATGCAATTCCATAAGTATCGTCTTTATCCACTGCGTGTCCAACGGAACAGGATCAGTTCAATATCCGAGGTGCAGTAGCTCCAACTTCAACCCACGACTCTACTTGGAATGAGTCTGCAACTGCCGGGGCATGACCCTGCACACACGCGCAAGAATGGCTCATTAGGTTGAGGTGCTAGTAGAGTCCGACCATTCCTCGTCCACCGCTGTCGTAATCAGAATGGACCTTCTGAAAGCAACCTCATACGCATACGCCACCATGACCCTTTCGACATATGGATGTTGTTCGTCTCGTGTGGACATCAGGACCCCTGGCAGTGTACTTGATCCCAAATAGGAAACCAAGTACGCTAACGAACGACATCCTGCATTGATAGCCAATCAGACCACACTTTGCCCCAAAAGTATCATCGAAGAGGTTTTTCGGACTCTCATGTACTCATGCCATGATCCGAGAACATGCAACCGCGGTAAAAAGCATCATACCATGGTGAGTGATCCAAATATCACCGAGGTATGTTACCAAATCAAGCAAGAAGAATGGGCACAAGATCTCCGGGGTGCATCAAAGACCTGTGGACTGTGTTGAAAGGAAACCATAAATAACGGCGTGTCTCCCCACGCTGTCTGTGTCTTGCAAGCACTCACAAACAGCACTTGACTTGCACTGATTCACCAACAAGATGACTTCTATCACCATCTCCTCAGAGAGGGTCGCACAAGTGGATGCGGTGGTCCGAAAGTTCGTCGCTGGCTTCCACAAACCAATCGAATCCATTGACGAGTTTACTTCAATTTATTCTCCGGATATCGAGTGGGCTGATCACGCCTTCCTGATCAGACGCGTTGGACACGAAGCTGTCATCGGTTTGCAACGAGGCTTTACTTGGTGTAACCAACCTTTCAAAGCTGAAATCAAGGTATGTATGAGGTTTTGCTCCTGTATCCGCGACTTGGGAGTCGTCCACTGATAAACATGTCAAAGACCATCATACCAACTGCGACAGGCGCTATCTTCGAACAAGTATGGGTTGGCCGACACGCAAATGATCTGGTCCGACCAAATGGAGACGTGGCTGTCAAGGCCACTGGTAAAGATTTCGAATGCCATGTTCTCATGGTCCTTCAAATCGATGGCGGTGGAATCATAACTCGCATCGACGAGTTTTATAACAAACACTGGGAGGATGGTATCCGTGAACAGGACTATCTGGTGATGAAGGGTGCAAGCATGAAGTCCAAGGTCTGAAGAGCTGGGTGTCAGAACCGAGCATGGCTTATCCGCTCCTGGTTGCCAGCCTTAGGGTAAAGACGGAATCAATTTCGTCCTTGCCTTCTTGTGCTTCTCCAGAATTGCAACAATCATATTTTCCGTATAAATGACTGATTGCTGTTCGTGCGGTAAATTTCAGAGTTCGTAATCGAAGATTCATTGGCACTGGCCTTTCGAGGCATAACCCTCAGCCTGAGTTTTGATCTCGTCCCAAGTCTCCACTCACGAAGACCACGAGGACTGCGGCATATGCCGCACATGCTCCGAAGATCTCGGCTCTTCTCGCATTTGAGATCACACTGACACTCAGCGCAAAGGCAAGCGTATAGACCGCTATGAGGCCGAGTTTCACCTGATCTTGATCGACATAGTACAAGTTGTAGATCGCACCGAACAATAGCGCTGCAGCAAGAATCACACTGACGGTATTCACTACCAACGAAATCCGCGAAGCTGAAAAATACTCAACGCCTGAATTCCGAGTCTTTCGGCCACCAAGCTGTTTTCATTAGCATACACATTTGGCGATGAATACAGGTAGTCCTCACCCTAAACAACATGGGACAGAATCTTCTAAGGATGAGTGTGAGTCGATCCTCGTTCTCTGGCCGTTTCAGTGCTACCAGTTGATCTCTCTCCTCATACAACTGCTCGCTGTGGCCATCGAGAGCGGGAAAGGTTCTTCTGCCACGTCGCTCGTTCCAGAATTGACGGTTGAAAGCACTGTGTGCTTGCATTGACGGTCTTCTCATCGAAAGAATGGTGGACTCTAGCACCAGAGCCTCGCCTAGGGAGTTAAATTATTAGTCTGCGCCGGTACCAACCGACTGATGAATCGAGCGTACGGTATTCCTTGAGCTTCTCCCGAATCGCAACTACCAACTCCATCCGTTTCTTCAAGCGCTCTTTTATCGGGGAATTCGGATCATTTGTGCCCCTGTCGAAGGATGACCAGTCCCGTGAAGCAAGATTGATGGGCTTTGCAAGGTCAGGCTGCAGACTATCCTGGGCATCTTCTTCATCATACTGTTGTTGCAAACCCTCGAGCTCTGCAAGTTCGCTTTGCAGATAGAGAAGATTCCGCGCTGAGAGAACATCAAATCTGCGGAAGATGGCCGTGTCGCCGTCGTGGTCGCTAGCGATGAACTTGGCAAGATCTCCGAAACCGCTGACGTAGTGGAGCGCCATTCCATCTTGTTCGACATCTGACTGCATCGCGCTCTTCTCAATTCAATACAATTTACCCAGAAGGCGCTCTTAAGAGCCGATGCCCTGATACTATCGAAGTTGTTAGATGTGATGATCAAAGTGTCCGTTACGAACTAATGATATCGTGTAAGGTGGGGATGGCAACGTCAACAGTGACAGCCGGACCCCAGTCGTCTCAAGGTGTCTGTGAATGGGTATTCGATTGGGCACTGAACCATGTGAGCTCAGCCAATCCTGCATAAAGACCTTGGTTCTTCCTTGAGATATTGGTCATGTACATGGTATTGGGCGCCAACAGTTGGACTTGGCCTTCTGGTGGTGGCGCAGCAGGGCGTCCATCAGTTGGCGGATTTGTATCAATCGCCTGTAGGAGAAGCGCCGCCTTCCCCATGCCAGCTGAACGTCCCAATTCTCTCCCTGACCTACTTTACATTTGCTCTCTTCTTCGTCATTGACTTCTCTGTTCTCTGCTCATGGTTTTATAGGCGCACGAAGAACTTGAGATATAGAAAAAACTATCCGAAACGACAGAGACCCCAGGAAAACCTGTCGGTGACTTTCACATCAATTAGCACTGTTCGCACTTTGTGAAGCACTTGTTTGTCGGAGAGAAAGGTCCTGTCCAACACTCTTTAGTGGCCAGGGCGCATACTCAATTTCTACTCGAGAGAAACCGGTACACACAGCCAGCATACTCTTTGTCAGATTGAGTAAAAACGTGCAACAATGGAACCATCGTGTGGATCGGGGCTACGTGGACCGACTACTCCAGAGCGCAGACAATCATTGGATCCATCACAATCAAACAATGCTACAGACCCAGTGCGATCGAACTCGGGTGTCACGGTCGCCTCAAGTACTATTGAATTCGAATCTGAAGAGCACTTCGACGCCTTACGCTCCGATAAAGATACCGAAATGGACTTCGCGGTTAAGGACAACCCGTTTGCATTCTCACCGGGTATGCTGAACAAGCTTCTAAACCCGAAGTCCTTGGCAGCTTTCAAAGCGTTGGGTGGTCTAAGAGGGTTGGGGAAAGGATTGAGAACTAGTCTTACTGCTGGTCTGTCGATGGACGAACCAGAAATATCACAGCCCGCGAAAAGTCTCATGTCAGAAGTGACCAGGTCTCTTCTACCACTCGCTATAAAGGGTGTTACTCAAAATGCAGTGGCAGATACTGGAGCGCAAGAGAACGTCATGTCTGGATCGCTCGCCAAAAAGCTCAAGCTGCCAGTCCATAAAGCTGGAGGAGGAAATCACCAGTTTGTTAACGCCGTCGGAACGCGCATGACTGCGATAGGATATACTCAGGTCCCATGCATTTTCCAAGATCAGTCTCAGCAAATCGTGACCTCCCGATTTTGGGTTTTCCCCAAGTTGATTGTCCCATTGGTGGTTGGCCGGAAGTTTCTTGAAAGCACTGAGACCCTTACTCGCTTTAAGCACCGCCTGCGGAACCTGGCCATCTCCGCCGGCATATCTTTGAGAGTTCTCCACATGGAGCTTCCCAGATGGCGACTCAACTGCACGATTGGCAGTTCACCGACCCTAGCAAACCCTGATACAGGCTCAGATCTTGGCTTGATGTCCCTGTCGTTCGTACAGCAAAACGGCTTCAAGATTGAACCAAATCGACGCGATCAGGAATACATTCAGTTTGCGGATGGTTCTACACAGCGACTCAAAGGGGTGGTGTCGGTGCCTTTCTCGATAGGACAGGGACAATATGGAAATCGAGATCACGAGTTTCACGTACTTGATAGACTCACATCGGAAGTCTTACTAGGAAACAGTACGCTCAGGGAATTGGATGTCTTCGACTCATATGGGCATGAGCTGGTCGACGTTGAAGAGTACGATGGATTCTCCGATTTTCACTTTATCCGATGGGTTCAGAGAAATGGCGAAGGCGATTTCCTAGACGTACCATTTCACGAGTTCCAATTTTCCTCAGTCCCCGCTGGAATGACACCCTCTGCACCACAGCCAGCAAGGCAACCTTCATCCAGATTCAACTTTTTGAAAATGAGACGCCGAAAGCCTCAGCAGGAAACGATACTGACAATTGCAGAGTCAGAAGCCCGCTCGCAAAGATACTTACAGTTCAAAGATATTAGCGAACAGCGCCGAAGAACGCTAGAAGAAACACGGATTTCAAGACTTGCTCCTCACGACCAGTCCTTAGCTGAACGTGCAGAGCATGCTCTTCAAAACAATTTCGATCTTGATCGAGCAGACTTCGTTGCGAGGCATACTGCTGCGATTGACCTACTGAAATCCAGGTCGAGCTCTTCAGGGATATCTACACCGGGGCTCGTTGGGGCGCGGCAAGTCCTTGATGCGACTCATCAAGCTTAGACATTTTGATGACGGTGGCTGACCTCATTGGAGAGGTGGGATATCAAGGACGGACATATGCGGATACATCGATTTTTTTCATATTTCGTTTCCCCCATTTGCGTGTTTTCTTAAGACTGTTCAGTACGAGGAGAAAGATTCCTATTGCCCAACGAAGCCTACATATGGACCACGAAGCGAGTGAGCGCTGTTTTGCATCTAGTCTGCGCGGAGTTAATTAGTGATAAATTTACCAAGGTAAAGAAGAGTAAATTGGTATCTAGGTTCTCGACCATCACAATGCACACATGCTCATTTCCGCCTTCTACATCCCTGTCTACTTGAGTTCACATATTCGCAGAAACTCCAAGCCTCCACAGCTGTCCGCAGGTCGATCACGCTTTCTCAAATGCCATGACAGCATATCTAAACGCACCACTCGCATACCCACTCCGCATGGCACGGAACGCCTGCAGGAAAGCGAGTCCATCGCGGCCCTGGCTGATTGCGAACGCCCAGAGCGACGGAGACGAAATTAACTGCCACGAGATATCCCTGAGGCATTCGTAGTGCATTGGTTAGCTCTTTATCACTGGGAAGTACGTAATGAGGACACTATTGATGGCGGGAGAAGAAGCTTTCGAGTCATTGACGTACCAGGTCTTCGCAACGTCTTTGCTGATATCTTTCGGCGGATGCAGGACTTTGAGGCCCGCTGCTTCTGCAAGCTGAACGTACTCATCTTGGGTTTTCAGCGGTGGGAGGAGCATGCCATCTGTTGGCCATTCCAAGTAAGCCAAAATCACAGAAAACACCAGGAGCTTTCGCGAAACTGGTCTAGGATCACATACCTTCAATCGACTTGATATCCCGTTCCCCACCCTCAAGATCCTTCAGGACGGCACCGTCCGCCTTGAACCAATCCGCGATAACCAGCTTGCCACCGCCAGTTTTGAGCACTCTCGCAGCATTCCGGAAGAACAGAGGCTTGTCAGGAAAATGACTGAGCGCTTCGGAGATCCACACGGCGTCGAACGAGGCTGGATTGAAGCGAGATTCCATCTTCTCGGCGTCGAGCTCGAGGAACCGTACCTTGCCGCTTTTCGTGCCTAGGGCGTGGAAGGCTGGAGTGTCGCTTGTCGTTTCGGGAGTTGAAGAGTCCGCGGTGGTGCTCGTACTCGTGGTTCCATTGCTGCTGGCCTCTTCGTTTGTAAGGCGGTTCGCGATCGCGACTTGCCGTCCGCTGATGGTGATGCCGGTGACGGTGCATCCCAGCTCTCGTGCGAGGTGACGCGTCGTGCCGCCGATGCCACAGCCGACGTCAAGTACAGTGCTGTTTTCCTGTAGTTCAGAGATCGAAAGGAGGAGCTTGATCAAATTGACCTGCCCAGTCTCCTTCGTGTCGTCCGCCGATTGGAAGTATGCGTGGTGGATATGTTGGCCCCTAGAGGAGAGGGGGTAGTAGGTCAGTGGTTGAACGCCGGGCGGGATGGATTGAGTAGGTATGGAAAGATAAGAATATCTGTTGATTACCAGAGAGAATAATAGTAGTCGCTGGCCAGCTCGTAGTGGTGCCGTATGCGATCCTTCAGAGCGGTGAACGACGAGTGTTCTTCGAACTTTGGCACTTCATACGTGTCGCCGATATGGCTTTCGTTTGCGGTACCATGTTCGGTCTGGCTCCCTGACGTACCGCCTACACTCGCCGTGGGTGGCTGACCTTGATCGCCCATTGCTCAGATGTCGAGGTCGAGAAGCGTGTCTATTCAAAGATATATTGAATTTCCTCGGAGTTACACAGGAGCTAGAGGAGGAATACTTTATCCTTATTTATGCAAGGCGGAAGCTGATTCCGGCGACACAATGCCTTACTGGTCACATCAAATATCCACAATCGCTGTAAAATCGACAGAAGAAGTGTATCGTTAGTGTTGATGTCTCAGTAAAGATCCACTTCGTCGCATGGCATTCAACGTCATCGAAGCAAAAAGGTCAGACCCAAGGCAGGAGAGATGTTTCGTTGCAGCTGTGAAATTGACTGCCCAGGTGACGGACTCTAGGAAAGTACTGGTTTTGCTGGGCTGTGAAGTCCCCGGTGCGGGCGCAAAACTACCTAGATTGGACCGTCCAATCAAGTTGGAGGAAAATACCTTCGAATTCTAGTTTTTGCTGAGCCGTCCAGTTCTCAACTTGGATATCCAACTTCCCAATGGAACTAACCACACGGCATGCACTGGAAAAGAGATACCGTCAAATCCTACAATTGCTAGTTCATATCATTCTCAATTTGAGATGTTGTGCACTCGTGTTCAAAGCAGGCGGTATCACCTTTACAGGCTCTGAAAATGCTAGATTTCACACAGGTCCTCGCTGGAATGGATCGGATCAAGTCAAGGCGAGCATGCTAGTTCCGAAAACACTCTGACATTGTTATTGAGGGTGGCCCATATCTGCCCACAAGTTCGAGAGATGTAACAAACAACAGCAATCATAACACGAAACGCTAGTATTGTCCACATCAAGCGTATGCCCTTTTTCCTAGTTCCAGGAATGTTTGTTTCTGAACATACTCAATCTCCTTCAAACATAAAGCCGCAGCCACATAGCGAAAGCTGACAAGTCCGTCAGTTTTCTGCGTGTTCGCCAGGTCAAACGGAAGGTCTTCAATACTGGCCAAGAAACAACCAACACTAAGCGCCAGGCCACCGAGATGGTCTTCGTCCTCCTCCTCGTCGTCGTTATGAGCAATGAGACTCACGATGTATGCTAGATCTGCATCGAATCGCTCGCTCATGCTAACAGCCAAGTCGTGTTGTCGTTTGGTCTGTGCACCGGTTTTTCCTAGGATGTTTCCAATGAAGACCTCTTGTTCACTGAGGGCCTTCGTCCAGTCAGGACTATATTCCCACGAAACGTTTCGAACACATTCTTCATATCTGTGATATTTGGTCAGCACAGCTCCTTCCACGATGGCATCCAAGAGGCACAACTTACTCTGCACGAATACCTCGAGCTCGATTCATGTAAGATTCCACGAAAGAGAGTTCGCAGTTCTGCTTGATATATTCGAGTATGCCTCCCAAGACAGATTTCGTGACTTTCGGAGGTGTATTGCTCTGTTGAACATCGGTGAAGATTTCATGCTCGTCGATTGCCCGATATAGTTTGCCCAGGATTTTGTCGCTTTCGTAATATCGAGGGATTGGTTTGTCGTCCTCGTCATCAGGTTCTGCATCTTCGGAAACGCTGAATGCCAATGGTTTGCCCTTCGTCACGGTGATATGTGGTCCAAAAGCCATAAAGTCTGGTCGACATGAGCTAAATCTCGGCATCTTGCTAAGATCGACCTGTTGGGAGTTAGTCTACAGTCAAACAACACTCATTTGTCCTTACCGGGATTCCGCTTTTCGAGAAGTCGACAGCTGTTGAATGCATCTCTGCAAGTGTAAGACAGTCTGGGTTCATCGTGCCATCTGCACGCTGATCAGCTATGATTTTGTGGTTGTTGGCGATTCGCCCCAGCTGGTCGGTCGCCATGAATGTGATGAAGAAGTCTGTCATGTCTTCACGTGTCACCTCTCTCTGGAGATCAATGGGAGGCGGCCGGGAGTAATCTGCTGGCGTGAATTTACGCTTTGGCTTGGCTCTAGAGTCGAACAGAACTTGATAAAGGTCGCCATCTAGATCACCACCACTTAGCATGCTTGGGAGATCTCTTTCTCCATGTTGACTGAAACAAACGCAATTCCGAAGGTCCAACAAGGGCGACCCGTACGGCGGGTGCACCGCATTAGCCAGTTGAATATCACCAGGATGAAGAGCCGGGCTTCGAGTGACGACAACATTTCGCTGCACAACAACTCGATCCTTGCCAGCTTCTTCGACCGTGCAAAAGATCTCGCCTTCCTTGAGGAAGCCTGTTTCATCCATGATGCCATGCAGAGTGTATCCATCTTCTACAGGAATCCGAGACTTATACTTCAATGATCTCAATTCTAATAGCACGGCAATCTCAACAATATTCTTCAGAAATGGGTCATCACGAAATGAAAGACCTAGTACTTCAAGTTTGCGTATGAGCCAAGGTAGACTGATGCGATTTCCAATGCTATGACGCTTGAGGAATTTGGAAGCCGATGATGCACTTGAGGTGGTGGATCGCAATCGACGCACTTCTCGGTTTTGGTGGAAAAAGAAAAACTCGTCGTCGACACCCATGTCTTCCAAAATTTTGATGCTCTGTTGATTCAAGTAATACGGGAGAGCACGAAACGCGTTGTTGCATATTTCGAAATCCAAGGAGTCCGATCCTGGGAACTTCATCATGGATCGGCGAAAGCGGAGAGCATCTCCAGCAAGTCGACTATCCAGAGCAATCATGCCTTTAGCACCTGTGCATGTGGTAAGTGTTTCGTTCGATGGACTGATATTGCGAGATTGAGGGAGCAGTGGAAGAAGGACGGGAATTATAAAGCTTGTTAATGACCTTGGGTGGGATTCTTACCTCCATATCTGATTTGAAACAATAGTGGTCTCCCATTCCTCGTTGTGGGTAAGTGAGCCCAGATCTTCTCTAGAACACCTCTTGAGACTGTTCCTACGCCGTCACTGAAGACACGGCCATTGCGTTCCACATCAGGGATCTCCCTGGCAACGCCGGGGGGGATCGTAATTGCTGTTGGTGTCTCTGAAAAAGCTTGTCCAATCCTTGCGGCACACTTTGCCGGGCACCTGATTCGTGAAAAATCGCCCAGACCCTGTATTAGCATTCGATCGAGAAGTAAACGCCCCTCGTGAACAAATGGCGCCATAAACCAACATGACTGGGCACGTAGAGACGAGTGAGAAAAGCCTAAGAAAGAGAAATGGCGGCCTGCAAGGTTAAAGCCTTCGTTCAATAATTTTGTGAAGCGGCCGCGAAATATTTCATCGTTTGATACTTGAGCACTGTACCGTAATTGCTGACCATCCTCTTCACAAAATTGGACTCTGATGAAGTAGTCATGATGATCCGGGTATTTTCGAAGAACACGATTGTTGTTTTCTGGCTCTGGACCAGAAGACAAGTATAAGCGCGAGGGAGTTATGCTGACCTTGTGGATATACGCTATGTTATCGGAGTCGAGACGCTGGCTGTGGTCGATTTCGCCAGTCTTCACCCGTTCGTAATGCTCGCGTAAACGTGATTTCAACGACTCAACCGCAAAAACCGCCGGGTCGGCCTCGAGGCTGCGGTAAGGCAATTGCCGGAACAGACTGCGAATGATCTCTACGGTGGTCCGAAGGTTGCATCGACTCAGCAGGCTCTTTATGATGGGTAAAAGCGCCAGCACAGTGTCTGGTGGTAGAGAGCCAACGGTTGAAAGTCGTTGCAATTGAAACTTGATCGGGAATGGCAGGACTGGGTCCTTGAGCGCATTGAGAAGTGGAGCAAACTCGGTTTTAAAGGACTTGGGGGCGACTTGAGTGAGGATGTTCGGTCGAATGAGCGGAGGCCGGAGGTGCATACGCTCCAAGGCCTGTGTTTGAGATTTTGTGCTAATCTGAGGCAAACCGACATGATAGACAAGGCAGCTTCCCACAATTGAGGCATGCTCCGTATCAAGTGAGGGTATTCTGAATCTGTTCACTGAAGACGGTCGATTCGAAAGATTCATGCTTTGAAGGAGCTGACTCAGGTCTGTGGAGGCGGCTGTGGTTTTTTGGAGGTCTGGTCCAGTCCGGAAAAACATGGGCGTATCTGTACAAGTGACAGTAATTCCAGGGTTGGGAAGGCCACTGACGATTGTTTCCCAGACATTCGGGGACATTATATCAATACGCTGTGACCTGTCTGTCTTGATTATTATCTTTTTCGAGGTGAACTTGATTGTGCCCGTGATTTTCCATTTCCGATATGTCATGAAAAGAGGCTCTGAAGTTTTGACTGTGTATTTCCATAAGCCACATGAGATCGAATGAATGGGAAGCTCACTATCCGATCCCTGAGCGATGGCTGGAGTTGGTTTCTCTTGTGTTGGCTTCGCAGGCTTCTTTTCACGTGCTTTGGCCTCCATTTGTAAATTCTTTAGTGCCCATTGATCGGGTGTCCTCCTGCTGCGAGCGCAGGAAAGAGCGATGCCATTGAACATGACGTTGGTCCGACCAGGAGGAAGGAAGTCACGGCCTAAGCCCGCACTCTTTACCTGACCATGGAGTTCCAAGAACTTCTGCGCATCCTGGATATTGAGAAACAAAACGAAGCAGTAATTGTTTCCTGTACGTTTCTGGCAATTCCAATCGAGAATGCCTAGGGGTGTCAAGACTGTACGGAATGATTTCTGAAGCTGATTCTCAGTTGCACGTTCGGGAACCCCACGAACGAAGACCTCCATCTTGTGTCAGTGGTGGTCGGTAAGAACAAGGCTGAAGGGCTAGAATGGTGAGTTTCAGCTGCTTCAAAGCGTGAGAAAGCACTCCTTTCGTATGGCATGGGATAGAACAATGACTCAGCTTCCTAATTGCACGAATTTCAACAACAGGCAACTGAGGATCAGGCAATTTGAACGAAGTTGAGCTTCAAGCACGCGACACGTGGACACAAAGGGATTTCACCTGTTTTCTGCGATAACCCGAACCTAAGGGAAATGAGAGAATCGCCACGTACGGATGAAGTGAATATCTGACCTAGGGACTGGGTATCCCCTTGCTGGTAAGTCACCTACCTACACCAAGCTCTAGATCGGTTCATTCGGTAAGGAGTGAAGTGGTGGTTAGAAACACGAGGTCGTGCAAGGGAAGTTCGAATGGTAGACGCTAGTACGGGAGTCGCCCACGCTAATTACAAAAGGGTTAGGCGTGTCGGCATCACCCACAGCATTACAGGCACCCCACCAGTCCGATTCTCAACGCTCCAACATTTCCGGATGACCAGCGTATCAAGGGCAGTGCGGGTTGACATTCCGGCGGACGGTTCTCGATTGTGTGATCAAACATTCTTTCACATGCATCGATTACTCGGATTGCCTACCACGAGGCATTCATGACGTTGACGAATATCACATCAGGTAGGACTACAGATAATAGCACCTGCCTCAATCCTTCTTATCTTCTTGCTAAGAGAGCCTCTTGACCATTGGTACTGCCAGTGAGGTACAGATATTGATACATACCTGCCTTGGTTCAACTGCATCTACCCCCTCTTAAAACGCACATATCACTTCTTTGAAGACCAGCCAAAGTGACAATCGAGCATCGGAATGGGCGATGCAAGCTTCCTTCCACCATCAACCTCACAAACACCGCTCACTGCCATTCCCACGGAAAGGAGCTCCACAGCAGCAAATTCAACAGACTCCCTGGCCGATGGATCACCCAATCCAACCACAGCCTTTGACCCAACCATACAGTCAGAAAGCAAACAACTCACCGCTCTCCAACAACACATCTTGTTCTGGGACCGTGACAACGACGGCATCATCTATCCACTGGACGTGTACAATGGCTTCCGCCAGCTCGGCTTCAGCATCATTTTCAGCCTGGGCAGTCTCCTAATCCCATTTTTCTTCTCCTACGCCACGACTCTCGCACACTCGTACATCCCAGACCCACGCTATCGCATCTACGTCAAGAGCATCCACAAGGCCAAACACGGCTCCGACACAGGCATCTTCGACATCGATGGCCACTTTGAACCGGCTCGCTTCGACGCCATGTTCGCTCGCTACGACACCTCCACGACGGGGGGACTGAGTGCGGAAGAACTGTGGACGATGTGGAAGAAGAACCGCTGTGCAGCAGACCCGGCTGGTTGGACCTTTGCGTTCATGGAGGCGTGGACGACGTGGTTGTTGTTGCAGGAGAACGGGAGGGTGTGGAAGGATGATCTGATGGCCTGCTATGACGGCACGCTGTTCTGGAGGATCAGTGAGCTGGAAGAATCTGGGGAGGGATGGCGTAAGGGGTACGGTGTGCGGGATTTCATCGAGGGAGTCTGGTATGGTGGGACTTGGAAGAATTGGGAATTAAAGGAGCACAGGAAGCTCAAATGAGTGTGGGTTGGTTGGGACTGGGACTGCTTACCTTAATCCTTCTTTTCATAGACCTTTATTTGAGCGAGAGCATGAGGCGCTTTAGACATATACTGAATCAACCTAAAGGGAGAGAGAGATGTTTCAAGATCAAGAGTTAATATATTTCATGAAAATTGCCTATCAACTGTTATATAGCCACAAGATACAATTTTTTAAAAACTTCCGCTATGCAAAAAACCAGCTATATCCACAATGCACTAAACTAGAATGGCACCTCGAATTCCAGCGTCCACAAAAGCCGACTATCCCAACTGGACAAAATGACCTCCAACCTTGTTCATTCACAGTCAGACTCATTCCTCATCACTCTCCTCCTCGGCGGTGCCCTCGTGGAAGAACTTCCCTTCGGTGGTCTCGTTAATGACACCGGCACGGATGGTCCAGTCGCCGAACCTCTCGCCATCGTTCCGCTCCTTGGCATACCGCGACAACAAGCCCTTCATGATCTCGAGGATCTCGTCCTCCTTGATACTGCTGCGGTACAGCTTGTTCAGTCTCTGGCCGTGATACCCGCCGCCCAGATACATGTTATAAGCGCCGTAGGCTTTGCCCACGAAGGCGACCTCGGCGACCCACGGGCGGGCACACCCGTTCGGACAGCCCGTCATGCGCATGACGATGCTGTCCTGGCTGAGGCCGTTCTCCTCGAGACAGCCCTCGAGCTTGCTGATCAGCTCCGGCAGGTAGCGCTCCGACTCGGCCATGGCGAGGCCGCAGGTCGGGAACGCGACGCACGCGGAGCTCGACAGCCGCAGCGCCGAGAACTGCGTGTTGTCCAGCTTGTATTTCTTCATCAGCTCCACGAGCTGCGGCTTCGCTGCGTCTGTCACATTCGACAGGATCAGGTGCTGGTTGCCCGTCAGACGGAACTCGCCCGTGTGGACCTTGGCGATCTCGCGGAGACCTGTGCGCATCGGGAATGTGGCGGTGTCTTCGACGCGTCCGTTCTCGATGAAGAAGGCGAAGTGGTTCAGGCCCTTTTCGTCCCTCTGCCACCCGAACGTGTCGATGTTGGATTCGAATTTGAAGGGGCGAGGGGACTCGAATTTGATGTTGAGAGGGTCGAGGAGTTCTTGGGTCTTGGCTTTGTACACCTCGTTGCCCATGTCGTCCATTGTGTACTTCAGACGCGCGTGCTTGCGGTTCTTGCGGTCGCCGTGGTCACGTTGCACCAGCATAATTTTCTCGCATACGAGGTGGACTTTATCGGCGGGAACATAGCCCATCATGTAGCCGGTTCGCGGGTAGGTTTTCTTGTTGTTGTGCGTCACGCCCATGCCACCACCGGCGAGGACGTTGAAGCCTTCCAGGTGGTCACCTTTGCGGATGGCGATCAGACCGATGTCGTGGGCGTAGACGTCGGTGTCGTTGTGTGGCGGAATGGCAATGGTAATCTTGAACTTTCGAGGCAGGTACGTGGGGCCGTAAAGAGGCTCAAAGTCCTGAACGGCATCACCAGCAACTTGAGTCTTCTCACCAGTGGTATCGTCTTTGAGCCAGATTTCATGGTAGGCTGTCGTGGAGGGTAGTAGGTGATCCGAGATCTTCTGAGAGATTGCATGCACTTCTCGATGATACTCGGACTGGGTGGGTAAGCTTGAGCACATGACGTTTCGATTGACATCGCCACAGGCGGCGATGGTGGTCATAAGCGCCTTATTGATGGCCTGCATGGCGGGTCTCAGCTTAGTCTTGATAACTCCATGGAATTGGAACGTCTGTCTAGTCGTAAGTTTGATGGTCTCGTTGCCGTGTGCGGATGAAATCGCATCCATTTGCTGCCATTGCATAGGCGTAGCGACACCTCCCGGAAGGCGGCATCTGATCATGAAGGAGTAAGCAGGTTCAAGACCTTGAGCCTTGCGCTCATCTCTTAAATCACGATCATCTTGCATATATGTACCATGGAACTTGGTGAGTTGCTGATCGGGTGCGGAGATTGCACCAGTCGAGGTGTCTGCTAGCCCTTCTTTGATAGTACCTCGGAGGAAGTTCGACTCGATCTTGATGTCTTCGTTGGTGATAGGCGCTGGCTCTTCCGGCAATCCTTCGACATTGTCCACACTGAGAGCCTGCCACAGCCGTGGCTCCCATTCTTGGTACCCCGTCTGATAGGTGTCAGGATCTTGGTCATCACCCAAACCGATAGGTGTCAACAGCTTGCCGCCTAAGAACTGAAGTCGGGCATCAAGGTCCTTGCCCGGCTTGTTGTAGAAAATCTTGTCTTCCTTCCGAGGCCAGTAGTGGCTATCTCCGAGAGTGAACACTGAGTAGTGAACGTTGGATAGATCTATGTCTGTCGAATCTTTGATCGCTTCCCAGAAGGCACGGCCGTTCTGTGGGAACTCTCCCTGGCCAGCTGTGCTCGTGATAAGAACGACATTCTCTTCATTGGCGAGATCTTCGATAGGGTAGTCATCCATGGCAATGACCATTGTCTTCAAACCGCGAGCTTTGCCACGATTGCCCAATCTTTTGGACAAACTTTCAGCATTGCCGTTGTCTGATGCGAATAAGATTGTCAGAGGTGCGCCATAGAGACCTTCCAACATTTGCTCGTATGCGTCCTTCGCTTTGCGTTTCTGGAGCTTGCGAACTTCAGATCCATACGACTCTGAAAGGTTTGCAGCAAATTGAGGATGTCGGTTCATCAGCTGAGTCAGTTGGTTGTCACGTTTCAAGAATTGTTCCAGTTCCTGTTTGATTCTTTCTGAGTCAAGATTGAAAGTTGGCTCTCCCTTCTCCTCGTTGGTTGGATCCCAACGATAGAGTGGCCAATAACCGAGATCGACTGCCTTCTTTGTTTCTTGTAGTGCCGTTAATGCTGAATCATTCTCCTTGTTGTATGGAAGGTATGCAAGAACGATGGACGGGCCGTTGAATTTTTCGGCTTCAATCATAGCTTGTAGGACTTGCGTGTAAGAGCTATAGACTGCGACTGAAGCGACGTAGGCGTTACCGTAATTCATAGCATAGAGACCGATGTCTTTCTTTCTCCGGAGGGAGTCTGCCGCCACGCGCTCAGAGTAAGGTTGCGAGTCGACTATCAATACATTGACATTGGCGCCTGATGCAAGAACATGATGAACACCCGAGTTCCCTAGATCGTACGACCAAGCGTCAGATCCAACCAGCCATTGCGATTCTTTGTAGAAGAAAGATTTTTTATCGAGGAGTGTTGATGCGAGCGCTGAGCCATCATTTGCCAGTCTGGCGAGGACTTCTGGAGCAATTTCATTGGCCTTAATTGGGTCGGCTGCATTCAACACCCATTTGGACAGCCATTGCTTGGGATTGTCTGTGATGAAAGACTTGCTGCGTGCGGCCTCTTCAGCTTCCTTTACGAATTTCTGTCGTCCTTCGATACGTGCAAGGAGTGATCCAAAGCCGTACTCGGGGGATGCAGCTAAGGTTGACGAGACGCCAGCGTTCTTTTGATTCAGAGCGTTGGCAATATACAGTCTGTCGCTGAATAGCTGGTCCAGGATCTTGAGATAGGCATTTTCCAACTCTGGTTGCTCAGGCTTAAAGTCGTCCACGTGAGGGTTCTTCTCGGTTCCAATAGTCAAATTCTGGATGAGGATTGCAGCGCTTTGTGAGTGACCACGTCGCCGTGTGTGTTTTCGAGGAGTCGTGGGTGGTGCCAGGTTCTGGAATATTCCGCGGAGTGCCTGAAGAGCCGTCGCAGCGTCGATCTGGCCAAGCCTGTATTGGACAAGTGAAATTGGACTTTTCTCGCCATCAGCAGGGCTCAAACTCGACAGTAAATCCAGGAATGAAGGACCCCATTTGGTAGTTTTCCGTCGAATTTGTTCGAGAACAGCAATCCTCTTGATTGTTGATGGGATGGAATTGAGGAGGACAGAGCTTCCGAGCCAAGGTCTATAGAGGCGAGCAGTGATCAAACCAACATTTGTCAATTCTGGTGGTACATCATCGGCGTCAAGAACGTCAACAAAGACTCCCGTTGATCCGAAGATAAAAAGCGCCGCTTCAGCATCTGGAGGACCGGAGTACTCTATGGCATTATAGCTGCGGTCAGTTGCACGCTCAATGGCGGACCAAATTTCGGTGGCGTAATGATAGATATCTGTGCTGCTGACCGGACGAGAAACCGGAACATCGACAGTTGTTGCAAGGGAAGATGGAGTTGTGCTCTCCGATGAGCTGTCTCGTCGAGATGATAAACCAGATGAGACATCGGTGGTGCCATTGGTAGAGGACGAAGCAATAAGAGGCGAGAGAGGCTCCTGCGCTTCTCCCGACTGTGCCTGACCTGACAATATCGTTGGTGACCCGAGACCAGTCACGGTTGCAGTCCTCCCATTGGCAGCATACAGCGTTTCCTCGGGGGATTCCGAGTGCGAAGATCGTGAATTGAGAGCGTTTTCGAGGACAGACTGAACCAAGTCTCGGCTTTCGATCTGAATTGGGGTGTCGTAGAGTGAATTACTGGGATCGTAGAAATGTAAAACACCGCGTCCACTTTTGATAGCCAGAGCATGGGCTGTCAAAGCGATATCCTGCGTCTCTTGGAGAGTCTCGGACTGCAAAAACGTAAATCCTGACTGCCGAACGGAGCTGATTTCGGAAAAATCTGGGTGAGGGGTTCCGAGGACCACATGCAGCACAATGGGATACTGTGCGAGTTTATAGAGATGTGGTACCGAGTTTAACAATATAGATGATGGCGCCGTCGCTGCAACCAGTTTCCCGGCCTTTAGTGCAGTGTAGACAGAGAGCAGAGGATCCGCGTTTTGTCGTACTGACACGATCTCGGGTGTGGTTTTGGATACAACATTTTTTGCTTGGTTTGCGGCAAATCGACCAAGGTGATGGGAGAACTCAGATTCGGTCTTGAGGGCGGGTTGGACTGAGAGAACGACATCGCTGGCTAAATATGCGATTCTGGCAACTATGAGGGTTGTAATGTTAGCAGAGAGTCTTGTAAGAAGCTGCGGGGAAGCAGTTGCTAGGATTGTCGAGGTGGAAAGGCGAGCAACATACCAGCCTCGGCGGGGCTCGAAATCGACCCCATGTTTGATCTTCTCTATTCAAAGAGAATGATCCAGTAGTTAACAGGAAAGGAAAGGAGGAGGTTCAAGACGTATAAAGGTCATCAAGAGGACCACGACAACAGCTCAAGAAGAAAACAAGAGAAAAATTGGCAAAGAGGCAAGTGATGTTAGTCTCTCTTCCCCAACTATTGCTCGAGCTAGTAGTATTCCATTCCTCTTAATTATTTAATCGGACATGGACGTGAACCGTGGATCCCACATCCGAGCCTGAATTCCCAAATCCACCAGAGTCTCGATCACCACGACAATTGCTTGTTAGCCCCGAATAGTCCCTTTTTTCCGCCAACCCAGCGGGTGAAATTTTCCTCCTCGTCATTCATTCCAGAAGCACTGTGATTGGCTGATGGGGCGATGGCGACATCGATGTTGGAGAAGCAGATTGGATGAACTTGAAAAGAGAGAGACGCCGGTCATGTCGGCCTACCTACCGAACTCCCATCAACCACATTCTCCATATTGGGCGCAAGGTCAGCATGGGAACGGAGAGAAGAACTCATGTCACTCATGACGCTCTGATTCTTCTCTGACCACAATGCGCAAGATATGGTATGCGGAGCCAGCCTCGTGGCTTACAAACTAATGCAGGGTTCCTGAGAGCTCTTTCGGAATAGACTACTTTAGTCAGAAGCAGCACTAGCTGTTAGTAGCCCACTAGCCCACTGGTGCCTTGAGCGAATAGACCTGTTTCGCAAACGTCATACTAAGATGGACACTTTCTCCAACTCCAGCATGACTCCCCTCCGCACATGAGTCCTATTCCAGCATTACCACTGCACACGATCGCAACAAGACCTCTGTTCGTGTACCAGCAGGTCCCTTTTTCAAGGACCAAGCTGAGTGTCGCTAGACGAGTCCTAGCTCGTGATGACTGAGCAGCATGTAGGCTCTCAGGAAGCTCCACGAGCCCTTGTGGCCTCGCCGTGGACACGATCCCTCATCGTCAGTCACCATCTCTCCAGGAAGCAATGGTTCGGATTCTAACTCTTCTTTTCCATTAATACAGTCAGGCGCAATCGCTGGCCTTACCGTCGATGTCTCCCTATATCCCCTTGACACCATCAAAACCCGCCTGCAATCCAACCTGACCACCCAGCAGAAAAATGCCTCGCTTGCCGCAAGACATACCCTGCAGGGCACATTGCGTAGCATGTACGCTGGCCTGCCCTCTGCCATGCTCGGATCTATGCCTTCAGCCGCCTCCTTTTTCCTGGTCTATGATGGGGTCAAGAGATCGTTGATCAGTGCAGACACATCACCACAAAGACAGACATATGCACACATGCTAGCTTCCTCGCTCGGTGAAATCGCAGCTTGTACCATCCGAGTTCCTACAGAAGTGGTCAAACAGAGAGCCCAAGCGGGTCTTTTTGGTGGCTCCTCCCTCCTTGCTTTCCAAGACATACTGGCACTGCGCAAGTCCGAGGGATTACCCACCATGATAAAAGAGCTGTACCGGGGTGGAGCGATAACCATCATGCGCGAGATCCCATTCACCATCATCCAGTTCAGTCTGTGGGAGTACTCCAAGTCCTCATACTCGGCCCTCCAACACAGAAACACGGGTCGTCAACAAGGACTCGTGACCGCTACTGAAGGCGCTCTTTTCGGCAGCATGGCGGGAGCCATTGCCGCCGGATTCACCACACCTCTCGATGTGCTCAAGACTCGGATCATGCTGGCAAGAAAGGAGGCAGGCGCCGCATCTGAGAGGAGCGGACCTTGGAAAGTCCTCCAGCAGACCGTGGCTGCCGATGGTGTCGCTGGTTTGTATCGAGGCTTTGTACCGCGCGTCGGCTGGATCAGCACTGGTGGTGCCATCTTCCTCGGAACCTACCAATACGTGTCCAATTTCCTTGCGGTTGAGCAATCTTGAGAAGATGTGGTCAGCCCACCCGGCCCACACCTTCGGTGCGTACTGCTGAGCATCAATTGCCGTCATCGGTAATATCTGAGTGATCGAGAACACAGGCAGCTGCGACACGTTGGCTGGGGCGGACGAATGTCGGTCCTTTTCACCAGCGTTTAACGTCTGGAATCGGAACGACTGCCGCGCTTGCCATGATGCACTTTCCAGCCATCTACGCCGTCCACACTCAAGTGTTGTGTCCATCAGATTTTCCACCGTTGAAAACAGCACACCCAGATGCAACACGCGAGGCGACAAGACTTGCACTCACTCACTCCCTTCGCCTGCGAATTTCCATCCTGCAAAGGCAAATAAAATGTACACTGTAGAAAAGTTGTCTGGACGATAGATATGCGACCGAGATCCAAGGCTCCACAATAATTTATATTCATGTATATATATGTAAGTGTATACTATACATACAACGTTTGAATTTTCCACCATGCATTTCCCGCCCCACAACTCCTCTCCATCCATTCACTCTTTCGACTCTGCACACACATGTCTCCGATAGCAGCAGCAGCAGCAGCAGCCAGACGATAGAAAGACACCGATCATTAACGAAGCCACCCGATCAAATGGTGCTTCCCTCTTCCTCTTCCCTCTTCCTCGCCCTCGCCCTTGCATCTTCTTCCTCAGTCCAGAAAAGCAGGCGAAGAAAGGACAATAGTTAGATAACTAGAGCGCTTGCTTCCCTTGGGTGCCTTCCTGCGACATTTTGTGTCCAAATCATCATCATCATCTTTTCCTGATTTCCTGTATTTATTATTTTCCGAGTTTTCTGGATCTGGATCTGGATCTGCATCACCAATGCCGTTTGGCGCATCAACTCTCGTTTCCTCCGCATCTCACACCCCGAACTCAGTAGCCAAGCAAGCCTTTTCTCCACCCTGATACGTTCACTACATCTCAGGGAGCCACCCAACCCACCCACTCACTCACATATCCCGGCCCCCAGAACATACACTATCAAGCTCATTTCACCTCACCTAACGACCCCAGTATGCTCCTCACTCTCCTCCTTGGTCGGCACCTCGGCGGGATGCGGCAGCCGCAGCGTTTTCTTGCCGTTACTCTTATAATACAGGACGACATCGCCACCGGTGCGCCAGACATGCACGCGCAGACTCGCGAGCGTGGTGTTGGGATCCACCAGCTGGCCTTGGCAGTACAGCTCGAGGTATTCCTCGGGCTTTAGCGTGTCCTGCTCCGGATCAGGGTGTTCGGGGTCGGCGGGCGCTTCGATGCGCTCCGCCACGTACGCCATGATCTTCTTGGCGCGCAGCATCCGATTTGCGTTGAGTCGTGCGTTGCCGTCGGGCGAGGCGATGCTCGGGAGTGTGTTCTCCCATGGTTGCAGCACGAAGCTGACTTTGACCGTGTCTTTGTACGGGATTTGGTTCTGATACGGTGATTTGCTTGTTAGTGTTTGGGCTTTGTGGGGAGGGTTAGGAGCGAGGTATATACGGAAGATATGTACCTTGAGTAATAATTCGCCTAGCCACATAGGCGCAATCTTCTCCAGCGTGTCTGCTTCAGCGCCCAATTGCCCAATCTCACCTCGATACTGATCAGCCAGACCACCACTCTCTGGGTTATCCTCTTGAATAATGACAGTGGTGTGTGGTGGTGGATTTAACATGGGCGTCTCATTTGGTAGACTGGGCGTGACTAGTTGTGGAAGTGGCTCGCCTGGTTTGGATTCCAGATGCTCATCGTAATCTTGTCGGATCTTTTGAACGACACCAAAGAAGTTATCCTCGATGACTTTCTCCTCTTTCTCTGATGATGACACGTGTGATGCCGTGTCGGACTTCTCTTCCTGCGTGAGCGCGGGTGTTTTAGTTACCTCGACCGACGTGCGCGCAAGTTTCTTGGGGAACGCCATGCCCGAGAACTTTTTGCCGAAAAGCCCCTTCTTTTTCTCTTCCGTCGGGGACGTGGGTGTCGCGAGTGGTAGATGATTGTTATTCTCGCCAGTTCCTGGTGTGTCTGGCACTTTGTTACTTTCGGATGACGCTTCAGACTGGTTGTTAGCACTGCTATTGCGGGAGAAATAATCACTTTGTCCCTCTGTTACCGTCGCTGTGGTTGGTGTCTGCTGAATAGGATTAGGTGTTTTCGAAACCGCAGAGTCTGACTCTTCTAACGTGGTGGAAAGTGTCATTGTGAGTGGTGAGAATCCAGGAGTTGCAGCTCCGATGGCCAACCCAGGAGTCGGAGGCACAAGAGCATGACCATTGGAAGCACGAGGCGTCGCCATGTTACCAGGAGACACCATGGGAGTGGCATTGACAGATTCGGGCATGGCTATGCTTGTTGGCGCACCTGGGCGTACAAGCCCAGCGGCTGGAGTGGGAGGTTCTATCGTGAGCGTAGCCCTATACGCTTCGTCTCGCGCAATTTCTTCATCCAGCAGTGAGGCAAATAGATTTCGTAGTACCCATTTTCCTAGATTGACTGTGGTGGGAGTGTCAGCACATTTGAAGGAGAAAGCAAAGATAATGAGTACTTACTTCTCTGGTCATCCCGGAACACAAGCTCGCTCGAGAGGTCGAGCTCATCAGCGTACACTTCAGCATCAAAGCAATAATTCTCTTCCAACATGACAGTGATTTTCCCCGTCTTAGTGTCCACAGCACACCAATTGGCAACACTTTCCGTAGAATTCACCTCAGGGACAACTTCATCAAGATGACGACGACCAAAACTTTTAATTTGACCACACTATACATTATCAGTATAACAGGATTTCAGCCGTCGAATTATCGAATAAACATACCTTCAATAAATCCCACAGGACAACCTCACCCGCAGTATCCAGAGTAAGAATCCTTTTTCTGTCATTAAGCATGACATGCTTGATGAGACCATTCTGGCCCTCAATCGTTTCTGCAGGTTGCCCTCTAATGGGCACTACCAAGCTTAAATCATCGGATATCATTGCCTCGGAGGCTTTTCGCAGGTTGGTGAAAGATGGATTGGGTAACCTGCCTAGATGTCTTCTTCCGGGATGAGGAGCAGTGTTTGAGACTCGAAGGATTGCATTGTGAGGGATCTTCTTCTTATGATCAATTCCATTCACAGTTGTACCGTTGGTTGTTGGTTCATCTGTTGCAGTTGGAGCAGCTTTCACTGCCTCGGGACTCTGCGACCGTTCTTCTCTTGGTGACGAAGGAGGTGTTTCCACTTCGAGTTCCGTATCTACGTCAAGCCATCGATTGACGCTTGAGCTTGAAGTCGTGGTCCAGACAGAATCACCGGTAGGCAAGACCCGGGAAATACCATCATGTTCTTGACATACGGCAACCGACACTCCATCATCAATTTCCATGGCGCGGCGAGTATCCGTTTTGGCCACCAGGCCAGACTTGTCGCCCGAATAAAAGACCGCCAAATTCGGATCGTTTGAATAGAGGCACCAAACACTGTCGTTATGCATCGTCAGGGTGTGTACCACTCTTCCTGCAGCAATCGACCAGACTTTGATGGTTTGGTCCGAAGAGGCTGTCAATAGTGTATCTTCGTCATCACTGATCAGAATGTCTCGAACATTGTCTGTGTGACCAACGAGCTTGGTGATGCCTTTGCCAGACCTTACGTCCCAGAGTCTGACGACACTTTCTGGTCCACCACTTGCGAGAAGCGAGCCCTTGGCTCGAAGTGAGTAGATGGAGCCTTTGGTGACATCCTGAACCTTTCCAACATCTATTTCCAGGGTTTTACCGCCACCACCCAGATCCCAGAGACATATCTTGTGATCCAAGCCACCCGATGCGACCCAGTCAGCGCCTCGATCGGGAGTTGCGAGGCACTTGACGTAGTCACTGTGAGAGCCTATGGTATATGGCTGAGTGATCTCGTGGCCATGGGGTCGCCATAATTTGACCGTAACGTCGGATGAGGCAGAGACGAGACCGAGGTTGTTCTTGACTAGTACAAGGTCATTGACCCAATGTGTATGCGCCTGGGCTTGTTTCCTGAAAGTTGTAGTGCTTCTCTTCTCTTTGGCTGCATCACCATGTGTATTTGCTTTTTGAGCATCGAGGTCTAGGTCCCAGGCGCACACCACTCCATCTCGTCCACCGGTGTATCTGCGAACTCGGGTTTAGCATTTCTGAAACCAGCTCAGAGATCAGGAGAGAAGAGCGCACAAGATAGATCGATCTTGGTCGAAGGCCAGACCATTTACACCAAGTCTATGTCCGCCTGGCGAGCTTGCCAGAGGCAGGACTGTACACACGGGGGTCAGCGTCTTGTCTTGCTTGGAAGCGTCAGGTACCGTGATGTGGGTGACAAACCATAGCTAATTCTCTGGCGCTTCTTCTTGGCCATATGCAGGCTGGGGAACTGGAAGGAGATTGGAGACCTGTATCCGGAGGGTTCTTTGTCCTCTTGCGACTATGGCACTTTGGCAGTTTTTATCGGAGCATGGTGGTATTCGAGGTTATTACTCGTAGATCAATCAGCTTGGCTGGGAGGATGTACAGTAGTCAAGGTCCACGGAGGGTTGAGTGAGAGCCGCGAAGGAGTTGGCTAGTTGGAATAACACCGGCAAATGAATCGAGTATTTAGGCTGGTTGAGATGAGGGCGAGGGCACTGCCTGCACTACGTCCTCGTAAACTCGCAGTTAGTTATTAGTGTCCCGCCTTCTAGAATTCACTTGCAGGATAAGGGGAACCAGTCAGAAGTTGGTGCTCCCCAGACCGAGGACCTCGTAGGCGTCACACGGGCGGCGCAGGCGGAGAACCAGGAAGCGTTGGGCTTCGGGCTTGGGTTTGTGGTTGTGGAGTGGTGCAGTTCTGCGGGTTGACCGCGGGCAGTGGCGGCTGGCCAGGCCTAGCAATGGCCCGAGTGGTCCTACGAGTACGGGCATGTCAAGCGCCCGAGGGGCCTGCAGCGTCTATACCCATTTTAGGTACGAGGGACGCTGGACCACCCTCGACCCCTCGATCGGGGTAGATTGAACCGACAGCGACGGGCGTGGACCGATGTCACTACGAGTATGTTCGATGCTACAACGTTTTTTCCACCCACTAGGTAGATGATTGCCCCTCCTTTTCATATTACTACCTAAGCACATGGACCTCATTTACCAGCAGCCAACAACTGCTCTAGGTAGGCAACTTTCCGCGTCTCTTACCTGCCGGGAGTCTGCAGTCGCTCTCTGAGTCGCTCTAGTATCCATATCCGACTAGTTTCTCTTGGCAGAACCACCGAGAGCAGTTTAACCTCAGGAGCCTAGCCTCGGTAGAGACATCTCCAAAGAATATTCCTACCACTTAACCGCACTGCATCTTTTGTTTCTGGTAGCCTCTGATCGCTCATCTATGCTGCTACCGGCGCAGAGCGCAGATAAACTGTCAAAGGCAGTTTTTCCCATGCAGAATAGATCTTTTGTTCTCCAATCCAATCCTGACCCTCATTGACAAGCTGGATGTCAAATTTATGCAAAATTCGCGCAAGGATGAGTCGCATGTTGATGTAGGCCAAACTAGGGTTCTATCAGCATGTTTTGTACTACGCTAGCGGACCTGAGATTTGCAGGACAGATGCAGGGGATATCGACTCACTTCCTACCAATACAATCCCGAGGACCCACGTTGAATGGCTGGAGGATATCTCTCTCATCATGCTCAAACTTGGGATCGCCGAGCCATCTCTCTGGAATGAACGACGTTGAACCAACCCAGCATTCTGAATACGTGTTGGCTGCGAGCTGGTGGACTGATGCCATGGTCTGCGAGCCGGATTAACAAAAGCGATCAGCACTTTTCATGCTCTCCTCATGAAGAAGGCAATGTCCATTACTTACACCTTGTGGAAGCCAGTGTCCAGCAACAGTGATGCCCGCCGGGTCTGCCACGATCCTGTCCAATCCAGCAGGTATGGGAGGGTAAAGGCGTAAAGATTCTTTCAGCACGGCATCCAAGTATGGAAGCTTATCAACTTCCCTGAAGGTGATATTAGAATCCTTGCGGAATGTGTCTCGAAGTTCCGTTGAAGCCTTCTTGTATACTTCCCGGTGCTGAGCGAGGAGAAATATCGCCCCAGAAAGGAGTGTGCTGGTCGTTTCGCTTCCTAGAGACAAAAAGGTGAGTAGCACTGTTCACATGATATTGAGGATGGAATAGGTAGGGAACCAATCACCTGCTAAAATGAGTGAGCTTGCATTTGGGACCATTTCTTGAAAAGTGAGCTCATCGTCTTTTCCTTGATTGCGGAGAATCAACGACATGAAATCTGGTCGCTCTGTCGCTCCCTTGTCTAGGCGAGTCTTGAGGGTTTTGCTTGTTCTCTGATAATGAGCAGCTTGTTTCTCTCGAATTTTTTGCGGGATGATATATGGCAAAATCTTCCGCACTATCCAGAATTGGTGGGACAAGTATCCTGCGATCCGCCCCAGCTTGATGTAATAGAACACCGATTGGATCCAAGGATCGTATCGTTTGAATTCCAGACCGCCGAAAGACTCTCCAAATGTCAAATCACCAATGATCTATCGATGGAACACTATCAGCAAGCCAGTCTTGGGCATCATTCGTGGAAAACTTGCCACATACATCGAAGAGTGTCCAGTGCAGAAATGACGAGATATCTACCGGATTCTTGCCACTTTCACCTGAGAGAACCTGGATCAGCTGATCGACATATTTATTGATTATCGGCTGTTGTTCTTCCAGCGCCTTAGGGCTGAATGCAGGTGCGAGGAGCTTTCGGTACCGAGCATGCTCCTTTCCACTCGCGGTTGTGATGCTCTTGAGTGCCCCTGGCGGTGTCGGGGGGAAATGGCCAAGGTCTTTCGCATTTGGCATTTGGCCCTTCTTGTAGCTATTGAGGTCTTGTTGCGCGGCATGGTCAGTATTTCCAGCCTGGTTGGCTAAGAACTGAAACCTATCGACATGACCATACCTCTCCATGCCTCTGCATCCGCGAATGCCAACCTGTTCGGCGCAGTTCTCACAACTCGACCATACCTTTCGTGCATGGCTCTCATAATGTGAGGCTTCTCAAAGTCACCGCGCAAGACTTGGATTGTCAGCGGTATGTTTGAGGCGCGCCATAGTAGGTTCCCCGGAAAGCGTCGCAACGGGTGGAAGAAAAGGTTATAAATCCAGCTGCTGACGACGTAAAGGACGAGCTGTGAACTTTGAATCAGGAGTGGTTCTTGGTCTCGGAGTCCAATAATCCCGGTTGCTTGCTTACACTTGTGATAACAATGGGAATAGCTGGGAGGATTTCCCAAGAACTCAACAACATTGTATGTTTCAGTGGTGATGGCCAAACAGATGGCTCCAACGTGACTATAGTCAACTACCAAAACAATCGAAGATTAGTAAATCATCCGGCCAGAGTTGTGGGAAACACCTGCTTTAATTCTATGTGAGCAAAGAAGTGTGACAAACAGCCGTTTAACATCATGCGTACGCTTTCGCAAGGCCGTGTACGACGTTCCACCGGGCTCAGAAATCACCATACTCAATCAGTAACGGCATCAAATGACTAGTGGTCCATTTGACTCTTACTGATCGATGAGCGCCTTAAATTCCAACCAATCCGCTGAAATGGGCCGATGTGGATGCGCGGGGAGGTTGACAGATCACACATATCGACATATGTAACAGTTCCTCCAACCTATCCATCCCCTGGACGTAAAGAGATCTGCGACGGAGAAGACGTATGCTCCGTACTTCTGCAAGTACACTCAATTATCGCACCTATTACCAAAAACACCGGCGGCCACATGGACTATTCGTAGCCCGAACTTCCACAGGTATTCTTCTCCGAATTCTGTTCGAAGCGTTTCAACATGGGCCAGCGTTGAATCTCCTGGAGTATTTCTAGATCCGCTTGAGGGCGCTCGTTGCATCTTTGAAGGTGCTGACCCACCTCGTATCCGAGCTTGGTATTTCAACGTCTCATTATGCTGCTGATTGGTCTACTTTACCGTCTCATCGCCCACTTCCTATTTTGGTCATTGGTATATCTCACCGATTTGTGACATAATTATTGACAAGGTTTGAGGGACTGCAAAGAATGGATACGTGGTATCGGCCAAAAGCGTATGTCTGAGTGACGATAGAAAAGCCTTGGAGCAACGGGTGAGCTTTACCAGGTCACGAATATGCATGCTCACGAGTCCTAGCTCAGAAACGTTGGCATATCGATGCGTATCCGTACAAGTTTATCAGTATAGGAACGCCACAGAACGCGAGGAACACTCACGTCCGACTCGCCCTCCATGAAAACCTCTCTGGAAGTATACGCAGCGGCTTGAAGTATAGCGCACCACGAGTGCAAAGTCTCAATCATGGCTGACCGAGAGCAGGTTGCTCAAAGATCGAGCACGACATTGGGGGTCTGCGAAGCCGATGAAGATCCATGAGCGAGGCGCACTTGCCATCAATCAGCGTATACTATCCTCTGGAGGCGCACTCTGGCCTGCACGTACACGATACCTTGCTCATGGCAATTCGCAGTCGCACATGCCAAGTTTCTGTCTTATCTTACAAAATCGCCATCCTTTCTTGCCTTCAGCATCCCTTTCATCTTCGCTCGCAATCAATGGAAGACCCAGTCGAGTACGTATCCTGTTACCGTTTTCTCTCCGACAGATTGCTCTTGCTCGCATCCCTTCCTCATACTTGTCCCACCTGAGCTGATGTTTATGACTGTAGTAGGTGCGAGGCAGCTCACTTCGGTCAAGACACTGCTGACAATAGCGCGTGCCTTTCCAGCTCACTTGAGGTGGTCTACGTATACGTGCAAGTTCACATCGATCCCTCGCTGGCTGCCGGTCATATCCTCGGCACAAGAAATAATATCCCATGCGGCAGCCGCGCGTATAGTAGCCCTTGCTGATGCCGCAGGGGATGCACAAGCGTTTCGCCGCATCCGGCATCCCAAGGTCAAAGGGCCCGACGCTCATCGTGCGCGTGAATGCCGATCCATCGAGGAGGGGATTGGCACTGGTCTTCCACTCCAGACAGTTATAGCAGGGGAGAGTTGGATGTGCTGAAGTAAAAGTCCAAAGCGGCCAGCCGCGCTCGTTGATGCAGAGGCCCGCAGACATTTGCCGTTCCTTCTCAAGAGTCTCAATGCAGCATCGGCTATGATAGTTGATCATCGTTTGTGGAGTCAGTAGTTGTTCGATTTCCTGCCATGTTAGGCGAAAGGATACTAATGAGGGCCATGGTAGATAGTTGCAGATATGCAATAGTAGTTCTTGATGTAGATCAAATAGTCCAACGGGTTTGGCGGGTGACACGACGTCGGATGAGTTGAGCATTGTATGGCTATACGCATTCTACCCTTTCAAGAGGAAACGCACGGGATCACACATTTAAGTAACGAAGCTGATGTGGTATGTTTCACAATTATCTTGACCGCGGAGTTTCTGTGCCTAGCTAGCGACGAGGGGGCCTTAATTCGAAAGAGAAATACTCATGTCACGGCTGACTGGAAGCTACTGGATCATCCATTCTTCTGTGACCGACTAAATTATCAAGCACTCACTAATGACTTTGGTCCGTATCAAGATCAGGCTGCTACTGCATCCTGCAAAATTACATCTGCCGCCTTCTCACTGATCATATAGGTTGGTAAGACAATATAAAATCCTGGAACTTTAGGGAAGACACTTGCATCTACAACCCTCAACCCGTCGACACCACGAACTCTGAACTTAGAATCCAGTACTGCCTTTTTGTCGCCGTCGGCCCCTATCGGAGCAGTGCAGCTTGCATGATGGCCCCATGCCTCCTTCTTGATCCACTCTTTCATCGCTGCCTTTGTGCTGGCATTTTGAGCAGGCCAGACTTCTTCAAAGTCACCTTGCAGTGGGATGTAGTCGTTGAATATCTGACGTGACAGCATCATCCCTTCATATGTGGCCTGGAGATCCTTCTCGTCGGCGCCACCAGCGGTGTTCCCAGTGTCAAAGTAATTGAAGTTGATGACAGGAGTATCTCGAGGGTCAGTTGAGCGGAGTGTGACGGTGCCAGCATTATTGCGCGAGTGAGCTTTTAGCACAATCCATGCCCAGTGGTGGGCGTCTTTCAAAGACTCGGCGGCATAGCCAGGATGATAGCCAGTGAAAAATGCCGGAGCGCCAGAGATAAGCAGATCTGGGTCGCCCTCTGCCACTGATGATTTCTTCACGATAGCGATCGAGATACCGTTTGTGGCGTAAGTGCCTTTCAGGAATGGTCCCGGTTTCGTCTGCCATTGCTTCAGGCACGGATCGTCTGGAGTTCGCAGGAAAGTGCAGTATTTGGTGATGGCAAAGTCGGTGTTGCTATCTCCTACGACTGTCGTTTCATACCGATCTTGCAAATTCGTGCCCACGCCAGGTAGATCAACGACAACAGGGATCTTGAATTTCGATAACTCGGACGCAGGACCGATTCCGGAAAGCTTAAGCAACTGGGGTGTGTTGAAAGCGCCAGCAGAGATGATAACCTCACGAGAAGCATTGACGCTGCCTGAAGTTCCTGCGGGTGCAGCACCTGCTTGAGGATCAGCACGGTAGAGTCTCGGTCCTTCGAGATACTCGACACCAACTGCTCTAGGCTTGGAGCCTGAAGTATCGAAGAGAACCTTTGAGACTAGCGTGTTGAGTTTGATATCTAGATGGTACTTGCGTGACCCATCAGCATTGCGAGCATTCGCAGTCGCAAGGATGAAGTCGCGAGGACCATTTCGCTTCTTTTCAACAGATGTCACTGCAATGGGGACTTGATAGAGACCTTCAGTAGAGTCTCTTCTGGGCGTGTAGGCGTTGATGTCCTGCAGCAAGACTTCGGCCAGACCAGTGATTGTAGTGATGAGTTTCGCGAGCAGTCCTTTCCCCATTGCAGTTCCTGCTGCAATGATCAACGACAACAACTTTGTATCCTCAACAGCTAGTGACAACTCTGTCAGGCTGGTCTCCAACCATCCATCAAAACCATGGCCTACAATACCGTTTGGAAGATATCTGCTGCGCTCCAACCTCTGAAAGTATTTGCGCATATTCGCAGCCTTCCAAGAAGCATCTCCAGTAACGGAAGCAATGTAGTTCCAATCACTCTCGTGAGGATAAATGGTGATCATTGCATTATGCATTGAGCAGCCTCCCAGTGTCCCTGTCCGTGGGTACCAGATCCCCAACGGTGTTGATCCAGCGGGTTGATTACTTCCCACGACATGTTCTCCAGACGGCAGTTGCCAAACCATTTTCGAGTCTTGGGCTTGTCGTGCTACATCTTGATAATGGTTGACGAAGTAGTCCCAGCGAATTGGTTCATACTCCGTTGCTGAAAGCTGCAAGGCTGGGATTTGTACTTCGAGTGCATCTCCTTGATCCCCTCCAGCATCAATCAGGAGGACCTTGTATCCCGCAATGGCCAGCCTAGATGCCAATGGCCCTCCACCGGGTCCACTCCCAACAATGACATAGTCGTACTCGGCTGTGGCGTTCACCTGAGTCTGGTTGTTCTGCCTCCCAAAGTGAACGTGTGAGTGGACATGTCTCGTTCTATGAATGACGACAATCAATGAGTTAGGATTGCCTTTCTCTGAGGTGTTTTGATACATACAGGGCTGTCACGGTTGAACACCAGAGTGCAAGTACAGCCAAATACTGCATCTTGGCGAATCTTCTGCGGCGTGCCAGCAACCTCTTCCCTCCACTATCCTGTTAAAATGAACGACTTGGGGTCAATCAATGAATGACATGGACATGCCCATGGAAGCAACCATTGGCAGCTGCGAGTAGCCAAGATATATTATCAATCGTACTCACATATAATGATCACCTGTGTCTGTCCCTCATACGAAGTAGTATCTGGGAAATTGGTGCCTCCGCCACTAGTTCTCTGAGGGGACATTATGCAAAACATTTCCTGTGATCGTCGAAAAAGCGCCGCTGTGCCTCACGTTGCGCACATTGCGGCATCTTTAGTGCTAGTAACGCCGAGTAAATGAGACAAAGGATTACTCGAAAGGGTCAAGAATGTGGAGTTAGTCGAGTGTGCTGTTAGGCAGCCCACAGGGAGGGATTGTGGAGCAGGTGAATACTTCGTAGCTTCGAGCAACCTCCAAGCATTTTCCCTTGACCCTCCTGGCCTACCCCGTAACGCGTCAAGAACACGACTCCACATTTAGCTAAGTAGGAGTTTCGAGAGCGGTAGCTTCTACCACCCTGAGAAAATCCATGGTCCTTCCGAATCGTAGTTCGTAATTCAGAGGGCAAGGAAATGTCAACAGAGCACCTCACTAGTTGACTGATCACTGAAGTCGCGACCTAGCCATTCAAACAAAAGTAAATGATAGGTAGTCTTGTTGATTATTGTCAGGTCACGAAAATTGCTAGTCAGCAACGGTTTGCCTCACTAACTAGTAGGAGCAGGAGGAAAACAGTCCGGCCAACGATCGACAGCGCTAAGAAACAATAAATCCCGGCCGTTCGGCCCCTGGTGCCTGGTAGCCTTGCATGGCTGTTAGCTGACTACCTTGTAGCACTTGGCTTTCTTCCTGGTTCAGACCCTGGCTTGCAAACCGCTTCCGTTCCTGGAGATGCAGGCTTATGAATGGAGCTTGTGGGCGCAGATCTTCATTGCGCATTTCTCACTGCTGTTCCCAGCTTGGTGCCAGGCCTGGGGCCTCTGAAGGATCCCGTATACCTGGTTGAGCTCTCCAACATGTAGGCATGATCGACACTGGTCGGGAGGGCAAGCCATATCTCTCCTGATGTTCGTGCAAGTCTTGGAGATCATCGGCGTTCAACGGCTGTGGGGACACAAGACGCCGCGCAATGCTTTCTGAATGGAGGTTTGATACTGGGGTGAGCATTGTATCAATCGCTGACGGATATGCCGGCCACGTAATTGAGTAGCCAGAAAGAATGTGTCCGTCCGATTTTTCTGGCAGTAGAGATTATATTTTTCCTTCGAATCTCGCGGATTATTCTGCTCAGGGTGAAGGTGCTTCTTGCACTCAGTATCTTGTTGTCTATAGGATTTTATTTATCCATGTTAGAAGAAAAGATTTGTGCACAAATTTATTATCGGCCGTTAAAGTCGTTACAATTTAGTAATGGTGATGTTTCGTTCATCTTTGCGGACAGTAAGCATCGCAGGCTACCTTCATTGGGAGTTTGGTTGTGCCAGTGAGCTAGTTCGTGGTTCATGGACAATTAGGGAGATTCCACCTTCTTGCGGATCGAGCAGTCCAACTCCGTGGAAAACTTTCACAGTGCGATACCTGGGCGATTATCTCTGACGTTTTCGATATCCACCAATGGTAGAAAATCTTTGGTGTCTTGGTTTCTTCTTTCTGCAGGCGTCTCTCCGGCTGTGATACCACTGTTCGTGCTTAAGATCCCTTTTCCGCTGCTCCTGGTGTGCATCGAGCCTGTAAAGGCTTGTGGGAAGAGGTGTTTAAACAAGGAATAAAGGGCAGGCATGCAGGCACAAATAATCCCAACATCCATCTCAATGCAGGACCAGTAGCCGAATGCCGTGCCATCCCAAGACATATTGGTCGATTTTGCAAACTGGTAAAGTGTTTCCAATCGCAGTATGCTGACGATCGTGACACTGGAAAAAATTAGAACCTGGGTCCATTCGTGAAATTCTTGTTGTCATTAAGGAGGGTGCTCAATACTTACAATCCGCCGACACTTAGCATCAAAGATATCTGCAACTTTTTCTTCCAATGTAAGCTGAGTTTAGATATCAGTCTCAGAGGCAGAACGAGGATGACCACATCTAGTGCAATGTTGATGGCGGCAGCAGCCCATCCCTGGGCGTTGACATTGTTGCATCGTCCGTGGTGCTCGCCGTCCCAGTGTGTCCATGCGTAGCTTACGGGCCAGCACTGGAAAGCAGAGACAATGAGGAATGCCAACATGTATGCGAGAGTGGCGCCCATAGTGCAAAAGACTAATACGCGAAATCTGTGCTCGGGGAAAACACGCAGATAGAAGCAGAGGATTGCGATTTTGGTCATAGAGATGATGGTGATGTACAAAAGTTCGTCAGCGAAGTAAAGCTGGAATGTTGTGAGCAGGGAGACGCCAAACATGAAAGGGGTGATTCCACGAACTGTGAGGACTTTGGTAATGCTTTCGGGTGGTATCGTCCACAGATCGGTTCCAAAGCCATGCTCGGCCACTGTAACACAGTATGAGTATTTCGGTCAATATGTGTCGTTATCAAACTCACATTCCACCGATAACACCGAGAACGCCACCAGAAGAGTCTGTTCAATAAGTCAGCTCTTGATCATCGAGGTCCAATTTAGCAGAGCGATCTCACCATCGCTATAGTTATGCATAGGTCATCATAACCCAGGTGTGCTGTGGGGACTATGAATTTCGCATAAATCCGTATCACAAAGAATATGAAGGCGACGGCACCCCCTCCTGCACCAAAGCCGATAATGAGGTTGGTCCTGTCCCGTATTGGGACACCGCAGGCTGTCATTGACGCATTCTTCGTAGCTGTTCAACATATTAGTAACGCTTCTCCGATCCACTTCACCTTCTCGTCAAGAACCCACCTAGCTGTTCCTTGATCGTGCAGTTAACGGCCACACAAGCTGTGATAATTCCTGCTAATTGTCTGTTGGTGCATATACATGCTTGATCTGTCGCTGAGCAGTTTGACTGGGCTATTCCCGTAATAGTGCAGTCAAGCTGAATCGTTAGCAAGGGGACGGTCCATCCTGGTGAACATACTCACACCGCATGGAGGATAGAGCGCTGCCACTGACTCCAAGTCGGCATTCACAGTAGCAACAAGCGCCGCAACGGCTATCATAGCCAGTGTAGAGAATCTCATTTCGATGGATTTCCTCAAGTCGGAATGCAGAGCATCTGATCAAGGCAATAAATTGTGAAGTGCAATAGCAAGGAATTATATCTGAGCATAAAAGGCTTTCGGTTTTTGAATACCTTTCGAGTTATACCTGGGGAACGCTCGGAATTTCCTGGGAATGGCAAGGTTCATGTTTGGTATACTGGGCTAGATACCGTTGGAAGCGGAGCTAGTTAGCAATGCTCAAGACTTGATCATACGAAGTAGCCGTACTCGTCTCTCACAAGGTTTGGACGCAGTCCGTTGTGAGCGGCCACTATGGAGTAGCGATTAGCTCGTATCTCGATTGCCTAGGATTCGTGAAGCATCGTGCTGTGGATAAACCATGATGCATGTCAGGCGATGGTCCCAATATTACGCCTTGATTGCAATCAGTATTAGGCGAAATCAGCCTTCAGATGCAAGCTGGCGACACTCATATGTTCCTCCTACTCCGTAGTGAACCATTGGTAACTTGGTAAGGAGTTCATGGAGCATCGTGGTCTCTTCTTAGTGCATTTGCCCATCTAACTCAATTGGGAACTTGAGAACACCAAAAAATGGCCCCATCTGCCACTCCTGTCGATCGCTCCATAACTACCCCATGCTAGTGCAACGCCGCAGGGTAGATCCTAGCTGCCAATCCTGTGCCAAAACCAAGGCACAGGCGTAAGGCAAGGATTTGTTCATCGTTTTTATTCTTTCACTCAATATCATCCCCAAGATATTGGGATAGGATTCCTTGTCAAGAGGTATTGCTGTTCAAGGATGCCCGGGTGAACGTATGTTACGTGAGTATTCTTGTTCCATGACAGGGAATAGACAAAACGCTGCGAGTAAATCTAGCTTTGTCCTCTGGTTTCGCAGCTGGCGCAACAGGAAATCAGGTATCTTTGAGTGCACCAGGAGCATAAATTCACCTATTCGTGTTGGTCTCTGTGACAGACACGGAATTGCTCAAGGACTTTGTGATTCGTGACTTGTGAGAAGCTGTAAACTCAAGTCAAGACTTCTTGACTATGCTGATGCGACCCGCTGTTGTCGACTCGTTAAAGGACCCTAAGCACTAACGAAGTATCCCTCGAGACCATAAAAGGACTCCGACAGGTGATAACACTGGCAAGAATGACCAGCTGAATTACGAATTTTTGAGTCTCGAAACACCGACAAGATGGTCCATCGCTCAAGTGGATAATCGTTAGCCAGGATTAGTCGCAAGGCCGCACATCCGTACTTCCAAATACTTCGCATTTATCATGCCCCATATGAGGAGGTCGTTCAAATTGTGCTATGGTGCGGAATACCGACATTCATCATTGGAATACTGTGGGCCCCACAATGGTGTTCTGAGATTTCGAGCCTCTGGTGCCGGGTAGTGGGCATTCTCCCTTGCGTCTGGAGCAACGAAGTTGCTGACCTTTTTGGTGGTTACTAACTAGTTTCAGAAAGGCCAACGGCAGGAGTGGGTCGCACTAATGCTGGACCGTGCCTGAACCGGCCTGTACCAGAAACAAACGACTGTGGAGCACGACCTTCGTACTCCGTAGTCAAAGCATGTTGGACATAGGCAGACTAATTGAAGCTTGTGCTGATCTTGTCAATTTCGGTCATGTTCTTCATCCTTTCCCATGGCTCAAATTTAAATGCTGTTGCTGGGGATTCGCAACCATCAATCCCACTTTGAACGAGACCCATTGTGCGGGCTCAATCCGAAAGGCGAGTTGGCTTGCGTCTTCGAGCGACTCGCCTCCTACTGAGGTCTGTGGGTATCAAATCTGCGTAGACTCATTGGTATACCCGTGGTAATGGCCTTACCGTGTATGGATGGCCATTGAAGTTCATCTTGATCCTCTTCTGTTTTCCGTCGGTGCCGTCAGGGTGATGCCCAATCCTTTTGAAGACTTGAATCGTGCTGTTGTTACAATGTTGTGACTTACCACGTTATCATGCCATTAACCAAAAACTCACTCTAGTCACTCTTTGTCAACCGCGCTGCCCTTTGGTGGCTTTCGTTCTTTATTGAAGATGAGGTTTTCTTCTTCATTGTGGTGGGCGTTGGGCAGTAGGGCGATCGTCAATGCATTTCCAACAGCAGCAAACCTCGCGATTCTGGCCAGATCTGGCGGCTTGGATATTCCTGACGACCTAACTTTAGCGGAAGTGTTTCGTCATGTCGAACGTCAAAAGGAGAAGAGGCTCCTCATCAACCCGCTGACTACGCCAATTGAAGGTATAGGCTTTCCACGTATATAGTGTTGACAGAGCTGACCAGGAGCAAGTGGATGGCCGGCATGAGTGGCGCGCTCCAGATTTCGCAGCTGGCGCACAAAGGGGTCCGTGTCCAGGATTAAATGCATTAGCCAACCACGGATACATTGATCGGTCTGGAGTAGCCAAGGTAAGGCAGCTTCAATTGTGATGAGGCTCGGCGTCTCACATTAGAACCAGTTCCTCGATGTGGTTGGTGAAATCAATCATGGTGAGTGGAATGATAAATGATTTCGAATTCCGGACTGACTTTGCGCAGTATATGGGATGGATGTTGGACTCGCAACAATTCTCTCAACAATGGGTACAAGATCAGCCTCATCATGTACAAAGCCAACCATCAAGCTGATCTCCAAATAGGTACTGTTTGGACCGGCAACCCGCTGTCATTGAGTCCAGGTTTCTCCCTTGACGGCACTTCTTCGAAGGTACATAACCTTCTCGGAAACCTTCTCGGTCTTCTAGGAGAGCCTCAAGGAATAGGGAGATCCCACAACTTCATCGAATCAGATGCTTCACTCACTCGCGATGATCTGTATCTGACTGGAGACGCTTCGACAATGAACATGACCAAGTTTTTGAAGCTGTTCGACCGTGCCAATCCTGAGACCGACGTGATATCCACAGACGAGGTAGTGCAGCACTCCGTTGAAGGACTCCAAGAGTGCATTGCCAATAATCCCTACTGTTGGTACGGACCGTACACAGGAATGGTTGCTCGTAACGCTGGCGTTGCTTTCACTGCCCGCCTACTGGCGAACCACTCTGCTGAAAACCCGGGTGGTATCTTGAGTAAGCCCGATTAGCCTCTCACGGAAGGCAATTTGCTGACATGATGGACAGCCAAGGATGTCTTCAAGTCCTTCTGGGGAGTGGTTGATACTGACGAGGGAAAGCTGGAATACAAACGCGGCTGGGAGCGCATTCCAGAAAATTGGTACAAGATTCCAGTTGATTATGGCTTGGTACAGCTCAACCTAGATTTCATTGACTGGTTCCTAAAATATCCCCAACTCACCTCGATTGGAGGGAACACAGGAACTGTGAACTCGTTCACGCCATTGGACTTTTCGAATCTTACCGGAGGATTACTCAATGTTCAGACGTTGTTGGAAGGGAACAATTTAATCTGCTTTGCATTGCAGGTTGTCAAGACGGTGTCACCCAACTCCTTGTCGAACCTCTTCAAGACCCTGGCTGTTCCTCTCGGCCTTCTTACTGATGCGCTGGGTACGGCCATTACGGCCTTGACATGCCCGCCATTCGGAGATATGGCGTATGGAGGTCAACCACTCTGGGATTCAATAATCAAAGACTATGCTGGCCCTGCACGGGCTGCCTCTCCGCTTTGAAGGACGGCTGGGATGGTGATCATGATGCACTGTTGGCACGTCTGTCACAGTATGTTCTTCCTGTGCACAACCACAGTCATAATAGGGTGGGAGGCCTTTTTGAGAAAATAGCATCATTCGAGAAGAGACGCCCCTGTAGTTTACAAGTAAGACAAACTTTTGATGGGAGTTCATCCAGGGATTGTCGCCAACGACGTAGAAAAAGAGACTAGTATCAACCACTTACCGACGGTACTTCTAGAGACAAACTAGTGACCACTTAGGTACTTAGAAACTAGTCCCGGTCTTGGCATACATGACGTCGATCTTCCATCTGCGTCTTGGGAAATTCTCCAAGGCCGGGACTGTCAACATCCTGCGTCGACCGCCCAAACATCTCCTTTAGAGATAAAACGACCTTTGTGATCTGATCCTTCTCTGCCTGCGCATCAAGATGACGCACCGCGCCGATGCCTCCAACACTCTTGACAATCGTGGCTACTCCGGGCCACTGATTCGAGGTCAAAATCCGGCTCTCTTGCTCGAGACCGCAATGCGAGATCGGATCACCGATTCACTTTACTGGAAAGAACAATGTTTTGGCCTAAATGCAGCAACTCTCTGCGACCGCGCTGTTGAATTGACCTATATTGGTGGCACCTACGGAGTTGCCATGAAGCCTTCACCCTTCATCTGCCTTGCCTTCAAACTATTGACCCTCGTTCCGGATAGAGAAATCATCCTCGAATACCTCAATACAGGAGGCGAAGAGTGGAAATATTTACGGGCATTGGCAGCATTCTATGCACGCCTCACATTTGACCCGGTGGATATCTACAAAACTTTGGAACCTTTCCTGGAGGATGCGAGGAAATTGAGACAGAGGAGGAAAGAATCTTATGTTTTAATACACATGGACGAATTTGTGGATAATCTTTTGACTAAAGACCGTGTGTGTGGAACGAGCTTATGGAAGTTGTCTGCGCGACAGTTGCTAGAGGACCTTGACCAACTGGAAGAACGGATCAGTCCACTCCAGGCCGAGCTCGATGCAATGGAAGAGGAAGAAAGCGGTAATGACAATGATAGTGACGTGGTTATGGATAGCGGAGATCGAAATGGGACTGCTAGTGAAAATGGACGAAGCCCGAGGTCAAGAAGCCGAAGTCGAAGCACAAGAAGGAGCAGGAGTCGATCGGAAAGTGAATGAGTGAACCAAAAATGTTTTCGATTCACAACCTATTGTTTTCGAACGCTCAGAGCTTGACCTACAACAAAACAAAAGACTCTTCACTCTTCTGAGACGCTTCAGAAGGTAGAGGTGCCTCGGCCGCCACCTCCAATGGCTCAACACGGGTCTCCTGATCGGTTCTTAATGGCGGAATATCCAATGCCTGCGACCGGATGAGATCGATCAATGAAGTGCTATCGTGGCGTCGGTTCCAAGTCGGATGCACAATATTCCGCTCTGAAGCCTGTTGATGAGCTGCCACTGCGTTGCTCTGTTCAGCGTCGAGAACGGTGAAAGAAGATTCGTCCCCATCGTCGCCTTGATCAAGGTTGACAGTGTGTTCCTCCACATTCGCGGGCGGAGCGTCCAGTGCCTCTTCCACGACATCTGGAATGTTCGCTGGGATCTCTGAATCCGCCATTATCGGCGACTTTTCTATCACCAAACGCAGGACTGACTCGGCGGCATATGAGCTGTTGCTATCGACAGAATGCACCGATGCACCGTCCGAGGCATCTTCACCCTCTTCACCATCAACCGAGTGCCCTTCTTCACTGTGTAAAAAGTCTCTGTCTCTCCAAATTTCCCGCCTTACAAACTGATTCCACCCTGGATAATCGCTTGGTTCATCAAGAAGCTGCACCATACTCGGCCCTCCAATCTCGGTATTCACAACATTGAGCAAGGAGATTGAGAATCCACTCCCACGGGTGGGAAAAAAGCGACCTGCGTAGACTCTCACGGGCCAAATATTCCAATCCTTTTGCAACTGCTGTACCGCCTTAGACACCACCGCAATCAAGTGTTGCCTCTCAATCTTGTCAAATCCGTTTATCAGCAGCACGGGTTCATTCGAATTCACGTGGACAGTGCGAGACCGAACGACGTTCCTGTCGAGGAGACCTTTTAACATGAGCTCCACAGTCCTCTGCATATTCTCACCATCAGCCTCGTCCTCCGATCGAATCATGGTCTCCAACCCGGCCTCTTCTCCCACCTGCGTTGATGCGCACGTCATCACATTGGCAGCCACTAGTCGGCCGACCTTCTGGACGATATCATTTTCGTAGCCATGTCGGACGAGGCCATCGCATACTTTGGCCACGAGAATGCTTCCCGCGCCTGTCTCCGGCGCGCTGCCCGAGAACTCATCCTGCTTGCCGCTCGTGCGTCGGTCTCGGTGGAAATGCACCGTGTCGTCGATCTTCAGACCGTAGTGTGTTGGGATATCGAGCAAGTTGTCGGCAGTCGCCATGTTTATAGACCGTATCTCAGAAACGAGGAGAGTTCTGTAGGATCCGAGGTGATGTGCGGGTGATGTAATTTCGACTGCGAATCGATATGTCAAGTTCCCGGGGGTGGTCTTCCAAACGGCCCGTAATCTAGGTAGCCAAGGAGGCTTGTAACGCGGTGAAGGAATGAAGATGAAAAGGTCAAAATTTTCAAAGACGACAGATCAAAGACAGTCGATGAGGCAAAGACAATTCAGCAATCGAAGGTCGAGGTCGAGGTCGAGTGGGTTCAGCCCTTCAAGTACGACTTTTAAACCAATTTAGTATCTTCCAATGCGTTTGCTTGTCTTCTTATCAGCTACAGGCCAAGAACCACTTCAAACAACAAGGATGATAGGCAGGCAGATATGAACGATGCAAGGAATCGGAAATGAATAGACCTCCATTCCAGAGATCTACAACACTTCACATGGGATTTTCCTATTTGTAGCTATTTATGCGAATCGAATCGAATCGAATCACCCCCATGTGCGATAATGCGTGACCGGTAGAGTCCAGAAGTCTCGAGCCAGATGATTCTACTGGGCCAACAGCATTGACATCGATGCCTAGGGACAGACTTTCACATGTCACCTAGTACCTGATGTATGTACAATGTGGCCGGGTTCAGTGGAGAACTTCCCAATATCATAACATGATTCGACGGAATTGATATCAGTTTGGATTGTTGAGCTGATCGCCCAGTGCGTGGTGCAATAAATGTTGATGGAGCTGGGCCAGGCACCCAGGCAGCAGGCAGGTGAGGGGTTAATGGTTTATTGCATGACGTCGATAGGGTATCCATGTGTGATGATCACGAGTGGCGGCATGGGGGTTCCAATGTTTTACGAAAGTACCTAAAGTTCAAAGGACAGTTTGATTGTCTTGGGCAGCTCAAGACCTTACTGATCTCGCCTACCGCGAGCTGCTTGATCTTGCTGATACACTGGGTGATATGCTAAATAACGATGAATTGCCGTAGCATGCGTCCTGTAGCCAATCTTTGTCTTGGCTCAATCGCAACCAATTCTTTAGTACCATGGTCTTCTCAAAGATAAAATGATATAATGCAAGGGACGAACAGTTTAGGCAATTGAAAGGGTTGAATAAGTCAGTGGTATAGAATTTGAGATCTTAGATGAAGGAGGTTGGGTCTTTCTGCATCGCAACCATGTGATGCGTTTCATTGTCTTCGTTTACTGCGTTATAGTCTTGTTGTTGATCTTCTATCATGAGGTCATGGCGCGAGGGTGAGATGAAGATGAAAACTAGTTCCTTTTGAAAGGGCAACGTGCTGGTTGGGTGTCCATGTCACTTTTGCGTCAAGTGGAATACTCCTTGGCTGCGAAGCCTTGTTGTCGAATCCACTTGTCCTGCCAGCCGGGGAAATAGGGACTTTCATCAAGCGTATTCACGGTCCAATGCTTCTCCACCACGCCAGCTGCCTTCTGCTCTTGCTCATATTGCTCTAGAGCAGGAATGGTCACATGTTCGACGTGCCACGTGTTCTTGTACTTCATCAAGTTTTCTTTACCTTCCTTGCATACCTTCAGGATGAGGGACGGGATGTAAGGTTCATCTCGGAATTCGGTGATCGGAGTGAACAAGGCCTTGAAATTAAACACAATTCCACCAGAAAGAGGCAAGCGACGAAGAGTCTGCCAGTCGACGCGTAGGTGGATACGAGAAGGATCTAAATCGGGAGACTGGAAGTCCCGATACTTCTCATGCGGATCACCTGGTGGCATGTACAAGGGCTGATCAACTTCCAAGCCCCATGAACCACGCTGAATGGGTTTTTGGGTGGGCATCTTGGTGAAGTATCTATGGGGGTATTGTTAGCATCTTGGTGTTTTTATTCGATCAAGGGGCCATGTTACGCACCTGTCCATGCTAAACTGCATTTTCTCCTTGTAGTCTGGAATTGGAGCATGGATCTGGGGCAAAGACATTCCGATCTTGGTACCCACATTCCACCCCAGAGCCGAACAGATGACACCAGCACGAAAGTGGTAATAACCAGTTTCGGGATTGCGTAGCGTAATAGCAAAGTCTTCGGGCACGTTGTCCAAAATGACCAACAATGGATGTTTGGCAGAGACATCCTGTCTGGTCCCAAGGATCTTGTTCTCAAACGTTTTCTTATCATCGTGGAGATGGAAATATTGGGGGTACCGGGCACACAGAAACTGGACGATCATCTCCATGAGCTCTTTGCACGCCAATTCAGATCCTGGGAGGCTTTGAAGAACAGACTCTCCGTGTACAGCATATAAACGTTTACGTTCAGCGATGCGTTTGACGTATGTGTTCTCCAATTCAAGCCACCAGTTAGGCTCAAGTTTGGTCAGGGCTGAATCAGGTCAGTCGCATTCGGCGGGCGCGTTTTTCAAGTACACTTACACATGGTCTGATGATAAGCCCACCTGAATGGACGATATGGTCTTGGTAGAGCCGTCTTAATGTCATGTTCGGGGTAAGGTTCTGGAAGAGGTACACCACTAAGGCTTGAGTAATCTGGAAAGTCGCCCAATCCACGGATCTCTTGCACTGAATGACCTGTGAAGGTATATTTGTTGGGAGCACATGTCCGGAAGTCTTCCTCAAATCCCATGACCGACTTGGTCCAGTTTTTCTCATCAAAGTTGAGTTCACCGAGAGCAAGGCGCTGGTGGGCAGGAAGCTCGGCAGCAACCACTTCCAATAAATCTCTGTTCAGAGGTGGAAACGCACTCACATACTCACTTGAGGACGGCGGAGAGTTCCTGGGCTCCTTCTTATCCGGGGAGATCGATCGTGGAGGCGTATTGGCAGTTGACGCTCGGCGACCTCGTAGTTTCAACCTTCTGAAAAGTATATCCCTCTGATTTGTAGATAAGGTCAAGTACGATATAGTGAGCATGCCGAGTCCTAGGCCAACGTAGAGGAACAGGGATCCTTCATTTAGGAATGCCATTGTGGTGCGAGGGTTGAAATTAGATTGCGAAGTAGTTGCTGGGTTCAGATTCCGAACAGAATATCAAGTTTGTATCGTCTTCACAAACCAATCTGCGCGTCAGGGTCAGGTCGCATGAGGCATACAAGTGATGAAAAGGTGACAACGACCAGCCAAGTTGACTCAAGCACGTGAAAGTGAAACGGCAATAGAATCTGAGACTGCCAGTCCAATGAATGGCGACAAGAATGTGTCAAGGTATATATGCACAGACTGGGCTGTGAAGGTTACCTCAGAAGAGGCAGACTGAATACGGGGATATACTTGATGGGTCCACCTGAACCGAGGGTTGTCGAGGTGGACTGCCTGAGATATCAGTTATCAGGAGATCACTCACGGTATCTGACCAAGAGATGGTTCTAAAGGCGACCTGTGAACTGCTGTGGCAAGCGAGGTATCTTTAAGGATGGGAAGGGACATGAGCTGGGGTCTGGGATAGGCTTAAGCTATGAGAACAGGGATTCTCCACGAGACATGGACCGATATCATGGATCCATCAGGGGAATTACGGAAATACCAGTGGTTGTTTAACGTTTGGAGTCGAGCCTAGGTGTATCTAAACCCAAGGATTTCTCCAATGGCAATCAGATGTTAAAATAAGATGGTTGCTGGTCCGTAATAACTGGAGGGCGGCGAGAGGTGATACCCACGGCCCATTGCCCCCATGGATGCTCATGACCACAGGCCGTCTTGGGGCAGTCGCGGCCATCCAGCATTCTGTAGTTACCCTTGTACCGTCAAAGATAAAGGGAAGGTGCTTGGAGGATGGTTATCGGTTTGGTGGATAGGCTTACCCGATGGGGGCTTAGCGGGTGCACCTCCCGGTGATAACAACTCCAAGCTTTCTCTCCCGCTCCCTTTTATTCGTCCACTCCAACTCCATGTCCTTCCAACGCTTCTTCCCCTCGATCCTTTCTCCTTTGGGGAAACAATTCCCTGAACTTGGTCTTCATCCTCAAGGCTTGACATCTTGACTGTGCAAGGCACCGCGAGCTGGTTACCAGCCTTGTCCACGCGTTTGGTCTTTCGCAAAGGACAGTGACGTTGAACAACCAACATCATGTCCATCTAGCCGAAGCCGGCTTGTGTACTACCATGGAACATAGAGCCCGAGTACATGTCCTGGTGTCATCCTGGCCTCTGTGTGCCGCGCCTCCCGGCTTGCGAGACAACGCATATACAGAAGCCTATCAACATTGCCATCGTCGTGGGACTGCTCATGGCGGTTGGTTGGCTTTTGTAACCCGGTGACCAACATGATATGTAAAGGGGCTGCAGTGCGGAAGCCGTCTTCTCTGTACCACGATGCGACTATGTTTCTGTGATTCTTCCGTCCTTTTGAGAGCTCGAAAGTGCCAAAGCCTACCAGGAGCTCAACCCTTCCAGCATTCTGGTTCCAAGACTGGTGTGTCACTTCACGAGATTGCTAGCAAAGTTTACCCAGCACTTCTTTCCATGTGATGCCCTCTGTGCTCTCAGTCATGCCCTTCAGGGAACGGCCATATCCACTGACGTTTTCCTGACATCTTCTCTCTGTTTCCCCCACTAATGGCTCTCGCAAGCAATGTTCCTCCCTACCCATAAGTGACATTGGCTTAATCCGGAAGGCAGAGGCATGCGTTGGTTGCACGGCACGAGCTATTCTCAGCAGGGCATGCCGCATTGACTCTGCTGAAGTGCCGCATCAACCAGCACCAGTTTCGATGGACCGTTGAACGTCTATGCGTAACCATATCTTTCCTATATCTTGTTTCTGACAAGCAGAACCCCTTTTGAGTTCGATCAGAGAAACGACGGCAGACACATGGGATTTAGATCCAGAATATCTCTCCACAGCGGTGTGGCCTGGTAAGTCAGATGTCTCGACTCTTTCTCTCGTGGACTTTAAGCCATCCCATCTGTGTAGCTTTGCCGGCAATTCAAAACGGGCATCATCCCAGTTCATGCGACAGAATATGAATTTACTCATCGGGAGTTGTCGGTTGTTACTCATGTTTAAGCCGAAAAAGTATTCTCCCAACGGTTGAGCCTTGCTACCTGGGGCGGGTAAGCTCCGAGATGGAATCAATGCCATTGTTGCAAACTTCCTCGATTCCGAGAGTACAGCTTGAGAAAGAGCTAAGCTACCAGAAGTTTGTCCCATATTCGAGCTCTCACAGCACGTGTCATGGAGCTGGGCAAATGCGAACAAGAATGCCCTTACCAGCCATCAGGAATTGCATCGCGTCCTTGCCCTTGAGCAGCAGTCCTTTGAGGAGATCGACGCTCTCTGTTACGAACCTGCTTCATCTCCACCCTAAGGCCTGTGCAGTTTACCGACTTTTGAACAGCCGCAAGAGCTCATCAAGCGTGCGCATCAGGCTGGTGTTTGGCCACGGTCTCACGTTGTCTCTGAGCAACAAAGAAGCGCAGCGTCTGAAAGTTACCCGTGATTTGGCCTTTTGTGATATGTTTTGTGGCTTGTCTACTTTCCTCGAGTGAAGAACTCACCACTCGAGATTGATGCAGACATCACAACATCCGGCAGCATGAATTGCTCGTAGCGGAACCACGATGCCGAGTCGTCGCACGGAATGTGATACCTCCTACTTTCACCAGTCTCATCGAGTTTCGCTGGACTCCACTCTCCACCTTGCCACCAATAATACGCAAAAGACCTTAATGACAAAAGGATGTGTTTACTCGAGAATGCTGACATTTCGACGTGCCTGTCCACTGCCACAGCCCCCTCGGCGATGTTAAACCCATGGGTGATTCTGCAGTCTGGGCTACGTCAGACTCGGACGAGGTGCTGCGGGAGTCATGAAGGTGCTTTTCAGGTATCGCTCAACCTTACGATGGATGCCTCATCCATCACTCTTTGTCTTCTGGCTACACGTATCATGAATACCCGGGTGAAGGTTATTCCTGTTCCGTAGACCATGTCTCCACTTAACCTGCGATTTATTACAAACACTACACTTTTTCCCACTTGTTCCTCATCCCCGAGCTAGAGAAAGGTGATAGCAAAGCGGGGTAGAACTTGGTCGCCAGTGGGTGTAGTTCGAGCTCATTCTCATGAACTCCTCTCCACACCAACCATTCTGGAAGGTCGAAGAGAACACGGGTACCTCCCGGTGGAGTGTCGGTACTCTCCTCTGGGTGAAGCCACAATGCTCTTGATGGCACTCTCACAATTGCCCATCTAACTTCTGTCACCCAATCATACAAGGGTTCCTCTTATGCCATAATCCAATAATGGGGCTCGAATCGATCTACGAAACAACTGGCAGGTCATTGCGAGATATCACGGCTCCGCTCCTTTTGCATCTCCTGATTATCACTATCTGACCAACAAGTGCCAAGTGTCACCACCTAGACTCGTTGACAGAATCTCTCATCATGGCGCAGAATAAAAGTAATATCAACCTTTAACAGAGCTCTACATGTAACAATAAGCGCGTACGAGCATATCAATATAAACTCTGGCTGATCGCTGACCCCTCCCATGTTTGGGCGTCACTGCTATGGTCATGAATCGGGAAACCAAGATCCTCATTGTTGGAGCAGGAGCATTCGGGACCTCCACGGCGTATTATCTGGCCCAACGAGGCTACACGTCTATCCGTGTCCTCGATCGATATGCCCCACCATCATGCGAAGCAGCATCCACCGATATCAGCAAAGTGATAAGAAGTGACTACAACGAGCCACTGTATGTGCGACTGGGGGTGGAAGCCATTAAGGTCTGGGAGTCCTCGGAACTCTACCGCGGCCTTTACCATGTCCCGGGTTGGGTCCTCAGTGCCAAAGAACGCTCTGTGCCTTTTGTCAAAGGATCGATCGAAACGAGTCGACGACTCGGTGTGCAAGGCATCGATGAATTCTCACGAGATCAGGTCCGCGAGCGATTCCCCATGATCAACGGTCCACTCGACGACTGGAATATCAACGTCTGGAACCCGACAGCAGGCTGGGCTGATTCAGGGGAAGCTCTAAGGCGTCTTGCTTTGGCAGCACAAGAGAAAGGAGTCTCATTTATCTCTGGTAGCAGCGGCTATGCTCGAAGGCTGATCATATCTGAAGACGGCGTCCACTGCAATGGTGTAACGACCGAAGATGGCACAACGCATTACGCCGACATTGTAGTTCTCGCCACAGGAGCCTGGACACCATCATTCATCGACCTACAAGGCCAACTCATCGCCAAAGGCCACAGCGTAGCACACATCCAGCTCTCCCCCTCGGAGCAACAACACTTCGCATCCATGCCCGTCCTCGACAACCTCGAACTCGACTATTTCTTCCCACCGGGGCCCGACGGCGTCTTCAAACTCGCACACAGCAAATTCCTTACCAACACAACCCGCGACAGCAACAGCGGGATCCAAACCTCCATCCCGCACACCTTCCACGACCATCCGGCCGACGACCTCCCACTCGAAATCGAACAGGCGATGCGTCGAAACCTAAGCCGCGTGCTCCCGGACCTCGCAGCCCGCCCTTTCAGCTACACGCGCCTGTGCTGGGACGCCGACACACCCGATCGACATTTCCTCATCACGCCGCACCCGACCCACAAGGGCTTGTTCCTCGCGTGCGGCGGCTCCGCACACGGATTCAAGTTTATGCCGATCCTGGGCAAGTATATTGCCGATATGTTGGAGGGGACATTAGAGGAGGACATCGCGCGTGTGTGGAGGTGGCGGCCCGGCCAGGAGGCAGGGACGAATCTCGCGCATTCAGATCCTGAGGTTGAGTTGGCGTCGTTGACGGGGTGGCAAGGGGGCCGGAGGAGGAGAGAGGAGGGACAAGCAGGAGGAACATCGTCGAAAATATAGGTGATCGATGTTGGAACCGAGTTTAGTTGTAGTGGTGAGTTCTCGATTGATAGATTCTCGTCCATGTACCACAAATACAAAGCATTAGCAAAGGGCCGGGGGAGAATATCAACTGGGCTACGTTGATAACACTGGGCCTTTTCCTTCCCAGCGAACGACACAAGTAATAGCACATCACGGGCAGCTCGAACTCACAGATTGTGACTGGAATTCCATCAAAATTGTACTTTTCAACTGCAAACGCTATCCTGGTACTTGCCCTACCAGCCGACCAATCCCTTACCCGGCCCCGCGACTACTTAAAACAAGAGAAGATCCATCCTCGAAACAGCCGTCGCTTCCAATCGCTCAAAGAAAAAATAATAAAGAGCCAAAATCAAGATGTCAAAACAAACGAGCAGAAACAAACGTTTTCATGTCACGTTTCAGACGAAACACCCCGAGGATCAGTTCACGTCAGACTGATCTTCCAGCCTCCGAGCAAGACCATGGCGCGCTCCCACTCATACTGGCCTCTGACCGGAGCGGAGGAGTGGTCCGCTGAATTTTTCCTCGCAGTGGCAGCAGCGGAGCGTCTCTGATCACGGCCCAGATCGCGTTGGCGCCACACCATCTCCATGACCTCGCGGGCGGGCTTGACGTTGCCGAAGCGCTTGCGGTCCTCGGTGGCCTCGAAGATCTGCAGGGCGGCGATGCGCTGTTCTTCGTCGTCGACGCTGCAGCCCGCCAGGAACAGCGACCACAGCGGCAGCGCGGCCGAGTGGATCATGGTCTCGAAGTGGTGCGAGATCGTCGACAGGATGCTTGCGATGGCCGCTTGTTGTTCGCGCGCGTGGATGATGACGTGTGATGCGACGCTGGATGCCGCGTGCGGTTGTGACAGGATGTGGTGCAGTAGGATTATCGCGCCGAGTCGGTATGTCTCGGCCGTTGCGCTGATGGCGGCTTTGCGCGCGGTGAGGCTGGGCGGGGTTGAGGTTGAGTTTGAGTTTGGCTTTGAGGTGGTGGGTGGTGGGCTAGAGGCTGAAGTTAGGATTTCGGGTAAGTGCTGTTGCAGCGTGTCCAGGCTGGACTTCAGGTGGCGTGCTTTCGTGGTGAAGATGGCGCTGTTTTCGGCCGTCTTGCCGACGGGAACGAGATCGGTGATCTCATTGATGAGTAGTAGCAGGCGGTCGCTGAAGCCCTTGTAGAGATCGATCTCATCCATAGTCTCGTCAGGCATATGTGCGGCTAGGAACGAGCTGGAAGGCGACAGGGCGAGGGCAGGATCTGAATCTTCATTTGCTTCGCCAATTGTGGGTTTGTGATCGTCGGTGGGGGAAGCGACGGGAGATGGGCTGCGTATTTCATCAGCATCGGTTTCTTCGGACTGGAATGTAGTTTTGGCCAGGACCAAGTGGAAGGCGAAGTATCGCATGAAGAACTGTCCCACATTCATGCTATGCGGTGATTGACGGGAAGATATCCTTTGGTGTTGTTCTATGATTCTGCGAAAGCCATTGAGATGTTTGACCCACGAAGGACTGCAACCATCGGAAATCTAAAATGGGGAGGGATGACGATCAGCTTGTGAACTCTAACGAGTTTGGAAAATTAAAAGAACACATCAGGAGTAGACAGACCTCAAACCAGCATAACATGAGAACCAATCCAAGCATCTCATCCATCTCATGGCTGGTATCGGCGCCTCCCGGTCCCAGCAGGGTGATCAGTCTTCGCAAGGCTTTTTGCCGATGGCCGAGCGCAATAACGCCATACTGTGGGTTTCCCAGTCGGAGGACATTCGCTGATATGGCCATTGTTGCATGGTAGACACCAGGAGATCGAGAATCCATGGCCATGGGGAAGAGAACATGTCTATATGGGTTGTACCTCTCGTCATCGAGTAGCGTGGAGCTACTGCAGATAACGTCCTCGAAATGAGGGATTAAATAGGCGTCAAACTGAGAGATCTTGCCGGCGCGAGAAATCAATGACAAGGCTCTTTGCGGCGACCCAGGGTCGGGTTTCAAATCTTCATACTCCATGAAATCCCAATCGTCGTTAATCATCAAATCATCTTCGCGTTCAGCCTGATCAACTCCGGCCTCGGCATCACCGTGGCCGAAGTGCATTTCGACATCGTTGAACGTGGTGTTCAAGAACCGAGGGTTCTCAATGTTCGGAAAATCGGGTACTCCAAACATCTTGCTGGCATCGAAGACTTGTCTCGGTGCAGTGGTGGGAGACCGCCCAGCCTTGGACCACACACCAGTCCGACCGTGAGACACGCCCCGAGCCTCATGATCTTCCTGCCACGTCAAGCGAATGTCATATCCACATTTCAGATTCTTGCCACTCGAGGAGCATCGCAAGCATACTGGACGTGCCTCTGGGGTGACGGTTAGCCAAAGATATTAGAGCCAAAGGTCAAAATGCTCACCGTCACATTTGATCCGACGGGACCTACACGTCCAGCAGCCTGTGCGGGTACGCGTTATATCCATCGGAGGTATTTTCTGATCTAGCACCGAGCTAACATAGATGGGAGATATTGTGGTACGAACCACCAATCCATTGTACTGGGTGATGTCGTGCCATTCACTAAGGAGCGGACGGGATGATTGAAGGCTGAAGTGGGTCGAGATGACAAGCAGTACGCCAGCGGGTGTGTTCGATAAGAATGGTGAAAGAAGAGGAGAAGCACAACCAGGACCTTCAAGCGCTGCGGAATTCGGAAATTCCAGGCCAAAAAAGTAAGGCGATCGCAACCTGCCCTGAAACAGGCAGCGCCCGAGAGACAAGGGGGAGAGTTTCTCGCGGGGAAGTGTAACTCTGCTGTTATCTTATCGGGAATTGCCGACGTACATGCATGCATGCATGGGGATTTTAATATCGATGGGACAGACGGGTCTCCTGGTGCGCATCTACGAGCCTTGGAGATAAGAGACTTCGTCATCACTCCCAATAACATCCCTCTTCAGCATCTGCCAGATCCTCAAGAACATGCCACTGAGGAACGAGCTTTTACAAAGCCTTCTCATGCACTTCAAATGGGCCCAGACCGGTCGACAAACGCCTCTTGGCCCCCTCACATGACGTAGCGGCCCGCAGACCCATGTATCTGCTGAAATGTGTTCCCCAGATTGTGTGACCTATCACTGTCAAGGTCGCCAGAAGACGATATAAGGATGTAGCTAAGATTGTTCGTAGCGTTATCAGAGGACAATCGCTTGATCACGTTGAGTACAGGAAAGCTCCATTCGTTGGAAATGTGAGTGGCTATCACGATCATCGAGGCAATTGAGGCTAGCAGGGAAGTCAAAGGTTGACATTGTAAGTGATGGAGGCAACTCAGGCGGTAGAAGGACAGTCTACTCCAGGGCCTCAAAATCCATAGATCTTATTCCGATATTCCATCTATCTCATAGTCTAGACGACCGTTGGCGCCATTCGCGTCTAATGAATGCGGTATATCAGCTTCCAGAACATGGGTTTCCATGACAAGGCTCCAGCTTTTATTTTTGGACAACGACTTGAACATTTAGGGAAGAAAGTCTCGCCTACCTCGACCGTCCATACGTGGCCGCAGCTGCAGGTTTGTTGTCAAGGATGTCCTCAATCTCTTCGAGCACCTTGGCATCCAGCTTTGGCAAGAGCTTGATGGCCCCAAGGTTGTCAACTAATTGTTCGACCTTGGTGGCTCCCAGAATAACTGTGCTGACATTGGGATTGCTTGCTGCCCATGCAAGAGCCAATTGTCCAGCATTTCCACCCAGACGTTCGGCGATCTTGGTCAGCTTCTTGACTTTCTCAATCTTGGCTTTGCCCTCCGGCTGTTGGAGCGAATCGGCGACGCCACCGAAGAAGTCTTTGTGGTTTGCAAAGCGTGATCCTTCTGGAATTCCGTTGTTGTATTTGCCAGTTAACAAACCTGAGGCGAGAGGACTCCAGATGGTGGTTCCGTACTTGAATTGGTCATACAAGGGTGCGTATTCAACCTCAAAGCGCTCACGGTGGAAGGCATTGTACTGGGGTTGTTCAGCAATAGGTGCAATCAAATTGTACTTTTCGGCAATGAGTGTGGCCTCGGTGATTTGAGCTGCCGACCACTCGGAAGTACCCCAATAATAGGCAAGATTGAGATTGCGAATGACCTGAGTAAATCCCTCGACAATTTCCTTCATTGGAGTTGCATAGTCCGGTCGGTGAGCAAGAACAATATCGACATATGGTTGCTGTAGGCGCTCAAGAGAGCTCTTAAGACCTTCAACAACGTGCTTCCGTGAGAGACCACGGGTATTGGGTTCTTTGCGGCCAGTACCAAAGAAAATCTTGGTTGACAGAACGTATTCATCACGGGGCCAATTGAGCTCCTTGAGAGCATTGCCCATTTCGATTTCTGATGAGCCATTGGCGTAAACCTCGGCAGTATCGAAGAAGTTGACTCCATGATCCCATGCAGTTTGGAGAATTCTATTGACGTCTTGTTAGATTTCTCGGGTTCATGCGATGTAAAATTTCGCATTTGACTTACTCCTTCACAATGTTTCCTTTCTGGGTACCACCGTAGGTGAGCCAACCCCCTGAGTGTTCAGTGTTAGCTTAAAATGCCATCCACTCCCATATCGATTTTCGGGTGGATCATACCTAGTGAGAAGACTGAAACCTTCAATCCAGTAGGACCAAGGTGACGAAACACCTATACGAAGTGTAAGTCAATGGGAAGCTCAGAAGACGGCGGTCGGAGTTAAACCATACCATGTCCTTGGGATCAAAGGCCGTTCTAACAACCGATTCAGACATATTTAGAGATTGTTGGAGCTTTATTAGTGAACGGTTATACTATTAAGTCGGAGGAGCAGATTTGAGCGTGCGACAAGAGAAGTTGAGAAGACGACAGCACGAGGGGATTCAGGAAATAAATATGGAGTTAACCCACTGGCATGAAAATGAAATTAAAAATCACCCAACGATGAAGTTCTGCGGGGCAACAGGCACTGTCCTCGTGCGCGAGTACCTGCCATCCAAGTGTGTGACGTTAAGACTACCTCAGGCTCTCCAACTGACAGGAACGGAGCACCGCTCTGTGATGTGCTCGTAAGTGGACCTATCGCAATCCAACAATGGCTGGAGACTGGCCTAACTCCGTCCACCATCGATTTAGTGACCCTGATCCCTTATGACACCATTCGCTGAGCGGTGGCGATACCATTTTCTGTTTGGAGGAAGTTTGGCTGGGATTGCATTAGTAATACCGCTGGCCTGGGACTTGGGGTGCTGGGTGGGGTGCCTGGTTGAGATCTCTTCGGGTACCTATCCGGGCGCCGTGTTCTTGAATCTTGGCTAATTTATAGGCATCCCAAGCGGCAATGTACCGGTACCCGCGCCACTGCGGATATGGCAACCTCGGCTCCGATGATTAAAAACCTGGCCCCAAAAGCTTGCACTCCGGGTACCTTGGCGCCCGGAAGCCGTTCTTCTGACCGGACCTTCCCAACCAGCAGATCTATCCTTTTAGCTATCGGGAGACCACCCATATGTAGGGGATTAACTAGAGGTACATAGACTCGGGCAACGCTCCCCTGCCCTCTACAATCACTTCTTTACTCCCTAGATGGACGAGCAACAGTCGCGTAGGCTCGTTTTCGCTTGGGTTCTTCCATTGATGTGCAGTGCCCCTCTGCACGAAGATGTCACCCCGCAACAGCCGTCTCTTTTCTCCAGAGTCCAGATGTAATTCAACCTCTCCCTCGAGCACTACACCATAATCCAAGGATACTGTTCGATGCATTGGTGATACAGAGCCTGGTTGCCTATCCCGATTTGTCAGTCATTTCCTCTCAACACTCGAGACATGGCTTGGTTCTATTTCTCATCACTGCTGCTTGGACGGACAGCGGCCGCGGAGTTTGGACTCACATATCAACTACCCGGAGGACCGATCCACCTTGAATTGAGATTCCCGGATGTCGATGAAGATAATCATAGTACGCCTCGATATCACTGTTTGCATTGAAATCCGCCGGTATGGTATCTGTGGCATAACCCAGCCCGAATCCTGAACCTGGAAAATTAACCCATGTGGGTTCGGTAGACACTGGTGGCCCTGGAGTCGAAGTCGAGTCTTCGGGATGGGCTGGATCTGGTGTATGGAAAATCGCCAACCCCTTGGAATCATGAGTCGTGATGTGACGAGAGAATGATGGGAGCCCCTCTACTCGACTTGTTGAGTCGGGCATGGCTGATCGTCGTGGTGTTGTCTAATCAACCTACAAAGACTCACAAGGTAATCAGAATAATTCAGCATGCCCAGGTTAATCAACGACAGAACTTTTCTCTGACTTTCCGACACCCAAAGAATCAAGCCTCGGAAACTACTGTCTAGCAAGAAGCAGAGATAACTGCACCGCGACTTTCGTGGTCAATTTCCGGCAATACCACAGATGAAGAATGCCGAAAGTGGCCTGTCTTGAAACGCAGTGCAGTGCGGAGTGCCGGACCGTGGGACAGTCATGACACCTTCCAAATCTGCACTCTCAACATTCTTTCCTCAATTAGGATACCACAAAGCAAATGCGTTAAATCGTTTGAAAGCCCGAATTTTCACAGGTAAGTCTATTGAAGTCATCATTGATGAAGACGCCGCCTCTCAAGGGCTAGGGCAGCCTAGGGAATACCCCGCAGATCATTTCAGCGCACAGACTGGACGGGCCAGCTGAACGATTCACCATATGCGATCTTGAAGGCCCAACACTTCATACAAACACAAGGTGCGACTTTGAAAGATGTGTCCTAGCCATCAAATCATTGCTGTTCGAGGGCTGGAATTCTGGTGATAATGCTTCACCTCCCATCTCCTAAGAAGTTAAATGTCGACAAGACGCTTTGGACCCTTTTGAATCATCAAGTGCTTGGTCCCGGACTTGAGCTGTATCACTGCTAGGTGTAAACTTCAGGTGGGTCATAAAGGGAAGTATTTGCAGTGAGGAAGTTCGAGCATGCACAAAGGATTTGCATAATTTTAACCCTTTGACACTGTTACGGTGTTCGAGATATAACTGTTTGCAGGTTGTGGTGGTTCTTTGTGACATATCTCCACAAGTACATGGCCGCTCCCGACTAAAGAAGAATGCTACAAGCTCGCTTTCTTTACGCAAACTCTGATTGCAACGACAAATCCAGTGATTCAGCCATTCCTGTAAGTGACTACAGTGAATCCCAAGTCAATTCTGAAGCACCTGTTTCCCGATCAAGGCCATCTCAAGGTCCATGTCAAGACATTCTGCAACTGCCATCATGGCTTCTTCGAAACTGTCGCTGCGAGCTATGATACCATATTTGCTTCTGTGCATGTTGTTCAACAATCTTGCTCTCGCTCGGATTATCCAACCAGGCGGGACAGATACCGACAACGACAAGAGTCTTACTCCGACGCTCCATGAAAATGCACGTCGTGCCAATGATACCGAGAGCTTCAGAATCTGTGTAGGGCCCAACCCAAACGGCCCCACCCCTCAAGCTTACCAGTGCTACAAAATCTTTGAGACCTCCTGTGGTGGCGATCATAAGTGTATGATGCTTGGACCAGTACAGGGTTGGCAATGGTTCCAATTTCTTGACGATAAAGGATACAAGGTGGAAATCTACAGAGACATTTATTGTCAAAGGCTGGGAGTGACCACCGTCCATCCTGGTATAAATGACCTCCGAACTTACGGTTTTACCGAAACCAACGCAGCGTATTCTCCATCAGGTGTGCTCCCAATGACAGTTGATGGCCACCAGATAGAAAATTCCCCAATCCACCATAGCTTAGCTAGGCAATGATTCAAGTCTCAATCTTGTTCGACGTTGAATGTGAACAAAGACTCCAACCGTCTATGCGATGATTCCAAGACATTCACGAGTTCCCAAGTGCTGTTTGCGGAACTGAACGATCCTTTGTGGAAAATGGCCCAAGGGCATCGTTAAGGTTAGCAGTCCAGTTTCATTGTCTAATACCTTATATGTAGACAACGAATGTTTTAAGAACTCGAATTCCGAACGAGCCTGCGGCATCATACAAAACCATCTGTCTTATAAAGTCCAGCTCGATTCATCGTACTCGGAGAAAGCCATCTCAAAAAACTAGCGCACCGCTTTGGAACAAGCGCCATGATTTCTTCGGCCTCGAAAATCCGTACCTTGATCCAGTACTTACTCATACTCCTGTCAATTGGAAATGCCACTCTTGCCCAGTTCGATTCAGCCGGAGGTACTACTGACGATGCTCCTGCTCCATCAACTCACTTGGACTCACGCGCTGCCCGTCCAGACTTGGCCATAAAATGGTGCAGTGCGAAAGAAGGAACTCCTAACCAAAAGTGCACAGAGACCAAGATTCCAGAGAGCTTCTGCACCGGCCACGACTGTAGCTTCGTTGATTCACTGCAGTACTGGAACTCATTCTTCGTCACCAACAACGAGGGATATAATGTCTCCCTATATACGGCCGAGGAGAGTAGTCATTGCGGAAACTCGAACTATCTCGTGGCTGACAACATAAGTTATGGCCACCCTGTTGGCGATGTTTCGGTCCATCTGTTGAACACCAAATGGAACACGGAAAGACTCAAGTACTTCGCTGTAATGTGCACAACCGGCCGCAAGAAGTGGTGGGAACCCTGATGGAACACTCTGCACGTCCTCCAGAGTAAGATCGAGGAGATTATTCACTTCCCCAAGGAACCCATTCGCCATGGTGTGGATCTGGTTTGCGAAATTTAAGCCTATGCTGAAGGCAGATGGGCGCTGGTTTGAGCTATGGTGTCTAGGAGCCTCGCGCACATGGACTAACAATCGACACTTGGTCACTTACACTAGAATTCAAGTCGTATTTAGATAGCTTGATTGATTCGTCTGGGTTAGGTTGTTTTGTCTGTTTGTGGTATAGGAATTTAGGTACCCTTGTGGCTGGGTGTGTACCAAGTAAGTAAGTAATACTCCATAGGTAGTACCTGGTACGATAGGGCATGCCAAGAGAAGAAGACAAACCGAGAAATCCCCTCCGCCATCTTCCTTCCAGCTTCTCAAATCCTTAAAAGACCTTTGAACTTTTCTGAACCCCATACTGTACTGCTTCATGTCTCACGGGCTCTTTCGTTCCAAGACCACTGGTCAATGGAAGTGGTACCTGGCTTCACCATGAGCAAATATCTCTAGGACAGTGAACTAGTATTTCGGGCATGACTCGGGAGCTCTACGGCATTTCCATCCTACTAGGCTACCTAGCGATCCACGTCTCACCATTCTGAATCTAAATGGTGCAAGTCCTGAGCAGGCATGATCGTGTGATGTTCTGGTTGACTGTGAGTCTACAGGATTACAGCTAGGATCTGCTGTCGTGCACGGACCCAATACTCTCCATCATGCATGATGGTGTTGGCTATCATCAAATATCCCGCACATCCTCATTCTTGCCTTCAAGGGACAGTTCGCTTTGGTAACGTACCTTGTGCATTCTTCGATTTGACTTTTTGTGGCGATTGACGTCTTTGAGAGCAATGCGGAAACAAAGAAGCCAGCTGTTTCGAGTACCCGAATACAGGGCTCAATAAAATCAGCATGTCTTTGTTCCCTATTTTGGGCACAAGTGGGAAATCTTCTTCTCAAAATCAATTGCATCGCCAACATCGAACAACAAAAGAGGCGCAGCGTAACGAGACCCTTCACAACTACAGCAACATTGGATTCGATAACACAATGTTTTCACTCGTATATCTACTACTCGCTATCACCACAAGCGTTTTGGCAGCCGTCGATCCTACTATCACTCCTGCTCCTGGCAGTGACACGCTCGCTGCCATCCACTCGACACCGCCTTTATCTCCAGATGACCTCAATTACGTGTATGAAGAGCCATATACAGTCACAACTGCGAACAGCACAGGTGCGGTGCTCCAGAAGCGCACTCCACCTGTCGGCATCTACGTATGTGAACTTCCAGATTGGAAAGGCACCTGCAAATGGGTTCAGGTCAAGAACAATGCACCATGTATGGACTTTCCATGGCAAGCAGGTGTCTCGATTGGGGTAAGCAACTTGCAGGGACCAAACACCCTGTTTTCTTGAAAGACTCTCAAGACCTTGCTCGCTGACCACTATTTCTATGATGCAGCCGTCCACTGGTCTCCAGTGTAAGGTCTACTATACGAAAAATTGTGCCGCCGGGGAAAGAACCGACGGTGCCTTGACGTACCCGGGTACCGCAAACCTTGGGGTTTTGTATTCGAACCACATGAAGCCCCTAGGAATCAGATGTCGAGCATGCCCAAGTGGAAAAACGTGGTAAGTTTCCAGCATCGATACGCTGCAGTAACCCTTCCTTTTGGCCCTCCGTCCGAGGCTGCTCGTCTCTAACTAATGTTATCGTGCCAAATTAGTCTCAACAACAAAGCCCCTCTGTGGCCAGAGGCGATAATGAAAGGCGGCTATGGACCTGGGCCGGACGGCAAGTGCAGTGCTTTCACCATGGAAATGAAAGGATGGACTTGCATCAACAGCCTGGGTAAAGCGGGGTACAATTCTATGGTAAATACTGCTGGATAAGGCTGGTTCGGTTTGGAGCTGACCATTTGCTCAACTCAATGGCGCTGTTTAAGGTGACCACACCGACAATGGCACACTGATAGCGCCCGTGAGCACCGTGCTCCTTAAGCTTGGCAAGGCTGAACAAGGAATTCGGAAGCATAAACCTGACGTCACTTGGAAGACACCGAGCTCTGTGTGATGAGCTCACTTTGTACGATTACAGTTGATGGGCTTCAACTATGTCAACTAGTGTTGCCATGAAAATAACATCTCGAGAAGTATACTAATAAACTTTCAAAGACATTTCGCCTTGCTACTCTCTAGTGATCTCACATACATAACTGACCATCATAATAGCTGAGGAGCTACCTAACAAACCATCGTGATCATGCCTACGACCACAAGGAGCAAATCCAAACAGACTCGTCTAGATGACTTTGTAGACGAAGACAAAGCCTCCCTAGCCAAAAGCTCAGCGACTGCGAAAGCAAGCAAAGCAAAAGTCAAGGACGAAACCTCAAGTCCCAGAAAGCAGAAGGTCGATTCCAAAAGTCAAGAGAAAGAAGCGACCAAACCGTTAGCTGCTAGGAAACGGAAACAGCCCGACGGCGAGGATAGTTCCAAAAATCCAGCGCCAAAAGCATCACCACCTCCGAAGAAAACGCAGCAGCAGAAGATTTCCACATCCGGCGATGTTACTTCTCCTCCGGAACTAGCCTCCGAAGAAGGAGACAAAGACAACCCAGTCCTCATCAACCGTGCACCTGTGCTGCATCTCTGGGGTGCCTGCGTCGCGCACTGCTTACACCCGAGCCTCGCATGGCCGACGTGCCTGGCGATCGGGTCTCAGATCTCGACACTGTGCGCCATTTCCAAAGGCCGGAGCATCGGGGCGATCGAGCCGGCTGATCCGGACAAGAAGGCCCAGAAGGACGAGAAGAAGCGCAAGACAGCTGATTCTGCGGATCAGGAATTCGATGTCATGGGGTTTCCGATGCACGTCAAGAACGGAGAGTTGGTCGTGCAGGGTGAAGCGAAGAAGGGCAATGAGGGCCTATTGGTGGGGAAGTTTGGGAACGAGCAGGATTATGAAAAGGCGAAGAACGCCATGACTGATGCGCTGCAGGGCTGGAAGGGGAAGGGGGACCTGCTGGATAAGAAGGCTTTCGGCATGTATGAGCGGTTTCGGCCCAGTGTCAAGAGTGGACAGCGTGGTTGGGGCAGGAAAGGGGAGTTGACGGTGAAGCAGATTCGTGAGGTCGTTCGTGGGTAGGTAGTGAAGAAACAGAGGAAGTATTGTGTTGTATCTTGTTCCTGTCAATTTGTACACTAAGGGGTACAATATGTCGTCGATATGTGAAATTTATATACTTGCCTGACAATGTCTCGTCCTAATCGTTGTCCGAGGAAAACCATTTCCACGATATCTACTTTTCATTCTCAAACACGTTCACCAAAGTGCCGATATGTGGTAAAATCTCTACGGCGAATTCATCGCCAGCCTTGATTGTCACCTTGGGCTTGCGGACAATTCCCACTCCGGCCGGCGTGCCAGTGATGATCAAAGTGCCGACAGGCAATGTCGTCCCTTGAGATAGGAAGCTGATGATCTTGGGTAGGGAGAAGATGAGATCGCTAGTTCGATGTCAGTGATAGCGCCTTGTTTTTACTAGAGAGAACCTGATGGCTCCGAGATCCCGACACGCGGGGAAGGGTGATAACTTACTCGATTCCACAATCTTGAAGCACTTCTCCATTCTTGAGGCCACGAATATGCAGTTTTGATGCATCGGGTATCAAACTCGGTGAGACAAGAACAGGGCCTTTTGCGATTCATGTTAGCTCGAGCACTCTCACACATGGATCCTGGGAGTTCAGTCTCTTACCTATAGGACAAGCTCCGTCGAAACCCTTGGAATAGCTCCACTGGCTCTGAGCAAACTGACTCGTACGACTCGATATATCGTTGGCGGCCGTGTAGCCCAAGACGTAGTCCAACGCATCTGCTTCAGAGACATTCTTTGCTGTCTTCCCAATGACCACGGCTAATTCAGATTCATAGTCCCCACAGTCGTCTTCCTGGGTAATCTTGGGAAGTATTGTTGGCGTGGGCCAAGGGTCCCCGAGGGAGGTGTTGGGTTTCCTAGATGGTATATATCAGTACTTCAATGCTTTGGTCTATCATGTACGAGATTGTTCATACATAAAAACTGTTGGCACCGTCGGAAGTGCCATGTTGACCTCGGCAGCATGTTGTTTATACTGTCGAAAAATCAGTTACGAGACCATCAACAACCTGATCTCACTCACATTCAAACCAATGCATCGAATAGTTCCCACTTCAGATACCGCTAATGGCGACAGGACTCTGTCAATGATAGCACTACTTCCGGTCTGCTTCCCAGGAGAGAGGACAGAAGATCCCGAGAAGATGTCCACCGACACATCCTGGCCCTTCCGCAAAGCAAGCCCAACATCGACATTTTCATCGCTTGGCTGTCCTATCAAAACCTTCGACGAGTCTGATCGAGGCACGAAGCGGACGAGACCTGAAGCAAGCAGTGAGCCATAGTAATATTGCTAGCTGAGAAGACTTACGTTTGAATTGGGCAACGGACGCCATCTTTCTTAGCATGCCTCTTCGAGTCTGGATTCAGTGGCCTGACACACTAATACCGAACAGATCTTCAGCTCATAAACAATGCAAGGCCGTACCCAGGTATTTAGGTATGTTGTCTTTGTGGGGAGATCATGCAACCTGACATCGTGAGTCGGAGCTTCATTACACCGAGGGCTGAATTTGGCTTTTCGCCTTCAGCTTCCGATGGAGATGCCGATGCCGCAACATTTCCGTCACCACACTCCGTGGGAAATTCAATCCTCGACGATGATGGACTGCCCCACAATCATGTCTCCTCATCCGTGTGGGGATGTCATGAATATCCATGGAAGAAAATGAGACTCGGTTGATATTTACATTTGATCCTCGCCTGAGACGAAGGGATAATTTGCTGAATCAAACAGTTGAACAAACGAACAGTATAATCAGGAGACAGAGAGTGTCTCTTGGTACATTGTTCAAGCAGACCTGTTCACTCCCACGAACTGCAGGGTATCTTTGTCGTCGTACTTGCTCACCGGAAGCTGCACAAAACACCAAGGCACTCTTTACAAAGACTATCCAAACAGAGTTCAAGGCCATTCGCATCCTGAAGAAGGAGCCCACCAGAAATGGCAGGCGCCCAAGAAAATGCCTACCGTCAGTTCCTTCCGGATCTCAGCATTCCGCGATTCACGACCATGGCGACTCAAGATGCTCATGTCTACGCCAATGCGTTCAAAGATGGAGGCAAACCGCCGTGGATCTATGAGCTATATCTCCATTGGAGAAATTTGCTGAAGGTGCCCTATAAAGGCATTACAAATGACGGTACATATGCACTCCTCCGTATTTCAATAGTAGGAATGGGTGACCTGACCATTGAACAGGTCACATCAAGCCCAATTTATACCAACTCCAGGACGAAGGAATTCCAATCGATAAGATCGTTGAAACGACTAAAAGCGCATTATCTCATTTGACACCAGCACAGCTATCGATACTATCCTACCACATCGACTCACCAGAATGGCGAACATGGTCGAACCCCGAATTTCTCCTCAGCGACAAAGGCTTGCGGCTTGACGAACTAACCACCGAAGCACGGGATGGAATTATGTCAATTCTCCGTGAGACGCTGTCACCGGAAGGCTATGAAAAGGCCGTTTCCGCCATGCGCATCAACGGATTCCTGGGCGAACTCGTGAAGTCTCCAGCTGTGTTGAACGAATACTCGTACAACTTCGTCTTATTCGGCGAACCCTCCACGACTGATGCCTGGGGCTTCAGCTTCTATGGGCACCATCTGTGCCTGAATATCTTCTTCTACAAGACGCAGATCATCATTGCGCCGTGGTTCACGGGTGCCGAGCCTAACATCATTGACTCAGGCCCCCACAAAGGCACACGGATCTTGCAGGTCGAAGACAAAGCCGGTTTGGAACTGATGCAATCACTCACTCCAGACCAGCAAACAAGGGCCCAGATCTACAAGCAGCTCAAAGACCCCGCGATGCCCAAGGGCCGCTGGAACCACGACGACCAACGGCACATGTGCGGTGCCTACCGCGACAACCGCGTCGTGCCGTACGAAGGCATCCTAGTCAGCGAGCTGAACCCCGCCCAACAATCTCTCATCAACACCATCCTGAACGAATACCTGCTATACCTACCACAGCCTGCACGGAGTCTACGTCTCAAACATATTACGAGCCACTTCTCCGAGACGTACTTTAGCTGGATCGGCGGGTTTGGAGACAACGATGCGTTCTACTTCCGCATTCAGAGTCCCGTCGTCATCGTAGAGTTCGACCACCATTCCGGCGTGTTTCTCACGAATAAGGAGCCTGCAAGGTTTCATATTCATACGTTGTTGCGCATGCCGAATGCGGGTGATTATGGTATGGCGTTGAGAGGCTTGATTCCACCAAAGGAGGATACGTTTGTTTGGGAAGGATGAGAGCTCTGCGGACTGGTGTGCATTCGGTGGAGGCTTGTGTTGAAGATGTGGTATTTTGGCTTGTCACTTGGGAGACAGCAGAAGTCTAATCGGGGCTGATTATGGAAATATGGCTGATAGCGTTGTATGAGAGACGCAGCGTGGAGATTTTTCAGAGTATCTGAAGGATGTGAAGGTGCTGGGTGTTATATATGAGTCCGAGGACAAAAAAGAATTATGAAAGAGTCTGGCTAGCTGAGAGTGCTTTAAGAAAGAAGCTTCAAGTCGACAATATATCCAATTCATGCCTATTATGTATCTCAGGGTATGTAGAATTTTCAACACGTCTGTGTGAAGTTGAGTCGGCTGCTGTTCGAACGTCAAATTCCACCACATCCCACCCAATATAACTAACCACCTCTCCCCCGCCCTGTCCACCAACAGGTCATCACATCACAAAGCGTTCTTCTCATTCAAGGTCTGGGTATTAGCCTGGGAGGCCCTACGCTGCTCCTGCGCGACACTCATCTGGCGGAGGCTCATCTTCCTGCCGTCCTGACCGCCCTGCTCAGCGGTGCTGGCGTCGCGGAAGCTGACCTTGGGACGGAACTTCTTGCTCAACCAGGCCTTGTCGACCATCTCGTACAGCTCGTCGACCTGCTCGAGGGTGAGGCCCTTGGTCTCGTAGATCATGAGCCAGACGAACAGGAAGCCGATGCCGCAGAAGGCGCCCCAGATGAAGAAGACCTTGGATTGCAGGTTCGCGTGCTCTTCGTCGACCATGTACGGCGTCGAGTAGGCGATCGCGAAGTTGAGCAGCCAGTTGGTCGCCGTCGTCATTGAGAGCGCCTTCGCCCGCACTTTCAGTGGGAACAGCTCGCCCGTCACCACCCATGCCACGGGGCCCCAGCTCGATGCGAAGTGGTAGATGTACAGGCAGACGAAGGCGATGGCCGCACGTTGCGCCGGGAGGTTGCTCGTTCCGGACACCGTGCCCGTGATGGCCACGATAAATTGGCACACGCACATGCCGGCGGATCCCCAGAGGAGGAGGTTGCGTCGGCCGAGTTTTTCGACCAGGTAGAGGCCTGGTAAGGTGCTGACCTAGAAATGGGGAAGGATGAGTTTAGAAAAGACTTTATCAAAGACAATTGAAGTGAGTGCCTAGTACATACCACGTTGACGGTGTTGGTGATCACCTGGATGATGAAGGGGTTCTCGAATCCAGCACGCGTGAAGTAGGCGGTTCCGTAGTAGAAGATGAAATTGACACCGCTCAACTGCTGCAGCGCTTGTAGCAAACAACCAGTGAGGAGACGTTTGCCAACCGTGCCCTTGAAGCAATCCACGTAGCTGGCCTTGCCCAACGACATCTCATACTCATGGTTGGCACGAACTTCTGCGAGTTCTTCGACCAAGCCTGGATGATCGGCTGGGAGACGTCGAAGTTTCGAGAGTGCCTTGATGGCCTTTTCGTAGTTGCCCTTTCTGATATGGAAACGGGGTGTCTCGGGCAGAAGAAGCATTCCACCAACGAGAATGATGGCCCAGAGGAACTGCAACGCCACGGGAATTCTGTAGCATCCCGAGTCGGGTCGCTGGCCTGTTGAATTATTGACGATCGCGGCGAGGAACAATCCGATGGTAATGGCCAATTGGTAGCTGCCGACAATGGTTCCTCGGATCCATTTTGGTGCTGTTTCTGACTGGTACAGAGGAACTAAAAACAGATTAGTGAGTGCGATGGACTCTCGAGGCTATGATTCATCATGTCCTTACTCATAGCAGAGATCAGGCCAACACCGTATCCAGCAAAGAAACGCCCAGCAATGAACAGAGGCTGTGAGGTGGCGATGGTTTGCAGAATAACACCCAGGTTGAAGACGAGTGCTGTCGACAGAATCAAGCCCAATTTTCGGCCGAAGAAGTCAGCCGTTGGGGCAGCGGTGAGTGCACCGAGGAAGGTTCCCAAGGACAGAATAGAGACAATCAAGGATTCCTGGCCAGAGCTAATTCCTGGCTCGCCGTTGGCATCTGTGTATCCCGTAGAAAATGTCTCTTTCCAATATGGCATCTCCAGGATGCCTATTACACGTCAATAAGTCTAATCATATTTCACCAAGAAACATGCTTCGTGAAGCATTCGAGTCAACGACTTACCAGAGATCGTGCCTGTGTCATATCCGAAGAGCAGGCCTCCAAAGCTGGAATCATCAGCACAGCACTAGACAACTGGAACAATGGTACATACGCGACAAAAACACCAATGGTGATGGCGACCCACGCCGCACCGGGCTCATCATCGGGCTTCTTGAAACCGAGACCCATTTTCTGCGAACTGTTCACGCAAATTTGTAAATGGAAAGCTGATGTGAAAGACAGGAAGAGAAAGGCGAAGGAAGAGGGAGAACAGCCAGCATTCTTATGAGTCCACACATGTTCGAAACACCAGTGTAGAAAAGCCAGATTTCTGGAGCCAGCCAAGTCGTGCGGAGAGGAGTGTGTCAAAAAGTGATATCGTCATATGGCCAGGGATAAGGAGCGTTGCGCAGGTCTGAAGCCATGACCAGGACCATGACCGCAAGGCTCTGGGCACGAGGTACCAACGGGACAATGAGAAGCAGCGCCCAAGAGGGCAAGACTTGCCTTCAACAATCGAAGCATGACTCTGTGGATACTGCTAATCAGAGGTTCGCCCCTGGGCGCTGTTGTTGCACTCAAGCGATTGGAGTCTTGGGTTTCTAGGCATATCGAGGCCAAGATGATCCTCCACATGCCAAGTCAAGTCCTTGCTGGAAAAGCCATTGACGCAAGCGGGGTTTTGAGAACAAGGCTCCTGGGCGAAAACCTACTAAAAGTGATGAAAGTCCTTTGGTGAGCTTATACCCGAGAGATCGATGGTAAAACAGGGGGCTGAAGTGCTATAGTATATTTGTATAGGAGATGTTCGATTTGAGATAGGGACGCGTCGGCCTTTGAATACACTTTCTGGCGGTATGTTGATGGATATCTAATTTGAGTTTCTCCGACACCATCATTGCAGCGTCGCATTGGGTGGATTTCTGCAGCAAGATAGTGGTGGATGAGACAAGGTTTAACACTGCCACGAGACTTTGCAGCAAATACCTTGCGCGCTCACGCGTGAAAAAGAGTTCCGCATTATCATCACATCCATTGATGTTTCATTCATCTCCTTCTCATTTAGCCGAGCGACACGGGAGACGAAACGCGTCAGAATTTGTGGATTTGGAAAAAGTACAATCCTGCAGCTGACCGGATGGTTTCCAGGCATGACGTCACTTGTTCGAACAGCCGCTCAAAGGTCAGCAACCCGCCCTGCTCGACTTCGAAGGATGGCTTGTCTTGCATACCTAAATGGGTAGCTACTGAGATATTCTGGGACGGGCGATTTCATGCATAACCTGCAACCTCCGTGGAAAAAATAAACGCTAACCTGATTTCAACTCCTCAACAACAACGACCGGGTCCGCATTCTAGAATCTGATACATGGTTCCCTCTCACGATGCTTCTTCACATACTTTGGAAACTTGAACTCTTCATACCGAATCTCAAGGTCCACGGACACGGATGATATCCAGATCCAGACATGAATCTTTCTGTAAAGGCCTACATCAGGCAGATTGAAGTCGGTAGCTTGGCCCAATTTCATGTGCACGCTTATCGTGTCATACCCCAACAGCTTGAGTGTCCCTTTCAAAGACTGATCGCCTACATCCCACTCAAGATCCACTCCCACCGGGCCAAAGTCGAAGCTCGCACCGAAGAAATCTCTCGACCGAGTAATAGTTGTACTCTCATTGCGGTCAGAAATCAATGCGAGAAAGGCCTCTAGGGCCCCCGGTGCTGGAGGTGTATCCTCGACCAGTTCCGGCGTGGTGACTCTATGTAGATACAATTCACGCGTGCGTGTCAGCGGGTGCTGGAGTTCGAGAATGAGATTGTAGGTCCATGTGGTTGATCCATTTTCATTGATGATTTCATCCGATTTGCTCCTCAATGTGACCTTATAACCTTCGTCAGCTGCGTACGCAGATGCAACTTGCCATTGTCCGTCGAAAGCGGCGGAATCTTTGATTATGACACCTGTCAGCCGTGAAGTGGCTTTGATGACGATCTCGTTTTTGTCCGTTGGGCCAAGGACAGAGCCATCTTCGAACAGGAGAGTAGCGGTCACGCCATCCTCCAGAACGTTGGCGATGGTGGTTCCTGTAACGGTAAGGCCTTTGTCTAGCGACGAGATTTTGCCATGGCTGACGTCTTTCTCGGAGACGTGGGCGAGATTGGTCATTGTCAGAAGACGCCGCAGACTGGAGAAGCAATCTGTTTACGAGATACCAGACAAGGTCGGTAGTATGCGTTTAGAGATTGAAATTCGTTGAAGAGGATTTAGAAACTGCCTGAATAGCTCGAGGTACTTATAGCCCTCAAATGCAATTGGCGTTTCCCACTAGAAGGCTTTTGGAAGGCACTGATCAAAGTGTTGAACTTGTGGTGATGAACCAAGACTGCACACCCTCTTCTGCGAGCTGTCTGTGTAGAGAATGATAGGTCGCCAATCAGATGCTCGAGGCAGCATATGAGGAACTGCCGTCCACATCCAGCGTAGGACAACCCAAGTGCTCAGGCCGCTTACGAAAATATAACAGCAAGGACACGAGAAAATGCGACTTGAAGGAGTATCAAACCGGGTCCAGACCCCGTCCGGAACAATGCTTCTTGCACTTGGGGACCGTTTCTCGTGTATAGAAGCAGCACTGTATGTTCACAAGACAAAATGATGGCCAAACAAGCTTCCAGAAGAGGCCATCCTTTGTTAAAGGGTGGTTCAGCTCCGCAAGCCGGCAGATAAGTTGGTTGCAAAAGGACAAACGTAGCTCAGTGAGGAAGGCTCACCCACCATTAAATTGCAAAGTCGAATCTAGAACATGTGGTCCACACGAGATCGTTTGCCCTGCGCGAGCAGCTGAGACCTTTGTGGGCATTGTAGCTCACTCGTAACAACAAATCTTGAAGCAATGCTGGAGATAAAAGTCTCTCTTGTGGCCGATGTCTCATAAACAATCCTTCGTTCAGGCAGATGCAGTGACCGTGGAAGCGAGCCGTAAGTGCAAAGCCCACCAACGAACGCTCGATAGATGCTCGACTGCTACCACCTTAAGTGCTAGTGTGGACAGTCTCAAGTCCTCTTTTCATCTTTCACAATCAATAAACGGCTTCACATTGTCCCAGCCTCGAGCATCTGAGCGCACTGACCAGTCACATGCTTGAATGTGCGCGTAGCTACTGGCTCCGGTACCCTCCTTGACATAAATTAGCGAACACACATTGGGGATAGAGAAGTTATGAAAGGGTTCTGGTACGAATCTTGAAGCTGAAAACCCTCAGCTGAGGACTAGGTGTGTGGTGGAAGGGAGGTCTTGGCAAAGCCGCCTGTCTCCCTACCGACCTTCCTACCTACCTAGGGTAAGGTACGTTGGTGCTACCAATGATGATCACCCGCTCCAAGTCAGTCGTGTCACGGCAGAAGGAAACGAGTTTAAAGACAATGGCCAGAAAGCCGATGGGTATTCACTATTACTCCGCTTACTACTGCCAGAATCCATGCCAGAATCCCCCAAAGACGGTATGTAACAGAAATCGTCCACAGATCAATCACTGGGACATGACATATCGGACTAGTCGAATGTGGCCCGAATAGCTTGCACGGTATTTGGATGATTTGTAAAAGTCACCACCAACGTCTTGCCAGATTCATCAAAATAAGGATGAGGCACCGCAGCATAAATCGAGCTACCCTCCTGCAGAGGTGTGGCTTGGTAGAGAGTCATCGGATCAGACCACGGGCCCTCTGGTCTCTGTGATGTCTTCATCAGGACTTTGGAATTCATCCAATTGTCTAGATGGAAGAATCGAATTAATCCGTGGGTTCTAATGCAGTCTCAAGTCTTGACTTACCACAGTAAATGAATATCAAGCAGCCAAAATATCTCGACCATACCACTTGACCCTGGTTGATCTGCCAGAAAACGCTCTCACTTTCGCCCAATGTCTTCGTCATCAATCGATCTTTCTGCCATTCGGTACCGTTCCAATATTCGTAGCATTCCAGATTTGTGGCTTCGTCATGTTGCACCCGAGTGAGATATATCCAAGGGTTATTGGCACCACCATGTCCGTAGGCATAAACATGTGGTCCCCATCTTAGAGCACAAATGTCACCATACCACGGTTCACATGTAGCATCCCACCAGTACTGTCCCAGACGTTTGATGGAAGGTCTTGGAGGATACGTGTTGGTTTTTAGTTGAACCGTGGCAACCCCGGCCCCCATGAGATTATTAGTCCCATTAGGCCGATGATTCAAGAGAAAGTAGATGAGTCCTTGATTGGGCCCAATCTCGACGACATTCGTAATGCCCAAAGCACACTCGGCGGGATCCTCGTTCAAATCATCCATCAAAGGACAAAATTGTGGCGGGTATCCGTCGTCATTGAGCACAGGATCAACCACAACGAGGGGATTATGCGTTGCGAAGGCCATAGAATCACTTGTCATGCCACGCCATTTGTCTGAGTAATTTCCATCGCTATACATCGTGTCACCATAGCTGAGGAGGATATGATCACCCAGGCGGCCCTGAAATCCCAGATCCCTCTTCACATACGTGGTGGAGCTTTGGACATTGCCCAGAAATTCGACACAGTCCACGTTAATGTTTGGCGGGTAGTCTTTCGGGTATCCTGTGTCCGAATATGCGTCGATGGAAAAGTTGGCGACAGGGATGGCCTGGAGCAGATTTGTTAGAAGAAATAAAACAATGACTGGGTGACATGATATGGAAAAATGCATGAGTAGATTATGACAATGGTAAAATCGATCATATGTTATGAGGAGACCATCAGGCGTTCTGCGGACTGTCTTGGTACATATAGGCCCACAAGCTGGTTTATTGCAGCGTTTCGAGAGGTGTCAGCTCGAATCAAACGCGATTGGAGACGTGAGGAAGCGGTCTGACTATGACTGGCTCGAACCAAGGACTGACTTGTGCCATGGCCATCAAATGGGAACGACCGAGAAAGTAGAAAACAGACAAAGGAGGTGACCTTTATCAAATAAGAGACTCGTATGCTCTGAATCAAAGACTAAATGGTGTCACTTACCGAGAATTGTAATCGATGGTGATCAGGGTCTGTTGAAGGTTGTGACGCGAAACAGTTGTCATGCTTTTCCAAACTCGTGGCTTTGGGGCCCGTGGCCGTGGATTTCAGCGTTTCAGGATCACTTGCAGTGGTGGCGGTAGAACCTGTTTGTGGCTCTATCCAGTCTTTGATCTTTTGACCCGTCCATTGGGAAAGGCGTTTGCGGAAAGGCCGAATTTGCTGTACCGAGAATTTGTCCCGATCCATTGCGCTGGATCCCACGGGTGGCCAGCAATATGTAACAACGGGGTGAGATCACGTTGCACCAATCTCTCAATATCGTTGCACAACTTGCTTGTTAGGACTGCTGGCAGGTAGTCAAGTGACAGTGAAAATGAGTGATCTTGGTTGTGAGATCCTTTCTCAGATCTGTCTAGTGAGAATTGGACGCAGAGGCTTATTGTCAGCAGGTAGCATAATCCCAGAGCGACAGGGAGTTGAGTTCATGATACAGAAGAGGTTGTCATGATATGAAGTAACAATGCCTGATCACATGCTACCTAGGCATGTTCTGAGGTCCTAGTCGAGGTGCAATGTAGAGACGATCTCCGTTCAATAAGTGCCGAGGTACGACTGCTGTCTCGTGAGTCTATGATTCGGAGTACAATGATGGCTGGTGTAGACTTCCAAGGCTATTTCGTGATACCAGGTCGAAGATCTCCCAGTGACTTGGAAACCCGTGCCAAGCCATGTTTTACCTGAAGTGACATGACTGTTGATTGAGTGCGCTTGCCACAAGTCTTTGGTCCTGTTTACTCCCTGCGTTTCTCAACACGAGGCAAGAGGAACCATGTCACCAACATTGCTGCAAATGAAATCAGGACTATGGGGTGAAGAACCACAGTGCCCAACTTCTGTGCCAGCATGCCAGTGATGAAAGGTACGAGTGCACCTCCCGATGATCCCATCCCACCCACCACAGAAAGTGCAGTGACCTGCATATTCCTGGGCAACAATTTGGAAAATATCGCTGTCGCACAAGGATAGACTGGTCCCAGGAAAAGACCGACAAGGGCTTCTGCAACTGCGTTGCCAATGATATTGGGTACCTGCCACACCAAAAGCTGGAAAGCGGCAGCACCCACAGTGAGAGCGATGACCGCTCGCTTCTCGCCGAATTTGTGAGCGAAATGGGTCAACACAAACCTGCCGACGGTGATTCCCAACCAGAAACCCGAGCCAATGTATCCGGCTTCGGTAGGATTTCCATTACGGTAAGTAATCAAGTAGGAGATGACCCAACCGGAGATGGCAACTTCAGCACCCTGGTAGAAACTAGACAATCGTTAGTTTGGTCATGCTGCCTCTACAGGAAGTGTGTAAGCATACAAGATGAAGGCGGCGCCAAGAAGTGTTGTCTTCTCATTCAGGGCTCGACGTAATAGGTGAGATCTCGTGATCTCGCTCCCTGAGGCAGCTTGTCGTGATGCCGTTCGCTCAAGAGTGGTGAGCAGCGGGGAAGCCGCATCATCTTCGAATCCCTTGTAGGACCAGCCCATGAACAGAATTGAAGACACCGCAAGTGATAGAGGGATGAAGTAGAAATATGACCATCGTATACCTCTAGTTACAATGGCAGTCGCGATCATTGGAGACACAACACCGCCAACCTGGCCTAAGTTAGCAAGCTAAACAAAAATGGAGTAATTCCATGATACTTACTCCATAGAGCCCATGCATTGCACCCAGTATGACCGTCCCTCGCATGAGATTTACTATAAACGTATTGGTCATAGCTAGAAAGAGGCCCATTCCTGAGCCCAAGAAGTAGAAACTCAACACAACCACAGGAAACGGCGGTGCGCAGACTAGGGCAGTATATCCGGTACTCATCAAACACGCAGCAACAACGTAAGAGCGTGCCCGTCCGAGTTTAGCTTCGATCAGTTGACATACAGGCACAACAGAGATGAAGCCGATTGCATTGGTGATGAAGATCAAAGAGACCACACCGTAGGAAATATTGTACTCTTTCTCCAGATAAGGGATGAGCGCACCCGTAGCAGCATCATTGAGGCCCATCAGTAAAAACATGACACCTGCAGCTGCCAGTCTCCATCGGTTTCTTGGCGGGTTAGATGCAGAGGGGATGAAAGCATCAACGACACGATCATGAGGTGAAACCACGCCCTGACTGGATTCCAGCTCTTCTTCAGGCCGGGAGAAAGACTGGTCAATTGAGACATGCGCTTCTGGGGTGAGCTTGGGTCCATTGAGGCGCTCACCCCATTTTAGCTCGTCCAATTCATGATGCGTTGGCTGACTTGTGAAAACCTGGTCGCGGTGCAGAACGGGAGATAATCCAGAGACAGAAACTTCAGGCTTGCTTGCGTGAGTGATAAACGCGCCAAGTATTGGGGCTGACATTTTGATGGTTGATGGGTAGTCGGGTACCTGAGCAATGTGGGAAAGGGTCAAGAGAACTCAGAGTTGGGAAATGATCGTGCAGGAAGTGAGAAGGACAGAAGCAATGAAACAATAAAAAACAAATTCGAGAAAAGATTTCAGTATCTATACCCGCTATACCTCATTCTTTACCATGACTGTAGTTTCCTGATGTCTGAGCGCATCGAGGCCGGAACATATAGAGCAGCACGTAGGTGGAATGCTTTGTAATAGAGAGGCCTGCATGATGATGCCCATGCGATTGATTCGGGGAGGAGACCGAAAGAAGTGCGGTCATTCCATGCTCCTCAATAGCCGCTTGGGGCCATGAGTCTTGCCTAACGCCGGGTATGATCCATTTGATCTGCTGCTGCAATCTCCAAACGGAGTATAAAATGCAACTTGAAAGTCGAGATAAGACATGTGAATGATGCAGTAGCGGCAGATAAAATTTGTGGGCGGGTAGCCTTCCCTTTATCGAAAGGCAAACCAAACGTCAAAGTCACGTTCCCCGCACAAGAATTTTTGGCTGGGATCCTGCGCTCTCAAATCCGCTCCAATTGACTTTTCCAGTCAACCTGGAGTTGTCCTTATCTGTTCCTTCACACGCGCCATGTCTCGCCGTAAGCTTCGTGAGACTGTCGAGGAAACACTGAGCCCTCCCACCACGTTGCTCGAAACCGAAACCATCGCCCGCGTGGTGAAAGCCAACGGCAAAGATCTCTACACCGTGCAGATCCCCTCCGTTCATGACCCTCTCCTTGTCGAACTGAATCCCAAATTCCGTGCCACCGTTTGGATCAAACGTGGTGGCTATGTCCTCGTCGACACCTCCAAAACCTCCGGCCGAGACAACAAAATCCAGGGAGAGATTGTGAACGTGGTTCGAGATGAAAAGGTGTGGAGGAAACAATCGTATTGGCCATCGGAGTTCGTCAAAAAGCGTGCTCCTGTGGACAGTGACGAGGAGGAATCAGTGGTAGGGAAAATGCCTCCATCGGACAGCGAAGAGGACGAATGATTCGAGGGTGACTCAGTCGGCTGCGCTGCCGACGTTCAACCACTTTTCACACCCTTCTTCATCGGGCCGCGAATGTGATCAACTGGAGGAGCAATAAGAGCACACATGGCCTGCACCGCAAGCTCCAAGACCACCAGGCTGGAACTCATGTCTGTACTTGGGAAAACCAACCAAGAATACTCCTGAACGGCCCAGTTGACTAGCACCCACACTGGGCCACCTCCTGCCCTCCAGAGAAGATAGGGTGTGGCCCATCCGAGATACGCATAGAACTGATAGTGCAGGCTCCTGGCACAAAGAAGACCGATCACCATGCTGCCCAGCACAGTGTCCATGACGAAGGTGGGGGAGATCTTCTGTGACACCCTGGTGCGTTCGGACTCATTGATCGCGCCCAAATACTTGGTCACAAATCCCCATAGGCTCGAAGCAGTCGGGCGAATCCATTTGGCCTGGAGGAATGTGAGCAGCAAGGTGACATGCACCACCAGTAGACCAATCGCGAAGCCTTTCGAGAGAAAAGTGTCCTCGCCAATAAATCTCCAATTGACCGACCATTTGAAGAGAAATTGCCGTCCGAAGTCAAATGCGCGTAGAAAATAATCCACACCTGTAGCTGAGTTCAAGAAAGGCGTAGCCAGGACCATCTGGGAGAGAAGAACCGACAACCCAGACCATACCGCGCCGGCGAGCCCTGCTCCTTGTAGAAGCACAACACCCACACCTGGCGCGGCCAGCAGAAGCGTCATCTTGACTCCCAGACCCAAGCCCCAGACGAGCGTCCCTGCTGCCCAATTCCGTCGCTGTAGCAAGTAGATAGCCACCCACAAACCCAAAGCAGCCCAGCAATCGTTGAACAGCCGCAGCACGAATATGGAATGCAATCTCTTGCTCAATGCCAGCGGCACCAGCAGCCACGGTGGTGCGCCGACGCGTCTGTAGCATGCTAGCACCACGGCCAGTGTAATAAGGTATAGACCTGAGAAGATGACCTGCGCTCGCAGGATGTTCGTTCCTTCGTCCGTGAGGTGGTACAGGGCAGTGTAGATGTAGACATGGAGGGCCGGGTAGACGAGTGGACCCGTTGGACCGGTGATTTTACTGTACTGTCGTTCGCCATCGAGGAAGAGTCGGATATGTACCATGTATGTGCTCCAGTCGATTTCAGTGTCTGTATAATGACCATGGCATTAAAAATAAGGGTTGTTCTTGATTTATAGAGGAGGAGGAGATGATGCAGAATAGGCCACAATACATACATGAGACTTTCCAGATGATCAGGCTGCAAAGTACAGCTTCACCCAGCAGCATCAATGGGGCAATCCATCTTGTATGCTTAGGGTTCGTGAGGAGGTCTTGCACAGCGCCCACCAGGTCGTTCATGTTTTTGAAGCCGAGAGTGGGATGTCCAGGGACTGAGTGATGTTTTGGATTCTCCAAGGGCCGAAACACATCTGTGGCTAACGTGTTCTACTCCATTCGTAAGATTTTGAAGAGTTCGCGGTGAGATTCGTGTCGTTGACACGGTATCCCATGTATCTCGGTGCAAGGCTGGCTCGGGGAGTGTTGTTATTGGTAAACCGAAAGGTGGAAGGGAGGAGGGTGGCGCCCCTAAGCGAGAAGCCCCAGGCGCTCCAGAGATCAGCCTTGGTGCCTAACGCTCATGCCAATGACCTGGAGGAGTGTTGCGCCCGACTTTGGTGGAAGTCTGTAATTAGACGCACGATATTCTGTATACGAGAGCCTACAATCTTAAGAGTTCCAGTCGCAGTCTCTCTGGAACCCTCCAAGTTTTTTTTACAATGTGAGTGAAGTTCTAGGTATCATGGCAGAGGTATTAGGCGTTGTTGCTAGCGGCCTCTCGGTCGCGGCGTTTGCGGGACAGTTGGCACAAGGCTCCACATATCTGTACCACTTCCTCCGAGACATCAAGGACGCTCCCGACGACATCCAATTGCTACTTCAAGAACTTCAACTCCTTACTCCGATCCTCGCCACGGTCCAGGGATTTTCAGAAACCCGAGACAACAACCTACAAGAGGCTCTTGAGCTCTGTGAGCATGCTGTTAAAGCATTGTTGGCTGTATTGAAGGCAGGTGAGGTAGCACCGGACTTCACGAAATGGAACAGATTGAAGAAGCAGTTGGGCGCAGCTTTTGGAATCCAGCAACGGACTAAACATCTTCAGGCTCTTGAAAGAGCCAAGTCCATGCTTTTACAATGCTGCGTAAATGCCATGATGTGCGTGAGCGGTCATCCATGGACTTACCAAGTACAGGGCTGACCGCTTAAATCTACAGAACTGTTCAGTCGACACAAGCAACAGTAGCGCAAGAAACAGCACGCTCTTTGTCAAATTTGTCGCGCGCACATGCGATTCATGCAGCTGCTTTCCATGACGCCCAGCAGGCTGATATCGATGCTCGGGCAATGGTCTTTGAAACCGGAAGAGTTCTCAGAGGAGTTGACGCTAGCACTTCGGCGCTATGCCAATCTACTATGGAGATATCAACCGTGACATCAGAAACTCGCACGATGGTACATTGTTGGACCAACGAGATGGATCACGTACGAAAGGCGACGGAAAACCAGGAAGCGATGTTGCAAAGCATACTTACGAGGCTAGACGATGCTCTCCCAAGCTGATTCATGCCATTCCCGAAGAAGTCAACAGAATACTAACAACTAATATCAAGCGCTACATGAAGGAGATACATGGTGGACATATGAAAAGAACGGTAAAGACACCTACAGACACCTATAAGACAAGGGACTGTGGAAACACCAATCCTGCGACCAACCTTGTTCATGGGAGCCAATTTCTTAGTCCTGCTAAGCAGTTCCCAGACCATCCCGCAGATCACTGGACCAAGAAATCCTGCATTACCACAACAAAAGTCATAATGTCAAATCGCTTCCTGGGCACTCTGACCATTCGAACTACGGTTATCGTATATCATCGGCCAGGGAATCAAGACTGCCTAGCAGATGAGAAACAAGAGTACCGAACCACGACCAAATTCCTGCCTGCGGTTTGGATCTCATCAAAGGGTGCCATTCTGAACTACAAGGCCATTAATCGTTTTGGTGTCGGTGCGCGTTGGAGCCCTCTCCTTCCAAATCTGACCACAGTCAATATCGTCCCGTTCGATTCTGCAATCTTTCAAGCATGTCGGTCATTCGATATGGCGGCTATCCGGACGTTGTTTGATGACGGTCAAGCTTCTCCTTTTGACGTTGATCAGCACGGTAATAATCTTCTCGCACATGTCGCAACGGGACTGATGCGGCCAAGTCTGTGGGCAGTGGTCCCACCGATAAAGATGGCGGGATTGGAATTCAGCGGAACTCCGCCTTTCATCTCTATATTCACAGACGTGGATGCCGCAAAAGAGCTCGAGGATTTGCTCACGGTGGTCAGTCTATTACTAAGCTACGGCATTGATGTTGGGGATCAGAATGACGACGGAATGTAAGTTTGTACTCTACGGTTGTGTGCATTGCTAAACAATGGAACCAGGGGTGCTCTCCTCGTTTTTTGCTACAGTCTCCGATTAGGGAGTATTGAGACTAGAAGACAGCTTGACGACAAATGTCGCTTCCTCCTTAACAAGTTACTGGTCGAGGCGAAGACAGATCCTTTACATGGGTGGCCACCTTCGGCACGCTTTTTGGACCATTTATCGAACGGACATATCAAGGGGAAGTTTGATCCTATGGTAGTTGACTTATTGATGCATCAAATTGAATGGCCCATTTCTTGTACACCGTACCATTTCTTGGAGTTGTGTTGGAGTAATCTAATAGTCGCCATCCATCAGAACACCAGTGAATTCCTTGACTTTTGGGTCGCGAGCACCTTCGCTCAAGTTGACGCCTATTTTGAGGCAATGTTAAGTCGACTCAATTACTTCATCCTCAATGACATCTATCCCACAAAATCATATCCTAAACTTGGTATGAGCGCTATTTTTCTGCTGATTGATGGCGGAGGGCTACTCATATCTCTCATGACTGAATGTGAAAGCGACGGACGGCTCCCATGGCTCCGTCATCGATTCCGGAAACTGATAGCCCTCCGCACGTACATGGTGGCAGTGATCAGGTCTGTTCTAGAGCATTGGTCGTCTTATCTCAAGGTCGAACACTTCTTGTATTCTGTCTCTGCGCTAGCACAATCGCGCAACCAGCGGACGCTTCATATCTGGAAGACAGCACTGAGCGATGCCTTGAGAACAATCCGCTTGCCTCAGCTTGGCAGCAATGACGACAATGTGAGTGCTCACGCTGAGCCTCATGATTCGTTTGATGCACCTAGAGAAGCAGTGGCTACTTCGGACGAAGACTGGGAGACAGAAGATTCCGACGGACCCTATTCCGGATGGGAAACCGAGGAGGAGTGGGAGGAGGGGTACATGTTGGACATCGCAGCTGACAGATATCACCACGATGGTGAGTACAGCCAACAGAGATGTTCAACGAATTCCAACATTTCAGGGGTTCCTCGAGGCTACGATGAAGATTATTGGCTACGGGTCTATAATCGTCTCCTAGTTGAGGCGGATGCATACTTGTGGGATGCGGATTCCTCTGCAGAAGATATAGCGTGATGAAAGAGTCCCCTAGGATAGGAGGATAAATCAATCAGTCGTATGCAGCTTGCGAGCTGGGTAGAGAGTGTGAGAGAGTCACCTAAAGTCCATACCTATATGGCTTACGTAATCAATATATCGGTCCAAAATGGGCCAGTGTATCTCCAAACATTTTCACGACGTCATGAACTAACACCTAATACCACATCTTCCACTCCCGCGCCTATGTCGCCCCCAGACGGCGTCATGGATCATGGTAGCGAGCGGAGGTGATCGACGAACCTCCTCTTTCAGACAGCATTTGAAAGTTACGAGCATCTCTCCCGTTCATGCGAGAAGCTTGAAGAAGGTACGTTTCATCTCTCACTGCATCACCATTCAAAAACCGTGCTCGTGAGCTTGATTTTCTTTTCCCTTCGCTTTTCTCCCCTCCCCACCGTGGAAGCAACTCCGATACCGCTGTGCCACTTGCTGCGGACCCAGCAACCAGCTCTTCTCCCGTCAAATTAAGCACTTGGGTACTCGAATTCTAGCCTATCGAGGTCTGGTAGGAAGAATTCATCCATAGCCGCCAACCCGTAGCCTACAGTGCCAAGACATCACGTTTTACTCGCTGAACTGCCCGAGCACCGCTATAGACTTTCCAGAGTCTTTGCTCGAGTCCCAAGAGGGTCTGGACCACGGGTTTCCAGAACGTGACTTGTGGGACTACCCTAGGACGCGTCTTGAAGTTCGCCTTTCCTGCCGGGTTGAAGGAGTCATATACCTCACGACGACTTATCTGGTCTATTCATATATATTGTATATAATTCACCGAGCATAAGGGACAGCATCTTCAGACGATAACAGCAGCCTAACCCGAAAAAAATACAATTAACACCACCACAACTCGATACAGATAGAGAACACCCCAAGACTCCCTTCATCACCAACAACCATGGCGCCCAAACAAACCGGCCAGGAACCGCACGACCTGAACTGCCTGACAATCAGCGAGCTGTCGGCGCTGGCCCGCGAACGCATGGACAAGCAGACGCGAGACTACTACAACGAAGGGGCCGACAGCGGCAGCACACTGGCGGAGAACGAATCCGCATACCGACGGTACCGGATCCGGCCACGGGTGCTGCGCGACATCTCACAGATCGACACGAGCGTGACCGTCTTCGGGCACCGCAACACTGTGCCGCTGGGCGTCGCCCCCGCGGCGATGCAGGGCCTGGCACACCCGGACGGCGAGCTGGCGACGGCGCGCGCCTGCGCCGCCAAGGGGATCGTGATGGGCCTGAGCAGCTTCGCGACGCGGACGCTCGAGGACGTGCGCGAGGCCAGTGGCGATATCCCGAATGTCCTGCAGCTGTATCTGTTCGAGGAGAAGGAGCACAGTATCAAGCTGATCGAGCGCGCCAAGAAAGCCGGGTATAAAGCGGTGTTGCTGACGGTCGACACGCCGATGATTGGGAGGCGGAATCTCGAGATCCGGAATCAGTTCAAACTGCCGGCTCATTTGAAGATCGCCAATTTCACCGAGAGCGCGGAGGAGGCTGTTGTGGACGACTCATCTTCCTCTTCATCATCCTTATCATCACAATCACAACAATCCACGACCAAGAAACCCCGCCGCCCTTCCAAAGCAGGATACAGCGACGGCACGAAACGGGTGCTTCCGACGGGCGCGATAACGTTCCACACGCACGCGGCGAACCCGACGCTGTCATGGGAGACGTCGATCCCGTGGCTGAAGGAAGTGGCCGCGCCGATGCAGGTGTGGGTGAAAGGGGTGGCGACGGCCGAAGACGCACTGCTCGCGGTGCACCACGGCGTCGACGGGATCGTGGTCTCGAACCACGGCGGCCGCCAGCTGAACGGCGCGCTCGCGACCCTCGACGCCCTACCGGAAGTCGTCGCCGCCGTGCAGAGGAAAATCCCCGTGCATGTCGATGGCGGGATCAGGCATGGCACTGACGTCTTTAAGGCGTTGGCTCTCGGTGCTGATTTCGTCTGGGTTGGTCGTCCCGTCCTCTGGGGACTTGCGTATAAAGGCCAGGAGGGTGTGGAGCTGTGTTTGAGATTGTTGATGGATGAGTTTAAGTTGTGTATGGGTTTAGCCGGTGTCACGAGGGTGCAGGATATTTCCAAGGAGTTTTTGGCCAAGGTTGATCGTGATGGCTTCCCAAGTCGCTTGTAACAATTGTGAGGTGGTGGTAGAGCAATTTATGTCATGAGGCTACTTTAGGCCCTTTTCTTTCAAGCATATACTGCAAGAAATGAATGGTCTGTTGTCGGAAATTGTTTTCTATCTGATTCGCTGTGATGGTTTGAAGCAAAATCACCCTCCTTGGACTTGGAGAGTTTCTTGTCAATTCTCACCCTGTCTTTACTCTTTTCCAGCTCCCACCACGCGTGTGATTGTAATATGCCATGCTCCTGTAAGCTCAAATCCCATTCCCTTGTCTCACCAGACAACCCATTGCAAAACTCCCCCATATCGTACAAATCCTGGCTGGCGCTGATTGGAGCCTTGTCGTAATGTGTCCATGCGCCAATCTCCATCGAGTTATCCTCCCCTCACCTGTCACATCGAAGATTGTGCCATGAGCAGCGTCACGTCAGTATCCGTGTGAAATCTACTGCAGAGCTGCTATTTGGTCCTCTTTACCAGTGTATGTTGTTCCTGGGGGCAACGAAGTTTGGCGTGGTTCCATCGTCCATGTTGCCTGACGTGCTGAGCAAACCACCTGTGATTTCCCTCATCACTGTATTGAAATTGGCACTGTTTCGAATATCGCATTTCTTGCTCGCAGACTCGGTATGTGCAACCCATGACGCTGTAGTTCTGAATCGTTTTAAACATGTTGGACAGATGACCTCACCTCCTGCATGGACAGGACTCAAAAGATGTTCGCGAAAATCTCGAGCTCGGTTGAATTTGCGCTTGCATCTATATGCTGGGCATTCGTACTGCTGTTGAACGGCATCCCAGAAGCGTTCAACATCAGTCATAGAAGTGGTAGCTGAAAGGACTGAGCTCGCAGGTAGTGTGACGATGTGGTTGTGGTTTTCGTTTATACTAGACAGTGTAACCGTGGGTTCAGGCTTGGTGACTTCGTCGACTGCGGGGCTCTTCTTGTCATAGAGTGATGCGATTTCTTTATCATCGTCTTGAGGAGGCTTGGAGGATGGATCATTCGAGTTCAACCATGCTTCGACCTTGTAACTTGCCTTTGTTGTGCCTTCAAGTGCACCAATGTTTCTTTGTAGGGCAGCTTGTGAGATTCGCAGCTGTTTCATATCGACGATTGCTGAATCAAGATCAATAAGGTCGTGGGGTCCAACTGGAGCGGTATGTGAATGGCTGCCGGAAGCTGTTGTGATACCAGTCGAATTCAGCGGTGGAAACTGTTGAAGTGATGATGCTGAGATGGGCCCGCCGATGGCATTTTGTAGGCTTCTCACCGGACGGGATGTCGGTTCGTCGTCGAGTAGATTCCCGGCGGTGGTCCCCTGACTTTGAGATTGGTGGCGAGTTGCTATTAGAGGCAATCCAAAGGCGGAAGGATCATTGGCAGACTCCCAAACCTCCTTCTCGAGTTGTCTTTCTGCTCTCTGAATTTTGAAGTCTGATTGTCGGATGACTCGGCATTCATCTTGTTCGATATGAAACATCAATGATGCTGCGGATGTGAATCGAGAATTGCAACCTACACATTCAAGTTTCTGGCTTTGTCGATGCATCTGTTGAATGTTAGTGGTGTTTCCCAACTGCGAGCGTGGATACTAACCTGCTCAACATGGATGTCCCTAGCTGCAACACTGTGAAATTCTGTGCCGCACACCGGGCAGCAATCTTGGAAAGCGGTTAGAGCGACATCATGACTAGTGACGGTGACTGAACTCACTGTGTGCCTGACTTCCCAATTGATGAATGAAGTAGAGCATGTCATCGTCGCAATCGACGTCACACCGTTCACAGTAGCTATGGTCAGGATCTCTCTTCTTGTGAGCAATCATTGCCTTCTTGGTGTCGAAATGCTTGAAGCAATTGGCGTAAGTGCACTTGATCTTCATCTTGGATTGAGCGCGGTGTTCGAGTTCCTAGGACGTCGAAGAATGATGATATCGGCGGCGGTCGTCGCTGTATTTGATGTAGGGGTAATAGTGGACAAATCTAAACGATAGTGACTCGGGAGAGTAGAAGAGGAATAGCGTCTCGAAAATGAACAGAAGAGTAAAGAAGTGGGACGTTGATGGCTCAAGTAAAAACCTAGACAGCTGGACCCTGCAACTTGGTGAAACTGTTCCCAGCAGACAAAGGGTGAAGTCCTCAGACCCTGAAAGCAAGAAAGGGATTTCGAGTCGAGGTTGAAGTGGAAGTTGAAGTTGAACTGACAACCGTGTAACTGCCTCGAGTAGCTTAAGGCGGGGCAAGCTCAACCTCGTTGTAGATTGGGAAAGAGGTGACCTGAGTATTCGAATGAGACGGAATACGCTTCCTTCAAATCACTGGGCATTAGAGAAGTCTCCTCATCGTATCTGACCAAGATACTGGTTTGGGAGGTGAAGCCGGGGTCGATTGGTTTGAGGGCTGGTCTATGGAGGACAAGAGTAAGGGTAAAGAGCACAAGTGAACTTGGAGGTCCACTTATAGAGTGGGTCGTAGAGTTTACAAACGCAGGTTTACACGTGCCAAAGAAAACCAGGACAGTGAGCTCTCTTGCAGCAGCATCAAGGCTTCTGGGACAACATTGAGTGAATTCAGAGAGTGGCTCCAAATGGTCTAGAGGTGTCGATAGCATTTGACCTACGGTGTGAGATAAAGGTGGGCAGACCATACCCGGGATTAAGTGCGCCTCGAAGGAGAATAATTGACCCTGGTGCATCATTGCAAGTCCGTGGAATTCATTTATCATTGTATCTTGAACACATGAAAGTCATCACTGAAGAACGTATCGTAATCGTGCAGCGCTACATAGCACTTTCATCCCCTCAAGTGTAGAGCTCCTCGGTCAAAGCATTCAAGCTCAGGCCCTCCTTGGCGATATCTTCATCTATCGCAAAAGTTAGCTCTGGTGGACGTTCCATTCTTGAGACAACTTACCTTGCAAGAAGCATAGTGGCATCTCAACCAATGTCCCTTTGACTTGACTAAGCAATGCCTTAAGCTCCTGCACTCCACCTGGGAAGTCTGCAGGTACCACGTGACCATACTCAACACGAGGTGGTAGTTTTCCTTTGTCCTTGCCCTCGGCTTGCGCATCAGCATTCCGGAAGAAGTACTCATAAAACTCCTTATACTCGCCCCATGAATGGATCTCATCATCGGGTACGGCTCGGAATGCCTTTCTGAAAACCTGCGTGTTGGTTCTTGCTCGAGTGTTCCAAAGACTTTGGAATGCGTCAGAGAGTGGATCCGACACTATGTTGTCCTCTGGTGTGCCCCAATCATAGGAGTTGGGAACGCCAACAGGTTCGAAATTCGCATCTGGTCTTCGAATATCCTGGGGACGAACCAAGCCCAAATGTTTCCGGAATAATTGTCTTCTGAGGGAAGTGGCAAAACGGCTTGCCTGCCATGGTTGACCATTCATGGTAGATTGCTGGGGAGTGGGATCGTTGATCAATATGGCAATCTCGCTGTCGTGGGAACCAAGCTGGCTGCGGTCATTGAGATTGGCTGATCCACAGATGACAATGCGATCATCGGCAATCAAAGTCTGATTACGTTAAAACAGTGTTGTCTTATGGACAGATCAACAACTTACCTTTGAGTGGATGTATAGTTCCTCACTGACGAATGCGTTGAACTCAGCCTCAGGCAGGCCGTCCCATGGGACTGACTGAATATCCTGTCCTCCAAGCATGTAGCACTCGGAAACACTATCCCATCGTCCACTTCCAGGGAGTTGCTGTGCCGCAGCTTGGTATTGTTGATACTGAGGTGCTTGACCGGAAGGCGCAACACCAGTTTGCTCTCCATAAGCACCATAACCAGCACCCACCTTATCGTCATGCTGCTTTCTTGCATCTTCATATCTGACACCACTTTGTTGCTCGGCCTGCTGCATAGTTCGATCACGATTGATCCGATCATAACTTCTGAGATTGTAGAAGCGAATATAATCCAAAGGATTATAGCCAGCTTGAGCAATCTTTTCCATGATGGAATTTCCACCACGATTGATTGAGAAGTATTGGAATTCCATAATGGCACGGGTTCCGAGAGAGGCATCATCGCGAAGATCACCAGCAAATGCTGGTACTGCTGGGATGACAACAATTACCTTGTACTTTTCCCCATTTCTAGCAGCTCTCAGAATTCTTTCGACCAAGGCTTGGCCGATCAAATTCTTGACTGGCTTCTGTTGATCACCGGTGGCGGTGATAAAGAATTGATTCTCAATGTAGACAAAATGCTGACTATTTCTGATAACATCAATGTAGGCATTTTGGATAGAATGCTCCAGTGGAGTACCGTTGCTCCATTTGGTACTGCTTCTGAGAATTTGGCAGGTCATGACAGGTCGTGGTTGATTCTGAGGACGTCCATATTGGTCGGGTTTTCCAGAATATTTGCCTTGATATTGTTGGAATTTCTGGTTCACCCCACCTGAGACGACATTTCCAATGGCAGAAAGCTCCTGACCAAATCGTCTTCCCTCATCACGATATTGATCAAATCGTCCTCGCAGACCTCTATCGCCAGAGAATCCTCGTTCATTCTCACCACCTTGGTTATAATCATCGAAACCTCTAGTCTGTTCGCCAGATGCTTGGTATGATGGGTGTTGGTAGGGCTGACCGGATGATGGCTGAGCAGGGATACCGGTTGGTGTTTGGCCATAAGGGGAATACTGAGGTTGTGGGCTTGGTGGTGGCTGATAGCCCGAGTAGTTTTGACCAGGGGAGGATGGTGGAGGTGGACCAGGTGGCGGCGGAGGGAAGGATTGCTGATATGGCTGTGATTGAGCTTGGTTATATGTTTGTGCTTGGTTGGATTGGAATCCAGGACTCGGCGGTTGACCATACTGTGTTTGCGATGCCTGCAAGGATTGATTTGATTGACCACTTGGATATTGCTCAGGACCGCTCGGAGTATGTGGCCTATTGGTGCTCTGCCATGCTGGTTGAGAGTAAGGTTGGCTTCCTGGAGGAGGCGGGAAAGCACCACCTTGTTGAGTGTTTTGAAACTGTCCTTGTTGGGGAGGTGATTGCGGACGTTGGCCTATTCCCGATGATGTATGTGTGAAATTGTCATTGATTCGGGTGTACCTGACATCCCTCCGGACATTATATTTCTCATCATAGATGAAATTCCATCGATCGGTGAAGTGATGACGAAGATCTTGCACGCATGATCCTTGTAGACTCAACGCAATGTCGGACCTTGAAAATGTTATCCTGATTATACCAAGTACAGTGTAGATGAACTTACCATCCCATCCTTGAACTTTTGGTTCTGTCGAGCTTATTCTGGAATGGATTTGCTACATCGCTGAAATCCATGACTCTGTCTCCTGTATCAGCCAAATTGACACGTCACAAGACAAGAGCGAAGGACAAATATGTGCTTGTGCCAATGTGCGAATTGGGGCCAGCGGAAAACTAACCTTGCATTGTTGAAATCTTGACCGGGAAAGACAATATCGTTGATATTCGAGGGGTGTGCATCCGCAATGGAGTGCTGATTAGTGTCCCACCTCCCAAAGCAGAGATCAAGTCCTCCCATAAATGCAACTTGTCCATCAATCAAGCATAGCTTTTCGTGATGGGCCCAGTACAAGATCACATCCTCGTTCAAGCCGTAAATTCCCTTCAAAGCATCCGCACCGAGCTTGGAAGCACCAGCTGCGTCGAGCTTCAGGTTCTGGAAGGAGGATAATAATGATGATTGTGCAGTCTGTGCATCGGGAAGATGGTCTGGATGACGAAAAACTGAAATGTTTGGAGAGAGCTTCTCAAGCTCGTGTTTAGTATGCGCGGAAGACAAAGCTAAAGGAGGAAGGATTAGTGGGTTTTCTCGTTCTACGTATTCCAATGATGTCGTTGTTGCCCTTAGACCCAAGGCTACTAGGAAAGATGGAAAAGCTTCTGTTTGTGGAGGGAGTAAAGAGTGGAAATAATTGACGACGGGAGAGGAAATCCACCTACTCAGAGCTTGTGTGACTTCTTTGTACACAATGATGTTGACCTTGACACCACGTTGAGCTGCTCTCTGTAGTGTTCTGTCAAGTCTCCATTGTTCGTTTTGGGATGGAGGACGGCGGAGATATATCTCAGGGGACAACCACCAGTCGAGGATCCAGATTGATTCTCTGGCGCCTTCCAGAGCTTGACTGACTGCCCAGAAATAACTGCACCCATCGACATACCATTTTACATCGTTCCCAGGACGTTCAGGTGCAAAGCTTTCAAACCGGCTATTACCCTGAGGGGCACTGGAGTAGCCAGTAGCATAACCAGTTTGTCCTGGTGGCCTGTTAGAGGACTGGCCGGGAGGGCGATTATCCGGACCAAGTAGGTTGGCAACATCTGATCCGATGTTATGAATGGTCGAGTGAAGAGTTCCTAGAAGCTTGCCAGCGAGATCACTTTCCTGTGGACGTTGGGTTGGAGGGCCTCCTGGATAGGCAGATGTCCCAGTTTGTGGGTAGCCTGTGGATGGACCTTGTTGACCATAATAACCCTGGTTGGAAGCTGAAGATCCAGAATAGCCGTAGTTCTGAGCGGGAGGGGTTTTGAACTTGTCATACTCAGACTTGAATTTCTTGAACGTGTCGCCCACGAAAGAACGCTCATTGGGGTTTTGATTTGAAGGGCCTCTAGATTGTGCGTAGTCTTCGCCATAAGCGAGTCCGTCATCATCCGGCTTTTGTTGTGGGTAGTAAGACATGGCCTTGAGTGAAGGTAATGTTGGAGTATTGCAACAAGACTCAATTCAAGTCATCTCAGAGGAAAAGAGATCAAGAAGAACTAAGAACTTGAAGAAACTCAAGATGGCTGAGGCCTGAGCTGGGAGTGGAAGGGTAGAGCTGAGTTTGGGTAAGTGGCAGAGCTTGTTTCACCATTCCATGAGTTTCAGCTGAACAAACAAGCATGATAGGCTTTCACTGGAGTTGGTGTTCAGGTTGTCAGTGGATAAAGCCAGCAGGTTGGCCCGGGGGTCCCGCTAAGCAATGGGAGGAGCTTGCTTCACATCAACGTGACTTGAACTGAACTCGGTGGTTCTTGGCATCAAACGAGGGGTATTAAGTACCTAGGTAGGTACTTAGGTAAGTAGGAAGGTCTCAGACACACCTATTCACATAACTCAGTTCGCTTCTTAAAGTTAAGTTAGGCCAGCTGAGAGAGATAGCTGTTTTTAATATGTTTAGGTAGGTAAAATTACAGCTATCAAGGCCTGACTTTTATGATGAGATCTGGGTGCTTTCCACCTTACCCGGCACTTCATTCATGCCTATCCGCTCGGAAGGCAAGGCCCGTGGGGCAATTAAGGTCCTTAAAACAAGCTTCATCGCCTCGAGCCCACTAACAAACCAGTCCAATGTCTTCGACTCCTCAACGCGTTGGACGCGTCTATCACCACCGACGATATTACCCGGGTATCCAGATAAAAGGCACTGATCCCTAGATGACGTATAACGACTAATCGGCCTATCTCATCTGCTCCTCCTCTGCGGGGAAGCCTGAAGATAATACAAATTCCGGCGAGGTGCACATCTCCACGGCAGTGCTATGCGCTTGACCGAATAGCCATATAAACTGCTCAAGTGTCGCTTTTCTTGACGATTTGCCTATTTTATCATGTCTGCATCCTTACGTTTCCTCTCCCGTTCTTCGCCTGCATTCTTGAGATCTGCTAGGAACCAGCCACTCCTGCAGACATATCGATATACCCCTCTGTTGACATCACTTCGACCAGCATCCAATATGTCTCTAGCAACTCTCGACGTATTTATTCATGACCACCGGAACAACCGAAAGAGACTCGCTAATATGACCATTAGGTATCCCAACATCCTAATCTACCTCAATCCTCTGCCACTCTATTCGCCGCAAAGGCACAGAAAAAGGTGACGTTTGAAGAGATTGCCAAAGTGGTCGGGCGAGACGAGGTCGCCGTTGCTGCTCTGTTCTACGGTCAAGCTAAGGCTTCTCCTGAAGATATCAAGAATTTGTCCGAATACTTTGGTATTGAACATGCGACTCTCGAGCAACAGCTAGGCGGGTTTCCAGACCGCGGAAAGAGCGTGGAGTGGCCACCAAAAGAACCACTGATTTATAGACTCATGGAGATAGTCCAAAATTATGGATATGCATATAAAGCTATTCTCAATGAGAAGTTCGGCGATGGAATCATGAGTGCTATCGCTTTCTCGACACACGTTGAGAAGGAGGTTGACAAAGATGGCGTTACATGGGTAAGTTTCTCGTTGGAAAAGATCTGGAGTTTGAACCAATAACGGCTGTAGGTCAACATCAAACTTAGAGGCAAGTGGCTGCCATTCACTCGATTTTGAAAGGTTGAATTCACGGGAGTCGAGAAATTCTCCTCTACTGTAAGGGTCCGGATCCCGTTCTGAAACCCTGGAGACGAATGCAAACATCATACAAGCCCAATCTGCTACTGTCAGATCCGGCATCATCGAAAAAGAAGTACATACCAACGCTGGCTTTATGTGTCAGGAACAATATCAAGCCATGTTAAGAACAATATTAAGCTTTGACCCCTTTCGTCCAGCCTTGTCCAAAACATCTTCGAGGTATTCTATGCTTTGTCTCAAGGCAATTCAAACCACCAGTACCTGCCATAATTACTCCTCTTTCAAAGTCCACCGTTTGTTTCACAGCATGCTCAACTCCAGAATGGCAGGCAATAAGAGCATGTCGAGTGAAGCCACCACTTTTTCTGCCCTTCCTTCTTCCTCACCCCATACTGTCTTTAAAACCCAACTCACATACATTCATTTCATTCCCAAACCATTAATAAAATCCAAGCTCCTAAAACAAAATGCCTCAATCAACCATCTCCCACGGCAACCAAAAGTACGCTTTCACCTCAACCATCCAATGCTCCGTCATGCGCTCTCAAACCGGCTGGTTCTGCACCGTCCAGCGCAGATAAACATGGCAGGCTCCACCGTATCTTCGCTTCTGGTGTTCGAGACACCGGCAGCAGTGGCAGCGGCAGTCAGAATGGCGCGGGCGCCGTACGAGGAGATCATCTTCGACATGCCTTCGCGGTCGCATTGGTGTCTTCGATGATTGCATTCTTGGAGCAACGTTTACTTCATGCCACGCCATTTGCATCATCTTCGTTTGAATTCGCCATTTTTCAATTCGCCTTGTACTGGAACATCAACATTGCAAAGTCGATTTCCAATGGAGATTGAATGGATGTTCCATTTTCTACCATCAACTCCACGTAACAGGGAGTGGCCGCATCGACCAGATCGTTGGCCTTCAACACCGCCTGTGAATTCATCCGTATGGCCCGGCCCACGAGCTGGGGATCATATGCATACACACATGCAAATATACAGTTGTCATCATATCTAGGTAGTTTGACCGCATATCAAACATCACCGGCTGTATTCAATAGCCAGGTGATTTGTCCACTTCTGGTGCTGGAACACGCATGGATACGCGGGGATGGGCCACCTACCTGTACCCGAGCATCTGCAGGCCGTGCTAGCAGAAAAATATACATTATTCAATTCTTGCCCAACCTGTTTTCCATGGCTGATAATGCGACTGCCCTGCGTGTAGACCCTTTGAATTCTGAACTCAGTGTGTTACCCGGGTGTGTGCGGGTTAAATAGGAACCCATGTAGTTAAAGAGGCCCGCAAGGTATGACATGAAGGGAGAAAGCCGACCACTCGAAAATAGGCACCTTAGGCTGAGCCTAGGCACCATCCGTCCACCGACCAAAATTCCCGAGGATAAGCGATGCGTATCTTTTGACAAACTATATATTTTGCAAAACGCTCAAATTGTTGTTGAAATGCACAAAATTTCAACACACACATAAGACAGTTTGGCCGAGTGTAAGGATCCACCATTAGTTACACTGTTATGAAATATATACTAATAATCTATACAGGGTTAAGGCGACAGACTCGAATCAAATCGCAATCTGTTGGGTTCGCCCGCACAGGTTCAAATCCTGTAGCTGTCGAGATTTCGCTCTCTTTTTTGCATTTTTGGGGGAGACTTTGCTTTGCGTCCATTTTTTGCTTGGGGCTTTGTCGTTATGTGGTGGTCCGTGGAGAGCTGTACGAAGGAATTTTCACAGGTCCGGCTTGGAGGGTGACGATGTGGGGACCTTAGATCCCATGCAAGCATTTCCTCTACATGTCATGTTTTTCCATACCCCCAAAGCAAGTAACGCCTTTAGAAATACTGGCGGACATGACACTTTTCTTGACTCACGCAAAGCTTCACGAGGGGGAAAAGTACTACGGACGTTTCGATCAAGATAGGTTGCAAGTCCATATAAAATGGGATAGTCATACAGTCTTTTATAGAAGTCTAGTGAATAAAGGCCCCATATCCTACGTGAAGTGGTCTTTTAAGAATGCCCATTGACGCCATTGACAGGGACCTCAAGCGCTTTGAGCTCGTCTCTCGCCATCCGGTAGTCTTCCTGTGCCTCCCGTTCCCTGCGACTGATGAAGTTGACTTCGTCCCTCAGGCGTTCGAGTCTTGTCAGCAGACCTCCTTCTTCACCAGTCTGCAGTGAACTGTATGCTTCGAGCTCTGCTCTCTGTTCTCCAATCTTGTCATATACAGCGCCAATCTTCTGCTTCAAGGTCTTCTGTCGAGCTTGATAGCCGCCGAGATGTAGGGCCAATTTCTTCTCGAGCTTGTTGCCTGCTTCTCCTGATGCTAGGAGTGATTTCTGCACAGCTTGGAAGGCGCTACCATACTCGGTTGACGTGGTGTTCTCAACGAATTTCAAAGGCAGCGCACCGCGTTCGTTTTCCGAGGAGTACATCTGTTCCACGGCATTTACATACTCCTGACGTTCTGTCTCATTCGTCTCTGCCAGCAGCTCCTCCCGAGCTTGTCGTAGTAGATCATCAGATAGCGTTTCCACCGGAGCAGGCTTTCCTGCCACGTTCGACCCTGCAAGAGGAAATTTCCGTGCGTCATTCGCCATCAGCAGTGCGGCTTCCGATGCAATCATTGCCTGTATCGGGTCGGGTATGGATGTAGCTGCTGCTACTAATTTGTTGTAATCAATCTGGGTAGGTCGGGGGAGCGATCGTTTGTAGACTTGAGTTTGCCTTTGGAATTCCGCTGCGGCTGCTGCTTCATGAGCTTCACGATCGCGACGGTCAATTTCCTCTTGATCGTCTAGATCCGTCTTTGCTCGTTCGGCCGCCTCTTCTTGTTCAGTTGGAAGGAGTTCCAATTCCCACTCCGTTTCTTTCGGTTTCGGAAGAGAAGCCAACTTAGCTCTCAGAGCTGATCGAGTAGCATTCTCAGCAAGTCGGAGGTCTCGAGGGGTCTGCGAAACGAGTTGTCGCTCACCCTTCTCATTGAGCGTCAGGTTATCACGTGGAGTCCTCAACGGCGTCGCTCCTGGTAATTGACCACCGGGACCAGCCTGTCGGAAAGGAGTTGCCATAGGATTTGGCGTGACCATGTCCTGTCTGCGAGGTGCAACCCCATCAAATCCAGTAGAGGCAGTACCCTCATGTAAAGGGGTATTCTCACCGCCAAGTAATGAAGACTGTGTCTCCGTCAAAGCCCTGATGTTTCTGATCTCATTGGCGATGTGATCTTCCTGAGCAGGTGCCCTGGGTGTTCGAATGGGAGTTGCTCCAAGCATATTGGAATAATTTGAGACCAGCCCACGCCCGTCATCATCGTCCTCGCCTGCAGCCTTGATGGCTCTATCTCCTGCCATTCCCATCTTGACAATATCTTCCAATTCGCTCTCGCTCACCTGTGGAGCTGGTAGATTCAAGCTTCGACGCTTGCTCTGCTGCTCTGCCTCTCGAACACGCTGCATTTGCCCGGCGCGAGCTGCTGCAGCCATAGCGGCCGAGGATTTATTTTTGTCTTGCTTTTGTCGCTTCGAGTCAGCATTGTCTTCCGAGTCACCTTGTCTCTTCCTGGCTAATTGCTGTTTCCGTGGGTCGAACATTTCTCGCTCCCGCTCATTCTTCGCCTCCTCATCCAGTGTATCATAAAAGCCGGATGCAGCTTGTTTTTCAAAGGGTATGTCGGCATTGTAGTCCATCTCACCCTTCTTGCGAGTGGTGATCTTGATATTGATTCCCGCATTTTTCAGTTCTCGTCGCTTTTGAAGTACTGCAAGTCTTCTCGATTCCTCCAATTGTCTTTCTCGAGCTTTTCTCTTTGCTTTCTTGCCCTGTGTGTTGGCGAGACGGGCACGAGCCTCGCTAAGCATTTCTTTCTCATCTTCATCGAGGTCGATTGTGTCAGGTCTGGCAGGTTTGGATTCTGGGTCTGGGTCAAGCTCTCCAGGTCGTAATCTTCTGACTTGATCGCCTGTTGGGGCCGATGTCTCTCCTCCTTCTGGACCACCCAGGCCTAGCTCATCGCTCTCCCTTGCTTCAGCTTCATCGAGAAGCTTCTGATACCGCTCAAGACATTGGGTAGCAGTCCGGCCAACAATGGGTGCTATTGTTCGCCATTGCGTTGGCATCAATTTCGCCAGGTGTAGTAGTTTTTCATCCTCCTCTTTGGACCATTCTATCTTCCGGATACCGGGATCCAGCCATTCTGTCCACCTAGCTTTGCACTGTTTCGGGGTTTTGCGCGCAAGCAGAGAAGAAACTCGGGCCCACTGGTTCAAGCCATATTTTGAGACGGATGCCTTGAGGATTTCGTCCTCAATATTTGTCCAAACACCTCCTTTGACGACAGGCATCTTGCCGGTTGACAAACAGCGGTCTTCAGACGTCAAGGTAAAGCGAAAAGGCTGAATATGAGATCGTCGCAGGCAGTCAATCCGCAGTTTGAAGTTTCATGCATAGATAGCGCGGATCAAGAATGCCTGAAACGCAACTCGAACTCTGGGTGGGGCGAAGGGGAGGTGAATTGACGCCGAGCGCACTGTGACGCTCACCCACCCCGTGCTGCTTTTAAAGCTAGCTCACCTCGCACTCACCCTCGCCCACCTTTACTCACCTCCACTCGCCCACACCCAAGAAGAATTAAACGATAAAATAAAATAAAACAAGAAAAATCTAAACTGTTTTCTCGACTTTGCTCCTAGGGCCAAAAATCCTCGGACACGTAAGCTCCTAGGTGCAACCAAGTACTCGGACATGGTTCCTGGGAGTGGGAGAGTCCTGGGCCGGTCGTCGTAGGACACCATGCTCCCCAGGATGGCCCGTGCAGTACAAACCCCAGTCCCAGGACTTTCATGCTTCCAGGAACCCTGTCCTCACAGGTCCCAGGCATTTTTTCCAGGGTTTAGTTTAGTATGATTGAGGCTGTGACGCCGCTGAGTCTATTTATTCTTTACCATCTTCTTCAGCTATGCAGGAAGTCTTCCTCAGTGTCGTCGTCGCCTCGCGATATAAAATGTGCTTCCCAGAGATACGCATCCCCACCGAGCTCGCAGACGAGTTTTTACTGGGGCTGATCCTTCTCGGTTTATCCCTAGTATCAGGTTCTCTTAGGAAGGGTCTCTTTCTTTTATTCACACTCTCCTAGCCATCCTGGCACTTCTTATGTGAAGTTGTGAACAATCTCGCATTCTTCAGAAAAACAGCAGTCTTCTTCCGGCGTATAAAAGCATGAAAGACAGGATTAGTCTTGGAGGACGAATCATTCAGAGAGCTTCGTTTCGCAATGGCAGCACCAGGTATTCTCGTCAAACAACTACTAGGAAACCTTACAAGCCGAACGAGTATTCCTCAACTGAGCGCGTGTGAATCGACACTGCGCAGATTTGGGAAAGTCGAAAAATAAAGCGAGGGAATAGCCACACCATAAAGCATTACAAGACGTGTGTTCTCTTTATAATAATTCGACACTTCTAATACCCATTTTCTAGCTACACCCACGAAATGTCCGCAGCCAGGATGGCATCCTCGTGGGAAACGGTAACCAACACCATGATTGGTGTGCTCATTGGCTTCAAGAGATAGGAAAGCCGGACTCTGTTCGGGTCGTCGCAAGTTCCGGACACTTCCCACGGCCCATTGCCTGACTCTACTGGTGGCAAAGGCTTGCCGTTCAAGTATACCTGGAGTCTTTTAGGTGTAACCGCTCCCGATAAGATACCTGAAACCTCTATGACAGTGTTTCCATCAACGGCGCTCCTCTCCGCTGAGGCGCTTATCTTGAGGTTCTGCTCCTTCTGCAGACCGGATAGAAAGGATGGATTCCGGGAAATACTATCCGTTGACAGCTCTGGAGTTAGTGGAGGAGGCCGACGCTTGAGGCTCTTCTGCTCGTACGCGTAAGCGTATTGAAGGAGCTTATCATCGGTGTATGCCTTTCCAGCGAATGTCAAATTGACAGGCATTTGTTTCTGAGCCATCGTCCCCATTGGGACACTGACAGTAGGGACGCCCAAGTGCCTGATTGCTCTGTTGCCGTTTGAATACTTTATACCATTCTGTAAAGCATGCTCAGCACTCTCCACACTGAACTCTAGGTCAGCCTTGCCCACATCTGCCGCAGATGGGAACACCACAACATCAAAACCATGTTCATCCATCCATTGCTCTAGATCCCGTTTCCTCTGCGCTTCCAAAGCCTTGAGTGCCTGTTCTAAACCAGGAAGGTCAAACAGGGAGGTTTCCTTGTTGGCCTGTGCAAGGTTTGGAAGGCCTTCGTAGCTGATAAGGTTTTTCTTTTCAACGAAAAGATCTGGAATGTAGTCTTGAGGTTTGGGAAACAGTAGGCTTGCATCCGTCTTGGTCAAGTCGCTAAGCTTGCCGTCCTTGTTTGCAATAAGGAAGTCATCCCAAACCTTGGCGATAAGTACACCGCGCTCAGTAGAATTCCAATATGATGGTGCTCCAACCACATTGTTTGCCTCGTTTGAAATCGAATCGTCCTCGTAATTTGAAACCAAGGGGAAGTCGGTCTCGACTACCGTCGCACCAAGCTCTTCAAGGTCGGCACGAGCCTGTGTCCACAGGCTGATGACTTCGGGACTCACTGTGGTGCTTTTCGCATTAGGGTGTGAATCAGTTCCCCCAATGTATCGTTTGGGAACTGCAATGCGTTTATTTTTTAGTGATGCTTTATCTTGTAAGTTTGTATAGTCAATGTTCTGGCTCGAGGGAAGTTGGACGTGTGGTTGATCTCTCCAAAAGTCTCCAACACTTGATGGGTCAGGTTTGGTGATTACGTTCAGCAAGGCCAGCATGTCCGTCACTGAGCGTGCGTATGGGACCGCATCATCGCAGGTAACGTAAAGCGGCCAGAGTCCGACACAAGAAATAATGCCTCTCGAAGGGGTGTATGCAACCAAAGCGTTATTGGATGCGGGTGACCTTCCGGAGGAGACAGTTTCAGAAGCCATTCCAAAGGCCGCAAAGCTCGCTGTGGTTGAAGTAGCGGCGCCATTTGATGAGCCTGAAGAGAAGGCCGCGGTGAGGAATTCAGCATTGTAGGGGCTTTCGGCCCTACCATAAAGACCCCGTTGCATTCCCCCGGCTGCCATTGGGGGCATGTTAGTCTTTCCTATCATGATCGCGCCGGCTTCGCGTAGTTTTGATGCGACATAGGAATCCTCACTCGACATCAATCCTTCAAGCGCCGGAGAACCATTGCTCACGGTTAATCCGGCGTACTTGTAGCTGTCTTTCAGAGTGTATGGTATTCCATCTAGTGGCCCAAGACTTGAGCCTGACTGGCGGCGCCGATCAGAGGCTTGGGCTTCCTCCAGCACTTTGTCATTCATCACGGTGAAGGCATGCAAGCCGCCCTGAAAGTCATAAGTGGCGATCCGAATCAGATATCTCACAACAAGTTCAACGCTTGTAGTCGTTCCACCGACAAGCGCCCGTCGGTGATCTTCGATGCTTGCTTCGACGATACTGAACCTTTCCATGGTGAATATGGCGCTGGCATATTTGAGAATTCTGGAAGAACATCTCAATTACTGGTCTGCGCGGGCAGACGAGGGCTATATAAACGCCACAAGTATGATTCAGGGTCGTGCAGTCCCAGAGTGCTCGTAGAAGGATTGCTTTCGCTTTCGCTGGAGTGGAGAATTGCACCAGCCCTTCCCATGAGAGTGGCGAGTCGCCTTGCCGTCCACCAATAGGATCTAATATCGCTGCCATACAAATGAGTCCCATTCGCGCCAATCGGCCATTTTTGCGCTGAGATTAGCGTTTATAGCGCGGGGCCATTTGCACCACTTCTTGTTTCCCTCCCCCTTCGCAAAAGTTGAATCTTGGGTTTTGCTGGACCTCACTGTAAGAACGGAACCACCGCTGCTGCTGCTTGACGCGCGATACATACCTATCCAACTTAGAAAAATGGGAAAACGTTTGCCGCCTCCTGCGCTACGTACCAAAACAGGTTGCCTGACTTGTACATCATCTACTGAGACCATCAGCTGCGATTGTGCTTACGTATCATGTTATAGGTAGAATTCGACGAAAAAAATGCGATGAGCTCTACCCCAAATGCCTCAGATGCACTAGGTTGAAGAGCTACTGTCGGTGGCCAACTTCTTCTGAACTGATTGACGGCCGTCATGGTTGCAGACCACGACAAACATCACTGCTTGGTTTTGAGCCATCGACACAAAACCAAGTAGAAAACCTCTCGCCACCCTGTCCCTCACCACCGCCAAACGCATCCAACATTCCCTTGCAGCCGTGGTCAATATCGTCGAGTGCGTTTCGCCGTGACTTTGAATCTCTTCTTGAGAACCACTTTGCTGAGAAATACTCGCCTTTAAGATTTACACCACATTGCCGCCCCTATTATTTTCACGACTGGGTGAAAAAAACGCAAGAACTCATCCCAAAGTACAAGAGCCTCAAGTACTCTTCCCTTGCGTGTAGTGCGTCGCACATCTACCTCACCGATGGCTCCGAGCGGATGCAACAGGTGGCTTTATCGTACTACTCACAAGCCCTTGTCGAAACGTCTCAGCTACTCGAGGACGAAGGCCTCGGGATACTGCAACATTTCGACGCCTTGATCATGACGATTATACACCTCTATCTCTACGAAGTACGTGGGCCGCCTTTCGTTCATTGATGTTACAGACTGACGATGTAGAACAGTCTCTTGGAATCGGTGACTACAAGCATGTTTCCCACCACATTGCTGCAGCGACCACCATCCTAAGAATGCGGCTCGATGTAAAGAGTCAAGACTTCGGAGCAAATCCTCTAAATTTGATCGCTCTCGAAAGCATAATTCACCAGGTGTTTACCACGTCCTTGGGCTCTTGGTCTGATGTCCACGCGAATCGTTTCTCTCGCCCAGGCCAGGAGCTTTGGCTGCTTGCAGAACAAGTCTTGCACCAATCCGGACCCGTCCAAGGCAAGTCTTTCGATCTGAACAGTCCTGTCCTTGGGTTACCTCTGAATTTATTTAAATTCGTTGTATCCGTAACGCAAACCTTCAGGAGCACTAGGCAATCGCAAGCAGAAGTTTTGAAGGATCTTAACGATGAGCTGGAGCAATGGACCATCACAATACTGCACCAAAACCGACTCCAAAGCATTACGGCAAACGTTTTCCATGATAAAAGGTGCAGGATATATAGAGATACCGCCAATCTGTATATATTGGCCGCATCTTTGCTTCTTGGTGAAATAACTGGGAATTCTAACTCACCCAATACCCTCCCGAATACTCTTCCTAGTGATTGTTGGCAGGTGAGAAAAGCAATCGCCATCATCCGGGAGCACAATTCCGACGATGACTGGAGCAAGTATTATGTTTGCAACTGGCCGATTTATACGTTGGGGTTCTTCCTGACTGATGCTTCCGATATGGACACCGTCCGTCGTGAATTGGAGCATAGGTGGACGCTCACAGCCTCTGCGCATTCTCTGCGCCTGCTTCACGAGCTAGAATCGGTGTGGGTGGGGGGAAGAAGCTCAATGCTTAGCCTGCCCGGCCAGAAAACCGTCGCTTCCAGTTCACCACCTTCAGCTCCATCTTACTCTGCCCTCCTGTGTCCTATTCCAGATTACATGCGAACTTCGACTAGTCATTGCTCGGACAGTTAAAACTTTAGACATTTCAAATTAAACACCACCAAAGGGACCAGGTTGGCTCAGGAGCTGCAACGAGGGCAATGTTGCAACCTGCACCGGTTCGGACCTAAGCACGACTGCTTATTCATTGACTATTGACCAAAGCGAGCCAAACTTCTCTGTGGAGTTCCAATTCGAGATTCATCTAGTTCAGTAATCCTGGGACATAAGGCTGGAAAACAATTGTTTTAAAATCAATTCTTGAATATGTCCAAGGAGATTAAGAGCCTGGAGAGCAAGTGAATGTAGGTGACTTCGCAATCAACACACATGGACTTGACGAAAGGTGTTGAGCAGGTGTCTTTGCCGCGCTCGACTGTCCTGGATGCAATTGTGGATTCTAGCACCACCTGCTTGGCGTCAATTGCCATCCCGTCCCATAATTTAGAGGTTCATACTGTTCAAACCGAGCCAAAGCCCCAGCACTCGGCCTGTTGGTACTTTGCCTTATCTCAACTCAATCCAACCAGGCCATTATTGCAGCGATTCCAAGAACTGCTGAGGTTTAATCGACGCTTATCTACTGTCATCCTCTTCAGATAGACCTGATCGACGACTTCATACGCCTTCTGGACCGACGAACCAGATTGGCGTAATTGCCGTTGATTCGCCAGGACCCGAGACGAGGCAGCGCATTTAGACATGATTGGGCAGGGTGCATCGCCAGCCCGGTGGCAAGCTCCTTCGTCCATTGAAAGGGGCATACACTGACAGTGTCATTAGATAGAATACACGGAGTACATGTATTTATACCTCACAACACGCCCCGTGGCAGGAATACTTTGTCTCATTCTGCCCTCCTCTATCGTTTGTACCCAAAGCTCTTCTGTGGTTTCAACAATTCATTCCTCAAAAATGGCGTTAAACAAAAAGTTACGTCTTACGCGCCCTTTCAACCAAAATTTTGCCGTGGCTTGGTAAGTGGCCCATGGCAGCATTCGAGCACTTCAAGCTTATCTTACTAATACTCCTTCAGCATGTTGTTCTGTCTGCCCGGGATGTACAACGCCATCACCGGACTGGGCGCTGGTGGTGGAAAGCCATCGTCCCTAGAAGTCGCAAACAATGTTAACGCAATCATTTACGTCTTCCTTGGCTTCGGCTCGCTGGTCGTTGGATTTCTGCTCAACAAGCTAACCCCGAAGGTCTGTCTGATGATTGGTGCAACAGGGTACCCCCTTTACATAGGCGGCCTCTGGTACTATGACCGGTCGGGAAACCAATGGTTTGTCTACCTCGCAGGTGTCCTTAACGGAATCTCCGGCGCTTTTCTGTGGGTTACGGCTGCTTTTGTTCAATTTTCATATCCCGAGGAAAAAAATAAGGGTCTGGTGAGTTACTCTTCCTAAATCATCCCGGCCCCACATCTACTGAACAGACCCCAGTATATCAGTATGCAGTGGGCTATGCGATCCGTTGGCGCAACGTGCGGATCATTCATTGCGTTTGGCGCCAATTTCCACGCGACCAAGGCTGTCGGAGTGTCAACTCCCGTGTACGTGGCTTTCATTCTTATTCAGTCTGTTGCGTTCTTCATTGCATTGTTTTGTATCGTCGACCCGGAACGGATAGTGCGCGACGATGGGACACACATTGCAATTTTCCAAAAGGTTGGGATCGTCCAAGAAATCAAAGGCCTTTGCAAAGCTGCAATCGACACGCGTTATATCATTCTTGCCATCCCAATGTTCTGCTGTGAGATGGCCCTAGGTCTTCTAAGCAGTGTGAACTCGAGGTCCTTCAATCTTCGCACCAGGGCCCTCAACAACCTGTCTTTCAACATGATTCAGATGTTCCTTCCACCACTTCTGACGCTCATCCTGGACAACAAATACATCAACTCCCGTCGCGCTAGGGGATACATGGGCGTGGCCCTGACGGGAACCATCGCCTCTGGTGGTGCAGCGGGCCTTATCGCCTGGATCGAGCTTAATAAGATCGACGAGTCTTCGAAACCCAGGGCCTGGGACTGGACTGACGGAATGCGATGGGGACCTCTCTTCGTCTGTTACCTGTGCTTTGGCTGCACGTATGCAGGTTACCAGATGGTCACCGAGTATACATTATCCTCCACGACCAATGATCCTGAACAACTGTCCAAAGTTGCTGGTCTCTTCAAATTCTACTCAAGCCTTGGAATGTTCTTGTCCTTTATCATGGCGGGCCAGCACGTGCCATTTTATGGCCAGGCAAGCGTCCAACTTTGGTAAGAGTTTTCCTGCTTTTCACGCACTCGATCCATTATAGGCTAACATTTCCTATCCAGCTTGTATTTCTTGGGCAGTTTCTGCATACTTTACATTCTCTGGCGGAAGGTTCTGGAAACCAACTACTTCAGCGAAACAAATGTTATCGTTCCCCATGCCATCGAGGAGCACGCGAGGTTGGAAGGAAAGATCGTAGATACGGGCGCTCAAGAGCAAACCACAGGGGCTGAGGAGATTAAAACTATCAGAGAGAAGGCCACGGGTAACTGAACCAAGGGGGGGAGCAAGAAAGGTTGTGTGTAAAGTTTGATTGGAAAGGATCTTGTGTGTGTCATGGCGTTGGGATGACTTCTGCGGCAATGTACAAGTCGCGACCCACGCTGGCGTAACAGCTTCCGGCCACGGTGAATTGGGAACTCGGCGAAGACCATGACGCTGATATCTTTGATGCTGACGCCAGCTTCATCAAGTAGCTGTAGGACCGCACAAAGCGTCTGCCCCTTACAAAGCACATCGTCTACCTGGGGATCAAATCCTGCTCCATCCTGATCCGCTCCTCTTCCGAATCGTTGAATGCCAGAGATGAGATATGCGATGGAGATTTGATGGCGGACTAATAAGCCGGGAAAGCTTGCCGACTTCGCGAGTAAGCACCAGGGGCATATCGATCTGCGAGGCCAACGTTGAGATATAGACACAGCCTGCGGCCTCGCAACACACCACCACGTCGCCTTTGGCCTGGTCACCAGTAAAGTGGGTTTACAATAGAGACGTGCCCAGGGCCAGCCTAACTGGCTATTGGACTTGTGAGCACCTAGCGGAGCTCGATACCTGAGCGTAGGAAGCCGGGCACTAGGCGCACTATATTGGCTAGTCGCTGCAGGCCCTCATAGAGGAAGGGAAGTAGGTAATGTCCAGCAAACCTTTTTACTGCCTCGTTTGCAGTCGTGTTATTGTGAAAGATAAGTCTAGGGCGAGAGTTCAAGGTTGTTAAATCAGCTAGGTTGCTAATCATTGCTGCGCGTCTTAGAGCGCGGAAATGATGTTATTAATGACTTGTTGTGGATGTGAGATACTTTGGCCTATAAGTGATCTAGTAACTAAGTAGATTAATTCTATTAGCGAAGTAGATGGAAGGTCAATAACGCTTCTTGGATTTATTCTCCTAGTCCTTTAAAAGACGAAAGTGCCTGCGTTAGCAGAACAGATTTAGAAAAGATATTTAGAGGTACATGGAACAATCAATGTCGAGCCATTTTCGAGATTGAGAGTCTCTCGGTGAGTGGTTGTGGCTTAAAAGGCATTGACAGCCTCGTTCTGCATCGGCATCATGAAACTTGAAGAGGTCCACTCAAAGTCGCATTATGTAAACATCCTACAAAGCGGCATCACTCGTGCTCTGAAAGGGACTAAACTACACGCCATTTTAGTGCCGCCTTCTCCTAGGCTGGCCGTTGTCCCCCGCAACGACCATGTCAACAAAAGGATCTTGACCGGCTTGGCCATAGAATATCCTGCATACACGAAGCACACACATAGCATTTCCGAGTGAGAGTCATACTTGAAGCACGAGATCTAGACCCTGCATCAACATAAAACCATATCATAATCTCGAACCAGCAAGAATACGGATACATCGGCAATACTTTGACCACAATTACAGCCCGTGCCACCGACAAAAAATCCCAGGGACCACCCAACAAGCCCTGCCGAGCCCAGCAGACAGCTGCCAGGCCACGGCGATGGTACTACTAACATCATCGGCCGTCTCGGTGGTGATATCGAGCAGCGTAGTGTGCACATTCACGTTCCTGCTCTTCCTGTCCGGCTACGTGCTACAACAACAGACGGTCCGCTCACTGCAGGAAGCGATACGGCAGCCCGCGGAGAGAAAACCCGTGCCGACGCTACCTGCGAAGTTCCGGCATCAGGAGAACGAATCGGTCGAGGCGGTTGTCGGTGGTGGTGGCGAGTCGTTGGATGGATCCGGCGCGCCGCTCGTCGTGATTGAGGAGCCGCTGTCGCAGCGCTCAAGGCAAGGGCAGGGGATGCTGCAAGTCACGGTGCCGGTCGAGGTCGGTCGGCAGAGTCAGCAACAGCAACATCAGCAGCAGCAGCAATTGGGCGATGTATCGCCGGAGAGGAAGGATCGAGATGCTGTTCAGGGATCAGGAGATGATCCGTTATACGAGCGACTGGCGTATATGTTTGCATTGCTGCAGCCGTCCGATCTTTGCTCTGCACTGTTGTTCACACAAGAACATCGAAAGGCTTCGTCACTTGCTATACAGCCGTCGGTCGTGCTGCTGTATCCCTCGACTTGGGAAACAAGCTCGGATGAACAACACACTTCAGTCTTGAAATTGATGAGGGGGGTCCAGGAGCTGTACGACCTTGTATACCATCCCGTGCAGATGACTGAAGGGTTTGAGGTGAATGCTCAACTTCTTGGAGAGTTACAATGGACTCGATGGGATTATGATCGGGCACTGTACCTTCGATCGCCGGGACTGGCGATCAATATGGCCGCCTTAGACGAAGCGCTGGCGTCATCTGTTCTACGCAAATCCTGGGCGCCGTTGAGTGCGGCAGCTGGTAATAATCCAGATGTGCTACTTTACACCACCAAAGGGCTTCAGAGTCCTAGAAAAGAGTTGAGAAACTTGGTTGCTTCCGCTGCTGTCTCCGAGGCCTTTGAGGATCCAGCATATGCAGAATCGCGGGCTCACAAATCGGCCTACGTTCTTCTAGATGAGCCGCTGCTCCTTCACAATCAGGGTGAAGATGATTGGACGCGACGTATATTGAACCGCTTCAACCACGGGAGGCGAAGTGTATGTGCGGGTAGTGGAATCCTGGAAGATATGGAAGGCAATTGATCGACATGTACGTTTGTAAATAATAGGCATAGGCGGCGCTTGACGATAAAAACGACAACCCATATAGCAAGATGAATGAATGTCATAGGTTTTGAAGACGATCTGGATTCTAGGATTTTTTCTGGATTTTGTTGGGGTCTTGATAGTCCCACTTTACAGGGCCTCTCATTCTTTGACCCTCTGACTCAGTTCGTTGCTTTGACTGTGAGACACAGAAGTCGTGTGACAAGCTTGTCTTGGACGATCCATGTAACGTACTGCCATATACACGCCAATACCATTATCGCAATGACCTCCAGCCGACTTAGAAGGAATTTGCCACCTTCCTCTGCGGTGAAGTTGGCGCCTGTAGTGATTTCACATTCAGCAAGACCCTTCTCGTAGTCTGCCAGGGCATTGTACTTGCAAGCTTCGCATTCAGCAGCCATTTTCGTTCGCGAATAGTGCATGTAGGGGATGAGAAAGGAGCAGAATAGTACCAGGGACACAAGCTGAATGGTCGTATGGAGCATGTTGCGAGTGATGCGACCTGGCTTGGCTGCAAGTGTGTGCCAGGAACTTGCAGGCGCGGTGGTCTGTGTGTGGAGAGGTTTGACCGGCGGATGAGTGTTGATCATTCGCCGGTCATTGTAGTGTGAGAAGGGAGATATAGATCGATCTTCATTCTGCACTCTTCTCTCTCTATCCTCTTGCCGTTCTTCGTCCCCAACAGCAATACGTGAAATTGAGGTGCGGTGTTGTAAGCCATGGAGTGCCTGACAATCGTCGGGGGTGACTGAGGAGTGCATATTCGAGGAAGCTTGGATGGAGCCGGGTTGTATTTTCACTGTGATAAATATCTGCATTGGAATAGAGATAGGATGGGCGTCATGTTGATGATGGTGGATCAATGACCGCGGGTGATGGATGTGTTGACTTCCCCAGACCACTTGACATTATGGCTCCCACTACATTTTGGGTGAGCGGGTGAACAGGTAGGCACTTACCTCCATCCCCGTTGCTCCTTCCTCATCATTGAAAGCGAGGGAGCATGGCAGGCAGGAGCACATCTCGGTCTTTGCTTCCACAGTGATCAATCCAAAGACTCAGATCTTTAGCCAGGCTCAACAACCACAATCAAAATACCTGGGATTGATTGTGATTATTATTGTTGATCATCCCCATGCCCATGCGCACGTATTGGATTCCAAATATGTACTGGGGCAATCGCGGATAACATCAGATACGATATGGTTCTCACTTGGATGCCCCAGCATGGTTCTGGCCTGTTCAAGCTGTTGTGGAAAGACTGCATTCGGATTAATATCCGCATGAACCTCGGTCTCTTCCGACTCGACGACTTGAAATTGAAGTTTGTGATCATAAGTGAAACTCGTATCCGTATCCGTTCCGTCCGACGTTTAACTAGAGCGTTCCAAATACCTTAGCAGCGACTACGGCCGAATCCCGTGTCGGCTAGGCATGCTTGTTACCTCAGCATTTTTGATTGCAATTGTGACCACCAAATGCCCAATACAGTGAGGTGGCTTCGTATGGCACTCTTGGAAGTCTACCAAGGATTCCTAAGAAATTGGCAAAGGTGCTGACCAACGCGCGTAGACTTGACGTTTTCCAATTTGATTTGGTCTGGTCTGATGGTGGCTTTACAGCTGTTCAATGGGGTGTAGCCCGTAGCAGGTGCCAAAGGCATGCTTAGTCATTGAACCAGGAAGGACACCGAGAGGCTGCAAGCCACCCGGGGATCCAGGGATGGTGAGGGATGAATGACAGTTTGTTTCAACGGCCGAGGGGTCTTTCCGAGCCCCTTCACCTATGATGGTCTTTTCCTCTCTTCACTAACCCATGACGTTTGCATCCTTGGTCCTGCATCACCACTGCACATGCCTCGTTCCTAGCGGTAGTAGTGCCTTTGTCATGCCAGCCACAACTTCACTCACCACACGGTAAGGATAATTTGAGATAGCAATCAACTGACCTCTCACTTCAGAACATATATCTTGTGCTCTTCCTGTGCTTGTTCATGAAACCCTCCATTCTCATCAAACCCCGTGTTACCTGCTTGACCATCCACCGTTTACCCATCTCTCTCCATCACCATTATTACTCTCGAGTACCATCCTATCGCGTTCATCACCATCCTCGATCATTCGCAATGACCACCTCCAAGTCCGCAAAGTCCCTCATCCCCTCTGACCCCGCAAAGGTCATGGTCATTCGAGACATCACACCCACCATCACTACCCTGAGCGTTCCGTTTCTACGATTCGGTCACATCAAGGTTGGCGGTCGTGGAACATTGGTCAAACTCCAGACCGGCAATGTCGCAGTCTTCTCTCCCGTCGCATTGACCCCTGCGGTCAAGGACAAAGTGCGGGCCTTGGGAAATCTCAAGTACATCGTCGCACCCGACATCGAACACCATATCTTCCTCTCTACCTGGGCTGCAGAGTACCCCGATGCCGAAGTCATTGGAATGGAAGGTCTGCCAGAGAAAAGAGAAGGAGATGAAGCCACCAAAGGACTCAAATTCTCCCACGTCTTCTCCCAGAGTAACAAACTCGACCTCAAGATCTCTCCCGAATTCGACGCCGAGTTCTCTTCGGAGTACTTCCACTCCCACGCCAACAAAGAACTCGTCTTCCTCCACAAGCCCACCCGAACCTTGATCGAGGCCGATCTTCTCTTCAACCTCCCGGCCACCGAACAATTCTCCAAGACTGGCGTTGATGCCACTTCAGGCATCTTGACCAAGCTGTTTGGCGGTCTTATGAACACCCGCGGCGACATGGTCTGGCAAAAGCGCTTCTTGTGGTATGCAGCTGGCGGTAAAGACAGACAAGGCTTCACCGCCTCAGCCAACAGAATCAAGGCTTGGGATTACGACCGAGTCATCCCTTGTCACGGAGACGTGATCGAGACCGGCGGCAAGACCATCGTTGATAGAGCCACTGCCTGGTTCACCGAGGGCAAATGAATGCCTTTCGCTCGGATTTCCTTACCGTGTACCTAGATAGTCCACTTGTCTTGTCTGATACCCCACAACAAAAATGGAGCAGTCGAAGGAATGGCGTTGGGTTGGATCGGTTGGCCCTGGAGCGAGTTGTTGTGTGTATTCAATCCTCAAGTTCAGCATTTTCCATTGTTGCTAGACATACCTGCTTTCACTTCACAAAAAGTGCAATGAGCATGATAATAATACCTAATTCCCATCAGCTATGGTTTCATTTTCCTGGTATCAATTTAGACTACAAATTTGTGAGTTGTCGCGTTCTTGGTGGCAGTGGTTTTGCGGAATCTCTTTCACGCGGCGGCGTCCAGCGTTACCATCCTCTCAGCTGGTCATGGATCCCGCAGAGCACTGGTCGAGTCAATCCAGCAGACAAACCATCGCGCTTTTCTTTCCTTTGTAACCAAATATTGAAGCGGTGAAAGTCCTTCCACGTACTTTGCTGCCCACTCAGCCTTGCGCACACGTCATACGTCATGGCTGAAGCCCAGATGATTTCTCCACCAACCACCGAAGCGAGCACCCTCGCTTACAGCCAAGATTTACCACTCCACCATCATTCGTCACGAATTACGAACGACTTTCTTGACTTGCCAGTGTTGTCAAGGAATAATGACCCCCCATCCAGGTTAGTCACGACGAAGGGGAAAAAACTGGTCTACGTAAGTTGCTAGGTAGGTCAAGATCCAAATGAATGAGTGGTGCAATCTTCCGCTAGAGGGGGAGTGGGAAATTCCAGGATTTCCATCGCCAATGACGCCGTGCCATGTTTTAATCGGCCCCCCCTTAGCGACTGGGGCGTCGTAGGGCTCGGCGAACTTCAAGTTGACACACGCGTTGTTGGGTCACGCGGATTTGCTTGTCACACCCCGTTGGTGGCACGAATCAAACGGGCGCAGATCGCCTTGGGTCGACGGTGCCTCGTTGGCGCCAGAGCGATGAGTTCATTGTTGTCACTGGGGGTGGAAAAAAGAGGGTAGGTTTGTTGGCACGCTGGTGCTGTGAGTGGAAATGATGCCGGGAAAACGATACGAGGCTTGAAAATCGCATTTTCCTTGATTTGTTCCCTGGTCGAGATCGATCATTTAAGAACCTGACTTCAGAGCCTTTCAAAGAGATCAGTTTTCTTTCCCAAATCCATACGACTTGTTGGCATTTGTCTTGCCATTGCGCACCATCCTTCCGCCTCTACACATATCACACCAGTGAAGCGATACCTCCGTCAAGATGCCTGTCATCTCCCGAGTTGTGTCTATGATCCTTCGCGCTGGCGAGTTGGCCTTCGCAGGAGTGAGTGATATCCTATACTGTCGTTCTGAGATCCATTGAGCTAACCAGGTCGAATAGATTGTCGCGGGCGTGGTTGGCAAATACCTCCACGACTACCGCTCAGGCAGTGCACAACCACTGGCCCGCTTCATCTACATTGAGGTTCTCGCCGGAATCTCCCTCCTCCTCGGTCTTCTCTGGCTCCTACCATTTTCATCTGGTTTCGTCCATTGGCCTGTCGACGTCTTTATCTCGGTCGCTTGGTTCGCCGCATTTGGTATTCTTGTCCAGTGGCGCCACAATTCACAGGGTTCATGTGCAGGCGGTACTTTTCCTGGGAACAGATCTCCTTCAACGGAACTTGCGGTAGATGGAGAGCAACTGAAGCTTTCTCGTTCTTGTCAGCTATCTTCTGGCTGGTCAGTGCCTTGGTAGGCATTTGGTTTATTCGCCGTGAGAGGCGCAAGGCTGCTCCTGTCGCTGGAACGTAAGCATGAACTACGAATACCTTGGTCGTGTTTCAGCCGCTGACTCCAATTAGCTACACCCGCCGTCGCTGGTTCGGCCATCGTCGCTCAGCTGTTTAAGTTGCAACTACGTAAACGACAACAACGGTAGGATACAATGGTAGAAGGTGTGCTGGAATATTGGAGATACCCCATGTCGTGATTTTTATGCTGGTCCTGGCAGGAGTCTTTTGGGTGGATGAGATATCTAAATTTGACGAAGCTCGACGGGAACGATGTGATGATGTACTCATAATAAGACGAGATAGCAATGAACTTATATTATACCCCATATGCTCTATGTTGATATGATATTATCTTCACCCACCTTGACTATTGAGCCTTGCATATCGAAAGGAGGCAGAAATTGTTAAAGCGGCAAGTGGAGGCGAGTGCCAAGACTGACAAGTGCAGCCTCGCGGAGGTTGCGACTGCCCAGTTGGCCGACTCCAAAAAGCTGGGAAATTTCGTGAAAGGAAAGCTGCATCACCATCTCTCCGTATCTTGACACCATCTTGTCTGTTCATCTTGCACTTCTTACCTGTGCTATTCTACACCTTTAATTCTTCTCGCACACGATTAATACTCTCTATTATCCTTTTGCTGGAAACACCCCTGATCCCTTCACCTCACTAATCTCTTCATCACCAATCCATCTGTCCGCCATGGTTCAGACATCCACAGTTATCACGATATCTGTCGGGACGGTGATCACCGGCGCCCTTGGTAATTTCTCCTCTGGAATGCGTCGCATCCAACAAGTTCTCGACTAATTTGTCGATAGCATATGCTGTATACTTTGACTACAAACGAAGAAATGACCCTGAATTCCGAAAAGCCCTAAAACGAGAGTCGCGCCGTCAAGCCAAAATAGCCAAGGAAGAAGCAGAGATTCAAGGAAAGCAGCAAAGGGAAGAAATCAAGGCAGCTGTTCAAGAAGCCATCGAAGAAGGATTTCCCACCGACGTCGAGGAGAGAGAAGCATTCTTTATGCAACAAATAGCTCAGGGTGAAGCCCTAGCAGGTGACGGTAATGGAATCACACCTTTCACTCTTCCTCCGAGCATGGCACTGACAGTATTTAGGATCGGACCCAGTCGCTGCTGCTCTGTGTTTCTACAAGGGCCTCAAGGTCTACCCCGAACCCTCCTCGTTGATCGGCATCTACGATAGTACCGTACCTAAAGAAATCCTCGAGATCCTCGCATTGATGGTTGCTCAAGATAAGAGCTTAAAGGTGGGTTCATTTGGAGCTGGACGGGACGGATCACCTTCGGACGGACCTGGTGTCGAGTAGGATCCTACGTGGAGATTGATCAGAATTGTACCAACAAGACTTTCCAACGAAAGATAATTCTGCTTGGGCCTGCAGACTGGTGTGGGCACATTATTCAGGGAGAGCCCGGATGAATCTCGCCTCTTTGTACGACTGCTGTATATCATCCACTGCGTAGAGGCGCAGTTCCTTTCCGAGCGATAGGGCATGGTTATGAAAAGACGTATGCCTGGACATTCTTCAGTGATCTCTCGTTTGATCAGCTTACTACAAATGAAAAACTCTCAAATCTTCTACTTGGTCGATCATTTCAAATGAGTGGGAATCTATTGCTCAAAGGTTGAGTTCTGCTCCATCCACGATACGGACTCATCACGCCAAAGGTACGGTTCAAGGATGGGAATGATCTCTTCATCCTATCGCACGAGTTGTAGCTTACCCGATTTCTGATCAACATGACCTTTGCAGCAGAGCTAGAGGGTTAGATTCACCATTTCAACCAGTGGATACAGCCAGCTGGCAACCATCAAGAGTGAACCATCTAGCTCGTTGGCTTCACTTGATACACTGCCCACCAAGTCGCGGAGCCGCTCGGTCACACAAGTAATGTGTCCCTCAAGATCTGATTCAATCTGCCATCTGACAGTGCCGCGATCCTTTTTCTCGGCTCCGCATCGTCGTCACTCGATCTCAAACATATAACTTGATTGATTCCCCAAATATCCCACGTGTTATCAACCAAATCATCCAAGAGACATCGACCCGGTCCGGTTTCAGAGCCGGTCATGGCTCATGTCATTGAAAGTCGTGATACGTAACTGGACGCCAATATCCGGTCACGACTCGAGCACTGCGGATAGCTCCGACCAAGGTTTATCCTCCGTCTCAACCTTACCATTGGAGGAGATGGCTTCCACTTTATATCCTCGACTTGCCCTTCACGGTTTGCTCTCATGTCTGTCGAAAGGCGCACCGTGGATTTCTTGGTAAGTTGGGCTAACTGGCATGATGCGGAACGGTGAGATTTTCTGAGTTCCCGTAACTGCAGCACTGTCGCAGTAGTCTTCTTCAATAAATAGATGGTTCGAATGTGATAGTGCTCAAGCATCATATCCTAAATTTAAAGGGCACTGGGGAAGTACTAGTGGAAAGGGTAATTCACGAATACAGCAATATGGCGTCCTCCTCAAGGCCACATCCCCTTGATCCGTTAACACCACAGGAAATCGCAACAGTATGTATCCGACCGAGAACTTGCTGGGAGTGATACCTAACATCGTCAACAGACTGCAGACCACGTCCGGTCCGCATTCGCAGGGCAAGATGCATACTTCCGAGTCATCACTTTGTCCGAGCCTGCAAAGACCGAGATGACTTTGTTTCTGGACGCAGAGCACGGTGACGGAGGACAGGTGTTGCCATATCCAGCGCGATTGGCGATGGTCCAGACCTTTCTGGGGCCCCGTAACAGTGAGAATTTCTACCAGCTCAAAGTCAATGTCGAGTCTGGGGAGATTGTTCACAAGGAGCGACTGACTGGCTGCCATCCTCATGTCGACGCGAATGATATGCAAAAGACGGAACGTGCCTGTCTGGATGATCCACAAGTTCAAGAGGCTATCAAGAATTTGAGATTGCCTGAAGGTGCGATCATCAAGATTGAGCCTTGGACTTATGCTACTGATGGGATGAATGATATGAAGCAGAAGATCACTATGGTATGTCTACACTGTCGACTTTCGTTCTTTCATCTGCCGCGCGGTGACCTTCATATCTAATTGACGGGAATGAATAGTGTTATTTCTATATGCAACTCATCACGCACCCAGACGCGAATCACTACGCTTACCCCTTGGACCTTGTGGTAGAAATGTCCGGAGATGCTCAGGTACTCAAGATCTACTACCTTCCACAAGGCACTTCGAACGAGATCAGCACCATGGCCACACCATACAACACGAAGAAAATCCTTGATTCGAGTATTGAATACCACCCGGATCTGGTTCCAAACCACCGCACGACCACCAAGCCATATCACGTCTCTCAACCCGAAGGTCCATCTTTCCAGGTCAAGGGCAACCTCATAACTTGGGAGAAATGGAGATTTCGGGCCGGCTTCAACTATCGCGAAGGTCTCACTCTGCATGATGTAAGATATGATGGCCGGAGTCTCTTCTATCGACTGTCACTTTCCGAAATGTTCGTCCCCTACGGTGATGGCCGTATGCCATACAATCGAAAGGCAGCGTTTGACCTAGGCAATGACGGAGCGGGTGTCAATTCCAACAACTTGCAACTCGGGTGTGATTGTCTCGGTCATATCAAATACTTTGATGGCTGGCATACTACCAGCGACGGCACACCGATCCAGATCCCAAATGCGGTGTGTTGCCACGAGGTCGACGACGGGATTCTGTGGAAGCACACCAACTTCCGAACTGGCAATGCTGTTGTGACACGTTCACGGGTTCTGGTCCTCCAGACCATCATAACTGTAAGCAACTATGAATACATATTCGCGTTCCATTTCGGACAAGATGCATCCCTGCACTACGAAGTCCGCGCCACGGGTATCGTCTCAACAGTCCCAATAAATATCGGCGACAATGTCCCCTTCGGCACAACTATCGCCCCAGGCCTAATGGCACCCTACCATCAACACATCTTCTCCCTCCGCATCGACCCGGCCATTGCCGGATACAAGAATTCTCTCCTGGTAGAAGAATCCCATCCAATGCCACTCCAAGACCCCAAAGTCCACAACCCCTTCGGCATCGGGTACACGACGACCTCACACATCGTGTCGGACGAATCCGGCCTGGACCTCGACCACACGGTCAACCGAACGTTCAAAATCATCAACGAATCCGTCATCAACCCGATCACCAACGGACCGGTCGGGTTCAAGCTCGCACCCTTCTACAGCCAAATGCTGCTGGCGCACCCGTCGTCGTACCACGCCAAACGCTCCGAATTCGCGGCCCACGCCGTCTGGGTGACGCGGTATCACGACGACGAGCTGTTCGCGGCCGGCGCACACACCATGCAGTCGCTGGGCGGACAGGGCATTGCGTCGTGGATCCAGAACCGCAAGGATCAAGAAGGCGGCCACCACTCCAGCGTCCGCGACCAAGATATCGTCGTCTGGCATTCCTTCGGCTCCACCCATAATCCCCGCGTCGAGGATTGGCCCGTCATGCCGTGTGAAAAGATGACCGTTGGGCTCAAGCCCGTCAATTTCTTTACCGCCAATCCGGCCATGGATGTCGCCGTGTCGACGCAGGAGCGGAATCGGAGTGTTTTGGTTGATGGGGCTGGTGGACCGGCTTTGACGAATGGCCATTGTGCGAGATGATGTGTTCTCCGTTCAGGAATGTTTATCGGGCCGCCGTTGATGATTTGATTCTTCTTTTTTGATTCCTAGTTGTTTATTTATTGTATCTGGCTGGTTTCGACTACGTGCCTACGGATCTGCATCGCTTTTCGCGTTCGATTCCCAGCTAGCATAGATATATATATATATATATATATCCAGTACAGACAACAATAGAACCCCATATTTAACTGACACGAGGAGGAGGAACGCTATAATAACAAGCCTAAACCAAAAACACAAGCATAATAGTAGCTCTCATCCCTCATAAGTATCTAGTTCGGTATATATATCACCAATACGGATTCCCACCACCGATAAGCGAGCTCCCACTCTGCGTCCGCAGCAAGATCCTTGAAAAATCCAACGCCCCCAAACCCCACAACGCAAGCACCGTCCCCAACGACGACAAAACCGCGACAAGAACGAGCAGCACGCCGTTCCGCTTCCTGACCTGCGCACCGACATCGCCGAGCCACAGGCGCTCGCCAAAATCCTTTCTCGCAACCCGCAGCCCCGGCAGGCCGTCCAGCGACCGCCGGTTCCAGTTCGCGCGGTACTCGTGCATCGTCGCGTTCTCGATCTGCTTGCCCGCCCAGTGGCCCAGCGTCTGCCGGTCTTCGAGGTAGGGGAGTTGTTTGGAGGCGTCTTTCGGGTCGGGCTTCAGCGACAGGTAGGGGACTGCAAAGCCGCATGATGTTTGGGCCTGTGTTGCAGAGTGTGAGTGAGTAGGTGAGATGTGGATTTGTGTAATTGGTCGAGAGAGGGATGGGAAGAGACATCGAAGATAAGTAGATGAGTGGTCAACCTCGTTCATCTCCTCATCTCCCTCCTTCTCACACACATGATCTTCAACTCCCATAGAAAAGAAAAGAACAAAAGGGACCCTACCTTATAAACATCCAACACGACGACGGCCCTCGCGCCCGTGACCTTCTTCCCACCCATACGCTCCAACCAGCCATCAAACCCAACATCATTCCACGCCACGACGCGGCCCGTGCAGAAAAACCGCATGATGCGGGGACTGGTGTCGAACGAGCAGAACATGACGGTGCAGCGGCCGTTCTCCTGGATGTGCGAGATGGTCTCGATGCCGGAGCCCGTAGCGTCGACGTACGCGCACAGGTTCGGCGTCAGGATGCTGAATGATGACGAGGGCAGACCCTTGGGTGACAGGTTGATGTGTTTGCCATGCAGGGGCGCCGACGCTACGAAGAATACTTGTTGCTTCATCGCCCATTCTGCTAGGTCTGGTGAGATTTCGGGGAAGAATTTCACCATTGTTAACTGATGTGATGGTTGGGAGTGAGAGTGGCGGTGCTAGGAGGGGATGGAACTACAGCAGATGAAGGAGGTGAGATGGTGTAGGGGAGGATCAGGGTCCTGTGTTTCTATATCCTACATGGAGGTGAAGCGGAGAGGAGAGAGTATCGTTGGTCAAGGCACCAACTTTATGTGAGTGGTGCGCCGTGTGCGTGCGTGTTCGGTTAATTGAACTTGGCCGAGATACGGAGTACAGCGTAATGAAGGTAGATAGTAGATATGATCCTCACTGAAAGGTTCAACTTAGAGAAAGGGCCAGTGGTGCTACGCCAGTCATAGAGTTGTAGACGTAGTAGGGACAATACAGAAAACAGCAGTCAACATGAGACTTAAACTGTGGATCATGTCCTCTGCCCAGCGAGAAAGATACCTAGTAGGTATAGAGCAGTAAGAGTGGGAAGGATGGGTGCGTAGGGTACGAGATGCCGAGCGTAGTTCTCCTTGGAAGTAGATAGTTTCGAAAATAATAAAACTTACCAAACGCGGGCTCGAACTCGATTTCTCACTCACCGAACAAAAGATTTGATGATACTAAAAAGGATACAATCAAATCTCATATCAACTATATAAAATATCCAAAAAAAAGTCGACCATTAGACAAGTGCAACCCTTCGCGTATCTTGCCACGGTGTAGTCTCACGCCGCCAACTCCGGGTGGAAAAGTCTCTGCAGAATTGCTTCCCTCAAGGGTCATTTCCATTGCTTAGCGTTCCGTAGCGATCGTGGTTTACACACACGAGTACGAAGAACGACCCGAAATTCCGAGTGAGGCACGCATGTACAAGTGGGTGTGTGAAGCAACGACCCGCACCTGATAGAAAACGGCCTTCTTTCATTATGACCACGACAGCCAAATGCCAAGACTGGGGAGAATCATTATATACTGCGAAAATCAAGTCACGTGTTGCTTCTGCGGAGGAATGCTTCGGGATGTCCTTTGATTCACCATGTCTGTACTTTCTACTGTTTAGTGCTTACTGTAAGTATTATCACCATCGGACCGTCTATTCATGGGCGATCATGACTAATGTAACATTCGAGCATTTGACCGTACCAGCCTTGTATACATGGGCAGCGTCTCACTATCCAGAGGGCAGAAGACCTCAGTCCTATTCCATCAGCTCCTGAAGCGGCTGCATGGCTTACATACGAATGCGGAGCTATCGTTAGTGGTGGCAGAATGCCCGGTTGTGTTAGCAACTGTTCCGATCAGCAACCTAGCCAGCTCATACGGACGTAAATGCGAGAATAAGCTGTGCTAATGCTTACCGTAGACATGCGGTAAGGCAGGCAGGAGATCTGGGGAATGGGACCTTGAGATCTTGTTGCGGGACCCTGCCATCGCACTAGATGCCCATGTCTGTAATCTCAGGCAGACGAGTCTAGCAAGTATAAGCGCTTGGACACGATGATTGATAAAATCTTACCAAGACCACATGTCGGCATATGGCCGTGTCTAATAAGACTAAGAATGCTTCCGTGGTCGCTCGAGGCTTCAAGAATCAACGAGGTCCACGGAAGTCTTCCTGGTGGGATGGGGGTCCTCGGCCCTCGGATGACAAGATCCGGGGAGCTGAGGTAAGGCCACAATCTGACGAGGCTAGACTGTCGTTGAGTGTTCCAGACATGAGTAGTAACGTGACTAGCCTGCAATCATTGTCAGGGCGATCTCTCTCTCTTGGGCATGGTAAAGTTGGAGTCGCACTGAGAGAAGGATAAGCACGGATAAGCAAGGCTACTCGTAGTTGGGTCTCGAAAAGTGTTGATTCATGGTTAGCCTAGACAACCCTGGCTGGTTGATACCGACGTGTCTCCAGATTCCGCGATTAACATGAGGGAAGGAATATTACCGTGATGGTGGAGCATGAAAGAGAATCTCTGGTGTAAGTAGTTGGTTGTTAGCCAATAGACGAACTGAGGTCAATGAACTCGGGATGGGAGTTGCAGGCAGGGTGAAGGTGCAGCGTGGCAAACGAAAGAAGCGAGGCAAGCGATGATACCTTGAGAGGACACCCAATAAATCTGTCTGTTGCAGCATGCAGGGGGCTAGCTCGAGTTGTTACCCCTCACTAACTCAACCCAATCTGCGCCATCGTTCTTGCCCCTCCATTCACATTTGTTGACACTTTTTATTGCTCCAAATTCTTTCCTATCCAAGTACCTGAACGATGGAGAGTGTGTCAGAAAATACTAGGTATCTCTGTGTCTCTTTTCGGAAACATTGGTCCTTTCCGTGCGTGCAGGTCGGATGAATAGGTCCCCGTCGCGTCGCTGCCTACTCGTAGATAGATTGGACTAGTCAGTAAGTAGTCCTAGTTGATCTCCATATGGCCGACAGCTGGCACCTGGACCACTGCACCACACCCGTCAACCACAATACCCCGGGCCACAGATAACGCTGATGATGGATCTCGGCAGAAACCGCAAAGACAAAACACGGGGTCTTGACGACCTGCCTAGCTTGCACCGAGATGTACCGAGCTTATCAAACACCTGGTGTCCAGCGCGAACCGCTCACCCGCATCCTCATCAAGGTGATTTTGAGATCCCTTTCAACCACGAAACATCAGGTGTTTTTCTCAACAGGCTCCGATCGCGGTTGAGCGGCTCCCCCAGTAGTTTTTTGGTCCATCCAAACTCAATTGGTCCAGTCTCGAACATGAACCGAACGCCAGATCTGAAATAGTAATCTCAGGCTGACCCCTCTTTCGGACTTGTTGCCACAGACACAGACTCGTGCACCTGTACTTGCAGCCGTCTCCATCATTGATCAACCTTTTTTTTCCATTCTTCCCTCGTTCCCCAGCTCCATCGCCCAATCCATGCACTCGTAAGCCCCCTTCCCGCTGGTCGATTCGAACTTTCTGACGCTCGGAAATCCTCCTTTGGTCCACGGATAGCCGCCCCCCAGGACCCTCACTACTACTGACCGAGTTGTCTGACCCTCTCGAAACACTCTTTCCCGACCCCGCAGTGGCTCCCTTGACCTGACACCACCCCTGTCCTTCCAATCATCGCCATGCCATCAGAGCACCGAGCTCCAACACCATGGCTTCCCGCTCAACCTAGTTAGAAAGTCATCCATGACCTCAGATCCTCTTCAGTGGCTCGGTCCATAGGAAAGCGAGTTGTCTGGCCCTCTTCCATGACCACACAGTCCATCTTCCCCGCGCATAGAGATTTCAAATAAAGAAGCTTGTTGTCCTCGGTCCTGCCTCAACTCCTCTTCTCTTGTCTATTAAATCCCTCCACGACTCTCTTTTCCCTTGTGATACCCATTTCTACATACAAAAGTTCGCAATCATGTCGTTGACACAAAAGATCGAAACCCCCAGCATCACCTACGAGCAACCCCTTGGCTTGTACATCGATGGCAAGTGGGTAAAGGGTGTTGAGGGCAAGACCTTCGAGACCATCAACCCCACCAACGAGAAGCCCATTGTTGCCGTCCACGAGGCTGGTCCTGAAGGTCGGTTCAATCTCTTCAGCCTCCTTTCCGCATCATACTGACTTGTTCACCAGATGTTGACATCGCCGTCAAGGCTGCCCGCAAGGCCTTCAATGGCGTCTGGGCTCAGACCCTCCCCTCTGCCCGAGGACAGATGTTGACCAAACTTGCCGACCTCTTCGATGAATACTCGGATACCCTTGCTGCCATCGAGTCTCTCGATAACGGAAAGGCCCTTTCCATGGCCAAGGTTGATGTTCAGCTTTCGTCCGGCTGCTTAAGATACTACGGTGGATGGGCAGACAAGATTCACGGAAAGACAATCGACACCGACCCAGAGACATTCAACTACACAAGACACGAAGCCGTCGGTGTTTGCGGTCAGATCATCCCATGGAACTTCCCTCTTCTCATGTGGGCATGGAAGATCGGACCCGTCTTGGCCACTGGTAACACTGTCGTTTTGAAGACCGCAGAACAGACCCCTCTATCAGGTCTGTTTGCCGCCACTCTCTGCGAGAAGGCCGGTATCCCAGCTGGTGTTGTCAACATCATTTCCGGATTCGGAAAGACCGCCGGTGCCGCCATCGCATCCCACATGGACATTGACAAGGTTGCCTTCACTGGTTCAACCGTTGTCGGCCGAACTATCCTCCAGGCTGCTGCCAAATCCAACTTGAAGAAGGTTACCCTGGAACTCGGTGGTAAATCACCAAATATTGTCTTCAACGACGCAAATATTGACGATGCCATCTCATGGGTCAACTTCGGTATTTTCTTCAACCACGGCCAATGCTGCTGTGCTGGATCCAGAGTCTACGTCCAGTCTGGTATCTACGACAAGTTCATTGAGCAATTCAAAGCCCGAACTGCCAAGAACGTTGTTGGTGACCCATTCAAGGGCGATACCTTCCAGGGACCCCAGGTCAGCAAACTTCAATTCGACCGCATCATGGACCACATCAAGTCTGGTAAGGAGGCTGGTGCCACTGTTGAGACTGGTGGTGAGCGTCACGGCACTGAGGGTTACTTCATCCAGCCTACCATCTTCTCCAATGTCAGCTCCGACATGAAGATTATGCAAGAAGAAATCTTCGGCCCCGTCTGCGCCATCAGCAAGTTCGAGACTGAGGAGGAAGTCATCAAGGCTGGTAATGAGACCACCTACGGTCTTGCCGCCGCCGTGCACACCACCAACCTCAACACCGCTCTCCGCGTCTCCAACGCCCTGAAGGCTGGTACCGTCTGGGTCAACTGCTACAACTTGCTCAGCTACCAAGTGCCATTCGGTGGTTTCAAGGAGTCTGGTATTGGCCGTGAGCTAGGCAAATATGCTCTCAGCAACTACACACAGATCAAGTCCGTCCGAGTTAGACTCGGCGGTGCTCTGTTCGGTTAAATGTTGTTGTTATGATACCAAAGTTTGAAACAAAAAAGATATAAACCAAACCTGTTGATGAGGACAATGAGAATGGAACCCATCAGTGTTGATGCATTTCCGGATGGTCTGCTGGCGATGCTCAGGCGTCTCGCGCTGGCAGTGCTGGTTTGCAAAAGCCTATCATGTACATGTTAATGAAAGAGACGAGCTGTCTACAGGAAATACAAAACATCCTAAACCACTTTTTCCCTTCCACACAAGATAGATCTTTTTCATACTCGTAGTCCTGGCTATCAGCCAAAGATGATATCTCGGCCGATAAGCACCACGTGACCTACCCCATATTTTGACTGCTACCCTTGCAATCAGCGACGTCAGTTCTCCTGCAAAAGGCAATGACACTACTTTTTCACCTCACAATTTGATACCGAGAGTTCCAAGCCCTCATTTTTTGCTCGGGGCCACGGCTGCTACCACTACTCAGGAAGTTCCAAGGCGACTCACTCGTACGAATCAACCTGTTCACGTCGTGACCTGTTGATTCCTAATGCTTACATTATTGTTTTACTCTGTTTCGTCCGGCCCTTGATCGCACCGGTGCGCATCAATATTTTTGTGTCTCTTCGAACTCCAAGAGTACCATCCGCTACGGTGGGCTCAAATACCTAAACATCCATTGGTGGAGTGATCGTCGCCACATTACTTGTTCATCTGCTTTAATATCCGTCTGCATTGTCTTTTCCTTATATACTTATACTGTTTGATCTTCTCGTTCTCGCCGCCTTCGGACATACTCTATGAGACGTGGGACATTGCAGAGCCTGAGTCTTGTGATACTTATGCTCGCGAGCCTGTTGGCAGTCCCAGCGTTCAGATCTAGAGTTAGCTATATCACCACCACTGCCACGACTGGTGTCTTGAGGAGGACTGGATTATCCGACGTGTTCTGTGGGAACCACCATTTTTCCCATCTAGCCCCGTCACAGTCACAGTCCACGGCGGCGGCGGCGGCGGCAACATCAAGGACGACGAGCGACATAGCGACGGCCGAAAAGAATCAACCACACCCGGCATCTTCTCCACCACCAGCCCTTGCCAGCGAACAATATCGCATACCTTCGCCACAAAGCCTGCAGTCCTCAGCCATGGCGACACCAGAAGCGGCGCCGGCTGCAGCAAAACCCGAAGCTGCTACGCCGTCGTCGATTGAGAAAGCGACAGAACCTGAATTGCCCAAACTCTCCGCCGCCGATTTCCGGGAATACAACCAGCTGGCGGAGATGATGGAATTATATGTACGTTAATTCCCCAATGCTCTGACTAACGCCGAGTGATTCAGGCTTTTCCCACCATCAATGAACGTCTGTATATATGTACTAACCTCCACACCCCCAATCAGCACAACCACTTCCGCCACACGTGGAACATGCTGTATAAGACATGCACAACGGGCTCGCGACCGAACGGCATGTCGCTGCGGTCGTTCTTGAACCAAGGCCTGCAGCTCTGCCGCTCGCTGACTATGCACCACACGATCGAAGAGCAGTATTTCTTCCCGCCGCTCGCGGAGCGCATGCCCGCGTTCGCCGAGAACGACCATCTCATCTCCCAGCACGAGTTGATCCACGAGGGCATCGTCCGTCTCGAGGAGTATCTCCGCGCGTGTGGCGGTGGCGAGCGGGAATTGCGTCTGCCAGAGTTACAGGGCGTGTTGGATTCTTTCGGGACGGTCCTCTGGGCGCATTTGGACGATGAGGTGCGCATGCTTGGGGCGGAGAATATGCGGAGGTTTTGGTCCAAGGAGGAGGTCGGGGCTTTGAATATTGGTTGAAAGGTGGGTTGGGTTTTGGTTTGATGCGGAAATGGAGCAAGCCGATCTTATATAGGTAGATTTAGACTGAGACTGCAGCGAGGCCATTTTGTTTTCTCGGCTCCGCTGAGCATTATATACATACTGCCTCCCTAGGCCTAGCTTGGAGCGACGTACAGTACAATTGTAGCTTCATTGAGCCTCTGAAGGTGGTGTGTCACCTTTGTAGCGTCACAGTACATCTTGTCGCTTGCTGTGCAGGAAGCTTATGGTCTTCAACTGCCAGACCAGGTCGGCGGACATATCAACTCCTGGATATAGATAGCCCTGCATCTAGTTAGTCCATCCGCGATCGGTGAACCATTCAGGCCGGTATGAAAATAGATCTCAGAAGGGAAATAGTCCCTCCAAGCCAACAAGACATCCACTCTTTTTTTTTGACCTGGCTGCCATGACTCATGAGTTTCCGCGATGCCTATATTCAATGAGCAGCAATTTCAAAGCTCCTTGTTAACAACTTGCGGGTCCTGCGAGTCGTCTTCCTCCCTGCTGAGAGCCTGAGACGCGAACTCTGTGCATGTCGGAGACAACGCCGTCACCGTGCTCGGCCAGAGCTATCCCGAAGCTGGGCCACGTGCAAATCACCGGCACGTGGACCGGACCTCCTGGGATGGACACTCAATATCTCGGAGCAAGATCGACCGGGTCCGTCGCGATATCAAAGCAGTTTCCATCGCCTCGTACTCGTAACTATCCATCAGGTGAACACAGTTGACGCAGACCCCAACAGTGGCACCAACAAAAATTTCAATCCTCGTCCCGCTCCAAAAACCCAGGATCATTCTGCACCCTCCGCTCGAATTTCCCCCACCAGTCCTGGAAGCTCTTCAGCGGGACGACTTCGACTCCGTTGGCCGTGTTACCCGCAAAGCCCGCCAGGAAGTTGAAGGCGTTCTTGATGATGCGCTGGGCCAGGAGCCGCGTGTCCGGCCCGCGAGGTTTCTCTGCTTGCTGCTGCTGCTGCTGGAGCTGGGCCATCTGGACCTGGATGCTCTGCAGTGGCTCGACGGAGATGCCGAGATTGATTTCCCCATTGTTGGGAGTGCCGGCACCGTTGGTGTTGGCTGGTAAGTTGACTTTAAACAGTGCCGAAGGCTTTTCGTTGGCGATGGCGCCGAGGAATTTGAAGCCTGCTTCGCCGGGCAGTTGCATGTATACGCCCGCGGCCATGTCGGCGGGGAGGAGTTGGTTGGGGTGCAGGAAGACGCCGATGTTGTGGAAGGTCGGCGCGGTCGGGATGGTGATGGCGAATTGGTGTGCTGATATCGTGTTCAGCTCCGGGATGATTGGGCGTGAGGGGATGAAGACGCCGAACATGGTTGTGGATTGATGTTGGGGAATGTGAAGCTTGTGGAACGGGGTGGTTGTCCTAGTTAGATCTCACTGGCTACTTAGCTTAACTTTGGTTGCGATGAGGTCGTCCCAAGGCTGCAGCTGTGAGTCGGATACAGGTCCCGGGCTCCGCGATGAGTTAGGGATTTCGAGGAGAGCTCGTTGTCGAAACTCGTTCAGTATTTTTTAAGACTAATAGTTGGAGAAGCACTGGGAGCTTTCTGTACTTGCAACTCGATCTGAATAGTTAGCTGGACGTAGGGAGCTTGATGTTCTCTTGTCTAAATTACAGGTACTTAGCCATCGTATTATTCGACCTTGATACTTGGATAAGACGTAACAGAATTGTATAGAAGACTCGAGATGGAGCCAGGGCCTAAGAGGTGCCTAAACTGATAGGCGTCTGGGGTTTACTGGTCCCTGGAGCACGGAATGACGCACCTCGGATCACCCCACCCCCACGGTAAAACATAACGTCCGATCCGGATGCTTTCGCGGCGGGGCAAGGCGGCGGGCAAGGCAGTGACGAGGCTAACTGGGAAAGATATGAGCCACATCTATATATGATTGAAGTCGTAGCCTAAACAAACGGCATATTACTTCTTTGACTTCTTCCTCATCTTCCGTGGCTGATTCACGTGCCTGTATCAGAGCGAAGATGGCGTTGAAGTCAAATTTAGATCTGGCATTTGATTGCGACAAGTAGGTGGGATGGTCTCATAAGATTAAAATGTTGCCCTGATGAGCGAGAATGGCTAACCTCGTCAACTCTATGAGTATAGCTTTCCATACTATTCGGACAGCCCAGAGATATACTTGGCCAAGTTGGCGGAGTACTATCATTTCAAATTGGAAGGATGTGACGCAACATTGGGCTACATGCCTGCGAGGATAGCAACACAGATGCCCATCAACAAGCACTGGAGCCGAGATGATGAACGAAAGACTCTTACGTTTCAGCCTCGTGACGATGAAGGAGCACCCGTCGTGGATTTCGAATCACGGAATTGGATACTGGCAGATTTTCTGTACGAAGTACGGGAGAAGAAGATTTTCCAGGTGCTGAATGGATGGCGGAGTGAACGCTTTCCTATCTATGGACCTCAGAAGGAGACCCTTTTGAGTATGGAACGCTCGGCAACACCACTCTTCGGCGTTGTCACCTACGGTGTGCACATGACAGGCTATGTTGAGACAGACCAGGGCTTGAAAATATGGGCACCACGCCGAGCATTGAACAAACAGACGTATCCTGGCATGATGGACAACACGGTGGCTGGTGGACTCGCGATCGGTGAAAAGCCATTTGAGTGCTTGATTCGAGAGGCAGAGGAGGAGGCCTCCCTTCCCGCTGATCTGGTCCGCACAGCTCAAGCCTGTGGTGCTGTCACTTATTTCCTTGTTCGAGACCCCAAAGCTGGAGGAGAGACGGATCTCTGCCAGCCAGAGGTCGAATATGTGTATGATCTCAAAATGCCACCAGAGATCACCCCTCAACCCAGTGATAACGAAGCTATCGACTTTCAACTTTTGACGATTGAAGAGGTCAAGGATGCCATGGCTGCTGGCAAATTCAAACCGAATTGCGCTCATGTGTTGTTGGACTTCTTTATGAGACATGGCATATTGACGCCAGAGAACGAGCCTGATTATGTCGAAATCCTCGCAAAAGTCCACCGGAGGTTGGAGTTTCCAACCATTTAAACGAGATCACCCAGACGCCGTCGCTGAATAGAATTTTTCCGTCATATGCCATCAGGATTCTCGTGGTTGAGCAAAGGGATGTAACCTCTTGAGTCATTTACTTCTTCATCAAGAGATAGACATAGTCAATTCGGAGAGCGTTGAGTAGTGAGTAAGGACCATCCATGTAGAGTAACAGACCACCAAAGGACACATAAACCTTACTGCAAATCCAGTCAACACCCTGACATCTGATTATCATTTGGGACACTTACATGTTCTCTCCAGTGCCCTCCTCAAATCTGTAGATCTTGCCATGACAGACATATCCGTATTCGTCTGCCAACGTATTTTCTCCCCGCCCGACTTCCCTCCAGCCCTTACCATCATCTTTGCTTCCGTCCAAGTTCAGCGACAAAGCAAGCGCGACAGTCACGCGTTCGTCCACATTGAGAGGGTAAAGCTCCGTATTGACATCAAGGGTGAGTAGGACTTCTGAGTCTCCCTCACTGAAGGCTTTGATGCGCGAGACTCGATCATATTTGCTGCTGTTGATGTCGCTAATTTTGAAGTTACCTTCGAAGAGGATGTTTTCCGACATCTTGATACGATCTGTAACCAGACTTCGGAAGATTCGAGAGGAGAGATCAAGGCGTGGAATGTGAGGAAGCCCGTACGGCGCAGGAAGAAGCCCTGGAAAAATAAAAAGTTGGAGATCGAACACTACGGTGAAGCAGATTCCATAACGGCAATTTATACGGTGAAATATTCATCACTCATTGCACAGCCTTTCTTGATCGAAAAGTTCCTGTGGACGCCCACAACATCTACCACCACGCACTGTCCTCTCCAATGTCTTTTCGCAAGCGCAATGTCGGCCTGTCTGGCACTGCAAAGTCTGACAGCGATACAACGGCCGCTACGAAAGATAGAACCTCACTACCCGGTGTAAGACCTTCCCCAATTGATGGTCGACCGACCACATCCACCGGCACCGCTAGCCTTGACAGTCTGCTGGCTGGTCACTCCGGTCTAGTGCTGGGATCCTCCTTATTGATTGAGGAAAGTGGCACGACCGATTATGCAGGTGCTCTTCTGCGCTTCTATGCCGCAGAAGGCCTCTTACAAGGCCATCATGTTCATGTGATCGCCCTACCAGAACAATGGGGTAGAGCCCTGCCCGGCGTGGTGGGAGATTCTGAGAAGAAAGAAAAAACAAGCGAATCGGCAGAGAAAATGAAAATTGCATGGAGATATGAGAGCCTGGGACAATTTGGAGCCAGCTCCTACACAAGAGGTGGGCACATTCATCCTTTTAGCATCCTAGCTAGAATATATGCGATCAATTCCAACATTTTGCATCCATCTTTCTTCTCAGTCTACTGATGTTTTCATTTCTATCAGATACTCCATTATCAAGGCCAACACAACGAAATCCGTCAGGAGATAATCAAGCTATTCCAACTTTATTTTGCCATACATTCGACTTGACAAAAAGACTGGTACACCCAGCTGCAGCGAAATTGGACTTCTTACCACTGAGTGGGAACCCAAGGGAATCACCATTTGGTCCAATCCTAGCACGACTCAATGCAGCGATAGCGAAATCTTCGTCATCCACTGTTCATCGGATTATTATTCCCTCGCTGCTGTCACCTGCTTTATACCCATCGCATTCCAGCAATCCCCAATTCGTCCTTCAATTTTTCCACAGCATCCGCGCAATCCTGGCCGCATACCGACAGCAAGTGACTGCGGTCAGCTCGATACCATTGTCACTGTATCCACGATCTTCAGGTCTCGTGAGATGGGTCGAACTTCTCCACGACGGCGTCCTCGAATTGTCTCCCTTCCCGCACTCCGCAGAGGCTGATATCCAGCCAGCACGTGGTCCAGGAGGCACGATTGAGGAACAGCCTCAAGGCCTTTTACAAGTGCACAGAGTGCCAGTTCTCCAGGAACGTGGCAGCGGCAATGCGACCTCAGAAAACGACTGGACTTTCACTTTGAGCAGGAGGAAATTCACCATCAAGCCATTCAATCTTCCTCCTGTTGAGGGGGACACCGAAGCTCAACAGGCTTCAGGATCCGATTTGAAGGCGAAGAAAGCGGACGTGGAGTTTTGATCGATGGCCCTTAGATCGGCTACGGTTGAACTTCGCAACATTGTTTTCTCATCGAAAAGCTCGTCCGCCCGAGACACACGTCTGGATTGAGACAATCTTTTTGATCGCGTATGTGTGTTAACTGGAGAACAGTAATCGCCTGTTAAGCTGTGGATGCAACGTGGCCAAACTCCGCAGAAATGGAAAGTTTAAGCTATGCCGAGAGATATACCCGCTTCCACATACCCCATCGCAGGTGTACATCGCCTCAAAGCGGTGGACGATGTCGACGATGCTTACACTATCACCCATACATTGGTCTATGGTGTTGGCCATGGAAACTAAGTGCAGGACTGTTTCAAAGCATGCAGATGAGAGATGTGTCCTTTCGCAGGAGGAGGTCAATTTCCACTAGGACTTCAAATATGGATGGGGTCGCCCAGAGTAGTCCTTTTTGAAACTATCATCATCTCCATGCTGTCTCACTTTTGAGGACTTTGATACCAAAATATGTCGATAAAGATCTTCCTTACCGGCTCAACGGGCTACGTTGGCGGTGCACTCCTGCATGTCTTGATATCTCGCATGACAGACTGCACTATTACCTCGCTCGTGCGCACCACAGAACAAGCCACTCTACTTGAGTCAACCTATCCAGGCATAAAAACCACCATAGGAACACTCGAATCCCGCGATCTGCTTATATCCGAAGCATCCAAATCTGACATCGTCATCCACGCCGCCAACGTCGACCACGTATCCGGCACCCTCAGCCTGCTTGACGGGCTGAAGTCGCACCATTCAGAAGGCCGGTCGGCGCTGTACATTCTCGTCTCTGGAACGGGCTCTCTCCCCGACGAGACCGTCAAGCCTGGACAGCCTATGCCACGCGTCTTCGACGACGTTATCAATGCCGAGGAGATATGGAATCTGCCGCGCGACCGCTCGCACGTGGCGATCGAGCGGCGCTTCGTCGAGGAAGGCGAGGCCGCAAACGTCCGCACTGTCGTTGTCTCACCTGGTCAGATCTTCCACACTGGCGTCGGCGTGGGCAAGAAAGAAAGCTATCTCAATGAACATCCGCGTGCGATGTTTCAGCATGGTGGTGCGTTCGTCGTCAAGGAAGGGCTGAATACTTGGTGTTGGGTCAGTGTTGAGGACCTCGCAGAGGGGATATGTCTTCTGGCGCGTAGACATCTTGACCAGTTGGCAGCTGGTGAGAAGGATTTCGGTCCCGGATATGGGCGAGACGGATATTACTTCGCCCAGGCGGGCGAATTGTCTGTCACAGAGCAGGCTGAGGTGATCGCGGACGAGCTGTTCAAGCTCGGCGCCATCAAGTCCACAGATATCGACCATATCGACGAAGAACACGCGAAGCGCCTTCATGGCTGGGGTGTGTTGCTCTGGGGATCCAGTATGAGAGCACATGCGCAGAAGTTGAGAGATCTGGGGTGGACACCCACAACTACTGACTGGAAGGCCCTGGTTCGGCGGGCAGCGCGAGCGGAATGGGAGGCTCTGCAGGCTGGACAGGTCAAGCCTGTCACAGGCTATTCACAGTGGGAGTGATAGAGTGATACCTATAGGTAGCAGGTGTTTACCAGTGTGAATATGTTGGGCATCATCAACCTGGTGACTTTCATTGAGAAGCGTCTTCGTGGCTCGAGGCTTGAATCAGTGGTAGATCGTATGACCCGATCTGTTTGAAGAGTGCGCTGTCAACGTCAATTGTCAAGCTGTTTTGTTGCAATCTTTGAACTAGAAAATGATGTGTCCATGTCCCGCTCACTCGAAGGTTGTTTCTTCCCTCGCCGTCAGCATGTTGCCATCCGAGCCGCTTCCAGGCACATCGGGTTTTGCGGATGCCTGAGCCACCAGATAATGTCCTAGCATCTTCATTATTCTGTAGGCGCCCTTTGCTCATACCCTCGATAGAGGCCTGTTTCCGTCCTTGTCTGGTGAGCTGGGATCGACATGGTTGGTCCCTTGATCTTGAGTAAGAAGAATGCAAGAAGAACCTTCCAATCGAGCTTCAACCCGAATATGAGATTAACCTCCCCCATGATCATTCTCTCAGTATCCCACGGTCTCGTTCTACATCTCAGATAGTGGAACTGCCTACAAGACATACATTGAATGTCTCTGCACCATTGCGTTTTTGGCCGAGGATACCAAAACTAGAAGTAGTATTACCCACTATATATCAGCGTACACCAGATTGTTCCAGGCCATAGGCAATATGTAAACGACTTCATAAGAACCAAGACAAATTTCTGCTTGCGATGATGGAAGGTCATCCAGGTATAGCTGAAATCCGGCGCTGAGGGCCGAGGACTGATAATTCACGGTCCTCAGTATTCGTCGCTGTTGACGTCCCGAGGGTAGCAGTATTTACCGGCGGAATAGGCTCATCGTCGCTGTGGATTTTAATTTTTTTCCATTCTACAGTGCACGCCCCAACGAGTGACGCACATGAAAGCGCAACAGCCACATAAAATGTGTCAGTGACCGCACCACTGTATGCGGAGACCACACGACTAAGTACCTCTTGGTCGAGGCCTAGCGCTCTAAAAGAGGTCGCACCTGATTCTAGAAGTACTCGAGTTGTAATTGGTCCGGAGGGTAGTATGCCATCAAGGAGGCTGGTGAGACGGTTTGTCAGGATCGACTGACCAACGACAATAAATACAGAGCTACCAAGTGTCTGACAGAATATCAACACCGAGATTGCCATTGCCACATCGTGAGAATCGATAGCATTTTGGACGGCAATCAATGGCTGCTGCATACCACATCCATCACCGAGACCAAATATGATTTGATAGAAGACGTATTGCCATCTTTGACTGGAAGGCTTTAAAGTCGTGAGAAGCCCTGTACCAATAGCACGAACCACTGAGGAAAGGATCAACAGTTGGACATAATTGCCGGTTGTAGAGGTGATAACGCCTGACACCAGTGAACCACACACAAGGCTGATGACGAAAGGTAGATTGAGAAAGCCGGACTGCAACGCTGATACTCCTAGAACGGCCTGGAACCAAATGGGCAAATAATAGATGACAATCGCAACAGATGAGCCTGCTGTGAAGGTAAACCAGCAACACGCCAACAAGGTGCGCTGCTTGATTAACTGGATTGGTAGGAAAGCCTTTTCTCCTTGTCTTATCTGGAGTAGAATAAAAAGAACGGTACTAGCACCTGCGACGATAAAAAGTGTGATAACTCTCGAGTTGCTCCAGGAATACTCCATGCCACCCCATTGCAAAGCTAGTAGTAGAGGAATGGTTGAAGATATGAGTAGAATTGTACTTAGTACGTTGAGTTCCTGGAGGACAGTGGCGGGTGATCGATGATCTGAGTGCGGATGCGGTTGTCGATCTGGGCCCAAGCCACTTGGTGGCTCAAAGACGAAGGATACAACGATGACTGTCACGACGCCGATTGGCACATTGATCCAAAAACACCAGCGCCAGGTGATTTTATCGGTCAGGAGACCTCCTATAACTGGCCCAACGACAGAAGCAATCCCGTACAGAGCGCCGAAGATACTGTTGTAAATTGGTCGCCAACGCAGAGGAACTGTGTGACTAACGATAATGAATGCTCCAGCAAATATTCCTGCACTTCCAACGCCTGCAAAAGCGCGACCTAGAATGAGGACGGGAGAGGAAGGGGCTGCAGCGCATAGGATGGATCCGATTTCGAAGACTATGGAGGCGCTAACAAAGGTCCATTTGGCGGAGAAAATCTTGAAGAAATTGCCGTATAAGAGTTGGAAGATGGCTGAGGTCAAGGCATAGACGCCAGCATACCATCCTACATCGGTCAAAGAATTGAAATCGTCGGTAATCTTTGGAATAGCCGTGGCAAGAATGGTAGTGTCCAGAGCCACGAGGAAGACGGCAAGGATGAGGCAGATAGTGATTAGAAAGACAGGCAGCTTAAAAGTCGATCGTCGGGAGTGAAGCTCATGGCTGGGGCTTCTTCGCACATTAATGCTTCGTGAAGCGGAGTCTTCTGGGCTATGGTTCGACATAGTCCTAGCTAGGGTCCCATCTTCATTCGGTGGCATTGTTACTCGCTGAGGAGCGATATTGAAGTCGTATTCTGCTTTTAGCTTCACTATAATACCTCTAGTATTATCCTGTCCTCATCGCTGAGAGAAACCGCAGAAGGCAAGCTAACACGAATCCATGACGACATAATTCTGACACTTAGCATCCTAGTCTATATTTGGTCATGGCTAATTGCTACCTAGGTACCTATTAGCAGCCACACTTGCACTCTATGAAGTAATTAGAAAACAAGTTTCGCCGCTATAATTGCACTAGAGATAGTAGTAACGTCTCGTATGCGATGGGATCAATCTGAAGCAACCGCTCGATCGCATTATCAGCTAGACGACTAGGAACACCTTCTGTGCAGTATCCAATGAGCCGCCCGGTAAAGTCTTGGAGCTTGTCGAAAAGCTGGTCTATCAAGCCATTTACTGCGGAGACCCCTTCAGTAGCTTCGAGAAGGAATGCCAGAGCGCCAGATATTGTGAAGCAGGTGCGTATGGGGTTAGCTGCAGAACCCCCGAAGCAAGGTCCGAGAGTGTGTTGACTGGCTGAGTAGAACACTTTAGCCTCTGCCTCAACGAGGAGTGCTTCTTCCGAAGGAACCGAGCTGCTTGTGTTCATCCTGAAGCCTGCTGTCAATTTGGTCAATGCTCGTGATTTGCCAAAAGAATTTTGGTCCGGAGACTGATCGATTTGTAGTGTCAAGGTACTTGTTGATGGCGTCCTCCCTCAGCTCGCCGAAAGTTTTGGCAGACATCTGACTGTGCCGGAACTAATCAGGTGGCAAGATGGCGCTTGGGTCTTCTAACGGACGGCAGCACAATAAGAACAAGAAAGGTTTCAAAAAAGACAATAGAAGCTGAGGAGGAACGTCCACTTTACCAATGGTTCGTCGCTGTCGGCTGTTTCCAATTGAAGCAGTGCTCAGTCGTGGGATCGGCCTCAATGACCTGAAGGTTTCTTGCGGTGAATCATACTTACCTAGGTATATAGGCATTGGGCTGAAATCTCAAAGATATTCAGGAGCGGAACCTCACTTCTGGGCACTTTTCAAGCTCAGAGCACACGTGATGCTCGATGCCAGAAGTGCGATATCTCAAAGCAGTAGGCAGAGCACATAGGCCGCTCGCAATGAGCTAGATTCGCGCCGACCTGCTGAGGTTCGAAAATTTGGGGGCAGCTGCTGAGTGGCGTGGGGAAGGGGTGAGCCATTAGCACAGCAAGTACAAGCACCCAAGGGCCAGCTGTAACGTGGCCGATGGTGCAGTAACACGAAATGCAACCAAGGCAAGGCAACATTTGGACATGTCATTGACCAGGTATCTAGGTATGATTAACTCATTTGCTCAAAGGCAAGGAAAATCATTCAAAGGTGTCATCATGCCCGTTGAGGAGGGGACAGATATGTGCCTTGCGAGGCCAGAAGAGCAAGGATTTCAATAGTTACAAGAGCTTTCTGCTCAAGATGACATGACTCAAGAGGGACGTTGAACAGTCATAAGAGCTGAATCGTCACGAGTCATTATTGTGAAATGCCAAGCACCGTGACTCGATCAGCTTTCCAATTTTCTTAACTCTGAAATCATCTCCTAGTCTCAACAAGAAACACATCATGTAGCCTCCCTCGTGGCGCTTGAAGTTCTACTTTCAAGCTTCTTATCTATCGATCGCCCCTTGTCACTTCGTGTGAAGCTGGGACTAGCTGCCTCGATCTCGAGGTTGGCTGGAAAAAAAGAATATATCGAATGCTGCGGACAGATTTGACTAGGTAAGCTTGTGACCCTCATGCCCATGCCCTTCTCCCATCTTCGTTGCATGATTACACAAATTTTTCATATCTGTCAATCCACTGAAAAGCTCTTCGGAGCACATGATTGAGACGAAAAAATCGTTGTTGAAATATGATAGCACCTCAAAAATGAACAAGCCTTAACTACCCACAAGTTTCTGGCATGTTTCAGATGCTAATCCTATCTAAGTTCCTCCATAGTTAGCCATCCGTCATGGATGCGTCAGGAGATCTAGGCTTTGACTATACGCCAGAGTTGCCCATCGCAATCTCGTGCGTCACTGATCGCTATCTATTATTCGACGTCAAGATCGCGACATGGCTTCGCCGACAGCACAACATCTGTGGTGTCACAATTGGTAGTCTGCCACTAGCACCATCTCAGAACATGTTTCTCGGTGTTCCGGTTGAAATAATGCCGGAAGAAGCCCAGCTACTTGTCGAGCGAGGGATCGGGTTTATCCTAGATGATGCCCGTGCTCATGATGAAGCAATACGCGCCTCTGATGGTGCGAGACGTGCAGATTACCTTGAAAGGCTTCGTAAGCAGGCAGAGCAGCTTGAGACCGTCAAGCTCCAGGAGAAGGCTGAGTCTAGGAAACGTGCCTTGGAGAAGCAGTCGAAGAAAGCGGCAACCTCGAGCGTTTCTACGCCAAGTCGGCCAGACGCCAGCCTACTCGATTTTGACGACGCAGAGACTACACCAAGTTTTGCCAACTCTGCCACCACTGCCATATCTGAAAAGGAGTTCCAACCCTCAGCAAGCTACGGCATAACCCCAGCAACATCAAACCATCTCCTCTCACCATCCATACCCACCTCCACATCAAACTCCATCACACCCACAATCCCCAATCTGCCTACCTCCTACCCGCTTTACCGTCATCTCCACGACAAAGGCTACTTCATGACGCCTGGGCTGCGCTTCGGATGCCAGTACACCGTGTATCCGGGTGATACACTACGGTTCCACTCACATTTCCTTGCGGTGGGCCGGCAGTGGGATGAGGAAATTGACCTGATGGACATCGTCGGCGGAGGTCGGTTGGGCACAGGTGTCAAGAAGGGTTTCTTATTCGGTGGAGAGGATCCCGCGAAAGGAGAGGTCCGGACCTTCAGTGTCGAGTGGGCTGCTATGTGAGCTACAATACCATCCTGGGGCTCTCGGGAATGGTCGGGGTTTCCTTGGGATGGCCTTATGATGAGATGAATATAGATAACGATGACACGATCATAGATGAGACTCAAGACTATCACTGGCCAAGTCTAAAGTAATTGAAAACTATCAGCTCATCATAGACAAGAGCCCTCTTTCAATCTTCTCTCTCAGTCTACCAAGCGTGCAATCCACTTAAAGCTCACCGTGCACGTTCTGCTTTTTCAGACGCCAAGCAATTCTCACTTAGTCTCCATGTCGTCTCGTCAATAATGTAGCACATGCGACTGCTTCTGACACATCCTTGCGCAGAAATGCCAAAGTGCTCCTCAGGCACAAAATGAGAGTCGTCCACTGGCGGCATCTACGTCAAAACATCGACTGTGCGAGCTTGCTTCCGATGAAAACTCTAGCCCTGTCGATGGGACATTTCGAGTATAGCCCAATCCGTGGGCCAATCTGTATGGCCTGTCGTGCAGCTTTCTCACCATCAATCGGTGTGCGTGTACACGAACTCTGTTGACGTTGGGAGATCTGTGCTCAATATTCCAGACAAGGTCGAGCCACGACTCAGCACGATCTGGACGATTAGGGATCCTGCAGTCATGTGTGCCATGCATGAATAATGTTATTCTCCATATCCGTCCATTGTCGATGCTCATAGGTAATCCATAGCTTTCCATTTGAACTTTCGATTCGCCCTGTCTGCGGGCCTCAGCTCGATCTGGTTTCCATGTAACTCAAACACCAACTTCCTTCCCTCCAGACCATCTTTCCCAGACAACAGGATTTCATAGCGGAACACCGTATCCTTTTTCGGTAGTGTCTTAACCTCATCTTTCGCCGTGACAACAACGAACGTAAATTTCGTATCTCGAACCACGATGCCTTTGATACCAACTTTCCCGACATCCGCACAGCGCACAACTTCCATCTCCGCGCCGTGGAAGTCCGCACTCGCGAGCAGCGCACCGTGGCTCTGTGCCGACACCTGTTTCGGCCTCCCTCGGCTCTCAACGACTTCACCGTCACGCATATAACCCAGGACTTCCAGCATATAGCCGCGCCACAGCTCGTTCAGTCGCTTGTAGATGTCATATTTGATTTCTTCCTTCTTCAGCTTGAAGACGCCGAGTTGTCGCTTCTCTTTGGCGCTGAGTGGTTGGGGTTTCCGCTTTCGAAGGAAGTACTCTTTTTTGTGGAGTCGGATGTGCCGCCGGAGTGCTCTTTGGTCTGACGACGCTGTGGGCTGTAGTAAAAGGGGCTTGTTCTTGACTTTGTCGGTGAAGATGCGCGTTGCTGTGTCCGGAGAGTGCGCACGAGAGAGGAGGGTGTGGGCTGGGTGCGAGATCGTGGCGGTCACGGGTGTTCGAGGTGAGGATGTCATGGTGGCTGCATGTAGTGGTGAAGGACCAGACTCACCGTTTGGGCTTATACTTACTGGTTGGAAGCATGAATATGGGGACTTGAGAGCCGCGAACGGTGGAACATGAAGAATATTGTTGCCGCAACAAACCCGCAGGTGATGAGTTCTGAAATTTAAATCGCCCGGCTCGGGATATCATGCTGCTTTACTAGCTATGTACTTCAAAAAGTCACCGCGATGCCGCTTTTGCGCACTTCCAAAAACTCCAAGTTAGTCGGACATTGACCACATGGTGTATTTGTCTCCTCGTAATAAGTTCTGTGCTCGCTCAAATCCATTGCCTATCTTCGACCGGCATAGATCTTGCACGTGCACAAAATACTCGTCTGACTGAGCAGTTCAACATATGGTTTCAGGCCACCCGTGATAGGAAAGTCTCCGCGAAGGTTTTGTGGAGCACTTGTTGATTCATTAATTATCGTCGTGGTTCCTGCTGGGAATGGATCACACATACTCATTAGCACGGAAGACGTTGCTTAAATTTAAGAAAAACTCAGCTATCTCACTGCACAATGTCTGAATTTCCTACAAAGACATATACTGTGGCCTCGACAGGCCACACATATGATTATATCCGCATCCAGGCATCCGCTCCAAGCAAAAGTACAATTGCGTTCTTCCATGGCTTTCCTGCTGTTGCCTCTGGATGGCGACACCAGATTAAGCACTTCGTCGATCAAGGCTACGGAATCATAGCCCCAAATGCGCTTGGCTATGGCGGCTCTTCCAAGCCAGAATCTCCATCTGAGTATCGGAGTCGGCTAGCGATTGCAGCTTTCGCGGAGATCCTAGATCATGAGAATATCGATACCTGCCATGGAGTTGGCCACGACTTTGGATGTCTCTTCCTGTCGAGACTGTATAACTACCACCCGAAGAGATTGTTGAGCTTGACATTCATTTCGGTACCTTATAATGCTCCAGGAGTTCCGTTTGATCTTGAAGCGGTGAACCAGTTGACCAAGAAAATGATTGGGTTTGAGAAGTTCGGATATATCCAATTCCTGATTACAGACCGTGCGCCAGGACTCATTGAGCAGCATGTGAGTCATTGTCAAGCTTCCTTTCTTTGTGGTGCCACCACAAGGTAGACTGACATGTCCCGATAGCTCGCCTCATTCCAGTCCCTTGCCTACCATAAGGACGTCATCACGAAAGCGGATAACTTCTATCCTCCAGGAAAACTCGAAGCCTGGCTAGAGGCAGATCGAAATGATCACAACGTGCTTACTAACTCGGAGGAAAGTGCAGCATGGTACGACGCGTTCAGTAAGGGAGGATTTCGTGGACCACTCAATTGGTACCACGGGATGAGTGGAAATATCAACCAGGAGGAGGAGAAGGCTGACTTGGCAAGTGGGAAAATGATCAGCAAGATCAATGTTCCAGTACTTGTCGTAGATGCAAAGCCGGACAAGAGCAGCATTCCAGGCTTTATGGAAGGGTCGACAAAACAGTATGCAGAACAGGTGACTGTCAAGACTGTTGAGACGCAGGGTCATTATCCGCACATCACTTCCAAGGAGGAGGTCAATCAGGCAATAGGTGATCTGATATCAGGGGTTGATTCGTGAACTTAGCTCTCGTGAGCAGAGAGACGATGTGTATGATATGCTTGACATGGGTGCATCACTCACCCTACCTGAATGAAACAAACCTCTCATCTCACCATCCCGACACCAAGCCATGCAATGTCACGAGGAGGAATGGGCGTTGCAAACAAAAAGGAGGTCTTCAACAACGACGCAAGCAATATTGGAACTCAAGTCTAAGGAGCGTCAGAAAAGGTAATTGGTTCCTCATACCTGCTATTTTTGACACCTTCGGGACCTCAGTCACAATCAGGCGGAATGGAATTGACCTGATATAACTCCCAGCTTCCATCCTGCAAGGCCCTCCACCGACCACTCTACATTGAATGTTACTACAATGCAGCAGGTCTCATTCGAAGAACATTTTCACCTTAATGTGGGAACCAATTCTGCAATTCTTAATTGTGTAGGTCTGTGAGTGAATTTTCTTTAGGTGGTGAAAGTGCTTGGAGGAGAGGCAGCTTCTCAATGGTACCAGTGCTTGGGTCGTGATGAAATGAAGGTCCCTATTACTACTCGCCACGGCTCAATGGGATGGCTTTCCATTCCTACGTTCGCGTCAGGTCATGTTTCAATGGCCTGAATATGGTCGAGCAGTACAGCAAGGCAGCTACAATGGTCAAAGGGATAATGGGACGCCTGTGAAAGTGAGGAGGATCCTCACACTGGTGGAATCAAAACAAAGTGAGATTAGCTGGATTTGTTGTTTGGAAGAGAAGGCACGAGTGAGGTCACTACAAAGAAAGGATCATCCGAAGAAAGTGATGTGAGTGGTTCACAATTTCATTGTTTGCAGTCATTCAGACGACCACTTGGTTGGTCCTGACTGCGATTCTGCATGCCTTTTGCACACACTGTCTCTCTGTTCCTGTGATGTTTGAGTGATGAGGACGCAATAAGCGTCAGTCAATCGCTCACATTCCTCTATTCGCACCATTCTTTGACACCAGCCAGTTCATGGAACTTCTGCTTGGTTTGCCACTTGTGGTCCTTTCAGTTGAATCCACGACGGATGCTCTGCTTGAAGCGGTCGAAGTATCCGACTTGCTCAGTGGTGTTGCCTGCGGTAGCTGGGATGGTGGTTAGAAAGATTCAACACGGCTCAAAGGTTTGGAAGTTTGAACTCACTTCCTTTGTCATTGGTGGGTTTGGTGCCAACATTGACATTGCTGAGTCCTTCACCCAAGACAGTCTTCTTGTCATCATTGTTGATCTCAGGTTTCTTGGCGAAGATTTTAACAGGGTCGAACTTGACGTAGGTACCAGGACCTCCATCTGGGCCAGGAACATAGTGCAAGTTCATGGCGTCTCGGTTCATTTTGACCAGACCAAAGCCGTCAAGTTCGAAGCTCTTGGGGATAGGTTGACCATTGGGACCGATGACGGGTTGGACCATGATTGGTGGTGGAAGATATTGACCTTGTCTCTTGCGATCCTCGTTGAAGACGAAATTGACTCCTTCGGTAGCAGTGGTCAATTCATCAAGGTAGTCAGGAGATGGGATGATTCTGGGGTTGGCAGCAGCAATGTAGAGGAGTTCGCGAAGCTTGCTCAAGGCAATTCTCTCTTGGTCGGTGACAAGCGGAGATTCAAGCATGTAATCAAAGGCGTTGAGGACAGGAGTCTCCATGCGGATGATTCCCACGAAGGCACTGTCCTTGAATTTCCAGGTGTTCACCATGATGCCCAAAGAGCGACGCCATGCTTCGAAGAGTTGACAGGAATCCATTGTGAATGGATGAAGGAATTGGAAAGGCGGAGACGCCGAGAGTTGACGAAAGTGAAAGATGGGGAAGAAAGGTATGAGTCTGGCGGGTCTTAAATAGACAAGGTCAGACAAGGTCGGCAAATGAGACGGGGGCTGACAGTGAAGACGAAGATTCTATCAGTTGCCACGGTCTGTCGACTTCACTGTTTGCGGCTATTGAACCTGAAGGTTGCAGTCAACGACGTCGTCGTCCAGCCGGTGGCTTTGGAGGCACTGAAACGGAAAATTGTTATGCCATGCCATGAGTGTTGGAAACATTGGCAGCCTGGATCTTCTTGCATCGGAAATCACGTTATCAGATTCGCTCTGCACAAAGGTAGACATGTACTCTTTATGGTCTCTTGGGTGTTGTTATTGCTATACTGGCATCGTTTCTAATCCCGTCATCTCAAGAACGACCTCGCCAAAAGACAGGTTTGGCCGTACAGGGCGGTCCTACAGTGACAAATGATGGACGCTATATGAGTAGATTTATATTAATCTCTTGTTCTCCGCAAATCCACTACCACGGCCTAGTCAAAATCACTTTCTGCAGTAGCCAGGGCTGTCAATAGAAGTCTCCTTGTCTCACAAGGCGAGATCAATCTTAATAAGTGTCCATTTCTGTAAGCTTTGAAGGCTATAAACCACCCAACATAATACCCTAGCTGCCTGTAATTGACCACATCGTATCATTCCCACAACCTCATTTATGTCTACCCCTGCCTGAATCTGGAGGCTACGCAATCTGTGGCAGCGGCTCCAGATCTTTGAGAATCTCGGCAGGGATGATAGCCTTGCCAAGAATAAGCCCAGCCTCGCAAGCCTCAGAATCTCTGCAGGACTCAAAGGGTATATGACATTCAGTTACCTGGCAGGTGCTTCGGGTTTAGATCGGCCTCAGAAACCCAGCCGAACACAAGGTGATCTCTCGGTTTGATGGTACGTTATCGACAGTAAGACAACTAATGCATCAATTCACCATCATTACTAGTGAGTCCTCGCCACCTATAAAGAACATATTTTTCCCCCTCGATGTCAAAGCAAGCTTCACAGAACCTCCAGGTGAAATGTCCTGTGGGCAAAACCTCGCTTCGAGTCGGCAGGCACAGTCATAATTTGACACAAGAAAATTCAGGGTTATGCAACAAATTATCATGGCCTTGCCCTGCCGTGCCCAACATCAACCGTTACAGAATATATGGTACATTGAGTGTCCAAGCTGACCATGGCATCAAATAAGTCCTTCCCAGTTGGTATTCTGTTGACCACAAGAAATAGTGTCTTTCCGTCATCACCCCCAAGAGTACACGCTGTGGCGTCTCCATCAACCTGAATCTTGTGCGTGATGTTCCCCTTTGCATCCCTTCTGACAAAAGCATTGAAGTCAAGCATGCTGAGCCAGATACCATCTTCGGAATCAATGCAGAACCCATCAATAGCGTGAAATCGAGTTTTCTGTTGCCCAGCTAGGAGTGGTAACTCGTCGACATTCCACACCACTTCACGATCCTCAAGAACACCATCGTCACCGATCTCGAATCGATTAAGTTTCCCAGCAAAAGTCTCCGCGACAAATAAGTTCTTGCCGGAACTATCAAGTCCAATACCATTTGGAAAGACGATGTCCTCAGCAACAATTCTGACACTCTTGTCCGAGTCAACCAGCAGAAGCCGGCCTTGAGATGGCTTCTCACCATGCAGAACACGCGCGCCAGTATCATCAACATAGATACGCCCTGCACCATCGATAACCATATCTCCGCAATATCCCGTCATGACCGACGACAAATCTGCATATAGCTCACTTATGCCATCCTTATACTGATACAATCTCCCATCGAACATCGAAGAATAAATGAGCGTTCCGTCATCCATAAAACACATCCCATTCGGCTGGTTTTCGACCTCCATCAAGACCTCTTTACTGCCAGAGGCGTCGATGGTGTAAATCTTGCGGCCTGTCATATCCGATATGTAAAGTCTGCCATTTCTCCAGCGCGGACTTTCTCCAAAGTAAAGCCCGTCGGCAAGCAAACGTAGCTCAGCGTCAAGAACCCCCATTGTCGAGACGCTTTGAGGATCCGGCTTGTTGTGAAGTCCGTCGGTGTGAAGCTCAGCAGCAGAATCATGGGAACTAAAAACTGGGGTAGGTGCGGGGATTTACCCCAGCCGGCTTCAAGTTGAGCACACAAGCATAAATGCCCAGATGCTGGTCAGGGGTATGTAGTTCAATAAAATGGTCAAGTAATTCTAAATTGCTATCTTCCTTGCTAAACTGTAACTTGTGTCATTGTTCTCCGGCACGTTCATGACCCCTCACCCTGAAGCTGTTGGTGTTAAAGGCGCCGCCACTGACCGTCACACGAGCATATTGAGTCTCTCAACTTTGCATTATGTCATCCGAGCTGCGGTGGGTCTGGGCGGTGCTCTTCGGGGTTTAAAGGAGGATGGTGGCTTTGTCGGATAAGCCTGAAGCCAGCCTTCTGAATCTGTTCATGGTGAGGTTGGGGAATCGAATGGTGTTCTGCCTTGTGATGAAATGCTGATGGGCTTGAGTCATGAACGAGATTGTTATCGTACTGAGAAGGATTTTGTTTGATTGCGAGGGATACAAGACGCCGATGCTTCACCTAGAAGGCTTTGTGTGACGGCATCATTGTGCTCTCCTCCAGCAGCAAAGTCTCATATTATCCAGCCTGGATTATATACGAGACCTGTCTTTCGATCAATATCCTTTGTTCTCTCTCAATTACTGAAAGTATGACGCTGTCTTCATCCGATATTTGATGATGATGGGACTGATGATGCTGAGGTCTTTCATCTTGATGCGCGACACGATTGTCCATTGGCCGGGATGGTGATAGGATTGTCTCCGTGTTCTGGTATTTCAAGATAATTATCAGCTGGTTGTTGGGTGGCAGAATGGAAGCGACATTCCCTGTTACCGTACCTCAATATCTCTTGCTGTTTCCCTCTTGCTTTTGACTATCCTCCACAAGATAACCGCCGAGGGTGGTAGCGTTACTACCAGCCCTGCAATAGCCACAATAGCTTCAATTGAGATGTGAGGCATTATATTTGTGGAATAGATGTTTCATTGAGTTAAGGGGCGCTATGCTGGAAAGAACTCTGATTGATACAGCAGAGAGTTTGAAAAAAATGTAGGAGGCTTCGTATGTCGTGAGAGTCCTCCATTGAAATAGTTCTGAAGTTGTATAGATAATATCCTACTAGGTAGCCCAGAATCTTAGGGAACGGACAAAATCTTTTGTCGCCGAACAGGATCGAATCAGATATGCTAAATGGTATCATGGACCCACTCTCGACCTTCTGAATCCCAGATTCTGGGAGGTACGATCGCTGTTTCTTCTAGCAGAGTCCTGGATCGTTCTGACCCTCCAGGGGTTGATAGACGATGGGTACGATAATATCTCGCGGTGTGGCTGTGATTCTCCTGGTCGAATCATCCTGGTGGTAGGTATTGAAGGGAAGTCCACCAGATTTTGGTTTGGGGCGGTGGATGCGGTAAAAGCATGCAAGATTCTGGCACTCTGCCAATGAGATATGACAGAACGCGGTTCCAGATTCTGGCTCCCACCAATAAAGCAGGTCGGGCCAGGGCACCAGAATCTGCTCAGGCTCAGGATTGTTTGTCGAGCTCGATTTAAGATTTTGGGCAGCGCCAGTTCCTATCGTTAGGCTTATTTCAATATTTGGCTGGGCAAATCCTAGGCTTTCCAGAATCTGGCTGGAATGTCATCAACGATCATTTACCGGGCGTGACCCTTTGGTTCCTAGGTAGTGCAGTACGAAGGTGCTTTTCAAAATACCATTGAAAGATGAGCTCGTTGCTTATGCTGCAGAGCAAGGATGCCAAATTCGACCTATCCAGATTGTGCTGGCCGAGCGCGCAGGTACCAACCAAAACACTGTTGGAGTCGTAAAACTCTGAGCTGATTATATCGCTCACAAAACATGAGTACTATTGAAGAGAGACACCCAAGGTCCCCAGACACCGAACCGTGCATTGTCAGTCCCATACATCCCAGGCCTCATAGTCAAATACTGATTTCCCTGTTGTTTGATGTTCAGGCTGCTGAGAGTGGTGCCTCTCAAGAAGCCGACGAGCAGCAATGTGACCATTCTCTGAAGCAAAACTCCGTGCCCGTTCGTACTGCCTACTCCCTGGTCCTTTGACTTGTGCGCCAGCATTGAGAAGAAATTGCAGCATATCAATTCGACCATGCTCAGCTGCTCCTTCCAGTGCTGTTCTCCCCCCGACTTTCGCAGGTGCAGCATTTATGTCAGCTCCCTTCTCCACCATGACAACAGCGATTCCAAGATAGCCCTTGATAGCCGCAAACTGTAGGGCGGTTGCCCGGTCATATGGAGGCGCATTCACGTCAGCCCCATGCTCCAACAGAGTCACTGCAATGTCTAGAAGTCCCCGTTCAACTGCCAGTTGCAAAGGTGTCCGTGACCTTCTCCCATCCAATCTCAAATTCACGTCAGCTCCGACGCTCAATAATTTCTCGACAAGTCTTAGATCACTCTCGTCAACAGCCGCCGTTAGAGCATCCTGACCGGTTCTCTCATCCACGATTTTGTTCACATTTGAACCACCAAGCAAAAGCATGTTTATCACCCAGAGATCTTTGCTCTTGTCAAGTCTTATCGCAAGCCCCAGAGCAGATTTTCCATACCCATCGATCCAGGTGCTTATAGGCAGGTCGTCTCTTGTAGAGTGGTCTACCGTATAGCCATGTCTGACAATACTGTTAGGGTCGATGCTGTTCAAGAGCAGTAACTGGATCATGCCGGCATTTGATCCAGCAATGGCATGCTGTAATGCTCGACAGCCAAACCCACAGGGGTAGCGCTTAGCTCGACCTAACTTGCTTGTCAAAAGCATTTGCATGATTTGTTGGCTCTTCGGGATAGCCACCACCAATGCCTGTTCATTTACAACAGCTCCCAAATCTAGAAGAAACTGGGCCATGTCTATGGCATTGTTTTCCACGGCCGCGACAAGAGCTGTATATCCTATAGCCTGAACAGCAAAAGCGTTAACATCAGCTCCGTTGTCAATCAGGAGATGAATAGTTGGAAAATCATTCTTCTCGACCGCCACCATCAATGCTGTTTTGTTGTTGAGTGGGTCCAGGGCGTTGACATCAGCACCAGCATCAAGTATGTCTCGAATACACGAGTAGTCGCCCCATGATACTGCTTCTGGTAGCACTGAAGCAGAGAACGGACTGTAAATCTCTCGGAAAGATTGCTTTTCCGTATCGACTGCTGCTCCTGCAGCCAGGAGTCTTTGGATGAGATCAGCATCTCTTTTGCATATTGCCTCTCGAAGTGGAGTGCTCTGTGAGTCACCTGACGGTATATTTACGTCCACACCAGCCGTGAGAAGCAAATCAGTGACTTCAACTCGTCCGTTGGCAATAGCACAGCCCAACGCACCCTCCAATAATTCCACAGCGACAGACCGGTGAGGTGAACCGTCATTGAGCAGAAGGCGAAGCACAGAGATATCTCCCCTTCCGGCTGCAGCCTTGATTGCAGCTCTGAGTTCGCCCGTTTTTCGAAGCTTGAGATCAGATTTAGATAAGGCATTGATAAGAGCTTTATTATTGTGGTGTATGGCTGCAACAAACGCTGCACGCTGGAGCTCTTTTCTTACCCCAATTTTCGCCGAGTCTAGCAGAAACCAAAAGATCTCAGGTTCACCGCAACTTGTAGCGTTTTCAATTACCTTTTTCGTAAGGGGAGCCTCATGACTAAGGAAGAGTTTGACAATATCCAAGTTGTCTGTCTCCACGGCAAGGATCAATGCACGTTCGGTGACTAGTGCTCCTCTGTCCAATAGCAATTTGATCAACTCGGCTTTAGTGGGATGGGTTGATTGTTCCAGCACCGACGTTCGCTCATCGTCGTACGAGGAGGAACATTCAGCAGATGCATTAGCACCAGCCTGAAGCAACTGGCGGGCTATATCGATGGTATCGCACACAGGTCCATTACTTATGCATACATAGTGAAGCGGAGTCATGCCAGTATGTTCCTCCGAGAAGTTCGGGTCTGCACCGGCAGCAAGAAGGACAGATACAAGTTCCAAATGAGCGTTTGCCGCGGCTTCGATAAGTGGGGATGAGCCCACAGCAGGATTGACATTTGCGCCCGCACGTAGTAGAAGCTGCACCAGTTCGATCCCAACATGGTCCATATAGTTTCCACGGTCATCGAAGTGAGCAATGGCAATGGCTAAGGGGGAACAATAATTGGACAGGCATAAATTGACATCTGCCCCTGCATCCAATAACACTCGAACGATATCAGCATTAGGGAATTGGCACGCGCGTTGCAGTGGGGTGATCTGCTGGCCCGATTCGTCAATGCATCGGAGCTCGTTTGGGTTAAGGCCAGAATCCAATATCTTTTGGACTATATTGGCGTCTTTCATCCTGATTGCGAGGGCAAAAATTTGCTCTGCGAGGGCTTCGACCGTGGGTTCATTGATGGAGAGAAGATATTCGATTAGACATGCAGTGGAGTGGCGCTTAATCCATTCGTAGGCCTTGCTGCTCGTGTCGAAGTCCGGTCTTAGAAGGTTGTTTGAGAATATGAACAGAGTCAGATTAAGAAAGTCAACCGCATGCAATGAATTACTTGATGTTCGAGTGGTCTGTAGGTCTGCAGCATGACCATTGACAACATATCTGGGCAACGCTGCTTTGAGATTTCGATGAAATGCTGATGAGCGATCATTTTTGCCAATACGCTCTCCAAAGTGCTCAACGATGCTCGCCTGGAAATCGTCTGTATTAGTCGCTGATGTTGTTTCAACACTCCCGGGATTGTGCAGGAGAGTGTGTGCTGTATATCCATCATTAGTAGGCAAAGTTGAATTCTTGGTCTGGCTACGAGATGGCAAGCAGGAGGCAGATTGTGACAACAGCAATGGACCAAAAAAAGGGTCACTGAGGTCCAACGTCACATCTTACCTTGGATGTTGACCACCGATTTGAACTGCATGAAAGGAATGGAGCTCATGAACGTAGATACACGACTTGTTGGAGTGAAGAAGATTGGCGAAGGAGAGGCGACGCGATGGTGCAAAACTGAAGCCCCATGTCGTGGTGTAGATATCGTGATGCCTTTCGGTGTTCGTGGTGACTGTGCTGTCCCTGTCATGGAAAATTCATCAGCTGCATGGAGTGAAAGTGGGCGAGACTACCTTGCAAGCTGGGGCCGGGCCTGTATCGGGATATTGCTTTTTTGACCTTTGTAGACTTCATTGGAAGCCCGTAAATGCATACTTCACTTTCCTTCTCGTCTCTTTTCCGTTTTGTTATCTTGTGAGCCACAGCAATCCATTCTTCACTGGACAAGTTCTTCCGAAAGTCCCATTTCTTGAAATAAAGTTCGAGTTGAGCTTTGCTTGGGCACGTTAGTAGTCAACTCACGCCACCAAGGAAAGCAGTCAATGCTTACGTAGTCTCGAAACCATAGTCCTTTGCCAACTTGTTCTTGACTTCACCAAGGCTCTTGTCTTCCACTAGATACATTGTGCGGATAACGTCCTTCAAATCCTCCCATGATGGATTATCAGCACTGCTCTTGGTAGTTGGCCCAACCATCTTGTCTGGCAGAATAGGCAGAATCAGTGCTAAGTGTCAATGGAAAAGGTGAGATTACAAGAAGATCGGTTGAAGGTCGAGGCTGGGGAGGTATGACATTTATGTCTCAGCGTTTGGGCGTCATCCCAGTGAGTGCTGCGAAGTGCACAGATTTTGGCAGCCTCCCCATGCCGGGCTTGCAGGTGCCAAGGCTCAAGCAGCAAATGATTCGAGTTGAATGGGTGCGAATCCTGGCAGTTTGCTGAGGTTGGAAAGTGGCGGAGTCTGGGGTCTTCATTGGGGAGTGACCAAAATCTTGCTGCCGCTCTTACTCCGTAGAATCGGTGAGCAGTTGCCTAGCATTGGTGCCAGCATCCAGAAGGCCAGTGGAGCGCTGGTCGGGCGGTGTTGGGAGACAACCCCAGCATTGCCCAATTGTAGTTCAAACGGGGGAGGCAGACTTGGTCGTGCAAATAACTGACTCCCGTATCCGGAGAGGCTCACCGAGTAAAAAGGACAGTCTTGCGGACCTCAACACATCTCAGAGTTCGGAGAGCCATCTGCGCACGATGAGGTCGGAATACCAATGCTTTGAGGCACATCCTCATTACTTGTAGAACACCCCGGTATCTTGGGTATGACCGGATCGAGCTCAGTCAATGTTATCCAGAGAGAGGATGAAGTCGTTGAGTTTCCAGCATTGCAAACGTTGAGTTCTGTTTGCACACAAAATGTTGCATGTTTCCTTAATTGCTTGCGGCAGACTTTGGCACAATGCAGCTCCGGTGGTGTCCGGAGTCTTAACACTCGGCCTATTTTGTGGTTTACAATATTGTCTCTGATAGCAGCAGGTATTTTGTGGGATAGCCGACTTGAAGTTACGCATCCCGAGTTTGGTTGGTATTTATCTGGCTTGCATTGATTGATGTTAGATCTCAAGGCTGGCACGAGCACGTTGCTGGCCACGGCTCCCCCCAGGCATCGGGATTATTTCTCCTACCCCACAGTCCCGGGCAGCTTTAATCCCGACCACTCATCCCACCCCTAGTTGCTTGGGTTATGGAGCTACTTTCGCAGTGATCATCGTTCCAAATTGTCCCGGTTTTTGAGAAATCTGGCGCTGGCAGTACTTGGCGTCAGTGACTTGTTATGTTACAGAGAAAACGCAAGGTTGCCCTGGCCTGTGACAGATGCAGGCAGACAAAAAGAAGATGCGATGGTTTGCGACCAGTATGCAATCCCTGCTCAGCTAGGAAACCTCCTGCCCAGTGCACATGGTCTGCCGACCGAGTCAAGAGTGTCAGGTAGGACAGACCCTGCATCACTTATTGAGATTCCCAAGCTCTTGGTTCCAATTGCTTTAAGTATGGTCTTAGCCCCATCGACTGACACAAGAATAGCTACGTGGAAGCTCTGGAGACACGGATCAGAGACCTCGAGCGGACTGAGGAGGAAAGCAGTTTGCATAGGCCACTTTCAAGTGTTGAAGTATCAGCGGCAAACCAATTACCACTCGCAGGAAGGACTCAGCAAGCAACAATCGAGAATGACAGTATCTCCTCTCCACCAGCGGATCGTTCGAATTCAGGCAGGGAACCTGGCGATGACGATGAGGACGGGACGGCTGTGTCCGGGGTTGATGCCATGGGCACGAGTTCAACCTATCTTCTTTATGGAGACAAACCGGAGCAACCGGGCCCCAACTATTTTGGCCCTTCTAGCACAGTCAGTTTTCTGTCTCTTGTCCGCCAAGTTATATCTCGGACAGGGAGTCCTTTGTTATCGAAGGGCATGTCACCTGAATCAACAGCCCACGAAGAGAGCTCAAAATCGAAAGGAAACTCGCAACGTCTGCATCATGTTACGAGCAGGTACCGAGTGACAGCATTCCATGTTCCTCCGCGACGAGAAGCAGATGTGTTGATGGCGAACTATTGGACTTGGGTTCATACCATGTACCCCATCCTTCATAAACCGACCTTCGACACCAGATATCAGGCACTATGGCAAGTGTCTGAGCAGTCTCAAACCACGCTTGAAGATATTCTCTTTCACTGCAGGCTCAACGTAGTGTTTGCCCTAGCAGCACATTTTCGATCCGAGATCGCTCCTCTTGATAGGAGGAGCATGAGCGAAACATTCTTTTCGCGCTCAGAGCACTTATTGCCCATGGAATTGCTCGATTTTGCCAATCTCGAAATGGTGCAGAGCCTTGTACTCATGGCACAATATTTGCAAAGCACAGACAAGCCGAACTATTGCTGGAGCATTGTTGGACTGGCCATCCGAATGGCTCAAGCTATTGGCCTGCATCTTGATTCTCCAGAACGAGTTGTTGCCGGGAAGAAGTACGATCAAGTCGACGTTGAGGTGAGAAAGCGCGTCTGGTCAAGCTGCATCCTGTTGGATAGGTAGAGTCTCCCTGATACTCAATCCTGTCGACTTCATTAACAATACTACCTAGAGTTCTAGCAATGACATATGGAAGACCACTCATGATGCTTTCACAAGTTTCCCAACGAAGTCTACATCTCCCTTCACCAATTGATGATGAGTATCTTACGAACTATCCCGAAGCACCAGGCAAGCAGCCAGATGGGAAACCCAGCATGATGGCCTGTTATTCGCAGACTCTTATGCTGCAAGAGATTCTTGGCGAAATACTGTCGTCCTTTTATCAAAATGATCAGACAATTCCTCTATCAGGCCCCTCCCCCAGGAATCCTTCTGCCGAGGTAAGTAATTCGACATTGGTCAGCAGACTCAAGAACGGCGATTTCCAAGACTTGTTTCGACTCGAGGGGAGGCTGAGCTGTTGGTATGATGGTTTGCCATCGTTCCTCAAGGTTCATCAGACTGCTTCGAACGTGCACTTTGTTCTGCAGAATGCTGCCACTGCGGTGCCAACAGAAATCATTTTAACCAGGCAGGCGAACGCACTACGCACTCGGTGAGCCCTCATCCAAAGCAGTACCTTTTGTTTTACCAAGGCTCATCGTGAAAATAGATGGCTCCATGTCCGCCTCTTTCTCTTCCGTCCCGCGTTACTCGCAGTTCTAGACCAGGACCAGAGTCCGCTCACAGCGGGCTCCAGCGTAGAAGGAGGGCCTGGCACCTCACTTTTGCACCGAAAGATGCTGAGTACCCTGGCCGACCTGTGTATCCAAGCCGCTGAAGAGTCGATCAATCTTATATACAGTAACTCACTTACAGAATTATCTGCATTGTCTGCGTGGTGGTACAACGTGTTCTGTGAGTCCATCGAGACTGTGGATCCTCAGGTTCTGTCGCTAACCCTTCTTAGATCTCCACAACTGTGCAATCGTAATCCTCATTGCCCTACAGTGTCCTTGTCTACGCGAATTGAGGCAAGAATCAGATCTCCAGCAGACCTGGCGAAAGTGTTTGCAGGGCCTGGAAGGATATAAGAAATACAGTGATATCGCAAAGCGATCACACCGCGTCCTGCAAATGATTGACAGGCAAATCGTCGGACAAGAGTTCGGTAAGTCGTCCAACTCTCGGTTTTGCATATCTCGTACCATGTTAATGTTCTTTCAGATCGACAGCATCCATCTGTCGGAATAATTCGATCACTTGCCGCATCTCCTGGAGGTGGAAATGGGATAGAGTCGCTTGCTGGGGCCATGCCGACGAACTCAGCGGAAGAATCACTTACAGCCTATGGATGGCCCTCTGATATGCAAACCGACGCATCTTTGTTCTTCCCAGATGGAGACTTCTGGATGGGCGACTCTGGTGACGTCTCTTGGTTGTCTACTATGCCTTTTGTGACGGGAATGTCCTGAGGTGTGCTTCCTGTTGGTGGGGTGGGTAAACCATTACGGGCTGAAGACTGGAGATCAGCAAAAGAAAAAAGATAGCCTAGGTGTCTTTTCTGTAAGCGAGACTATGTAGATATCTTCTCAAAGCCGTTAATGACTGACATTGACATATTTCGCTACAGAAGACTCTCATCAACCACAGCTGAGGGTGAGTGGAGCATCGACTGGCTTTCTCCACGACACTTTGATGGCTGTCAAGTTGAAACTCACAGCATCTTCTCACCAGTAACTATCAGCAGTGTCCCCAATGATGAAACAAATTGACTTGTCGATTTCTTGCTATGGGCGATCGTCGGTTGATGGATGCATCCTCCCGGGATAATGTGGCACGTCACGTCAGAGACTTGGACAAGAAGCATGAACAGATATTCCAGCTGCTGGAGGTGAAAAGTTCGGAAATAGATCCCCGCTTTCAAAACAGAATTGGTTAAGCTCAAAAGTCCGCCACTGCCAGAGTCTAACCAATGCGCGAAATTACGAGGCATTCGGTTTGGGTAAACGCAAAGTTACCTGGTCCCTTTTTTAGGCTTTGATTGCCCAGGTAGGGAGGTACCTACTGTAGGCGCCCTCGCTTCTAGGCCTGCGACTCTGCGAGGAACTCGGTATCTGTCCCTCGTAAGCGGACTTCCGAGTCATGCAAACAAGCGAGCGAGGTGCCCCCGGGAACCCCGTCTTTGGAGTTGAACTCGCTAATCTTATCGCCACGCCCAAAGGCTAGATATGGACTGGTAATCTCCCCATTCATCTCCCAAAAATTCTCAAAGTTCCCAGACTCCAAAGTAACACCATCCTGTCGCGTCCCGAAGGTTTCGAGTGTTGCTTCTCGAAGTCTATTCATCGTCCTCCTGTGGAAAGTGATAGAAGACACAGTTCCTCGAGAAGTTCCGTACTCCTCATTTCATGCAAGCCGCCTCAATAGCCTGAGCTGAAACCATGCCCAAAGTGTCGCTTGAGGCTGCAGTCAAGCGAACGATGGCGTTGGTGGCACCCAATGGACCACAACTTTACGTGAAACAGTCTGGCAATTGACCGGATCAGTTCACCACGGACATTTGAACACGATGACCGTTGGCGCAACGGTTGATGCAGGTTGCAAGTTGCGTTTAGAAGGAGGAAAAGTCTCTGCCACGAGTAGTCCGGATCGCGATTCAGCAGACTCCAGAGTGGATTCAATGGGGTCAGTCTTGACATAATTGGCCCTTCCAGAATGCAGGTACGGTTTTAGTTTCCCAAGTCAGTCAAGAGTTGCCATCTCCATCGTTCGTCTGGGCTGTCGCCCTGTGGATGCAACCACTTTTCAACTTCCACCACCGAAGTTTACCAGGGTGCCCCATGGCGTCGTGTCAAAGTTCCGATGTACTGCAACTGCCAGATACTTATGATGCGACCCCTCCTCCTTTTCACGCCCTTATCGTCGTTCTCGGGCTTCACCTCGTTATCTTGCATTAACCAAAGGCTTGGTTTAACATTCTCGATCCAGCATGCCTCTCAACGTACCCTCATGGCTACGATGGTATCGAAAGCCTTCTTATCGTGACTTCAAGACATTCACTCAGACGATCAATGCCGACATCGAACAAGGTGTCACGTCGAGAGCACCTTCTATTATCTCTCAATCAGATGACACCATCCCTGGTTCACTTACCCTGGATCGTGTCCTCGCCAACAAGACATGTAAGTCAATCATGATATCGAGGCTCTGACAATGAAAGAGCAATTCTGTGAGTACATTTGCTTACTATCGTGCCACAACAGGTAGTCCTCTGAGTTTGTATGATTTTTATATGTATCTCAAACACATAGAACTATCCCCAGAAAACCTAGAGTTTTATATATGGTAAGGGCTCCAAGGAGCAAATCGGGACAACTTCACTGACAATGAGGAAGGTTCAGAGATTACGAACGGCGATATCGTGAAGATGCAAAGTCGAGTTTTCAAGATGCTCCAGTAGCTCATGACACAACAAAGCTACTATCTCAGGAACGTGGCACTGCCATAAATGTCTACTCGACGATCAGTCCTGAGCGCCAGCCTTCACGAGAGGAAATTCAGAGCAATGGTATTATTCCTGTACAATTTTCACTTAGTCTTAGCTAACACTATGTAGACTTCCAGCGGCATGTTGAATCCCTAATGCCCACACAGCATGGTGACCACGCGACATCGTGTCAGTCGTGCAAACGGGGATGGCAATTATGGTCGACATCATCCCCTACATCATCGAACACGACGCTTCACGAGTACAGCAACAAACAGGAACTGCAAGCGATGGTATCATATTTCCTGACTTCCTCATCCCCTAGAGAACTCAATCTCCCAGACCGTATGCGACGAGACATCTGTTCCAGGATCGCTACCTCGGACGCCCCAGAGACACTTGCACCTATCGTGAACCATGTCTACTACCTGCTGAAGAACTGCTCCCATCGCAACTTCATCCGCCTTGGCGTCAAGAACGGCACATTCGAAACTCTCTGCATGGTGACCATCGTCGGAATCACATTCATCGCTCTCGGCTTCCTCGTCATGCTGCTCATTGCGTTCGCGTCACCTTCGATCCATCATTCAATCCGCTGGCGTGGCCTCGCCGCCGCACCGTTCTGGATCATCGGCTTCTCCTTCATGTTCGCAGGCACGCGCGGCTCCTGTTTTCTGCTTCTTCTCTTCACACGACGACAGGAGTTGCCCTGGGAGCGTATATCGAACGACGAGAAAGCAGCACATAGCCCTAGAGTCTCGGCACTCATGAGATTTTTCAGCAAACTCATGATTTCAGAAAAGAAGATCAAAGTAAATGATCAGGGATTGAGGAATCTGCAACATAAGATTGTCATTCAGAGTGTTGTGGGGTCGATCTTCGCAACGGCGATTCTTGAGGTGGTGTTTCTTTGCTTGCCAATCTGGAAATGATCGTTCGCTGCCGGTGATGATATGAACAACTCTTTCTATGTTGGTTTTGATACCCCACGCAGATATTCCGGAGTGGCTTTTTTGGCTTGATGACTTTCATGATGGCTGGGGCATGGATGGGATTGGAATATCTAGGAGTGTAACGTGTTAGTACGTATGGAGGACGCTTTACCCATTTAATCAATTGTTAAATCACTTCTCTAAATGGAAGAGACACTATTATCTTTATATTTGAGAATTCTACACCTTTTTCCTCTTGATAAGATAACCACATAGGTAGGAGTAGGTAGTACCTCGTAGTTGAAGTGACACTTGGTCCGTAATTTCAACAAAGTCGACCATTTGCTGTGTTATGAAAATCCGAAAGAGTGAGGCCGAACTCCAAATCTGGTGCTCAACATCCCTTACCGCTTGCCTGGTCCGTAAGTCGAAAGGTCGCCAGGTTTACCTTTGCTGGGTGACAAAAAACCGAATACAGAAGGATGGGCATCTGCATTAGGCGACTGACTAATGGATCTTCATGGTGGGCGACTTGGGCATCAAATTGACCATTGCTGGGCCCTGAAAAGCCAGAATGGGGCAATTCTCCCAGACTAAACAGGATACTCGTCATGAGATACTTGGTCCGTAAAATCACAGTCACCAAGTCATTTGTTTGCTGGGCCATGAAAAGCCGAAAAGGGGAATATGGAAGTCCAAGAGAGGTCAGTGGGCGACTTGGTCCGTAAAGCCAACCAAGTTCCCCAAGATCAAGGCCTCATTCTCTTGGAAAACTACAAACGAGATGGCTCGTCGAGGTACTCGTACGAGAGCAGAGCATCGACTTCTGAATGTCTATTTCTAGTCTATGGAATCGTTGGCAACGCTGATTTATGACAACTCGATATGGAACCCGCTTCTAGGATCGCACTCAGATTCGCGCGAAGTTTCAATGCTAGGTCGAGGACATTGCTCAGAGACAAATCCAACTGATCACGAAGGTGCTACAGTCGACTCATTTTCCATCTCCCACCACTCCTCATGCAACCCTCTCAGATCCAGCGTTCCATTCACGGCCTCCTTCCGCAGGTACGGTGAGAAATCCACACTATCCTCACCCTCCTGACTCTCCGCCGCGATCTTGTCCTTGACACTCCATCCATTCCCGAAGTACGTGAATCGATTGCCTTGCGGGTTCCTGTACGTGTATTCAAAGTCCTCCCACCTGACTTCTCTCCGCACGATGTTCAGGTGTGTTCCTGAGCCGGGCCAGATGCCGTGGATCCGTCCGCCAACAAGTCCGCCGTTGTACCACGACGAGCATTGCTCGGAGAGCACGGTTTTTGGGAAGAAAGACTCGCAATACGCGCGGAAATCACGCGTTGCTGCCCAGGATGGTTGGATTGTCCGGATGCCCTGGGTGCGGACTTTGCGGAGGACTTTTGCCAGGTACGTCACCTGGTTCTCAAGGCTGTGAGGAAGAGTTCCGCCCGGGCCGGTCGAATTGGGTCCCAGGAGTAGGAAGAGGTTGGGGTAGTCTGGCGCAGCGAGTCCGAGATACGAGTCGGGGAACCCCGGTGGACGCCATTTGTCCTGTAGATTTGTGAATGTCCCTTCCTTTGGTGCTCTCCGAGGCAAGTCTTTGGGTCCGTAGATAGGGAATGCGGTTGTGAACGATATGTCTGCGCCTGTGGCACATAATATCGCGTCGACTTCCCGGTGAATTCCATCGGTTGTCACAATGCCCGTGGGAGTGATGTGAGAGATTTTGGTGTTGATATATTCCACATTCGGTTGAGCAAGCGCTTCGAGATACCCGGGCCCTGGTGTTAACCGACGGCAGTTGGGAGAGAATCCCGGCGTCACTGCCTTCAACAGATCGGTTCTTCCGTCGAGACGATGAGCCATTAACTTTGTGAAGTCTTCCCGTGCTTGAACACTCTTTTGGCCATTCTTGAAGATAGTACCAAACCGAGTGTAACTTTTAGCCTCGACCGATTTTCGAAAGTTGTTGTATTCCTCCGGCTCCTGTGGCGCCAGTTCCCGTTCGTCCGAAGTCGAAGGAGGTATTTGCTCACCTCCGAATGAACCAGCAATCCAGGTCGGACTACGAGCATAGTGATCTACGTGAGCGGCGACCTTCTGAAGCTGAGGAAGCACTTGAAGGCCACTAGCTCCATTGCCTATCAGCGCTACCTTCTTCCCGGTCGGATCGAATTTTGGATCCCACAGGGACGTATGTCTCAGATGACCTTGGAATGTTTCAAGACCGGGATACTTAGGGAGCCTCGGATCACTGAAGTGACCAGTAGCAGTTACAAGGAAGTCTGCGGAATCGGTGAAGGTTGTCCCATTGTGCGTCACTTGGACCACCCACTTCGCTACAGCCGGAGACCACTCAGCGTCGACAACGCGGTGATTCAATCTGATGAATTGTTGCAGATCGTATTTATCAGCGACAGATTTCCAATATGCCTTGATCTCTGCTCCTCGGGCGTAGTTGGATGACCATGTGGTTTTTGGTGCAAATGTTGCTTGATACACGTCGGATGGTACATCACATCTTACCCCAGGGTAGATATTGGCATTCCATACTCCGCCCTTGCAGGAAGTTAGTCATGATAGCGCCAGAAAGAGTTGAGTACCTACCACGTCTTGATATCTCTCGTAGATAACAATCTCAAGCCCAGGCACTTTGTGCGTGAGCAAGGCTCCAGTGGTGATACCGGCTGGGCCTGCGCCGACAACAATTACTTTGATACTAGGATACTCATCGATGGGGTGGTCTTCAAGTTCCAAATAGGGGAATATCGTTCTTAGCGGTGCTCTTTCTGGCTGGGCAGGTTGCGCAGATGTATGAATTTTGAACAGTTCGTTCGACGACGGCTCAAATCCATTCCGGGAGGTTGTCACTTGGACCGGATCTTCGAGAGCATGAGGCGCCATCCCGTTTGCAGCAATCTCACAAAGATCCCAGTACCGGGGAGACTTGCTGCTCATAACATGAATCCCTTGGTGGGAAGCTGCAGAAGTCTTTCATGAGCCTTACTGTAAGCATGGCGGAGATCCACGCGAAGGCGTGCTCGATCTATCTTTCGCACTTGGGTCTTTGCCCATCCCGACATCTCAGATAGACACACTAGTTGGTGTAACCTGGTTGGGCTCTGGTGTGACAAGACTCCATGTGGCCTGCCGTTCTTGCCGCTGGTCCTCACTGTGGCCTATGGTGTCTGATATTCAGGAATACGAAAGGGCTGGAGGAGCATGCAAAAGACGTGTAAAACACGTTGGAACCTTTCCTCGGTTAAACCCCTGACGACTTGGCATTTTCCACATCTCGGAATTCAGCAGTCAAAGCATCAGCTTCCTTCAAGTTCTTGAATATGCATTCTACTTTGATAATCCTTCAAGCTACGTATTCCACCTTAGTCTGTTCTCCGATGAGCGGCTGATGTCTTGATTTCGGCTATTCGGGCTTCGACTTCGACACCTCCAGTCAACTGTGGAGTGCCTGTGGCAAAGCCTGCCGCGCATTGATACGTTGTTTGCCATGAAGCTACAAACAGAGAATGATTCGGGGTGCAGACTGTCATTTTAATCGTCCCACTAATCAACTTCCTGAGATGATTTGCTCTCAGCTAAGCGCCGTTTGTCTACGAGGGATGTCGTCTTCAAGGTTTTGCGCTTCAGAGGTTGGCTAGTATCCCCCTTCAATGGTAGCTACGTTCTTCAAGAGTCGTCCGGTCAATTCAATACTCGTTGCTTTGTTGACAAAGCAACCCTCTAGCCTGGTTTGTGGAGATATACTTCTAGGATTGTGGAGCCAGATATTATCCCATGCTTTCGCTAGCATGTTCCCTTGGCCTACACCGGACCCAGTCGTTTGGATGGACATGTGGTAGGGCAACCCCACGAGTTATTAATTTTCTTGCACGCCATCATATACGGTTATTGCGTGTACTTGAGAACTGTACAATGCCTACTTCCCCTTTCGATCGATCTTGTTGCTCACCGTCTCCACACTCCGGCTGTCGATGACATGACATTTTCGCCCAGGCTATCGTTGCACAGTCATCCATTTTTGGTTGAGTGTATGGAAATACCAACTTATCAGGTTGCTGCGCATCTTCATCCAAGAAACCACAATCATTACGATACGAAATCTTTTACCATTGGCTCATACACCACAACTCTTTGTTGATTCATCGGCCATGGGGTCACTTGAGAATGGACCGAAGGATTCGAACAAGAAGCGTATATATCTCAATGCTTTCGACATGTTCACAGTTGGCCATTTGTCATTTGGTCAATGGAGGCGACCAGGCGACAGAGCTAGTGACAAACGACGAGATTTGACTTATTGGACTGACTTGGCCCGTCTGCTCGAACAAGGTGATATCAATGCCCTTTTCATTGCTGACACATATGGCCAATATGATGTTTACAAAAATTCATCTGACACAACTATCGTCACTGGCGCACAATTTCCAATGGGAGACCCAGCTGTGCCAATCTCTGCAATGGCATCGGTCACCAAGAATCTAGGCTTTGCTATCACAACGTCAACGACATATGAGGCTCCATACACAGTTGCTAGACGCTTCTCAACGCTCGATCATTTGACGAAAGGTCGCGTTGGGTGGAACATTGTAACTTCTTTCAAAGAATCTGGGGCTAAGGCCATCGGCATTGAGCAGGTCGATCACGACAAGCGGTACGTTGTCGCTGATGAGTATTTGCGGGTACTCTACAAGCTATGGGAAGGATCTTGGGCCGATGATGCTCTTTTGGAGGATCGCGAACACGGAATCTATGCAGATCCTAAAAGAATTAAAACAGTCAACCATCATGGCCAGTATTTCAATGTCGAAGGGCCTCATATCTTGGATCCCAGCCCACAGAGAACTCCATTCCTGTTCCAAGCTGGCACATCTCCTGCTGGCATCAAATTTGGTGCGACCCATAGCGAAGGCATATTTGTCTCAGGTCTTTCACCTGAGATACTTGCACCTCGAGTACGAGCAATACGGGCCAAAGCAACTGAGTTAGGACGTGACCCCCAGTCAATAAAGATTTTTGCCGTGGTCACTCCTGTCATTGGTAGGACGCACGAGGAAGCAGAAGCAAAATACCAGGAGGCACGCAAATACGCAAGTCATGAAGGCGGCCTAGCATTTTGGTCCGGCAATTCGGGTATTGACCTGGGAGAATTCGACCCTGACACCGAGATCTCAGAGAGCGATGCCAAAATCGATGGTCGTGTGCATTCCCTTGTATCCAGTCTTCAGTACCGTGGAAATGACATACCAAAGTGGACACCTAGGAATATCGGCCAACAGATATCCATCGGTGGCAATGGACCGGTACCAGTCGGAACGGCAGAGGAAGTTGCCGACGAGCTGGAGCGCTGGGTTGAACTTGCTGATCTCGATGGGTTCAATGTCGGTTACATTACTACTCCTGGCACTTTCGAGGAAGTAGTAAACCTCTTGGTACCTGAACTAAGACGAAGAGGAAGGTACACCCCTCAGGGAGAGCAAGGCACCATGAGAGAACGAATTTTCGGACCAGGCAACTCAAAGGTCAGGAGTGACCATCCTGCAAGCCAATATCGGTTCGACGTGTACGATGGTAAGTAGTGCCGCTCTAGAACACGCCCTCGATAGTACGGCTCGGTTCAGTCCTGGTGTACGTTCATCAAAATGATCTCTCCATTTGCGGAATTGTACGCTCTCAACTCTGGCATAGATATTTGACCGACATGACTCTCACGAAGAATGCCATCTGCATTGTGTGGAGACAGCTTTCTCCAGCTGTACCTCGGTATCTATGATAGGGTGCTTGTGGATGTCGCCATCAAGTGAGATGTTTGCGAAAAGGCGCCGAGTGGAAATGTAATTGGTCAGTCTCACGGCCCAGAGCTTCAAAATTCCGGCTTTGACGCGGCTCAATAATCAATATTCCAAGTTCCTGTGGCAGCAATGGTCAAAACATGTCTATACTTCAGCTCCACACTAGTGCGATTCCATCAATTAGTACCATGTGTGGATTTGCGTGTCAATGCCGAGTATCAAGTATCAAAGTCCTGGATAATCTGCAATGAGATATTCTCAGATGAAAGATTTGGTGGCATAATGGGAACATGAAAATGGTGAGAAACCCGATGTCATCATTTTCTAGCGGCTCCAATTTTTCAACCCAATATCATGCTAGACCTTTGTGGGATCTGCAGCCAGATAAACCCGGCCTGCACCCGTCTTTCACTTGGATGCGATATTGGATAAAAGGGACTCTGACCTGAGCATTGGAGTATTAAAAAAGACTATTTTTATCTCTGCCTCCAATACACTTCGACGTTCACAATTGGCAAGACCATTCCTTCCAAATCATCAAAGCTGAGTTCGTTCAAAGATGGATGCCGAAAACGGTGTGCATCAGGCACAGCATCAAGAACCAAAAACTAAATGGGCCCGGTTCCGAGAAATCATCTGGGATGGAGAGCGAGAGCCTGAAGAGCGACGACTAGTGCAGAAACTCGATATTTATTTAATGTGAGGGCATGCCTGTGCTTTGCGGTTCGATTTTCGTGATTGGCCTGACTGTCTTGCACAGGAGCTGGGCGACCTACGGCTACTTCATCAGGTTATTGGACTCTGGGAACATCAGTATGTTCAAGCTTGATTCTTTTAGACCTTAAATCGACTGTACCTAACAGCTACAGTTAATGCCTACGTCTCCGGAATGAAAGAAGATTTGAACTTTCATGGCAATCAGTACAATTTGCTGGCTACTTTCTTTACATGCGGATATCTGGTCGGCCAGATCCCTTCGCAGCTGCTCCTCACCAGATTCCGTGCCTCGTGGTATCTCCCAACAGCTGAACTCTGTTGGTCGATTATCACATTTGGCTTTGCAGGAGTGCAGAATGTAAGGACGGTCTTTGCACTCAGATTCGTAATAGGAATGCTTGAAAGTCCATTCGCCGTCGGCGTTATCACAGTCATGGGTGGTTACTACACGAAAAGAGAGCTTGCTAAACGCATCGCAATCTTTTATTCCGCAAGCTATGCAGCTTCCATGTTCAGTGGCTATCTTCAGGCTGGGATATATAGGGGGCTGGACGGCAGACTTGGCCTCGCAGGTTGGAGGTGGCTGTTCATCTTCTGCGGCATCATATCACTCCCAGGCGCTTTCTGGGGCTACTACGCCGTCCCAGATAACCCGTACAACTCCAAGGCACGATGGATGAAGCCGGAAGAAAAGCAGGCGTACATCGCTCGCATGGAGGTTGTTGACCGTCGAAGGCCTGTCCCGCTGTCATGGGCGAAAATCCGCAAGATTTTGTCAGGTTGGAGGCTTTATGTGATGGTTTTGACCTTGATATGCCATTGCGTCGTGACTCAGCCTCTAAACTATTTTTCTGTGTGGCTGAAGTCATTGAATCGCTTCTCGGTATATCAAATCAATCTCTTCCCAACCGCAGCACAGGCACTGGGTTTAGTCACGACATTAACTTACTCGTGGATCTCAGACGCTCTAGGTGGGAAGAGGTGGCAGCTGTTGATCGTGCCAGCTGTCTTCAACTTTGTGGGTATGGTCATCGTTGCTTCATATCCGAACTACGGGGCAGTGTTCTTTGGATATCTGATCAATGCTGCTTCCTGGGGTTTTTGGCCAGTGCTCTATGTAAGTTCAACAAAAATATTCCCATCTTGCAGGTATAAAAACTAGTTCAAAAGCTGACAGACCAAACTCCAGGCATGGGCCAACGAGTTTTGCCATGATGACGCAGAGGAACGTGCCATCGTGATAGGCGTTGCCCAAACTTTTGGTCAAGCCTTCATCGCTTGGGTGCCAGTCTTAGTCTTGAATGTCGGGAAATACGCTCCTCGTTTTCATCTAGGCTTCAGCGTCATGAGTGGTGTCAGTGTTCTGCAGTTTGCCATGATCTTCGTCCTCAGGTTCTTTGTGAAACGACAGACGGCACAAGAAGAGTTGCAAAAACAACAGGCAGTTGACTCAGCTATCGATGGCGACTCCGATGGTATATATAATAAGAGATCAGATGCCAGCAACAGGGGTGATGGTGTTGAGTCACTGAAGGACCCTGCCCATGTCACTGAGGTTCGTGACAAGTATTGACAACAACAAGCTCTCACTAGCCCGAGCATCGTCATGGCTTACATGGAGTGATGATAGAGCACAAGAGAATAGCAGTAAATCGCTAATGAGTAAAGCCAGCCTTGATTTTACAGGTTGTCACATGACGAAGGCTCTTCTTTACCTAGCGGGGTATCTAATTACAACTCCATCTATCACTTTACAATACGCAACCATCTATCCCCAACAAGTCACGTTTATTGTATAGGCCACTGACGGTCTGCCGAGTCTAATGTTACATCACCTCTTCGGAACATAAAGCCTTTGATACAATCGACTGTCGACGCATGGGAAACTAGGCGGGAGCGCAATTGTTTCTGATCTCTCGAAAGTGGGCTCCGAACCATACACTGCGTTCCCTATTTCACAGGGGAATCGGCTTTCTACTCGGGTTCTAGTCTTGAATGCGAGATCATGGGAATCTGATGCAATCGACCTCAGAACGATAAGATAGCCATTTCTCCATTTCGCCATTTTGCCATCCACATTTGTCACCAATATCTCGGCCCCTATGTCCATCCAGGAGCAATCCCTTTTCTTTGAGAAGCTTCCGCCCGAGATTCGGCTCAAGATTTACAAGTATGTGATCGATAGCGCAATAGGCCTCTACGATCGAGAATGGATTTGGGATGAAGGCGAGAAGGGAGACGAAATAGTCCCGAAGGATGGCCTCAGATTTGATGGGCTTCAATTGCTCAGGGCTTCCAAGAAATTGTTCCACGAATCGGTTGCATACGCCAACAGCACTTTGCAAGAGGTGAAATGCTCCAGCGACTGGTTTGATTTAGTTAATGGAGACAACAATGTATGGCAGTTCTTCGGGCGGTTCCCTCCAGTCCTTTGTCACCGCCTGATGAAGGTCGTGATGTTTGCTTCAAATCTGGATGTTGAACAACTCCCACTTTCAGTGAATTGGCAGGATAGTTTTAGTCCCAAGAGTCACCATTTCCCAAACTTGCGAGTGGTTGAAGTCTGGAAGGATGTTGGCCGTGGGTTTTCGATGACACAGACAAGCGGCTTCTGTGACCATGTCGCAAACCTACTTTTGTGCCCAGATGGGCCTCAAAACTTTGGCGTCGACCACGCTTTCATCCAGAAAACGACCTTCGGTCCGAATTTCATCCATCCTCAACTCGCTGATTTCTTTCATACCAACAATTTCATTGTGCATGTGAAGATCAATTTAAGGGTTTCCGTATGGGAGCAGTACGGAGGTTGGCCATACCGGCATGGTTGGCGTAAAATATGGATCGATGACTACTTCAAGCATGTGAGTCAAATGTATGAGAAGTTTTCACACTACACTGACAGTTGAGATAGACTTTGGTGTGGACCGAAGATCATGTTGCTCTAATAGATTGTCCTGATATGAGGCAGGAGCACTGGTACCCAGAATGGGTTGCTTCGCCTCGATATCAGCGGGAGTTCGATTTCCTCCTGGACCGCGACGACATTGATATGAATACTCTTTTCGTTATATGTATTGATGATGCAACCGGAGAATGGGGCAACGACAGGCATGACCGGAAATGCGAAAGCTGGTCTGACGAGGATGAAGGAGGGAGACGAGTGTTGCATCGGTTCAAAATGCCCCGCGGTTCGGACAAATCGTGCGATACTAGCATCCGAGACATTTTGGTCACCGGAGAGCTCAGTATTCAGGATTCTGGGCTAGAAGAGCAGACCGAGGTAGTTTATTCACGGTATGGATGATTGAGAGACTGGGTGGAACAAAGCAAGCTCGCAATTGGCCATGGTTGAGCCACGGAATGGATACTTACCGTCGGCCACTATGTCTCTGTGTCTCTTATATGTGTTTTAATGGGCATGCAACTTTATGATTTGAATGACTCTCATATCTCGTTCAAGACATGACCTCGGTACTGCATGTGGAGTTTATCCTTCCAGCCGTGCGTAGCTTCTATATTGGGGCTACGACAGACAGGGGCTAGAGCACATAGAGAGTAGAGGATATACTTCGGCCGTGGTCGGTGAAGCTGATAGCTCACTGCAAATCTAAAGTCTCCAGCCCAAATTATAGCTAACAGTTTCAGTGGGGAACTAGCTTCTAAGGAGCCATGGTTGTCCTCTGTGGCAAATGATGATAATGAAAGGGTAATTCATCGAAATGCTTCTGTGCGCACGGTAATCCAACTTCTACTTCATGCTAGACGCATGGCCGTGCACGCTGAGATTTCTAGCACTACGCATAATGGGCTGATCCTTAGGGTGAAACCTCCTATCTGGTGACAGCCTCGTCTATGGCACAAACGCGTGCTTTGCCATGGTGGGACTCACGACCAGTGAACATGTACAGCTCATGCACGATGCCAGCTGTGATTATTAGCATTCGTTCCTTTGTCCCCTTCCTTCTTCTCGTACAAATAAAATGCTCGCATGGTCTGAAAAGGTAGGCAGACAGCTTCAGAAATCATCGCATACAAGTCTCCAGCTCTGACACCGAAAGGGATAAACCTATACACAAGGAGACGAAATTATATCGACCAATGCTCGCCATAATGGCTTCTCAAAGCCTCAATCAATCAATGTTGGCCAGATTCAAGGCACAGACGTCGCCTCAAACACAGTCTCCGCTCCTAGAGAGACTGCCGATCGAAATCCGTCTACAGGTATATAAACTCATCCTCGACCAGATCACAGTGCAAGATGAACGACGCCAAAGCGGAGCGTGGCGAATTGAGGGGCCTCAGATACTAGCAGTGTGCAAGAAAGGATTCTGTGAAGCCCTTGAATATGCTACTCGCGTCTCATACATCTTGGACTGGAGAAGGCAGAATACTAATACCATACCTGCATTCTTTGATGCCTTCCCGATGAAATTACGCCACCGTCTCGAGAAGATAACTCTCCAGGCAGGGCGATTTCCATTGAGAAAGTGGGATTCAGAACTCAGTGTAAGTGGCTTCTCAGCATTAAGAGTGATTGAGCTGGTAAATGGAGAAAATCAAGCAACTGCAATCGAGGACAGGGATAAGCCAGCATTCTTCGACCAAGTTGCCAACCTCATCCGGTGTCTCGATGGCCCAAATGCATTTGAGAGCGAGGATAACTTCGCCACCCAGGCCCTGGCAACCTACTGCAGCCCGACATTTGTGCACTACCTCCAGACTTCCAACGTCCTGGTCCGAACAAAAATCGATCTGCGCTTCAAAGTCTGGGAAAGATTCAAGCCCGAAACTCCATTTCAGGTAGGATGGAAAGCAATATCCGTCTTCGAGTACTGGGACCTTACTATCGAATGGCAACGCGACAGTGTCAAGCTTGTCGATTGTCCTGATCTGAGGGACCGGCGTTGGTACCCACGGTGGACGGAAGTACCGAAATACTACCGCGAATTTGAGTTTCTATCTGGAGTCGAGGAGCTTCCAGAGGATGTGCCTTATGTTGTCTGCATCGATCACGCGCTACCTTGTAGCTGGGGGGATGATTGGGGTCTTATGGAGTTTATTCCTGGTAGTTGGCATTAGGGGAGAGAATGCATGCATTCTATAAGGGCAAGTCATTATCTAGTTACTGTGATGAGGGATAAATAGTACAAAGTCCAATGCGCATGCTGAAACAACGTGCTCAACAGACCACACACTATGCCTAAGGCAGGACCTCAGCTGCCAAGTGATGAAATATACTGTGCAAGATCTTCGTGGACCATGGGGAAAGCATTTAGATGCCTAGTTTAAATCGCACTTGAAGCGTGACTTCTTGAATATTTTGCATGGAATTTAGAATTCCACGGACAAACAGCAAGGTGGACGACCTGAAGACAAGAACGAATGAGATAGCTTGAGCATTCTATCAACGTGATCTTTTATTTTCTTTTCAAATAGATGACAGGAGCAAGAGTCTGAGATAGAAACACCACATCATCATCCACAGCAACACAGACGCACACTTCCCAATGACACACTCACTCCTGCCCTCGCTCAGCATAAACACTCGCCTCCCCTTTCGCCATATAATCGAAGCTCTCATCGCTGGTGGTAGTGGCCGGCGGACTCGGCGTACCAGCGTCATCCTCATCAAACGCAACCACCTTCCCAGCCAATTCATCCTCATAATCCGCGTCGTCGTCCTCAGCACCACCAACGCGTCGTCCCTCCCACAACAAGCCGTCACCATAGCCCCAACCCAACCCCTTCTTCGAGCGCTTCACCTCCTCCTCCATCAGACTGAACCCACCTTTCCCACCCTTGACCCCGATCTCATTCAACGGCAGCGTCCGCCGATGCCACTCGCCGAGAAACATGCCCTCGGGGTCCGACTCATCTCTTACCTTGAGGAAATCCGCCATGTCGGCGCCGTACATATCTCCGATCTCGCCGCTGGTCGTGTACGCGAAGTTCTTGGCCCAGTGCGGCTTGCCGCCCATGTCGCGCATCAGGTACTCGAAGGCGCGGTAGTATGTCTCGTGACACGGCGGGTCACGGCCGTAGGGCCGATACAGCGTCGCGTTGAGATACAGCGTTGGCTCGTCCTTGTCGGTCGGGTCGAGAAACGGGCGCACACCGGATTTATTGGCGCTGGTGTTGGTGACGCGCACTTCGACCGGACAGTGCACCCAGACGCCCTTGCTGGAGATGGGAATGCGGGAGCTCGCGTCGTCGTGGTTGATCCATGCGCCGAGTCTCTCCAGCGCCTCGGGTCCCTTGGAAAGTGGGAGGGCCCACTCGTTCACGAACTGACTATACAGACAGTCCATCAGGAGGCCTTGACGCGCGGGCTGCACGGCGGACATGACGAACGAGCCCGGCTTGAAGCCGTATTGCATCCCGAAGATGAACCATTCCACCCATGGCAGGATACGTGGAAAGGTGTTAGACAGATACAGCAGATTGTGGTAAACGTAGTAGCCGAATTTGCCGCCATAAAAGGTGGTGTTAGGGGAATGCAGTGCATCGGTGCTCTTCTTGCCGCGCCAAATCACAGCTCGCTTGAGATATGGCAGCCACCAGACCCTGGTGAATTCTGCATCGGTCCAAAGGGTCTTGGACCAGTCGTCGGTGACGGACTTCAGAGTGTGCAGGGATTGAGACCAAGAAACGTTGAAGTCCGGCACAGCCTGCAGGGTGATTTCGGTGATGATTCCCAGCGAGCCCAGGGAGAGCAGGGCGGCGCGGAAGAGGTCTTCATTCTTGCTAGCGGAACACGTGACGAGCTGGGAGTTGGAGAGCAGGATCGTCAACGACGTGATGGACTGCGATATCAGACCGTGTTTCAGACTCGAGCCATGCGTGCCGGTCGAAATGACACCCGCGACGGACTGCACGTCGATGGAGCCGAGGTTGGGCAGGGTGTAGCCATCCTTGGCCAACTCTAAATTGAGGTTGTGCAACGACATGCCGGCCTGGAAGCGGGTCAGGCCAGCAGTGTTGTCAACATTCCTTTCGAGTATTTGCGAGAGATTGTCGAGATTGATCAGCCATGATGATGTACATGTCAGATCGGAGGGAGAATGGCCAAAGCCGGTGACACACAGTCGCTTCCTGGTACGGCGTGCCGCGGTAACGATTTTCTGTAGTTCAGGCACCGACCATGGCTGGAAGTAGAGCTCTGGCCGAGAGAAAAATGTCTGCGCCCAGGTATGATGCAGATAGCGCGTTTTGGGATTAAACGGGACTGAATCATCCATGCGAGAAAGCTCGCGCCTTAACTTTGCGTCGAGATAGACATTGTCGGTAGGCCCCGATGAGAGGTGGGATGTGTTGGGATTCGGTTGGGGGAGGTTAGGAGCCGCCCAGTCCATCTTGTGATTTGCTAAAAGCTAGTCGAAGGCGTTTTGCGATTGACGGGTAAGTTAACGCATAGTTGACGACCAGATCAGCGAGTTCATTTCAGTGATTAGATGGATGTAGCACGGACATGGGGAAATGGAGATGAGGGAGAAATTAATAAAGTTCCGAGACGACATCATGATAGCTGGTAGTCAACCGAGGATCTATTATGTAATCAATCGTTCGTCTCATTGGTTACAATTCCACGACACTTTCTGACTGCCCGATCGCCCAGGCTCAGGCTCTGGCTCTGGCCTTTTAAAATGCTACTAAAGTGTTTCCCCTGGCAAGAACATAATCAAATCATCGTTCAGATAGGGTGCACACGGAAGCTTTTGATCATACACAATGACAGCTTTTTCCTCATCTATCAATCATCATACTCCAAGGTCGTACGACCTGACGGTGCCCAAATGTTACCCATTCATTTCATCCACCTCATCCTGAACGCCGTGTGGCAAGACTCCCTACCAGGGAAATATACAGCAATGATTTCAAGTCGAATGTGACAAAAGCGTCAGTGTAACAGCATCCTTCAATAGTTGAGGGATGGAGTGTTTGTAGAGAAATCACCACTCAGGTCATAATGCGAGGTCCAGCTCTTGTGCAACTGCTTCAAGTCGGACACAGACCTGATTGTCACCTGATGGTGCTCTCGTAGGAGACCATTTTCGGAAGACTGCTTTGATTTCTTGGGGTGGGTCACCAAGTACGGTATAACAGTTGGGAATCAGGGGTCTATCCTGAACCGACGGACAAAGTACCGCGATTTCCTGCGCAACTTGTAGAGCTGTGATGAATTCGGCAGGCTTTTTGGCCAGTGAGCCAATGATACTAGAGACTTAGGTTAGTCAAACATCCAAGAAATAGTAAATCAAAACTTACACATAAATAGTATTGTAGGCATCGAGGATGTAAATGTGATTGGCATCCAGATCCCGCTGGGTAAAAGGCGAAATTTCCTCAACAAGTGCTCTGGGAGATTGCTTCGGAGGTGAAGATGCTCGCAGTCCCCAGAAGCCACCTGATGATTTTGGTCGGTCATGCTCCACACGATACAATCGGCTGGAATGATCTTTGGAGTGCTCTGCACCCGAACGAGTCTCAGAATTCGGGGTTTTCTTTGGTGCAGAGCTGAAGGAGTCCCAAAAGCCGCTAGGTTCAGACCCCTCGGAGATTTCCTCAATCTCTCCAGTCAGACCCAGATCCATACCAATCAGTCTTGCACAGCCGACGTCCTCTTGATTACTACCATCGCCTTTCCAAAGGTAGAGTTTTCCGAACTTAGCGGAGATCAAGAAAGGAAAGCCAGAGATCAAATTTGAGCCTGTGAATTCGACTTCGTCAAATGCCACATGTCCAAGATGGCGTCTGCCGCAGAGCATGTAAAGAGCAGATGATTTACTCTTTCGGATGATGAGAATTCCACCAAGGGCTTGGAAGAACTCGGAACTTTCCTTCCCTTGCTTGACCACCTCAAGTTTGGCGCTGTTATCGCGGGCAACCTTGCGGCAGAAGAGCTGCGCGTCTTCAACAGCAGCTTCGGGTACTTCATCACCACACCAGAGATATGTTTCAGTAGTCTTGGCCCCAGTAGGAGACTGCATGGTATGAACACACAAATACATGCATTCCTCGAACAAAATGTGCTCCTGCTGAGGTGGCATTGCTGTTCGTTTCCCATCGCCGGTTACCTCCCAAATTTGCTTGCTCAGTGTTTTGGACTTTTCCGAGGGCTTGTTCTGCGACACTAGGAATGCTTGAGTGTCAAATTCAGCCTTCTCTCCTACTTGCGGTGAGGTACCAAAGAATGTTACGAGCTGTGTCTTGACCTTAGAGTGTGATTTATCCATTGGCTTTGGCTTACTGGGCGATGGCCGGAAGCGAGACGGAGCAGGTCCAGTCTCTGGAGGCGGAGTCAACTCCGGAGTAGCAGCAACTTTGCGGGATGACGGCTCAAGTTGGAGGCCTAGACCTTTAGGCTTGCTTTGGGTACTGGGTGTAGATTTGCTGGTATTGTCCATGCTAGGTTTTGACTTAGGAGTATTGAGATTGGATTTGCTTGGTGTTAGTGGTCGGCTGTTGGGAGCAGGTGGCAAGAGCGAAGGAAGATTTTTCTCGCCATCGGATTCAGGAGGTGACGCAACGTCCGCTGGTCGGTCTGCAAGAACCGCAAACTTCTTCGGAGTAGCGGGTTTTGCTGACAGATCCTTTTCCATATCTTTCGACATTAAAGGTTTTGCTCCAGACCGCAGCTCGGCATACTTAGGGGAGACAATCGGTTTGGTCTCTGAAGTTGATTGCTTGGAGTCTGGTTTTGCAGCACGTGCCTGAATAGCTCCCTCGTCGATGGTTGAAATATTGGGTTTGGCGTTTGTACTATCTTGGGCGTGTCTATCCTCGTTCTCATGCAGTTTGGGAAGTTCGATGTTTGAACTGGGTTTTCGAGGGGTTGGTTTGGGTCCTCTCGATTGCTCAGAAGTTTCAGCTTTATTGACAACAATGGTACTTGCGATGGGAGGTCCTAAGATGGTTGGTTGTGTGGTAGCAGGGGTTGCGATGAAGGGTTTTGCGGCTGCAGCAGATGTCGTGGCTGGTTTTGAAACCGGAGGGTATGACATGGATGGCTTCGGCGACGGTAGAGGCGCAACTTTGACTTGCACCGGTTCAGCTTCAGGTGCAGGCTTCTGTTCGCTCGAAGCTGACTTGGTTTGGGCAGCAGAGGTGGCCTTGGGAGTGCGTCTCTTCGGGCCTTTAGCTCTTCCTTTTGTCACATGGGTCAGCTCGCTCGATTCTGTGGCTTGGTCTTTGTCTTGCACCGCACTTGTCGAAGTATTGGTACCGGTAACTTTGTCTTCTGCTGGCCGAGGACTGCCACTGCGCGACAAAATTCCAGCCAGAGCAGGATTGAGGCGAGCGGCCAGCTTACTGTTCTCGGGAATTCTGGCTTTGGATCCTGCCTGGACTGATGGCAAATCATTCGTCTTGGCTTCGCTGATTTCGGGATTTGTGTTAGTCTTACGCAATGTAGACGGTAGAATTTTCCCAGAAATGGTTGTTGGCGACGCTTTGGTACCGATGGACTCCTCTGATAGTGATTTTGTCTGTAGGAAGGAGGGCGATTCTTGGGTCGAAACGCTTTCTTTCTTCGAGCCCAGTGGCTTTGGTGGGAGATCACGGGACAATGCTGGTGTGGCTGGCTTGTCGTTGAAAACCCTGTTGACTTCGATTATTTCAGTGGATGGACCAGTCTTGTGCAAGCCAATACGTTTGGCTAGTGCCTCGGGCACAGGTTCAGTTGGCTTTGGTGAATTCAGAGACTCTGGTCGTTTGCCTATCGATCCACTACCAGTCTTCATTGCTTCCCTTTTTTGCAAAATACTTTCTTTGAATTCATCAACTCGCTTACTTGGCTGTGGCCCACCGGTGACACTCAAAGCCGCCTTACCCTGAGTAATATTGCTCTTGAGGATATCCGGAGCAACGTAATTCTGTGTTTGGGTTCGCTTGAGCTTGCCAAATACGGCTTTGAACTCTGGTTCATCGTTCGCATTTGCTGTTGATGGAGCTTGGCGAGACTTGAGACTTGCACGAAAATCGGTCTTGGGTTGCGTTTGCGGCTTTGGTTTTAGGACAGGTGGTTTGAATTCCGATTTTGCTTCTGGACTAGAAATACTCATCGAGCCAGAAATGGCAGATTGTTTGGCAGGTGTAGTAGCAGGAATCACTGGCTCAATGGGTTTCTCATCCGCTGTAGGTTTTACAGTAACGGGCGTGATATTTCGCTTTGAGGGTATCGCAGGTTTACCACTGGAGCTATCCAACGCATTGGCAGTCGAAGGAGGTGACCTAAGCGGAGTCTTTACCGAGTCGTCAGCTTCTGACATCGGTCTTGTATTCTTAGCCCCAGTCTTGGAAAATATGTCACCCGAAGAATTGGGAAGGACAGGGGATGTCTGATCAATTGGTGGCGACTTCAGAGGCTTGGTGATGACAGCGGTCTTTTTGAAATCATGCAGGTCCTCGGAAGAAAGAGTTGTACTCTCCTTGCTTCGCTGCATATTGAGCTTCCAAGCTGGAGTTTCAACTTTCACAGGGGTGAAACGGGGCGATTCAGGCTTGTTAAGGGCACTCTCAAGCCAGCTTGCTTTGGTCGGACTCCATCGACGGGTTTCCAATGCCTTTGAGGGACTTCGAGATAAAAGACTCTCTTGTGGTGGAGGTGTAGCTGGCCGAGATTGTCGGATAGGAGATTCTGGGGGGTTTTCATCTCGCTCGCTTACAGCTCTATCTTTGGATGAGCTTGCTGACTCATCCTGTGGCTGCGGCAGGGGTCTACCCCGTGTTACAGGAATAGGGTCAGTGCCATGACTTGAAACTGGTCTAGAGCTCGACAAGGGAGAGGAAGTTCCCTCTCTTACAGCCCGAGTGTCTTTCGAGGAAGTTCTGCTATGACCTGGCGTGTAGCCACTCACTCCTGTCAGGTGTGCGGGTCTTGAGGTAGCCACAGAATCTCCTCGCTTTAAACCTGCGTTGGCTTGTACACTCCATCTCTTGTTTACGCTGTCAGATCTCTTCATCATTGCACTTTGAACGAAGCCACCCAAGCCTTTGGTGGGCGATGGCGGACGACCCGCTGATGACATGATACTCGACGTTCGACCGAGACCAACGGAATCTCCATCCGTAGTGTTGCCCAAATCTAATGGCTTAAACGAGGGTAGGTCTAGGATTGGAGATTTCGATGACAAGGAGACCATTGAAGCAGGCCTTACGGGAGTTGAGGTGTCGGGACTCGAGCGCGGTTGCATAGAGAAGGTCGATACTGTCTTCAGAGGAGAAGGGGGTGGTGTCGGTTTCTGAGGCTCAATTCCAACAGCGGTACTTGAGTCTCTGGACATGCCTGGAAGCTTGATACCACGGCTAAAGGCCGTTGTCGAATCTTGGTCGAATTCATTTTTGCGGTATGCTGCTGACCCAATGCCGCGATCTGCCGTTTGACGGAACCACGCAGGGTCTTTGCCCGCTAACGACGCAGCGATATCCTTCCTTGACATCTCCTCTGGGGTTTTTGGTGGACTCGTAGACATATTGGTGAATGAATCGGGAATCGATGCCACAGATTGTGGGCGCGTTCTGATCGAACCGGGTCCTCGCGAAGCAGGGCGTTGATTCCAGGATAAAGTTCCACTTCTCGAGAGTGAGGATGCGTTCGCTGGGGCACTCGGCACCGAGGATCTTTCCTGCGAAGGTTGTGGAGGAAGTGGTCGTGCAAAGTCGATGGAGGAAAGTTGAGGATGTTCCGCAGAGGGAGAGATCGAGGAAGAGCGCCCAATTGTTTTCGATTGCGCCGGAGGTGTGAGAACTACCGGGGGCTCGATGCCTCTACTTCGGGAAGGCATGCCGTCGCCGATTTGTCGTAATGATGGGAGAGGGCCTGTTTTGGAGGGTGAAAGGGATCGAGCACGTTCTGTCCAGAGTGAATGAGACGAAGTCTTTAACAATGACCAGGTAATAGAAGGAGATCATACCAGCTCTTCTTGCTTGCCGCTCCTTCCGTGCCTGTAGCATTTCTTCCTCGGCTCGCTTTGAGCGTTCGGCCTCTTCTTGACCCTGCTTCGAACTGAGGCTGGCAATTCGGGCGAGGAATTGATCCACCGACTCTGAGCCATCGTTTGACGCGTCCATGGCTGGCAAGGGATGTTGAATTTGAATATGAGCTGACTGGGTAAAGTTTGATAGGAGACTCCAGAGGCTATTGTGAAGGCATTATTTGCAAAATGACCAGCACTTAAAAGGAGGACGGCAAGCAATCACCCAAGCGATACAACTGCTCTGCAGGAATGGTTCGGGGAGGAAGAAGGAAAATCTCGTCCGGCTCGAAGCTTGAGGGAGCGCCGGAGCAGCAGCAGAAGGGCGTAGACCGGTAGGATGGTAGATTATGGATGGTCTTCTTGTTGTTGATGGAGTCTGTTGATGGTTTTCAAGAAAGGAAAGCGGGCGCGTCAGTCTCTCCGCAGCCGCAGCCGCAGCCGGGCAAGTCAGAAAAGTCAGGTTTTTCCGAGAGTTTAAAATGGAAGTGTTGGTAGCACACACTAAGAGCTGCTAGGCCGGTTTGAGATGGAATAGAAACAAACATGAACCGGAGGAATATCAAGCTGCGTTTTACAGTACATGGTTGAGCTTTTGTTCGAGTGGCCTTCAAATATACCCAGACTCGGAGAATAGTAACATGCTACTACTGATTTCCCTTTAGTGCTTGGCCGATAGAAAGGTCACCTTCACGATTTTCAAGTTCAACTTGGGAGCTCAATAGTGACCCTATGGCCAGCTGCAAGTCTTTACAGGGGTGCCCATGTCTCTAGGCACCAACACTCAAGGCATTCGCACTTGATCAATACAAGAACAATCGGTCCCTTGCATCTTGAACAACCCAATCCAGGCCCTTGTCCAGATTCTTGCCAGTCATTGCGCTACACGGGATAACAACCCACCTGTGTGTTATGATCCTGGCCAAAGCGAGAGATCTCGTGACTTCCTCTTCGCTCATGCAGCCAGGTACGTCGGTTTTGTTGAGAAACACTAACAAGCTTGCACCAGAAAGCCTCTGTTACCGCCAAGTGTCAGAAATTATCCTGATATAGTTGCAACACCCCGTTCTCACCTCTTCCAGGAGCAAGCCCTGCAGTTCAAGTCTGCAGTCTTCGATTCTCAGGCGGTCGGTAGCATCGACTACCCAAATGAGAGCGTCGGTCTTCTCAAAGTAGTTTCTCCAATATGTACGGATGGTCTTCTGGCCTCCGACATCCCATATGTTCAATTTGTAGCTATGGCTGTCAGCATTGGCCTTCTGACGGCAGCATCTGTAAGGGTGCTGAGTACCCTTGGAAATCGATCGTCTTGATATTGAATCCCAACGTAGGACTGACAGTATTGACATCCTCATTCATGACCCGTTTCACGATGGTAGTCTTTCCTGCATTGTCAAGACCTCTTTAGAGACACAGTCAGTCTCAACTGTTGGTATCTGCCTGGTGGTGTAATTCTCACAACATCAAGACACGCATCTCCTTGTCCTTCAGACGTGCTTTCCGTAGAATAGACAGCATTGTGGCTAGTGGTAAGTGGTAGACTTCTGCCTCATTGTATCATGAAAGGATCAACGGTTGTGCTCATCGACTGAGGCACATGTTGGTCTAGATACTTCAAATTCGCGGGCCACCATGTAGAGTTCCGCACATTAGTGGTTGTCGGTGGAAGGCGCTAATCAGGGCGCTAAATAGGACGCTAGAGAGGACGCTAAAGACGGAACAGGCCGACTATCATCATACTTCGATACTCCGTACTCCGTACTGGAGAACATGTGCCTTGATAATTAAGTTCATCCCCTCAGTCATCTACCTACGACGAACCAATACTCACTGGACAAGAGGACCTCAAAGTACTACTGTCTCAATGAGTCAATCACCCTAAGTTCACTGCAAATCTCTGCGTTCGTGGCAGTGAGTGCTCACTCTGACCCTCAACGCCGAGATTCGCCGAGCCAGTGTTGCTCCCCTTAGAGACCACTTGATTTATTTGTATCTATCTGATTCCACAATATTTTATTTCACACGGCTATGATTCCATCTTTCAACATCTGTCGTCGCCAGCTTCAAGTTGAGATCACCATTTTGGCGGATAGGAAAAGATCCTGTTTCACGGCTTAAGCAGCATTGTCCATACGCCAGCGAGGCGCTCCTTCCCTGGACATTCTATCACAAGCCACTTTTCCATTGACTTCGCTCCATTCTCGACAACATGGATCCAGATCCCCCAGTTGAGGAGGTAATTGCTACATATAATCAGTCACCTGAGGTCGGCATGAGCTCTGATGTCCCGCCTCCCGTAGCCTACCCTATCCCAAAGGTAGTGTTGCCAGACTCTATTACCATTGCATAATTGACGCTAGTGTTCAATAATAGGAGCCAATGGAACGAAAGCGTCCGATGTTCGATCCCAACAAATACGGGAATCCTGTGGCTCGTAAGGTCGAAGAGGACAAGCAATATCCGAAACAGCCTGGACCATCCGATACCGAGCCGAAATCATCGCCTCCGGACGATGCGCCAGACCCTGCGGATAAGCTTGAATCAACACCTCCAGATGAGGAGCTACAGGGCAAGGACAAATCGGTCTCATCGTTTCCAGGCCTGCCGAAGGAACTTGAGGACAAGCCAGAATCTCAATGCTCAAAGACGTCTGAAACCCATGAAACCAGTGTCCAACCTACACGGGTGGTCCAGACCTGGTGCTTCGAAAAGGCTACTCCTCAACCTGGCAGTGAATTGGCAGATCAAGCAACCAGAAGTGATGACACCAATCAGCTCAGTAACTCTGAGTACGACAACTCACGCCATGAATCAATGGCTGAAAACACCCAGGGTGATATGCTTGTGCAAGCACCAGGGTTCAATTGTCACCCCTATGGTCAACTTGGCCGCAGTCGACCGACCAAAGTGACCTCACCTGAGTGTCGAACAGACCCTGCTAGAGTAGTCGATGGTACTACAGCGCCTAGTGAACACACCCCTCCAGAGGACTTCGATACCTCGGGAGCATCCGCTATCGACACAAACAAAGACTCAGTTGTGGCTGTTGACTCGTGTGCTCGTTCCAGTGAATTTTCTGGTCAGGAAAGCCTCAATACCCTCCAGGAGCCTTCCATCACTATGAGCTTAGATGCCGCCACATCGGCTCATGAAGGCCCAAATCCAGTCTCTGATGAGGTTTCAGAACATGAAGATACCCAATCTGAGGTCGCAAACTCATCTTTCTCAAGCATTACTCGTAAAGAACTCGATGCGGAAGTTCGCTCAAAGCCACACATTGCTCATCAAACTGCCATCATGAGTAAACCCATCGTTGAATCTCACTCCAAGCCATCGTCCTCCGACAAGGCCAGAGCCACAGTGATTCCTAGGAATACTGCTCACCATCGTCAAAATGCAGAGCCTCCAGTCACTTATGAGACCTTGAAACAACCTGGAGAAAGTCCGGAGGAGACAATGCGCCGTCTCCAGGTTGCCAAACAACGAGAAGTGGTAATTAGTATTCAGCAAACTCAAGACAAGAAAGGCGGACATACTGCAAATCTGGCTGAATTGAAGAGTCTCAGAAATCCTCTCACACCCGATCAACTCAAATCACTCGGCATTTCAGCTTCACCCTCAATTACGACTCCCAACGGCTCTCAATTGTTCCCGGCAGTTACCCACTCGACACCCTCAGGATCTCCAAGTCCACTTTCACTTCAACGTCCTAGCCAACCAGTCAAGTCAAAAGTTGGGAACTCGAATGAAAGTCAACCTCGTCCGTCTCCTCTGGGTCAACTTCATCGGTTTACCAACAGTGCCGACGAAAATAATCTCAGCGTGTACAAGAATAAATTGCTTGCACCCTGGACCTCCAACACCCAGTTTAGTCATCAGGACGAGTGGGAAATGGCAAAAGAGATTACAACTTCAGTCTGGGCGACTAATGACCACGCAGTTGAAATGTCAGTGAGCGGAGACAGTGGTTCCATGTATCATATGGGGATTGGCTGTGACTTAGGAGAAGGGGGACTGGGTGTAAGACAACAACCGGGGGCAAAGCCAGATCCGATCATTGGATGGGATGGTCAACTGGTCCCACCACCTGTTGACTGGGAAATGCGTCCTCGTTACAATACTGAGCGTGGATATGTTGACGCTGGTTTCCTGGCATGGCTCGGACAGACTGTACGAAACACTCTTGGTATCGATGCCCGTCCTCAGCTACAATTCGAACGTGTTCCCACTGAAGTCGTCTTGGACTTGAGTTTGCATCCTGATGGTATAGGATTCGTCCCCCGAGATGTCCTCATCAGTGCAGGCAATGCACAACATTACGGCTACAACATCAACCTGAAGACCGAAACATTCCTGGACGCAGTTCCGACTTTGGCAGATTTCGATGCGGTGGGGCGAGTTGATGGACGTCTTCCCGAGAATCTCCCATACAAAGACGAAACTGTAAACATGCTGATTGAGAGAAAGATGCAGCATGTACAACTTGATACCAAGCGTTGGGAAGAATACTGCAACGAACGCAAGGTGTCCGAGGAGAGGAGGCTTGAATCCATCAAGCAGGCCATGGAAGTTGTGCCCACCATTGAAACTCCTCGTCCCCGGGTAAATCTGTATCTTCGTCCAGCCTTGGAGCGCGACATTCCTGGTATGACTGCGGTTCTCAACTGGCACATCAAGAACGGAGTACGCACGTCTGAACTTGGTCCTATCTCTGAGCAGGACATGCAATTGCGCCTTGATATGGCCAAGCAGTCCAAGCTACCCTTCATCGTTGCCATCGAACGCACTCGCAGAAATACCCAGCAGAAGTCAGCTAGACGAGCACTGAACCCCAACCATCCCATTCAGAACACAGGTCTAAACCACAATGGTCTCGTCAAGGATGAACATGTCGTTGGCTGGGTATCCGCGGTCGACTGGTCATGCGTCGACTACGTTGAATGCATTTCCGCCGAGCTAGAACTTTACGTTGCTCATGACTATCGTCGGAAGGGAATCGGTCGATGCCTCTTGGATTCTCTCCTAGATGCCACCGACCCGGACTACACAAAAGAAGGAGGCTACGACTTCACGGTCGCTCCCGAGATCGCGCACATGTACAACTGCGGCGGCAATCGTCAACTCCATAAGATCATCTTCCAAGTTCGCACCTACAACAAACCTCTCACTGTCAAGGAGCAAAAGCGACGCGATACCTATCTCAGCCGTTATTCAGGCATTGCCAATGGCAACGGAAACGTGAACCACGTGGCCACAGGCAGCAACGCATCCGCATCCACGGGAAAGCAATCGGTGCAATGGAGCAAGAACACGAACGAAAAGCCTGCCAAAGAGAGCAGCATCATCGACGACCTCGAGGACGACTACAATCTCTGGCTGCGAAAATGGCTGGAGGGTTTCGGCTTCGAAGAAGAGTCTTGCCTCAAGAAGATCGGCACCAAGAACCGTCGCTTCCTCGACTCCCGCTATCTCACGCGCGAAACCAGCTGGCAGCCCGCCGACCGCAAGTTGCCTGACTATGCCGAGTATCCCATTTGAGCCCGGTACATGACGCTCCGCAGGCAACAAAGTCGCAGCCTGATGCAAGCTTAGGATCGGCTCCCCCCAAGGTGTTGACAACAATCGACATTCCAAACCAACCAACCAGAGATCCAGAAATATTGGGCCATCTCGTGTGTACGAGTACATAACTCATTTCCATTCCTCCTCTTGTCTTTTCCAAATCCAGCTTTCAACCTCAAATGATTTCCTTCCACAGCACCACTGCCTTAATACTCAATACTCGAAAAACATAAAGCTCCCCAAGAACAGAAGGGACACCGGAGCATACGAGTGCGTGCTGCATACAGATTTTGCCAAGCGACATTCCAGCGCGATAGCATTCAGATGATAGCGATCTTCCTTCCCTCTTTAGCGGAAAACCCGGTCGAGGCGTTTCAGGGATATCGATGATATCAAAAGGGTGTGATTTGCCATATTCGACATGGCATACGGGATATGGGATATGCGATGCGGGTTATGGAATGGCGAAAAGGAACTACTCAGGTGATGATGAATCGTATCGAATTCGATACCGGCCATTACGTACCCTACAAAGGCACCTAGCATAGCGAGTTCATCGGATGCGATGACTGAAGGCTGCATCATAGCAAAGCATCGCATCGCATAGCATAGCATAGCATAGCGTGCACAGCAGAGCAGAGCACAAACGAACAAATGACAATGGCTGACACCGTCAGATGGATGAATGCTGCTCATTCATCCCCATAGAACAGTCAATACTTCCTCTCTTCGTGTTGTTCTCATGTTCCTCCCTTGACCGCACATAGGACGGCACGCCATGGTGTCTACAAACATTCAAAAGGGTCTAGACTCACGGTGGATGTGTGCGGTGATTAGCTGAGTTAGGTACTCGGTCTTTTTGCGAACTCATTTCAACATGGACAGCAGCAGTATACAAGTATCGCAAGATGGATCGTTGGTTGAGGATGCAGTTAGCCGTCGCTTGGGACCTTGTGAATCAAGTACGTCACCTAGACAATCGAGATCTCGAGAGGAAAGAGTCCAATGGAATTAGGTACCTGAGCCCCTAGGACCTTCGGGAGGACTGATTAGTGAATTACGGCACGCCGAGGCATGAAAATGAACCATCACTGTTGTTGTGCATTTGCGACTTTCTTCATGAGTCGCGATACTCAAGCACATGTTGAGCACGCGTCGTGTGGGTCTGTTTAGAGGCTCTTCGTATCAGCCACTTCAGATGAACTGTTCCCTTGTCATTGTTAGTCCTTGTGCTGAGATGCACAGAGGAAGGGTTCGTTGTGGCTGTTGAAAGACTTCTGGTGGACCAGCAGGGGCTTGATTTAGTTTGTGTGCCCTAAAGCCTAAAAGGGAGTCGTGCCCACCCAGTTCAGCTGATGTCAACCCTGGGGGCAGCCAGGATGAGGATACACCAAGCAACCAATAATGCATGTGGAAAGCAAAGGATTTTGGGCAGGCAAGTCCTAGCGGAAAAGCATGGCTCGGTTAAGATTTCCGAGCTTGAGTCGCTCTGTTTTTCAAGGTTCAGGTTGGGCCGCGACTTTCCCAGTTGGTGCCTGTGCCGGGTGAAAGCCCGTGCTCGTGTGTACTCGTACCACGGTGAGTACGAGGGCGAGTGCGCGCTTCTCCTCGATTGCATGACAAGCTGAGAGCCACGAGATGAGGGATGCCATTACCCTAGCTCGCATGAGTCGTGTTTACGTCAAATTCCTCTCGCGTCTAGACCAGAGACCCATGCCGGATAACAGAAGAGGCGGTCTTCTGGGGAAGCACGGCAAACAGTTCATGGCCACCAACTCTGTTTCGCGTTTCTTGCCTGGTGCGAGCGATTGCGACACCTGGAGTCGCTAGGTAAGTTCGATAGGCGAGACCAGCGGGTAGAAGATCAGCCAACTGGGAGATACGAGTAGGGATAATCGGATATGCAGGTCATTCGGACGGATTGGGGGAAGCTCAAAGTGGGATGATTGGCGTTGCAACCATTCCCAATTCCTTACCTCGTACCGATTCGACCCATTCAGTTGATCTTGGAGCCGAGAAAGCTTTGCGTACAGATATTGAATGGATGGGGACAGAGTCGTGCATGAATTAGGATTATTCCAGGGTCGGTTGTTGAAAGACGTCTGTCAAAGGATTTAAGTGTCTCCAGGATGCAGCTCTTCAGGGGGGCCGAGGGCTCCTCTGTCTTTGAAGTTCGGGAAGGGACTAGGGAGGGAAGATTCCGGCGAGGGCAAGGCAGGAGCACCCCGCGCCTTGCATTTGTTGTTGCCAGATTTTGACACAACGTGCCTGTGTAAATACCATCCTTGATGTTGAGGCGTCGTTGGTGCAAAGTGTCATGGGCCGAGTTCTGGATTCGTCGGATGTCGTTTCGAATGATGACTGAGAACTTATTAGTCAGGCTGAAAGAGACACCAAACGAATTCTCATGCCATCGCCTGGTATCCCGTGGATTCGGGAGGCGACAGTGTTGTCTTGGGCACAAGGTCTGACAGACCAACTTGAAGGCATCAACCGTGGTCTACAGGTGTTTGTTCTTCCTTATCCTTCTCTTCAACCCGTGCTCAAAAGGGAAAGAAGAAAGCGACAGCGGCAACACAATAGGACAAGTCAAACTGTCTCTCCTCACCTTTGTCATCTGTCTGTTATTGATTAGCAGTTAGCTGCAGTGACTGTTAGTTGGGATATACGTATTCTGACCTGGAGTTGGCGTGCATAAGCCTGATGCGAAGTACCTGGATCACGATGATTCATAGCTAACTTAGTCCCGTGTCTTGGGTGCTGGTTGACGTCTTTTAGTTAAGCCAGACATGGACCTACGCCTACCCGGGAAGTAGTGGGGTCTGGATTATAAGGGAGGAGTGGCCTAAAAGTTCGGCTTCGGCAATGCCTGTAGTGCCTGTGCTTGGGCTGCCAGTGCCAGTGCCAGTGTGCCAGTGCCTGCAAGTGTCCTCATCCTCGTAGCTTACATCCCACTTGTTCAGGACTACTCACACTCTAAATCCTCACCTCTTCGAATCATCGGCAGAGGGCATCAATCTTCCCAATTCTTCATCCCAAAGGGACCCTCTTTTTGGCTTGGGCTTTACGGATACCTTACCTGAACCTTGCAACACGCAGCCAACATCCTGCGTGCCCATTTCTCAAGGGTCGTGCTCCCCACCCACCTTTCACCTCTCACCAGCCGCAGGCAACCTGACCTCACTCGAACCCTCCGAGACCTCGATAACCTTTCTTCCTACTGCTAGTCCTCCTCCGCTTCTTCTTCTTTCTTCTTTCTCTTCCCCTCCACCTTTCTCGCCTGTACCTTTTTCGCTTCCTCTCCTCCCATCTGCTGTCTGCGCGTCCTCTTAGTCTTGCAGTGCTACTTGCTCTTCTGCTTCTCTTTGGCCCTGCTCTTCTCGGAGTTTCCTCGAGTTCGCGGTCTGATCTGTGTGTGGCTTTGGCTGTATCAATTTAGCCCCCATCTGAATCACTGCGCATTTGATCCGGTACGTTGACCAATTCTCTTCTCTGCCTCAACTGCCTTTTGGTTCCCGGTCGCACAGGTGAAAGCGCGTGAGTGGCTGCTGCGCGGCGCAGAGGGTCATTGTGGTGTGGGATAATTCCAAGAAATTTGCTAGGTGCGCAAAGGTGCAGCTTGCGCGCAGGACAAGACCAACTCAATTCGCATTCGTGCCTAGCCGATCCTGATTGTCAGTGAGACGAGTCTGAGCCCGAGACAGAGTGCTGCTCTTTCAGAACAATCACATTCATGCGTCGTCACTACCCAAGTCTGAGGCTTATGAGTCTCACAAATCTTTTACTTCACGATGGACAGACGCTAATACCTTCTGACTCTTAGACTACTCTTCATTCAATTCTCCAGACAACCTTTGCTCTCGCTTTGCATCTTGCAATCTTTGAGATTCGCCGTTCGGGTTATTGTTCTGCGACAAAAGTTGGCCAAAAACGAGTCGGGTTCCAGATTTCGCACCTCCATTAATTTCCATACCCTCTTACGGCGAGTCCTTGTAAGAGAAACGTCCATTCAAACCAGTTTTGGTATGTCCCGATTGTCGCCTCTTCCCTGAATGAGGCTCACGGCGGTTCAAAAGAGATTGATATCTGACGTGGTATCACAGAATTATTGTTCAGCTTCTAAGCGGTAATTACTTTCAATATGTCGTTCGAATACGGTCAATTCCCCAACACTCCACAAGAGGGAGCACCGGGCCAAGTTCCTACTCCTCAGGATGGTGCGCCTCCAGGTCAGCAAGTCGACCCTTCTGGTCAACAGCCAATGCAATTTTCTCCCCAAGATGGAAATTCTGCCCCTCAGGGTGGCCCGGGAGGTGACCAAAAGACCACTCTCTGGTATGTGTGACTGGACAACCTCAGCCCATGTTGATTTTACACCTATTCTAACATGCTTCCAGGATGGGTGAACTTGAGCCATGGATTGATGAGAACTTTGTTCGCAATCTCTGGTTCCAGATGGGTGAGCAAGTCAGCGTCAAAATGATCCGTGATAAGTTTTCCGGGTAAGTCATGGCCTGGGGTGCCGACCTCCTACCTCCTTCACGTCTCTGAACTCATGTTAGTAGTAATGCCGGATATTGCTTCGTCGACTTCGCCTCTCCAGCTGCTGCTGCGAAGGCTCTTCAATTCAATGGCCAACCCATGCCCAACTCTGCTCGCCCATTCAAACTGAACTGGGCTTCCGGTGGTGGCTTGGCCGATCGCCGTGACGATCGTGGCCCCGAGTTCTCCATCTTTGTCGGTGATCTCGGCCCAGAGGTCAACGAATATGTTCTCGTTTCTCTTTTCCAGAGTCGATTCCCGTCGTGCAAATCTGCCAAGATTATGACCGACCCTCTTTCTGGCATGTCCCGTGGATATGGGTTTGTGCGATTCTCCGACGAAAGCGATCAACAACGTGCTCTCAGTGAGATGCAAGGTGTCTACTGCGGCAATCGTCCCATGCGTATCTCTACTGCTACCCCCAAGAACAAAGGAGGTCCAATGGGCGGCGGTCCTGGAGGCCTCAACATGCCCGGTGCAAACCCTATGGGCTACCCTCAACAGATGGGTGGCCCACCTCTTGGTTACTATGGGCAGCAGCAACAACAACAGTCACCCCAGCCAATGAATCAGTTCACTGATCCCAACAACACCACCGTCTTCGTAGGAGGTCTCTCCGGCTATGTGACTGAAGATGAGTTGCGTTCGTTCTTCCAAGGGTTTGGCGAGATCACCTACGTTAAAATCCCACCTGGAAAGGGTTGTGGCTTCGTTCAATTCGTTCAACGCCATGCTGCTGAGATGGCCATCAACCAAATGCAAGGATACCCCATTGGTAATTCTCGTGTTCGTCTTAGCTGGGGACGCAGCCAGAACAACTCTGGCCCAGCAGGTACTCCATACCGTCCGGCCCCACCTCCCCCGATCTACCCTTCCATGGGTATGCCTCCTTCACACTCATATGGCAATTATGCACCAATGAAGGTTAGTTACCACCGATCCTGAGCATCTCTGCTGTCGTGCATTCTGACCAAGTGAACAGTAATTTTATGGCTTGTCGGCGCAGTCGGCGTTCCGGCCATTGAACTTCCATATCCTGTTGAATGGACACTGCGTTTCCTTTTGTCATTGAAAGCAGCGCAATCGAACTTTAGCGTCATCGTTGGGGTGGGAGGGTGTTTGTCAAAAAAAAAAAGTTCTTTCATTATTGCGATGAACCCCTTACCATCAAAAATTTGCTCAGATGGTCAGTTGGCTGTGTACAACATCAACGTGGCATTCGCTTTTTGGGTTGAAGTGACGATACCAATGAAGGACGAGCTTGCGCTTGGAAGTGGTTTTAAACGACACGGAAGAAGGAGAGTGTGATGGACGTTTGTGCGTTGAAACATCGGCGGATGATGAACTAAGTTGGCCACCGAAGAAAATTTCCTTTTTGCCCCTCTCTCTCTCTCTCTCTCTCTCTCTCTCTCTCTCTCTCTTTTCTTAACTTTATTATGGCCATGTACCTTTCAATGAGGCATCATGGACTCACCAGCGTAAGGTGGTCTTTGATGCGATACTCAGGAAAGGAGTCTGGCATTGAGTACACGAAAGACCACGTCATCCACGAAAGCGTGAAAACTCACGACATGAGTACTAATGTCTTCTTCCTCGATACTGTGGCTTAATCCAATGCAAATCACAGTTATTAACATCCATGTTCCTGGTCGTCCGATCTAGGAGTATTGTTCTCTCGTCCGTGTCGTTGCTCTGTTAAAGGATTCACGGCCCTTCGCAATACTAGTAGAACCTCCGCCCACTTTGTGCTCACTCACACCCAGCGCGGCAGTTCTTTCCGAGTGATGACCGTACAACTTGGGCCTCTACAAATTTCTCCGCGTGCCAAGATCAAACTGAGCCTCGGAACATGGGAAATCTAGTCGTCTTCTCCAAATACTTTCTCGGTTCTGTCGTCGGCGAGTCGGGTAAGCTCAAGATGGGGTACAGGTTGCAGAACAAGATATGTAAGAAGCTTCGGGGGCTCGAACACCTCGCGCGTCTACTATTGATCTCTCGGGGTAGCTCACCAGTCGGCCTGTAGACGTCTTGAGTTTGAAACCACACAAGAATGGCGTCAAGAGCGATCCGAATTGCTGGCGCGTCGGGGTCTGCTTCCGACCGACGCCATGCCATGGCGGCGTTCGCAAAGGCTCATCCTTCAGACCCCATTGACGTGATAATAGCAGATTTCATGAGTGAAGTCAATATGACTATCGCGGCCGCCCGCCGAGTCGATGCCGATTCATTGACTGCTCCGAACGGCAATGCATTCATAGGTGGAGGTCCTGCCTTTGAGGCTTCATTTCTCGAAGCACTGGAGCCGGCTCTTGAGGATCTGGCCAAGTATCGGATCAAAATGGCTGTGAATGCGGGTAACGCAGATACCGAGGGTCTCTACAAGATCGTTGTGGACATGATTCAAAAGAAGGGGCTTCAGATCAAGGTGGCTTGGGTGTCTGGAGACGAAGTCCTTCCTGCTATCAATGCAGGGCTCAAAGATGGATCCTCTCGTTTCAAGAACATCTATACGGGTAAAATCCTCTCATCGTGGGAGTTTGAACCGATCTATGCTCATGCATACTTGGGTGGCCTGGGTATCGCTGAGGCTTTCTCACAAGGTGCCCAGATTGTCTTATGTGGTCGGGTGGCCGATGCCTCCCCAGTCATCGGTGCTGCATACTGGTTTCACAACTGGCAAAGATCTCAGCTCAATGAATTGGCAAACGCGTTCGTTGCTGGCCATCTCATCGAATGCAGCAATTATGTCACTGGTGGAAATTTCTCTGGCTTTAAGAGCCTCGAACATAGTCCCAAAGGCTGGGTCGACATTGGCTATCCGATTGCCGAGATCTCCAAGGATGGATCAGTGGTCATCACCAAGCAGAAGAATTCTTGTGGCACTGTGTCGATACACACTTGTTCTTCTCAGCTACTTTACGAGATCCAAGGTCCGTGGTACTACAATAGTGATGTTACTGCAGTTCTCGACCAGATATGGTTTGAACAACTCGGTCCTGACAGGGTCGCATTGCGCGGAGTGCAAGCCTTGCCTCCTCCTCCAACGACCAAAGTCGGTCTGACTGCTCGAGGAGGCTTCCAAGCTGAGGCTTGGTATTTCATGACAGGCCTAGACATTCCAGCAAAAGCACGCATGATAGAGGCACAACTACGACACGAACTTAAACCCCATTCTAAAAAATTTTCTGCATTGTCTTTCAGTGTACTAGGTTCGCCGGCGCCAAATGCGGACAATCAAAATGCCGCCACTGTTGTCTTCCGTGTCTTTGTTCAAGCTCGGAACGCAGATGACATTATGCCAGCGAAGTTCCTGCGTCCGATAATTGATAACATCATGCAGAGTTATCCGGGCAGCACTTTCCATTTGGACTTCCGACAGGGCCTTCCGAAACCATTCTACGAATACTATGTGACACTGCTTGATCAATCTAAAGTCCAGCATTTGGTTCACTTCAATGGCAAGGACACGATGATTCCGCCTCCCACTTTGACCAAAGTCTTCACTGAGCGTCAGCCAAGCCAACCACTCACAAGCATCCAGGTTGATCTCTCCAAATTTGGGCCAACAGAATACATTCCATTGGGTACCATTGTGAATGCAAGATCCGGTGACAAAGGGTCTGATTGTAACTGTGGATTCTGGGTCCGTCATGAAGACGAATACGTGTGGCTCAAGAATCTGCTCTCGATTGAGACAATCCAGGCTCTCTTGGGCAAGGAGTATGACACCTCACGCGTGCCCAAGATCGAGGTAGACAGATTCGAGCTTCCAAACCTGAGGGCGGTACACTTCCTGTTCAGAAATCTACTGGATCGTGGCGCCACGAGTACATCCACTGTAGATTTTTTGGGCAAGAATTGCGCGGAATTCTTGAGGTCTCGATATGTCAATGTTCCCACAAGGTTCATTGCCAGAGGGAAACTATAGACATGTGAGGTTGTTTAATCCCAGGGTTAGGTTTGACGATTGCTATCGGGTGCTGCATGCTGTAAGTCATTGTCTAAATAATCCATAGCAAACGGGACAAACAGGTGTTTATGGGATACAAAATCACCAAGTCTATTCACCTTCAAGGTTTCTGTTTACCCATCTTTCTCTCAGCATGATGGAGCCTCATTGAACACATCATCTTCACTGTTACGGCGGCGGGCATCGAAGTGACAAACGCGCCCTCCAGGCAGCCTGATGCTGTGAATGTGGTGACATTGCGACGACCGGCACGCGACCTATAAATATATCTACCATTCCTTTCTGACCTCTGGATTCTACAGGTCGATACTTCTGTTTGCACCTTTCAACAGGGCCTCTGACTTGACCTCTGACTTGCGCAACACATCACTATACTTACCGTGCGTGAACTTGAATAGAACAACGACAAACCATAACATCAAATCCACACACACCACGCGCAGAACATTTCCACCCTACTCAGACTGTACTGGACATCATGTGCTATCAAAACTGCACCAAGTACGAGTGTCCCAGCTGTGGAGTAGAACCAGTTGCAGACCAGCGCAGCTACATTCTTTGTCTGCGCAACTCGGGATGTCGCTGGCTTTATTCGGCACCAGAAACCCTGCCTCGCCAGGTTACTTTTGAACCTGGCCCATTGTGCAGCTCATGTCGACAGGCACATGAAAGACAACGCCACAGTGCCAGAAACACGGCGCAGAATAGTGGTTGTTCACAGCCGGGCGTTCGTCAGCGACGACAGTCATTATCTCATCAACAGCAACAATCGTACACTCACCAAGCGCAACATGAACATACTCAACAACGACAACAGCCACATACTTACCAACGACCACGTTCATACAGCCGCCACCGACCACAGTCGTATGGTCAATCTCCATCACGGGATACAAGATCATATCCCAGACATGAAGACTATTTGTCTCAACAAGATCACTATTTGACGCGAAGATCAGAGCAGCGGCAGCGGCAGCGGCAATCAGAGCCGGAGTGGACAGAGGATCCATACTTACCGGAACCTCAAGTCGATGGTGTTAACTACGAGAACTGGTATCGCGATCATGGTACTGAGGTTACACAAGTCTCGCCTCAAGAGCCTGGGCGATACTCTCCTCACGAGCATAGGCGATACTATGCTCAAGAGCCTATGCGGTATTCTCCTCAGCGGGCATATCGCACTCGCCCATCATCACCTCCGCCACTAAGACGGCGCCATACGACCTCCGGCCGTGGAACAGCTGGACCAAGGCGGCGATATGACTATGAAAGTCGTTACCGAGCACCAAATAATCGCGCCGAAGCCACCCCTGTTCCTATGTCTCGCCATGCGGATCGAGGAGGCGAGTTCAGTGATGATTCCCCTGGCGAATATTTCAGCGACGACGATTTTGGGGAGTATCGCAACGAGTACTGGATCCTCGATGCCAGATCCAGAAGGTACCGATGAGTGAAAGCTCCTGAACAATGTGTGCACCATGGGTTTTGGGACGTAAATTTTATGGCCTTTGTTCTTGGGCGACAAAGAAGCCTTGTTTTTTTTTTGGTCGTGAAGTGCTGATGGTGGTGTCCTGATGGAAAAATTAACTTGCAGCTCTGCTTTGTGGTTATCTCAGCTTGATTTTTGAGCATGCAGTCCTGATTGAAGCGAGATCTGTGCGCGTATGTCTCCTTTACTTGTCATTCACAGTTGGATATGAATGAATGGCGAAGCTGATTCGGAGACTCATCCTTTTCCCAATGTTGCTGGGTGGGAGACGATTTGTGTCTTTTTGGATAGTACTACTTTGACAGCCAATGCATATGATAAATCCTCAACCAGTCTTCTCTTTGCCACCAGATGCTTTCTATTCACACAACTGAGAGACGTAGTTCTTCTCTGCGTAAGAGCTGTTTCTGTAACCACACTGCTCCATAGTGAAAAACGCGTTGGACAAACGGATGACTGCCTGAGACTGGTAACCTGTGGCTACGAGAAACACTTACCTAGGTAACATTGATCAACAACGCATAATTCAGATATCTGGTCTGGCTTACTGCCTCGTGTATGTCGCGTCGATGGATCAAATGCCTTTTGGGCTTTTTGTTTCTTTCCATTTTGTTTCCTCCGCAGAAGATCTTCGCCTCCCAGTCTTCTTGATATCGGAAAACATAAGGAACACTCCAAATTCGCAAACCTCAATCAAACTACCCGTAACAATACCTCAGGGCCTTTTCCAGAATCAAAGAAAGCATATCTTGTCATCAAACAACACCAACGCGATGCCGTTTCGCCGTACCCCTGCCAATGTGCTTCTTCCTGGAACCCCCCAATTCACCATAGTTGGACCAGAGTACATCATGGCACATGGCGACCCGGAAGACAATATTCTCAAGCGACTATCCAGAGCGATCAATAAGCCACTGAGAAAGCCAATCACCAAGATCCGCAATGGATACCGCCGTCTGCAAGACTGGAGTGCGACCCAAGCCCCGTTCCACCTGGACCTCGAATGCAACTGTCGAACCTGCCGTTCAGGAAATCAAGCACGAGCCAGAATCCAAGATCAACTTCGTGAGGAAATGGCTGAAGTCCTTCCTGATGTGCCACCACCTCCCTACGTGGATGCCGACCCAGTGCCCCCTCGCCTGACTAGAGACAGAACCAATCCTGGGTCAAACACTCGTGAACTCCAACTCCGCGGCGCCGCTCAGGATTTTCAACAACTGGAGATCTCTGGAGTACGTGAAGCCTTGAACATCATGGACAGCGTCGTTGAAGAAGCCCGACGAGAATTGAGAAATCTCAGAGAAGAAATTGGAGAGGAGAGAGAGCGACTGGCCGCTTTGAAGCGACAAAAATTGGCACTGGATGCATCGATTTCAATGTCGCGGCTGGAATGGAACCAGGAGTTAGCACGCTCCCAGGGTGCCTCTGAACGTCTGGTGCATGGACGCCCATCACGTCATCAAGAGAATAAATCGAGCCCTCGCCATGGTCAAGAACGCCAGATCCGCTCACCAGCTCGTCCATCTCTTCAAACACGGCACGTCCAATCACCACTTCGGCGACGCGATCGTGAGCATGCAATCCGTCCACTCGAAAACCATCGCCCTCGTGTCAATGTGTCCCCTCAGGTTCGTTCTAAACCTTTCATTCTTACACCTGCGCTCCGAAGACGACAGTCGCGTGTTGCCGACAATCTGGCGCTCTTGACTAATTCCGGAACCCTCCTTTAGGTTGATCGACAGACTGCTGCTGTTGTCGTATCAAGAACACAGCTATCCCGGAATAGGATATGAGCTTACTTCCATCCTTCGAGATCCTCGACTGTTTCGTCTTACCTTGGTAGACTTGTTATGGTGGACTTGATTGGATATATGGTGAATCGTGAATTGTGAATCAGCGATATTGGGGAAGGATGATAGTTGTGATGCCTGGGGTTATTTGCTTGGAACCGAGAATCCTCCATGTCTTCCTGGCTTGGCAGTCTGGTTGAACATAGGTTGCAAGTTCTCTGAGTGGAACGTCTGAAGCTAGATTGCGGTTTATTCGTTCTAAGGTGAGGTTATATCACTCGCTTGCACTGGCCTTGCATGACAAAGCAATTGCAGGTGATTTCGATGGAGAACAATCTGCATACCGCCAATACACGTATGCAGTCCTGCTCTCATTTGTTGCGAGATGAACGATATGGGTCACAGATGAGCTCCAGTTTTTGTTTGTACTGAGTATGGGAAAAGTTTTGTTCCACCTGCGTGTCGATGGAAGGCACCATACAGAATTGATCATACCGATTGGTAGTCCACAGAGCTTTTCGATTATCCCGTGGACATCACGAGCTTTGCCAAACCATCGTTGCAACTTCTTGAAGTCAGATATAGACGTTCATTAGAGATAACTCACCGGGTACTTCGGTGGCATGTTCGGTTCAGAATATAAGACATGAAAGTCTGAGAGGGATCCCGCTTCTGCAGACTACATCCTCATGAAAACAAGACCTCGAACAAAACAAGAGAAATCGAACGACACCTAGACGAATTGAAGTCAGGCCCAGAATCTCAAAATGACGAAAAAAAAGTAGTTGGCCTCTTCGAAACCCCCCATTTTGTACACCATGATTGTGACATGTCTGCCATCCATGAGGCGGAATATAGGACTGATCTAGTTACTGTTTTTAGTTCTTTACCAGTGCTCTATCTGGAAGGCCACCAACCAACCACTAATCAAAGCCATTAGACCATAACGCAACAGATGATAATGTGATGTGACTCGAATATACCTGACTTGGCTGAAAGACCTGGCTTAGGGGAGGGTGCCGTCGCTAACTTGGCATTCCTCAGGCCCACTGGCAGAGGAAATCAACGTCGACATTCACCGGTCCTTCAGTGGCTGGTCATATACACAGATGACTATGCTGATAAAAGAATTCATATTTGCCGTGTTTCGCACCTGATTATATCTCCATGAGTATGGGCTTAGGTAGCCATGCACTTCCCTCCTCATCTCAGGGGCTTGCGGAAGCTATTTGCTAGCTCGTTATTGAGTCAACTTAGAGATAAGACACGCCTGTTAAGACCTCAAGATCTCAGGAACCGATTGCGCCTTAAAAGCACTGTCCAAGATCAAAAATTGATACACATAAATTTCAACCTCGTCCAGCAGCCAATACCTCATCCTCGAAGACTGTGATCGCCATCGCTACATCTGCTGCTCATTCTTTGCCTTCATATCCGCTCGGATCCATCCAAGTCAGTTCCCAAATGTGGCCATCAAGATCAGCGAATGAACGACCATACATCCATCCATGGTCTTGGACTTTACACACGTCCACCTTGGCCCCCAAACTTCCTGCCTTCTCCACGAAGTGATCCAACTTGTCCTTTGTCGCTATACTGATGCACAGTAAAGCCTGACTGAGCTTGGTCGGGTCTGCGATTTCCCGATCTGCCGGAAGGAAGCCTTTGAAGAAAGGTTGGCTGAGTAGCATCACCTTGAGGGGAGAGGTGTGTGCCGCCTTCGCGTCAGGATTGTCGAGGTGAAGGTCCAGAGGGATTGAAACCATGGACGCATTCTGATCGGAAAACGTTTTGTTCTGGACAAAGCCGAGCGATGTGTAGAAGTTGATTGATGCTTGTAGATCGGAGACTGGGATATTGAGGAAAAAGTTTGTTCTGTAGTCTGCTGGGATGGACATGGTTGCTATCTCGAATCAGGATACTAACAAACGTGCTCCGCAGACTGTTCGCAAAGATGTTTCAACTGATGTTCAAGTTGAGTTTCCAAAAGGTTAGCTGTAGCGGTCAAAGAATTCAAGGGTCTCCTCTTCGCTTTATGCCTTTTGACAGCGGAGCAACATTCCTGCGACGTATTCGAAGCTTTGTGCCTGAGCAGCATCCTCGTATTGCTTCTGAGGTCAATTGGCTGTCGAGGCCGTGTTGCCTGGCTGCCACAGCCCTTTCTCCGCATTGCCGAGACGGGTGGCTGTCTACCACCAATAAAACCCGCTGAAGCCTACTGCCGAGAGATCTGGGTTACAAGAACGATTCAGCTCAGAATAACAAGGCCGCAGATGAGTCGAGGTTTATTAGTTGGGGTTATGAGTATAGGCGACTCTGAGTCTTAGGATGTGGTCATCGTACTCAGCACACAGCCGTGAGCGTTGGCCACGTGACGTCATACTCAAAGCGTCAAGTCATCAATTAATTGCAGGTCATTGCCCACGGCATCATCAAGAACCATTGGAAAGCCGGAGGTGAATATTTGATCGAAACAAGGTCCAAGAGCCATGTTCCATCACGAATAGTATCAAATCGAGTTTTGAGGGAATGGAACTCGGTGATTGCTCAAAGTCAATCGTGAGGATGTGGAAACTTTACCTGATGCTTCTTGACAACGTGATTGGATCCAGCGTACAATCTCACAGGCACCGAGAGTAACCTCACTGCTGATCCTGTGAAATCAAACATACAACAACAAGCACCACCGCGCCAGTTTCTGCGCTTACTCTTTTCGTATCTGGGTGTCATCGAATGAGTCACAGAGAAGTTATCCATGGGCAATGGGATCTGATCGAAAAGCAGTGAAATAACGCCCGATACGACCGAAGCGAACAAGCTCGGGCTTAAGCCGACATATAAAGACGAAACTCTCGAGAGACATGAAGTAGCCATCCAGCAAAGCTCTACACTTCCAAAGTCAAGAAATTGCACCTGCCAGCATGTCTACCAAGGATGTTATCTATGCAGAAGCAGTAGCGAACTACACTGAATCACATCTCATTCCAGCAGCACCAGAGCTTGACCATGCCTACTCGAACAGTACAGCCCATGGTATACCAGAGATCGCGATCTCCCCGGCACAGGGCAAATTTCTCTCCTTGTTGACCAATGCTTCTGGTGCGAAGAACGTGCTTGAGCTTGGCACGCTTGGTGGCTACTCTGGCATCTGGTTTTCAAAGGCACTCAAAGAGCGCGGGGGCAAGCTCACAAGTATCGAGATCGACAGCGCACGGCTTGATGTTGCGACTCAAAATCTCGAGTACGCCGGCGTCAAAGTCCCAGAAGAGGTTGAGATTGTTCTGGGTGCCGGCTTAGATGTACTGCCCCAGATTGCCAAGGACATTGAGGCAGGAAAACGCGAGCGTTTCGACTTTGTCTTCATCGACGCAGATTGGGACAACCAATGGAATTACTTCGACTGGGGTGTCAAGCTGTCAATGGGAAAGGGAAGTATCATCTATGTGGATAACACTGTCCGCCAGTTGTTGGAGAGCGGTTCGGTTGGGCCGAATAAGAAGGATCCCAATGTCGACAGCCTGGTTGAAAAGGTTGGAAAAGATGACAGAGTTGAGGCGACTGTCATTCAGACGGTCGGAACAAAGAACTTTGATGGCTTCTTGCTGGCTGTAGTGAAATAAAGCTTGCGATCTGGCATCACAGCATCAGCATGATCTGTCGACTGAGTGTTTCCTATCGTTCCCCCCCTTTTTTGTCACCCACAAAGGAATGAAGCCACCATCAAAAATTACAAAACCAGCTTCGGATCACAGTGGGCCCGAATTAAACTCACCGAAGAGAGAACTCTGCACTCCAGAGGAAGAAGGTTGGTTTGTAGGCTATACTCGCAGAAAAGGATGGTTCTGCCTCCCTCCCGCCGGACGCCACTCTAGATATGGCCGAAAGAACACTCCTCGCACCAGAGCAGGTAGTTAGTCAAGGAGTATACTATAGGGATAGTATCATCGGCGAAGATCAGTCATTCACCGCTACACCATCTATTCACAGCGTGACCATTGATCTTATGGCCTAATTGTGAGATAATTTGGGTACTTTTATACGTATTCCTTAGCGCCGCGAGGCTGGGTTTTAATCCACTGCCCTGCTTCACGGTGAGTATACATGATCTACGGCTCGATAGCCGTAATAAGCCTGATGGTCAAGTTCGTCGCATTGATTGTGGCAGGTGCTAGGTATTACTTACTACCTTGCGATGAATTCTGTGCCTTGAGGACTATGTGTGAAGAAATGAGGATTGTATAGCTAACTTCCATTCCCATGACGAAGCTAGGCCATCGGCTATTCACCCATGAACGACCTTCTGCATAAACTCTGTTGTTCCGTACTCGGTGTGGAAGTTCAGTGGACTGGGGAATTTCACAATGGCTTCATTCATTTGGTTCATTGTAGGTCGCCACAGACACTGTGCATGTCTCATAACACAAGGTGACAAACGCCATTGTTTTTCCCGAACAAGACTGGAATAACAAATGCTCTTGTTTTTACTCCTCCTCATTTCTCGGTCTGTGCACAATAAGCAACCAAGGTTGGATAGTCAACAATGGGAAAGCTTTTGATCGAGAAAGTGGACCCAATGGCTTTGGTAGATGAATTCTATAGAGTTATAAACACATATATAGGACTCGAAGTATGCCTCAATATTAGATTGTTTTTGGTCACACCTAACTTGAATAGCCCTGAGCCTGTGAACAATTCTATTGTCCACATCTTAGACATCGATTCAGACCAGTTGTCAACCCAAACACCCAACAATTTTAGTTCAAGAACTAACATTCAACCAGCAATCTTAGTTCAAAGAACTATCTTTCAAACAACAAACATGTGCAATAAACATATGAAGCACTTCTTGTGCCGAGGATGCAACCGCACCATGGGAACGTGTTACAATCCAGAGCTCTGCCCAAAGAACTGTGTCTACACTCCTGTGAAGTTTCAAACTGAATCTCACGAGTACCTCAAGAGCCACTATTCCTGTATGAAGTGCACAAAGGAGGGGAAAGAAAAAGAAGAGCGAGCTGCAAAGTTCCGAAAGGCGTTGGAAAGTCTTTCTGCATTGGAATTGTCGAAGCCTTCAGAGTCAACTGCATCAAATACGCGCTCTGAATCCTCAAGATATGGAGCTTCAACGAAATCTGTTGCCTCGTCAAGGGGTACCACAGCTTCGTCGGGGGTCTCAATTCAGAAGTGCGGAGTGCTTTCCAAAGAACTAGTCTTCAAAGATAGAACCAGAATGGTTGTTGTTGAACAACTATGGCCTGGCCTTGAAGAGTATTGCCTGACGGACCCAAGAATTGATTACATCAAGTACCAACTGTACAATGTTGATGGAGCCGTTGTGACTACACGTCAACACTTCAACGTCAAGTGACAACATAATGGTTGGCTACATACATCAGCAGTCCACCCCTTCACTTTGAGACTCGGTGAGTTAATTTTACAATATACTAACATTTAATAGCTGTTTACCGATGACCAAGCTCATCCTTGACAATATAGTAATAGATATGCCAACTGTAAGTTTGTTGTGGCATTATATCAAAGCCTTGCGCGATCATTCTCTTCCCTTTGTGATACTTGATCATATTCTGATCTGATCATTACCAAAAACAAAGTCTATCCAAACGACCTCATATCCTATGTGAGTTGATATTGATTTGAGATTTCGGCGGTGCTTTTTTTTGCATAAGAATGATTTCCTTCTACTGCACTCAAACAAAGCTTGCAGCTGATACCCACCCGTGCAGCCTCGTGATCAATGCTAACTCTGTAAAGACATCACTACGGATCCATGTTCGTCTGGCACCCTGCAACGGCTTGACCGCCTACTGAAACATATGAAATTCTCTCTCTCACTCTCTTCTCATAACCTGTTCTCATGAGCAATCGATCAACGCATTAAGATGTGTCAACGGCTCGTTGAGGTCCGATGTAAAGGATGCAAAAGCTCCAAGATCTACCTCCATCGGCACAGATGTCGTAACCGCGTCTATGGGACTCACCTCGAATGCGATAGCATTATTAATAACGACAGATGGAGAACCCCAAGGTCTTGCAGGAATTGTAGAGACAGAAAGAACGACCTGAGTGATCAACGACACAATCGCGGTTTGCATGGAAAATCCACTTCCGCTAGAGGTCTCCCAATTCGCGACAGTCGGACATCTTTGAATTTGAGCAGCATTGAAGAGTGGCCTTATTTGACACAGCAACCAGACCAAAACATCTTCCCTGGTGCACCTATTATTACTGACACTCTGCCTGATATCTCTTCCTCCGAATCTGTGGGTCTCAAACTCTCAAATGCAACATACGACAGATTTCTCCAGCCGTCTCAAACAGTAACACCTCCACCACTGCCAACCAAAACCTTGAGATTCTCAGGCCTTTATCTACCTGATATCATATGGGCACCAACCATCTGCAACCAATCGACCTGGCAGATATCTCCTCAGAAAGCCACCTTCAACAACCAACCGCGATGTGTCTGGAGCAACAATTCAACCAGTCAGCAACTGTCCTGTGATATCTTGCCGAAGGGGGATGAGCTAGACGGCCACCACGACCGTATCATGCAGATGATTGCCGATCTGGTCTTCGAGAGCGATGATGCGACAAATAAACATAATAAGGAGTTCCAGAATGGCTTTGCAGTGCAGGAAGACGCCAGAGTCAAACGCACGAGACTGTCTGGTGCAGCGAGTGATTTCCGCCCTGGCAGTCAATACCATCAGCGTGAATCGTAGATGAATGCTTCACTTGATAGGCAGTGGCATGATTGGCACGGTGACTCGCTGGTGACGGTGCAAAATGCGAGACGGTGCGCGAGGCAGCAGGTTCTTTGGATAATTAGACGTGTATAAAAACAGCAAACCGAAAACTTCAAACTTCAAATCCGGGATATCAAACATAATCGCAGAGATGGTCTGGGATCTAGCAATCGACCCTCGAGCAAACATCAATACCAGACTGCGAAATTACACTTTCCAACACATATCTACAACAACAGCGCAGCCCCATGTTTCTCCAAGATGTGCTGCAAACAGCTACTCAATTACGTCTGCCGCAGATGCAACAGAACCACTCGCGAGATGAACTTTGAAATCGCAGGTTGCGGCCCTGCACACCAGAGTGGCGTGGTTTGTCAGTATCCGGACACAAGAACACGCGTTGTCTCGGAACCAGGTTGCCAGTACTGTCAAGAACAGCGACCGGGCCCAGCACCAACGTTCAACCAGATGCCACCATCATGCGCCGTCCGAAACCACAACGGTCTCTATCCAGGACCACTCTATCAGACTGTGGCTCATGCATACCTTCCTGCCGCGCAACAACGCAACATACCTTATGGACGGAGCTACCACCAAGAATACCAACCGCAAGGCAATCTCAGAAGTACAAGTCAGCCAAATAGGTTGTTAGTAAATCCACCAGAGGATTACAGACTTCCAGGACTGGGACAATATGAACACTCCGCTCACTGGGACGTACCAAGCAACAGACCACAATCCCAAGCACCATATCCCCAAGTGCAGCCGTACGAGGGAGGGTATACTCGAAGACCAGAGCACAAATATCACGACTTATCTGGCCCTTCCACATATCGGGCGAGGCGCACGTACACAGATGAGGAGGAACAAGAAAAGCTTGCTGCCGCTGAGGAAGCCAATCTTCAACGTGCTCTTCAGGAGTCGCGTCGCGAACATGAATTGAACAAAGTGAAGAGAGCTTGTTCCGGACAAGGGAGAAGAATTTCAGCTCTTGAAGATCAAATGGACCGGGACAGAGAACGGGCACAGCATGATCGAGAGGAGAGAGGGGGGCCACAGTATAAACGAGAAGAAGAACAATACCGCGCAGACTTGGAGCAATATCTTGCTGAGAAGGCAGCTTGGGAGGCATCAGAGAGGGAGGCAAGACCTGCAGGTGAATATCTTGAAAATCCTCGAGGCTTGTCAACAGGAGAGAAACCATCATTTATGCCGTCACCGGGTAGAAAAGAGAAAGAGGTCTGGATCAGAGACGTGAGAAAAGTCGATGGAAAACTGGTTGAATATCGAAGGAAGCTCAAGTCTTGGGAATATGAACTGCGCTAGCGCCATGATTGGTAGCCCCGTGCTCAACGTTGACGGAGCAATTTGAGAATCTTGAAGGTCTGTTAGGATACTCAAGCCAGGGGCTTCGGCCAACCTTGAAGACCATATGCTGGTATGAAGACAGTGGCGTTAGTAGCTGGAGTGTACTCAAGAGGATTAATTGCCAATTGTTTGATCGATTGTCTCACCACAGGTGATGTTCTTTGCAGGATGTTTGTACGAGTAGATAATTGCCCTATCCTGATACTGGAATGAGTGCCAGTGTGGAAAGAATCAGATCAAGTGAGTCTAGCCGAATTTGGATTCTTAAACACCAACGCGGCACGACGCGTCCCCCTCACCCAGAACTTGATGTCTACAGGACCACATCACATAGTCTTCTACAACATCAATCTTCCAGTCAGCTACAGCCAAGTTTATGATGGCTCTGTTCAAACATGTGTTATTTGCACCCTCTACCGCATCTCCAATGTCACGCTTCGCCACAACCCGACCCTCCTTGAATGAAACGCCTCAGAACAAACCTCCCACTGAAAGTCCTTGTCCACCACCCTCTCGCTCGAAACCCGAGCTTCCTATGCAGTTCAATCCTCCCTTGAGTTTCCCGTATACAAATCTAGCCGTCAAGGCCTCGTTTACTCGTCTTTTCTCACCGCTTGGAGCCTCACAGCATGGTCTCACTTGAGCACCGGGATTTCAGACACATGGGTACTCGTGGATGCGTATCGGAACATAACCCTAGCTTGTACATCGGTTTATCAAAGTTTCGCGGTCAAGTTGTCGAATATCCAACTAGCTCTCCTACAATGCCGACTTTTCTACTATCGACTCCGGTCGAGAATGATTAGAAGGTGTGGGATTAAAGTGAAAGGAAATCCAGACGTTCAGAGCCTCCTCGGAGGCACTCAAAAGACGGTTTTTGCCATGCGCCAGATCTGGTAAAGGACCCGCGAAGGGCTGCACGTCGGCATCTCCAATGCTGAACAGTATACGTGATCATAAAATGGGATTGTTTCGGCTTGATCTGAGCGTGATACGAGACAAAGAGAGAGAGGAGCAGAATTTCTTTCCAGAGACGCAACATCGGATACTGTGCCTAGAACACGAGTCAATCAGTCCACATACAAGAACGCCGGAAGTCTTCGTGTATTGAAGCGATGAGATCCTCTGGTCAGAAAGGGGCTTCATGTATGCTCTGATTAGCCAGGTCTCTGAGGTGATTTCCAAGATCTTCATATCGGCTGTTTTCTTCATCCTTGACGGCTTGCACTGTTCCCGCCGGCCCTATCTGCGCTTTGCCCTCTGATGTGATTTTCAAATCCCAAATCATACTGGCACCTCCTCTCCAACTCCTGTCCAACCATCACACCTGCAATAATGGCTGCTCAGTCACCAAACCCACATCAAAGCACCAGTCTACCGGGTGTGGTCCTCTTTGTCGCCAAAGAAGAAATCCCGATCAGCCGCGTTAATCATCCACCTCACGTCTTAGCCTGGGGAAACGGAGAGCGCCGACAGAGTGTCTCCTAGATCAATTCTGATCCCTGGAAACATGAAGAACCCCATCTCGATCGGGAAGAGGACGATTTTTTTAGATGTTGTTTGTGCGTCCTAGCCTGAAACACGGCGAATGCTCTTTGACATCGTGCCTTTTGTGCATGATACTGGAAGAGAAACCAAAATCTTTGTCTCTGAGGTTACTGCATCACACATGAGAGAGGCAATCATTTCCTGCACTTTGCAGGGTTTGGAAATCAACTATGACGTGAGAGTCTGACGGCAATGAAATTCTCGGGGGCTAGGGTTTTGTCGACGACAAAGGAACGGTAGAGGGGTTTCAATAACAGCACTGGATTTACAGAGCCCGATCTTCTGTGCTGTGGAGTGATTGATGAGTTTGCCGCCCTGAGCCTCTCAGATTGCGTTAAAAATCCCGATAATCTAGTAGCATTGGTTTGTCCAGACTGGTCCAGAGTTCACCTGTTGCGACGGGAGTCAGAAAGCCTAGTCAACTCGAGCACAAAGATGACATGTCCTGCAAAGCCCCAATAATTCCAAAGCAGGAGGCGTCTTCTCTGTCAAAAGTTGCAAGTCTTCGACATTCTATGAAAACTGTCTCATTTGGATACACCAAGTCTATCTGAACAGGACCTTTTCTAGCAGAAGGATCAAAGCTTTGGCTTGTCTGTCTTGTATTACTTGCCATCTGAAAAGGTATTCTACGTTTGGCTTAGGTCTTGTGACATTTGACTTTGAGGATTCTTGCTTTTTGGTGGCTGGAAGGGATTGAATCGGATTGAGATCGACGATGATGGCTTTCTTGTTCACCCGAAGCAACGGACCGGTTTTGGGCTTCCTCTTGCTCGACTGATTTTGCAGGGAGAGTTAGTCATGCAGCTGTGCTTGTGCTGTAAAGGCTGGCCATACAGCATCGTCCTGGTTGCCCAAAAGCTTCCTTGGACGGTGCCATTTTTTTTAATATAAGTGCCCCAATCCCTGTGACCTGAGAAGTGCTAATAAGATACTAGGTCACTATATGATATTGTGGTGGGGCATTTCAGCCATCGCCGTCGTTGTCTTGAATTGCGAGTGTGTGTCCATTGAAAATCACAAAGTTCACAGGTGGAACCCCTTGTTCGCACCCTACACAGATAGATACTCTTCCACAATGGAGACCTCCTGCGCCCAGCACTAAACATGAATCATACCAAACTCTCTTTTTCCATATAAGAACCCTGTGCCTGCCTCTTATTCTCCTTTCCCTCCCTTATACTCTCTGAACTGAACAATGCGACCTGATTTCTAAAAGCTCAACCACAACAACCATCTTCTTCTTCTCTTATCACCAATATTGAGACAAAAACACCTTCAAATTTCAACAACGACAACTACACCACAACTCGATAATACTACAAACAACAGTATCGTCCCCATTTCAAACGCCATCTAATAACATCAACGACGACACAACAACACAACAACAACCACCTCTTTACTTGAAACACCTTCTAACACCACCTAACAACAACGAAAAGACAACAAACGAATCACAATGGCCCAAATCCAGATCAACGATTACAGAGGCACCATGAACGTGAGCGAACTCACTCCCGGGGCACAAGAGATCCTCGAATCAGTCAAGGCTTTCATGAGGGGGCCAACACCACTACCATTCGAAATTGAGAGAGAGGGCGGCTTCCTAGGTCAGCTGAACATCAGAATTTGGAACACCAGCAGCCAAAGTCTTAGTGGGAAGGTCTTCGCTTTTCGGGTGGAGCAGTGTGCCCGCGTCACACCGGAGGGATACCTGGAAGATGGAGGGTGTTGTGGACAGGAAGAGGCGGAAGTGGACTCCAGTCGGTTCGAGTTTGAGCAGGTGGTCGCTCAATTGGAGTTGGACGAGGAACTTGAGCAGGAGGACGTGGTGGAGATGGTCAACCAGCTGATATCGAAGGTCCTTGAGTTAGCGTCGGAAAAGGAGCCGGAGACAACGATTCTAGATGGTGGGGAGGGAGGCTCCAGCTAGACAAATGGAACTTGGAAGGGAAATTTTCGTGTTTAGGAGGGGCACGTCATTGGCAAACTAGGTTACAATGGAAAAATGCTATAGGCCTGAGGAATGAATAATGGTCATCAAACAAAATGTGGATCATCTCGAGCATTATTACACCGTTGTAGTCATTGAAAAGACCCACTCCGCGGCGCATTTCTGCCCGCTTCCAAGGCGGAGCCTTGCATAGAATACAGAAAATCGCCAAGACCGTGTGGCTCCCCCACGCAAAAGTTTTCCGAAGGTGGGAGCCCATGCTTTCTGCGAAACTCAATCGAGAAAATTCTAACGGTAATTGGTGCACCGGAATCTCCCTCTAGGGCCATCTCGATCTGATTTCATCAAGGCCGGTACCTGTGACGGTTTATGGGGGGATGATCTTAACTGTGTTGGGTATCAATAAGGCATACGAGAGTTACGACCGTATTTTGGGCGTGGCTGTCTGTGACTTTGGTAAATGCCGGTATCCAAGACCGCTGATCGTTTACTGCAGCCGAGTCTTGCAGACCGTCACTACAAACTCGGCTAGTGCAAGTGGTTCAAATACTCGATGAGGATTTTAGTGTAGTGGACAGCCAGCTTGGTTCTGAGATGTCAGGACTTGGGCAGTGGCGGGTATGCACAGGATGTTTAGAAATACACACTGTCAATGAACGAAAACTAATCACAAAGCTGGGTGGCAATCTAAAGAGAATTCCTTATTTCCACTGTCGGCCCTCACACTGAAACCTATGTATTGTCTGTGTGACCAAGATCCAAGACAAGTCCCATTGGTCAGTGGGACAATGATACGGTCTAGAGGATGGATTGTTTTTATCGAGGGATCTAAAAACAGGCAAAACTGAAAGTAGCTGGCCCACGAGTACCTGCCTGGCTTGACTGCGGCTCATGAAGTTTTCTGCCTTTTTTTGAGGAGTGGGATTACATGATTGTTGCTCATACGGCTGGTGGGTCACTGCACCGATACTGGCATTAAGCCTTCTTCTCCTTTGCTCTCCACGAGCGATTTGAGAAGGTATGAGATGGTTCCCGTTCATCGGCAGCTACTAGATCTGTATTTAGTGATTGGATTAATCAGGTCATCAGCAGCAAGAGCAGGAAGAACACCAGAGCCAGTAGCAACATGTGAACGAGCTTTCGGAGCCTCGCTCACACACCGAGAGAGCCATTCTCCGAGCTTTGCCTAGAACAGACCAGGCAAGGCTGCAATGCCTGTTTCTCAAGTCCGAATAAGTAGTGCCACAATTCAAGCTTTTGACACCTTCAGCGTTGACCGGTTGACAGATTTCTGTCCACCAGCCCGCATGCACTTTCCATTTCAACATGGAATTTAAGAATAATGTCACAACTGCTCGTCAATTCCTTCTGTTTCCTTCCGATAGCAAGGCCAATCAAGTCTCCATAGTTCCAACGGCATCCCACGCTAGCCACTGTTAGTAGATCGAAATCTGGCACAGACAGCCTTGTGGCTAGGTATCTCGCTCCTGCCTTGCCTTTTGCCCTTGGTAGTAAGCATTTTAGGTAGTCATGGGAAATGGGAATTTGGCGGGGAAATTTTGCGTGACCGGTGGGAGAAGACCATAGCCTCCCTCGTGCATTATATCAGCCTTTCGCAGATGGTGCTCTTAGTACAAACGATTAAAACGATGGACTTCTGATCGTTTGCAATGTCCAGTGGATACCACAGGTATGTCTTATCTGGCAAGAGATTGACTGATCACATCCACACTGTCTCAGATAGATTGACTACGTATCCATATCAGATTCTCGTAGAGTCATATGGGTGGACAATAGAGTTGTAGATGTATAGGGCCTCTCGTAGCTGAAGTCTATTGTCTTTTCAGTCCACGTCCAGATCTATAAGTTTGACAGTTTTCCAAGTAGAATCGAGAAATCTAGTATATTCGACAACCTCAATTCAATACTACATACACACATACTCATACTCAAGCTTACCCACCACTAAACACCACCACCACCAACATCAAATCATTCACATTTCAACAAGACCCTCCAGAACAACCTTCAATACCATCAATACTCACTATCAGCGACCTCCCCTCCCTCATACACCACTACCAAGACTAAAGACTTCCTCTCTCCCAACCACCACCACCAACAACACCGTTCTGTCTTGAACAGCCACGTTTACCAACAACACAACTTCTCAACAACAATGGCAACCACAACCGCCACCGCCACCACCACCACGATCACCACCACTGCCGCTGCCGCCATGACGTGGACAGAGGCGAACGCCCTCCTCAACGCCGCCAAGGCCCTCATGGCCTTAAACGAGGAGGGGGTCATGCCAACAAGAGGGTTGGGGGCTACGTCGACCAGAACGGACATCACGTTCAAGGAGACGCCGATGCCAAAGGAGCCCGTTGACAAGGTTTTCAAGAAGGGGTATTTCTGGGAGGAAAAGAGGTTCGCGGAGGAGTACAAACGGGAGAAAAACCCGAGGGCCTGGGTGCCGGAGATAACGGACGCAGAGCTGGCGGCCGACATGGAGGCCATAGGGGTCTGTTTAGAGGGCCGCGGGCAGCGGAAGAGGAAGCTGACCGCGAAAGGTCAGGCGGCTGTGGAGCAGGCCGTGACCAGGATGAAGAAGTCCAAGACTTCATAGTAGATAGTAGAAAAACCGCTGGGTTCGGAGTGTGCTCCCCTCGGTTATATATCCTGTACAAACAGTGTAACATCACCAGGATAGCAATCAATACCAACAATGATTGCCAATGAACATGAAGTTCCAGTGGCTTGATAGACCGGCCAATGATATCTCGTTGTTGCATTGCTCGCGATGAACAGTGGTGTTCTTACGCAATCCCCTCTATACATCCTCTTCTATCGGGTGTTACGTAGCACAAGCGGACACCAAATCTTCTCTCTGTGGGTCTCTGGCACGCCTCATCCTTCATGTCTCTCTTTCTGGGCCACGTTGACCGGCAAAAAGCCATCGACTTCATATGTACCGCTAGTTTGCCACAAGCACAATACATCCTTGCCGATCTCAATTTTGTGCCAAAGGACTTCCTCTTCTCAGCAATTTTGGTCCTCTGTAAATCTCAGACCACAGCCAAGTAGAGAAATCTACTCCGTACAAGTGCGCCAGTCCTGATCTGGACTGAGGTGAAAAGTGAACTTGCGACGTGATAGAAAGGTGAGAGGGAAACGCCCGTCAATGGAACCAATGATGGAAGAGTGGAAGCACCCTAGTCACTGTTATCAAAAACGGCCCAGGTATCCGAATTTACACCTCTGGAAGGAGGAGACGTACTCCCCCCTCCTTGGTCTACCTTAGATGAAGTTCTGGAGTAAGGAAACGAGATGATCTAGTAAAGGGGTTCGAAACCAGAGTTCTGGGCAGGACAAGTGAATAGCTTTGAGGCCTCTGATGGCAAGATCCATTCATGCCAACCACCGACTTAGCGACATGTCCCAGCTGGTTGGATGTTCCGTGTGCATATGCATCGAAGTAGCAGTAGCATGGCAAGAGTAAGTCTCCTCTGAGACAGCCTCATTGCTGCTCACTTGAAAAGTCTTAAATGAAACATACATCAAGCGGCGGCAAATTTGATATGGGAGAGGAGAATATCGATTTTGAGCTACATAGATATTTCTGAGATTCTGAAGTAAAAAGATGAATTAAGATTGAGGTTATAATTGCACGTCGAAATTACCTTTTCTCGGGATAACCCCCTGAAACGACGGCATAGATATATCTCGTTCGTCCAAGTCTCGTCGCAATTCAAGGTCGTGACAACCTCAAAGTATGATGTCTCCTCCGATGAGGTAAAATTGTTTGGAATATCGACTACAGCAATTGAACGCGAACCCGTGGGTGGATGGGAAAGTGAGACAATCGGGTGGAGGGGAATAATGGCTGAGGCGAGAAAAGGGGGCCGCAAGGCTGACGGACGCTAGTGTGATAGTACTAGCATCATTAGGAGTGAGAATTGGGTTTGCGTCATGCAGATTACTATTCAAGATCCACAAATATATTTATGCTATGCAAAGAGTCGTTTATGTCACTCTGCTGAGGAAGCCACCGTCTCAAAACCCTCGTCTCACTGCCTCCTATGTGTGCAACAATGGCTACAGGAGAAACAGGTGCGCTCCACAAGTATCATGTATGTATCGTTCGCGGTAGAGGGAGGTCTGTATTAGAATAGTACAAGTATTGGGTCTCTACTCGGTTGACTGTTTTGCCTTGCTCCGGTGCAGGAGTAGCGGGAGAAATACCGAACAGCGTCTTTTGGGGACTATACGTCACCGATTTCAGCAGATCGAGTTGCCACTGATGATAAAGACACGCATAATGGGTTCTGAGTCGGACTGAATCAACAAGTCCATACACCCACTTCGCCACTTCGGCGTCCCTCTACGAGATAACCATCTCGGAGTCTGACTTTTTCCACGATGCTTGTTTTGGCACCAGCCATCGTGTCTTCAATCGAGGTGGTTACCCCGGCGCCACAATCCCAATGCCTGCTGTCAGTCTTGTCGTACACTTTGACGACATCCTCTCCAGCGGCGCAGACAATATGTCGTGCATCGAACATCATAGATGTAATGGGGTTATCATATGCGTAAGCGTCGAAGATGGTTCCGGTGCGAAGGTCCCATATCTAAATTGTTCAAAATATGTTAGCTCAACAAGTTTGAATAAGATCTTAGCGATTTGGTGAAGAATGGTTTGACGTACCCTGACACTTCGATCAGCACTACCTGTGATGAGATGAGTATCATCGAATTGCACACAAGTAACGGGGCCTGTATGTCCCACGAGGCTCCTGTGAACTTGACCACTTCTCAAATCCCACAACCTGACCATCCCATCAGCTGTCCCACAAGCTAAAGCGGCATCAAAGACTTGCAGGGCGCCCACGAAGTCAGCACCTGAATCCGCAGATCGACCAGTAGGGCGCCACTGTGATTCAGTGGAATTCATGGTGGAAGAAGCCTGGGCTGCAGCCCAGAGAACATCTAAGGTCTGAACGCAGCGGCCTTTGACGAGATCCCACTGACGAAGTGTTTTATCAGCAGAACCCGAGACCAGAGTGTCGCCTCTTAGATGGAGAGCAGTCACTTCATCAACATGGGCTTCAAGCGTGAACAGAGGACATTCTGACATGGCCTCTGGCGGTGGAGGCGGTGGAGCATCTTCACCCTCATTGCCGAAACCCAATCCATCATCGTCATCATCTGCACCATCGTCGTCTCCATTCGATATTTTATGCTCGTACGGTTCATACTTTGCACGGCTAAGATCCCAAAGACGAATCGTAGCATCGAGACTACCAGTAGCGACAATGTTGTCTTCGACTTGTAAACACCTGACTGAGGCGGTATGACCTTCCAAGAAGCCCATGCAGCGGCCAAGATTAAGGTCCCAAACACGCACTGTGTCATCCAATGATGCGGTAACCATGGTCCCGAATGGCTGGTCGAAATCCATGGCGGAAATGGTATCATTATGGGCGGGAAGAGTTTTTATATGTGAGCCCGGCTCGAGGTGTTCATGCAGCACAGGCATAGACTTGCGCTTAGCAAATGTTGGCCGACGCTTCGATTTTGGTGAAGATGTGGCAGGTAGTTTTTCATAGATTGACTGAGACATGAAGGAGGCATCCATTGCTTCAGACTCGGGGGTGGCAACACGGGGAGGATTGAGGGTGCTAGTGGATTGACCCAAAGCACCTTGTTCTTCGAGCTCTTCCTGCATTTCATCGATCTTGTTGTCCAACTCCAGGAGTTCATGCTCGACCTCGGCTTCATCATTTTCTAATGCAGCTAAACGATCCAGGACGATTTTCCTGACGCTGTGTAAATTGGCGATCTTGTTGTCGATATCACGAATCTCGGTAGAAGCCATGTTCTTTCGAATAGCCATCATTTCCAATTTGTGGTTGACATTGTTCCTTTTTTTCTTCAAGTTCTGAATAGTTGGCGGACCATCTTCTTCCACATCGCCTGCACTCAAAAGTCGGTGCTGTTTAGAGCTCCGCCGCCGATGTCCCTTTCGATGCTCACTTTCGCCTTCTGGTAAAGAGGCTTGGAAGCCCTGAAACAGGGAATAGCTATTATCGTCCTCGGGGATATTGTACAGTTGTTCATCCGAGATAAATGTTAAGGCACGATGTGCGATCTCACTGGTAGAGAGTCTGGCACGGACCAGTTCTGTTGGTGCTTGTTGCGAAAAGGAATATACGGCCCTTTGTATAGCTGGTCGACGCATCTGTCTCTGGAGGGTGCCAATGGCAGAAGGATAGGCTTGGGCAGAGGAGTCGCCCATAAGGTGAGTGGCGGTCGCAGTCACTTTACGGCCAAATGCCTCGAGCTGACGTGTCTGAGAGGCTGTCAGTCTTTCATTGATTACTTTAGCTGTGTACTCACGTCGAGCACTGCTCCAAGTACACCGTCGTCACCATCTCCAGCCGTAGATCGTGTTTGCGAGACATTGCGACTATGGGATCGCGACCCGGCCATGCAGGCTGGCTTGTAGGAAGCGTGGGCACAAAATGACCCAGGTCAACAGGGGACCCAAGAGAGGGAGAATTGTAGAATCTAGAACTCGGCGCGTGGTATATCGCTGTTGAACGACTAAGTTGAGAAGTCCTGTCGTGTTGATGGACTCGTCCTTGTAACGTAGATCAAGGTGCAGATAGAGGCGCAGATGTCGATGGAAAGTGCATGCAAGACCTTAACTTCTGAAGTGTGGAGAACCGAGCTACAAGCCATAATTATCTAAGCGGCATGATTTAATGCCTAAGCTTTGAGCTATAAGCCTAAAGTTCGGGGCCGTTTTCTCAGCCTCGGGCAGGAGTTGGCAGGTTCTGGGCATGAAAATACACTCTCCTCCACAATTGTTGCGCCCGAGAAGCCTCGGACCCATGCCTGAAGGCAGAACAATAGGAGAATGGGTGTGCAAAGAAGTACGACGTCGTCATAATCGGAATAATGTTCTTCCACAAGTCCCCTGCATTTTCCTCTTGGCAAACATCTACCTTGAGTTCTCCGAACCAATGTTTCCTTCATGCATCCATCTCACTCTGAACTTGAACCTCCACCAACTTATCCTCCTTGGTCAAAGCCATAAATCCATGGAATCTCCGAGTTGGATCATATTTTCGTCGAATCTTCTCCAGACGAAGGAAGTTTGCGGGTGACATGAACCGAGTTGGTCGCCTCAGCAAGTTCTCGTCCGCGAGTTGCGAACCTACTCCTTTCTTTGCCAGGCGACCAATGCCAGCAGGAACTATCCTTGCCCACTTTTCGTAATCCTTTGGGTCCACGTAGATGGCAAGATGGCTAATATACACTTTCCCCTCCAATGAATGCGCCATGTCGGGTATGGGCCTGCCGTTCCTGTTCCAGTACTGAAAGCTCAGATGCGCTGGGGCCGGGCCTAATTTGTCCACTATATCATGTATTTGTGGTAGCACATTGCGAACTGGCTCATTCATCCAGGTGTTGTCTACAACAAACTCCGCATTACCGACCTCAAGCAGCTCCCCGACATCGTCAAGGAGAATTGACAGATCCAAGACACGGAACAGGTCCGTCTTCCTAGCTTTTGCGAATATAGGTAGCCCATGGAGATTGCTCAGGGCCTGTCGAGCATCCGAATCGCTTGTGGCAAGAACGTCGGCTCGTACATGAGCAGATAATCCAGGAGTACCCTCTTGATCATGACCAATGAGTAGGAAGAGCTCAAGGAACCTGGGAAACAACTCATGTGCGTCATCTAGAGTTGAAATCAATTCATCTAGGTGATCCACTGAGAACCAGAAGCGACTGTTCATTATAGCCTTGGGAAGAGGGTGACAACGAAGATGAAAATGTGTCACCACACCAAAGAAGCCATGTCCCGCACCTCGTGCTGCCCAATAAAGGTCGGAGTAATTGTCTGCATCGGCATGTACCAGAGTTCCATCTGGAAGTACCACATCAACCGCAATGACGCTTTCGCATCCGAGGCCGTAGAGCCGGGAATTCCAACCAAAACCGCCCTGAAGAAGATATCCCCCCAAGCCGACGGTAGGGCAATGGCCACCTGGAAACATATAACCATGTGGCTGAAGCTTTCCGTTAAGGTCACCACCATGTGTCCCAGGACCTACAACCGCAGTCCCAGCCTTAGGGTCCACTGCGATTCCATTGAGTTTGGAAACATCAATTAACATGCCTGCGTCACGTAAGAAACTTGCCGTCCAAGAGTGCCCGCCTGAACGAACTCCAATCTTCATCCCTTCGCCCCAAGCATATTTGACTGCGGCGACCACATCTTCCTCTGTATTGACTTGGATAATGATATCAGGATATCGTTCAGGCTTGTGACCATTCCAAACAGCATTGCACCTAGTCTGTTCATACTCTGGGTCCCCTTTTCTAAAAGTCGGGCACGGAAAAGCCATTTTTAAACTACTTTACTTGGGGATCGAAACCGCAATGGACTCAATCTCACGTCCTGGGACCAAATAACCGAACATTTCGTCGTGGACTGCGTGAGGTTATATATTAATCGCAGACAACAGCTTGCCTCGAGGTTGTTATTATACTGCCTTTGATGCTTGAAGCCGACTCCATATCGGCAATTTGATCGGTTTGTGACGCAATCGCCTCCTATTCCAGCTATTTACTCGCCTGAGTCGTAACAAGCAATGCTCGCACGTGCATTCGAAGGCCGAGGGTGCACCGGAGTTTGTTACCTCGTATACTAATCTCCATTATTTCCAAAGGTCCTTTTGACTACCGGACTTAAGTCTGACCCACATAAATTACAAATTGTACTGTGTCAACGGGCGCCGACAGATACTTATGCATCCTAGTTATTGAATTAAGCAGCAGAGAATTGCCCTTTGCAAGGGAGCCATGAACGACATTTAAGTCAACTTCTCCGAGCACTGAACTTGAAAATTAAACCCACGTCCTTCTATGTTTCTGTTGGGAGAGATCTACTACAAGGATGTCGAATCAAATGGATGTCGCAGCAAGTCTGTTCACCACCAAAATCCATCATGACACCTATGAATATATCCAGAGAGTGTCAACAAACTTCACTGGTCGACGAGCATTGGTCACAGGAGCTTCGAAAGGCATCGGCCAAGCAATAGCAGTGGCCCTGGCGCGTGCAGGATATTCACACCTCGCACTTCTAGCTCGTGGTTCGGTGGCATCAACCGCCGAGAAAGCAAGAGACGCAGCCCAACGGTCAGGAAAAAGTCCTCCGGAAATCCTCGAGTTGAGCGCAGACTTGGTTTCAGCGACTTCGATAGGCGATGCCGCAAGCAAGCTCAAGGCAGCTTTTGGCAACCTAGATGTCTTGATCAATAACGCGGGGTCTTCGGATCCGTGGAGCTCGTTCCACGACTCTGACCCGGACGACTGGTGGCGCACGTGGGAAGTCAATGTGAAGGGCACCTATCTCGTTTCCAGGGCCTTTATGCCACTTTTGCTGCAGGGACAACAGAAAACTCTCATTACAGTGACAAGCGCTGGGGCATGGTTCACCATGACCGGGGCGAGTGCGTATCAGGGCAGCAAGACTGCTCAAGTGAGGCTGAACAATCACCTACATGAGGAATATGGCAAGCAGGTAAGATCCTGCGGCAGGGTTGATATGTTGTGTACGAGACTGACCATGAAACCAGGGCCTAATAGCGATGTCGATCCATCCAGGTGGAGTGAAGACGGATCTCTCTTCGTTGCTACCAGAGGAACTCAAGTCCATTCTTCTGAATGACACACCAGAGCTATCAGCTGATACCGTTGTCTGGCTTGTTTCAGAGAGACGAGAGTGGTAAGTCCACGGTTTGTCATGGTTCAACAAGCGTTAAATTATGTCTTTAGGCTCGCCGATCGGTATGTCAATTGCTCTTGGGACATGGAAGAGCTGCAAGCAAAGAAGGAAGAAATTGTGTCGAAGAATCTCCTGAAGCTGAGTTTATCTTGTTGACTCTTGGGTAAGGGTTCGTTGCAGCAATGTGAACTGTGTTTTAAAGTCAAGACTGGCAGAGAAACAGGTTGCGTTCTATGATTGTGTTGGTATCTTTTGGATGAGTTGACGGCATCAATGTGTCATATTTCCCTGGAAGCTCAGCGCCATCTGGAAGAAATTGATTCGAAGCAATACTTAGTACAGACACTGCCCAGGAATAGTAGAGTGAACCATCAGCCTTTCCAGCGTTGATACCATCTCAACACAGCATGGCCAGGGCATTTCTGCCAATTCAAGTTTGAATGCAAGCAACATCATTCTACTACCATGTTTTCTGCCAATCTGTGATCGACCGATAGTCTGCTCCGCCCAAACCACGAGCGCAGCGTGAAACACGCAGATCGGCAGCCAAACAGGGCACAGATGCTGGTTGCCAGAATCTTTGTTCCGTTGGGCAGCAACGTCTAACACAGACCAAGCGGTACTCACGGCCACATCTGAGATAGATCTGCCACGGTAGACGCCCACAGCACTTTGGGAGATCATCGAATGACCGGCGAGACGGGGAAGGTCGAGGAGTTCCGGACAAGCGAGGTGTAATCTGCAGTAACAGTAGAAGGACATGACTTCTGGAGCCATGAACGACTGAAATCTCTGATTCCAGATGTCCAGGGCCGACTTCAACGTGCCATGTAGCTGGTTCAACTCGCTCCTAGGGGTAAGTGGTATATAGGGGTTTCCCGGAACTAGTTGATCTGATTGGGGTGGGGAACAATCGCCGAAGCCCATTGAGAATGATCTTCGGAAGTACAGTAGATCTGACAGAAAGGCTATCAGCAGCAGAATTGCATCGTCAGGAGATGTCATGTCGCTGGGTAAAAGCGGATTGACTTCATGAGGATTAACACATGTGCGGTAGATATCCTGGAAGTCATATTTCCCAGATGGCATCGTGATCCATAGCTCTCTTGATGAGAAACTATGGACCGCGGATTCAAAGTGCAGAGCATTGAGGATATCATTGAGCCAGAAGAAACACACCAGGGAGTTTCTAGTCATGAGTTCAGCAATCAGCCTTGTTAGGTCGGAGGACAGGTCACGGTCTAGCCACATACCGGGCAGATGCTTCCACAAGTTCACTACTGGGCTGGATCTGAGACGGATCATGTAGCCGCAGACGTCTTGCAATCTACAGTAAATTGAGTTAACTGGCAAGAAACACCATGGAACATGCACTCACCGTTCCAGCCCCAGAGATCAGCAGAACAATGTTGGGTCGATTGTGAAGGTCTGTTGTGCTCACGAGATACGTTGCAAGCAGTAGAATCTAGTCAAGTCAGTTTATGGCAGTGGCCATTGAGATTACACTAGGGAAGATACAGCCAGGAGCATGTTGATAGATCGGGATTCCCTATTATCCGTCTCTATCATTGTGGCCCAGAGCATGAACCCAGCTAAGAAAAGGCTCCTCGACTCAGAATTTGGGCGTCTGAGCTGCACAGCACCCAGACAAGCGAGTGCCAGGCGGAGCGGAGGGACTGTGCCGTCCCGTAAAGGACACTCTATTGGCAGTGCACCAAGGAAGGCACAACTGCTACGAGTTGAGAGGAATGCCTCGCCTAACCAGTCGAGCCGTTCTTCCGACGGTAGCGTGGGGAAATCTTCGAGGCATATCAACGGGTAAGCGAAAGCCCTGTCTCTCGTGGGCTGCGCTCAGTGAAATCAGTTCACAACACAAGTCCTAGGGCTTAAAGGGGTGGCTTGAACATACAGTGAACTTGAAGTCTGTATGAATGAGGTTTTGGCTGTACTTAGCATCCTGACTTGCAAGAAGAGAGTTTTTGAATTTTGACAAGAGTGTCGCTTTCGGAACCTCGTTTGCAGCAGCAACATCACCCCCGGATGGTTCATTTTCTCCGGGCAAGATGAGTTCCTGAGAGGCCATACCAAAAGTACCCTTCGTTATGCGAAGCAATGCAAGTGGAGTGCTCGTCAATCTGCTTGCCAGGGCATAAAATGATGGACGTCTGCCATTGAGCCGTCAAAGTCATCGATGGACCCCGGGCCCGGGGTTTCAACCACGGTCTTCAGAAGTAGACCGTCCTTCCCAAAGATGCTCTGAGATGCAGATGATAATGATCTCACCATTCCCGAGCTGATAAATTACCGACATGGGGTAAAAGCGATGATTCGTCCAAAACCCCCGAACTCATAGGTCGCCTGACGCTGTGCCGTTTCGAACTACATTCCCAAGAAAGTCTTGAGTAATATGAAGGACGATTACCAGTAATAAGGGATTCTCCTTAATCATCCTCTGCGTTGGACATCCCGTCCCAGTAGCTGCCTCGACACCGCAAGGAGCATGCGCTATCATGAGCCGAACAGTATCATCACCACGTTTGCAAAGCTCCAAATCTAAGTTGATTCAGACGGTAAGCCATACCAAGCAGATGAGGGTACATGGCTTGAACTCTGAGAGATGTTTAGTGTGAAATCTGCTCTCGCTCTTTCGCGCGGACAGAGCATCTAGTCCGACATCGAAGAACACGTGAGCCACGGCATCTAGCTTTCCCCATAGTGAAGCAAGCTCACCTAATATTTCATCATTGTTGACGGACAGATACGAGCGAAAGACCATTTCAATGTTCCCTCTGCCACGCTGATTTCCCGCGCTCTGATGTTAGAGACAATCACATCAAGAGGTTTCATAGTGAGGAGGGCATAGGCAAATCGCAAACCAACAGAGCAAATGCTGTTCCGTTAGAACGATCGAAGCTCGCGTGTGACCAGTGTCGCAAAGCAAAAATCAAATGTGATAACACTCATCCCTGTAGACTATGCAGACAGAAAGGAAAAGACTGTACGGTGTCAGCGGCTAGCCGACGACCAGGCCGGCCAAGAGCGCATGAGAGTCGCCGACGACCATCGAGCAGTACAATCTCGCGGGTCTTGATACCGAGCATGCATGAGAGATCCAATGCCATGACTGATGGCCATCAAGCCTCTATCATTGCTCATAGTGCCAAAATAAGCGGTGCGAATGTTACGTGCGTCAATCTCCAGGCATGCGAGGTTGAAAGCCAGGCATGGTCTGAACCACTCTCAGTAAACTTAAACAATGGCCAGAACACTGGCAGCGCCGTATCCTCTCAGCAGGAGATCAATGCCATCAGACGTAATGTCACCATTTCGTCTGATGTAAACATGTATCTTGATGGATCAACAATCATTGGCGAAGATTTGGTGGATATGAACTTCTTGGACCCAATTTGGGATCCGATATGGCATCTACCGGTGGTATGTGTGAGTGATTCTGTTCTTTCTTGTGTTCGTTTGACTGATATTTTCAGGATACACCACAGTGGTTGGATGGTATAGATGACCCGAACATCAATGAGCAATCTCTGGACTACGTCGAGTCATATCAGAATCAGCATACTTCCCAAGGGGCTTCACCTACAGAGACTGCTGTGATATTGATAGCCAAATATTTCACCCGTCGTTCTGGATACTCGATCCAGAGTCGAGAGCTCATACAAAGGATGTCACATACACTGCAACCTCAGATCTACGACAAAGAGGTGATCAACGTCTTGCTAAGCATTGGTCGCTCGCATCTGTACTCAACCTTTTCAATTTTTACTAACTTCGAGGTGTCAAAGAAGACCAGTCTACAACTGTGTCTCTCAATGGCAGCCTTCGGTGCATTATTCTCGACAGCAGAGGGCAGTGAAGCCGTGTCGATGAGCTTGTACAGCGATGCCAGACATCTACAGATGGAGACTTACATTCGAGATGGTTTTGACTCTTTTACCACTGCCGCAAATGCAGCAAAGACATATCTCCTGCTCGAGATATACGGAATATGTAGTGGTAACAAGAGGATGTATGAATTCTGCGAAGCATTCCACTATAATACCATTGAAGCATTCAAGGCATGCTGGCAAACTGTCCCCCAAGAGGCAGATGAGAACACTCGAGCTGAATTATCACAACTCGTGGAATCAGCCCACTTGCTGGACAGTTTTCGTGTTCTCTTGCTGTCGCGACCACCTTGCTTCCTCCCATGGGGGCACACAACGATCAAGACAGATGTCTCTGTGCTTCGTCCCAACGTAAAGACAGATCTTGAAGCATTGGCGACGCCTACAGCTCCTCTCTCAAGATCAATGGCGACAGCGCAGAGTCTTGCCACACTTAGTTCTTGGACATGGATGTTCAGCCCTAGAGGACAGGAAAGTACGCGCGGCTACCAGCCTTGGAAGACTGAATTCGTGGAACTGGGCTTGGAACGCTGGAAATGGGCAAGAACTCAATGTCCTTCGGATACAGACTTCCCTCTCTTGTTGATCTACCACCTTGCATATCTCAATCTGTACACTAATCTGCCTCTCCTACAACGCCACGCTCATGAGTTCTTGGAATCGTCGGAAATTCCTGGAGATGTGAAGAGCATCGGAGCTATCCGAGTTTGGATTAATGGCTCACGTGCTCCGGTCGCACACTGGCACGCAGAGGCAATGATAAATCTGATCAAGGACAGTCTTGGGATATTTTTGCCACGGCAAGAGTCGATGTCAGAGCCTTCGCGAGCCTCTGAACCGCCACACTTGCCTTACTGTATTTACTTTGCAATCCTGGTCATTTGGTTTTATTACGTCCGAGAAGGTGTTCATATGGTTGATATGAGGAATGCACAAATTGATACAGCTATGTTGCTACTGGGGAAGCTTCGCGCACCTGTAGCAGGGGTAATAAGTGTTGCACTCCACAACCTGCGAGAGCAGGGGCGACAATGAGCTTTGAAGATAAAGACACAAGGCTAGTCTAGTCCTTATACATATTGTAGCCTTTCCAGACAGATCAGCCTAAGAACTTCCTTGATTTGTCTCATTCCTCATCACGTCGATGTCATGTGTCGGATCTGGCCCATTCCAGATCAGATACGAAAGCCCACCACAAAATACCGAGTGTTAGGAATTTCGCCCTTGAAACAAGAACAACGACAACATGTGGATAAGATAACTGACACCTAGCTAGCACTATGTGGAAGGGTACACTAAAAGCAAGCCCCTTCCGGGTTAACATGGAGACCCGAATCTGAGGGAGCACTATCACCTGAGAATGACCGTAAACTCCGACCAAAACTCCATGCCTCATTTCCCATACCCAGTGCATGGTAGTTATATTTACAGATGTGCTTAGTATCTCAACCCTGGTGTACCGTGGCCAAACCTGAGCTGACGACCGAGCACATCAAGCGTGCAGGCCAATCTATGGTAACAGTGTTCACTCAGTTTATTCTATCGTACGAAGCATAAACCATCCTCAAAACACAAATGCGTGCCGCTCTATTCTATGGTAAGGAGGACATCCAAGTCAAAGATGTGCCTGATCCGACAGACTCGTGCGACAAAATCCTAGTTGACATCGAATGGTGTGGGTTATGTGGCTCTGATCTTCATCTATTTCAGCATGGTACGTGTCATTCATTATAGCCATCATGCGCCATAGCAGGATATATTCATGCATATATACTGACCTCCATCACTGAAATCAGGCCCAGAAGTCTTCGGAGATCTGACCAAACACGGCGAAGAGCTGCCGTATGCTCTTGGCCACGAGTTCTGCGGCCGCGTGAACTCAGCACCACCGGGCTCAGGATTCAAGCATGGCGACCCGGTGATGATCGACCCCAGGCTTCCATGCGGACAATGCATCGAATGCAAAAGTGGCAAGGACTACGGATGCCCCAAGCAAGGCGGCATCGGCTACAATCACAGTGGCGGCCTCGCGGAGAAAGTCACTGTACCAGCCAGAAACCTCCACCGGCTGCCGGAAACCGTGCCCCTCGAGTTCGCAGCGTTGATTGAGCCGTTCGCTGTTGTCATGCACGCGATCCGAAAGCTAAATATCTCTGACTGGACAGAACAAGACGTCTTGGTTCTCGGAGGAGGTCCTATCGGCTTCGCTTTGGTGATTGCGCTACGCAGCTACAAGCCACGGAAAATCATTGTGTCAGAGCCGACGGCTGTTCGAAGAGAGAAGATTGCCCAGTTCGTGGATCTGGTAGTGGACCCTCTCGAGCGGAATGTGCCAGCGGCTTGCCGACAGCTCTGCGCCGGCGGGGTCGATGTCGTGTTCGACTGTGCGGGCTCGGCTCCCGGGCTGGTTGATGGTCTGGATGCCTTGAAGTGCGAGGGCAAATACATGAATATCGCTATGCACGAAAAGCCGGTAAGTGAATTCTGTCTGCGTCTCAAGATATGACTAAGATATCAACCTAGATGACCTTGTCCGCTCTACCGCTCGCGTTAAAACATGTCACCATCATATTTTCAGCGGTCTATAACGCAACCGACATGGACGAAACCATCAAATTGTTTGCACAAGGTAAGCGCAGAAAGCTCACCGTTGTTTTTGACTGACATAAACGCTTAACTGACAATCAACTGTCAGGCACTTTTCACGGCTACGAGGGAATGGTCACCAAGAGGATGCTCGTGGATGATGTTGTGAAGGAAGGGTTCAAGGAGCTTATCGAGCATAAGGACGACCATATCAAAATCCTGATCACCCCGAAAGCTCATCTGATTGAGGGCTAGTTTGACAATTATGCTTCGAGGGCCGAGCGGACTCATCCACTTAAGATGAATTGTGATGCTTAGTAGTCTCTAACGCAGAGTTGAGAAGTCTGCCATGGACTCTGGCGACTATTGCAAGGGAAAACCAATTCGTATCATTCGCAATGTAATCATTCAATGCACAGAAGCCATATCATCAAGTCTCATCATTTCTCACTGGCACATATGCTACGAAGTACCTCCGTAGATATCAGGACTCAGCAATTTTCATCAGGACACACGTCGCAAAATTCTCAATGCACAACAATCCCCTTGTGCAAGAATGAAGCATCAAACCTCGAAATCAAAAAGAAGTACGTCATCGGTAAACATAGTCCCAATGACCTTCAGGATTCTGTACACAAAATATCAATGATTAGCAACGTCGTGACATGGCAAAAATACTAACTATCTTTCTTCCCCTTCTTTCGCTGAACAATGTCACTTACTCATCATGAGCCGGATGCGTCATGTAGGCTTGCAAAGCTTCCCGGTCCGCCAATGTGAGGACGACACCCCAGTCGTAGCCATGAACGTACGGAGGCGTGGAAGCCTTGGTGAGTTCAAGTGCGGGCCCGACTTCAACGGCGACGAGGCCAGGGATTTGACCCAACATTCCTTTTGCCGCGTGGACCAGTGTGGTGCCGTCGTCCGCGGTCGTACTCTCTTTTGCTTTGAAAAGCGCTTTTACAATTCAGCGAAGATGTGGTTAGATAGAGAATTGTATGTGAACCGCATAGCAATGGACATCATGTATCCTTTGGCATACCTAAGTGATAGACTGTCATTTTGGATCAAGCCCACGCGGTACGCGGTTGCTTGTTCGGGAGTTGAGGAGAAAGTGAAAGTGTAACTGCATAGACACGTACAAATACTTCGTCAGATGGCTACTTATCATTCCCAGGATCAAATACTGCGGCAGAAGACACCTGCTATCCATGCAGGAGTCTGCGAGATGCAGTAACTAGTACGGCTATGTTTACACAAAGTCCACCAAAGAGCTAAAGCCGAGCAGAAGGTTCACCCTTGGCCTTACTCAGCCTTGCTCTTCTTACCCCATATCGGCAATTCTTCTTTGGAGCCTCGCTTTTGGGGGTAGGACAGATCAGCTTGATCCCATATCGCGTCCGTGGCATGCCTAAGTACGGACACCCTGTTTCAGCGATAGTAGAGTTCTTTCAGGTTGCCCCGATGCCGTCGAACAGTTCGATTGATCCGGCAATAACGACGGAGTTAAGTCCAAGGAGGTTGTGGCCACTATTCAGAGCCGTAACCTTGGTGGGAAGCTTCACGAGAAGCACAGACATAGGCAGGTTGAGCAAAACCTTGGATCTTCTAACATAAAGCATCCTCTCCACGAGCAACATCTAAGGCTTCCTGCCGAGTCTTTCGTGTTATTCATCACGTTGGTCCTTGATCTACTCACAACGCTCTCCTTGACAGGAACCACCGTACAACATGTAGATTTTGGTCCTCAGATTTTGTCGCGCAGCCGGCAAGTATACCATTCCAAAAAGGTGCCTCGGAGACTTCCCGGAGACTTTTTGATGTCCAATTATCTATATCCATCCACCTTATACATCAATTCAATATCCCTAAATTTCCTAAGCATTCGTTTTTCGGTAGCACCTTGACATTTCATATCAAACTAGTGTGTATTGAACTCTATATTTAACTTATTTCTTTCTTATCCAATGTCACTAGAGCTCTTCGTCCTCCCCTCATCCGGAGGGCTCTACCCCCGCCGCGTTCTCATCTACCTGTCCGAGAAAGGTCTCCTCTCCCTCCCAAACCTAACCATAACAACCACATCCGGTCCATCCCACAGCGCACTAGGCAAGCTTCCAGGCAGCGTCCCGCAACTCCGCCTCACCACTCCTTTGGGCGAGGTCTCCCATATCCTAGAATCCATCCCCATAATCAACCACCTAGAGGACCTCTGCGACGTCGCCCAAACTACCGCTTCTTCACCATTCATCAAGAAAAATGGTGAAAGCAAGGAAGAAGAAGACGATTCGGTCTGGCGGAAAAGAACTAGATCGATGAGAGGCGATACTCCTGGCCAGCGTGCCCGTACCAGGGAAATCACGGCCCTGGCTGACGAAGCAACCACGCACTTCAGCACCGCCTGCCGCTTCGGCTCCGCGATGTTCGCGTTGCTCGCTCCGCGCACGAACGGCGACTACGCGGCTACTCAAGCGGCACTCGTAGCCTGCCGTAGATGTCTCGTACAAATCAATGCTTTTTACGACGACGACTTACGGTTTGCAGAATCAATCGGAAAGTCGGATGGCAGTGAGCTAGATGGAGAGGTGCTAGTCGGCGATTGCTTGGTTTTTGCGCTGCTGCAGTTCGCTATCTGCTTGTATGGTGTGAATTTGGCGGACGGGTTGGTGGGGTTAGAGCGTTTCTATCTTGTCATGGAGAAGAGGGAGAGTGTGGCAGTAGAGGGGAGGACATTCCCGTGTGAGCTGAGGATGCTTGCAGGGCGGTGGGTGAGAGAGACTCGGGGGTTACCAGGGAGGGTGGCAGAGGGATGGAGGGTCGCGTGGCTGTATTTGGTGGTGTTGGGGAATGTGCTGGGGCATTCAGTGAAGGAGTGGTTTGGGTCGAAGTAGACATTTACACAGGTGGCTGGAAGCAAACTTGTGATGATATCGAAACCGTTGAGTAAAGGGTATTGGACAAACTGTACCTACACAGGAGTAAACTGTTGGAACAGCATGAAAGAATCTGTCCCAGCACCGAACTTGATCAATGTCAGTCCAAACCTATCCCAGAGGACCCGACGACGTTGCAGGATTGTTGGCGAGGTTGCGGACCGCTGGCCCATGGGACGCCGTCAATCCGCCAAAGAGTCGCCATATTGTGTCGCTGTGTTGTTTTTGACTTGACGACCGCCCGACCTCGATAGTCGGGATGAAACTGATATCAATCGTCACCTCTCAACGAGACCGACCGATCGGGATCAATCACAAACCGCTAAAGAACGTGGTTGCAAATTTGAGGTCAGGTTAAGGTAAGCCTGAGGGTTGATAAGTACCAAAACTGGCGGGGACCCCGGGGGCTAAGTTGTGGGCCTCTATTTGGGAACTCACGACTTTGCTCACCCTGCTCAAGGACGCTTCAGGACCCGCCAAACCGAGCTCAGGACCGCACAGCCACAGCTCAAAACTGCTCACCTAGTCATGGCTCAGGTGAAATGGCGGCACTCCAGGGTGTGTCATAATTCGCGGAACACCCGATAATTAGCCGATTTATGATACACATTTATATGCATCAACTACCAATCCTGACCCTTTACGCGTTTCCCACCCGTTTTTACTAGTAGCTCACAACGCCTAGGCATATCAGATATTCTCCGACGTATCTCTCGCATGGTGATATTCCGCCAAACCTCCTGAGCGATTTTTACGAGGGCCTCATAACTCATTGAATTGACACCAGCATTTGATGCAGTCTTTGCTTTAGGATATTCCATGCGGCCCTTACTGAGGGTTTTAGTTCTTATGGAGCGAATAACTGCACTAGTAGAAGATTTAGTACGGCGGATGATTGCAGTGGAGTACAGGGGCTCTAGTAGCAACATAGTGTCTACCCCACTACTAGCGTACTCGGCATACTTTCCCCAAGTAAAAACTTGCTCCGCATCACGACGCGGGCCGCAACCCACTCTCTCTCGCGAGCGTACCTAGCGAGGCTGCATGGCCAAATTCCGCACAAAGTTCGAGTTAAGGCCATAGTATGCGCAAGCTATGACTTGGAACCAAACTCAAGAGTCATAAAGAACGGCCATGGACTCCAATCACCCCTTCTCAGCTTAGTGTCCAACATAGCAGCTTTGTTGCGAACTCACCCTCCTCACAAGCATCTCAGTGCTCATGCAGATTCTCGAGATGGATACAGCTATAGATCTGTCTGATGCCTCCAAGGCGTTGGATCTTGCGAATATTCGTTTCCAGTTGATGTGAGCTGACAGCTACTCCGTCACGATCTGTGCATATGCTAATCTCGTGCCAGTCGACTCGAAGACACCATTACCTTCCACCTTATTGAACGTGTACAGTTTCCGCTTAATGCCGCCATCTACGACACGAACGCTCTTGCGATTCCGCAGGTGAATCCCGCCCTACCGGAAAATCTATCACTCGCCGACTATCTCTTGGCTGAAACCGAGCGAATACATTCCTTAGTTCGGCGATACGATGCGCCCGACGAATATCCTTTCTTTCCCGAGGTCTTGCTTCGACCTAGGCTGCAACCCATTAAATATCCCAAGATCCTCCATGAGAACGATGTCAATGTGAATGCGATCATCAAGGAGAAATACATCAAGGAAGTTCTGCCCGAGGCATGTCGGAATTTTGACCGACCAGACCGCGGAGAGACCAAGGAGAACTACGGCAGCGCCGCCACCTGTGATGTTGCCTGTCTGCAGGCCTTGAGTCGCAGAATTCATTTTGGCAAGTTCGTCGCGGAGAGCAAGTTCCAGACCGAAACTGAGCGATTTATCAAGCTCATCAAAGCCGAGGATCGTGCTGGAATTGATGCTGCAATCACCAACGAGAAGGTCGAACTGCAAGTTCTCGAACGATTGAGACTCAAGGCCAAGACTTACGGCAAAGACCCATCATCTCAAACCAAACCCAATGGTGGAGATGAGAAGATCAACATTGAAGCGGTGGTGAAGATGTATGCTCAGGTGGTCATCCCACTGACCAAGGTGGTGGAGGTTGAATACCTTATGCAAAGATTGAAGGGCACTCAATGGGAGTGAGACCATGTATATGTTCTGCTCATGCCTGAGGTTGGAGGTATTGAGACACATTCTGGATAGCCTCCTTGAACTTGTCGTTGGAAATGAGGATGGCATGTCCTTGTGGTTTAATCCCCAGCTCTTGGAACGCTCTCTTCGAGTCTGAATGGCCGTCATCTTGTTTGATGGAATAATCGAAACCCCCAGAGCAGATGGCATGTCGTTGCAAGACCTCATCCTCTGGGTGGAAGTACATGGTCTCGAAAGTACCACCTGCACCCTTGGATTTCTTCTTGGGACGGTCGTCCTCAGCATCCAGCTTGGAGGGTACTTCGGAATATGTTTTGGAGAGGATAAGATAATGCGAAAAGTTATAAGGCTCTTTATCCTGGATGGCCCATTCCATTTCTTCAATCAACATGGTATACATAGGAGGCACCACCTCGGAAGGTACGTTGATGAGACGTTCGGTCAGGATCAAGCCAATGGGAGGGATTGGAGACTGGGACAACAATTGCACCAGAAGAGCCAGCTGGGGGTTCGACGAGGCTTTGGAATGGATGTACTGGGTTATTTTTCCGACAAAAGCCTTGTCCTATAGACACATTTATGAGTGTTGGTGGCATATCGTAGTATATGCAGACTTACTTGATGTTCCTGTAGATTGAGGATAGAAAGAAAAGCATATGCATCTGTCTCATTACCATCCACCTTGACTGTAGATCCCAGCGTGGGTTGAGACAAAATCAAGTCAGTCAAAGCTGACAATTCGAACAATTGTCCATCAGTGTCGAACAATTGTTGTAGCAGAGTCTTTATGCCGTGGAAATCGAACTCGGGTTGAGGATCAAACCATTCGAAGTCGACATTGAGAACGTCGAAGTCCTGGACCGAGTCAGGTCGACTGGGAAGCACGCTCACGCTTTTACTGGAGAAGGCATACCTCATCGTCGCCACTGTCATCGTCCACCTTGCTCGGGGTAATCGTGTCACCCAGATCTTGCTTCCTCTTACTGGCAGGCATGTTGACTGGGGCGCAGAAGGAGAGATTGATCGGGACTTCGGTCAAGAGTTGGACTGGTGATATCTTTGTGTGGAAGGGCAAAGATCTAGGGCAAATGTACCAGTAGACTGTAAAAAATGACTGAGGTGATGGATCATTCAATTGTCCCTAGAAAGAGATCTCTGGATTCAGCGGTGGCTTCTCTCACCGAACTTTTTTCTTGGGCGACTTTCCCTCGTCGTATGCGGGGGAAGGAGCGACCCACCAACACATTTTCTGGCGGCAGGTGCTGCCCCTCGTTGGTCGTCCCGTTCCTGCATTTGCCCTGCACTTTTTTATTTTTTTCCTGGTCGCGGTCCATTGATCCCTCTTCCCCTTCCCCTTGGGATACCATCCCCAGTGTCCCTATCCTGCCCTGCATCTACGAATACACCTAATCATGGCCGTCAATGGTGATATCGATGGCGCTGCCGTCAATGTCCCCGCCGCCACATTCGACACTATCCTTGTCCTCGACTTCGGCTCTCAATATTCCCATCTTATCACGCGACGCCTGCGTGAACTCAATGTCTACTCCGAGATGCTGCCGTGCACTCAGAAAATTGCAGATTTGCACTTTAAACCCAAGGGAATAATCCTCTCTGGTAGTCCATATTCGGTCTACGAAGAGGGTTCACCACATGTCGATCCCGCCGCACTTGACCTCGGGGTCCCCATCCTTGGAATATGTTACGGTCTGCAAGAGATGGCCTGGCAATTTGGCAAGGGCGTTGCTGCTGGTGACAAGAAAGAATACGGTCACGCCAACCTGAAGATTGAGAGACATGTGGGCAAGGAGGAGCACATCGATCGTCTCTTTGAGGGCATCGAAGATGACATTGAAGTCTGGATGAGTCATGGAGACAAATTATCCAACCTACCCGATGGGTTCAGACCGATCGCAAGCACCCCTAATGCACCATGGGCTGGTGTCGCCAGCATTGACAAGCCTTACTTTGGCATTCAGTTTCATCCTGAAGTTACTCACACCCCCAGAGGCACACAAGTCTTGGGCAATTTTGCGGTCAAGATTTGCAACGCCAGACAGGACTGGACCATGGAGAAATTCGTCGACCAGGAGATCGAACGCATTCGGGCCATTGTAGGACCTAAAGGTCAAGTCATTGGCGCGGTGAGTGGTGGGGTCGACTCGACCGTTGCTGCAAAACTCATGAATGAGGCCATTGGAGATCGGTTCCATGCAGTCCTTGTTGATAATGGCGTGCTTAGACTGGATGAGGCCATCACTGTGAAGAAGACTCTGACCGAACATCTTGGCATCAACCTGACAGTCATTGATGCCACAGAGCTCTTCCTGGGCAAGCTCAAAGGCGTGTCAGATCCCGAGACGAAGCGCAAAATCATCGGCAATACTTTCATTGAAATCTTCCAAGACACTGCCAAAAAGATTGCCAAGGAAGCAGCAGATTCTCCACGAGCTGGAGATATCGAGTTCCTGCTTCAAGGCACATTGTACCCGGATGTTATCGAGAGTATATCGTTCAAAGGCCCATCAGCTACCATCAAAACCCATCACAACGTTGGTGGGCTACTCGAGGGCATGCATCTCAAATTGATTGAGCCCCTAAGAGAGCTGTTCAAGGATGAAGTCCGAGCATTGGGAACAAATCTCGGCATTCCAGAAGAATTGGTGTGGAGACATCCATTTCCCGGACCAGGTCTGGCTATTCGAATTATCGGAGAGGTCAACGAAGCACAGCTCAAAATTGCTCGACAGGCCGACAAGATTTTCATCGACGAGATCATCGCTGCTGGACTGTATCGAAAAATCTCCCAGGCCTTTGCAGCAGTGCTACCAGAGAACGTGCGCGTGGTAGGTGTCATGGGAGACAAGCGCGTCCATGCTCAGATGGTTGTCCTTCGTGCTGTGGAAACTACAGATTTCATGACCGCTGATTGGTTTCCATTCGACGGTGAGTTCCTCAAAAGAGTGAGCAGGAGGATCGTCAATGAGGTTGACGGTGTCTGCCGTGTCGTCTATGATGTCACTAGCAAGCCTCCCGGTACCATTGAGATGGAATAGATACACACCTTTTAGAATTCTGCAACAGTCAGCACTAGTGGTAGACTAGCTGGTTCTCGTTTCTCCTACTTTAGAACTAGGCAATTCGGCGTATAGTGGCTTGATCTGGGGCGTAGAAGGAGTCGCTGCTGTGAGGAAGTCAACGGGTCAGTGGGTGGGCATATGATTCTGATTGATACCTACGATGCGATGATAGATTATGCAGAGCTCTGTACTGTGAAGGAACCATGCAAATATGAAATTGATCAAATTTTGTTCCCTGGCAAGCTTTTCAATGCTATGCGATGCACTCCACACTAACTCAGCAGGCGCTCCCAGGCTTCATCCCCGCCAAGGCACAGCCTTGCGAGCCAATGTTCACATCAAACTTCCACCACGACTGAAAGTCTCTTGCATACACGACAGATATCCATATCACACTCTGATCATTCGTCTCCCGACAAATACATGTATGCAGGTGCAAGTTGAGTTTTGGTTTTCTGCCAAGACTGGATATGGCAACGCACCGCCCTCTTAGTCCCTATCTGTACTGCTACAGCCCCGGTTCTCCTCCGCCATGAGATTCCTTCAGTCATAGGTATCATCGTCCGGATGAGGCGCGGTCCTAAGGAAGTGCGTGATCGCTGGAGCTTTGGGGTTTGGTGCCGAAATGTACTCCGTGGCACGGAATTTGGAAGGTGTCATCGTGAGCGCAGCGGGACTCAGATATCCTTCTGCAGTAGATCTGGACTCGAGGTCGGAGGACGTTCTTGATCTTGATGATGGCCCGAGTGAGGAGCCACCGCCACTTCTGCATCTGCCGGTATTGTTCTTGAATCCTGGAGGGATTTCGAACTGAGGGCTGAATATAAGATTCCCTGGCATGCGTTCCGTCGAGTAGGATGGTATGTAGTTTCATGAGAGATTTCTTAGGCTCTCCGTAGCTCGAGTCCTTCTAACACCATCTGATGCCTCGAGTTCCACGGTAGAAGGACAGCGAGACATCTGTGGACGTTCAGGAACATCGTTTTGTATTCCTTTGAAGCTTGACGGCCTATCATACTATTGTTGCGGCCTATCTTGACGGCCTACCATGCTCTGCAACACCTTGACGTATAGGTATACTCTGAGTGTAAGTATCAAGAAGTCTCGGCATAATCAGTGGTAGGCCTCTGTATAGGCCGCTCCGTAGGCCGCTCACGATACTCACCTACGCCCTGATATGGCGGACTCCAGCAAGTCTCTTGGTCATTGTACAGTTGATAATTCGAGCGGTCTACTGGTCCTTCATTGGAAGAACGTTTAAAGAAGAGTACGTACCATTAACGAAGAGTACCTCTCAGAGAAAACTCTGCCTGCGAAGAAATTGCCGCCGCATCACACTGCTGCATTCTTAGCGTCTGCGCACAAGCGGGAGAAAGTGGCCCTAATAGCATTCGATATAGTTCTGAAGTATGCACGTTAGATATGTCATGATGCAATCAAATGTAATCGAAGTAAATAGTTCTCAATTTACAACGCACTCGTGCGCAGTATCGAATTTTCAGAGCTTAATGAATGACCTGCAGATTGCCCGTGGAAGGCTCAACGAGTGAAGGGATTTTTCCCCATCAGCCAGCTGGATGGAAAGACAGCCCCCCAGCCAAGCAATCAGCAGTTTGAACTTTTGGGTTCATCAAGAATCACCTGATTTCCAGCTGTTATACCCAGCCTCAAATATCCGTCCACCATGTCATTGCACATATTGCTTGCTTCACTGGCCTCAAGGTTGAGACGAATCGAGCCGAGAAAATGTTTATCCCACGTTGTTTCAGAAACGAACACCGTTTCTGTCGAAAGCCAACCATGTCGATTGCTTTTCGATGAAAGTGCGAATCAGCAAATGTGTAGAGTTGGTCTGTCGTCATCTTCCAACACCTCCGCCTCGAATGCCCTCATCATTCCGGTCGTGATAGAACGCCGTACACCATGAGAATTCAAATCCCTCACTAAGATAAACAAGACAGTGCGCGCCAGTGACCTACCTACCTAATGGATGATATGATGATCGCAAATAATTCCAAAAAATGCCAATAATGGCATACTTTAGTCAGTAAATCGCTGGCATTCACATATTCCGATATGTGAATGCCAGGGATTTAGTCAAAAAGTACACGATTACAGAATGTTAACAAACAAAAAAGAAAAGCCTCGCGCCAAATGCTTGTCTCGAGGAAGCTGCATCCCTGACACTCTCTGAGGTACTCCCAACGATGATAGTCTTGACAAAGGAGTGAAATCAAGGAACTATGCAGAAACAGCATTATCGATGAAATTGCACCAGACGGAATTTTCTGATGGAATTTCATCGATAATCTTGGAGTACACTCAAAGGGTCGCAGTTCCTGGGAACGGTCGGCCTCAATCTTCCAAACTTCGTCCACTTGTCGTGATCATGGATATATCGCATGTCGATGATAGGCTAGATGTTTTATGAACCTTTCGGATATGTCGTTGAAGGGTGTCGAGTCGTGTGAAACCAGTATGCCCACTGCAGAGACTCCATCGGCAGCTCGGGGTTGGGCAGGGATAGTATATTACGGCCTGGTCGTGCTGAACATGAACAGTCTTCATGTGTCGGCCGAGGTCTTTACGATACTGGAATCTCCTGCCGCACTCGGCCTGGGCACATTTAAAACGAGGGTTGTGGCGTCTTTGGTGTGCTGTCAGCTGGTGTTTCTTCTCGAAAGCCCTTGGAGGATTGCACTGTTGGCAACAATGCATGTTGTCTGTCCGAGACACGGGTGAGCCACTTGAGCTCGAAGCTATCGCCTCGTTGTTGAGTGAGTCGTGGGGAAGAGCAGAGCCCTGGACTTCCGTTTCGACAATGCTGGCTCGCCAAGGAAAGGCTATTGGCCACGCATAACCTGGGCCATATTGGGATGATGCATTCCAATGGCCTTCCGATCCCTGTAGTGATTTATCGATGTGGGGAGTAGGTTCTAGTGGCTGTAGGAATTCTGGCTCTGGTTGTGCTGATATCAACATAGAGAGTTTATCGAGTTCATAAAGGTCGGGGTCGTCTAGCACTGGTAGATCCCAATTGCCGACAAAGTCGTAATCTTCTTCTGAAGACCACAAAAGTGACGGATCGATGAAGTTTGTTCCAAGATTGAGACCGTTTACATTGGTCGCGAACCCATCTTGATCGATGGGGAGACTCGCGAGGAGCTGCCGCCTCCCCGCGAGTGGGTGGGAATGTTAATAGGAGAATCAGTCAGGAGGGTGTTTCTGAGGAGCAACCAAAGGTGGTGAAGGCTTCCACACAACCAGCAGGCTGAACTTCTATTTCAGTGGTACATGTTCAGCATGGAGTGTGATTGCATTCTGAATTGTTTTTCGATCATGAAATGGAAATTAGAGTAGAAGTTTGGGAAGGCTGCTGACTTGGAGCAGGCACTGGAGGGGGTTTTGAAGATTGACATGGAAAGATGCCCAGCGAAGCGGCCTACCATGCTTTGGGACGGCCCATTCAGCTCAGCTCTTATAGAACCTACCTTTTGGGCGGCCTACCATCGGGCGGCCTACTACCGTGATCAGGATACATTTGGGTACGAGGTGTGCAGTGCCCCAAAATAGTGCAGGGAATGCTTGCACTAGCCTAATATGCTTAGGAGCGGCCTGTCATTCACGTGATGTGTAGAAACCTGGGTTTACTGCTGACTCACCTTCCAATGTTCAAAACTCGAGAAACCCTGCAGTTCCGATCCATATCACCACAACATTTTCCAAGGCATGGAGGACCCTGTTCTTCATGCCTGAATGTTTATGACGACTTATCGTTGCAATGATCGAGGGACCTCCAACATGGAAGCTGTGGACATGACGGTCACTTGGAAGAATGACCTCTCACTGCTCAAGATGTTCAGAAGAGCCAGCTGCTCCTAGCCCAGAGAGCCCAGGTCGTATCATTCTAATCGTTATCACCAGGAACAACTTCAACGAGGTACAGAGATAGGGTTTTCTTATCCAAGTCAATTCTCAGCCCACTTACCAATTTGATCATTGCCTAGCACGTTGCATTGCTGGCTGACGACACCAGGCTCGCATCTTGCGTGCTCTTGCCATGTGGTCCGTGCACACCACCAAAGAACCAATCATGTCCCTTGCCTTGTCTGTGCCATATCAGATTCTGTCCACACTTCCCTAATGTTCGACTAATTCTGATCGCACACGACATATATTCGCCGCCCCTCCGAACCTAGAATGATTAACATATCCGCAATAATCTCTGGTGCTTCATCACTCATCCAGTCAAAGAGCAACCTCGTGCTTGCATGACGCGAATAGGGCTTGTTCCTCGCCTAGCATTGTCGGGTTCACTCCAACGTCAAACATCTCCCTCCGGCTTCTATAGCCGTTTATGGCCTACGGTATGTGGGGAAGACTCTCCGATGTCCGGGGATGATTCGAATCACGACAATCCGGGCCACCGCCACTTTGATTGTGTGATCGAGCTGACACCATTTCATGAAGTGGGACTTGCGAGATGATATATCTACGGCCACTTTCCACTCTTCCCGCACGACTCTTCTGACATGTGTTCCATATTTCAGCACTTGACCAACAACCAGAAAAAAATTGTGCACCATTCCACCTTCTACCAACAATCATGGCACCGCATGCTGAAGATCCTGTGCGGCTAGAATATCAGACAGATTCGTGGGATAGTCTGAATCACACATCAACCAAGCTGGCGGGGTCCGCCAAATCCAGTAGCAAGAAACGCTCGCTCGCTGATACCTACGTTCCGGGAAGGACACAGATTGAAGCTCACGAAACATACGAATTTGATCACTTAAGACCTCGCTTCCCAGACATCAAGTGGGAGCCTCTGAAGGAAGTGGCATATGAGGATAAAGGCTTGCTGGGAGATCCGCAGTTTCGTAATCTGCTTGATGCTGCAACAGATGTGGTTGATTACGTTCCTAAGATTGGGACTGAAATCTCCGGAGTCAATCTCAAAAACCTGACCGATGCACAAAAGAATGACCTGGCGAGGTTGATAGCCACGCGGGGTGTGGTTTTTTTCCGCGGTCAGCACGATTTTGATATTGACGCTCAACGAGAGCTCGGCCAATATTTTGGTACTCTGCACAAACATGCCACTACATCAGTGCCTGAGAGGGAAGGGCTTGAAGACGTGCACGTGATTTACACAACAGATAAATCCCTGGATCAGCGGGCTTTGTTCACTCCCACATTTTTGTGGCATTCAGACGTAAGCCGAGAGCCGTACGAACACTTGACACCCAACTGACTCGAATTGTTAGGTCACGTATGAAGTTCAACCACCTTCATATACATCTTTGAAAGTGCTCACGGGCCCGCCGAGAGGCGGAGGCGGTGACACACTATGGTGCTCCCAGTATGCATTGTACGACGTTCTATCGGCACCCATGCAGAAATACTTGGAGAGCTTGACAGCTCTGCATTCGGCAGAAGAACAAGCAGAAGGATCTCGAGCAATTGGGCGACCAGTGCGAAGAGACCCAGTTACGACAGAGCATCCATTGATTCGGGTGAATCCAGTTACAGGATGGAAATCGGTCTTCTTCAACCCCGGCTTCGTCACCAAAATTGTGGGAGTGCCGAAGGCCGAAAGTGATGCGATAATCCGGTATCTCAACGAACTCATTAGCACGACGCAAGAAGCACATGTGCGCTTTCAGTGGGGGAAGGGAGATGTTGCCTTTTGGGACAACAGGTCGACCAACCACAGCGCCAGCTATGGATTCATGCCTCACAGGCGACATGCTGTTCGTGTTGCGACCGCGGCTGAGAAGCCATTCTTGGATCCGAGTGGAAGATCTCAAGAAGAGCAATTCAATGAAAAATGGGGATTGCCAAATGTCAACAAGGATGGGTCTCGGCGATCAAACTATAATGATTGAAACCTGGAGAAATGGGGTTGATATGATCACCTGAGAATTTGTTATCATTATATTGAGCGTCAGCATTGCATTGTAGGTATTTTGGAGTTCAAAAATGTGAGTAACATGAAGGATATCCCTGCAAACGTGAAGATTCCAGAATTGTTTTTTTTCCTTTCGAAAGCCTTGATTGATCTCTCGTTCACATGGGCTGGGCGATGGATAGCCAGCTACTGGTCTCCTGCCCCAGGTACTTTGTTTCCTTCACAAATACCGTCAGCCTCGGGATCAGAAGAAGTTGGACTGCTCGGATCATCATTCATCCATACCCAATTGGCACGGATGCCGGAGCATCAACATTTCTCTGATCTACTGGCAAGCCTGAGTAGGGGACAACCTGTACTCCCCACTTCACTTCAATTATGACAGAATCATCAGTCTTGGAATACGCGAGACATCACGGTCTCGCAAGAAATCACCTGTCGGAAGACGTCATCCAGACCATGCTACACAGTTACACTCACATTTCTCAATCCAAGTCAGCTAAAGAAATCACCCTACTAATTGATCCCGAATTTTCATCTCTCGTCAGTTTCCTCGAAGAACCGAGATTACAACTCAGCAGAAACGCTGGTATCTTTCTATCTTCAAGTATTCGGGCGCCTGAATTTTCACCCCGATGGGATGACTTTCTGCCAGATCCTCATCGAAAGAGAAAGCTAAAACTCGAACTACCGCTCCTCGCCACTGATCATGATGAAGATGTGGCTACTGTCAAACGTGCCGTGAAACAAGTGTCGGATTAGGAGTCTGCCTTGTCGTTGTACGAACCATTCGAGATGACCAAGTTCTCAGAATTCGATGCAGAATGGGATGATATACCGTCAGGGAGGGCGGCCGACTCTGTCTGGAGGGAGATCAAGTCGGAGAGGGTACACGTTACGAAACATGCTTTAACAACTCTATCTCGTGCCTTGCGGGATGGTTTTGCAAAAAGGGACCTGGAAGACATCTATGACAGAGAACTGCCCCCGAGAAAGGTATCTTCATCGTCCCGGTCAGTGATTCAAGCAGACTGCTGATGCCGTGTTTCGTATAGGTCAAACTGCAGCCAACAACACCTGAACTCAAGGCAGAAGAGCCGAGTCCCGAACCGATGGATCTTGCCCTTTCAGGCACCGAACCTGCCATAACGCTTGAAGAGAAGAATATCCTTGACGATCTGCTTGAACATGTGGAGCAGGAGATGCGGTCCAAGACCAATCCGTCAACACAATCTCATGGCCTCAGTTCGAAGTCTTTGGACCAAAGTCCGAGGACAGCTTGCACCCGTTCCGCCTTAGCTATCGACAAAATGCCACGAACACCTATATGTCCATTCAACACTAGCCATCCCCGGGTGGGGTCTCGAAATGAGGATGAGATGGCTCTCGACGCCGTCTGTATGGATGACTACCTCTTGCTGAGTAGTGATTCAGACTACCAAGACCACATTCTTGATTCTCCTGAAGTCGATGATATCCGTTCTAAGATGCTAGTTGAACCCATACTTGGAGAGGAAAGCGAAGAGCCCTCAAAGGCGCCTCTTGATTCTGCCAATTCTCAAGCAGGTCCCCAGACTGGTGTTACGCGAAGCAAAATCTCATTGCTTAGCGATGACAGCCTCAGCCACTTGAGAAGGAGCATCACAGATGGTTCGAACGAATTCAGGCAGAGCTCACTTCAAGAGTGCCTAAAACCGGAATTCAATATTTCCGATGCAAGAAGCAAGACAAGCCCGGCCCCTCAATCCGACCCCAACGATGTAGACCGAGGCACAAATCTTATAACTCCTTTCAACGCCCTTGTTTACACGGAGGAAAACATACCTCATTTCTCAGTGCCGGAACACGCGCCGGCAGGCGAACTGAGGATAAAGCTGCCGAAGTTGGCACCTTATGATATCGTCAGCAGGGTACCTGGGGCTGAGACGGTCTCGCGAACACTCCAGAAGCTTGATAAACACGTTTCATTGACCATGAGAGGACTTGAGAGCGAGAAGGACATGAATTGGACCCCGTTCAAGTCTGAAATAATGAATGTTACTCTTGAGGAGTCGATTACCGATGATCAAGAACGTCATCTGAGACTCATCAGCCCCCCAAGTGACATCGTCCAAAGTTGTCAGCTACTTTTCAAGGAGCCCGGTCTGAGGATACTCGATGAAGACGAGGACACGGAGGATGAGTTGGAGGAAGATGAGCATCTAGCAGATCTAGTATCAACGTCCCTTGATCCACGTGTCCCTCAGAAGCGGCCTATGATCGACGACCTTCTCGCAGATTTGCCTCTGAGTGAGCGGTGGTCATCCACCAAGAAAGGGCCCTGTGTGAATGAAATAGGTACTGAGAGCTTCGGAGTACCATTCAGCCACGGGTTCTCTGCATCAAGTGCTCTCGAGACTTTCTTGGATCTTCGCGGAGGTCAATTTAAAAGGGTCAAGCCTTCGATACCGCCAGCCACAGCGCTCGAAATTCAAGATGATCCAATTCAAACTCAAACTCAGGAACCTGTAGCCATGAAAAGTGGCCAGAACTCGGAGCAAACTCACTATTCTCCTACGAGCATGTTGCCTGTGATACAGGTACCAGCAACCCCGGTGAATACTATCAGTGAGAAAACGAAAATCACGTTCTTACCGGAACTCAAAAGCTTATCGTGGAAAAGATTCATCATGGCCAAAACCTCCATGCTGAAAACGCATCGAAATTTGATTACTTTCCTAGAATGCCAGGGAGGCAGTGAATTGGAGGTCATCTATCGAGAGCTGAACTCCGCGAGTGATTTATCTGACACGAGTTTAGAACACCCAGATGTCATTCTGAATCCGAAATCATGCTTGATTTATACCAATAGCCAAGCACTCAACCAGAAGAGCTTACCCGGCCAAGACTCCCAGTCTTCAGCAACGATGGTAAGGAATCGAATATTGGCGTTGGCGCAAGAGTATGACCGCGTCTTCGTTATAGTCACAGGGTCAATCCCAGCAGGGGTAATTTCACAGATTCATATCGACACGATGACTGCATTCACTGGGTTTTGCGCCAGTATCAAGCTGGCAAACGTGACTCCGGTCTGGGCGATACCGACAAACAGTCACGCCAAGGCGGAAGACGCGGTACATGCATGGACCTGGACACTAATATCTCAACATGGATTTCCCACGAGCCAGCGAGATCAAAACACGCCAGGAGAACAAATCTCAACTCCATTGATTCATGATGAGACGAGCTGGGAGCATTTTCTTCGTAAATCGGGGATGAATCCTATGGCGGCACAGGTTGTGCTCGGCATGCTTCCTAGAGCTTCTTGTACGGGAGACGCGCGTGGCGAGGAATCGTGGGGGCTGAGTCGCCTTGTCAGAATGTCTGCACAGCAGAGAATGGACATGTTTGAAACCGTAGTAGGGAAATGGGCTATTGCGAGGATCAATTCTGTACTTGATGGCGAATGGTGCCAGAGGTAAGCCGGCCGGCCATTTTGGGCGGAAAATCTCTATGATGGAGTGGCCAGATATAGGACTTTGTTGTTCTACATATGTTCAGAAAATTTGACGAATCAAAGGTTCAATCTCGCTCCACACCCGTTGACATGTGCGAGCGAACTTCCCATCCGCCCAAGCAATTCTCTGCAGCAACTCTGCCAGACTCTCAAACGCATAGATGCTGTGGACAGAGCAGAACTCGGCGACCCACCTGACGAACCAGCGGCGATGAGAATCGTCCTGCGTCGTGACCGCGCCCACCATCAACACCCAGCACAGCAAGTCCTGGTTCCACCCCACAGGCGCAGTCTCCGAGGCCGCCAATCCATCCTCGAGACTCGCTTTGAGCGACATGGCAATCGTCGACGGCGACACGCCTGACAGAGTGATCGCTGGTGAAACAATATACAGGAACATGATTTTGCCCAGATACACCGACTGCATCATATTTGCGACCTGTGAATCATAGTCCGCCGACTGCGTGCCCAAGCGCGATGCCGCATACATCAGTCGTGAAGAGAGAAAGTCCTGGAACTCCACGTCGTTGGCACATCTCATGATGTCGTCGTCGTGGGGTTGGCGGTTCGGATCTTCGATTCTCGATTGGAGGAGGAATCGGATGTCGTGGAATTCCGAAGACGGGATATCGATGGTGCGGTGTGGGTGGGTCGGAAAGCTGCGCTCAAAATTGAAGGTGTTGCTGTTGTTGATCCCTCGTGTTGAGGACTGATGTTCTGGAAGTGGTGGACTTATCGGCTGTACGAGGCACCTAGAAATCACGAAAAGATGCAAGGTTGAGTCAAGATGATATTGAGGACGCCTCAGGATGATCAAGGAGAATTGACTGACATGACTCACCAGTTCGAAAGTCGCAACAGCATGCAGAACAGTTCGGGCTTCCGCGTATCTCTTCCCCTCCGACTCAGTCCGTTCACGATCGCAGCAAGATGAAATTTCGCCGACTCGTTGTGAAGCGTCGGACATCGCAACTATACCCCCCGTCCCAAAAACGCGCGGACTTGTGTCAGCGTGCGCGTCGGATTTTCGTGTCTGTGGAAATTCTTGGACTCAGGAGAGAAAAAATAACCCATCAACTCACATCGATATAGGCAAGCATACTGATAGTGCAGATCAACTGATCCATCGAGCTGCCGGCGTCAGACAGCTGTGCATTCAGCGCCGAGATCGCTGCGCCGCGGTACGACCAAAATTGTTTGTCGCACGACACGCCCTGCGACTGTCGAAACTGGACCAGCGTGGTCATCAGCATCAGGAAACACGCCGAATTGTTCAGTGCGATGTTGAGGAATTCGCGCTCGTACTTGTTGATTGCGCCTTGGGTGTTGAGTTCTGTCATGTCTAGATACGTTGTGGACAGTTTGGTTAGACTGACAGGAGCTTCACGGATTGGAAGTGACTGAAAGACTCGGAGCATCTTACAGTGTCCAAATAGTCTATGAAATTCATCGTTTACAGGCACGGGGAAGTTTACGAATGGATCCCTTTGAAACGTGCTCACTGGGTCCTGGACCAACTCTGTATTGCAACCGGTCAGTATTGTGTTCATGTCCTCAAGTTGTCAGACGGAGGGAAATGTCAGAAGTCCGTTTTTCATTACTTGGTACAATCGGCCTCAACTCCTTGGGTTTCTTCGAGCTACTGTCTTCCTTTCTCTCAATTCTGAAGCGACCTAGTCGTGTCAGCGGTGGCTTTGATGATCCCGAACTGGTAGTGGCATCCTCCAATGCTGCTGCAGATCTATCCAGTTGATTGAGTTGCTTTCGGCGGTGAAAATCGACCATCAGGTGTTGCCTGATGGATGCATCACCTGGCCTTAGAGATGTCGGTGGTGGTCTTGATGATGCCGAATCAGCAGCAACATATGGAACAAATAACAGATCCTGGGTTCTTGGGGTGTCAGCATTCCGGGCTTTGGGAGCCCGGTAGCGTTTAAATTCCAGAGGTGTTGTGTTGCTCATTTGGTCGATGTTTGTAGAGCATAGCTATGATGGTGGTACTGTATCTTGCTGGAGTGATGTCCTCTGAGGGTCGGAACGGACATGATGGATAGGGAGTACAAGTAGTAATATCTTCAATGTCTGGCTGTTTTAAGCCAACAGGATATCTGACTCAGCTAACCCCACCAGCGGCGAAGGTCCGTAGTCCCAGTAACCCTGCAGCCTCCCATGCAAGTAGAGGATCCCATCTGTACTCCGTACGTTAGCCAGGCTTTACATCAGAAAGTTTGTGTCCAACATTAAGGCACCTTCCTAGAATTCCAATAGGTGGTTAAATGTGGCTTGACATCTAGTATATGGGTCAACTTTTGGCAGCCTCGCAGGCGGAGGAACCAATTCGCCGACACGCCAACGTCATTGCCACTATTGGCACCATCGACTCTTCAATGCCTCTGAATACCCAAGGTATCTAACCAAGTCAATGTGTCTATTATGCGACTCGAGTACCAACATCACCGAGTGTGCGATCGCGGCACCCACTAGAACACGGAACACGGCAGACGGGATGCGGAGGCCGGCTTGGAGACTAGCATCATAAGCTATCGGTAGTGGCTAGCTGTCACAACCCTGAATTTTCTCTCGAGGTCAGTGATAAACCTTTGTCTGCACATTGCTCGCCATGGGTTCGTCGTCACCAGCAAACTCCATCGCCACGTCTCTATCGTTTACTTCATGGAATGATGAGAAACCCATCACCATTGTACTTCTCCATGGAGGCTTTACGTGTCGTCTCGAGTTTGCACTTGTTCTTCCGCACCTCGATGACTTCCATGTTCTTCTCCCCGATCTCCCATTGCATTCAGCGTCACGCCATATCAAACCGGGCACGACCGAAAATTCGGCGTTGCATGTTGCGCAACTGATTCGATCGCATGCTCACGATGGGAAAGCCCACGTTGTTGGCGTCTCCATGGGTGGCTACATAGGCCAGTGCCTTGCGCTAGATCAGCCAGACGTTGTCCTCTCGCTGTTTGTCACAGGGGCTGCTCCTCTAGCTGGCAAGCGCCTGTTCATGGCTCGCTGGACCAGACTTACCTATTACATGATGAGGATTATGATGCATTGGCTCCCTAGCTGGGTGTTCCGCTATCAAGCTGCATCAATTGGCCTAATGTTGAGTGACGAATTGGTAGCGGAAATGAGGGACAATATCACTTGGGAGCTGATGCAGGACATGTTCCCGTGGATTTTGTCATTTTCATTGTATGACGTGCATCGGTTACGAGTACGCGTTCTCTCTATCGCAGGGGCGAAAGATGATGACGTGCCCGCCATAGAAAGAACGGCAGTGGCGTTGAGAAATAGGACAAGGGATGATGGTGAGACTTGGCCTGAGGATGGCTCAGGAGCAGTGGTTTTGAGGGAGGCAACGCATGGGTGGGACATGCAGTTCCCAAGGCTCTTTGCTCAAGGCGTGCGGGCTTGGGTTCATGAAGAGCAGTTACCTAAAGAGTTTGAGAGGCTGTAGCAGCAACATGAGACGGCAGAGAAGAGGCCCAAGGGCTTTTCAAAGAGGGATATATGTTGGGGAGGAAAATATGGAGAGGTCGAAGAGTAAAGGTATTTCTGGGAGTATTTTCACCTCGAATGGCAACCACTACCATCTCTGCAGCAAGAGGAACACGAGACTACGCGATGGGTCCTCATCTTGGGCGCTGACTCCATGATATTGTGTCAAATTTGTTCGTGGTTCATCCACAATGTGGCAAAGTGTTTAGAACAATGCATGTCCGGCGAAAATGCTTTCTCATCATTTTTGTGAGTGCGCAGGACTTGTAATGGTGCCAAAACCAAAAAAAAAAAATAGAAAACGACGAGCTCAAGTTTTGAACCCCGGACACAAAAACTCCTGCCAACGCAGGATAAAATCCCTTTCAGGATTTTGTATTACTTTACTCCTCCCCTCCCTCAGCTCCCTCTCAGTCTGGGGACATATCCACGGACTGTGAGGCTAGGAGGAAGAAGTTTCAAGTTCTAACGAACTAACAGATACAGCAAGCTGATATTTTCTCGATTCTCGGACCAGCGCCCTGTTAACTGTTGAGTACTTTTCAACTTGATCAAAATATATACTGATTGTTTTCAGTGAATATTAGGTGATGTTTTATGTGAAGACTAGGGGCGTACTATGTAGTAGTGATGATTCTAGAAGCTTTCTCCTGTGAAGTTGCCGTCCCAACTCTGGAACAAAGCCCTGACGCAGGGGTCAACTCACTAACAGAGCTCTGGTCACTAGGCTGCACAGTTTCCTAGCAGAGTACAATAACTGTTATGTTGTACAGAATTCGTGATCTATTTCGTGTGACATGTGGACAATTCACTGACTTTGACGTTCGAAAATTTGCTTAGTAGAACCACCTTCTCGACCGAAGCTACGATCAAACACATCTGAAAGACCACAGACTCGCCCGATTCTAAAATCGCCACTCTGATTCTTACGGGCAAGTGCACAGGTCTTCCCTCTTCATTCAAGGCGGGACACATTGCGCAGGCAACTGTCGCCCTCAGAGCACTCGCAGCTGCTTTGATACGGGAGCTTAGAAATGGCGTGCCAGTCCCAAAAGTCGAAGTGTCCCTTGACCATGCCTGCCTGGGATGCAAGACTATGGACCTCTGGACCATTGATGACCAAGCTCCGTCACCAGATAAGCATTCCGTAGGAGGGGTACACAAGACTTCTGACGGCCATGTTATTTTCCTGGATGCATTCCTTCATCATCGCGCGCGAGCGCTCAAAATTCTCGGTCTGCTGAGTAAGTAAAGATCGCCAGGACTTGCAGCCAGAGGCGAGGCCAATCCTTCAATACACCTATGCAGACTACGGGGAAAGTAAGGCAATATCCGATCCATCTAATGACGTGGTATATCCTGTGCCTCTCCTAAAGCAGCAACATATCTTGATCATCCAGGCAGTGCAACTCTGAGTGCAACAAATGAGGAAATTTGTCCAAGGAAGGCTTGAGTCACCTGTTTCGGAGCGAATCAGTTCGTGGCCTGCAGGACTTAGTATGATCGACCAATCCACTGATGGAAAAACCGAGATCTTCAGTGTACTTGAAAAATGGTCGGACTAATCACCCCGACATCTTTGAGAGACTACATAGATTTTTTGCCACTGGCACGTTTAAAGCGGATAACGTTGGGCGTGGCTTCAGGTAAGTTTGAGCCTTGCGGTACTCCACCGACCGAATCTGGTAGAAAATTCATCCAATCACATCTTCTGGCGCTTTGTCTTCGCTGCGTCTCTAAATGCATGGCTGTAGCTGTCATGTCACAATCACACTAAACTTGATATTGCAATATTTCTCAAAGCATCAGACCCGATGGTCAAAAGTCGTTGAAAACTCATATGTTCACATGTAGGAATCTGCAAAGGCATCTGCGGGGATTTGTAATCAATTGCCACCCTGAGGTGCAAGTGGAAAGAAACGACGACGGAACAGTTCCAATATCTCTCCAAAAGGCAATTGACGGCAGGTGGAGGAAATTTGGACCGTCATGGAATTGCTAACTACTTATGTAGCTTCAGGCTGGTGGTGCGTCTGGCTCATACTAGATTACATTTATTCAGCTGGAGCCTCATTTTCATATTCTGCGAGCGCAATGAGTGTTGGAAGTAGCGTGCGAGGAAAGGTCGAGGCGAGTCGGTTTTTCGCATATTCCTCCTTGCCTGTACCCTTGCCATCAAGCCCAAATTCACACCCCCACTCTCCCACAAAATTATCGTAGGTCGTCTCTGGCTTGTAAGCACATAAGCCACACATGATACCGATGAATTGATCCTTGAACCCCAGTCGTGGGAATGCGCCGACAATTGCTTTGAACTCGTCCACAGTGATCAACTGGTTGGCAATAAAATGTCCCTGGAAGTCGGCCAGAATGCCCATGCTTGCAAGCATTACTTCAGGCTCTTTGTGCTGTGAGAACGATGGTGTGGCATGAAGGGCAATTGCGTCCCACGCGAGTTGAACTCGGTGTTTGTCCCAGACTCCGGATTCCTTGGTGCTCTGGAGATATGTACGAGCCATGTTGGCGCTGTCGACTTCAAATCTCTTGTCCTTTGAGAGAAGGGACTTGTCGACTGCCCACCCTAAGTCATGCATAATCACGGAGTAGACGATTAACTCAGCGTCCAATGGTTCCGCGTCCTTCCGAGCCAGCTTTTGCGACAACAGTATAGCAAAGTAGGCGCTCCGAATACAGTGGTTGACCGTGGTAGGGCTGGTGATCTTTTTGGAGTGCTCGAGTGCACCCCTAATCAGGGGTGTCACAGGTAGACTAAGGGTGCCATCAAGCAAAGATGGAAATGGCGAATTCGAAGACATATCTTGAGGGCGTCAAAGAGTTCTGTACAGAGTACTAAGTAGTTATCGGGCTGCAATATTATTGTAGATAAGCGAGAGCAAGGCTCTTTATACCGAGCGACAATTGGAACTCTTTCAGAGACAAATAGAACAAGCAGGAGCAGCAGTTGACGTGTAACAATTAGCCACTGAAGTCAGTAGAGAAGCATGATTAGTAAAAATTGCCGCATCAAGCAAGAGGAGAAAGATCGGAATGATTTGATATACCATGGACCATTTCCCTACGGGAAAAGTAGTCTCATTATAGAAAGTTTTCTTCGCCGGGCGATAGTGGTCAAGGACAATTCTTCGTGGTCGGCGCGTTTGGTAAGCCCGTCAATGTCAATATGCCACAATCGGAGCAACATCCTAAAGAAGGTTCTTTTGCTTTATTCGGGGTTTATAGGGGTCGTGAATTCATAATACAGATGTCCTGATGCACACGTAGATTTCTCAGCAATAGAAAGTGCCATTGCGTTTCATGATTGAATTTCGCCCATAGACCGGGAGTCGATAATCCAAAAATTTGGGTAATCAGGCAGAAGTATGGTGACAAACATTCTCGACTCGAAGAAAAAATCTCAACAGTATAAAAGTATCTCAGGGTATCGGATTGTGAAGGACTTCGACGTTGCAAGAGAAAAAGACTCGAAACTCTTTACTCCTTTGTTGAAGACTTTACCTCACGATACCGCCGTTTCAGTGACCTCAAGTCAAAACAATGGCCACAGCCTTGACTGTCAAAGAGCTGCTAGCTCGTAATAGGTGCGTCTGTTCATTGGTATACAACCAGAGATACTGATGTTGGTCAGTGAGTATGCCGAGGGGCATCAGCGGATTCCGACTTGGGAAGAATTAGGTGCTGCTGGAGCACCACCACCACAGATCCTGATAAGTTAGTACAATTGATCCAGCCCTTGGTGCAAGAAACCTAAATACTCACACACAAATATAGTTACATGTGCGGATCCAAGATGTATTCCAGAGCGTTATTTCAAACTTGGAATTGGAGGGAAGATTGAGCCCTTGTGCCCTAGAGTCATGAGAAAGCTAACATATCACAGAAGCCTTGGTATTCCGCACGACTGGTGCAGAAACCAAATCTACCCTCCCTGGTATTCTAGCACTCGACACCCTCGTCTCGCTCACAGATATACTTGTTGTCAAGCACACCGACTGTGGCGGTCTCGTAATTCGCGATGCCAATGTTAAGAAACAGCTCTTGGAACTTGCACCAGGGTCGGAGGATAAAATCAAGGCAATGCAATTTGCAGAGATCACGGGGTCAGTTTTCTTTGGTTCATATTGGCTATTTGGAGATTCTAACAATCTGCACTAGAACTCTCGAGGACAGTGCTGAAGAGGAAGTGGCTTTCTTAAAGAGCTCGGAGCTTTTGCGACCTGAACTCAAGGAGTGTATTCGTGGCTATGTGTGGAATCTGGAGACAGGTGATATCAAAGCCACTGCGGTTGCATTCTAGTGCCTTTAGCTCCTGCGCCTAATGTGTAGCGGACTTGTTCCATATCTCGTTAGATAGTGTCCCTTAAATACTAAGTAGCATCGGAGGTTGACGGAGTTTCCTCAAAATCTCCACAATTCCCTGGTTGATGAAAAGCAGAAATGGATCTCTCTAAGTTCATTCAAATCTCTGATCTTGCCTTGCTCCCCAGTATCCCAACTCCTGCAACAGTGAAGAAGATTGAGCAAACTCAGCCCATCAACAACTCGCATCTTTCGTGGCATCTCCCGCGGTCCTCACAAAGTGCAACACGTAGCCTGGCTGCCAGAGTACTCTGTGTTCAGATGGGGCACATGATGCCCAAGACTCGCCGTTTGGTTTGGTAAAGAAGGCCTTGACGTGAGATCTTTCGTAGATCTCGTCGCTCAGGTAGACCGGTTCGGTGGGTGCTAAGCCGGATTCTTGAAGCCCGTCTAAGTTCTCAAGGTTCTTGACAGAGTGATGAGTCGAATATGCGACGCGATTGCATTAGATGAAGGGTCCCCAGTCGATAGCCTCAGAAGCAAAACGGTAGCGCTCGAAGCCTTCTTTCATCGCCAAGTACTGCGGATGTTGACCAGTGATTGCCCATTGGCATGGTATCTGATATGCTATTTGAAGTTAATATTTGCGTTCTCCGCAGGTAGTGGGATCGTAGACTTACCCCGCGGGCAAGATACGGATCGATAAACTCATGTTGCTGAGTCGACTCCAAATGAACCCGAGGCTGAAGCACGAACCAGACTCGTACATAAACCTCCTTTTTACCCTTGCCAAGATGCCGATATACATCGGCCATTTTTTCCGTAGTCTCATTTGAGCCAATCAGTCTTCCGCTGCCCGAATGGTATCCCGATCTGCCCCAATTGTTCAACAAATGGTGAGCCGGCAACTTAGGCTTGTCTTCGATGTGGGTTGGAAGTAAGCCGTTCAATTCGACTTGCAGGGCTATGTCGCGAATCACCGTTGGAGTTTGAATCATCCGGGGAATGTTGATGTAAGGAAGATCGAGCAGAGATGCACCATCTTGTCCCATGTAATAGATCGAGCTGAGTCGCGGATAATCTTCGAGACCAGCTAAAATTGTTGCCGCGTCAACAGAAGTGTGATGAAACTGAGTGTAACGATCGCGACCTCCTGGTAGTGGCTGCGGTGCTCGGCCTGGAAGACATGTTCACAGCCACAACTTTGTGACATATGGCCGCGCCCATGGTGGACAAAATCGGTAACGAGTACTGTCCGAGCACAGCGCAACTTCGGGGAGGAAACTCATCGTTACTTCACGGAGAAACTTGCTGGTTTGTCGTAGAGCACTGGGGTTGTCTAAGTCGTGGGCAGGGATCCGCTTGGGGGTCGGCGCTGATCTGTGTTTTGGTATCGATGTACGTCCACGCATAAGAGTTTGAAGATTGTTGAGTATCTCGGCCGGAGGTCGTCGAGGAGTCAACCGGCCCAGTGCCGCGCCGCATTCACTGGCAGCTGAACGCGGCTAGGGAACTGGATGAGATCTTCGGGATCTTCCATCTCTGCATGCGCACCAATGATATCCAGTGGTAGGCTCTGCATCCACGTTATAAGATAGTGCTCCCGGTGGTCGGGAAATGAAAGGGAAATGGCTAGTGAAGATGGAGCGAAGGAGAAATGAAAAGAAGATCGAGTGAGAAGTCGAACAAATTACAGAGGTTTGCCCTTGATTCTAGGCCAACATCACAGCCAAGGCGCCTGTTATTGTAAAAGGCGACTTAGAAATACTTCTATGAAGTGAGTGAATGAATGACTGAGTGAGTGATTGATGGCCGCCTCGCAGGCAGTGAATGTTGCCCTTCAGCGGGATGATAAGTCTGATAACCGCACTTACGAGCTTCCGCTTGGTCTGTCCCTCCTCACTCTTTTCACTTTTGTGTTCAGACTGTGTGTCGCTATGTTCGTGCCATGTAACGTGAAACTTCCAAAGGCTATTCCTGAGAGCAACATGATATATCAACAATAACAAAGCCGGGATGCTGGTGAAGTCACATCCAAAGATTTTGGTTGAGAAGAGAAGGAAGACATGGGTTTAGCCTGATGTGCGATTTTCGTAGGAGGCGCCGGCCTTCCTGTGCAGAGAGGACAGAATGTGTGAGTTCCAAGGCATGATTCTGTCCAGTTTCCGACTGCGCCGTATCCCTGTGTGATACGTTCCTAGGTATCTATGCCTGAGACGAAGTTCAAAATCCAAGATTCAGCGGTGGCACGTCTGACGAGAAACCCCCTGAGTATCCACTGGACCCCATGAGCTTGTGTCAAATCTCAACTCTTGCCCATATCCGCGACCAAGGCTGGCAACACTTCACAAAACGTGCTAGAGAGCTCGTTGACGAGGAAAGCAGGGTTGCCATTATGACGGCATCAAATCATGGTTGTTCAGGATGGTTGAAGAGATGTGGGACACAATTGATCCTGTATTCACCCAGATACTCTCTCAGAAAGCATTGCTAAGTCCTGGCTCGGGTCAAGACAGACTTGTAAGCCAGGGTGGGCGAGGAATACGTTCAAACCAGTTTGATTCGCTGTCGCATCTGCCAGCAACTCGTGGCTGGCCTCAGACACTGATCTTGCAATCAATAGTATTTTTCGCAGCCCAAATTCAGCAGTCCTTCCACTGAGATAACAAGTCAAAGAAAATGGGGCTTATTGGTGTTTCAATGACACCTACGGTAGCAACAATGCTTTAAATTCAAAAGGAATGCACAACTTTTTACTGGTGACCCCCTCTAAGATCTAGACATCTAGCCCAAAGTTTCTCGTCCCACTAATGACACATTTTTGGCTTTCAACGAACGTAGACTGTATGGTTAAATTGCAACCGAAGTAAAGTCAGCGGAACGCAACATACTTTTTCCTTAACAATTGGCCTCAAAACCGCCTGGCGCGCTCTCCATGCTCCTCAATATGATCACCACTGAGGCTGGGACGATGTTCGTAACGTACACTCCACTCAAGATCGCGTCGAATAATCATCCTCTGACTATCATGGCTGTCGGAACTTTGCTGGTCTTCCTGAACTAGATTTCCGGTGCTGATCTTGCTGTCATATTCATGCTCTCGTTCGTCGAACGCTGCGGAGGAGTATTGTTTAGAACCCTGATCTTCCAAGGTACTGGCGATTTCTTCCCATCCTTGCGACTCTTTCTTTCGACGTGTGGCTAAAGGCTCTAACGCAATGTCTTGGCTGTGCTCTGCGCCGGTAGTATTTTGACTTCTTTCTATTCGCCGAGATAGAAAGCCTTTGATTTTTGTGCCTTGGCTAAGATGCGAGCCTTCCTCCTTCCCAGAACCGTATGCACCTTTTTGATAACCTGAACCCGAAACAGTATCCACACGTCCACCCCATGTTGTGTACGTCGCAGCCATAAAAGGGCGCAAACAGGGAATCGTGGCACTGACGATAGCCGCAGAAAGCTGGACCTGGGATGTAATAACAACATTCACTGACTTGAGCGTCGGATCGGCAGAATCAATGGCTGCAAGGATATAATGGAGACGGAAGCCTAGTGGGAAAAATAATCTGCATATAAAAGTCAGCCAATACACTACCAGACTACACGTTGGCTCCCCTCAGAGGTGTAAAGATCAACTTACAACAAACGAAAAGTGAACCCCAAGATGACTGCAAGTTTTTTGCTGAGTCGGAGCTGGACGGAGGACACGATAAGTACAAGAGTCGCAAACAGAGACAGTTCTGTGAAAATGTCAAAAGCAGCCACCGCTTTTCTTCGTTGTGCAAGTCCTGAACATTGCTTCCCAATGAAAATCCATGGGGAACTGAGGTCGCACGACAGAGCGGTTATGAGTAACGAGACGACACCAAGTACAATGGTGGCAAATAGGATAATGTTGGCGACAAGAGCTTGCTCCGTCTTTGCAGTAAGGCGTAAGAGGAGAAGGATGACAGAACATTTTGCGATCCAGATAGTGATTACATAGAATAAATCTGAGATGTAGTAAGCCTGCAAGATTAGCGTCGTGGAGCCGCAGTACATTCGACGAGCTTGCCTACTTTTTGAAGTTGTTGAAGATTCTCAGGCCTCACATCCTGAAGCGTTTGGCCAACGCCCAATCGAACTTCATATATCGCAATACTAGACTGAACGATGAACGATATCTATCCATGTCAGCAATGTCTTTGGGCCAGATGCGGATCTTTCTATAGCACTTACAAATGCGCCAAATATGGAGATATCATCTTTTCCATAAGACTGACTGAACGCAATTCGTACATAAACTCTGATCAAGAGAGAAACAACAGCAGTCGCAAGGCAGAACCAGGTCACAATCCACAAAACCCCACGTTGATCAGTGGGAGTGACTATGGCAATCGGCGGCGATTGCCCGGGCATCAGCTCCAGTGGCAGCAGACCAGACATGCTAGATCAATGCACGGAGCGAGACTCTCTGTGCAAGAGGATGTGAATGTACCATTAAAATTGTGTAGAGAAGTTCATAGATAATAATTGTAGTCAGTCGTCTTGGATAATGTGTGACCTAAGAGCGGACATCCATCCTGCAAGATATTCTCAACTCAGGGGACTTTGTATCGAGAGATGGAGCCCTGCAGACCGCAGACTGCAAGCAGTGGTGATTCACAGCGCTCATCCTTTGTAATCCTTGTGATTGCGAAGTTCCGGTGGCTGGACTTGACCAGTGCCTGAACTTATTCCTGTGCCTGGTGCATCTCATGAGACTCAGGGGATAGACGCGTAGTCGGGCTGCTTAAACGCGAGGGACAGTGCAGAACTCGGAGCCACGACTCCAACCAGTAGGTGTGAGCCAACGAGACTACACTGCCCTCCCCCCAAATTGCCACCTCGAAGCGATGGCCTTGCGGCACACCACCGAGTTAAAATTCTTGAAGCAAGTTTTATGATCCTTACATGTGATAAGCTCTCAGCTCAAAGTCGACTTCTCCACAATACTAGTGGCTTTTGAGGCTTCAAAGCAAGGGTTCGGTCATCGATGGTGATACCTGCAGTTTTCCAGCCACTGGGCACTTTTAAATGTTTCTGACTTGAACGAGCCAGATAGCATATGCCACTATGCTGTGGGCTCTATCAAAGGGACAGGTGGTGTTAGATCCATAGTGAACGCAAAGAGAACGATGTTGAACTTTGTTTCGTACGCATATTCGGACGGACTCTCCTCTTTGATGGTGAGTACTCGGTAACACTATCCTTGACCATGTCTCTTCATTGTCAAGCAAAAGTACAGATTGGGGTTAGATTTGTGTGAGCGGAGGACTAGCGGGAAGCGAGGGTCCGGCCGAGGCAGCCGTGGTGGATCATGTTTACCCAGCTCGGCAAAAGCTTCGATGTTGTGACGCCTTTGGGTTGGTTGAGCTCGAAGGCAGTGAACAAGGGCCCTGGTCGGACTAGTACTGCACCTTGGTTCCCCGACAGTCTAAGAAGGTCTCGAATGTACTCCTTGACACCTCAATATGCTAGACTATGTCGACATGATTCATGCGTACCACTTGTGAAGCGATATGAATGGTTGGTGGTCAAGGCGTTCAGACGAACACTCTGAGATGGTTTCCCAAGCAGCGAGCCTACCATCGCATGACTTTTTGTCCGATTTTCCCTTCCTTTCAACTTCTTCCATAAGCTTGGTCAGGTAGATCTCCTGAGGTTTGGCTTAGCTATTCAGATTCGAGCAGACAAGACCAGACATTGCGGGTTATTGCTTTCCCCTACAGCCGTCATGACTACGAAACAAACACACCGGGTCGAGGCGTACAATGAAGATGAACACCACTCGGAAAGCAAGAAAAGCATGGCAGGGACGCAAGCTGATGAACACGACATGCAAGTACTAGGAAAGACCCAACAGCTTAATGTGAGCATCACTCCAGCCGTCTATTTTGTTGTGATGAAAGATATGTTAAGTCTTGTAGCGAAATTTCAGATTTATCTCTATCCTGGGATTCTCATGTACTGCAATGAGCACTTGGGAAATCACGCTTTCATCGAGCATATTCGGTCTGATCAATGGCGGGTTGCCTGGTCTGGTATGGGGATACTTTATCGTCTGGATGGGCTATTTCACAGTCTTCGCCTCGATATCTGAACTGGCTTCCATGTGAGATTCTATACCCTCTCAGTGTTGAAGAAGTGGAACATGACTAATTGAAATTTACACACAGGGCACCTACAGCTGGTGGTCAATATCATTGGACTTCGGAACTATCGCCTAAGAGTTGTCAAAAATTTCTCAGTTACATGGTTGGATGGCTCAGTGCCCTTGGCTGGCAAGCAGGTTATGCATCAATAGCCTTTATCGCTGGCACATTGATCCAAGGTCTGATTGTTCTAAACAATCCGAATTATATCTTCGAGCGGTGGCACGGCACTCTCTTGGTCATCGCTATCACAGCTTTCTCGATCTTCTTCAACACCTTCCTTGCCAAAAGGCTCCCGATAGTAGAAGGATTGGTATTGATCCTCCACGTTTTGGGTTTCTTCGGCGTCCTTATCCCACTTTGGGTTCTGGGCCCACGAAACTCAACCGAGATGGTATTTACCGAGTTCACAAACTTTGGTGGCTGGAGCTCGACTGGACTATCAGTGATGGTCGGCATGTTGACTACCGTGTACGGAATGCTAGGAGCTGATTCGGCAGTCCATATGGGTAAGTAGATCCCTGACCAAAACTGAAATCCGGAACTTTATTGATGCAGTCTATAGCTGAAGAAATTCGCGATGCCGGCATTGTTCTTCCTCGAGCAACAATGTGGTCATTGACAATCAACGGTGCTTTTGGATTTGTCATGATGATCACATACTGTTTTACTTTGGGAGACCCTTTCGCAGACATGGAGTCTCCGACTGGCTATCCTGTGATCGCTGCCTTCTTCTATGCTACTCGAAGCTATGCTGGCACGTCCGTCATGATCGCAATCATTATCGTCAATGTTACGGCATCATGCATTAGCACTCTAGCCACCGTCTCCCGACAGACTTGGTCCTTCGCTCGAGATGGTGGCCTCCCCTTTGCCAATTTCATTGGCGCCGTCAAGCCTGGCTGGAACATACCACTCAACGCTGTTTGCCTTACATTCGTCTTTACGACTCTTCTCTCACTGATCAACATTGGATCTACTGTTGCATTCAATGCAATATGTTCCATGGCGACGAACGCGCTTCTATCCACCTACATTATTTCGCTCTCATGTCTTATACTTAGACGAGTCAAAGGTCCTGCACTTCCACCGCGTCGATGGTCACTTGGTTCATTCGGTCTCCCCATTAATCTCGCTGCTCTCTTGTTTCTAATCTGGATCTGGGTATTTTGCTTCTTTCCACAAGAGACTCCTGTAACAGCAGCCAAGATGAATTGGAACATCGTTATCAATGCAGGAGTTATGATATTTGCCATCGCATATTACTTTGTTGTTGGCAGACATCGCTATGTCGCGCCGGTCATGTTGGTGAAGAGGGATCTGTGAACGTACGATGAAGAGAGTTTTGCAAGTACGTTTCGTAAACGAACCCACAGATTTGTTAATCATTTCGATATTCGTCAAAGTGATTGGTAACATTGGCAGACCTATGCATGATAATTTCTAGAAGAATTAAACTCCAGGTTAATTGGGTGCTCTGTATACTCCAGTAATCAATTTAATCTCTCAGTGTGTAAAACTCTTTGAAATTCGTGGTTTACCTCAAATATAAGATAGCCCGCTGACTTCATACGACGTATGCGTTGTGTAATTTCGTATCATTGTTTGACTGCTTTATTTCTTGATTCAATTATCAATTCATTGTCTTTGATAGCACGCGAATACGGTCGAAAGGTTACCACATCGCTAGGTCAAGCCGCGGTTGCTATGACAAGTTGATTAGGATACTCATCAAGGAGCTCCTGCCACCAGTCAATGTCTTCTTGCTCCTCGGCTGTCAGAATTGTCTTGTCGGGTTTTACATATTTCAATATCTTCAATCCCACATTCGCCGCTGCTCCTTCGAAGATTTCCTTCTTCAACACATATGTATCAAACTCAACCTTAGGCACTGTATCAAACTCCACATGCATCTTCACACCGTCTCCAGAAGGTAGGGGCTGGATATTGCTTTCTCGAGCACCATACTTGAGCGTCTTCATCGACTCTGGCTGAAATTTCTCCTGATTTTGAATTATGCCAAGGAAGGTTCCATTTGGTTTGAGGTACTTTGCAATATTTGACCAGAATCCCTCCAATTGTGCGGCTGATTCAGCATAGTTGAGTAGCCACATTCCGATCACCAGGTCGAATGACTTGGGCTGCAGACCTAGGTGGTCTAGAGACTGAGAGCAATCGGCCACGTGAAGCTGGAACTGGTCGGCATCCCTTGTAGTGGCTTTGCAGACGTCGATCATCTCTTTGGAGATATCGATACCAACCAAACCCTTTGCGCCGAATTTTCGGGCCTCTCGAAGCCCAATACCCGTACCACAAGCTAAGTCGAGAACCTGAGCACCATTCCAGTCACCAAGCTCTTGGAGATTCCTATCGAGTAGCGTCCAGAGAATGCGTACTGCGGGTGTTGCCCAAATGATGTCGTAGTCGCCAGCGACATCGTCATACATCTGCTTTTCAGCATCCGACATCTTATCCAATGATGTCGAGCTTTAAGACTCCCGCTTTTCGAATCAAGGCTCTGGAACAAAGAAGCTGCAGTCAAAACTTCCCGGCCAATCTAAAGGATTACTCAGATCTTTCAGGTCTTTCAAGGAAGTACCAAGGTGCGTAGATTGCAAAGAAAAGAGACGTGCAAACGAGCCAGTAGACAGTACCACCGACCCAGGTCTGTCTTTCTTCGATTGAGGTATCAAATGAAAGTACTCTGTGCTTGCAAGCGATCACAGTCCTGCGACCAACCATTCCTGAAAATGCACCCTGTTATGACTCAAAAGAGGACATGAGAACAATCCCAATACCAAGCTATTTATGCATGGCGTCTTCGGTTGCTGTTAGGGCCGCCGCACAATCAACCGTACCGGACCCGCACCTGGAGATATCGCCCAAGTTGGTGGATCTTGATTGCACCACGTTCTTGTTACTCTTAAGAATAGGTCAAGAACTTATCTCTAGATCATGCGTGGTCAGGGGTTCAAACTCCGCAACCAATTCGTCGTAGGCCGACAGCTGCCTCGTATACTATCCGGTCTGTACCTACCGAACACCATGCTCATGATGGCGGCCCGGAGGTGCGTACGTGTTGGATGAAACCTTCCAGGGCCGTCATGCCACATCTGACGCGCCTCGCGCCCAAGCGAAGTTGGAACACGAGTCAGGTAAGAACCCCTCCAGGGGAGTCGATAGCCTGAACGTCCTGCCATCCAGACTTAGGATCTTCGGAAAAGCTTTGTGGCTCCGACAATTGTGCAACCTGGAGTAAATAATTAGTTAGTGTATGCTTCTTCAAGCTTGTTGAGCTTATCATCAACTGCGCTTTCCTTCCGTCGTCATTTACCAACGACTCATTTTTCACCCCGTGAATGTCATCGTAGTAACGATGGTCATAGCGTTAGTGTGATGGAGGCTGACATTGCAACAGTACTGGCACACGTTCCTATCACGGATTGTTCATATATGCGTGTTACTGTCCTTAGCAGTTTAGCCAGACGTCGTGTGCTGATATTTGGTGGAGATGGCATCCGCGACAAAGGCTTCGGGCTTCTCCAGGCTGGGACAGAGGGCAGCGGCTGAGGAGGCCAGGGGAGTTCCTTCATTCCCGATCGCGATCCGGGCTTAACTAGGTCCGGGGGGCTACGGCACACCCCGGCCCCCGGCTTAATTACTGGCTAGGATTTGTGTCCACCCCTCAAGCGCCCCCTCGGCCTGCAACTGTCAGGCACTTTCAATCACTTTCAAAAATGCTTGCAGTATGATGGCTATTGACCAGATACCTAATGAAGGAGAAGGGTTTTCGTGGCACATATTCTTCCAAGACGACGTTCATACTCCTATTGATTGAAAGCTGACCAAAGTATTTCTATTTTCCAAGCTAGTTACTTGGTACCAAGTACTTGGTCCGATAACCTTAGATGCACAAGTCACACATAAGTTTTGGTGTGCGTGTCTCAAGGGGTTGGGGGAGCCTTGTCGCAAGCCTCTATCTGGGCGTAAGGATACCTCCAAGTGTGCGCTGCTTTCCCACTATGCGAGAATACATGTGGTGGACAATTCATCCCTCTCAGTAACTTTTACACAGCAATCTCATCCAATTCTGGGGAATAACTGATATTTGGGGGAAGCAAAACTTTAGGTGGCCACTCTTCTGGAAGCCAGGTACACTCAAAATGGTGTTCGCCCGAGGCAACTTCTTTGCTCGGCTCTTCTCCCTCATCTGTGGCAGATGATTTCCATTCGCTTGGGAGTGTCACAAGAGCTCTCGAGTTTGGTGGGACCGTCAAGTCCATCTTGAATATCTTCTCGTGTGCACCGAATTGTCCACTTTACAACTACCACCTACATTTCACCATCCCGTAGGGTTCGTCGAACCCTCCTTCAACTCAAGAAATATCAACCCCCTGGAACGGGCTGCACCTTGACTGTTTTCCAGCCTGGTTCGGCTGGACTCAGGCCTGCCACTCTCGCGTGGAGCCAGTTGGCAACCGCCATTATAGTTGCCAACAAATGGCCCCGTGCACGAACGTTGAGGTCTGGTTCATTCGTCCTCGCCGCAAATATATCGATTTGCATGGCACTCAGTGCTCGTTTCGGCTCAAGAGGAGGCAGCAATAGATACGGCGCACGAGCTGCGATTGCGTTCATCTTCATATACTCGGCCGTGTCCGCCGTCTTCTTCAACGCTATGATTTGGGTCGTGCCATCCGAGCTGTTTCCTATGTTCCTAAGGTCAAAGAGCTTGGCCTTTGCTGTCTTCTTAAAGGCCTCCGTGGCCATCATGCTTGCCCAAGTCACACCCATCGCTCTTGCAGATGTGGGCTGGAGGTGAGTCAACTAGTCTGTATTTCGATGTTCCAAGCCGACATGGTCATTAGATATTACTTCCTGTTCATTGTGACCAATGTCGTCGCCGGAGTTCTATACTTCTTCTTCCTTCCAGAAACAGTATAGTACCACCCTGTTCATGCTTTCCGTTAAGCCTGCGATAAAGTATTTTGTTGGTTCCGATGTGCTGACCACAAATATGGGGGCAAACCACTCGAAGAGATTGCAGAGCTCTTTGGAGACACTTTAGCAACAGATCACATCGACGAGATTGACCTGGATTCTAAACGACCAATTGAATCTGAAACCGAGCATCTAGAAAGATAAACAGAAGCTGACAGTCAGCTGACAAAGCATGAAGCCAATGTGTAAAACCTAACATTATGCGTCAGTGTTGGTACTTTGATACATAAAGGAGCTTTTAATCGTATGCTGTCAAGATAAATCTCAATCGTGTTCAAGTCATGATAACTCTTGTTGCTACGGGCAGCATTAATACCCTCGCCGACATCCACTCTACAGGTTTTCGTCGGTGTGCATCGTCGATAGCTGGAGCTGCATAGTGACTATCGTCGCTTTTCTCCTGAGAACAGTCGCACATGAAGTCAACGGCAACTAAGAGTAGTAACCAGTTCCGGAAGCCACAATTGAATCCTTGGTCGTTCAAATCTCTCATCATAAACTGGCAGTTTGAGAAGATGTAATAGTTCAAACGAACTCAACATCTTGTAGAAGACGCCAACCTTCATCGGCAGTGAATATTTGGACCATGTCAACAAAACCTACCTAGGTATGCATTGCGTACTTAGGTAGATACTTAGGTAGTTAAGGTAAGTGGGTTCTCATCGAGTCGACCGACGCTATTGCCAAGCTCCACTAGTCCATATTCGCTTAGTACAACATATCGACAAGGCTGAGGCGGATGACGTCTGTGGGATTCTGTCAATCGCATCCTCAACCTGATTCCTTCAACGGCGCCCGAGACGTCGTCCTCCTTCATTGCCTCTGGAGTTTCCTGACATATATTGAAAGTCACCTAATCCTTAAAATACTCTACGTGGTCCTTGGTTCCTGTAGCCTTGTGTTGCCGGCCATATCGAAAGGCTCTAACGTCCCTACTAGCTGACGTGTCACATAATTCCTCCATCGTGGCTCCTCCTCCTCCACGTGCTATCTTTGGGTCCGGCATATCCAGACGAATCAGTACAAACACGCCTGGTAGCCGACCACGAAACGCCTTCTCACTTTTCCGTTATCTGTTCCCAAACACAACCAGACGTGCTCGTGAACGCTTCCTTGGCTTTCGGCACGAAACCCTCCCGTACCTTCGACATAGTGCACAGTCCCGTATATATCAGGCGATCTTGCGACGAGAGCGAAGGAAACGTGAACGACGGGCTCAAGGGAAGGGCTTCTTGCCCTTCATCCGAAGACGCAAGAGCCGCATATTGCGGGCAATTTATGGGAAGAACGTGGACCAATATGCTGCTGGTGTTTCCTCGGGTTTTTCGGCTAGGAGATTACATGCTGCTTCAAGCCCACAATCATCAATAAAACCTCCCGGACAGATGACGAGTTATGGATATGGAAGTGGAGGAGGAGATGGGGGACAAAGAATTCCTGGGTCTAGGAGAGAAAAGGTTCGTGGGTTCTTGCGTGCAGCCAACGAAGTCAGGCAGTCATACCAGGCACAGATAGAACAACGTCTTCAAGCCAGCGACGAGGGGTCCATACCGGGAGATTTCCCTGATGTCGAGATTGTTAGGAGCGGAAGAGAGGAAATGCTCCTCTTCCCAAGCTATGCAAGGCGTCATATAAAGCGGAAATCTGAACAGGATGGTTCTGCCCGGCATCTTCCAGGAACTCATGAGTCTGTCGAAAGCCCCCATTCCAGTGGCGATGCAGATTTTTGGAAGAGAGAATGGGAAAAGTATGAGGATGTCAATGCGATTGTCGATGTCGATGTTCGTGGCTGGGTGTACTCGCCACATACAGGGCCGATGAATAGGAAGAATCGGCTTCTTGTCGCCGTGGCGAGGAGGTTAAGCGGCGTTTATACACCAGCCCCTAGTCCCCATGGGAGTAGGTCCTCCAGTCTGGCACCTTCGAATCGAGAACGACTCGAGGATACGCCCAGCCGACATGAGGATGAAGTCGCTGCACAAGAAGCTGAAAAGATTGAGCAGCATGGTCAAAGAGAAGCCGCTGCTGCCGCCACAGGAAAGTATAGTCAACCATCCGCAAGTGCGAGAAATGGTCAGTTAAATTCTCCAGCGAGATCAAGCACATTCCGTGGAAACGAAAGTGAGGATGAGGATCCAGGGCACAGATCAATGGTGAAGCGGCAATCTTGGAATGAGCCGGCAGATATGAGTAGAGAACAGCTCATTACCGCCAACGAGCTGCTCATGTCAAGGCTAAAGCCTTTCATGAATTTGCCCATGGCGTTGACTCCAATCACTGTTTTCTTTTTCAACGAACAGAAGTCCATATCGAAAACCGTCACTACCGATGAATCAGGCCATTTCAACCTCCGAGCTGCACTTGACTTCATTCCTTCTCAGGTGAGAGTCCTTGCTTCGGAGAATCTATCCGCTACCGAGGATGTGATAATTACGGAGGGACGAGGTGTGAGTATGATTAGCGACATTGATGATACGATAAAACACTCTGCTATTGCCAGCGGTGCGAGAGAGATCTTCAAGAACACTTTTATCCGGGACTTGGGTGACTTGACAATCAAAGGTGTTAAGGAGTGGTACACGAAAATGTCCAGCCTCGGAGTACAGATGCATTACGTATCGAACTCCCCGTGGCAATTATATCCCGTTCTTCGCAGCTATTTCTCCCTCGCAGGCCTTCCACCTGGCTCTTTCCACCTCAAGCAGTATTCTGGCATGTTACAAGGAATATTCGAGCCTGCTGCTGAGCGAAAGCGTGGCTCACTAGATCGAATCATGAGTGATTTCCCCGACCGGAAGTTCATATTGGTTGGTGATAGTGGCGAAGCAGACTTGGAGGTATACACTGATGTTGTACTTGACAATCCTGGCAGGGTGCTAGGCGTGTTCATCAGAGACGTAACAACGCCAATCAAGAAGCGATTTTTCGATCAGTCTGTTTCAAACTCGCTTCCGGACTCTCACATCGCGTCAACAGATGGGCACCAATTATCCCGCTTTGCTCAGCAACGCAGTTTTCACTCATCAGAGCGAAGACCTTCGTTGCCAGCACGACCAAAATCTGATCCCGAATTGAACGCCAAAAGTGCCGAAGTGCAAGAAGACCTGATCGACTTCAGCGATGATCTTGATATCCCTACGTCACAAAGTCATGACAGCAAATCATCTCATGCAGACGACCTGCGGCAACTCGGTAAAGGCCCAGCTCCGAACAAACCAAGTAAACCGTCAAGCTTGAGGAGTTTCACCTCAGCGACGCCACTGTCAGTCCATTCACCAAACAATAATGACTTGATGTCAACTTCGGATGTCGAAAGTCAAGACTCGTTGACCAAGAGAAAAGCTCCACCACCACCAAAGCCTCGTCGGGCGTCAAAAGACGTCGGACCGACCGCAAGTATCGACAATACAAGGCAATCAGCTCCCCCTCCGCTGTCACGCTCCCCATTCTCATCTGCACTCCAGAACCAAGGCTCTCAAACCGCAAGGTCCCGGGAGGAACACCATGAACCAAATTTATCCCGTCATCAGAGCTCCGCGTCTGTCCGGTCAAACCGTGGACCTCCTCCGCCTACCCCAATATCTAGGACGAACACTTCAGCCAGCACTGCCTCTACTGCCACATACTCTTCTCGTAATACTAATGCTGAGACACAGGAAGGCTATGTCTCTGCCGCCCGCCGCCAAATCGCGTCAGCGTACAATGCCCTCCCGGCCATACGGAGCACCACTGGTGGTGCCTCTGACCAGACAGGTATAGGTGCATCACCAGAGACGCGTCCGGGCCCACCAATGCCCCCACGTCGCGGCATATCATCCTACCCAGTGGCAGCGGCCGCAGCAGCAGGCCGCTGGGCAACGGGAGCATCTGGTGGCGATCCAGCTGCAGGAGGTGATGCCGGTGGTGCCCCTGGAGCTCCTTATGACAAAAAACTTGAGCTCTGGCAACGCCGTTGGCAGCATGCTGAAGAAATCATGGGTCAAAGAGGTGTTGTCTTGAGATCTTGGAGGGTCGGTTCTGATGTCATGGATGAAGCTGTCAACTTGGCATGGAGCGAACTGGAGAGACAGGATTGAGGAGAGCAGGAGATATTTTTGCTGTCATAATTCGACTGACTGGACAACCGAAACACGACATCATCCTTTTTCCACTCAGGGGTTTTCAGGTCCATGGGGCCAAATATCTCTATCCAGTAAATGCAAGTGGATGAGACACATTTAGCAAATATCATGGATTTATTCTTCTTAGCCAAAATCTATATTTCGCTAGAACAGCAAGGCCCACAATGATTCACCTACAGAATTCTCACTACAACATACCTCAGGCTGTGGCCAGTGTAGGTACCTATGTATTGCTGTCACCTCGGACATTTTGCTGGAGCGCGTGCGGAAGAACAGGTATATTGGCGGCGAAATACTCCACCGTAGCAATTCCGGGTCATAGCACAAATAGCAAACATCACAACAATCTAACCACAGAGGCATCATTGTTACTGAACTTCCTCTCGTGTATCTTCGAAGTGATAAAAACTGTGTTTCCAAACTTATGTGACTGGGTTGCAGTAGAGCTATCGAAACCTGACTGGAGAGGCCCCTGAAATGCGCTCTGGGTGCTAGTGTCAACACCCCCGTCCCATGAGACATCTTCACGATCGAGATTTGGACAGTACGATTTGCATCTCGCAACCATGTATGCATGCAGTAGGATTCGACCACAATTTAGCCGACAGATACGCCATTATGCTCACACTACCGCCTCATCTTCCATAAAACAAGATACAGAGACGACTAATCGAGAGTCTGAGACTGGGCAATCGCCTTGTCCAGACTCCGAAGATGAAAGAAGTCGGCATGCATTTCTGGCGGGTATCTGTTCTCCAGAGCCGCGAGCTCTAGGAAATGTATATGCGCAATGGAGCCCCAATATCCACAGGCTCCATGGCCTACTCCAGGAGCACTTGCACACGCCATACCCAAGGGAATTGGTTCCTCCAGGCTATCATCAAGTCTCCCACAAGAAGGTTTCTCGACAATGGCTCCTCGATGAAGATGGCGCAGAACTCAAGCACGCCCCTGGCCCGGAATATAAATTCCGCGTCTGGTCAGGAGGAACCATGCAATTTAGTAGGCCATTCATCCCGTGGAGGTTGACAGAGCTGTTAGCCTCAGAACGATTCGAATCGTGTAAAAAGTACCCATTTGGAGCTCGGGTCAGCATTGTCCAGGATTTTGAAATTCCAAGAGGCGTGCATGAGCTTCCTCCCGCCTTCGAGCCTGGACATGACACGGTAGGACCTATTATCAGGGAGCATAAAAGACTTGCTTTCTTCACCGAAATCCCACCAAGTCTGAAGACAAAGGACAACATGGTTGGGGCAACTGCACGTCCAGTCCCTCCTGGTTCACTTGCAAGAGAGGTCGTTCTACCTACTCCGGCGATGTTGTTCTATTTCAGTGCTCTTACCCTCAACGCCCATGCCATCCATTTGGATAGGGAGTTCACCAAGTCCGTCTATGGAATCCCGGATCTTCTTGTCCATGGCCCATTGACTTCTCTGCTGATGCTAGAGTTGTTACGCAAGAAGTTTTCCAGACTGGGTATTGAACGCGAGTCCGACTATTTCATCAAGCACTTCAAGTACAACAACCACAGACCTCTTTGGGTCAATGAGGAAATTACGATCGGGTGCAAGAAGATAGGTGGCGAAAGTCACAGTTCTGGAACACAGTTCCCACTCAGTGACCGCGAACTCCAGACAAATTCCAGACGTGAAGTGTGGTACGTGTGGATATCCAAGGGCACAGGCGACAAAGAAACTATCGCTGTCGACGGGATTGCTATTGTTTCAAAGACACCGCACAGTGAAAGCCCGTTGCAGAAGTGGCGGTCCACGCGCGGAGAGGGCAAGAACTTTGAGACCCGACAACACGTCCAAGATACTCATCCAAGGAACGGCATCATCACAAAGGAAGCGGAAGTCACATCGCCCATTAGCCCATCAAGGAACTCTGATGCAAGCGATCCAGTCAGTAGTGATTCTGAGAATGAACCCCATCCAAAAATCCGAGACCTTGAGATCCCGAGCCCTTCGGAAAATCCCCTGGAATCCACAACTTCAACAGTAGAGGGCGAACCTCTTCAAAAAACACAAATTCCACCTCCGGTGAGCGAGACATTCAACTCCGCACCCATGTCCCCCTCAAAAGAGGAAGTCACCAAGACCGATTCCCCACCAGTAATCTCTCACGAAGTACGCATCCACCGCATGCTTACAAGACCCAGAGAGAAATTCAAATCTAAATCCGATCCCGGGTCCCAATCCCAAACACCCTCATCATCCAATGCGGGACGCTTTCGAATTCGACACATCGCCGCCGAGCGCTCGGAGAGAGCCAGTCCTGCACCGGAACCCGCTCTGAACGAAGATGGTTCCTCAGTGTTAAACATCAGATACGTGGACGGAGTGACAGAATCGCCGTACGAGCCTCGGGCTGTGGTGCAGAGGGTGGCCGGCGCCGGAGCGCCGCCTTCTTCCGAGGGCGAGGCGAAACAATAATGTGTTTGTATATATATTTTTCCCAGCCCTTCGCTTTTTGCCTAAGGGTGGACGTTTGCTTATGTGTGCTGTAGAGATGTATGTGTATATCGTGTACTGTACACCGGGAGTTTTGTGACACGGGAGGTTTGCTGTTCATGGTGATTACTCAGTGAGTAGATGGGCTTTCCCTATATTCACATCTGGATGGATGTTGTACACTTCACTTACAAGAGCATGATACCCAAGTCAAGTAAAAATGCATCTCCATTGAGCTACGGTGCTGCGATGGTCACTTGTGATAACACCGTGATTCGTATCCGATGTAAGCGAATACTGTAGGATTATATTATTCTAGATATAATCAGTTAATCATTTCTTCTGTTCACTACCCCCTCCACTATCGAAACTGAGACTATATCCACCCCCTTCACCTTGAACCATTTTGAAATTGTTTGTGGAGAGGCCAAAAGGCTTTAGTATTCCATTCCCCAGCTCTTTGAGCTTCCCCATCATTTCACCCATTTCCTTCTCTTTGGCCTTGTCAACTTGTGGAGGGAGACTGACCAGAGCGAGACGAACGGTGTTCTGGTCGGAAGAAGGGAGAGTGCTGAAATATGAGGTTGTAGAAAGAAGTTTGTAATCTTCCAGGGCGCCGGAAAGGTTGGCCCAGGCGCTGGAACCCGACTGGGAAGGTATGGATGATCGAGCCCTTGCACGACGGAGGAGTAGTTTCGTGCGGATGCGATGAATGTCTTCTTTTCTTGCATCAGACAAGTTCAATGATGCCAAGGCAGTGGCTTCATCTTGATCGGAGTCGAGTTCAACAATCGTGTCGTCTTGTTCTTTGGGAACTTCACTCTCGGACTCGGTGTCAGAGTTCAAGGTTGTCTTCGAGTATTTCTTTTGTTTCATCTTGCCGTTCTTGTCCTTCTTTTTGGCTTTGGGCTTTGTGGGCATCTCCCGCTCCAGTCCATCAAGGCCCTTCTCACAGCTTTGCACAGCATCCTTCCATTGTTCCAGCTTCAGGTGGCATGCAGCAATATTACTTTGCAGGACTGCCATCTCATAGTCGAGGTAGCTCGGTAACTCGGCCAGTGCCCTGTCATATGTTGAAATGGCTTGCGAGTAGTCCTGTCCCGCGAATTGTGCATTCGCCTCAGCCTTGATAGTGTGAGACGCCGAGACCATTCGAGACTCTTCATCGTGTGGGAAACGAGCCGAGTGGAAAGAGGCTATAGAAGAGGCTGAGGATCGGCGGGAGTGGAAGTGAGATTGTGATTTCCAGGTTGGTGGAACAGGATGGGTGCTGGCGGATGTGATAGGAGACGGTGGTCGGGGAGCTTCTTTGACTCTGTCCGGGCGTGTATTGGGCCCAGAGGCTTTGAACGACATTATTGACTCAATGAAGATGGAAATGGAGGGCTTTTGATACACGCCCCCGGCGAGAAGTTGAAGCCGCTAAGAAATAATTGGGATTTGAATTGGAAGGACCAGGCGCGTCGAAGAATGACGTAGTCAGGTCAGCACGGGTAATGGAGGAAGGTTCGATCAACGGTGAACCGCGTGCTTACCCCACCAGACGGTCACCAGCGGTACCGATTAACGAGAACTGGGATCAACTCTGCTCGTGGTCTGGAGATCTTCTCTCAGGGTTCAACCTACTCTTTACAGGTAATGCAGGGCAAATCTTCCCTCTCTGCAGGTACCCAGGTACCCAAGCAGTAGAATTAAATCTCTTTCTTCTCTCCTCCCACCGCTTACCACTTCTCTCCTCCACCGCTTACTACTTCTCCCCTCTTCTTCTACCTCCATCTCAGCACCATGGCTCCCAGACAAGAGTGAGTTCTCGTACATCATGTCGAATCCTATTTCATGACTAATTGACCTCCCTAGATTTCCCCCAGTTCGGGCGTGTATATTCGACATGGATGGATTATTAATCGACTCTGAAGACGCCTATACCATCGTGACGAATACCATCTTAAGAGAGAATGGGCGGCCCGATCTCCCATGGTCAATCAAAGCACAGCTGCAAGGTCGACCAGGCCCTGCTGCCGGCAAAATCTTTCACGAATGGGCAAAGCTTCCAATATCACACGAGGACTTCATGAAGCGCCAAGTCGAATTGCAGGCCGAGGCATTCAAGAACTGCAAACCCTTACCCGGCGTAGAGAACTTGTTGAGAAGGTTGCAAGGCGCAAGGACCAGATCTGCAGGCATCCAGAGTCCTTCCCGGCAAGAGAAAAAGGTCAGACTTGCTTTGGCCACGAGCTCTCATTCGAGAAACTACGAAATCAAGACCAAGAACATGCAGGAGCTATTCAGCGTTTTCCCCGATCGACATAAAATTGTGGGCGACGATTGCCGAATACCCAAAGGCAGAGGGAAGCCATTGCCAGATATCTACTTGCTGGCATTGCAGACCATTAATGAGACCATTTCAGCCGAGGAGGAAGGCGAGCGACCAGTGCTCCCCGAAGAATGCCTGGTTTTCGAGGATAGCGTTCCAGGAGTAGAGGCTGGGAGGAGAGCCGGGATGAGGGCCGTTTGGGTCCCGCATCCCGGCTTGTTGGATGTCTATAAAGACCAAGAACACGAAGTCCTAGCAGGTCGAACTGGAGAACATAAGGAGGATGATCTAGATCATGCCGAGGGCATACCTCTCGCTGGAAGCCCCGGTCAACCAGGTGAACCGGGAGATGGATGGGCTGAACGACTCGAGACTTTGGAAGATTTCGATTACGCCAAATATGGCATCGACTTCTCTGATGCTCGATATACGTCTGAGAGTGGCCATCCAGCAGTCGACGGAACTACCGACAAGCAGTTGGAAGAGATGACAGCCATGGCCGATGGGAAAAGACATGCTGCAGAGGAACCTAGCCCGAGCCTTAGTCCCAAGCCAGGCATGCTGTAAACTCGATGGGAGACAGATACTGCGTAGACTGTATATATAAGACCATCAACCCTCTCTAAGCAAAGGAGTCTCTTCCGTCGCCACCTCTTGTGTTGAATCATCAACTCCATTCCCAGTTCCACCTAGGAATTCACTGCCAAGCCCACTGGCACTCTCGCCAGCCCCATAAACCACCCGTCCCCTCAACTCATCCCTCTCCCTCCTCCTGAACATAATCTCAAAATACGCACCCATAACAAGCAGCGAACCCTGCAAGCAGCCCGTGACAAGATATACGCCCCAGGCACTCCAACCCTCGGAGCCAAACCTCTTGGCCAGACTGCCCGCCCACACGAAGCTGCCAGGCGTCTGGATACACATCATGGGGATGCTCAGGCTGCCGACGCGCTTGAGGTTCCACGTCGTCCAGATCTGCGGGAAATACTGGATAGATGCGAGGATCGTGCTGAAGATCCCCAGGAAGTTGGCCCACCACTGGGCGTGCATGGGCCGGAGATATACATAGTAGACGGAGAGGATGAGGATGAGGACCGCGTGGAGGACCGAGAGGAGTGTTACCAGGAGAGCGGTCTGGTAGGTGTGAGGAAGGGAATTGGCGGCCGGTGTATTTGTGTGGCCTATGGCAGGGTCGTTGTTGGTGATGATCTCACTGTCGGCGTCGGTGGCACCGTTAGTTTGAACATCGATATCGTTACTCCCATTGGCGAGCGAGGTGCCCGGGACCACATGTTGCTTCGTTGTCGAGTCATCTCCAACACCTATCGTTGCCGACGAACCGCGTGGGAAGAAAATAAGGAAGAGGAGCAGTCTAGTAAAACACAAGCAACATCAGCCATCAAGATAACAACCATCCTGTTACGCTCGTGTACTCACATGACAGTAAAACACGACCACTGCACGCCCACCTGCGCGATACCCAACAAGCCCGCGACGCAGGCAAACTCGTCTACCTGCCGACAGCACCCAATGTCTAAGCGACTCTTAGGCAGCACGAGAATATTGGCGAACGCGCACGTTCCGCTTGTCGTGCCCAGCAAGACAAACCACGGTGAGAGGCCGTAGGATGAGCGCCGGGAGATGATTCGGATGTGCTGTGGGAGGTAGGATACCATGATGCCAACTAGGATGAATCTGTGTTTTTCTGTGAGTATTTGGCTCGACAAGGGCGCTAATGTCTTATGAACGTACAGACTCAGACTGAAATTCGTGTAGCTGACATCGGAGATTTCCCGACAACGGGGATCCATGATGATTCCGTTGCCGCTTCCTGCGGTCATTGCTGGAGAAAGGAACGGTGTAGCCGTGGATGAGTAGCCTCAGTTCTGATGGCGGAGAACCTTGGAACCTGATGCCTGAGGCTCCAGATTGATGAGTTGGAGTTCTTAGTCAAGACTTTATAGTTGCAGCCATCTTTATTTGATGTGGAGGCGCCGTAGAGTGAGTTAGGAGTCAAGGTGGAGATGCAAGCCGCAGGCAGATGCATCTGGGATTGATCATGATGTTGGGCTTTGTCTAAGTTACCTAGGTAGGCTTAGCGCAGCCTTGTTGTTCCCCGTGATGTCATGGCTTGGCGTAGCCTCGCCGTGCTCAATCACTTCTGACCTTAACGACAGAAACCGCTGGTAGATCTCATCATGAAAGTAGCATCGTCCTTTCGAAACGCGTTGGTTTGGAGTATTTTTCTATGTATGCTAAACACTGATCGACATACATAGAAATGTCTCTGAACAAATCACGCTCGAAACCTCGTCCTTCTCTCACGATGACACGATAGCCACAGGGGGAGCCTTCCTTGTTGGCATTTTCTTAAATGAATCAGGCATCGGTGGTGCAGGCGGAAACGCCCTTGGTGGTGCTGCTGCTGGTGAACCTGCTACTCGTGTCGCTCTCTGAGCGGGAGCATTGGACGGTACAGTTGCGGAACCCCCTGTGGTGGGCGGCGTCCTCCGAGGTGGAGGCTTCGATGCTACAGCTGCCGTCCCACCCGCACCAGGTGCTCTTTTTGGAGCAGGGGTTTTCGGTTCTGTAGTGGCCAGGGCAGCTGAATCTGGTGCTGGCTTCGAAGTGGAAAGCTTCACCCACGCCGCGATTTCCGGAGGCAGTGCTGGAGAGGGCTTTCGTGCCGGCACAGAACCCATAGATGCTCTTCTGTTCTCACTGTTCGGCTCTAGAACGGTCAATAAACCTCCCACGGAGGGTGCCCTAGCCGCCGGGCTCATTGGTTTCGGGGTGATAATGGTCTGCTCTGTCCCGGGAGTCAATAACTCCCTCGTCTTCTTGATAGCTGTGGGTGCACCAGTCGCTGCAGCTGGTTTCTTGATAGGGGGTCGTGTAGAAGCGATGGGTACGATGGATTGAGCTGTTGTTGCAGAGTTTTGTGCAGATATGGGGCCAGATGGAGAGGCAGATGGTGGACGCTCCGTACTTATGCCTGGATTTGATGGAGCCCTTGTGTTCGGTGCTTTTGTGGGAGGCACCTTAACTGGATGGCTGGCCGCAGATGGATTGACAGCCGCACTGAGCTTGGCTGCTGTTTGAGTGCTCATTGATACTGTGCTCACAGTCTGTGTCCCTATTGACCTTGTGTTCCTTGGCATTTGGGAAGTGTATGGTGTGGGAGCACTAATGAGTGGAGCGAAGGGTGGAAGAAGTTTCCAGTTGCTAGCATGGCCTGATACTACTTCTTTCTGCGGAGTTGGAGGTGCATTCGTGAACGGCGGAAGTAATTTCCACCTACTATCCTTGCCCGCAAGCTTTGTGTTAATGGCAGTGACTGCTGACGGAGACGTAGATATCGAGATCATCTTCCATCTACTATCTAGGTCTGCAGCACTGGTGTTCCGTGATGTCGGGGGAACTAAGGGTGACGAAAGAGTTTCCTGACCTGTCGCATTTGGAGGTGGTCGCTTTATTGGTGCTCTCGAGGCAACAGACACGCCGGACTGAGGTTTGCTTAGAGGTGCTTGTGGGGTGAGTCTGCTGCTGCTCTGTGAAGTGGGAGCAGAAGGCGCTTGCGAAGTTTGGCCGTCCTTTCCAACCATTCCAGTGGGGGGTAGCCTTCGAGTCTCGGGATTCAAAGTGAACAATGCTGGCGTCTGCTTCAGCACAGAACTATTCATGATAGTGATCTCGTCCCGAATCCTCTCGCTGTTCGGTACTTGCGAGGCTCTGGCTCCACCTTGAGTACTTTTGGCCAACGGCCGAGGTTTCGCCAGGGACGTGGTTTTGGGAGGCAGGGTTTTGTCCTGTGGAGCACTGGCAGTACTCGATGGAATCTGCTTCTGGGATACCATGTGTTCCGTTTGAGAGACATTTCCACTTTCAACAACGGTTATAGAAGTTCCGAGACTGCTCGAAGGCACGACTTTGACAGACAGGCTTCTCTGCTGAGCAGAATTTGTGGGAGGATTTAGTGGTCGGCTCTCGTTCGACATTATATCCGTAACCGGCAGAGGTTGATTCTGGATCATGTCGATGAACGCTTCAGTCTGACGCGAGGATACGCCTGTAGATTCCAATGATTGACCAGGAGGAGCGCTGGCTGAAGGATTCTCAGATACAGTTTGCGAGTGTTCAGATGGTGCCTGGATGCCTATGGTGTGTTCGATTTGGAAGGGAGCGACTTCATGGGATAAATGCACTACCCCGGGTTGGAGAACGTTTGAAGCTGGTGGTGATGTCGTACCAGTGCTGATCAGTTTCTTTTCTGGTTCTTCAATGGGCTGCACAGAAGTATTCTTTGTCATGACGCTACTGGCAGGGCTTGTTCCTGCAGGCCTTCTGACCACTCCAGTACTTCGCAGCGTCGCCATCGCGACGACTTGATTTGTAGTTTTGTGATTAACCATATCACTCACTCGAGTACCTGCCATGTCGGTAGCACCGGGGGTCCGAGGAACTTCGGCTCCTTGCGTACTAGGAGTTTGGTCCTTAGTGGCTGAAGGCTTCCCTGTAGGAGAAGTTTGAGGCTGAGATAATTGTGGAGGCGGAGGTGGAGCCGATGGAGTAGGAGGAACCTCAGAGAAAGCACGTTCAGCCGGTATGTGTTTCTCAGTCTTCTCCTCAATGCTAGAGGCGAGAATCTGCTCACTAACCATATCTTTGGCAACGTCGCCCATAGCTTCTTCAGCCGCTACCTGTTGTGCTGGGGTACCTGCGCCGGAATTGCTGGCTGCGACAATTCGCGTTATACCGCTCGAGGTCGTTCCAATGCGAGCATTCTCACAGAAACCGTCGGTTGAACTCTTCGGTGTAGTTCTGCGGTCGCTACTCAACACTCTGCTCACTCTATCCAAGCTATCTTCAGAGCCATGCCGGCGCCGCAAGTATACTTCAGATGCGTCTGTAGCAGGCTTGGTGTCTAAAGTGGAACCCCATGGTGCTGGGCCACTCACGGGGGATGTCGCTGATGTTGCGGTTGTGGGTAACTTTGATACAGGTTTCGTGTTTCCATCGATCATGCCCACGTCGCCATCACTGACAGCAGCCACAGCAGCAGACATTCCAGAAGGGCACACATTTGCGGGCACTTGAGTCTGAGTATTAACGGAACCTGGAAGAATTTCTCGTTAGCGAGTGTTTCCTTCCTGCGCGATATCACACAAAAGCAGAAGTAAATTCAACAGTGGGCAAGCATTTAGTTTATACCCTCCATTTGAACCAAGATTCTGATCAGCAGACATTACGTTTGGAGATCAGTATTGCAGGGAGGGAGGTGGATCTTGCTGAGGGTCGACTTTTACGGGTTACACCATGGGGAATTGCACCGGGTGAGTGAGCTCCATTTTCAAATTGTTCCCACTGCTGAGAATCTTCCCGATAGCCATCTTCTGGTGACCAATCTTTCGCACCCCTAATGGTCTACAGCTTGGTGGTGCAGATGCTTACCTCCTGGTTTCTCTGTGGGATGAAAATCATCCCCATGCTCTTTTGACCGACCAGCGTGATGACAGTCTTCATCGTGTTCTTGTACAGAATTGGTTTCGGTCTCAAATCGAGATGTGACATTGCCTCGTTTTCGGGTTTCTGCCTTGGTGTCTTGCTGCGAGCATTCTCTGTCGTTAGATGGCTCATTGTTTGGCAGCCTGTCATCATCTTGTTCCAGTCGATGACCATTTTCATCAGGTAGCCGCAAGATATTGTCATTCCTTAATTCTTGATACATTGTGCAAAATGCAAAATGAAACGGCCTCTGTGATGATTCAATAGTAAGATTGGTCCACGCCGATCCAAGAGCTTGTTGTAAGAAGAAGCTCCTCCTTGATACTCGAAAGGCAGCGACATCTGCTATTAAACATGAAGTCATTGGAGAGGCCGAGAAGCTCCAAAATAATTCCATTGGGGTCGGGATCCATTGTTCACCTAAGGCGTCCCAAAGTATTATTTGTAGAACACTCACAGAAAAAGAACAAAGTCTCCCAATAATAGTAGGACCCGAAAGTTCTAGTCACCATTCACCAATGGGCGATGAAGTGATAAGCAATGGCCATCAGTGATTCGGTTGAAGTGTCACAAATCACTTATTGTATACCAGCGAGTAAGCTGATGGCCTTACTCCCGCCATATCGCGCTTACATGTGAGATAGATAGGAGCTGACTTCCGCCATCATGCGAACTTTTGATTGAAGCGCTCATCTCGACCGAACGGTCGATTTAATGGAGTTTGGAGGTATAAAGCATGTCATTTTCACGGTCTTCAGTTCGAGATTCAGTCTCTAGGCGCTATGAGAACTCGTCTTGGGGAAAATTAGATGCCCATTCAAGAAATATGTTCATGATGCTACTTTGGCTGTAAAAAGCTGGGAATAGTTGGGATAATAGTTACCTTAGGTAACCTAAGTTAGTTAGCTAGGCCAGGCGCCTAGGGTGTCCCAAGAAGCCAAGGAATAGGTAAGTGATACCTATGTAGCACTTAGCGTAAATACCTAACGAACTAGCTGGACGCTCGACTTCAAGCTCCGCTGCGAACTAACTAGAATGCCCTTGGGTGAATTGAATATATACCTATCTAACTATCTAGAGAAGCTACCTGCAAACTTCCCCTCAAACGCACTGCAAACAAACTGCCTCGGGAAGGAGAAGTGGTCTGAAATAAGAGAACGCTTTCCAGCCGCATGTTGCCGATATCTTGGTTCCCCTTCCACATCTTGAGGACATCAGAAAGAGAGAACATCCACCGTCCACCTCATAATCCACTTCCACAGGTAACCGTGCGGTCGCACTTTGTCTGATAGCTACAAAACACTTGCGTGACGTGTCAAGCGGTTGAGCTTGGCATATCTTTCGTCTTCCAGTTCAGCTGATCATTTATCACGTAAATTTTACCCCGAACCAGTCTACAATTGTAGGCCAAACGCATGAAGCCACAAAACATCCAATCATCGAGCTCGAGAATTGTTGAGTTTTCAATTCGCAGGTGACTTTCCAGACTTAGTGACGGGGAAGATGCAGCCTCCATTCCATAGTATGAAGCCCCCTCGTATTCAGCCTCAGGAGCAGCCAGCCTCTTCGAACTAACTGGCTCGGCCAATTGCGGAAATACAAGTTCCCTTTGGATCCATCAATCCAGTGGGCTTCAACCGCCACGCTCCTGCCAAAGAAATTATACAGTATGCATGCGGCGTATTTCCGTAAGCACGGGGACTTGCAAGGGAAGTAGTCACATAAGAATCCCATTCCTCTCCTCTTTTCAGAGGTGTTCTAGAGCTTCATGATCAATCGCCTTTGGTAATTGATAGGCCATTATAATAATAGCTGCAGTCAGATACCAGTTGTGCGAGGAATATTCACGATCTCCAATATGTCTGACCTTTTATCTGAAGAGGTTACGACCCACCCTCTGGACGGAACAGAGCCAAACGGAACATCGACCAATAAAGATGTGCTAGACAACTTATTTAAGGATGGCGAAATTGATCCTCTCACCAAACTTATGGCAGAAAAGGAAGCGAAGGAGAAAGCCCAGAAAGAAAAAGAGGAGAAAATCAAGAAAGCTACCGAAGGCATGTTTGTTGAATCGATCCCAAATGCACTCTTAGCCCTTAACGACTGATATCTGCTTCAGAGTCACTCAACGCAGACCTTGGCAAGTTTCTCGACATGAAAGAGAAGCTTGGCTCTGCCACGGAAGTCAACGAGTTTCTGAAGGCTCGGGGTGTTCTTGAGAAGATGAGGACCGATGCCGAGACCAAGGTTAAAGATGGCGAACTTTCACTTGGGACAATCGCCGATGCCACGGGAACAGGTGCTGGAAAGAAACCAACTGATGCGGAGAAAGCTGCCGCTTTGCTTGAGAAACAGAAACTGGACTTGTCGCTCACGGTAGGTTTCTTCACAAGTCGAATTATGCTCTAGTGTTCTGGTCGAAACTGACCAAAAAAGGACCGCAGCAAGTTCGAAGTTGTGGCTGCAGATAGACCAGCAGGGTTTGGCCCAAAATACGTCGAAATTGGCCCATGGGATGCAGTTTCGGACAAAGCAGAGTCTCTAACCTTCCTGTTCTTTCAATCACATATGCTGATCAAGGCACAGTAACCCTGTGACTCTAAAAACCGAGGAGTGGACAACATTGCTTGCTATCAACAAGGCCTTCCACGGTTTTACGATTCGTGAAGAGCAGAAAGATATTGTCAAAGCAAGACGCCCAGGTATTCGAATTACGTTACACGACTAGAATTGCCTCATGCTGATCAATTTCTCCAGCTTTCGTCCTAGATGGTCCAGATCTATCCCAGATAAAGCCAGAATTTGAAGTTTTTGATTCGTCTTCAATTCAGATTAAGGAGGCCAAAACTGATTTGCAGCGCTCACTGGCAGAGAACGGGTTTTCCAGCCACTCGGTTCAAGCATCGGCGTATGTTTCAGTCAAATCAAATGGGAAAATTTACAACTAACCTGGCTAGATCTGGTGGTGCATTCGGTGTCTCTGCCGGTATCTCTTCTGGATTATTCACGTCGTCTTCTACCGGCTTAGCGACAACTGATATCGAGGCTCAAACAGAATATTTTGCAACTTACAACGTAAGTTATTGTTGACCGAGGTAGCGTATGGCTAATGATATCAAGTTTCCCCGAGCACGAGTCTTCATGGATGAGTACAGTCTCAAGGTCTCCAAAGAGTGTGCTCTGGTGTTAGACGGTCTGAACAAGAAGTACAACCGAGAGTTTCGCACCTATACCGAGGCAGAGTTGGACGCTGCTGAAGCAGAGCTTCGGACGTTCAGCGCACAATACGGTAAGATAACTTGTGTACATTAGGTCATGTCGACTGACACGCTCAGGCCATGTATTTGCAACAACATTCCAACTCGGAGGACAGCTTCAAAGCTCCAAATTTGCAAGTTCACTCTTTTCTTCCAAGGAGAGCGACCAAAGAGATGCGCTGAAAGCGTCAGTGGCAATGAGCTTCTCGTCAACCTATGCGTCAGGATCTGCGTCATACAGCAACGAGAATCAATCGCATGAGAATGAGAAGGAGAGAAAGATCTCGGACCTTGCGACATTGGCGTGGACAGCTCGGGGAGGTAATTCCTTACTATGTGCTAAGTATGTTCATCACAATCCCTCCAACGCTCAAGTCAACGCTTACATAGCAGCCCACCTCGATGGGCAGGCAGTGTCGGCACGTGGACAAATTGGCGAGTCATTGAGGTACGTGGTCATTGCTTTGGCCGCAAAACCTGGCTAACCGAACTCAAGCAAGAAGAGGTTGTTCCCCTTTATGATCTGTTTGGTAGATTTAAGGAGTGGGAGAAGATTCCTATACTGTTCAAAAACATTGCTCAGAGACGCCTGGAAGCTCAAGCAGTGGAAAACAATACCTGGAAAGGGAAGATCAAATTACTGATCGATGGGAAGCGACTGGGATACAACGAGAACGATACTGACACGTTGGTTGTTACCGCTCAACCATCGGGTACAGGCCCTCGAGAACCTGTTTTCACCGTTCTCAGTGGCATCATAACTGCGAAAGACAAGAAACTAAATAATGTGGGTTTGAATCTGTTATCTTGGAGACTGAGCCTCTCATGAGCACATACTGACATTTCCCAGCTTCCTGTGGACTACCCGCTTATTCTGGTGACAGGGGACAAATATGCTCCGGAGAAAAGTAAAAATTACCAGATTCCTGGCATGTGGGTCAATCCAAGTGGCCGGCTTAAGCCAGAGACATCGACAGTCGGGTCCTACATCTGCCGTTGGTCCTTCCGCCGCACGACTTCTTCGGGTCGCTGGACGCCCAATCAACCTGATAGCGAGATCAAAGATGGTGATCAAGTCAACTTATTTTGCCATTCCATTGGCCTCGGATCCTATGTTGATTACGACAGGCCCCCATCATATGCTTCGAGAGTCAAATACCATGCTGGTGCAGATCAACTGGTTTGTCATGGCTTTGGTGACCCATTAGACGGGGAGTGGAACCAAGCACACCTGTTCGATGAGGGCAAATTAACTACTGAGCAAGTAGCAGACACTTATTCTGACGACGAAAAACACGCAACTCTGCTGAACATGGGCGGCATGCTCAATCTTGATGCAATACGGCTGGTGAACGAAGAGAAAAGATACTGGGATGGAGGCTGGAGAGGAGCGCTTTTTACGGTCCAGTATGTTTACGAAACCGACATAGCCGCTTGAATAGGGCATCGGGACACCGCGAGTTTTACCTAGATAATTCCTGGAATTCATCCATACTAGGTAATTCAGAAAAAGACACACGATTTACCTAAAACACGAGGATTAGAGACCGACTTATGTACCAAGCTCATCCAGTCATGCAGTAATTAGGGGGCGCATGGCTAGCTGGTGTAGTCAACTTTCAAAATTTCACTAGCTGACGCCTACCTGGATTTGATTGATTGAAAGCGGTAGGAGAGTATTAAATTAGCTGGTTGTTCAGCAACCATCATGTGATGTGATAGACTGGTCATACATTGACTTGCAGAACTCGCCCACGCACGAATCAACAAGCCGAGGGAGCCTCGAGTCAACATGAGATCGCCTCAAACCTACAGCTCAGACACCGCTCTGCATTTTCAGCCAGCCACAATAGGGGTGGCCGAGCAATACCGAGGCTCAAATGTCGTGCTCTTGTTGTTCGTATTGAACTATCTTGGTGAGCCACGGAGGCTGAAAGAATGCAAATCATGCTTTGGGTAGCAATGCTGCGCACTTGGCTTGCTGGGTTCAGGGATGAATTGACTTCAGTATCTCGGCACTTCGGGATCGGATCTCCCAGTAAAGCTTAATTTGTCCTTCAAGTGCTCTGGTAAAGCCCCCCTAGGCTCCAGGGGGCTAGCAAGTTCGGCACCTGAACTAACTAGGGACTGTAGGTCCGTTTACCCTCTTGGATTTAGCAGGATTGTATGTTCCGTGTGGATTAATTGCCATAATGCTTATTGGGGACTATTATCACAAACTCATCCTACGTATTTGAAACAGTCGGAACATTGCCGCTTCATTTGGACAATAAAACGATGCCAGATCGATACGGTCTGGTCTCGTCGCTTTACGGGCCAGGTGCGATCGCCTGCTGGTATCTCACAACTTTATCGATTGTGGTCTCTTGGACTCTCCATCCCAAGAAACGGAAAACGGGATCGATTGATGTGGATTTGATCGCGCTGTTGACACTCCCAGCTGTTGCTGCTGGGCATGTGATATCGCAGGCCTTGACACTATTGTCTGATTATGACATGTCCGCCAGTTCTGACATCGGAGGCGATCAATATGACCAGTCTATCGCTGCTATCGAAGCACCTTTCAGCATTATTGAGACATTCATGATCATTAGCGTCATCTTGTTTCTCATCGCAGTGTGGGCCCTTTGCCTGCGGCGAGCAATATGTGTGGCAGTAGTTGGTCTCCTGTGCCTCGCAACGGAATGCTATATCAATCTCTCGAGATTTCATGACCTCGGTATCCAGTACCAGCGATCAGGCACTGAAAATGACAAAATACCAGCGTTCAGTCGATCTTTTGTCGCTGATTTCTCTGGCCTTGTCATAGCTATCATACTACTGCTAGCCATCTTTGCTATTGGTGCCTCTGCAATCATCACCTACATCCTACGCTCTCGGAGATCTTCTCAAGAATCTGGTGGAACTTCCAGACCAACTAGAGAACAAAATCTGCCTCGAGCACTGCAAATGGGCGCTAGAGGTACACGAACCAGCGGTGGGATCAGCATGGTCTTTGCATTTGCCATCATGACTCTCACCATCATTCCCAGCGCGATGAACTCCATACAATTCTCCTACGCAATACTTCGCGCGTCTGGATATACAAGCACTATCTGGCCTCGCCTCAAGATCTTTGCTGCTCACTTCTACCCTCGGTCGAGTAATTCTTTTTCAGATCTCGACCAAGCTGTCGCAACGGCTGCAGGTGCGACTGTTCTTGGATTCAATATGTACAGTACTGTGAAAGCGCGCTACGCCATGCAAAGCATCGGACAACTCGCGCAGGACGGGAGCAACAGGATTGAACTGGAACAATTAGACCAGAATGGTACGGTTTAAGAGCCTAAACGGTACTCACGACCCTTGTGCAGCATAGTTGCGGTGCCTCGATGGAACACTAGCGAATCAGTACTTGCTGATGAATGACTTAGAATCCAGAGCGCCTCCCCATTCATTCAACCACTGCCCGGTCGTAGAAATAGACGTCAGCTGACAACCTCTTCGAGGTCTCGTGTAACTACACTGGTGTTTCGTTCCCATCTGAAGTGAGAGCCCCCCGCATGGTTCTTCAAAACGAATAGAACACTCAGATCACCGCCCTTAGAAATGCGGTATTCAAAAATTATCTGCTGTCTGAATGGCTCCGGCAATAAACCCAGACGTGTTGTATTTGAACTACCAAAAGACCTTATTGCCCGAGGATTGAAACTATGCAACCGTGAGGCCATGAATAATACTCATTTTTCCTGCGAAGCTGTAAGCTCTTGCATAGTCCACATCTCTTTGCATTCCCGTCGCCATGGCTGGTGAACACTGCGCAGGAAGCCCCTAGACTGACCTCGTTAGTAGAGCCCCACTTCACTGGATTCAAATTAATCAGTACAGATTCGCATTTCAGAATGCAAAGACTCGAAGGTCACTGGGCTGGTCATGTTGGCACCTGCGTACTCACGAGGAGAAAACTTAGGTGGCCTTTTCCGCTGCTATTTTAGGGCACCGAACTCGTACGACCTGCTACAATTGCCGCTGGACTTGTGTTTGATCCAAAGTGAGATCGAGGAGGCCCTAGGAAGAAGTGCGAAATGCTGTGAATGTGGTCTCAAGGGCCGGTTGACGTCAGCTGATGATGAGATGCCTGTTTCATACTGACCTCAGGGTCGGAAAATATCTGCTGAGATGAGTTGTTGCACTTTGTGAGTCGCGATTGATTGAGGAATGTGACAAAGTCTCTGATGTCACTTGGTTTTGTTGGCTGTTCTTCACTTTACACTGTCGACCTATGCATTGATCTGCCGGAATTTCACTCAATCACAGTGCTTCGCTCATGCGGCTTGACGCAAAGCCGTGTTACTCGTTTGTCCTTAATGTGTCAGGATTCTGATATGGGTGCAAGTGTAGGTGGGCTGGTGGTGGATCACAAGTAAAGCATGTCTATCTGTTATGATAGCTCCAGGCATAGAGCACAGTTTTTACGAAAGCGAAGTGCGGACTTATGAAGTGAGAGTTCAGTGCAAGAAGGAATTTTGAAATTTTATGATTGAGCACTGCTATGTGATGATGGCACAAGTGTGCAATGAATATACATGCCACTGCCCATCATTGAAGGCTCTGCTCTCACTGGCTTTTTGCCCCCGAGTCTGCATATCGTAATGGAAAAACAAGAAAGAAAAATAAAGTAAACCAACCACCCATCTGAACTGCATAACTCGATGTCCTCCGTTGAACATGATATCGCTCCAATCAGCAGTTCTCTTGTTTCTAGGAGAACCATCTTTGTACATTGAGCTGTACTGTATCCCTATCCTGAAACTGAAACCTGGAAATTGACCGTTATCTGAACACCATAACTGTATCCAAAGCCCAAGCCCGTGTTGAATGGTGTACTTCGAATGATGATATTTATGTTGTGAAAAACAGCTGGTTAGAAAAAATAGTGGAGCTCATTCTCCAGTGGTTGTCTGCGTTCTGTGCTCCCGTAATTCCTGAGTATTCGCGCTGTGAGAAGGACTGTCATGTAATCGAAGAATAGAAATGAAATGGAACTTGAACGACCGTTCTGATGTGCTCCTGCCTGCTTGTGGCAAAGTGGATCTAAGCCGACACTCCTAGCAAGATGAAGTGATTTGGTCGGCATGAACCGGGACAGGAGTGAGATGAATGAATCAATTCACAGCCTCCAGTGGATTTCTTATGTTGTAAGCAAAAGAGATGGCGACCAGCTTGTGGATTGACGAATGCCATCGAATGTCTGCGCCGTTGCGGAAGATTCATTCTGTCTCAAAAGAAGGATCTTCTACTGCCTCATCAATTGTGGCCTGGGATGAGAAACTTGCAGGCCGGTCCTTAGTCACAGCAGGCGAATGCTCCTGCTCCTGCTGCTGAAGCTCGTCTGGACGCTGTTCTTCAGTTCTTTCTTCAGGATTCCCTCCAAGAGCGCCCATTGCTACATCTTGTTGGTGCATGTGCAAGCCACCTGGTCGACGTGGGGTTGGCGAAAGTAGCTGAAGAGCTTTTAGGGGTCCCATAGCGTGCCGACCCCATGTACCATTGGTAGGAGTGGGAGTATTGGGAGTCATCCAACCACTATTTGAGAAGGATCCAGTAAGAGCAGGATCGATCATCGTATCATAGCCTGATGCACTGCCATTGGGAGATGAAGTATTTCCATTGTGGAAGTTTGGACCAAAGTTTGCACGCAGTGGGGCTTGTGCCTGTGGATTCCACGGCTCAGCCATGTTTTGTGAAGATTGGTAAACTGTGCGCTGCGACATCGATGATTCAGGTCTCATGATCGGGTAGGTGGTATTCCGTGCAGCAAATCCCAGGCCTGCATCAGACATCGTGAAGGACTGGGCCGATGGTGACATTTGGCTATATTGTTGATTTGGGGATTGATATATGCTTCCTTGGTGAGAAATACTCGAGAGATTTGAAGCAGCCATCAAATCGTCGCCGCCATAGCTAGTCATGAGTCGCGTGCCCATTCCCGTAGAGAAATTGTCCAAAGGAGAGGAACCGTTCTGAAATCCAGGGTATTGTGAGTTCATTTGTCCTGGAGAGTACATGCGGGAACGCATCTGCGGAGCACTCATAGTTCCCATAGGGATGGCAGACCTTAAGCTCGTTGCTCGATTTCGAGATAGGGTCTGAGGTCGGGGGGTTCGAATAGTGCGGGCAGTCTTCGTCTTGACTGGTGTCTCATCCATGTCCTTGTCCTCGAGATCATCCATATCTTCTCCATGATGAGCATCGGTCGCGGTGTTCTGCATAAGACGAGGGCGTTTTGCCTGCTGCTCGTCCTTGGCCTGCTGCTCCTTTCCCCTCTTCATGATCGCTGCCTTTTTAGTGTTGAGGATACGATTTGATTCAACACGAGCTCGGTTGTGTGCCGGATCATCGACAAACTTCAATGTGAACGAAACGTCAAAAAGATGCTTGCAGATAGTCTTTGAAAGAGCCATTGTCTCCTTGATGATGTTGAAGCGCTGAGCAAACGTCATGGCACCACTTTTGAACTTGAACTTGTGTGGCTCATGAGCCTCGACCAAGTTGGTAACTGTGGTGGATCGGTTGATGCACTCGTGGAGGATCTCCCAGCACTTGACCTCTACAAGCTGGTTGTTGTGTCGCTGTTCGACGAACCATTTTTTCATGTCGTCTCGGTCCTGACATTCCTCTGGAATGCACTTGAAGGCCTTGAAGAGAGCCAAAGCATGTGCCCGGAGTTGAGCTTGTGTTCGAGGAATTGTATTGTCGATAGTAGTGGCATCTTCGAGAAGCAGTTTTCGGTACTCCTGTGCTGCTTCAAGACTTGGAAACTCGGTTCCAGCATCGGCATTTGAACCCATACATTCGGCTGAAGTTGGCAGATCATCTAGTTCAAGATCGAGCCATGGTGTTCGACCACGCTGATCTTCTTGAATGTTGATGGCTTGATTGTAGACCTGATGAGCGGCACGAATAGCATTGCCCTTCTTGATGTGAGATGGACAGCGATTATTGTTGTGAGGTGGGCTCATTGGTGGCGGGGGACTCATTGAAGGAGGGCTGCTTGAGGAGGATGACTCTGACGAGGCCATGATTGGCGTCTGTTCAGGAGTTGACTGTGGAGGGTAATTGACAGTGCTGTTGATTGTCTGTCCTGAAATAGACGAGAGAGGTTGCGAATACTGATGGTGGCCGCAGTAGATGAAGTTGTTGGAAGAAAAGATTGGTGATGAAGTAAGAGAAGATCCGTAACGAAGAGAAAGGAAGGCTGGTGATTTATTTTGAGGAAGTGTGAAGCTGAGTCGAAGCCCTAATAATATGAATCAGAGCCAAGATTTCCAGAGGGTCGAGATATATCATCCAGGAGGCCGCCAGCGTGACAACTGAGGCAGTCCACGTCGAGGGGAAGGGTTCGCACTTCACACTGCTTCGCGACTTCACCCTTCACAGGGTCTTCGAGGCAGCGAACTCGAAAAAAGGACAGCGAGCTCGACAGGCCAGTAGCAGTCTTCATATCGTCTGACACTCTGCTGCCATCATACAATTACTCATGCAAGGTATGTTTATATATAAGCTCTTGCTTGTCGACTCTCCAGAGACCTTGGAGCTGCGCGCCTCGAGATCTCAATATCCCGTGGCGTCATGCGGTTGAACTTTCACAGACAGGACTTCGGGTGTCGAACCATAGCAAGAGTCGACATTGGTGACATACATCCCCCGAAAAGATTCAGCCAACCGAGACTATTGTACCAAGTGTGATCTAGCAGGTCTGACAGGGTGTGGTGTTCTCGTTACCAGGAGCTGATCTGTCAAGGTCGGGTCAATTCTTGTATGGTCGAGAGCACTGCGCACTCAGAACACCAGCATGTTTCTGGAATCCGTTGTATCAGAATGGACAGCTGGGGTTTTCCTCGTCGCTACCGGTTCATCAAAGACAATGGCCTGTGTGGTTTGGTTCTTTGTCTGTTTAGCAGCTGTTCCCAAAGCGGGCTTCTGGCAAAGAGCTTGACGATCTTGTCTGTGCGACATCTGTGAGATTTTGACAATGAATAGCAGTGCCCATCAGTGCTTATGCTGAAGACTTATTCAGTGTGCCGGTCACTTTAGCAACAAGCAGGAAGTTACTCACTGAACCTCATGAGGCCGGACATCCGGAGATCAAGCAAAATCTCAAGCGTGCTGGAAGGGGGAACTGTTGCAATCAATAATGAAGCGGTTGAGCTCTTTTACCCGGCCATCAAAGCCATCGACGGCCGGGTACGACAGTCTGAAGCTCTGAAGCTCTGAAGCTCTGAAGCTCTGACCGTTCCAACTCTTTGACGTGGAGGTTGGTAGGTAAAGAAAGATGGGAAGAAGGAAAAAAAGAACACCTCTGAACAAGCCATGCCTTCAGGTGTGACACATTCGCTCGCCCTCACGGCGTGTGAATCTGGATGTCGATAACGAATCACCTCGTCGTCGTGGGATGGAACGACATCATAGTCGGTGGTAGGCGAATAAAATTGCCAAATAACGACAAGAGTGACGCGAGTGAAGGTGAATAGCAGAGAAAAGAGCCGCAACCTCTGAAGTGATACTAAACGGACTATGATACTGGAGTGAGGGACTTACAGCAAGAAATACCCACGCATTGGAAGATGCGTGTTATGAGCATCTGGGAACGCGATGCCACGAATTGAAAACCGACTCGTGTGAAGTGCACCTATCTAACAGCCAGCTACAAGCGTATAGTCTACCCAACTCTGTAGAACAACAGAGCAGAGAGCAGTACCAGGAATATTTGCAACATGAAGAAGTTGCACTTCATCCAGGGGAGGTGGTCCGGGAAATGGATGGCTGAAACACATCTACACAAAAGAAAAGCGGCAGGAAAGCCTTGACTGAGCAGCAGCATTGCAAGCTCGTAAATTGGCCTTTATGCGATAAATATCGAAAGGAGAAGCATAAAATCCCTAGAGCATCGATGAACCTCAGGAGCCTACAATGACTCGGGGATCTTTTAAGCTTCGAGGACGTTGAAATGTAGCCAACCACTACACACCTCGCTAGCCCCACACAGCGGATCTCGGAACGCCAATCATGCATGAATACCTAGCAAAGCTGGCAGATGGAAATTGATTATGATAGAACTCATGACAGTTGTGGTATAATCCAAAAGGACAGCGGTCCAAGAGATTGTACTTGATTGACATGTACATCAGTCAAAGGCTCCAAATTTTCATGGACAGTGGTGCCGTCTTGGTCGCTCGATCCTCATCAAAGAAATGTCGCTGTCCACAAGATGTGGCAATGACCCCTCCGGACCTGTGAACTGTTGCCGCCGGAACGGCATCTACAACTCGCATTAGTCGATTCCTGACGGTGCATAGTTTAGTGTCTCACCTTCATGCGCCTGATATTCGAAGGTTGGAGAAACAGCGCCCTCTTGCTGATGGGGATTCTTCCACATCCTCACATACCCATCTGAGCCACCGGCCCATACCTCATGGTCAGCTGTTTCATCCGTGCCACTTGAGCTAACGATATCCACCGACATTCGTTGATTTGTGTTCGCTTTCCTTCCCTCGAGCCAAGAGAGAAGCTGTCCAGTCTTTCGGATGTCGTAAATGACTACCCCATCGCTCCTCCTTTCTGTGATGTACAGATACCTTCCACAGGCGCTCCATGTCACCTGAGTAATTCCGGCACCACCAATATGGGGATCGGCGGTGGTTCCCTTGAGACAGAAAACACCTACGCAATCACCTTCACCCATAGAATCATATAAGCCAACATAACGGCTAAAAGTGCCTGCGGCCAGTATTTTACTCGCATTGTCGATTGCCAAAGCTGAGACAATACCTCTCATATTTACCGCCGGGCTGAAATGGCTATCATTCTTCCTCCGTGGACCGGTTGGGAAGGATGAGATAGGTTCTTGTCCTGGCCTAGAAAGATCAAATGTGGATATCAGCGAATCAGAACCGGCAATGAATCGATCACCTTCATGGTTGAAGATGAGAGAGTTCGGACAGATGTATGCTTCTGTCATGGAATTGACAAGTGGATATGAAGCGGTAAGTTGTCCAGTCAAGGCCGAATTAAGACGAATAGGCAGGTCCTTTCGTGTCGACAGGACCAATGCTGTAGCAGGATTTGCGAGATCGAAGAATGAATACCCAACCACGGCACTAACAGGACCATCAGAAACAATTGTGCAATATGAGGTTAATGCCAGTGGCCCCTCCCGGTCTTCCAGGAGGTTAGGAGGACTGACAACTGTTTAGTACATTGGATTGATAAAGGTTGTATAACATACACAATAAAGGTTTCTATGGCGTTTTTGGCTGTGGTTGCAATCAAGCTCGTTCCATCTGCACTCCTGTGACAACGGTTAGCTGACCAGGTTGAGCATTCGTGTGCGAAGTACCCACCACTGCACATTATTGAAGTAGTTGGCATTCTCCCTAGACAAGGCGATGTCTTTACATTTAGTAGCGTCTGCCTGCGCGACGCATTTGAGATTCATCATATGTTCACGTCTCAGCAACCAGGGTAACCCCGTCAATGTGCGAAATTGCTACTCTGCCTCGACTGATTACCACGAAGTGTAAAATCATTTTGTGACCTCACTCAAGCTGTTGGCATACGATCTCAGATGCACGAATTGCATCGTCATTCAAGTCGATCACAAATTCTTAGCACAGAGAGGCTGCATAAAGGTGGTTCATTGTACGCTTGGACGAGATCAAAGACGCTTTCAAACTTACCGGCGGCGAGCAGACTTTGCACTTTGATGTTTTGGTGCGTGACCGGACTCTTCTACGGCACGGCATGACACCGTATCGCGCTTGCGCATTTTGCAGAAACCGCGTCCGTTATTGACATAACACAACTACAATATTGCGATCTAGAGTCTCGGTCCATTTCCATACTAGTACACATTCTCACTACTTGTATCATTGAAAGCCACTATGGCGTTCAGTTTTGGAGCACCTGCGGCGAAGCCTATCCTAAACCTCTCTGGTCTCGGTAACAATCCAAACCCGAATCCAACACCATCTCTATTGTAAGTCTACCCTTACAAGAGCCAGGCAAACACTGATCCCCGGCCTCCAGTAACCAATCAGTCGCCCCCCCATCAAACCAGCCCTCAGCAAATCCCGCACAAGGTGCCTCATCACAGGCGCAGATAGACATTACACATCTTCGCTCAACCACCAAGTTCGACCAATTGACTCCAGCACTGCAGAAAGAGATTGAAGATGTTGACACCTTAATATTAAATCAGATCAAACTGGCATCAGAAGTCTCCGATCTTCTACCGACGGTGATTGCTGCAGGACAAACGATCCCCAATGGCGTGGACTTCGTGGGACAAAAACTAGACGAAGTCGAAGCAGGACTGGGTAACGATGCGGAAGCGATTGTCGCAGCACGAGATGGAGCTATGAAGAAGGGCGAGTTGGAAGCCAAATGTGTCTTCCGAGCGGTTGATCGACTGAAGATGCCCCGGCAATACCAAGTTAGCCACACACAAAATGAAAGCTTGGGCGGCAACGGAGCATATGGGGGTGGATCTGGCCTGAACGGTTGGTGGAATAATCCCCAGACGCTAAAAGGCAGTGTACGTGGTGGAAATTCAAGAGGGGACACCATACAACTACCAGGTGAAGATGCTGAAGAGGGTATCCAGGGACCGAAGAGTTTGATTGAGCTGTTCAACACACGCGCCGATGAGATGCAGGGTTCAATTCAGACTGATCGTCAACTATTGGGTGAAATCGAGGATTTCGTGCAAGGACTCGAAGCCAAGGTCGTGGGTCGAGAACGAGAATTATATGAAAGACTCAATAATGGAGATGGGAGTGGTGTCGCTTTCAGCGAAAGAGACCATCAAATCCAGCTTTTGAGAGTTGTGTTTGGCGAAGTTCAGAGGAGTTTGTACGATGCTGCGGACAAAGTCGGGGCAGCCAGAGAAGATGTGGCCCAACTTGCACTGGGAAGTTGAATCCTATGGCTCTTGCAAGAACCTTGAATTCATGATTGTACCCTTGAAGCCCACCACAAGGGCCCATCAATGATTGGCTTGAGCTGCATCACCACTTTTTGGCATATATCAATGTTGAGGAATAGGTCTGCTGAGGCCAAAGATGCACCCGACCCCCTGCTTGGATAGCAGTGTCTTCAGGACTGGTCGTATGCCTCGAAGGTTTATCCACACCAAGGCCGGTCACGCCAACGAGGGGCCGCTCGGGGATAAACCACTCTTGCTTGCACTCGCAACAGTGCTAGGACAACGTGCCACAGCGCGACAAAGCCATATCTCCAGTGCCACGTACATTAGCCTGGAGAATTCTACATGACTCAGGGCCGTCGATTACCGACTAGCAGAAGCCTTGCTCCGATGGAATGTCAGGACGACCTTGGGTCCGGCTCAGGAGGTAGTCACTACTGCTGTTCTAGATTGGTGGCAGGAGCGGACTCTTAAAACACAGGCTAACACCACCTGGGGAGCCTCCACGGTTCGCAGCAAGTTCACGAGTGATGAGGTCGCCCGAAACCCCCATCCCAATCCAATCTGGAAGGATTTCATTGGTTCAGGAAACTTCACTTGTGGACAGAAGCAGCAATGAAACTGATGTTGATAACGCGAATGAGGAGCTGATTCTGTTTCATTTCACTCTTTCCCGCTCTGAATTATGGCTACTGTGCCTGTACATCTGAGCATCTCCATTCAAGCTTCTAAACATCGTCGAAACCTAACTCTTCTGCTTCTTCTTCTCGTCCATCTTCCTAATAATCTCGGCCTCCTCATCTTGGAGCTGTTTGTCAATCTTGGCACCGCGCGAGGGCTCATTGCCGTGCATTCTCGCGGGTGCGGTGGGGTCGACCTCGCCAGCCTTCTGCTCCTCAGTCTTGTCCTTTCCGGATTCGTCGTCATTCTGAGGGTCTGCTTGTGCTAGACGGTTCGCAATGCTGCGCTCGTCCTCTATACGGGGTGTGTTAGCTGGGATTCGTGTCTAAGATGGTAGACGGTACTGAGAAGGTGGGCAAGAGGAAGAAAACGTACTGGGGTCATTGTCCTTGTGGCTGTTCTCTTTTCCTTCCTCATAGGGCGTGGATTGGTTTTCGGGCTTCTCGCTGTCTGGTGGGTTGCGCTGGTCACCGGCTTCGTAGACGCCGCTGTTTCCTACATTTGACTGGCCTGACATTTTTGCGGCTTTGTGGATGTGATGCGGGAATTGAAAAGTGGTGGTTTGATTGTGTTGAATCAAGATATCTTTCTTTCGACGGGTGTATATTGCACAAAAAGAGGAAACTACAAGCAAGCTGAGGAAGCAGAAAATCTTTATATACCATCCGAGCTCGAACTCCGATCACCAGCCAAAAGTAATTCTGTCCGTGGGGAAAACCCAGGGACGTCGTGTGCACTGTGTGCTCCTGAGTTCGAACATGACATCACAGCCTCGGGCAGAGTTGTGAGATGAGATCATTGAATACCCACTGCGGATGGCGTATGTCTCCTCAGTGGCATGTCAATTGCTTTTGAGTTTCATATGCAATGCATTGCTGTGTGGCTTGAGAGGGGTGTATTTCTTGTTTGATTTTTTAGATGGTACCTGGATGTGACTATCATACTGGATGCGGCTTGGTAGAATCGATTGAGGATTCTACATCTCGAAGACATTCGGCGACGATGGCCGTATGCTCCCCCGTAGGATCTTTTTGATCAACAGTAATGCTGCGCCGTAAAATGATGATCACGTGCGCTCGTGAATCCCGACGCGTCGAGATTCCGCTCAAACCACCGCAGCGACTCCTCTCCGCATCAACAAACAATTCCTGGGCTACACCAGGACCTACAACGTCGACCTGTATTGAGGACACAATGAATTAACTTGATATCAGTGTAATCTTCACACCCAAGCATCATTCCATCATTCCAACACCTCTGGTCTATCCACAGGTGCATGTCCACAACTGCATGTCCACAACAATGTCCGCACGGAAGAGACCCCACGCCGACCTCACCGATCCCTCATTCCCAACAGTGACAACCAAACCAGACCAAAATCTAACCAGCACAACCACAAACACAACCACGGTAGCCACGAGATATGCACCCTCGACGCCCCACGCAATCCGCGCGCTACAAATACGCAGCGGACTGAAGACACGATCGGCACTGCGCAGCACACGACGCCGCGCATTCGGCGACGCACTGAACACCAACGGCCAGGTCAAGACCACGGGCACTAACACCGATCACAGGGGTATTGGCAATGAAGCGGCTCGCCTCAGCGGTGGAAGCAGCGTGGTGCGGCCGGACTCGGCGCGAGGGATCCTGCGACGGCTCGCCAAGCTGACGGCCGCGACGAGCAAGCGGGTTGTTGCGACGCCTCTGGTGGGACGGGGGAGGGATTATGATGACGATAAGGAGAATGCGAGGCCTGGATCTGATGATGGTGTCAAGTTGAAGCGACCGAGGATGGGGCTGGATATTGAGGATAGTCTTGGGGATGATGAGGATTCGTTGTTGCCGGTGCCGGATGTGGGTGACGATGAGGAGGATAGTGAACTCCCGGTGGCGCCGACGCCGTCGATTCTGCCGGATGATGGAGACGGGGGTTTCAATGGACATGGCGACCCAACCATCACATTCAGGTCGATTGATTTTGCTAGACAGGCAAGAAGGGATGGTGAGAACAATGGAGGGCGGAGGATATCAAGACTGTCCTTCCCTGTGTCGGAACCGCTGGGTGATCCTGATGGTGGAGATGATGATCCTACGATCCTCAGCGAATATGGACGCAGAGCCATTAGTGAGGAGCCTACGGGACGACTATCACGTTACAGTTTTGGGAGTATCAGGATGGACGATTTTGGTTCGGAACCCGAGATCAGACGCGAATCCGACCAAGAGCGAGGCAAGGCTAAGCCTATGGAGTTGATGGATGACTATTTCGGAATTGAAATGGACGACCAAGACGATCAGCCTTTATTTTATGCTGAAGGAACGGAGCGTCTCCAGAATCTTCAGCGATCACCCAGTATTCTACCGCCAGATGAGAGTACAATCAATATCCCGCGTCTTGATGAGAGCTTTCAACTGGAGCTACCAGACACTGGGGCAGTGGCGCTGCATGCCAACCCAGATGTCCCTCTGAGGGTGTCTTTGGACAACTCTGGCATTGAGGTCCAGAAAGCCCTTGTGGAGGAAAATGAGCCCGATGCGTTACAATCTGAGCATACGGGCCACCTTACAACTGATTCGGCACCATTACGGACCTCCGCGCCGCGCCGGAAGAAGCTCAAAGCGACCCGTCATGGTACAATGATACCATCGTTGCCTTCGAGTCTCATCAAGCGTGTGGCGATCGAAGCACAAGCGAGACTCGGAAATCGCAGGCCTCAACTTGGACGTGACCATATGAAGGCGCTTGAACAGGCCACGGAATGGTTTTTTGAGCAAGTGGGAGACGATCTGGAGGCATACTCTGATCATGCTCGCCGAAAGAAGCGTGTGGATACCAGCGATGTGCTGATGCTCATGCGGCGACAGAGGGTTCTGAGAGGCCAGGGCGAGCTAGCCAAAGCAGCCAAGGCAGTGTTACCCAAGGAGGTGCTTGCGGAATTGGATATTCCTGATGAATTATGATTGGATATCACCAGTTGGTGCTGTGCCGGACTCTTCTTGTGAGATCCGTCGGCTTTTTGCGGAGTACCATCCACATCATAAGAGTGGTTGCAGCGGAAAGTGAATACCTAATGAATGATGAGACAATGTCGAGCTTGAAATAGACACTGAAAGAAAAGCAATTTCAAAGACGTACCAGGTAACGATATATTGTAGGTGGTTGTTCCTCAGGTTCACCTCGGCAGCCCTCCCAATGGGTATACCTTTTGCCTCTCGATCATAACTGACGAGTAGGTTGGGTTTCATGGTTTCCTCAATCCAGACAGGTTCTGCACCAGAAAGAGCTGCCATCTCGTGAACATCCGGAAAATAGAACTTTCCATCGGCTGGTTTGTTGTCCGGGGTAAAATAATTCTTCTTCCAAGGCTCGCGCAACAGGCCATTGATTGTGACCTCTCCACGTGGTAGAGACGAGGGATCTCGATCTTGTTGATACTTCTTGTCTTTACTGATCCATCCGCGATTGATCAGAATTGTGCTGGCGCCCTCCCTCTGTAAAGGTGTAATTACCAGATATCCGTCGTTCCCATCTTGCGTCCTGGGCCCAATAAGCATTTCCTTCTCGTGTAACAACCTTCCTGTAGCATAGACCCTTCTATAATCGAATTCATTGATAACCTCGGGATCGATACGTGGAGGGAGTGGTAATGGTGGTCGAACAAGTCGATCCTCGAACCTTGCAACCAATTTTGTCTTCCAATCCAGGCGTTGGACCTGCCAGGTGCCCAGAACAAAAGCCGTGAAGGGAATGACGGCGAGAATGGCAATTCCGAGCTTTGTGTTTCTCTTCCTCGTTGACACAAGCTTAGGAGGAGCATCAACGATGGAGACAAAATCTGGATCGTCTGCGTTCTTCAACCCTTGCCCGGGCTTGGTCGAGCTAAACCGGGAATGCGGTCGCCTGCGGACGTGTAAGCCCTGTCGCCATGGCGCAAAAGTTGACCTGAGGAGCTTCAGCTCATGATGAGCCATTGCCTTTTTGAACTGTCACGGTGGTGGCCGTGCGTGTAGGGGAATTGAATCGTGATGAAGATGTTGGCTCTTGACAAAGTCGTGGAGATGGAGTGATATCACGGATGAATTTATTTCCCCGCCCGACAGACCAATTGCTCTTTCTTCTCCAACTGGACTCTCACTCCATCAACCCACCTTCCGCTCCATTCGCGATATTCGTAAACACCACTGACACTCAACTCTGGGTTTGAAGTCATCGGACACCATGTTCCATCAGGGAGATCTTCAAAGCGGGATCGGACTCGCTGTCCAACAGGCGAAAGCCGTTCTGTGTTTAATCCATGGTGTGTAAACCATCCCTAAAAATTGTCTCCCGTTCAATTCACTAAATGACCATCTAGATGGGAGTGACGCCAGCAACGAGTGGGAGAATGTTTTACAAGATGATGCTGTAAGTCTCTCTACAGGAAATACCTTCGTAGTTGTCTGATCTGTGGTAGTTATCGCCCGCCATCACATCCCAAACCATCGCCCTTCGAATACAGGCTGAATCGCAGGAGGCTTCATTCCTCACGCCAATCGTTGCTATCAACAGCACGCCTGCTGTCATTATCATCAAGTAAGATTTCTCCTCGGGATAAGAACGCTAGTCTCTGACAGAATCAGGAATGCCCAATTGCAACTCAACCTCCAGTCATCAGAAGTGTCAGTCCAAGAACTCAAAGACAAACTCTCATTCATATTCAGCCCACAAGAAGTGCCAGGGTCGGAGAACCAGAACGATGAAGAGTTGACCGATGAATCCACCTCAGCATATCTCGATCTCCAGCCCGCACCTGGACAGATGAGGCTCCCAAACAACGCTTACGATGCGCTGCGAAATTACACTGAGACACTCCTCGAACAGGGAATGCCTCATAACAAGATTTTGGACACCCAGTTGTCCCTTCTGAACAATATCCCAATATTCAAAGATGAGGTCACTCGATTACAGTCCACCTCCAGCAAAGAGCTTTCCGAGTATGCTAGATCTCGATTGCTAAGACTTCCAGCGGTGGGCTTAAAAATTCCTGGTCAAGCAAAGCCGGCCCCTCCTATTGCCAGCCCATCATCCTCTTCTCGAATTGCAGTCCCTCAACAACAAGCGTCGACACCAGCTAGCTCAACACGGCCACCTCAAAATCTGGCCGTCACTAATCCGCCTTCACAAGCCACCTCTGACAAACAAAAAAGTCAGCGAGATGACTACATCAAATTGCAACGCGAACGTGAACAGAAGCAGCGGGACGAGAGAGAACGAATTAAGGCGCAGATCAAGGCAGACCGTGAAGAACGTCGACGGTTAGATGAGATGCGGAAAGGTAACATGGACTCATCAACGGGTCATTCGACGAACGCATCTTCCGCGAGTAGTTATTCCAGAGCACAGCTACAGAAGAAAGAGGTCAGAATTCAAGTCCGTACCTTTGACGGCAGCACATTACGCTCCACTTTCCAACCCTCTTCAACACTCTCAGCAGACGTTAGACCGTGGATAGACGAAGAGTCCGGAATCAATGCACCATATAATCTCAAGCTCATCCTTACACCACTGCCCAATCGCAGCATCGAAGCCTCTGAAGAAGGACAAGAATTGTCAGACCTCGGTATCATTGGCTCTTGTACTCTTGTCATGGTACCCGTCAAAGGATACGTCGAATCATACACTGGTTCATCCACAGGTGGTCTCTTAGGGTCTGCAGTGAGCGGTGGTTTCGGTCTTGTCACAGGCACTGCTGGAGCTGTGTTTGGCGGTGTCAAAAGCATCCTTGGTTATGGAACTCCTCCTTCTCAACCGACTTCTGCTTCCGCAAGCAGCCCTATAGCAGGGGCAGATAACGGAGATCAGAATCAACCGGATCCTTCTAAGGTGCGCGTCAGGACCCTCGCAGACCAAAGGGCTGAGAGTGTTGCGAAAAGAAGGGATCATCAGCTGTACAATGGCAACCAGTTGAATTTCGAGCCGAAGAAAGACGGCGATGGGGGTGACGACCAGGCAGGACTGAAGAGAGACTAATTACAACTCCAAGCAATACAATTAGCCAATAATCTCGGCCTCGTCTCCGTTCCTGTTCTTTCATGTTAGTCGACATTATTGATTGTGTATCATGTTCCAGCCAAGCCGTACGTCAATTCGAGCATATAAACTGTATTTTGATCTCATCTAAAGCCCAAAGCGAACATGAAGCTCAAGGATTCAGGCTATTAAAATTCCAATGGCACAAATTGTTAAGCGTCCAGCACTCATGTTCCCCTTCTCAACACATCCATTATCCACCATCTTCCCAAGCACAATCCAGCACAGCAATGTCTCATGACTACCGCCCACATTACACCCAGAATAAGCGGCCCAAAGCCCGCTTCCCATCATCCACACGCTTCCCGAATCCAGTACCACGGCCCAATCCGCGTTTAGTAACCGTGCTGGTCGAAAACGTTGTCGGGACAGACGCCGGCACCTTCGAGTCTGCAACGACGCCAGAAGTCATGCCGGCATTTCTGGCGGCAGCTGTGCTGGGCCCGGCGAGATTCATCGTGCTGAGCTCCTCTAATATGCAGACCGCGGCAGCGAGAGTGCACGAGCGGGTGGTCAAGGGCGTCGATGAGCTGATGACCGGGGGTGGGAAGGGGGCGGTTACTTGGATGGATGGCGATGTGGTGGACGATTTTGGTGGTGTTACTTGAGTTGAGCTCATGCCGGTGCCAGTGTCGATGCTCTCCGTGACTTGGGGTCCTCTTCCTGGGCCGCATTGTAGGAACACGCGGGTCGCTGAAACGGTTCCTGCGGGTGCTGCGGTCATGGTCGTGGTGGGTATGCATGTAGTGGTGATGACGCCCAGATTTGTTTGGAACGTCTTGCCTGCTGAAATGTAGCTGGAGACCGAGAACGGTACGCCCTGGCTATTGAACGAGATCCATACTCCTGATGGCAGACTCGATGTGTATGTGAGGTTTGGCGGGTGAGATGTGGTCACTACAACAGGTGGAGAAGAACTGCCATGGGAAGTAGTTACAGCCTGAGAGGTGTTCAAGAGCGGCGGTTGGAATAGACTGGGGGACGACCCACTACCCATTCCGCTTTCGGTGGCGTGTGCAGACATCCAACTTGAATAGCTTTCCCAGAACGTTGTGTAGTTGTTGTTTGGGAATGGCGCAGAGCTTGAATCGGGAGCAGCTGTTACGATCGAAGGTTCTGAGGTGGTTGTCGCCATATTGGTGGGAGCTGAGAACGGCAGAACCGAGCTGGAGGTGGAGAAGACTATGTTGTCTGTGAATGTCGGCACCGAAAAGCTGGGAGCAGTCATGATATCGGGCTGGGTGTCCGTGGTCGAGGTGTTATTGAGTCCCGTAGGCTTAAAGAACCCAGCATTCGTTGATGACTCTACAGATGATGCAGCCGAAGAACTCAGTACGAATGGCAATACGCTCGGCCTTGATCCGGTGCTTGGAGTGGATGTGTCGAGCGATGATAGACTGGAAGCTTCAGTCACAGTCATGGTGACATGCTCAGTTTTCTTCCATGACCTCGTCACAGTTTGAGTCTCTGTTGACGTGTATGATATGCTTGCAAGACTTGTACGCCCGCTGGCTGTGATTGTGATCGTGGTTGTCGAAGTTGCCTTGGTAGATGCGGTGGTGTCTGAGGCGGCTGATAAGATTTCCACTGACCTTGTGAACGTAGTTGAACTGGCATTGGACAATTCGGCAGGTTCTGAGGAAGAATTCGACACACTTGACAGAACTGAATTGTCGATACTTGTGGATCCCTGTGTACTGGCGACTATCGAGGATGAGTTCAAGCTGGCTGGAATTGGCTCAATTTGAGTGCTGATGTTGGTAGGTGTCACAGAGAACTCGGCACCGGACGAAAAGCTTTGATGAGACCCTCGATTAAACGTGTTCGGTAGAGGCAAACTTGGCAAGGCCGCTGACGAGAGTGTTATCGGAGTTACTCCAATTGGTATATCTGCGATTGCTTCTGCAAGCAAGGCAAGCGCGGCCGTCACATATACAAATGCTAGCAGAAGCTTGGAGATGAGTGGGCCAATTTTCAGGGGCGAGATGCCCATATTTTCTTCCATATCTCTCGAGACCGCTTCGTTCCTTGGTCAAGACTGAGTCTGAATGTGGTTTCTTGAGAGAGGTGGTTGAATTGCAATCTGAAAAGAAATCGTGGATCCTTTGCTTGTCCAAAGGCTTCGAGGGATCATGGATGGGGAAAGATAGCAAGCAATGGAGTGTTATAGGAGGAATATATTTCCACCGCAGCATTTGAACAAAGCGCGAAACTTGGGGCGATACACAATCAGCGAGAGCCGATGTGAGAGTCATCTCATTGCTCGAACAATGGGGTGGAATGCGTTGTTAAGAATGACTCGATGCGATTCTCTGTCTGTTTGTAGAGGAATGATATCGTTGAGTATGCACATGTTTGCCTGCTTCTGTTGGTACAGGCCCGTTTGATGCAAAAAGTCACGTTTCCTCCCAATGTGCCACTTCCTAGATGAAGAGGACTAGCGTCAGGCATAAAAGCCCAAGTATTGCGGGTAAATTCACAAATTTTTGATAGCCTTCATTGTTGTAAACGACGACTGTTCCTCCACCACCACCACCACCACCACCACCACCAGAGCCGCCTGATCCGCCACCGCCTTCACCAGGACCACCCGCGTAAGGATTACCAGGTGGACCCCAGGTATAGTAGTAGCCAGTCCACGTTGCGCAATTGACACTGAAGCCTTGGTCGTTGAAGCATCTTTGTCGTCTCTCAAGAGGATTTGGTAATAGTGGCGCAATAGTGACCAATGCTGATAATGGCCTCTGTGGCTGAGCGACAGTGATACTTGGTGTAGATGTTGTTTGAGTAAGAGTAGAGGTGATGATTGATAAAGGGAGTGATTCAGGTGAGATCGTTGCTGTCATTATTTCTTCCCTCACAACAGGTATCGGAGTGATCGCAAAGCATGAAGCTTGATAAGCAAACAGAAGCAATACCAACCACCTCATCTTGAATACTGTGAAGAGTGTGAAGTAAAAAGAAGGTTTAGAAGCTCGAGTTCAAGCTGAAAGAATGTTCCTACTGGGTCTCCTTATGAAGAAGCTCTCTGGACAGCTTCCATGATGGGCCCGCATGATTGTTACAGTCATGGGCATCGAATTGTGCGACTAACGATGGCTCGGGCATCAATTTAGATTTCAACCATCGAGAGTCTTCTGCTTTCATAGTGTCGGTGAAGGTGAGGCGGGCCAAGCGTGGCGAAATCTGATTGGTTGAGGGGCCATATGCTTTCCACAAATTCGGTACCTGAGGGTCTCGGCAAGAATTCAAGCTCCAACATCGTCCGGCTGACTTTGGTCACAAAGCGGTGACACAAGCCGTGAAAGTGAAATTTGTGACGAGTTGTCTGATTTCCGCAATGCGTTTCGTAGCATTTTGTATTCTGACCTGCCGAGATCAGAACACATCTTGGCGACACGGAAAACCCAGGAAGCTGTTTCTGCACATCGCGCAATGACAAATCACTCTCCATAACCCTTTGCTGATGCCATGCTTGGTAGAAACTCGAGGGAAAGTTGTGGCATTCATAAATCATCCATGGTCGAAGTTGGCTATCCAGGGAGCGACCCACTCGTCAGTGAATCACCAAGTATTTCTAGTGTCTGTTTGTACACCCTCGACAATCTAAGAGAGATAGGTAAAACGTCGAGCTCCTCGTCCGTGCGAACAGTAATATCGTCGTCGCCCATATCGGTATCGTCATCGTCATCTTCAGAATCGATCTCGGAAATGGCCGGAGCGCTGGCCGCATAACCACTTGCAGAGGCGGCGTTCACAGCTGCCACCCGAGTTTCTTCCACAAGCGATTTGATGCGTACCTTGTCAGTCATGGAAACATTGAAGGGTAGCGACCCACCGGGACTGTTATTGTTCGCCGCTCGAAGCACAGAAGCGAATCCTTCATCAATCTTTCCAGCTAAAGGAAAGAATGAAGTGGAAAATGGAAAGGCCTCGAGATACGAACAAATTTGTCCGGCTAGGGTGAGAAAGTATGGGATCTGAATGGTTGCTAAAGTCATCATGTTAGGATTTGAGAACTGCAAGTACAGTGGTAATCAAGGACAATGCATTCAAGTTCCAAGTCATTGATCCCTCGATACAAATTGAGCGAAATACTTTCTGCTCATATCAAGGGCAAAAGACTTACGGGTGCCACTTATCCAAACAATATCGATGAGGGGCTCGATATCGGTCGCAAACTCATCATAGGTAGTATAACCTGGAGTATCATCGTTGTCTCGGCGTTCATTACTAAACTTCTTTGCATGTCTCCTGGTGATTCGTAATAGCTTGTCGTCGAGGTAGTTTATCAAAGCGATCTCCTTTTGTGATCCGGGTCGTAACGGATGCATTCGAGGAACTGGAAGGCTCGAATTACGACTCAAATTCGAGGAGTTTGTCGGGGCTGGAGAGGGTAAAGATGCAGGAGGAGAGGTGAGTCCGTATCTCTGAATGCCCTCCATGACGCGTGGTCAGCAGGATATTATCTGGTGCGTCTGTTTCTGCAAGGGGCGAGAATCTTTCACTTTGAAGATGAGTACGGCAACAACAACATCATCATCATAATTATAATCTGGCAATTCACGACGAGATTTGCACGTATTTACGCCTGCTATTGCCAGGAAAGATATGAAACCCCTCAAGAGGATTTCGAGGAATGGCAAATACAGTTTGACATCAAATGTACGGCGAACCCCGCAACGCGCGTCTGGTGTATTCATGCCCCGCCGTACCTGGTCACCAGATTCTAAGGTTCCCTTCATGTTTTTCTATGCCACGGCCCTCGACTTACACATCTGTGTACCTAGGTATGTATCGAAATAAAGTGGCATTATTTCTGAAGTAACATGATGCGCAGCAAGAGCCCACTGGAAAGTATCACGACTGATGAAAACTAGAGCAACTGACGCATAAGGCTGGTAGATGACTGTCTTGAATTGGCTCACATGGCTCAAGCTATGCCCGCCTTCGCTCCTGCCTCGCTCTTTGGTTGCAGCCAATTCCTTTCAGTGTTCTGAGTCGTCGATACCCCGATATAGTACTTACGTGCGAGAAGCCTGGAAGCAGAACGGAGTAAGTCTGGTGCATCTTGAATCCTACATGCCTACAACATGACCCTCTTGAAGCACAGATGAAAATCTGCCCACCCACATGGATGATGAGCGAATTTGATCTTGGTCTTTTTTTCCTGAACATGAAGGAGACACGGAAAATTCCAAAGTTAAGACATCTGCTCCTTGCTGCACGTGGTTCACTTACCACCAGCCCATGCTTACCGGCCTCAAGAGTCAAGAATCTGATTATGTACCAAGCAAGACAACCATCTGCCAGTCGGGTCCTGCATCACGTTGATGGGGTCCCATCTTTTCCCCAGGATGTATTCTTGACTCAAGTTACTCAGGTCTATTCTGAACTTTGTCCACATGTTCTTGTCTCCAGTGGCTGAGATCAACAGTTTGGTCCTCGGTCTGACCACGCTTGAGGCCCAGCCCAGATACTGAAACGGCAGCCAAGATGAGGAATGATCGTTATAGAACTGATGAAATCCTGAGGTTGCCTCGGCCTCATCTCAGTGTCCATACCTGGATGTAACCACCTCAATGCAGTAACCGTAACGCCGATCTCCCGAGCCTGGTTTCTAAGCATTCGAGTCGCCGAGTCACCGACAGCTCAAAGATAAACTCTTTCCCCACGTGGAGGCTCGGAAGTCTATCTCACAACATGGACATGACGCGCTGCCGATTTATTTCTGGGACAGAACACGAGGTCGATCTTCTCAACGTCCTGTTCGTATTCGTAAATTTGATGCTTGAACACGAGAATTTCCAGGAATCTTTCTCCGTCTCCAGTTCAATCAACCGTGTTCCCACAACTAGGGCTGATTATCTAAGGTCTAAAAAGGATCCTTGTTGGGCGCGGGTAACATGACTTCGACCAGACATCAGCCGCCAAGACCTGTAACGATCGCGATGTAACGACAAAGAAAAACATATGAGACTGAGAACGAATCCAACAGCTCCAGGAAACAACAGTCCGATTCGACCATGACATCGGAGCAGAATACCAGAATCCCCGGTCTTTTAGAACCCTGATTCCATCTTGCGGTCGATTGCCTGATCTGATATTTCTTTTCCCAGACACTAACTCAAACCGAGAATTGCAGCAAGTGTCGACCGCGAAGCTAAATAAAACTTTAGCAGTTCAAGGCAGCAAGCTAGTCAAGATCAGTAGCAGGCGAAAACCTGCATGCATGTATAGTCAGGTTCATTTGCAAGGTATGGAGGACTCAGGACTCCGGACTGCTTCTTCACATATTGCTGAGCTGCAGACGGTGTGTGTACCTCGGCCGCCCTCCGGGGTCTGAAAACAAACCGTAGCTAGCTAGTTCTGCGAGCCAGGTTTCACACCATGCACAACGAAAACCTTTCTGTGCGTCTACGCTCTCGACTACAATGTATCACGGGCGCATCCCGGGGTCCAAAAGCCTACTTTATTTTGGTAATCTGCCACCAGTCAACTAGCTTGCTACTTACGCTTCGACTGAAAACTCTTGGGCATCAAGGGATGTGGTCAAAGTCAAAACTCAAAGACAAGGACAAAAGAGAGGCGCCAGTCTACAAGTAGGTACTCGTACCTCCACAGTTGCGCTAGTTAGGCAAGGCCATGCGAAGGTGTCTGTCGGTCTGTCTGCCTGTCTGGAACGATTCCGCACGTTTTATTGCTCGCCATCACTCACGTCTTGGACTAAACAAGCCAAAAAATTTCTCCCAACGAGGCAGGGCCACGCAACGGTTCTCGTACTGGCTGTGCTTGAAGTTCATTTCGCACCGGATAAACCGCTAAGCTAAGCATCAAAGGAAGGTATCCTTGCAAAGGTGCGCAAAAGACAAGCAAAATTCGAAGAATCGTCGCTTGCGATAAGTTAACGTCTCGATACGAGGCCCCAAAGGGATCCCCGGGACCCACCGTGACGACCTACCTAGAGCCCGACCGAGGAACTGGGATGGGGAGACGTAGGTCGAGCGCTTCCAGCTTGAATATCTCCTACGAGCACACTCTACTCGTACGTGAACAGTTCATTTACGAGCGAAGTGTCGACTCAAGGGTTCTGGCCAGGAATTCCAAGCAGTTAAGTTCAAGTTCGGATGATTTGAGTATTGCGGGAGGTGGACTTGGTCTCGCCATACATGTCTACCTACCGAAGATAGCCAACACAACTTTGAAGCTGAAGCCGTTAGTTAGGCAGATACTTGGTATGGCACATTCTGGTCTGGAACTACGAAGTAAACTACCTCCTAAGTGATTAACTAGCTTTCGGCCCCCCCTAATCGGCCCCTTCTCCTGCTTCCACGACGAGGCGAGGTGCAGACGTAGAATTGAAGGTGATTGATTCAACAAATTTCGCGCGTTGAGAGAAAGCCCGCCCGCACGCCCGAAACAAAACCAAGATCCAGAGACACAGAAGCGATGTTCTCCCACCTGACTGACTGACTGATTGGTTGACTGATTGACCGCATCATTTCGGGGTCTGTGGTTCCCCAAACGGTTTTCGCACAATGCCAGACTCAAGGATTCGAGAGCTCGAATGACAGAAACCAGGGAGCGGGTTGACGGGTAACAAATAATGATCCCCGTGCTATTCATCCTGGAGACGACGTTCTGAGCGAAGAATTGATCCGACTTCTTTGCACTCGTGACTCTTGACCATCTCAAAAAGACGAACAAACAGGACTGCAAATATAATCCATCCCAGAAATATAAGGCGTACAGGCTAAGTAAGCAATGCCATACGCAAAACAAACGAGTGTGAAATGATAGGGTATATCCCGATGACCTGCTGCTGACACCGAAAAAACTTCGCCTCCCCCACAAAGAAATCTCCATTCGCATCATTCCATCATTAAAGGTTCCAATTGCTCGTTCACTCGTTCTTTTTCTCGAACGGTTTATTGGCGTTCATTTCCGATCGTCCGACAACTCCGATCGATCTGACATAATACTCCCAAGCGCTCCTTGTTTTTTGGTAGGCTTATCTCTTCACACGACCCGCACCCGCTTAGTCCCGGCTCTTTTCCTTTCGCCAACGCCATCGCTAATTCCAATTAAGGATTTCAATTTCGTCCTCTTGTTGTTGTTTTGGAGTGCCAACCATCTCACGTCATCATCATTATATTGTCCTCCTCTTTACAGTAATGGATCCTTTAGCATTCTCATACTGTGGTCATGGTTGTCGGTCTTTTCCCTTGGCGTCTTGAGCATGCTGGTACTCGTAGCGTGGAAGCTGGGGCGGTTGCTGATGCTGGTACATGTGTAAACTCGGAGATAGTATGCCGGATGACTGTGCGGTGGTCCTGTAGGAAGAAAACAAATGAATACTCTGCTCGTCAGGTGCTCTCCGGCATTTTATGATGATTTCTCCTCATGCCCAAAGTTCTGAAGGAGTGACGAACCGAGTATTCATATTTATGCTTCCGTACTGGTACGGTGCTTGAGTCTGCCCAAAGTAGTCCATTCTTGAATTGGGAATCTCGTGGCTACTTCGTGGGCCATGCGGATGCTGCGGCGGCGGCGAGCCATAAACTATTCCCATGGCATTCCCAGCGCCTCCTGAACTCATTGTCCGTTCACCCATAGAGTTCGCACGCCCTAGAGAGCTAATTGATGACATTGATGATTCCCTTCGAACATCACCGGGGCTTGACACGTTCGGAAAGTATGAACCCGGTAATGGAAGACTGGCGGATCCGTGTAGTGATGAGTTTGAATACATGGACTGGGACGAAACATCTGTTCCTGAGGATGAGATCGGCATGGGTGGAGACACATACGGACTTCCCTGAGGTGAATGTCGATAAGCATCCATGCTTTGGCTATTTTGTCGCTGTCGTAATCGATATGCAGTCATGATCTGGACTGGCACATCCATCAGCGACAGAGCAACCTGAACGCTTGTGTCCTGGGGTTGAGTTGATCTCCGTGACATCAATATCTCGTGTACACGCTCGAGAGGCAAGACGGACATGCTTCCCAGATAAGCCCCGCCAATCTCAGGGAATAGCGGTTCGACGGCCAAGGCAGCTGCATACAGATGCGCAAGTAAAGTCAAGGCTGCCAAATCAGACTCCCCTGTCCTTAGTATTGCTGGAGGTAGCCAGAAGATCAAATCTCGCAATGGCTGTAATCGAGGAAATGTCTGTTCGGGTGCTTGTAGCTGGATATCTCGTTGTACATCTTGAAGATAATCCACGAGACGTCTGGCATGTTCAGCCAACTCTTCACTATTGGTAAGCCTCAGCTGAAGGTTGTGAAGAGCTGTGGTGATCTGCTCCACTCGTCGAAGGTCTTCATGAGGTACAGGTAATTGAGCATGAGGTAGGGTCGGTGTTGCGGGGGTTCTGGCTCGTGCAATAGATCTCTGATTGTCCAAAAATCGTGCTAGTTCAGATTCGTGCACCCATGGTCTCATAGCATTCATCACCTGGAGAATAATCAGTCTCACGTGCACAATCTGAGGCACTCGTTCTTACCGTCGAAACTCCTTGCTGTAGGGATGCCCAACTTCGCCTATTTTCAAATTATTCATACCATAATTAAACGCCAGTGGGGGGCCGCTCACCATTCTGTGGCTTGCCAGGACAAGAGCATTGAAGCCGCCAAGATTGCCTCGGAAATGTTTCTTGAGAAATCACCGATAGCTTCATGCAATCCCTTGAGTGCCACACCTCGGTGGTGATACGCAAGGTTCTCCGTATCGATATTCTTCGTCTGCCATGCCAGGTGTGATGCAGACAGGGCAAGCAAAGCACTCATGACAAAGTCATGAGACAGTGCAGCATTGATTAGCCTGATGTCAAGTCAATAGGAAGTCATAGAAAAAGGGGTCATTGCTCTCACGAAGTCATCTTCAGGCCCCATGCAGTGCACGAGCTATAACCTCTGTTGTTCATGTCGGTCGAAAGGGTCACCATATGATGTATCAAACGCAAATCGATGGTTGAGAAGCGAGTCCAGTACACAGAGTCGTGCAATCGTAATTCTGGCAGAGGAGCGTCTCCAGTGATGCGCCAATTATCCAGGCGCTGTTGAAGCTCAGGCGACATCAGAAGGTCTGGGGGCTTTGAACCCTTCAAAGGCTCTTCTCCAGCTGCGGGCATGTCCATATAGTCGCATCTGCAATTGTGCTTTGTACAATTGCGACATTGTGGGAATTGTTCATCGCAGCGTATGTGTCTTTTCTTGCAAGTCCGACAGCCTTTACGAGACTTGGTATGGCTCTTCCTAGGTGGGCCTCCTCCCGGCCCTGCCATCCTTCGTGCCAGGTTTGCAGATAATCCTAGACAACAGGACTGCGCTACACTTTGTCCCCTTCTAGTTGCCTTTGACGGCCGCGACTCAATAGTCAAAGGGAGTGATGGCAACAGTATGGAGAGACCGGTATCGCCAGCCAACCCCGTTCAATAAGCACCCCAGCTGATTATCAGTAGAGATATGAAGAATTGCTTGTAGCGCAAGTTGTGTTGTGGCGAAGAGACAGTATATCTTTGGTGAGAAAGACTTCGTAATTGACCGTAAGGCTGAACCACGCCCCCACAAGTAGCTCCGTATCGAATGGATGAAAATACACACGCGCAGGGCGAAGCACTCTCGGCAAAGAACTGCTAACTCGGTATTGGGAACGGGGAGTCGTCTGACAAAGGGCGTCTAGTCAACTTCCTCATCCACTTAGGGGGTGTCAGCAGAAGTAAGTCGTCCTATATGTCATCATAGGCTCAGTGTCGATGTTGGAACTTGTGATGGAGGGTGAAAAGGTCGGGAACTTGGTTGCCACGAGGGTTCCATCGCAGATGTACGAATACTAGCCCTTGAAATAGACTGATTGGGAGCAGAATACGGATGCGGCTGGAAACATGTCAAGTCCAAGCTACTGCACCAGGCAGAGGGGCATCGGGGCATCAACCAACGACGGAGCAATGAGAAACAAAGATTGCTCAGCCTCGATTTTCTAGGGCGGGATCTTCCATGAATTATCCATTCGATCAACATTGAGTTCAGTAGCCACCAGTTTGGGGAGAAGCAATTTGTGACGCAATTGGAAACTGGAGCCTGCGTCTCAAATTTTGCTGATTTCATTCGACGAAAGGAACAAGGCATACACAGACCAGTTGTCCAAGGTCTGGAGATACTGTGGGTGGGTTCAGGTTTGGAAAAAGTAACTCAGATGCACTCCCACAGGGCACCGTGCAGGTGGCGGCATTGGGCCTAGATAAAATGTGACTAAGAGTTCTGTGAAAGTTTTGATCTCTCACGTCCAGGAAGCAAAGACTGGCAAAAAGACAGGCTAGGAACAGGGGAGGCGGATAGATCGAATCAATACTGGAAACTGCAATTCAGAGCGGCCACCGTCGCCGACGGCTGGATTTGAGAGGTTGACGAGACCAGGGATTATAGAAAAGGCAAGCGCGCCAGAAATCTGGCACAGTCGGTAGCGGAGCAGTGGATAGGCTCCCAAAGAATGTAGGACCCATCGTTCATTTTACTGAAGCTGGGATCCTTAGGCTGAAGGCTAGCCTTACCCTGATCCCCGGATGTCATTTATGGGTACTGTACGGATATTTCCAGAGCCAGAACCAATGCAGTAGTGAGAGATACACTGCCCCGGGTTGTTTTCTCGTGTCTGATAACCAGTCTGGTGGGCCGAAATGGAGCCATTTTGATCGGATGAGATGAGAAAAAGAAGATACCCTTGAGTGGTGAGTGAGCATGAGTGGTCACAGTGGCAGACAAGGTTAGGGTTCCAGCTAACCCGCTTTGACTTAAAAGAAGCGCAGGGACCCTCCTGCAGCCCTGTCAAGCGTGCCAGGTATCGAGGGCAAAATGTTGTGTGGCAGAAGAGGGGTGTGTGAGAAAACGTGTTGAAAGTCCGCGGATGTGACCCCCTAGGTTCTGATTTTCAGGTCGAGCTGAAAGGATCCTGAGTCCTGACCACGGACTCATCGGTGGCAGCAGAAGTGCCAGGCTTCCGGAGGCAGAAGCGAGTGGGTGCAGGACCCTACAGACGTAAAGGGCAACCGCTCCCAAGCATATTTTCATTGGCCTGGGTCAAGTAGCTCGAACGCCTCTGCAGCTGCCGATTGAATATTGGCTCTTTTCTTTCATCTGGCACACCATCCATGCTGTCAACGGCCAAACCCAATTTTTCTGAGAAGGGTCTGATATGGATAGATATTCATCCGTGGTTAAAATTCTCTAGACATGACAGAATGCTGATGGCTACCTGAATCTATGGCCAGGTGCACAGGCCTGCGGCTTTCTAGGTATGCAGGAAGGATATCTGTATTCGGATGACCAAGATTTTTTGATCATCAGATGTGGTGTTTAGTCCTTGTCTACACCATGTCTTGTTGCTTAGTCAAGCATTACTCTGGACGAGAATCAGGTTCTTCAAACACATGGTTGGTGTTGAGAAGCTCTGACGCACTGGTGATTGGCTCTAACTTGCACACTGGATGTATTGACAAGATGCAGCCTTTTTCGAAAGCAAGCTATTCAAAGCCACTTTGTTCGAGGGAAGAGGTGCAGCAGCCTCGAAAAGGTTTGACAAGTCGAGGATGGGGTCTGGAGGGGGTGGCAGCGAACTGGCGAACCAGAAAAATGACCATAAACCATGGGCGAAACAAACAACGCCTGCCAGTAATTTTCGGGGCTTGAAGACGCCCGCGAAATGGAGTTATACCTCCCAGTATGTATCTGTACAGGTGAACTTGGACAAAGGAAGTCAAGCAAATCTCGATCGTCTGCTTCTGCTCACCGGCTAGTTTGGGGCCGGATAGAAATACAGCCAACGAAGTTGCGCGGGGTTATTGCTGGTGGATACTCCCAAGAGCACCCGTGCAGGCTCCTAGCTGGAATTCTGACTGGGAACCAATGCGAGCCACGACAGCATCTTGGGATCTCGCTTAAGGGCACAATCTGGATGAGTCTGGACATGGGGCTGGTGATGGTGGAATCCATGGATCTCAAGGGCCCCAAATCGACGGATACCATCAAAACGGATTAACCCTTTGTTCCTTTCGCTTAGCGGTCTTAGATCGTAGAGATCGTGAGCTCAATAGAAATTAAGCTCAAAATGACACATCGGAACTAGATAGGCCCTGCCGATCTTCAAGAGGCTCAAGAACCCACTTCCAACGCAAGCATCGTCAGTATCCTTCGTGTTGACCTGCAGAACGATCAAGGGAGGTGTCCGTGCCAGAAGCAGGATAGAGCTTAGAGCTTAGATAATAGAGCACACTTGTACCTGAAAGTATGTGATGGAGCTCGCAGCATCAAGATAGTTCCTCTCGGAGCCTGAGTGGGTGGATATGACTGAAGTGATGAGGTAGCTTTTGCTGTGAATAGCCCAATGCAGACCTGGTGGCTCTGGGTTATTAAGTCCTGCAGATGTTGTTGGCCAATCTGCAGCAAGAGTGCCGAGGACGAGTTGTTCCTCCTTCGTAATCAACCGATCGCTGGATACCAAGTTAGTTTGACAAAGACACACTCACCTCAGGCATGGATCGAGGCACAAAGAACAGCCTCCCACGATCTAGTGGCAGTAGTAACACCCAGTAAGGAGTCTACCTAACCAATCCTGTCAAACCATCAAGTTTCTCAAGCAGCCTTTTCGAGCTTTGGACTTTTGCACTTGCCATTCATGGACTGGGCTTGGTCCTGAACCCGGACCCAGTAGGCTGGCAGGCTTCGAGGCACTCCACAATTAGTTAGGGATCTTCCTGTTGAACCCTCACCGAGTTCCGGATTAGAGCCGGAAACTTCCAAGATTTTAGCTCTATTGATCCAACCAGCGGAAGTGGCTTGCGATAGAGGTGCCACCTCGCCGTTGTTTGGCAAAGTGATACATGGTACGGATACTAAGAAGCTCCGTACGGTACTATCCAGACAAGGGATGGATACTCTGGACGGTGCACCAAAGTGTAGGTCGGTTTCAGCTCATGCGGACAAGTTCGTTTGCGAATATCGGTAGCTGGGAACAGACCACGAAGGAGGTATGGTTTCCCGGCAAGTCGTCTTCCGATGCAGAGCCGCCGTTTGGTTGCAGGGTGTCATCATTACCATCATGGGGAGAAGGCTGATACAAGACCAGAACAGCCATCACGCCACCTTAATTTTCAATATCATGGCTAATTCCGCCGAGATGGAGAGGATTGGAAAGTTATCACGCGCACGAGCTTAAACCTGGGAGTCTCGAACATCCACGCCCCAGAGCTTGACTTTCTTACCACGTGCGATAGAGATGTCTACGTCGAAATGCAGCCATCTGTACCGATAATCACGTTTGAATACAACACAGTTACTGATTTAGGCATCTCCCTTTCACGAGTCTGCCTTACCGAGTACGATGTGACCCAAGTTGGTTGCATGTCGTCCTAATTAGAGACCAGTGGGGCATTCAATACGATCTCAGCATAGAGACTCCTTGATATTGGTCGGATTGTTCGTGTTGCCATATCTTGACCCAAAAGCTTCTTGTTAGTACGTGATATCAATGATATACAAGGCAGTGCGGGGCCAAAGTATGATCAATATGGTCGGGGGCCAGCGACGCTCTTTCATCACCACTTGATTCGAAGCATTAGCGTTCTTGATCCAAGATATGTTCCCTCGAGTGTAGCTAAGTTAGGAATTGTTCACGAGGAGCCATTTACTCGACTTTCAGCACGAGACCTTCCAAGATATTGTTGAATCGTGCCACAGATTTGGTGTGCATGGTATCATTGGTAGGAAACGGAACATTGAAGCATTATCAATGCCGCCTGACATCTTGATGCTTGATCACTTTTTGATCACATAGGTCTTTTATTTTGCCTGTTGAAAAACTCCGCAATAACCACACCCCTTACATGACGACACCGCTGTTGCTGGCTATTCTGGGCCATAGCTCAGCTGCCTCCTTTCCAACGGGTCCGGTAATGGCGCTGCCCTTCATTTCACCTTTGGGGTTGACGATCACACCAGCGTTGTCTTCGAAGTAGAGATAGATGCCATCCGATCGTCGCCAAGGTTTTGACTGTCTGACCACAACTGCGGGCATGACTAGAAGAAAGTAGACATGTCAGCCCGGACTGTCTTCCCACCCAAACTGCCTTTGTAGAGTCCAACATACCTTTCTTCCTTAGCTCGGGCTTTCCCTTCTTGACAGTGGCCATGACCATGTCACCGACGCCTGCCGCGGGAAGTCTGTTCAATCTTGCGCCAATACCCTTGACTGAGATGATGTAGAGATTTCGAGCACCGGAATTGTCTGCGCATGACATGACGGCTCCGCTGGAAAAAAGTGTGTTAGTCCGATCCAACAAGTCAGATGTATCCCTCAAATGTCCTTCCACAAGATGTCGAACTCCATTAAATCTCATTATGTGGGACTGTTCGCAAGTTCGACTTCGTGGGAGGCACTAGAGATATCGGGTTCGATGTTCTCGGATTGTACGTACACTGGAAGACCAAGAGTCATCTTCAGCTTGTTGCCAGAGGCACCACCGCGACTGTGCAGACAATTTTGTTAGCTGTGTTCTCGTACACTTCATTGCTCGTGTGGTGTCGTGACAGCAGCCTTGCTCCCTGCTACTTCGAGATCGAGGATTACTTACCCTCGCTTCGACATCTTGACGGTATTGAGATATGTGTTGGTTTAAGTGTTTGAGGTTTCTTGAAGAGCGAATTCAAGATCGCAGTCACGAACATTCCTTTGACTCGGGTCAAATTTCATGTGCGGTCTTGGCAGCGCAGTTGGAGCAATAAGATCTTCCCCGCACCCACGTGATCTGATCATGTGACCCGAGAATCTCACCTTGGGAAGGTCAATCCATACAGTTTTAATTGCGTCGTCCACAAACTGATATAATTAGATGGCGATGTGAAGTGTCACACACTCGGAGCAACCGGCGACGCTCTCTCGTGTAAGTCTGAGAACATTATTGCCTCGAACAGGATCGCCTCGAGAGACAGGCTATGTACGGGCCGCGGTCCTCTTCGATGGCTACTGGTTTTTATTCCACCCATCACATCTCCATCACAGCCTCTGTTTTCAAGGGCTATCCCGATTAATTCCAGTTATTTTTATCAATCAACAGGCAGTTGGTTGGTCTGATGTTGGATGTGTCTTTAAGCTGTGGCCGTGTCACTGGAGGCTGAAGGCCCAGCGATCAACAGCAAGAATCCCACCACGCCGAACATGGACTTAAATAGTGATTGTCTACATGGGAAGGTGCATTACGACCAGTGACTTTCGGAGAGCACGACCAAGAATGCCACCTGGTTTAGACTTGTGGCGAGGGGCGCACGCAGAGACGTAATTCAGCGATGCCCGGTCACACCGAAGGAGACCAAGACTGGGGAGCAAGACTGTGAAATCTCGCATATATCTTTGTTCAACAATGCCTTGTCTTTCCATACGTGGATCGCTATCAGGGTTTCAGGATTGTGGGTCTTGATCGATGCTGGGCTCCCCTGCCTGAAAAAGAGCTCACACGTTGCCTGGGTTGTGATGATATGCCCAGAACAGTGACATCGTTTGGGAAGGTCCTCAGTGCCATATGATGATATCATCGCTGAGGCAGCTTTCATTGATGGTAGGTCGGGGCCACAGCCAGTGAACCTGCAGAGGAAGCAGATGGCACTTCCCAAACTTTCAAATTCGAGACATTATTCAAGTGAGTTAGCATCTTCTTTAAACTCTCTCTCGCTTCTGGACTGCGTTCATCATCTGTCGTTGTAATCAGGATGAAGGAGATGAACTCGCGTAAGGAACTGGTGCATGTCGGTGCTTCGTTGTTACGTGGCATCATGTATTTCAATTCGTTCACCGTCTGCCGCAGCTCATTCATCTCCCGCTGATCTGCAGCCCGCTCTGTTGACAATCTTGCCATCTCCCGCTGGACCTGCTGCAGCTGCTCAACGATGGTAGCTAACGGCGTATTCATGTCAAACTCAGGTACCGGGGTTGGGCTTGTGTCTTGTCCTAGACCTTCGGGCACGTTGAATGTTGGCTCAACCACAGACGACGTCGCAGTATCTCTCGGGATTTCTTGTTGGGTAACACCGTGTTGGATAGAAAGTCGTGGTTGGGAGTTATTAGCCTTTGGAGTTATAGTAGAAGGCGAGATGGTCTCGGCCTTTGTACCCGTGCTCTATTTTGGAGTCGTTCTCGCGTCCAGTCGATGTGATGGTGAGGCTAAAGTGGTGACAGAAGGACGGACGATTCCACTGCTCTCGTGGAATAAATTGATGAAGCGGTCGATCTATGGCCTCGACTCGTTAGATTATGAATATAATAAGTAAGGTGTAAATGGCCGTGCTAGAAGAACATACCTCGCCTAGTGAGTGACGAGTCAGAGATTGTGTGATATTCAATTATATCGCAGAGCCTGGAGACTCACGGTGCCTTCCACGCCCATTTATTGGAGTTCCAAAGTAGAAGAAGGATTAGGTAGGTCGATTTGACAGATCCGTTGCAGGTTTAAAGGGTGATGAGAAAGTAAGAAAGATAACGAGTTAGAATGCATCACAGAGTCTTCACTTTACTACCAGAAGATGTGGGAGGACGCCGTGGTCATTTACTCTTTAGAGCAGACCTGCTTTGAGGTGAGACTCGGCGAGAATTGGGTTATCTGTCGCCAGATGAAATACTAATTCTCTCCAGATCTGTCTCTCTATCTATTCATATGTGAACTAGTCCGGCGACCGCATGGGTGCACCCAGGCGAATCTTATACATGTCGATGTCCGCAGACTACTATAGCTATCAACCCAGCATATAGTCACCTCCCCTCGCGAGTGCACGCCTCAGTTGCACATTTGCGGTTCTCGAGCCCTTTTACGATACTGATGAACCACCGTACGTAAATTGGAGCGTTGTGGTATGCATCGTCCACGAGAGATTGAATCAGAATCTCTCATGACGTGTGTATATTGCAAACAGTCTCGTGGTTCCCACCGATTTTTTTCTTGGTCTATGGTTTTTGCCTCTGCTCAGCCTGATTCGCTTCTGTTTTCCACAACCACTCATCCGTGCCCACTCCGCAATCTGACATATCCGTTAGTTACGTTCAACACCAATCGCTCACAAGTCTAGCATAACAGATGAGGCCAAGTCGGAGTCCGACTCGGGAGTTTTCATGTTGAAGGACGGCGCGCTTCGGAAAACAGCGCCGATTCGTAATAATCTTCGATATTGTGCAATCCAGATATAACACCACAACGAGCCAATCACGAACGCTATCATTATGGCCGGTTCAATAGATAACAGGCTATGGCGATTCGAATCCATGGGTGCCGGTATTGATCTGAGTTCTGTCTTGACTTCAACCATCCAAAGCAACAACTTCCCGGTCGGGTAGGAAAAGCCTATACGTCAGGAACGAGCTCAGTGTGCACGAAGTCAAAGGGTAAGACCAATGGCAGACACATCAGGAGCCATACAAAGGTTGGCTCAAATACAAGCATCGCTTTCACGCCCTGTGGAGGATGCACCTCTTTATCATCTCAGCAAGAACTCTGGTACTCCTTGGAAGCCCAGAGATCGGCCATTCAATTCGACGCCTCCAGTGAAGGTGAGATGATAGCAAGAAGCTGTGGATTCCGCTGACTGGAACACAAGTTGATCATCGTTGGCGCTGGAATTGCTGGGGTTGCAGCTTCCATACTGATATCGAGGAAGGTCAAGAATTTGTCCTATACCGTGTATGAGCGTCAGGACACAGTGGTAAGCTCTCAGATTCTGTACCGAGCAGACCTAGCGGCTGATGAACGAATTAGGGTGGTACATGGGCTCAAAATCGTTATCCGGGAGTAAGATGTGATATTCCTTCACACAGTTACCGTATGGATGCTTTTATCAGTGTTTGACCTGCCATTCCTGACCAAGAGCACGTAGAATTGACATTTGCACCCCATCCTCGCTGGTCAGAGTACTACTCCCCTGGGTGGGAAATACGCGGATATTATGAACAACTCGTCAAGGACTATGGAGTCGATGAGCATCTTCGCCTGAAACACGACGTCCTTTCGGCGAAATGGTCTGAAGAACTTCACCAATGGGTTGTCAAAATCAAGGATCTCACCACCGGGGAGATCTTCAATGATACATCAAACTTCTTCGTTGAGGCAGCTGGAAGGTTGAATGTGCCTAGCTTTCCAAGCATTCTTGGATTAGACACAGAGTACAAGGGAGTTGTGGTTCACACATCTCAATGGACTGAAGAGCTCACCCGAATCCTCGAAGGTAAGCGTATCGCTGTTATTGGAAATGGCGCAAGTGGACAGCAATTTCTGGTCAACACCTTAGATCTACCAGCGCACGTCGACCACTATGTCAGGTCACGGCAATGGATCGTCCCAGCTTTCTCACCCAACTTCATCTCAGCAACAACCGATGTCCTTGGAGGACATGTATTTACTGAAGAAGAGAAAGAGAGGTTTGTGACAGATCCTAGTGCATATCTTGAATATCGGAAGTCGATCGAGAAAAACCTGCACGGGAGATTTGAAGGAACCATACTTGGGAGCGAGGCCCATGACAAAACATGGCAGGCATTCCGGGCTGCACTCTGGACCCGAGTTGGTGGTGACAAAGCTTGGTTTGAGCGACTGGTGCCAGATTTTGCGCCTGGGTGCAAGCGGCCGACACCCTCAGCGGGCTACATCGAAGCAATACAAAGCTCGAAAGTGGACTATGTCGACGACTCGAGGATAACACATGCCACGGTGGATGGACTAGTAACGGAAGACGGCAAAGAGAGAAAAGTCGATATCGTGGTTGCTGCAACAGGCTTCAAGAAAGGCTTCCTCCCGCAGTTTCCCACTGTCGGTAAGAACGGGCACGACCTGAGTGAATATTGGGCCGCAGATGGGCCTGTTGGCTATCCCCAGACCTATTTTGGTATCATGGCACCCAATATGCCCAATTACTTTGCAGTTGTCCAGGTATGTTGAAGATCTAACTCACCTCGGGAGAAAACTAAAGAGCATAGGCAAATACCACTGGGTTGGGTGGCACTTTCCCCCTCAACACCGAGATATCTGCGACCTACATTGCAAAGGTTATTCGGAAGGTGCAAAGTCAAGGCTACAAGGCAATCTACCCTTCTCAGGAAGCGACGGACGATTTCAATGAGATCATCGCCAACCATTTCGATGACAAAGCCATTTCTTCCGACTGCGACGGGTGGTGGAAGGCAGGATTTGGGAAGTCTCGACCTCTGCTTCAATGGCCTGGAAGTGGCCATCACCGGATCGATGTAAGTCGAGATCCACGATGGGAAGACTTTGTATTTGAAAGAGATGAAGAAGGAAGGCGAAACAGGTTTGAGTATTTTGGCAATGGATTCACCGAGCGTGAGAAGCTTGGAGACGAATCCAACCTCACAAACTACCTCAAAGAGGTGGGAAAGATTGATCTAGCAACGCTGCACGAGACCTGGTACGAATAAAGAGTACAGATAGCTACCTAGGTAGGGAGTCATCAAGCATGTGACGAGGCTGTCCAAATCAGTTTACTAAATGTAGATCGACTCGGATGGTTTCATTGAGGCTGTGGTCTGGATCTGGCACGACAGATCTGTACCGGATACTTTGCACCTGCGGCGAGTGACCAATTTCCACAAATCTAAGTCGGTTGTATACGGATAGCTGAAAATGTCTCTGTCTACAGGGCTCAGACCTCCAGGCTACATGGCACAAAAAAAGCTGCCTATCTGTTGCCTTTTGCCTGGACAACCAAGGGATTTGGTCTGAGCTCACTCACACCTCGCGTAAGCCAATAATGAAACCACAAATGCAAAAAGGCACGTGGGTAGGGTACAAGGGGGGTAGCTCGTACTCGTAAGGTGTCAGGCCGTGCCCACCCTGAGTTACACAGGAATTGTGCATTGTCCTCTGAGACCAACATGTGTGGTGCGCAGCAAGCAGAGTACTGATAGGCGCCTGAACAATGGAACTTGATCCAACGGGCCGGATAGCTAAGGCTACACATGGGATGGTACAACGTGGAAGGCCAGCTATAATCAGACATCTCAGGCATCACAAATGTAGAGATATTTCAATGATGACCTACAGGCTTAGAGGACTCGTAAGTGCCGTAAGGGGGGATGTGGGATGTAGAAGCCGTGCAACGGGCAAGCAGCCAGTGACAAAAGAACCATTTATTAGGGGGTGTCTGAGCTCTGGTTAAGGTTGGTTAAAGCGTACTCAGCGGATGGGCCGAGAGAGTCCGCTAAGGTCAATTCTGCCGGTTAGCTTACGCCTGGAAGGCCTGCTCAACCTTTAACTGGGTCGTCCGCCGAAGGTTCTCCACCGTTTGTGCGGGAGCTCCCGATTCAACGACCTGCACAATTCTATCCGTATCCCGGACCATCATGTCTTCGACAGAGAGAAGGCGAGTCATTGGTTTGCTAGGGCTTTCGATGATCTGATGACTCACTTTGGAAGTCCAAGAAACTTATTACTTCAGGGCTCACAGCAAGCAGAAACAGGTACATCAACTCGGATCACTAATGTGCTGATTGTCAGATGGACAAGCTCGTTCGTTGAACTCCACCCATCCATCATTGAAAGCTACCAAAGCCATTTGACTCGAGCCATGCCGAAAGCTAATGATTCAAAAATCGACACTAACAATATTGATCCATGCCAATGGGGCTGAATGTGACGAACCCTTCATTGAAAGGCCCACCACCCAATCACACCTTTCAGATTGTCAACTTCTGCTCACGGCCCCTGGTAATCCTGGTCTTTCAATAAGGCCACTGAACTCGCTAGACTCAGCTTCAGATGCTCAGCCCTAGGTGCCCGGTCATGGGAATGTCCTTTGCGACACACTGTCTTCCCTCTCTACCTGCTTGTTGCCTATTCACTCGCTAAAGGACATCTTCTGCTTGACATCTGGGTAATCCCCTTGCCTTGTAGCGCCGCCTAGAGCTCTCCACCCATTCCTTTCAGTTCCTTGCCCGAGCGCCTTGCTTACGAGGTTTCCATTTATATAACGTTCAGTTGGATTCCCGGGAAAAAAAAATGTCGCGGAAAAGAAAGCTCTCGTCTACCTCCATCGACGCGATGCCCTCAGTTCAAGATTTTCCGTACGACCGCGATGGCGAGTCCTCTGGCTCCAAATTGACGGCCACCATCAAAGGCCTTTTTGAGAGCATTGCAGGCTCTGCCCCTGATCCCACGAACCCGGTCATCAATGGAGCCACGGTTCAATCACGTCCATTTTTGGCTCGAGTTCTGGCAGATATCGCCAGTCAAGCGCCGAGGTTGGGTGAAAACCTGGGATTGATTCATTCGCTGGTAGACACTAAATTGTTCGATGGTGGCTTCGTGGATGACAGGCAGTATCAGGTATGTTCCTCAGGCTTAGCCTTGCCATTATCTCCAACGTCGCTGACGCCATATTCTAGATGGAGAAAATCATCCAATTGGCAGCATCATTGCCGGCTGAATCGAAAGCCTTGGGCGATTTGACTGGCCAGTTCATCAAACTCCTGTGGGAGAATCTGGAGCATCCTCCCCTTTCTTACGAAGGGGATGAGTACAAGTACCGGACGGCTGATGGGAGCAACAACAACATTTTGTATCCCCATCTCGGAAAGGCAGGCTCTTACTATGCCCGAACTGTTGTTCCTCAGACACTGCAGCCTGGCGTCCTGCCGGATCCCGGTGTCATCTTCGATGCGATATTCGCACGTGACGAAGAGCCTAGGGAGCACCCTAACAAGATATCCAGCATGTTGTTCTATCTTGCGACTATCATCATCCACGATTGCTTCCACACAGATCCAACTGACTACGGCAAGGTCAAAACCTCGTCTTATCTAGACCTTGCCCCCCTGTATGGTAGCAGCCAGGAGGACCAGAACAAAATCAGGACATTCAAGGATGGTCTCCTGAAACCTGATGCCTTCTGTGAGAACAGAATACTTGGCTTTCCTCCCGGTGTTTGTGCCATCGTTGTGTGCTTTAATCGATTCCACAACTATGTGGCACTGCAGCTGAAGGAGATTAATGAAGGAGGTCGATTCAAGATTCCAAGGGACGATAGCGATCAGAAAGCTGTGAAGAAGCTGGACAACGATCTGTTCCAGACAGCCAGACTCGTCACATGTGGTCTATATGTCAACATCATCTTGAACGATTACGTCAAAACCATTCTGAATCTCAACCGATCCAACTCGACTTGGACCTTGGATCCACGCAAAGACTTCAGCGAGGTCTTTGACGCCCAGGGCATTCCTTCCGGTGTAGGCAACCAGGTTAGCGTGGAGTTCAATTTGGTCTACCGATGGCATTCCGCCATAAGTCTAAAAGACGAGAAGTGGACCAACGATTTGTACAAGTCCTTGTTCCCGAACCAGGACATCTCAACGGTGACTCAACCAGACCTATTGAGAGCGCTGAGGGGATGGCTTGAGAAGATCGGCAGCGATCCGACGAAATGGGAGCTCGATGGTGGAAAGTATAAGAGAACCGGCCGTGGCACTTTCCGCGACGAAGATCTTGCCCAGATTCTAACGGAGGCTACTGAGGATGTTGCATGTGCTTTTGGACCCAGAAATGTCCCGCTGGTCATGAAGTTGATCGAGACGCTGGGTATGCAACAGGCCCGGGCCTGGAACGTTGCGACGTTGAACGAACTTCGAAAGTTCTTCAAGCTGGAGCCACACAAGGAGTTTTCCGACATCACGAAGAACGAAGAAGTGGCTCGTTCACTGAAAGCTCTTTATCAGCATCCCGACTACGTCGAGATGTACCCTGGTCTCGTTGCTGAAGACGCCAAGGATCCACTGGAACCAGGTTCGGGTCTCTGCCCTGGATACACTATCTCCCGCGCCATTCTTGCAGACGCGGTTGCGCTCACTAGGGGTGATCGCTTTTATACTGTCGACTACACACCTGCCAATCTCACCAACTGGGGCTGGGCGCAAGTCAATTCGGACCCTGACGTGGCGCAGGGTGGTTGTTTCTACAATTTGGTGATGAGAGCACTGCCATTCTACTACAGGGGCAACTCGATTTATGCCATGTATCCGTTCACTATACCGGAGGAGAATCGTAGGATCATGGAAAGGCTTGGCAAGGAGGAGCAATATGACTATCAAAGACCTTCCTACATCGGTCCACCAACATCGATACGCTCATGGAAAGCTGTGACTGAGATTTTGCAGGACAAAGTTTCATTTGCTGTTCCTTGGGGACCTCATACCTACTATCTAACCAAGCACGACTACATGCTTAGCGGTGACAAGCCGTCGAATGCAACGCAACGTGAAGAGGTCAAGAACGCGCTCTATTGCCCGGTCAACGGTCTAAAACAAGTCCAAACCTTCTATGAGGACTTGACGACTCAGCTCGTTGTTGCAAGATCAGAACGTTTGAGGGGTGAATGGTATCAACTTGACGCTTGCCGTGATGTTGGTAATCCATCTCACGCCATCTTTGTTGCAAAGATGTTCCATCTGCCGCTTAAGAAGCGCGGAGACCTCAATCTAGCTGCTGTAGAGGTCGACCAACTCTACTTGGCACTCTCCGTGCTGTTCGCCTATGTCTTCCTGGACCTTGACACCGCCAGATCGTTTAAGCTGAGAGGCGGAGCAAAGCAAGCCACGGACCAAATTGGCAAGCTCGTCAAGGTGGTTTGCGAGGCCGTCAAGGTTGGCGGATGGTTTCACCTTAGTGACCTGCTTCCCATGGGTACTGCTGGCAAGATGCTCGAGGACTATGGAGTCCAACTCATCAAGCGTCTCTTTGAAGGTGGCAAATCTGTTGATGAGGTGGTCTGGACCATCATTCCTACCGCTGCAGCGGCTGTTGCCACCCAGGCCCAGCACTTTACACAGATGCTCGACGTTTATCTCTCCGAAGAATACTACAGCAAGCACTGGCCTGAGATCCAGCGGTGTGCGTGGTCAGACGCACCCGAAGATTTCGAGAAGCTCAAAGGCTACGCGCTCGAAGCCAATCGTCTTGCACCCGCGGCATTTGGTCTCCTCCGCAACTCGAATATCGACACTGTTATCGACGACAACGGAACACCGGTGGAGATCAAGGCCGGAGACCACCTTTACACGGATTTCATCACCGTCGGTCTCGATGAGAAGGCCTTCCCCAATCCTCGCCACATCGACCCGACACGCGATCGCTCACTGTATATCCATCACGGCTACGGTCCACACTCGTGCCTGGGCCGCCCGATCGTCGAAGTCGCCATGGCCGCACAGTTGAAGGTCTTTGCCAAATTGAAGAACCTCCGACGCGCGCCCGGTGCCCAAGGCATTCTGAAGAAGACAATTCCCAAACCGAACCCGACAAGCAGTGACCCAAAGCCCAATCCTGGTAGCATAGAGGTCTTCCTTCTTGAGAACTACTCCTCTTGGTATCCTTTCCCAACAAGTAAGTCCTTGTACGTCTTTCATGCCTATCTCAAATTGCTAACACATCTCTCTTAGCGCTGAAAGTGCACCATGACGGCTTGTTGAAGGCGCAGCCAGACCAATTGGCTGCGGAAACCGGTGTTCCAGGCATTCAAGACGACATTCAGGATAGTGACATGACACAGAGTAACGGAAATGGAGTGCACAGCAACGGCTACGATGAGGAGACTCAAACAGCATGAAGATGAACGGAATGAGGTGAGAAGAGGGAAAAGAAAAAGCTTGAAATGAAGGCGAATTTGTTATCAGTAGGGTGTAACTAACCAAGCGCAACTAGGGCGGAGTTTGGGACAGCCATGTAACTAGGAACTATTTACCAATTTCTGTGTAATAATGTACTTTTGCACATCGGTTGTATTTATTAGTTAGCACTGCTCTTTACTCTTGTTTAACTACCTAACCACATATGCACGTTCTATGCCTGCATTGATTCGACTATCTCCTGCCCTTCTAAGCTGTCCCCAATCCATCGCACTCAGGTGTAGAGATGAGGACTTTACTTCCAACCGAACAACCAAACAACTATCATACATTGATAACTTAATCACCCCTCGGCAGCAATGGTAGCCCACCATTCCTGTGGGATCTCAGACGTACCTGCATTCCACTCGTAACAACATCCTGCGAGTGTAAGACCTGACCAAAATCATGCCTCCGCACAGATTGATTATTACGCGGTTTTATATCCACCCTGCACAGACCAGACCCTGTGGCTTGAAGTCGTTCCCCACAATCTGCCAGATTGAGGCAGCCAGATGCATCCTGACGAAGGAACCCGAACCAACGGTGACTAAGCGTGCATTTTTACAGGAAATGCCACTTTGCGAGCGGGTCCTACCGCGCACAGCTGCTCAGGTCAGCTGGCTGTCTCTTACTTAACATATCTCTACTTATTCAGAACCATCGAGAGAGAATTTTCGTCTCGAAAATGAGCGAAAGATAGAGGTGAGATTTCGCGGTGATAACAAGAAAAAACCCTTTTTAATGGGCGGAACGTGACACTGTGGAGTGATCTCACATGCTTCTCTGAGGTACTTACCTACTTGATGCTTGCACGACTGGTGATCCCAAGACGAGTATTGGTTTTCGGAAACGGTGCTTTTCAGGCACGTATTTCAGCAACGTCGACGCCCGTGCCGAAGAATCCTTCTTCATCTTGGAAACGTACCATTGTAATGTCGACACACTACGACGCGATCATCATTGGCTCTGGCCAGGCCGGTGGCCCTCTGGCTCAAGCATATGCCAAAGCAGGACGTCGAACCGCGCTGATTGAGAGTTCACATGTTGGAGGTGAGTCGAAATCCGCCCTTGGCACGAATTATGGGCATATTGCTGAACTGATCTCAGGAACATGTGTCAACGAAGGGTGCACGCCCACAGTGAGTCCCGCCCTGTCTCACGGGGCTGATTGGGAAGGTCTAATCGAGAAGCTGGCTGCTAATGACGATTCTCTAGAAAACAATGGTCGCATCGGCCAGAATCGCCCACCTGACCTGCCGCGCACAATCATACGGGGTCCAATTCAAGAAGAGTTCCCTGATCATGAACATGGAGACTGTCCGAAAACGCAAACGAGACATCGTTGATTCATTCCGAGGCGGTGGTGAGAACAGGCTCAAGTCCACCCAGGGACTCGACTTGATCATGGGCAAGGCGAAATTCACCGGGCCCAAGTCCATCGAAGTGGCCATCAACGGATCAAACGAGGTGAGGACCCTCACCGCGGATGAAATCTTCCTGAACACGGGCTGCTCGCCTGCGAAACTCGACACCAAGAACGCCGATGCCGTCACCGGACTTCTGAACTCAACCACAGTCATGGAACTTGGCGAAGTGCCACGCCACATCGTCGTAGTGGGCGGAGGATATGTAGGTGTCGAGTTTGCCCAGATGCTGAAGCGGTTTGGAGCAAGAGTCAGCATCGTCCAGCGATCAGACCGACTCCTTCCCCGAGAAGATCCCGACGTCTCGGAAGCCGTGAAGCAAATCCTCCTTGATGGCGGTCTGGACGTGTACACCAGTGCTCAGGTGACCGACGTCGGTAACGTCACGCTGGGCCAGATCGTCATGTCCCTGAAGCTGAGCGACGGGAGCATCAAATCGCTGCTGTGCTCGCACGTTCTGGCCGCCGCTGGACGAGTCCCAAACACCAAAGATCTGGGTCTGGAAGCCGCTGGGATCGAGGTCGACAAACATGGTTTCGTGAAAATCGACGAGCACCTACAGACCACGAATCCGAACGTCTATGCCCTGGGAGACGTCAAAGGCGGACCGCAATTCACGCACGTCTCGTACGACGACATGCGGATCGTGCGACACAATCAGCTCACGTATGCCAATAGCGGCGAGAAGGCGTCCATCCAGAACAGACTCGTCCCGTACACCGTCTTTATGGACCCTCAACTGGGCCGTGTCGGGCTAAGCGAGACAGAGGCCCGTAGCCAGTTCCCTGGGAGGAAGCTGAAGGTGGCCAAGATGCCCATGGCTTATGTTGCGAGAGCGCTCGAGACGGATGAGACGAAAGGGTTCATGAAAGCCGTGGTGGACGCCGACACGAAAGAGATACTCGGCTTCGCATGTCTAGGTATCGAGGGTGGCGAGATCATGAGTATGGTCCAGCTGGCCATGATGGGTGGCATGACATATGATGAGCTGGAGAGTGGCATTTTTGCTCATCCTTGTCTCAGTGAAAGCTTGAACAATCTTTGGGGTTTCTTGGAGTGAGACTTGGTGAGATCAGTTCATTCTAGGCTTCTGGCTGGTCATTGAGAGCAAATAATCTTAGTTTCGCCGGAAAATAATTTGAGATGTCGATGTGTTCATGAGAAGGAATTTCGTTCCCCGCAGAATCATGCAATGGGAACTTAGTTACATATATTATCTTTGGTGATCATCGACGGACAATGCGATAGGTTTGCAAAGCACAGTTGAGGCCATAGTCAATGATCACAATTTCACAAGCGTACTAGACATTGAAACTACAGAGGATCTGTCAGTAGAACAAATCGCGTCAGGGAACTTCTGTAATGCACCAGCCCTTCAGGCATCTTTCTAACACCCCACGTATCACCCACCCCTCCTCTCGCCATTATAACAAGGTAACGGTGTGCCCAGAAGCTGGGCCTTGATTTGCAGAGCCACATAACGGGAGAAATATCGAGCGTGTCCAATGGTGCCACCCATGTACCACAGTCCAGGATCTGCAGAACCAATATCAGCGAAAGCTCATAAGTCACGTAGACGAATATCTTCAGACTTGCGCAGTTTCGGACAAAAGTAATCGGAAGGAAGACTTACGCCCTGTTCCTTTGAATGCTCCTTTAAGCTCAGCCTCGTCGTCCAACCCCCAAAAATCTTCAACACCGTCGGCAATGCCCTGACCAAAGATCTTCGCGACGTTCGTGCGCATGTTGCCCACAAATCCGGTGCAGAACACAATGATATCAGCCGGTATCTCGGTCCCATCGCTAAATCCCAAACCATTGGGAGTGAAATGTGTGGGTAGGGCGTTGGCCTTCATTTTGATCTAGATGATACGATGTCAGCCTCCGTGGGCGCGAAGAACAAGAGCCACTCCTCGTGATCGTCTCGCTAGTAGCTGAAGTGAAAGGAATGAGGAGGCTTAGAACTCACGAGGCCTTTTGCAATCATCTCCGAGCATCCAACATCCATGTAGTGACCTCCGAGCTTCTCAAGGATATGCCACATAATGTCACCATACCGTTCACATTTGAACCCAGCACGCTCCAGAGCGTCGAACCTTTCAGGTTCACTTCTCGCCCTTTCATGCAGTGCCTTGTGACTGAGCAGCCTCGTTACAGCATATGGCATGGAGTAGCCTTCGCGATCGGCATCCACAGTGGGCACGTCAAGATTATATGATCGATCGCTGATGGCTTTGAAATATTCGCAGGGCAGGACATATGTGCGTGTTCGTTGGACCATGGTGATGCTTGAGAGTCCAGCTTCGACCATATCCTCGGCGACGTCATGTGCTGTATTGGCTGTGCCAATGACGATACCAGACTTGCCTTTGAAGGGGTCGGCTGAACGATAATCTGCGGAATGCAGGACCGTTCCTTGATAGTCGGCCACGCCAGGATAGGTCGGCATTATTGGATCTTGACCTCCAGCCCCAATTGCCATGACCACGTGCCGACATATAATTGTCTCCTCGTGGCCAGCGTGATTGAGGCTGAGCGTCCAAAGGTTCCTGTGCTCGTCCCAGGTCCCGGTGTTCAGGACGGTCTTGAACCAGATATTCTGCTCGATCCCAAATTTTGCGACCCATTCCTTATAACCCTTCGCTAGATCATATTTCGTAAGAAATTCTTGATAGGGAAGTGGGAATGTGCGGTCGAACGGTAGGTGGTTGTATTCACGAGCGGTGTGAAGTCTTGCCGAGTCGTAACGGGTCATCCAATTGTCACCAATCTGATCATGTTTCTCGAGAACGACATAGGATACTCCCAAAGCCTGGAGTCTGCCTGCGGTCCCGAGCCCAGCTTGGCCGGCGCCGACAACGACACAATCGATGGGTTGCACCGGTGTGAGGCTGTTGGTGTCACCATTAGTTTGAGGTGGTGCGTGGGAGCTATCCGCTGTGTGAACAACTGTTTGGGAGCTCTTACCCCCGGGGATCAGCTTATCTACATCGGCGCAGTCCTCCAATTGTTCCAAAGTTGTTCTTATCATCCATATTCTCCACTTCCCACCCTCTGCAAGTACCAGTGATAGATAACCGAAACATCTTGATGTGGGAACTTGGTCAGTTCGAAATGAAAACGACACATTTACCCAACCAACATCCTTGCTTAATTGCATCGGTTTCGCCGATCCTATAACCAGGCTAAACCCTATGGCTTGTCGTGATTTGCAGGTCTCAACCCATGCTTTAGCGACAGACTGGGCAGAGTAGAATGTTCTCAATGTACCCGTGAGAGCGAACGTGTCTCGCCAGATCGATTCATCAGACAGATCAGCTATATCAAGGTCTTGAAGTGAATCAACGATAGGTGCTGCGACAACATCGAAATCTGTAGAACTCTCGAAATGGGATGTGGGAAGGCTACATGGGAGTGTTTCCAAGACACTCCGTGGTGCATAAGGAGCCACCCCGACCTCAATATGATTGGACATGATAGCGATATATGCAAAGTGGTTTTTCTGTGGTGGTTTCAATGTCTGTGCAGTTCATCAGAGAGGACTGAACCCCATTTGAAGAGCTTCTGTAAGTAGACGATGTCAAGACCTAGGTACTCTGAGGACGTTAAAGCATAGGGCAGGAAAAGGCATGCCGCGTCAAAGCAGCCTTCAGTCTGAGCTCATGGAATGAGTGCTGCACAAGTTATGGGAACAATTACCGTGGTGCTCCCTTACCGAATGAGGCAGGACGAAGTGTCTCGGACGACAGATTTTGAATTCATATCGGCATTTCGATCTCCATGAAGTAGTCCATTTTCCCAAACAGTGTAGAGTGAAGAGGGGGATCTTTGGGGTCGGTCATCTGGCTCCAAACCAGATATGCGGGGTTGAGACTTACAAATGAAGGGCGGAAGACCCCCAGAACGATTCAAGATGCATCTCGTCATGAAGTGTGGATGAGCCTATGGGCTCAGCCTTTCTTCACGGGTTGACCATGGCTCTGGCAGTGAGTAGGCAAAAGGTATTCATGCTGAGGAGCTGCATTTGTCAAGCCTTGATGCTGTCCTAGCCGGTCAACACCGTTTCTGCCGCCCTTCGGTCTTGTTCACAAAACCGTAGACCGAGTCCAGCTTGTTACCGCCGGCTCACAAGCTTCAAGTCGATATTCAGACCGGTGTGGCTGACCGTGAATTTGTGATGGTTCTCGAGGCATTGAGCTCTCAACGAGCTTCTTCGGCTGATCGTATGAAAGTGGCCATCGAAGAGTAAAATGGAAGTTGATTTCGTAACAATACTAGCCCCTCAGCCTCCCGGAAAAGCCTGTTCAAACACGAGTTCCGCGTAGTCCAACTTCTTCAAACAGATGAACGAGCTCAAACGATACAGAAATTGGCCCCTTCGATAGTCTTCTAGTTATGTAGCTAGAAAGTCTTCAAGAGGCTGAGCACAATGCGGCTCCAAATTGCCCAGCCACAGGGTGGCTTTCCGCCCCCTTAGTTGATACCCCATTTCGAACCTTCTGCACCTCAATCCTTCGTTCCCCAACCTTTTCGAGACTGCATTGGACCATCCTTCAAGACTATTAATTAGGATGTGCAAATGCGGATCACGACTTAAAACCCAAACTCCAGCCTCATCAAGCTGGAACACCAAGCTAGCCACCTTGACACCAAACCAAAAGTGAAATCCAAGGTAGGTTATGGCTTCTTTGAATTGGGCCCCAAGCCGTGTCAGCAGTAGGAGGGGTCATGAGAGGGGCATCTCTTGAGCGTCATGCACAAGTGCATTCCCTTGGTGAATTTGACAAGACGTGCACTGCGTTATGTTGAACTTTCGTATTGTTCGCGGAGTGGCACCAATGCAGATGTCATGAGATAGCCCCATTACCAGCTACAGCCAAACGTGCTGGTGGAGCTTGAGATGCTGCGAAGGACTGCTGCAGCACAGTGGAATCAGACCTCTGTACATAGTTTCAGCTCGTCAAGTCAGGTGGTTCTCAAGGCATGGCGGATCAGCTGTGCGCCCTAAGGCTGGAAACACAGCGGTACCGATGCTCTTACGCATTATCGGCGTGCTTCAATAATCAGCTTGTTCATCTGCCTTGTACACAGGTCGAAACCCTCTAGCGGAAAACAACCAAAACTCACCGCCCTCCGAAGTGGTATTCTTTAGATGATGCTGTCCTTGATCTTCACCACAGCCTCATTGAATGGCAAATGGACATCAAGCAGCGTCAGACATCATCGATGTCCGTAACCAGAAAGACAGAAGATTACGGCTACTTCGATACGGCGTTCAGAGAGTGAACACCATTGAAGGCGACAGGAAAAGAGGCCATATGCATAGATTCTATCCAAACGAATGGCTTATACGTTGGTTTTGGACCCATAAAGACTTTCTCTAGGTTCAGAAACCTTGATGAGGCAGTATTCAGGACATCTATCTGGTGGTCCCTCAAAGCATTAGGCATTACATTCGCCGTTGGTGAAAGAGTGCAATTTTGTAAGCATAGAGCGAGTCCCCAGACCACGAACTCTTCACTGAGGAGAAATTTCACATCGCGCATGCATCGAGAAGGTGAGCAAGAACGGAGAACAGTGAAGAAAAGTCCCAAAGAGGTTTCAAAAGCGGCAGGACAAGGCTGAGGCGGGCGGTTTGATTTCGATACAGCAATCACCACGTCGCTTGACCCGCCAAGCAAGTTGCGATATCAACTTGCGGTCAGTGCGTATGTAGTATCCGTACCCACTGGTAGGCAGGGTACACAGCCCGCAGATAGACAACCTTTCATATATCGGACCCGGTGCGACGATCTTTGGTCCTAGTCGACTGCTAACCATGTAGCTACTAGCTACGACCTTCCGACTCCGTCAGCGCCTTTGCATTACAAACACAACCCCGGCGCCCAGGCGCACGAGCGAAAAGTGAACATATCTCCGATGGGGTAGAAACTTCAGCCTTCCTCGGGAAATGCTCTCGGAATTTGCGCTAAGTAACCTTTCCTTGACCAGACGAGACTCGCTTTTCCCATCGGGGGGCCTCGAGCTTGAGAATGGGCACGACAGGCCAAGCACTGCCTGACGAGCTTGCCATTTCCGCAGTTTCCTACTCGTACATCACCACTCAAACCCGTCCGTACTATGGCTGTTGGAATCAGGTAGTAAGAACCCTGTTCACAGGAGAATCAACCGCGGATTACGGTTGCCAGATGAGGAAGACTTCCACTCGTAGTAATTATTTTGGAGGTTCAAGTTGTAGTAATAGGATATTGATCGATCGATCCCCCTACGGATTACTCAGGCTCATACCAAGGAGTCCGTCGTCGCCAGTTCTGCTAAACTCAGAGAGGAATCCTTTGCCGATCGAGGGAACGGCACCACAGACTTGTGGCCTACTAGTAGTGTAGGCCCGTTGAGCCGGCTATTGAGCGTTGAAGCGATGGGATGGTGATAACCGCCGTTGGCACCAACAGGGGAAATACATACGGAACCCTAGTCGGTTTGTGGGCCGTTACAACCCCTCAACTTGCAAGATTACCATGGATTTATCATAAGATCGCCGTGATGTACTTGTTTGTCCACTGAGCCTTTCCCCTAAGCGAAGAAGCACTACGATCTGACATGCCTCGATCATGAGGTTCGGAGCTCTTTCCTGCACGCAGGTGACAAAGCATGTAATGTCCCAGTGGGTGAGACGGCCGCGGCCGCGGCCGCAGGAGCAGGAGATCGCACCGCATACATACCACCTATCCAGAGGCTTTTCATGCGAGTCATTGCAGAGGGCATCACGCGGAAAGTGGCAGGCTCGACGGGATGCAAGCCGCACTGGTAAGCGTGGGTAGCTAACTAGAGTAAAACGTTCGAGTCGAAAGGATCCGATGTCTTTTCAACGGCCTTTTCTCTTTAATCCTTCGTACAACTAACTCGCTACGTTCAAAGTCCTACACTAGCCACACTCGATTGTGGCTTGGAGGATTCAACGTACTCGTACGTCTGGTGTTTTGGTTAAAAAATAGTAGACAGAAAAGTTTCAGATCCTTCAGTTACTAAGTTAGTTACTGGAGGAAATTTCAATCCACGAGATGCATTAGCTAGTTAGCACTCCTCAGGCAGGCAGCACTCACGTGGGACTCGCAGTCAATCACTCAAAGCCATCCCGAGCTTCGTTCCAAGCGATGTCCGAGTCCCCCTTCTCTTCCGCGGCGACAGGAAAAAAAAGGAGCGTACGGAGCATCACCGAGCGTCCGCCGTTCGGTCCATAAGCCACCGCGTACACACTCATAAACCGCTCCCAAGGTGGATTGGATTTCACGGCTGAGGGCTCCATTTGCTTTTAGGCTCTGGGCGGTAGCTCCCGGCGGGATCCTGCTCCCCACAGAAAAGAAAACATGGAAAGAGAGCCCACCTAGTAAGAGTACCAAACTGAAAGGTTTTTGGTTCCAGCGCCTAACTCATCAACTGCTCCGTGTCTTTAGTTAGGTGGGGGGGAGGGGGACTATTTTCAGCGCCAATGAAGACGAGCGAATAATGAGCCCCCCTCTGACCTTGGGGGTCCTTTGTTGCAACTTTTGGTCACATTACTCACTACCTTCTGTGATTGGCTCTACAACAGGTGTCATAATACAGTAACTAGTCAGTTCACGGGTCACGGTTATTTATCGAGCGTGTGGGCGGAAGATGATGAATGCCACTAATTAAAAGACCACCAACTAGCTAGCTAGTAATTCCATGCGCGGTCAGAAGAGCCCTGCCTACCTACCTACATAGGGATCTGATGAGATCCGTTTTGCGAAAATAAGTATTCGTCATGGATGAACGGATGTGGCATCGCATCAGCCGATGACTCGATTAATTCCTTTGGAGTATCTGGTTTAACTGCTGCAGGTAATCGGTTTAGAGCAACTCGAGTGGGCGGAATCCTCAAGCATGCCCGAAACCCTGGTTTGGAAGACCAGGTACTAAGTATTCGTAAGGTCATCCGTGGCGGTCGTGGGTTTGCGAGATCGAAAATCGTAGTTCCGCTGTTCACCTCTGTGTTCGGAAACCTGGGGGATAGTTTGAGGCCTACGAAACATGGCCTCAAGCGTGGATAAGTAATCGTCACTCCTTCAGACACAAGTTCCAGGTTTAGTAGGGAAACACACTGACGACTCACGAGTCAAAAAGATCAAACGAGGAAACTGCGCTGCCTGCTCAGGTCATACGTATGTGGTTTCTAAGTAAAGGCGTGGTCGCCTTAAAATTGCACGCCTTTTTCATATTTTGGTATCTTCCTAGTTAGGTAGGTAAGTAACTAAGGAGGAGGCTCAGAGGTACAAGGCAGGTTGACTACTTTACTAGTAACCTCGGACTGCCAAGACATTTGCATAATTTGAATATCTATCGGAAAGGGCTTCGTGGACTGCGTCCGGCATGCTTCAGCCGACGAAGAGCTAGTAGTGCAATAAGATACATATAGTAAAATGTTTCAGACATGCTCCAATACACATCAGAAGACAACGCGCGTGACCCTGCTGAACAGTCGTCATCGTCAAAATAGCTAACCCCGTATCTTTTCAAGATTTAAAAGCTGGGGAAGCAAGATCCCCGAGGCGCCGTTGTGCCCAACTCATCACCATCATATCCATTCATGGTTACGTTGTACCCTAAGGACGTGCCTGCGTCCTTTGAAACCCACAGATCCTTCCAAAGAAAAGAACGCATGAGATAACTGAAACACTGGCCGCCAAAGAACGGGCGAGGCAGATTTGGGACGTGTGAGGCCATACGGGCATGATGATCCTATCATGGCGGCCACCTTGGAACTCGTCGAGAACACTGATGGCCTACGTAGTTGCGGATCGTCGACGTTTTTGCTCGTCTTGTATCGCAGTCAGAAACCGCTCAATAAGCGGGTTCCATAAGGCGAAGTACCGCTCGAGCTAGGATGGCGAATCATCTCATGATGACTCAAGCGACCGTCGCCGGACCGTCCATCGGTTGTGTTGAAGCCATCATTCCAGTGACGTTTTACTTCTGGTCCTCGAGAACAGCTCGATACATTGAGAGGAGTGCTGAACCTGTCGTATTCGGAGCAAAGATGGGTTTAGCCCGTGAAGGTGTTGAACAAAGTCAACGAAAGCCGAGAAGTAGGGCCCTCAGTCTCAACGGCGACCTGAGTTGGAACCATAACCACCGCTCGAATAGCCAGAGTCGCGCCAATGACGATTCTCCTTTGGCTTTTCCTCCGAGGATGGCTTTGGCTCCGCTCTTCGTCGTGAAGCATGATCCGGGCAGGCGAAGCCAACAAGGACAGTCTTCTCCGTTGTAGAATGTCCTCTCTGGCCGTAGCGTTGACATGGGTCAACTGAATGTTTGTGATATAGACAGCGACAAACTGAATAACGTTCGACGATTTGATAGCACATCCTTTTGGACTTTGAAAAGCGATGATAAAAATTGAGTGTAATGAAATCAAGGTCGATTGAGCTGTAAATTGAAGATTTGATGTTCTTCTCCAAGTTAGAAATTGTTTGATATAAGTACCGTATGCGCATCACACATCAGTGTCTTGGATTCGAAGGATCAGGGTTGGGAGTTCTTATTAGAGTCGAGTCGAGTGTAGCCTTGGTGGGATCAGCCAATCAGTGGTAACTTGTCAGGCAGCGACCGAAGAAGTTCATGACCCACGGAGAGTCATATATCTCGGGCGATATTCGTCCAATAAGAAAACCAAAAGAAAGCCAATCCAGCAGAATCAGAATCATCATGCTTCGCAGGAAGCAAAAACTAACACAATTGCGATCTTGGCCGGATGTTTAGAACGACCGACCGAACACGCTTTGCGGATTGTGACCTGGGCCAATCACACAGCAAACAACCGAATATCGACGAATTAAGAACTCGGTCTGACGGACGAGGCATAGCCTAGTAATGAAATGTGAAAAAGACAGAGGACTGAAGAAATGGTTAGAGGTTCCTGAGCCCTGGGTCCGAAACGTGGACTGCGATCGTCGCATGAGATCAATCACGCTCCGGACTGGGATATAACGAAAGCCGAGGGCGGGGCTCATGTTCGTCACCAACCTTGTTCAGATACAGACAGTACGTTGGTATCAGGTATCAGGTATCTGGCACACTAGGACACCCTGTTGGGTTGGCGGCGGAACCTGGTGTGATGGAGGGTCTGAGGCTGAAAAGACTTGAACAGAATGGGACTTAGGGCGGGCGGTGCTGAAAAGTCGTGACCCAATCTTGAGGGACGATTAGCCTTTAGATGCAAATCCCGCAAAAGGGACTAGGAACGGATCAAAACGACCAGAACGTTGGGTGAAAGAGTCACGGGGGACGGGGAACGATGTGAAAGTGGGAACACATGGGAAGGGAAGGGGGGCGGAGGATGGGAATTCTCGAGTTAGCGAGGACAACTTGTCTTTTGCCACTTGCGAACGTCAGCAAGTAATTGACAAGGGTCACTGAAATGTATTTCAAAAAGACAAAATGATGGTCGGATTATACGCCGATGTCAGATAGATGACGATGTGCCTGGCGGATGCCTGGGCATACGATGGGAAGTGACTAAGGTGAATAATGAAGAGGACTTTACGGAAGGAAAGGAAAGAAGAAATCGCGTGCACAGCGGTGAACGAGGAACTTTGCGGTTGAAAGCCACGGGTTACCGCCTAGCGAATGCTTTAGAGAGGACGTCAGGTGACTTGAGGCAGACTGCTGCTAACTACAAGTAAACATGCCGAGGCGATGATGATGATAGTAATGGGCATGAGCACGGGAGAAAGATCTAGGTATTCGCTGGGTGGTAGTGGGCAGGGTCAAAACGGTGCAGGTAAGGGCTTATACTAGTAGTTTGACTGGTACTCAAGTTAGGTATTGTTCCCAGGTACCGAGCAGCCCGAGGCGCCCGTAAGGAGACCTGCTGCGACTCGAAACTGAGGTGGATAGACTTGCGAGAGAGAATGGAGACAACGAAAGTGGAGGAAGGATTCACCTGCTAACTACTGCCCAGGCCAACGTCATCTTACACTGCCATGCTTTCTTAACTAAAGTTCCTCGAGTGCCTCTTTTAGCTTTCTCTTCCACAGGCTCCTGGTAGAGGAGACTTGGCCGCTTATCCGGCTTTGCTGGGCTGAGGAACTGACTCGTACTGAACCTTTGTGCATCTTGTTTCGTTGGTCAGCTCGTACCATATAGTTCCCCTGGGGGATCTCAGAGTCAAACTACATGGTCTGTTTCTACTGGCTCACAAGCCTAATTTCTTGGGACCCTCGGAACTTTAGCTTTGCTTCAACGGCTGCCCTATCCGTTCTGTACCACCAGTCAAAATCCAGAGATCGGGTTTCCAACAGTTTCGGTATAGCGTAAGGCTGACTCGAACCACCTCATCTTCTCTAGAGACGGGGTTGGTGACATGACACCACTGTCATCTCTGACGACTTGCTCAACGTGTCTTTGGTTTCAAGTCTCAATTTGTACATCGCTCGTTCTTCCCAATCCGACTGTAACCAAATGTACAAAGCAAAGCGTTCCATTCCTCTTGGCCAAGCTCGGGATCTGCGATGTCTTGAGCAGCTCTCGGGAAAAATCTTCCACGACGTTGCGACGGTGGAGGCCACAATTGTCTCCTTCGGGCTCGAAGTCTCTAGGCTGATCGTGACGGATTTGAGGTGGCATAGGAGCCATCCTCTCCATCCACCAAACTCTAGCCGGTATGAAAAAGCCAATCAGCTTCGGGATTGGGAACTGCGAAATTTGGAATCAAATTATTTCCCATTGTAGAGAGGTCTGGGGCCGCAGGTTGATCCAGACTGCCTTGTCCATTACCATTATCGACCCCTTCTTGCGCCATGGGTAAACGTGGAAAGTTGAACAGGTCGAAAACATCCAAATATTCCAGTTCATTGGGGGCCGGAGTGTTTGCTCGCGTTGGGTGGTACGACCTGACTGCGGCTGTATGCGGCTGGCGCGATATCAAGAAGTCTAAGTCGTAGGCACATCTGTTTTCGGATTTAGCAACGCAACCAATAGGTCTTCGAAACAACTTACCGCCGCATATCGGCGAGTATCTTCACCGTCGAAGGGGTAACTCTCTCCCCGGTCACCCCACTTGTGCGTTGCGATTGTCTGTATTCTGCAAGGACTCGCCCCAATATCTCGCTGTACCTCTTTGCAACGAGCCAGTGCTCGCCCATTTCGGATAGAGTGGTAACGAAAAAGTCAATATCAGGGTCCACTTCATGATCCATGGTCGAACCGTGCACGAGCATAACACGAGAACCCACCCAGATGGCAAATGCAAATGGGGGGCCGATTTTGTCAAGGAAACCACTGAGCTTAACGAAACGACACAGCTGACGCAAGTTCTCGACCGCAGATAAACACCTCTGCATGGCACTGTATGATGAGGAGAAGATGGGCGAACTCTGCGCCGGGTATGCTGCAGACGAGTTCAAGCGAATGACTGTCAAGCAGTATGCTGCGTGAAGCATAATCCAGCCGCAATTGATATTTTTAGCAGGCACATTCGCTCTCATCAGCCTGGTGATGTTTGCGAACTCGTCAGGCAGATTGAAGTGCCAAGCATTCAGATCACTGTCAAGAGCACGGTATGAGCCTTGCCACTGCTCCACGTCGGTCAGGGAACCAATGTCAATCGGACGTTTGAGAAACTGATGGATGTGACCTAGGATAGCCATGAGTTCACAGTGATATGAAAAATGTCCGTGGTTGTCAGCAATTCCGGTGGCGTACCGCGGACGTTCAGGAGGGTGGAACCAACGCGTTTCCACGAGCCTATTCGCAGCAAAGAGATCATCTCGACAAGGTAGGCGGCGGTCGACCTCCTTTTCGTCAAGTGCGAACTCAAATGCGGTTGCAATGGTGGCATATCGATCGAGTAGGAAGATGGCCCAGAAGAGCCTGCGTCGTTCTTCATCTTCGATCCAACTTTTGGGTTCTGGTAGCACAGATACCCTAAGTGTTGCAATAGATGGATACAGTGGAGTTGCTAATGATGAGGTAGATTCTACTGCAAGACCAAGTTGAACCATGCTTCTGCTGATCAATGCCAGCAGGTTCCAAGCAGGAGGACCATTTGTTGTTCCCGTGACGTCTAATGCCAGAATGACGAGTGCCTGCGATGCCCTCACATTCGAGTTTTCCAATCCGAAAAGTTGTACGCGCTGCTTAGAAGTGTCATGATAATGCTGCCGACTTTCGGGAGTCAGACGAGGATCAGTCGAAAAACGCAATGCGGTGGCAACCAGTGCGTGTAACAAAACCCTGTCTGCCTCGTCAAGGGGAGATGGCCCGAAGAGAGTGTCTAAGGTCGTCTTCCGGTCCAGCAAAGGCAGCCAGATGTTAACGTGCTTGAAATATAGGTCGACCAGAGCATAAAGGAGGTCATAGGGAGGGAGCATGGCCGAATGCTCATTAAAGACATGTGTTCCTTGATACCCTGCCGTGGAATGTGGTGAGGTCAAGGAGTTTGCTGACGGTGTATAGTAACTCTGAGCCTGAGTCAACTGCGGATCTGCGATATTAGTTTGGCTAGCAGGGTACTGCAACGATCCATGTCGCGAATTTGAAGTGCGCAGGTTCGGTTCGATTGTTTGATAGCTCACGTCGCCAGAGAAAGTCACGGCTTGAGCATCATACGAGCCTCGTTGTTGAACTTCTGGACTAATCACTGGAACACTGGAACGAGGGCCGGCCCCAACGCCGGAAGGCTGGTCGATTATGCATGTTGCAGAGAGGTGTGCGGCTAACTGTTGGCCTTGTTCATCAAGCAGTCGCTCAAGGCGATCGAGCCGCGACTCAAGCTCTCTGCCGTAGCCAGCTCTCAATCCAGGTTTTTTCCGTTGTTTGTATTCGCAAGGATGGTCGTTGCGCGAACACCATCCACAAGATGGCTGTAGTCGATCTGAGGAACAAATTATTTCTTGATCGAAACCAACAAGTCGAAAAGACGAGAATCACATACCGCACTTGACCTTTCTTTGCTTACAAGCCTCGCAGCTGTCCAGCTCCGACATCAGCAAGATGTCCGCATCTCCACGTACAGACAAACAGGAGTGAAAACGAAAAAGCGGAATACTGTGAATGGAGCTAGGACATACGTAACATTCATAGGCCTTTTGCGTTTCTTGGAGCCATCTCGCTCGTCATCAGAGCCAGAGACCGAAGTGGAAGGTGATGCAGAAAGACGTGGCGCCAACGAGGGGGCGCCATTACTCGTCGCGTTGGCCAGACCATTACTAGTGGCACCCGAATGATTGTCGTAGAATTCAAGCTTTGGAGGATTCATGATAGACAGATAATTGACTTGTGTTTACTGGGAGTTGCGATGTTGGCAACATTGCCCCGAAAGGAAGAAAAGCTGTATCTCGGGCCGAGATGTGGCTGGTTGACCGAAGTACAAGAATGATGGAGAAAGATCGAAAATGAAAAAGCTGGGGAAGTAAATCTTCTCCCAATCTCAAGCCTCTGGCCGACGTGCCCGCCTAGGTAGTTCGAAGGTTAGGGCATGGTGTCATATTTCACGATACTGTCTCTTATTTCCGCCACCCACGTGACTGCCTAATATGATGGAAGCAGTTTCTGCTTCAGACTACAACCCTATTCAAATCCCCCGATCCCGTTGAAAGTCTTCTTAGTATATCCCTTGCTGGATAGAATTCCAATCCTCGACAAAATTACCTATGAAGCCCCTGGTGATAGCAGGTAATGGTGACTTGGTGTCTGACGGATAAGTCACGTGGGAGTGCGAAGTAGGAAGGTGGTACTGCGAAATAGCGGCACTTTCCAAGCTCGTATTCCATTCCACTGTCAGGGCTACCTCCACCAATTTCAACTCTTGCATTGAATACCTTCCAATCTTCTACTCTGTCCCTCAACAACGGACTGATCTCCATCTGAATGGAATCATCGCGGCATCCGCACCGGTATTGCCACAGCTAACGGGGGTGACAGCCGTGCTAAAAATGAATTGCTGTCCATTGACGATGTCTCATGAGGGGCCTAGTTGGAAGGCTCAGCTTGTTATCCTCCCGCTTCACATTGTCCCGATCAGCGAGATGGACGGCTGATGTGGTTCCCGTTTATTGAGTTCCCACCTCCCAGACCGCTTGCCAATAACCCAATGGATGAACCCCCAATGCCTGAATTGCCTTTAGCTTCCGTGTGTCCCTACATAAATGTTCGTAAATCTACAGCAGTGGTTGTCTGTCCCTTTCCCCCCACGCTTGAACGATCCGAGGGCGGCGTAGACAAACAAATAAATTGCGACACCCAAATTCAATAGATCATTAAACCCTCCTACTAGACAACTCGAGCAGAATATCAACAACATGGCCTCAGTCAAATCATTTCCGACCATAAAAAATGTTCGGACTTTCGTCATCGAGGGCGTGGGCTCTGGTGGTGATTATCACAATGTCAAGGGTGGACATTGGTTGATTGACAACAAGATCGCGACCCCAATGTCCAAATGGGAGAAGTACCGACAATCGAGAACCTCTTTTGGTATCAATGTCTTGGGATCCTTCTGTGTCGAGATCGAAGCCACCGACGGCACGAAAGGATTTGCCACTGGATTCGGCGGACCACCTGGCTGTTGGCTTGTGCAACAACATTTCCAACGTTTTTTGCTTGGACGCGACCCTCGGGATGTGAATGACTTGTTTGAACTCATGTATCGAGGTTCCATGTTCTATGGTCGCAAAGGATTGCCTGTTGCCGTCATCTCAGTCCTCGACCTGGCATTATGGGATCTCCTTGGTAAAATCAGAAATGAACCAGTTTACAAGATGATCGGTGGTGCAACGAGGGATCGATTACACTTCTACTGTACTGGACCTGAGCCTGCTGCTGCTCAGAAAATGGGGTTCCTCGCTGGCAAGGTACCCCTGCCTTATAGTGCAGACGAGCCTGACAGCTTGAGAAAGAACATCGAATTTCTCAAAAAGCATCGCGAGGATGTAGGGCCAGATTTCCCTCTCAGGGTTGACTGTTGGATGTCCTTGAATGTCCAATACACCATCGAACTCGTATCAGAGGCAAAGAGACAAGATATTAGAATAGACTGGTGGGAAGAAGTGCTCTCTCCAGACGATTTTGATGGATTCGCATTGCTCAAAAGGGCTCACCCGGATACCAAATTTACCACTGGGGTAAGCAAAAAGAAGCATTCAAAACCTCCGGCTCTCTTGCTAACAACTTTCTAGGAGCACGAATACTCTCGCTATGGATTTCGCAAGTTATTGGAAGGTCGCAATGTCGACATCATCCAACCGGATGTGATGTGGCTCGGTGGCTTGACAGAGCTCTTGAAGGTGACAGCTATGGCAGCTGCATACGATATCCCTGTTATCCCACATGCCTCTGGTCCTTACTCATATCACTTTGTCGTCAGCCAACACAACTCTCCGTTCCAAGAATACCTCGCAAACAGCCCAGACGGAAAGAGTGTCTTGCCCGTCTTTGGGGATTTGTTCCTCAACGAACCCATCCCGACCAACGGTTATCTGGATGTTAGTGTCCTCGACAAGCCAGGATTTGGTCTCGAACTAAACCCGAATGCCCGACTAATTGATGCAACCAATCTATTGGGATTTGCCCCTCAAAAGTCCTTGTCGGCACCTGTGGAGAAGAAAGAAACGACGGTTAATGGCGGCCATGCTGAGACAAATGGACAGCATTCGTGAGATCGTGTCATCGAGACATTGTGCCCTGGACTCTGATTGCATATGGGAGGCGTTGGATATTTTGGCATAGCTTAAGAAATAAAGAAGCGAGTTCTCGTGCTTTTACCACATAGCCTGGCTCCATCGACCTAGTGCCCAGTGTCAAGTGCTGCTTCAAGCCGCCACGCCGTGCCACGGCCGTCGCTTCCTGACCGTGAATCATCCACCCGGCTCAAGGTTGAGCACCGTTTCGTCTGTTCGATCCAAGAAGTACAGTCCGTCCCTCAAGACGAACCGCATGACCGGTCCATGCTTTGACTGAACGACCAGTGCACCATCAATGGCCTCAACGAGCGACAACTCCAGACCCTTGGTCGATTTCTTCAACTGTGACCACGAAATAATGTTGATTCCAGCGTCAGGGATATGCATGACTTGTTTCACTGTAAGGAAGTCGACGTTCGGACGATCATTCCTGACGGGCACACTGAATGGATTCGCTTTGCTCAGAGAAGAACGCCCATGCCCCGGTAGCACGAAGAACGTATCGCCGACTCCAGCGATCGTGATCGGATTAGGTCCAAAGTGAGCCACTGGGTTTCCCCGGCCCCTGCCGGTCGCATGGGAATTCGTGTTCGCGTAGGGGTTGAAACTGCTGTAGCGATGTAGTAGCGCTCGATTGCTGCAGACATGTGACGTCGCGCCCGTGTCGAATATCCAATCGTTGCTGGTCCAGGGCTTATTGCCACGTGGGTCTCTAATGTTCGTTGCTCGCTCTATGCTGGGTGATAACACGATCCCTTCGTTCTGCGGTGGAGCAGGACCCACTGGTTCGGACTGTGTAACTGTAAGCTATATTGCCCGTGTTTATTTTGAGGAAGATCGGTCAAATATGGGACATACCTTTAGGTGATGGTATTGGATTGTGGTCGATTCTTCGTCGCGTTTGATGGATATTCGCGGCGCCATTGACTGAATATGCAGGTCAGCCTTGATGGTTCAGGAACCTGATTGCGATTAGAGGATAAAGAATGGCTTTATGCCCTTCCAGGCCCCTAGAGCCCTCGGCGACATATCACGACATGCTCTTTCGATTCCCATGACATATTTCTTTGTGCTTAGTTATATATGAAAGAAAAAACGTACCATAGCTCCCAAAAAGGTCACCATGCCAGACATGTAAACCAAGCCTCGCAACTTCGAACCTGCCTGACCTGCCATCGCTTCCAGGATCAGGCTGAAATCACATTGACGGGAACGCAGAAGAATAGCCAGATAGAGCGCACAACGGAGAAACCAAATCACCGTTCACGCATCCAGATCTTCGACCAACTCGACCCACACCATCACGATCACGAAGCCTCCAGGCACGCTCCGGAGCGATCAAGGCATCCAATACGGAGAGGCAAGTGAGCTGCAACAACAAGCCATATGCTTCACAGTAACACCAAGAAAATTCGGGCCAGACCCTTCGCTTTGTGATGGCCCGAACCCGAGGAGTTTTGCCCCTCACTGCTCTGGCGGCAAATATTCCTCCGGCAAAATGCTACGTAAATGGTCCAGGCAACTTTGATTCGACGTGGTCTGGGCAGTGGAATTTAGAATGAATCAACTCAGATTTGGGGGGACGTCTCTTGGTCTGTGGAAAATCCTACCATTGAGCTTTTGAGAAGGTGAGGTCGACGCCTCACGGATTGAGTTGTCTCATACAACGAATATAAATCAGAAGTGTTCGGGGCACAGAGAAGGACTCGGCAAGGAGAAAAGCATCGCCATGCCACTGCCACCTCTCATCACAGGCCAAGTGGCTGCCATTACGGGAGGCCTCACGGGGATTGGAAGAGGGATTGCAGTATTATTTCTCTCCCACGGTGCGAGCGTCGCGATCAACTACTTGCCATCCCACAACGCAGACGAAGACAAGCTACTCTCATCCCTCCGAACAGAAGCATTCGACGCCATCAAGTCCCGAAATCCATCCGCAACACTACAGAACCTTGAAGATGTACCACTACTGACTGTGCCGGGTGACGTTTCACAACCGGAGGCCGGGCAGGAACTCGTCGCTCAGACCGTCGCTCGTTTCGGAAGGCTGGATACGTTCGTGTCGAATGCCGGGATCTGCAAGTTCGAGGAGTTCCTGGAGATCAGCCCGACATCGTACCAACGGCACATCGACACGAATCTGTCGGGTGCTTTCTATGCGGTGCAGGCCGCGGCACAGCAGATGACAAAGCAGGAGCCTCAGGGCGGGTCGATTATCGGTATTTCCAGTATTTCCGCGCTGGTGGGTGGTGCACAGCAGTGTCATTACACGCCGACGAAAGCGGGGATTTTGTCTCTGATGCAGTCTACTGCGACGGCGTTGGGGAAGTATAACATTCGTTGTAATGCACTTCTTCCGGGGACGATTCGGACACAGCTGAATGATGAGGATTTGAGGGACGATAGTGACAAGAAGACTTATATGGAGGGTCGAATCCCTTTGGGGAGGTTAGGACGGCCAGATGATCTGGCTGGACCAGCTTTGTTTCTGGCTGCTGGCGAGTTGTCATCATATGTCACTGGTGCAGCGATTTTGGTGGATGGCGGAGCTTTTGTCAACTTTCAATAATGATCATCACAATCGTGACTTAGTCGAGATAGTGATGTTGTATGCTCGTGTGGCAGTACCAGACCACACGTCTCTTTTCGCTTCTGTGCTCAGATTTTGAGACGTAAGGATCGCTTCCACTAGATCGTGCCAGTGCTGCCACGATTCCTCGCCAGGTCCACCAACACCGCAAACAGGCCAGTCGGAACCGAATAGGATCCTTGAAGGGGTGAAGGCTTTAAAAACCACGTCCGCCCAAGGCTTCGTCTGCTCTACTAGCAGTGATATCTCTTCCGGATGATCTTTGTCTTGAGGTGGGAGTTCGGAAAACCAACCCGACAGCTTCATGTATGCTGTAGGATAGCTGGCCATCCGTTCTATGCTTTGCCTCCAGCTGATGAAATCATGGTGGCCTTCTTTGGCTTGAGATGCTGTAAGGCGCAGATCAGGCTTACAGAAATGATTGATGATGATTTTGAGATTGCTTCCGGACTCGTAAACTTGTCGCATCATGTCGCAAGCCTCTTCTAGTTGGTGTAAGCCTCCTGAGCGAGCATCAACTCCGAGATCAAAGGACAATCCCTTCTCCCCCAGCCACTTCAGGCCGTCGATGAAGCCGTCTTCCATCATCGTACCAGCCGGTCGAGATTGAACCAGGTAGCGGAACCCTTTTAGTAGATTTGGAACCCCTCCATCCAGAAACTTGCTTTGTACTTTCTCGACATATTCTGCCAAAAGGCTGACCCCTGCTGGCACTGGTGCCCATGGTACTACTCCTAGGACTAGTCTTCCGTCCTCTGCTGCATGGCCCTCACCTTCTACTGGTCGACCAGTTGCAATCCTTACCAAGAAATCCACTTCCTTGAAAGCATCCTCCCAATCAGTGCTACCGAGACCAGACTTGCGATCGGTTTCCAGAAATACAAAACCGAGAAGATTCTGTGACTTTCCAGACACAAGCTTGTAGTCCTGGACGCTTCTTTGCCTGTTCAAGGGGTGGTCTTCCGGTAGTTCAGCCGTCCAACTCAGGGTGGGAATATGGGTTTTGGCATATAGATGGATATGTGAGTCGATGATGGGGAATGCAGTGGAGTCTAAAACTTGGGACGCCATCCTTGGGAGAGATGTTCCCCATCAAAAGAAAAATGCAGGTATCAGCAGATATACCTCGAACGCGCTGGTTAACAGGTTGCGTTGTCGTGGGCCGATTGCCAGCACTTGACCCGTCGGCTAAAAATCAACGAGGATGCGTCGGCTTAAATAAAATGTCTGGTACTCAACAAAGCGGGCCGGCAAAGTCATTGATTCGGAAATTCGGGGCAAAGCAGTCCACCGTCATCTCCAAGGGCCTGATGCAAGCTGATGAGGCATGTCCTGGAATGCCATGCATGCCTTGAAGGAAATCGGACCAGCCTGCTCTGGGTCCAAGCTTACCTTCAACGGTGAGCGAGACCGTAAAGCACACGAAGGCAGATATTCTCATAGAAACAGGAGACCTCAGGCTCGCGCCAACTCCATCGGAGACGTTTCACCTGGTAGCAGTAACGTGATGTGAAGAGCATGTAGAACTCTTGAAGTTACCTTTGAGAACATCCCATCAGATTGCGGTTTCCCCTAGTCGTGGCGAGCATGTCAAATGGAAGAAGGTCGAAACCACAGCGAAACCGAGTTGACTTTGGGCTCCAGTGCGTTCTTAGCTAAAGGCCACCCGAGGCTGGGGCAGGTTCGGTAGGTTATTGTTAAGCTTAAGTAAGGACCGACCCTCTGCATGAAGCCCCTGTGGGCGGTCGGCCAGGCTACGGTTCCCCACGTCATCGGGCCAGTCTCCAACTGAACCGCAATTCAAACCACCAGAAAATGTGACAGTTCAACGCAGGAACAAACAACTTGCACAACTGCCATCTGCAAGGCTCTGCAACCCCCAACTATCCAAACAGTTGACCGTTGAGGCCTTGGGGTATATTCCTCCACCTCTATTCTATTTAAAACCTGGTGTACCGGAACAACCTCCAGTACAGCCCTCCCGACTTGACACCCTGTTTGACACGAACCCCTCCATCTACCTGATCGTTCCGATTTCTCAATCATGGCTGAAGACGCCTCGAGTGGTGGCTGGAGCACTATTGAGTCGGACGAAGTAGGTGACGCAGACTGCGATCTGGTTCGCGAAAATCTCCTCTGAATAGCTGTGCTGACAAGTCTACTTGGATCTAGGGCGTGTTCACATCTCTCATCGAGCAGTTGGGAGTGAAGGGTGTGCAATTTGAAGAGTTGATATCTCTGGATGCAGACTCCATACGTGCTTTGAGGTAATGTGACAGTCGTGCGTAGCCCTGGTCCCTTGCAACCTTTCATCGTCGGGAATTTGCACAACAGCACTGACACCTTTCTTCCGTCACAGTCCTGTCTACGGTGTCATTTTCCTCTTCAAGTGGATAGGCTCTTCTTCAGAAACCAAGGGAACCCCGCAGGATGGATCGTACGACCCTGCGGTGGTCGAAGATGATGGATTGTTCTTTGCCGCTCAAACCATACAGAATGCTTGTGGAACCCAAGCCATACTCTCAGTGGTGCTCAACAACGACAAATCCAGCGATCCAAGTACATCAGGAGCTGACGGCAGTCACGCGAGAATAGAGATCGGATCATCGTTGCAAGAGTTTAAAGATTTCACAACTGGTTTCGATGCTGGGCTAAGAGGAGAATCATTGTCCAACTCAGATCTGATTCGAGAAACACACAACAGCTTTGCGCGATCGAGCCCGTTTGCCGATGAGACACAACGAGATCCCAATGCAGGAACGGAGGATCTTTTTCATTTCATCGGTTACACTTCGTACCATGGCAAACTGTACGAGTTGGACGGATTGCAACCATTCCCCATTTCCCACGGCGACTGTTCCCCTGAGGACTTTCCCGAAAAGATCATTCCAGTCCTACAGCGGCGCATCGAAAGATACCCAGCAGGAGAGGTTCGATTTAATCTGATGGCTATGTGCCAGGATCTAAGGGTCAAGGCGCAAGAGTTCCAGGACTATGAGAGCCTTGCTCGACAAAAGAAAAAGCGTGCTCAATGGGACTGGGAGAATGCTCTCAGACGCCACAACTTTGTTGGCTTTACTGGTGAAGTGCTCAAAGGAGTGGTTGCAGCCAAAGTCAAGGATGGTAGCTATGACAGCTGGGTCGAAGAGGCCAAGAAAACGACCGAGGCAAGACTGAGAGAACGAGCGGCGAGGAGTCAAGAGACGAATTAAGTGGTAGTCCTTCTTATACGTTCACCTACTTGAACTTGAAGCTGGATTGCTCCTAGCTTGAGTACCAAAGTCTCAGATTGTGTCAATGCTCCCTGCCTGTGTAGAGTAACGTATGTCTGGCGGAAAACATATTCGGTACCACATCCTCCGCCAGCACTTGATGCCAGTTTTGCGCAAGAAATCTAGGACTGTCATCACTCGGTGCATCCTTGTTACATTCTGTTGATCTCAGAAAACGATTCTCCCCAAGAGGTAGATTGTATGCGTCCACGCTGCGAAAGACCTTGGGAGAGGGCGAGATAGGGTGGCGGGCCTCGTTCGCCCTCCTCCATGTATCCCCTGATTTACGACAATATTGTAGCTCGAGAACAAAGCCCCAGCATTGGGAGTGACGCATAGATCTTGTTCAGCTTCAGCAGCAATGGAACAATTCATAGATGCTTCGAAAGCATTCGCCACAAAGTCACTCAGAGTGTCGGTAGGAGGTATCTTCAGGGTCCATCGAGGCTCGAGGATAAATAGCTTCGACTTCCTCGAGAAGTACTTACCATCGTGTGGAGCTGCCTGCGACCGAGGAGTAACGAGCTTCACCTAGCCTCTGTTCAATCCATCAACACTGCAGGGTCATAGACATTTAGAACATCAGAACAGATTCACGAGGCTCTTGTAGCATCAAAACGTTTGTATTTCAGTACGGAGGAGTGTAGAACTGTGGAGTGCTCCCTCCGAAACCTTATTCGATGGAAATTTTTCTGGAGGCGCCAAGAATCGGTGACCCATTTGGGCTAGCATGGATCTTGATTCACGCCACTGCTTTGATTGGGTCATGATGGCCTAAAACGCATCGGAATAGTGAAGTAGTCGCTGATGCTAGACTGGCAGTCACTCCAGTACTCCGGCCCAGCTTCATGATCACTACAATCAACTCAGAGAATTCTTACAAACCTTTTATTTCAAGAACAACCTTCTCATTGTCTTGAATGTTGAATACCAGTCTATCTTCATCCTGTGTCGAATTCTCTTTCATCATCCTTCAGTCCTGCGCTAATTAGCATCTCTTGGCTTACTCATTCCTCCTTTCTACCTACACTACCAAGTTTTCAAGCACTCGAGGCTTTGATATCATCAATTCATCTTTCATTTCTCTCTTCATCTCGATGCATCAGCATAATTCTCAGTTCAAGCAATCTCCCGAAATTTGACTCTCGCCATGGCTACTGAACTTGAATCTATCTGGCAGTCGGCATTTCCAGATACTTCCCGCCCAGTACTGTACGCCTCTCAAGAGCTAAATGAGGATGGATTTCTCCCGCTCAATGAAGCATCAAGGTTTAGCGTCAACATTACCGGTCTCAACCGACATCAATTGTATGCCACTAGCTCCAATAATCAACATGCTATGAAAGCCGCCCAAGATGAGTACCTTGAACTCCAGCGCCGAATCAATTGGATCAAGGACAAAGACGAACCCAAAAACCCCCAACAACTTCAGCCTCCTGATGTTTTCGAAGAACAGAAGGAAGCTATATTATATAGCTACAAGTACGACCCAAACAAACCCGCTTTGCTCCAATCTGGCATTCCAGGCCTGAGAACTGCTGATGAAGTCACTGCAAGTGAGAAGCACGATGTGCGCCTCAACCAGGAACCATTCGAGCAGGGGGGGTTCGTGCCAACTGAGAGACAGTTCAAGGCGATGCGCGCAAAGGCACGCAATCCCAAGAACATTGATGGATGGCAGCCTGTCTACAAGAATGGCAAAGCGCTTATTCCACGACAACAAACTCATCGTGATGAGTACTCCATCAAGTACAATACCAACAATAACAAGACAGCATCCGATATTCTTGATGCCCTTCGACCACGATCAGCAGCTGGAAGTGATGCATCTGCCAACACGCCTTCGAAAGCGGTGGACAAACGACTGACCCGAACCAGATTCGATGGCAAGAAGGTTCCAGCCACAAGAGATGTGTCTGAAGCTCCATCTCTCTCGTCCGCCAGCGGCCGCAAGCGTGAGAGTACTCCGTTGGTCAATGGCAGAGAGGAAACGCCCAACGCCAAACGGCGCCGTCTCAATGATCCCAATAGGCCGAAACAACCCAATCAATACACAAAAGCACGTGAAGCCAGAGAGGCAAAAGAGGCACAAGAAGCAAAGGAGGCAGCAGAAGGACGAACATCAACCGTCAATACTCCAGTGCCGGAGCGTGTGCCTGCCACCAAACCCAGTCCCAAGTCATTCCCAGTCCCACTCAATGTCGATTGGAAACAGTTCTCCGACAAGGAACTGCAGGATCGGAAATGGACTGACGAGGAGCTTGTGGCTGCGGTGACGCAGCATCACTCATGGCTTCATGATGACGAGAAAAAGGCAGAAACTTGGAAATGGAAGATTATCAACGGCACGAATCCTGTACGAAGCTTCAGCATGTTTCGGAAGTGGGCCTACTGGAAGGTCACTGATCAGGACAAGAGACCTCGCAACAAAAAGAATCTTATGGAAGGAGGTGTTTCTGGGCCGCCTGAACAGACCGTCTCTCCCATGCCGTCGCCAAAACCAAGACAGCCGGCCAAGATCAAGTTCACCTCGAAGGCGGAGAGTTCTCGTACCACACCAGCCACAACCCCCGTTCGTGAACTCGCAAACGGTATTGGGTCGCAGGAAATGAAGCGCACAAACGGATCGCGAAGCGGCCTTGGCAGGAAGGCGAACATGGGCAACAAGTCATACAAGACTTATGAAGACAGTGCGACGGATGATGAGATTCAAGTCATGACGGAGAAGGAGCAACGAGCTCGTGCTGGGCAAAATCGAGGACCACGTCTGATGGATGTCAATATCGACGACAGTCCACAACAACGACCAACTCTGACTCGCGAGGAAAGCGACTCAACCATTGTGATCAATGGTACAACGCCAACCCGACGATCATTGAGGAAATCTCGAGGAGCTAGCGGCTAGTTGAGGCAGGGTCATGGGTGATGAGCAACGTCTGTACCAATAATTGGATGAGCATGTCGAAGCAAGCGTCAACGGAAGGGGACCTCGTCACAATAGAGTCAATTGGTCGAGCTATGAAAGCAATTGGGAAGGGATTTTCTTCGGGGGACAAGGCATTGGGATAATCACGACATTCTACATGCGCACAAGCGAAGGTGTTTTGGACAAGGTCAATCAATATGTACATGAATGACTACATGAGGTCTGCATGGCATTGTCAGGAATGAACCGAGGATCAATGTCCATGATTTGGTGGTTGTCACTATCAGTTTACTGATACAAAGTCGGCGTGTGACCAGTTCCTTAGAGTGAGAGAACTGAATAGTTGTACTCTAGAAATGACATGATGAACATTGCAGATGACAGGGTCGAAGCCAATATCAGGATGAGCATCCAAGAGTACCTAATTAGGTAGATTGAAGCCACAGATGGAACAGGCACTCAACAAGCAGTCACGGTTCAGGTGGTCTGTAGTTACCTAGGTGGTTAATTAAAGAACTGCCTGGAGTGTCGCTCTTGCCGCAGCCCGAGAGATTCAAAGTGGATAATCTTCCTCGGGTCGTTCCTGCACCACCAGTCCGAGAGCCTTGGCAAATTAAAAGTTCCAAGGTTGTCAGTCCTCGTCCTCCAACCCCTTCCTACCAACACGTTCACCTATATTGTCATTTCGAGTCGTCCATCACCATCACCACTGTACTCGTTACCATCTCAATTCATCCTCCGAGCCACGTAAACCCTCCCCATCGCTCCTGGTAAAACCCAGCCTCATTTCCCGTGTCACGCAGTCTCTTTCAACTCTCTCGATCTTTTCGGCCAATCTTCAACATGACCAAGAAGAAGCGTCAGCACCCTGACATCGAGGAGGTTCTCTCGCGTCCATGGTGCTACTACTGCGAGCGAGACTTTGATGATCTCAAAATCCTCATCAATCATCAGAAAGCGAAGCATTTCAAATGCGAAAGATGTGGTCGTCGCTTAAACACCGCGGGAGGCTTGAGTGTTCACATGAGTCAGGTCCATAAAGAAAACCTGACAGCTGTCGATAACGCTCTGCCTAATCGTGCTGGTCTAGATATTGAAATCTTCGGCATGGAAGGCATTCCTGAAGACATTGTCCAACAACACTCTCAGCGCGTTTTGACCACCTACCACCAAGCCCAAGCTGAGCGGCAAGCTGCCACAGGCAACACTCAGACCGCAGGTGCCGCTGCCAATGGAAACAAGAAACCAAAAGTCGAGCAAATCTCGGATTTGAAAAAGCGACTCGCCGAACATAAAGCTGCTAAGCTGGCTGCTGAGCAGGGTAGTGCAGGGAACAGTGGCAATTCCACTCCAGTACCTCCAACACCAAGCCAGACCCAGACCCAGGCTCATGCTCAAACCAATACCGTAAGTTATTCATGCCAATTCCCAATATATCCTTGAAGCTGATCTTCTGGCTAGGCTACCTCTCCCTCATACCCAGGCTTTCAGCAACCGTACGCCGCGCCTCCATCAAACGGTTCGTACAGCCAACCTCCTTCGTTTGCCCAGACACCGACTGTTGGTGTACCTTTCCAAGCACCCGCACCTTACCCACATGCTGCCAGTCCACCCATTCCAGGTGCATATGGTCAACCTCCATTTACCCCTCCCGGACAACCAGGATACAGTCCAGCACCACCAACTGCCTATCCACAGCCATACGCTCAACCCCCTCCGGGCTCGTTTCAACAGCAGCATCCCAACCCAGCCTACCCTCCCCCATATCAGCATCCTTTCCCTGGGCCAGGGCAGGCTTATCTACCCCCGAACGGTCTTCCGCAACCACCCTTTGCGTCCGCAGCCTCCCCAGTTGCTTTCTCACAGCAATCGCAAGTTCAACACCATGTGCCACAGCGTACACATTCTCCCGCTACTAATGGGAATTTTCCAGCCCCTGTACGTACAGGCAGTGTAAGTCTCCCAAATGCTCCAGGATTGCCACAAAGACCCGCATTCGGTGCACCAGCAGTGAATGCCTTCCAGTTTCAACAAATGCATCAAGGTCAGATCCCTGCTCCTACAAGTCATAATTCTGTGCCACAGTATCGCCCACAAGACGCCAATGCCAATGCTGTTGCACAAGTTGCTCCACAAGGCCAGCCCCAGAATCCATCAATTGATGAAGCTAATGCATCTTCAATTGACGATTTAATTTCATCCGCATCTAAGCAGGCAGATGTAACTACAGCCACTAAATCCGCCCCGCCAGTTCAATCTGCTACACCGTTACCAACCAAGGATGAGACGACTGAGGAAAAAGGTGTAAAGAAGGAGAAGCCAAAATCAACCAGGTTGGTCTATTCTGACAATGAGATAAGCCCCGAAGAGAAGATGGCATTGCTACCAAAGTATGCGTTCACGCCTGGACAGAGGACAATTGCGGTCTAGCCACAAGAGGCTTTCATTTCGGTTCATGTTGTTACATTCACCATCGACCCTACACTCGAATTTTTCTCAAGAAGACGTGTTTCTTCACCCATCAATCAATGATAAGCGGATCTGACTCAGCTAAGTCTTCTCCTCCGTGGGAACAGCTGACTCTTGCATTCACTCTCACCTATTTACACTTTCGCTTCTCGCGAAGTCTTGTGCCTTGATGGAATCGCATTGCGATTGGTGTTCTCGGTGAGTGAAGGAAATTTGGAAGTTTTCCTCATCAACGCAAGGGCACAACTGACAAGATGATTTCTTCGCAAATCAATGGGCTTCAAATTCATATGACGGCGTCCTGGAGCAGGAGGAAGTCTCTAAGGGGGCAGGGTGCCTCGAGGGCAATAAGGGTCTATTTGAGGGGTTCTTTCGCTTGTAAGTTGTACGTCAAGACAGACGGTTGGTGTCTATTTCCCGTTATCAAACACACCTATTATATGTTCTTCTAATTGTAACATGCTCCGAACTTTTCTTCGTTTTGGACAAAAGATAAGTGATTCGCTGTTCATTCCTAGTATCCCTTCGCTTCGCTATGCCTTTCCATCCCACATATTAGATCGCTATATGTAAACTCCCGCGAAGGAACACCTTCTCGGGTCCATAGTCTCGCCAGGGGGTTGTGATCTAACTACCTACGGTTCTACCTACCTAATGCTAGCTATCTATGTATGATATGATATGATATGATATCGCTATTTGAAACGGTTGAAAGTAGAAAAAAACAACAACAAAAAACGATGCAATTCCTGTGTCGTGTCGTGATGTGGTGTGGTGTGGTGTGGTGTGGTGTGGTGTGGAGTCGCCTGTGGCTAGTATCGTGTCGATTGCAAAAGGGGGCAGATCATAGCTGTCCGTCTGTCTGTTCTGTCTGTCTTCGAGACACACACTGGAACTCAGTCCTCATCTCGTCTTGTCTTGTCCCTAAGCCCGCCCCGCCATCCTGCAACCGCCTGCAATCGTTGTGATCCTCGTTGATCGTGATCGCTCCTTCCTTGGAGACGTGAATCATCTCTTCCCCCGTCTGGGTTTGATTTGGTTTGCTGCTGAGTAGACGAAGCTTTAAATCATCATCATTATTGCATCCAGCCTTTCTTCCTTCTGGTCCTGGATGTGCAGCGCGACGCCCAGATTCATGTCCTGTCTTGTCCGGTCTGGTCCTTTCCTGTCCAGTGGACGAGGAGGCAGGCGAATCCTTGATAAAAAAATTCATTCAAATCCCAAGTCCGTTTTTCTTCTCGTTTCGATGAATAATCCATTTGGAACTCACTTTGCGCTCGAAGGTTTGACCGTGCTTATGAAAGTGATAGTGATGGTGATAGTGATAGTCGTCGCTGCTGCTTCCGATCTCAGCCTGAGATCTTGCGTCGCTTGTTCGTCAAGGGGCTGTGGGATTCGAGATCTGGCTCTGGCTCTGCTCTCCTTCTCCTTCATAATTGGGCTCTGTGCTTACTCCATTCCTGCCTGCTTGACTGCCAGCCAGCAAGCGGATCAATGATGGCGTTAGTAAGGAGGTGGAGGAGGAGGAACTGCGACGTTTTTTCTGAACGTTTCTGGCCGTGTCGTCTTTGCTTCTTCGGCATTAGACGAACTAGGAGCTGGCTGCACTTATTGCTGCTCTCTCACAAGTTCTTATATGCATCATCCTCCTCATTCGTCATTGTTGTTCTTGTTCTTGCTTTGCTTCGTCAACCTCGTTCACGAGATATATGCTGGACTCCTTCCTTCCGTGGGTCTGGACACCTGGGTGACTTGAGGTTGTTCTTTGCACCATCATTGTAACCCCCTGATTGCAACCTGATACATTCCCACAACCAACACCGACTGTCAAGAAATGCATCCGTCCGTCCTCTTGCCCAGCTGCTTGACTTTGTTCGTCTATTTCCTGGTCGCTAGCTACAAGCCAGCAACTTCTGTCCGTCTCGCTCTGTCCCCCTTGTCCCTCGTCTACTCTCTCGGTCGTTCGTTCGTTCGTTCATTTCCATTATACGCTACTATATCGCCTTCTTCCATTTCGAGTCTCCATGGCTATGTGATCAACACGCTGCTCTTCTCGTGTCTACGTCTTGATGAGTCTCCAGAGATAGAGGTATGCAGAGTCTTCTATAAAACATAACTCTGGCCAGAGTTAGGTTCGACAAAGACTCTGAATTGGGTTCACACCACTGGCCCATCGGTATCATTCCTGCGGCCACGTCGACCAACATACCATCTCTATCAGTGGCAAAGACCCATGCATCCGTAGAAGAAAGTCTAAGACCCAACGCCAAATCCATCTCGCAATTTAGCTCTAACCGGTGGGCTCAAACCAGAAACAAAAGTATTGAACCCGTCTGCACCGATCAGGCTCTGATAGCCTTGGATGACTCGAGCGAAACTGGCGCGAACCTCACTGTACTCCTGACCAGCCTTGCCCTTTTGAGGGAACTGGGCAATGGCACCAAAGTATGCCGGAAGACTTCGCTCCATCGCTTGGGGATTTCGCTCGATGATGTTGTTCATGCCCATGAACGCGGAGGCTTTTTCGTGAGAGCTGGCGATTTTAGACATGGAGCCCAGGAACGGTTCGGCGAACTCTGGAAGGAAAGGTGCCAGTTGAGCGGGGCATGCTAGTCCTAGACGACCAAGTGCTGTGGCTGCGTTTTCTGATGCTGGGTCTGGCACTTCTTCGTTGTTGACAATGGTCAAAAGAGCTTTGGCAATTGGTCCTGCAAAGTTTTCGAGCCGCGAAGTCGGGGCCCGTGCTGCTATCTCGCCCAGACTCCAACAGACGTTAGCTAGAACATTGAAGTGATTGTCAGAATCGTCGTCTGGCATGGTGTCCAGATCGAGTTGCCGAATTAAAATTGGTAGAAGCTTGGGGAGGTATTGATCCAAAGTGGCGTAGAGAGCGATTGCACAGTCACCCAGTACAGCATAAGCAGACTGGCGAACATCGGTAGTGCTGTCTTCCATACAGAAGGAGAGAAGATCAAAAAATTGAGGTTGAGAATTCTGGACTAATTGTCCAGATTTGGTGGGATTGATGGCTTGAATGATGGCGGAGATGAGGTCGAGTCCGGTCACAATGAAGTCCTTATCCGGCGCGTCAACACTGACTCCACTGACAAATGCCATATGTTGTTGTAGGTTTGCATAGACCACCTTGATGCAGCGGTCGAAGATGGGTGGGGCAAACTGTGCAAAGACCTCACCATAAGCCATGGCGATATAGCCCAGACATCCAAGCAGAGGAAACATTTCCCTTGAGTCGTCTTGAATTTTATTCCAGCGCTGAATCAACACAGGCATAAGAAGATCCACGAGCTCCGGCTTAGCAATCTCGGCACCGACATTGTCTGCGAGGGTCTGGAGACAGTCGTACAAGATGTACATATTCTTGTCCTTATAACGCTTGAAGCATTCGGTGAATTGCTGGAGAATAGGTGTGATGTAAGGTTTGAGTTTGTCGCCAGACTTCTCCTCAAGACTGGCAAATGAGGAAGCACCTGCCTCCTGTACTTTCTTATTCTGGTCAAGCATGCGTTGTAGAAGACCTTCCATCATGGGCTCAAAGTATCGTTGCTTGTCAGCCGGGGACTCCAAGTTTGCTGCCCACTCTGAATAGCGCGCAAGGCACCAACAAGTGATCTGTCGGACGACGGGTTCTTCGTCGTTCAATCTGGAGATCAAGAAAGGTACCAACTCCGGTAGATGCGGTGCGACCACTTCCATACAACCGTCTGCAATTGCGCCCAAGGCCAGCACTGCAGCCTCTCGCTTGGGCCATAAAGTGTGGTCAAGATTAGATTTGAGGTATGGGAGAATGATGTCGAAGACCGCAGCGTGGTAGTTAACCGCAAAGACATCAAGTGCAGCTGCTGAGCACTTTCGTAGACTCCAGGCATTTTCTGGATCCTCCTCATCCCATTCGTCATCGTCCTCTTCATCTGAGCCTTCGATTTCGCCATCACTCAGATCGGCTTTCTTGGTAGGGGTGCCATTTGGCTGAGGGCTGTCAGTACCCTCTTCCTTCTCTGATACCACGCCTCTACCGGCTTTGGTCTGGGCAAATTTGGGCTTGATGTCTTCAGCACGATCTTCGACATCGGCATCATTTTCATCTCCACCGAGTCTGAAGACCTCATCTTCTCCGTAGACCATTCCAGCCAGTAGAACAGGGATGATTTGCTGGAGGTAAGGACCCATCAAATTTCTCAGTTGCTCTTCTTCACCCACACTGAGCCAGAATTCGGCGGCATCAAGTGCAAGATCAGGGGCGCCGACTGTCTGCTGTTGGGTCAAAATATAGTTGACCAAACCGTTGATGTGAGGTACGAGCATATCGGGTCTCGAATCAACGAGTTGGACGAGCGACTGACATACAATCCTTCTGACTTGAGTGTCTTCGTCAGCAGCCAATTGAAAGATTGTTTGAAGGTAGACATCCAAGGCGCCGAATAAGACCTGAGACTTTTGAGGAATGAAACTCTTCAGGGTACTCAAGGCCAAGACCCTGATCTTGGGGTTTTGGTGACCGGCATATTCCAGTAGCTTGGGTACAATGACCTCCATCGGTCTCTGACCCTGGAAATCTTTGTCGAGAAGCTTTCTGTTGTCTTCACAGACCTTGGCCAAAGCCGACATGGCGCCCTCTTGAGTCTCGGGTGGCACATTTCCAGCGGCGTTGCTGACGATAGACAGAAGATTCTGTAAGATCTCTGGCCACTGTAGCAGACCGCCCTGTTGGACAATCTCGGTGATTACTGTGCCAGAGAAACTTCGCAATTGTGGGTTGGGGTCTTGCAGGACGTTCAAAGTGGCAGCTTTGAGGTATTCCAGTTGATCTTTGGGGATGGACTTGTGGAAGAGTTTGACGTGATTTTTGAGGTTGATAGCGGCAGCATAACGCACAAGAAACAGGCTCGGAGCATTCAAATCAAGCTGTTGGGCGACTTGGGGTGTGCTGAAAATGTAGGTGAGGTAGTTGACAAAGTCGGGATTGTTGCGAGCATTCATGAGCATCTGGGGAAGATCCATTGGCGGTCAGTGTTTCGATTCATCTAGACAGAACTACAGGGGTAGAATTGCTGGACGAGAACAGTGAAGCGTGACATCTCATTTGAACTTTGCTTTCCTATTTCTCGCCTGTCCTCCTCTTTCTTATAGATCGGGGAGTGTAACTCACCTGCTCTGCTTCCTTCTGCTTTTCTCTGTCATGGCCACTCAAAGAATTCTTTAGGTACTCAGAAAGTTGTCGGAGACCCCCCTCCTCCGGGCGCCACGCCATGACGGGCACCGTCCCGCAGGAGGCTCGAGGGCGAAGGGAAAGACGTTGTGGTCGTGCAACTGTGCCGCACCCGCAAAGGTGATGGGTGGGTATTGGAAGGTGGGGGTTCTTGGTCGAGACACAAGTGATAAAAAAGCAAAGGATATTAGCCCGTGTTAGTTGTAGATAGATATGGGCTTGGACGGAGAGTTTAAAATTCCAGATTGTCCTATTTTGTTATGGATGAACTCAGCAGGATCGCAAAGTTGAAAGGCTGCGCTGCGAACCAGGAATTGGGTGCGGTGCCAGTACAGTGAGTGATGTCGGGCAATACGAGTAAGTGGGAATTTTTCTGAGTAGGTGGGGAGTGCTCAGGGTCACGGTGGCCAGCAGGTGTGGGTGGCGCCGTTCAGTTATAGGGGACTTGCTGGGTGTGGATTTAGGGGTGGCACTAGCCACCAAGCCAATTGTTACAGGCTCAGGCAAGCTGTAGTACCGAGTAGTTAGGACTTAGTAACTGCATCATGGCACTACATGGGCGATTAGACGGCGAGTAACCGGAGATGGCTGTGGGGCCGGAATGGAGGCAAGTTACGCGACGCCTGATGCAATATCGTCTATCAAATCATCCAACGCGCAATTTCATCGTGACATTAAAAGACAACAACGATCTTCAATATTCAACAAGACTCACCATGTGATCGAATGTATATATCTAAAGGTAAGATGTGTCTTCCTCCAATCAAGTCCACACCAATTTCTTGATAGAATGCCCCAACTGTTCAAGATAACCCGTCCGCCTCTTCGCCTCCGCCAGCGAAATAATGGGTTCATGCTCGACTAGGCCATCCTTCTTATGCGTATCAGCCTCCCCTGATGTAGATGTAGAGACAGTGGCTGAACCAGTGATCGCTCGTTGGACTTCCTCGGCCACCGTCTGAGCTGTCTGCAAAGCTGACTCTGACCGACCTGAAGCCGTTGAAGACTCCATGTCTTCTGTCGTCGTCGTCGCTGCCGTGGGGATCACTTTGATGGCGATCGTCCTCGACGTTGGAGGCGATGAGGGCGCCAGCCAGGAGAGAATCCCTGTACCACCGTCGATTCGATTGTCGGAGGACGAGGACCCGTCAGCTTTCTGGGCAACAACATTTTGCAGTGATCTGGTATTTGTGCGGATGATGCTTTCCTTGCCTGGTTGATACACAATCACCACTCCAGCGTTCAGTTCTTCTTTCATTGCCCGCTCTGAGAGTGTCGATGTGATATAAGTGCCATATCGAATCTTGGAGATGGACCTCAAATCGGCTTTCTCGAACGATGCAAGCTTCTCGGTCGTCCAGTCAAACTTGCAGCAATATAGTGCTGCATCAGTCAACAGAACGACCGCTTCTTCAAACGGTAAAGTGCGCAGCGTATTCTCGTGCGACGGCGTCGACATGGTCCAGCCGTGGATCAAATCCTCGCTTTCGTCCTGAATGACCTGCTTGGCACAATTCTCGATTGCCGTTTCCCGGATTTTCTCAATCGATATTCCTGGGTCCGCTCTCATCATCGTGCTCTCAAAGTCTTCAAACATCTTCCAAGACGTATTTCCCAAGAGCACATCAATCACTGCTTGTGAGAAGTAATCATTGACCATGTTGTTGTAGTACCGAGTCAACGTCAAGCTGAAGTCATTCAGCGCACCACGATAGTCTCGCCGCCGTGTTCGAGTAAAATCGCCCTTCAACGCCGCTGTAGAGGCATATTGTCGCGAGATGGCATCTCCATTATCCGCCCATAATGTGTTGAACCACGTCGTGCTTTCGTCGTGCAGTAGATCTATCGAATACCCCTCACTGGCCAGATCTTTCTGCAACATGAACTGCCCAAACGCACTCTGCGCAACATTGGTTCGATCCAGGCAATCCATACAATTGGTACGGATGATTCCTGATTGTGTTTTTTCAATTTGGCTGGCCAAGACCACCGTTTCCCCGTACGCCTCAACCGTCTTCTCCAGCTTCTGTATCAGTCTAGACACATTCTCAAACTTCATGCCACGGCATTCGGCGTGGAAGTCGAACCATTCGAATTCAACATCCTCCAGTTGATGGGTGTCTGTCAGGGAATGGATGGTCTTGTCATATGCTTCACCAATCGCCGCTTCTGTCCCGTGCTTATCGACAAGCGCAGCAATTTGGACCTTTCCATATCGTCTCTTGAGGTCTTGAAAATGCTTCTTGAGTGCGGCTTCGTTTGTGGACGCTGGATGGTGCAGGATCGGAATGGGCTTAAATGAATACGGTGACTGCGAGAAGTATAGTGGGATCGAGCCTCGTATCTGCACAAAGGATAGAATGCGTCTTGTCGATGACCAATCCGGTGCTGAGAGAATCTGCTCGGTTTCCGCCGAGTTTGCGCAATTGCCATCATCGTCGATGCCTCTCCGCAGATACCGAAGACCAGATCGTTTGACCGATCGTCGAGATATCAAAGTTAGTAAGTACGACTGTGATTCCCCACTCAAATTGGCCAGCCCTTCTTTAGCTTTATCGACTGCCTGTTCGAGCTCACCCGATTGCTCACCATGATTGGCAGCAACGACTTCAGCAGACTCGGACTCCTCTGATTTTGTCTTTTTGACAACAAAGGCCCTCTGACCGACGAACCCCTGAATAATCGGCATTAAAAAAGCATCTTGCCGGCTGTCAAAGAACGGACCAGCAAGTCGTCGATTCCAGAAATACTGCGATTGTCAGCATATATCCCTCTCCTTCGTATCAACTTTGCCTTTAACTTACCAAAGGGTCCAAAGACTCCCGTGCAGGAGGCCTACAAGCACCATTCAAGAGCGCCAGTCTCCGCGTTAAGTCGAACTCGTAGGAGAAAAAGTAACTCCTCGACGTCAATATCATTTTCGTGGTCCTTAGAATCTTCGGTAATGCATCCGCGATAGAGTTCTCAGCGACTGTTTGTTCCTTGTCACGCGCCCTATCATCCTGGTCGACCGCCTCTTTGGCCGACTCAGAATTCACCGTGGCGGCTGTAGCAGCACCTCCTTCTTTAGCATTTCCAGCAGTGTCATCCTTTGACCTAGTAGAAGAGATTGATGTTGATGAGTTATTCCCACCCTTGGCAACGCCCCAGCCCTGCTTTGAGAACCATTGGGAGGCAAAACGTCCATATTGGCCACGATTCGCAATCACATCTCTGGCAATGCTGGTGCTAGACGTCGTACGTGCCTGCTCCGGCCTGACATCGTCCATTGGTGTCTCCGGCTCCGCATCATGTGGATCTCCATCCCCATCGGCAGCAGTACCAGCACGTGCATGCTCATCGGAGCCATCGTCACTCAGATCCGATTCTGAATCCGACTCAGTATTCGTAGCCGCATCGTTCGTCCCACGGCTTTTCGAAGCGACACTGGCTGAGATAGCCTTGTCCGCCTCACCCTGCGACGACAGTGGCACGAGCGCCACATCCGTGACCACGTAGACCGGCTTCCCAAAGATCTGCGCGACCTGCTCACGGCGCGTGATGGCGATCAGAAAAGTCGACGACGCCAGCGACAATAATCCAATGATGCCGTGCGCCTCAAGCGGTGTCGCAGCACCTCCATTATTTGAGGCCGAAGAAGGGAGCTCTTTGATCTGCCGGTTCTTGTAGTCGATTTGAATCGCCCTGTGGTTCTCAGAAGGACCATGTGCCTGCAGGACCAGCCCGTCCGCTGCCGCCCAGATGAGAAGGCGCCGCACCAGAGCTGGCATGGTGACAGATGGTTGATGTCAAGATTCGAGCACTTCAAAATTTCGAAGATGAAACCGCGCCGTCAGCCGGATTCGTCTCTCACCCGCTGGTTCAATGCATGTTTGATCCACACCTACTTTGTTCTTGTGTGATCTGAAAAAGTGGTAACAAAGTTCTCAAATCAACGGGACTTGTAGTACTAGATGTTCATATCTTATGTTGGATTTCACTCAATGATTACTTATGGATTCGGAAAAATGAGGTCAGTTGCTCTCCTGCACCAGCCGGAGAGAAGTCGCGGGATTGGGTTCGGTGACATCATTGGAGATCTTCTCCCGAGCCTCAGCTCAGCCTGACCAGATCGAGTCCCTACATGTATACCTTCTGGATAACTAGGTATGGTATAGGAATTTGTGACAAAAATGCGAAGAGGATGCGAAAGTCAAAAGATATCGAACTCTGAATTCAAAGATATTTCTTCACGTCGTATTGCATAGCATTGCAGGGCTCGAAGCCGGCATTGGGCCAACATCGCATAGTCAAGAGTAGTCAGATTTATATCTCTTTATCCACGTTTCTATATATCGTCCACTAACGGCACCAAGTGATGGCACAAAATCAGAGGGGCCTTGACCAGGGTTCATGCATGTTTCTCATTCCTCGTTATCGTTACACTATTGTATCTTGTCTTGAAAAGTTTCCCAGATCTGTTCTCGTCATATTGCAAGCCTCTCCTCGCTGTTCGCTTCACAAGAGTAGGCTCGACGAAACCGTACGCGGCTCGCCATATCAATGAAAAAAGCCTTGACAATCATAAAGAGTAATCCCTTCCGAGGAAGCATTTTCCTCATGTCGCTGATGCAAAATCCAAGCTGTGGACTTTGGCGGCCGTCAAACTTGGTGATTCCACTCGTACACCGGGGTTGGGTTTGATGTCGGCCAGGGTAGGGTCTTCTACCATGGGAGGCATACCGTCTGTCGTGAGGAGTGGACTTCCGGGGACGGCATCGAGCGGTGCCTCGTGGAGCGCTGGCTTCTTGCTGACTGCCATCTTGCCTGCCTTTTTCCTCTCGAGTGCGGCCTTCATCCACTCTGCAACTTCCTTATCAGCTGTATCTGGAGCTGACCCGTTTGTGAATACGGATTCGATGCCCGCTTCAGCAGCCTGTTCGGCTTCGTCGTCTTCGGAAATCGTGGGTGGTTTCATAAGTGGCGCGAGCCAGCCATGCCGGAGAAGCATGGTATAGGTCGGACGAAGACGAGGGATCTTGTTAAGACAGCCTCGCACGAAATCGATTGCGACTTCTGAAAATTGATCGGCTGGCAGATCGGGGGGTTCTCCATCAACAATTGCCTAGGCACATCAAATTAGTTTCCTGCATTCTCCCATCGACTGTAGGGACAAAACTCACACTCAGTTGGCTGAAAATGTTATCATATGTTTCCGGGGGGTAAGGATATCTGCCAAGTGCGCATTCAATGATGGTGAGGCCGAGCGACCAAATGTCAGATTGGACACTATAGGATCCACCGGCGGAACCAGCTTGAGCCATTCCACCACCAGATATCCGTTCAGGTGCCATGTAACTCTGGCAACCAATATTGGTCTTTGCTATCGATGCCACCAGGTTACCACTGACACCAAAATCGCAGATCTTGACCTGACCTCGCGAATTGACCAATATGTTGGTGGGTTTGACATCTCGATGAATGATGTTGTGGTCGTCCTTCAATGATTTCAATCCCATGACCGTAGACAAAGTTATCTTTCGGAGAACACCTTCCGGGACACCATCACCATACAACTTGTCTATCGATCCGCCATCCATGTATTCAATACAGATGTAGACCGATCCTTCCTGGAAAAAGGCTCCATAGAAGTCAATGATAAAGGGAGACACACAGCGATGTAGAATGTCCAATTCCATTATGATTTGAGCAAATTTGGAATCGTCGAGTTCCAGTCGGATTTCCTTCATGGCCATGACGAGGCCACTGGTTCCGCCTGTAGCGGGTGATTGCGATTCGCCCTCCTCATCGTCTTTGGGAATGGAGGCCGAAGACTGGCGTGGCATATTTCCTCGGAGACCCAAGCCGGGTCTTCTCATCTTTGGACGGGCGTGTCGGACTTGGAAGACGGTGCCGTAATTTCCCTTTCCGAGTTCAGCGATCGTATCAACCTCGTCCAAAGATATCGAAAATGTGCTGCCACCCTCGAAGTCGATACCGCTTCCATGAATGACAGCCTTGTTTGCGAAATTCAACGTGCCCTTTTGTGTATCTATGATGCTGGAGAATTTACTGAATTGAGATCCAGTGTCCTGCTTGTCGGCCTCCTGACCAGCAGGTAGAGGTTTCTGGGCGTCGGAAAGCTTCATGCCACCAGGCTTCAGGCCACGCTTCGCAGCTAGTCCACCCATGGGACCTCGCGGGTTCATTGCCTGGGGGGTCCCACTCCTGGGTGAAGCAAAGCTAGGAGCATTGGGTCGATTCAGGGTCGGCGGTAGGCGAAGAGGGTTGGTGGAAGGTATTGGTGAAGCTGGAGTTGCTCCCGGGATCGGGCTAGGTGCAAATGCTCCAGTTGGTGGATTTTGGGCACCGGGAAAGCCGGATCGAGCACCTCCTGCACTGGGAGCACCTTGTCTCGAGAGTGAAAAAGCCTTCATCTTTGCTTGGATGTCTGAATTCAGACCACTGGCACGAGAGGGTAATGGGCCAGGTCTTCTGGCGGCCTGCGTTGGGCCAAGAGGGGCAGAGGAGGGGTTGATGGCAAAGGCCATACCGCCGCCTTGACTGCTCAACGATGGAGGTCGGGGGGCTTGTGAGGAAGGCGATGTTTGTGTAGGGGATGTCGTTGGCAGTTCTGGAGATATTTCATCAGGACTTCTGGAGAGCTCCGGAGAGGGGATTTGTTCGGGTTGAGGTTCTGTCATGGTGACTAAGGGTGTTTCTGAAATTGGTTGTGCGGTTCTTGATGGTGGGTGCGCAAAAGCGCATTGATGGAGTGCAATTCTCAGATTTCAACACATGCGGTCTTGTGCAAGCCGGAGTGTTGCGAGTGCGATGTATGCTTGTCGCACTATGAGGGTTCCGATAGAAGAAGAGCTATAGAGCAGAGTTGTGATAAGAAGAAGAGATGGTGGGAAACAATAATGAGGGATAGGGTCCCATGGACGGGGGACGACGGGCAAAAGCTGCTGAGCAAGCAGCCGGAAGTAGGTGGGCCGAAGAGGATGTTGGGAGATTTAACGAGAAGGGAGGTTGAGGGTTATAGATGATATTGCAATCATTGAAATAGCCCAGGGATGGAAGTAAGATGGTCTAAGGGAAGAACTTCTCGAGCAGTTAAAGAAGTGGCCTCAGCCCAAGATTTGATATTTGATGATTTGGGTGGAGGGGGAGGAAGAAGTGCAGTGACGGACCCAGTGGTGGTGCAAAAGAGGTACGAAGACGTGCCCTAAAAGGGTGCTTGGACTGTCGATCAGTGTACCTTGGACACGCCCATTCTGATTATTTACTGACCCCCCACCAAGCAACCAGAGCCTAGAGGGTGGCCAGTGCGAGAATCGGGCCTCACGTAGGGGTGTCAGTGTGGCTTGATGATGATTGAGGCGTAGCAAACGGTGGGCTTGCAGTAGGCATGAGTCCACCATCTGCATTGACCTGGGTCCTACCAACTCCAGTCCTCCATATCTTCGGCTATGACGCTTGTCTCTGAATGACTGTCGACTGATATAGAGAGATCGACAAGGGCTACAACGACTATGGAGATCCAATCGGTATGGATAATTGATTAGAGACGGTCCTTGACCACGATCACCTCTCATTCATGCCTCGTGTTTTCTGCCTCACGGCGATGTGGTTCCCAACTCCGGACTCCATCAGTGCACCTCTCGAGAAGGGGAAAATACTTTTCACAGGCACTTACAGGAACTTGTACGAATAACATGGCATTGCGAGATTCCCATCGGGCACCCACGGTCCACGGGACTGGTTCCTCCCTGGCATGTGGAGTCCCTTCGAGAAAGCTCTTGGCCGCCTAGAGTTAGTGCCCCCAGTCTCTCGGGATGGTACCCATTGGGCAGCGTGGGAGCGCCTTCGACACCCCTGTGCGAGGGCCTGAAGCCCAAAGTCACCTTTCAGATTTAGGTGTCGTTCAAGTTGGTTGTCTCCAAGACTCCTCGGGCTCAGGGCAGCCGTAAGCGAGCCCATACAACCCGTCACCACCGCCCACGAAACACGTCATTGTGCCTATGACGCAGCATCAACACCGGCTACGTAGGAGGCTTCTTTTGCATCATTCTCTTCCAGATTCCTGCCCTGCGTGCCCACTGCCCGGGTTTTGCTTCAGTCCACCAGATCACTCTCGTGGATCTACGAATAAACGTCTTTGCTGTCCCAGACGCAGTTCTTTAGTCTCGTGACTAATGCAGAGCAACCCCGTCCTGCATTTCAAAGACCCTTTCGGGACGCAGGCTCACCGTCGCCTATTATCTTCAACTCGAGCCCTGCGCCGCCGTCCCTGGCTACGACTTGGTTAATTTCGGCCCAAGACGCAAGACTTAGACCAAAGATAGTATTTTCATTACTCTGCAGTGGTAGTTCACCTCCTGGTGACTTCGGCTGGCCAACTTTTCCACTGTCTCAGCTCCCAAGACTTCCATATTAAGTATCATGAATTTTCGTGCTTACTCGTCTAAACGCCATTCTCGAAGGCGGTTGGTTCGGGCACCTGAGGTTGTCTTGCTTCCAGGCGTTATTAGGGTTCAACGGGTTTCTCCTGGGCTGATATCGGATACCTACCTAGGTAGTATATGTCCTGATGCCATGGAATCAAGGAACTGTGCTCGGCATTGCGGCTGACGCCAGTCACCAGTGGTCGAGCAGGGTGACATCGTTAGGAATCTTGTTAGGCTTTCGCTTTGAATACAGAATGCTCGTGGGCGACGTTTCAACTTTGCATCATGTCTGCTAAGCATATACGAGATCGGTGGTCACGCAGTTATCTCATCGACTGACCACGTTCTTGGTCTTCGTAGCTGTGCAGAAGTCGTAGTGTCACGATGCTGTTTTTCCGAGGCATCTCCCTCGGGCTTCCTGCCTGCCACTGCTCTATAGAAGCAGGATCAGGAAATCAACGAGAACGCTCCGTGGGACGAACCCGAGGGACCAGAGCCAAGTGCCGAATGAATAGAAGAGCAAGTACTCTGGCAGGCTCTCACAGTGTAGGTCCCGTATCCTATGAATACAACCGACTTCAACGTCAGCCTTATCCTGTCTGATTGGCTTAATGTGGGCACCTCGAACCTGGGACAGAACTACTGTGAACTATTATAGAGTCGATTGGAAGACATAAAACTCGGTTTTCCGTGTACCGTTTCATTTCTGAAGACTAAGGATATCTGTACAACATAAAACACTACCAATTCAGCCGCTGGTTTCTACCGATACGGTCAAAAAATGGGATACTCCCAACCGGACGCCATTTGCTATTTTTGTGCAAGCCTACGTCACGAATCAAATACTCTCTTTACAGTTTTGTCCATTCTACCGTTTCCAACGCCAACATGACCAGAAGTAAGGTCGACGGGAGAATCCAAACGACATAGCTTTGGAACAAGATCCGACTCATCAGTCCTGGGAAGACGTTGTTCTGTGCCGAAATCTGGGTCAGTTGCAATGCGCTTGGCGCTCCGGACAGTAGGAAGCAGACAATGATGAAGATCTTGTCTTCCAGAATGGATATCGAAAGATACTTGGCGAGAAGGGCAATGAATGGAGCCATGACGATGGTAGGGAAAAGCATCCGAGCAACGAGAGATGCAATCAGAAGTTTCTTTTCCTCCTTCGGGTCTGTCGTAGCAGCAGCCGGATCGCGTGGAATAGTGTTCCTGGCCAAGTTTCCACCAAGAACAACCAGAATGAGAGGAACTGCGACACCACCACTTTGTTCCACTGCACGCGTGACAGAGTTGCGGAGAAATGTTCCCTGGTCGAAGAACAGGTGTTGAAGTTTGGGAACACTGGCGACTGTGACGGCCACAAGCATCGCCCACAGAGGCGGGTTCATGAACTCAGCGAGGCCATGGAAGAATGCCCGTATTTTGGCTGAAATCGTGGATAGGCCTTTCTGTACGACCTTGGGAAGTAACTGGAAGGCCTTGTTCGACGTCGAGCTGAAGAAATGGCCTAGTCTCAAAAAGAATCTTCTGATTCCGTTCCTCGCCTTGTTAATATAAGCTTCGACGCCACCACATTCCTCATCATACTTTCGATTCTCGGGGTCTCTCAACCATTTGTGAATGTCGATGTGAGCGTGGGGAGCGACCATGCCATTAGTGGGAGTTGCCATGGCATCAGGCGTCGTTGCATAACCGTTGAGATTTTGATGCGACGAATTTCTGGAAGTGCCAGCCGATGGGTTGATTGGAGTGCGAGGGGTTTTGAACCCATCAGACTTTGACATGGTGGGTGATTCGGTCCCAACTCTAGTGGCATCTTCTTCAAAATCGTCACTGGAATAAGGACCGTCATAGCTGGGACTGAGTAGTCTTCGTTGTTCATGATCGCTGTCGACGCTATCGCGATATTCTCCACGCCCTCGTTCTGCAGCATCCGGCTGCTTCGTGCCACCTTCTTCAATTGTGTATGTCTCAGGCGGTGCCAGCAGGACGTTGTAACCCCAGCTCCAACGAAGTAATTGTCCAAGCTGTTGGAACACAAGCAGATAGAGAATACCTCGAGCCGCAACATCGTTGTCATTGTCATGTGGGATTTTATCCCAATGCAAGCCCTTCAAGGTCTTTGATAATGCCAGGACGAGGGAGATGGGCAGGGAGTTGGAATTGCCGAAGACACCCATAGCAATGACGAAATTTGTTTGCCTCTTGCGGAATCCCATGGTCTTTGAGATGATCCAGGCGCAGATGTACGAGACGATGGTCTGAACAACAAAGATGACGGGAATGATTGCGAGATCGGCCAGCTTCTCTGCCGTCAGCTGAGAGGCAAGTTTGGTGAAGATAAGGCATGGCGTGAAAAGGACGACGTTGAGGTTGGCAAGGAATTTCTGCGATTCCGCATCGAAAGCGCCCTGTCTCGCGACGATGTAACCCGGTAGACTGACACACACCACCTCCAACACGGCTTCAAACACGAGTAGGGTCAAGTGAAGGAAGTCTGGATGCGAGGAATGTCGACCGCCCGCAGACAGAACTTGGATCGCGCCATCGATGTGGCCATTGAGAGATTGCTGATCTCGACTGGCCAAGGTACCAAGCAGCTGGCGGGTTGCAAAAGATGTCGGACTTGTGATATAGTCGGACAGAGGCATCGCAAGGTCGTACCGTAAGTGATCGACCGCGGGAGCTGTAGAGAAGGAAGAGAACTGGACTTTTGCTTTTTGAAATGAAGAACACGCGAAGGGAGGCGCAGTCGTCGTGCGGCGATGAGTGACGTCTCAGGGTGTGGATCTGCAGCTTGACATGTCACCACCAAGTGGAGGCTATTGTTGCCCGCCTCGGCGTGTCAGAGGTCTGGCGTCAATAGGTAGACAGGACAAGATTACACAGGCTTTGAGTAAGAAATGAAAGAAGTTGTCGAATTAATAGGGTTCGAAGAAGAGAGGGTGGCGAGCAGTGTCGCCCGAAGCTGAACAACTGGAGGGATAAGAAAAGTGAGCACCACCGACGCGACTAAAATGGCAGAAGGAAAGACGGGCAGCAAAAAGCTGGATGGGAAATCTCACATGGCCCACACCTGAGTCGTCAAGCAAGCTCTGAATGGCAACATGGACAACGTGTGGATGGATTTGATGGAAGAGCTGCCAGAAAGATAACAAGATTGGAAGCACGCAGGCAACCGATTGGGGAGAAGCAGCCCAGAAGCGCCCCCGCCAAGGCGGATATTTAGGCTTCTCTTCCACTACAAGCTGCTTAAACATTGTCCATTGTCCCTCCACTTCCGGCGCTGTCGGTCTCGGTGACCTGATTCCTTAGGCTCTGTAGGCTCGCCTGGAGCCTGGAGCATGAGATTCAGGGCGAGCAATAAAGGAGGTAGCTAAATGACTCTGCGGTGGCACGATTCAGTCTCGATCCCCGAGCAGTTCTACAGATTCATTGTTGCGTTATCTCAAACTTGAACAGCATGTGGTCAGGAATTGATAACAAGAGATCTCCCCCTATCCACAAGAGAAAGCTTAAAGAGAATAATAAACTACTGATGCCTAGGCCTCTCGCATACGAGAACTGCCCAAAGCAAAGCAAATTCCTTTGCATACCAAATGATGCCTGACCAAATCCAAAAGTTTGCAAATGTGAGTCTATCTTGATGGGGACATTCATTCAAATGTCGTTCATCTCGACATACAGCACGTGATGGAGCGTAGCACGGTTCGTACATCAAGCCACTACTGAGTGGCTCACTGAATCCATGCGTGTCCCTGTGGGGAGCGGGGAGGGATATTTCTGACTGAACCTCGTATTGGGTCCCCAGGTGGTCTGCCCTATGGTGAAGACGCCGTCGTCCACAGCAGATGAGAGTCGTAGCTAGGGACTATCCCATCCTGACCAAAGAAACAAGCCCAGCATGCGTGCCCTTCATCTCCCTGGCGTGCCAGATGGCAGCACGCCGCCATTTCGATTTCCCGATAGTCCACCCAAACCAGCGGACCTGGACTACACGACAGCAGACTTCCCAGAGCCTAGACCACCGCCATCACCAAAAGCAACCACTCCAAGCTATCTCCTCCGGGTGCTCACCACGGCTCTGACACGAGGCGAGTTGACCTGGGCGGAGATCCTTGAACCGTCCCGATTCCATGCATACGGTTCCGCCATTCCCGGCCACGACGTCGTCGGCATCGTCGAAAAGGTATTTCGAGTAGAGGGCAACGAAACCGAAGCTTCTCCTCCAAAGTATTTTCCGGGAGACAAAGTATGGGCCCTCCTAGACTTCGACCGCGACGGCGCTGCCGCAACGTATACGATCGCGCTGGAGCATGAGCTCAGCCTCGTGCCGGCCATCCCACCGCACATCACCAACATCAGCCCATCGCAATGGAACGCCGTGCTCGCCACCATTCCGCTCTCGGGTCTGACTGGCTACCAGGCCCTCTTCTCGCACGGCCACCTCCCGCCATCATCCCTCTCCACTCCCGATCCCCGACCATCCCCCCAACCACGCGTCCTGATAACCGGGGCATCCGGCAGCGTCGGGGCACCGACGCTCCAACTCGCCAAAGCGGCAGGCTTCCACGTCACAGCCGTGTGCAGCAGCACGTCCCTCCCATTCGTGACAGACACCCTCCACGCCGACGCCGTCATCGATTACACATCCGAGTCCTTCACTAGCATCCCCGACGCATTCGCATCTCGCGCCCTCGCGCCCGTCAACCTGGTGATCGATTGTACGGGCTCCGCCCTGCTCCAGCCGATCCTCTCCTCGCCCGCGAGCATGCTGGTCCGCAACGCCGGGCGGATCGTCACGGTCGTCGCGCCCCTCGCCGTCATCGCGGGGAGTGAGACGCAAGCGGCGGCGAATCAGGCCGCGCTGGACGAGGCGGGCGTGGCGGCCGACTTCTTCATCGTGAAGCCTGACGGTGTCGAGTTGCGGGTTCTGGGGAGGTTGGTGGAGGAGGGCCGCTTGAGGGGTCTTGTCGATGAGGTGTTTGCGTTGGAAGACGGGAGGGATGCGATGCAGGTCGTCGAGAGTCGGGGTCGGAGGGGTGGTGGGAAGGTTGTGTTGAGGGTCGCGGAGGAATAGCTTCTTACTTATTCATGGGCCGTGGAGGATTTCGGGGGATGTTGTGCTAACTGGAGTGGGTGGAGGTCGTAGTCTAATTGACGGTTGATGACCGTACGACTTTTACCACCTGTGGCTTCGGGTGAGTGCCTCTCGTCGACAGGCTGTAAGTGGTATACACAAATAAGCACACCAAGAACGGTCTATTTCTGTCTGGAACTCGTCGTCTTGGATTGACTGTATCATATGGAAGATAAAGGATTCCATGGCGTCTGATCCAGGGACTGGCTTAGAAGCGTCTTCGCAACTCATAACGAGGTGTCGCAAGGCGTTTTTGGACTGAAAGAAAAGCCGAGAAAGATGAAATAAAATTGTGGTCTCCCTGCTTGAAGAGAGCAGCTTTCAAGTGCCTAGATACCAATGCATTTGAATTCTTGATACGCGCGTGCGGCCATCTCGCAGCGGCTTTTAGATAAATGCAAAAAAGGTGGTCGACTAAATAATGACCACCGAGTAAGTTGGTTTTTCCCAGGTCGTCATCAACTCCACCGATCCTCCATTAACACCACGCAAAGTTCTGATTGCTATACCTCCATGCGCCATGCGGGCAGGAAACGCTTCCATCCAGGTCACTCCAGAACCGAGCTGATGCCTCATGATCATTCATTGTCATTAAACGAATTGTCTGACACCATATTGACGGCCACCTAATATTGGTATGGCGGAGCTGAAGTAAATCTCCAGCTTCGATCAAGGGGTTTTGAGAGTCCCTAATCCTTGGCCTCATTCACGACAATGCTGCCACTGCCTTCCTCTGCTTCTTCCGCTTTGGCTGCTTGTTCCGTTCTGGCTTCACCTTCCGCGTTGGCAACTTCTCGCTCGATCCGACCCTCTTCCGCTGCTTGTGCTTTGGCAATGTCGTCATTGGTATCCTCTGGCTCGGGTTTGATGACGGCTTCGGGCTCAGGTTCAACTTCGCCCACGGGTTCAACGGGAGCTGCCGCAGCTGCAGGGACCGCTGCGACATCGGGGGTAGGCTCCCTTGCGGGTTCAGTGACCTCTGTTGTAACAGGTGGTGCTGTAAGTGAGATGGTGCTTGCCGGAGGAGGTGCCTGTTCCTCAGCAGGTGCGGGATCTTGTTGGGGAGATTGAGGAGGAGAGTCTGGCGGCGTTCTCTGCTGTTGTACTGTTATTGTCGACTCTTCTTCAGGTGGCGCAACGTGGTTGGTGGCTGAAGCATCATCCCCATTGACGTCCGCATCCTCCATCTCGACATCACCATCTTCGGCAGATGGAATGTGAGCTGGGGATTGCGCGGTTGAGATGACAGTGGAGCCGTTGATGACTCCATCGGTAGCACTTGGGCTTGCCATTGGTTGCTCAACCGAGTCAATGTTCATTTCGTCTGCATCATCCGGTACGCTCGAGCCTTGCATTGGGGTACCAACTGCGCTGCCAGTCTCGACACCTGAATCGTTCGCAGCAACATCCATGATGTTACGAAAGTTGGCCTGTATATTGCGTCGTCTGCGTGTCGATTGCTCATCGGGATCTTCGTCCTCGCTATCAGAGTGTTCGCCATTCTTCTGCACGTACTTGTCAGATCTGCGCTGGGTGTGGCGCTTATCTGGGTGTTCATCCTCGTCCATGTCGTCGAGAGCGGCCTCGTCGTCGTCGTTGAGTCCCAAGGAGTCTCTTGGCACATCTGTCATCTGGACTGAGGGTGCGTGGGCAGTCCGCTTCATGTTCTCGAGTACTTGCTGGAGGATCTTTTCTAGATACTCTCTCGAGTTGGCGTTGTCCATGTTTGAGGGTCGAACATCCAGCTCGTAGTCGGGAGCGTAGTACTGGACCAGTCAGTCATCAAATTGTGAAAAGGAGTTGATTTCTTACCTCGTAGTAGTCATTGTAGGGCAGGTTGGCCGGCATGTTTTCACCAAGCAAACAACCCGTCTCAAAGGCCCAAGTCCTCGCCACGTTTCTCATCGTGTAGCCACCACCACCAAGGATGAGTGTGGGTAGATTAAAAGATTTGACGAATCGGACACAGTTGGCGTGGCCTTTCATGCTGAGGTTGAAACAACCTAAACGATCACCTGACAAACTGTCACCACCACACTGGAGAACAACAGCCGACGGTTGGTAATATTCCATGGTGGCTCGGATGACAGGTTCGAAGATGCCCTTGTATGAAGCATCGTCAATGCCATCGCGGAGAGGGAAATTGACCGCGTAGTACTTGCCGCCGCCAACACCGACATCCCGGAGCTCGCCAGTGCCAGGGAAATACTCTCCATATTTGTGGAACGAGGCAGTCATGACGCGGTCTGTGGTATAGAAAGCTTCCTCCACCCCGTCACCGTGATGGACATCGATGTCGATGTACAAAACTCTCTTGTGAAATCTGAGGAGTTCAATGATGCCGAGGACAATGTCATTGACGTAGCAGAAGCCCGAGGCTTCACTCTTTTTGGCGTGATGGAGACCGCCTGCCCAGTTGATGGCAATGTCAGCTTTTTGGCGGTTCAGTCTGGCGGCACCTTCCATAGAGCCTCCAGCACTGATGCCGCAGAATTCGAAGAGGCCGTCAAAGACTGGACAGTCGTCTCCGACGTTGTACTTCTGCTGCTCTTTTTGATAAGACTCCATATTGTCTGGAGTGACTTTTGCGAGAAAATCGATATACTCGTCGGTGTGGAATTGGGTCATTTCGTATTTGGAGGCGGGCTTTGCTCGATAGATCTCCATCTTTTTATAGAGGCCATAATTCATTACCAAGGAGTGAGCCAACCGTATTCTGTGAGGCTTCATGGGATGGCCAGAGACATAGGCATAGTTTCCGACATCTGAGTCATAGAAGTAGGCGACGCGTTTCTTGGAATCATCACCGTTGACACGGATCGAATCGACAGGTGCGAAAGAGTTGGACATGATGAGGAGAAGGCAGATCCTCTGCTGCGAAGGCTCTCGTTTGAGACTCTCACTGCCGGTTCAATTTCAGGATTGCTCTCCAGAGCAAGTCTAAGAAATGGGTGCGCAGGAGAGTGTTGACTCGAGGTCGTCGCGGAGAGGTTCACCGGAGAGGGAGGAGAGGGTGGTTTGAGAGATCGGAAGCAATTTTCTGTGTAAAACGAATTTATTTACCGGCAGACATGAAAGCTATGATACAAGGATATCGAAGGAGAATGCTCGCGAATGGTGTTCAGTTGATCATGAGGAGCGGTAAATGTGCGAGGGCAAGGAGAAACTGAAGGTGAAATTGAGAGATGAAATGCGAAAGAGGGATCTCCAACTTCTGGTAGAGGAACTTGAACCAGAACCTCATTTGGGTGGAGACTCTTTGGTGGGCACAGGACAGGCATTACTGGGGATCCATCCTATTGAGCGAAACGATGGATGGTGGATTCCATTCCACGTGGTCACGTGACCTAGGCGAACCTGCCTGTCCTGTCCGCCGCCGCAGGCCGCCAGGAACACGCACTGCAGGAAAGAGCAGTCCTCATCGGGAGCACTCCAACTGCAACTCCATCTGCACTGTATCTGAAGTACACACCCATCGTCAACATTTGGCCTTTTTGTCAGCCATTACACCACCAATCTTTTCTTTCCCACACTTATATCCTCTGGTTCAAGAATCTCCAAAGTCTCCTTTATCATCTACATCCGACTGCTTTATTGGGACCTTCTCACCTTTGCTTCAATCGGCGCAGCCACGCCACCCTCAACCTCCGTTCAATCCTCCTTCCTCCATTCTTCTACTTTCTCCTCTTCACAGCCAACACCATGGAGCGTTTCAATCGAATGCTGGCCGCCGCTCAGGGCATGGGCATGGGTCAAGGTGCTGCCGGCGGTGACACGAACTTGGTCGATAACTCCGAAACCGTCTACATTTCATCCCTCGCCTTGTTGAAAATGCTCCGACATGGGCGTGCCGGTGTACCGATGGAAGTCATGGGCTTGATGTTGGGAGAATTCGTGGACGACTTCACCGTGCGCGTGGTGGATGTCTTTGCCATGCCTCAGTCGGGAACCTCCGTCAGTGTCGAGTCCGTCGATCCAGTCTTCCAAACCAAAATGATGGATATGCTGAGACAGACTGGTCGCCCCGAGACCGTGGTTGGATGGTATCATTCTCATCCCGGCTTTGGCTGCTGGCTGTCCAGCGTCGATATCAACACACAACAGTCTTTCGAGCAATTGACTCCTCGCGCCGTCGCCGTAGTGGTCGACCCCATTCAATCCGTCAAAGGAAAAGTGGTCATCGATGCTTTCCGGTTGATCAATCCGCAGACGATGATGATGGGACAAGAACCTCGCCAAACGACATCCAATCTCGGTCATCTCAACAAACCATCCATACAAGCTCTCATCCACGGTCTGAATCGTCATTACTACAGCATCGGCATCCAATACCGCAAGACCGGCCTTGAGGAGAACATGTTGATGAACCTGCACAAAGAAGTCTGGACGGAAGGTCTCGAACTACCACACAGCTTTAGCAACGAACGCAAACGCAACGAAGAAGGATTGCAACAACTCGTCTCGCTCGCCGATGGCTATGAGCGGAGAGTGCGGGAAGAGAACGAGCTATCGCCGGAGCAGTTGAAGACGCGGTACGTGGGCAAAGTCGACCCGAAGAAACACATCGAAGACGTGGGTCAGCGGCTCATCGAAGACAACATCGTGGCTGTGTCAAGGCAGATGATCGACAAGGAAGCCAGTGTGGCGAAGAAGGCGCAACAGACCAACGGCAATGGGACCCATGCACTGCACAATGGCGACATGGATGTTGACGAGGAGTTGTGAGACAATATGTAAAGAAGAAAGGAGATCCCGAAGAACTTCTCATACCCCGGTGTAATTGTTCTGTAACTACGAAATAGGTACTCGGCCGGGGACTAGCCCTTCCCCCAATGGCTGAGGACACTGGACACGCGTGCATGCATGGCGTTGGGACTGATTCATCACAATCATATAGCTACACCAAAATGGCTAGAGTGAGACATTCGAGATGAGATAGATATCTACTTCTCGTTGAGATGAAATAAAATCAAAACTACCATCAAAGCGAACTTTGACACGAAACTGATGCATGCTCTTTGAGAGGATCTAAGATCGAAACGAGTAACCTCGATGGGTAGACATACACGGATTTATTCGGGAAAACGCAGAAGAATGTTTGCGAAGCTGGTGTTGCAATTTTGTGTTGCTGATTTATGTACCAAATCTTCCACCTAATCATCCGCTTCTACAATCGATCGATGAGGTAGGCATGGACTCCGTCATTGCCAAAAGACCATCTGTACACCGTCGGGGGTGGCGATCCGCTTGGTTTTGCCCATCAAGACCGTTTTGCCCTTGGCCTCTGCCTCGGCTCGAAGTCGAGTGACCAGTGGTCCCGTCGAGTCGATACTCGGGTTGCCATCCATGGTAATTAGCTGGATGTGTGGCATCACCCCCAGCACATCACGGAATAAATCACCGCAAAATCCAGTGTAGAAGTCTGGCGAGATGCGATATTTCTCAAACATCGGTCCGCTCGGATCCAGCGTCACGAACACTTTCAACGTCTGCACTGCAGTCAACCTTCCAAGACGTTTGGCCAGGAGTTTGCTGACTCGCCACGTCTTGGGTGGATTAGTCCAGCTGGATCCTACCGTCATCTCTAATTGCGTCACCATGGGCCGATAGACAGGCCGCAGTTCTGACACCAACGGATACGGCACGAAATCTTGGATAGGAAAGATCCTGAAGCTCTGCGAGCTGTAGAGAACGTAAGATGCCTCGAGATGAATTTTCTTGTCCACGGCCAAGATGGACGTACGGGACTTCTTCCTCCCGTCCAGTCCACGGTAGCCCACGCTTGTGAAGAGTACTAACGAATAAACGTCATTGCGGATTTCTGCAGGGAGGTCCATGAAAGGGAATGTTTTGACAGGAATAGTCGAGACGACCTCGGAGGCGACATTGACAGCAGGCGGCGATGTGACCAGACTGCTTTTCAGTGCCTTTTTTGACTTCTTGCGATCTTGTGGAATGGGGAAAGCGTTGACGAGGCCATCTCGCCACGACGGCGGCATCGGGGCCTCAAAATAGTGGGAAGAATGATCGACGCGCGTAAAAGACGATCAGGGATCTGGTTTTACACACTCATCGTGGAAATCGAGGAGGGGAGGTGATTGTCTCGTTCTTACGGGGCGACTTGAAGATCATGGGCTTGCCTCTCCTGCGCTCTTGAGGAGAACGATAAGATTCAGTCTGCCCAGCTAATACAACTCTTCGAACATATGGGTCTGTGGACGGCGAGTCAAATTATTCTGGGGGATTCAACTTTCTTTGTTGGAGAAAAGAGAAGAAGAAGGAAGAGAGGAGGAGAAAGGCGGCAAAGAAGGTCATGCATGAGGAGAGTTTCTCCGCTCGGGCTCTTTCCCGCCAAGCCGGCAAAGATTTTTGAGGAAGGAGCGCTCCCTTCCGGGTAAGTTCCCTCAATCGCTAGTTAATGGTTAACGACGTTGGATAGTGACCTTAGCGTGGATTCGAAGCGTGACCAGATTCTCCAACTTGCATTCACGGGCTCATCAGCACCTTTTTTCCAAAGACCATTGAAGACCACTGCACGCCGCCGCGACCAGCGCCACCTTTAGCATTCCGAAATCTCAGGACATCTCCCATCGCACTTTGTGAATGGGCATGCTGATTTCACAATGCTAAGACGGGCTGCTCTACCTCTCCTGAAGCCGCGACAATTTCAATCTGCAGTCGTCCGGCAATCACTTCCCCAACTTCAACTGCGCTCCTATAGCCGGCATCCCAACCCTTCACAAGGCTACCAAGTTCCCTCGTCCTCCGAAAAGCCATCCCCAAAAGCCAAAGCCTCTCTTCGCGACGTCCCATCGCCGTCCACGAATTTCACACCTCGCAAAGAGGACCAGCCCCAACCCGAAGAGACAACTTTTGGCCAAGATCCAGCGCGTGACCTCGATGATGTCTCCGAGTCGGTCAACCAGGCCGGTCAACGATCGGTCAGAGAAGACGATAAACAATCAGTGAATCCCGAGGTCGAAGAAGTAGCTGAAGAGCCGCAGCAGCCCCTGCCGGACCTCACACGCGGCATTCCGTCGACATTGGATGCCGAACTGAATCAAGCACTGAGGGCCAAGCAGAAAGCATCTTCATCCTCATCCAGTCTCAACATCACTGAAGAGCCTTCGGAAGAGGTACCCTCCCCGGGTGGTCAACGACCAGGCGATGACATACCCCGAACCGAATACATCTCATCGAGTGATCGAAAGAAGAATGCTGTTTTTAGGTATATGTACATCGTCCTCGGTCTCGGTGCCATTGGCTATTCCGTCTACCTGGGCCGAAACTGGGATACACCGGAGGAAGAAAAGGCTCACGAAGACGCACCTTCCGGTTGGGGCTTTGGCTTGTTCTTCAACAGAGTCAGGGCACGCCTCGGATCGACCATGAGCTACTATCGCGATCCTGTGACGAGAAAACTTCTACCTGACGAGGATCCGGACCCAAATCTGCGGTACCCCTTCACTCTCGTGGTCAGTCTCGAAGATATGCTCATCCACTCGGAGTGGACCCGTGAAAAGGGATGGAGGGTGGCGAAACGACCCGGTGTCGATTATTTCCTCCGTTACCTGGGAAGCTACTACGAGATCGTGCTCTTCACCAGCCAGCCAATGGCTATGACAGACCAGATTCTCCGCAAACTTGACCCCTATTCCACCATTCGATGGCCGTTGTTCCGTGAGGCTACACTCTACAAGGACGGCGGTTATGTCAAGGTAGGCAACGTTTCCGGCAATATTGCATGACGAGGCTAACAAGCTCTAGGATCTGTCGTATCTAAACCGAGATCTCAAGAAGGTCCTCATCATGGACACCGATCCACATCACGTCAAGCACCAGCCAGAGAACGCGATCCTGCTTCCCAAATGGACTGGCGATCCAAATGACCAGACGCTCATCCAGATGATCCCATTCCTGGAATATGTTGCGACCATGGGGTTCGACGACGCACGAGAGGTGTTGAAATCGTTTGAGGGCAAGTATATCCCGGCAGAATTTGCCAAGAGGGAGAAGCTCCTCCGAGAAAAGTTTGAAGCCGCGCAGGCAGAGAAGAGAAAGAAGCCCAAGAAGAGCATCGGGGGCATCGGCGCCATGCTGGGCCTCTCGAAACCACCTGCCGATGCCGCTGAAGACGGTTCCCTGGAAGGCAAGATGGTCTGGGATCGCATTCGAGAACAAGGTCAAAAGAACTATATGGAGTTTGAGAGGAAGATCAAGGAGGAAGGCGAGAAATGGCTGGCTGAGCGTGAGGCCGAGGAAAAGAGGATGCAAGAAGAAGCCATGAAGAGCGCCATGGGTGGGTGGTTTGGCTCATTTGTAGGAGGTGGCAAGAAGGCTACTGAAGATCCTCCAGCTGTCGAGGAGAAGCAATCGTGAAAGGCGATGTAGAATAATGTTGAGTGTATCATACGATTGGACTGGCCACGACCCACGGGCTGTATACATACCTAGGTAGCCTGGTTGCAGGCGGCACTGACGGGACGATCGAGAAATAATCTCCCTTCATGTAACAACGGACGGATCACAGTCTCTATTTGCCGATTTGCAGCCTGGTCAGGGGAGGTGACTTGGGTCAATCTGCGGACGAGCAATGTTCGATTGTTCTCCAGCGTCTTGTCGATCTGCACGGCCGCCTGTCGAGACTCGAGAGGTGAAACAGTCGTGGTAGAAAGGGTCGGTGAAATGTTGCATCTACTCGAGAATATGAAGTACATTGTGTTTGATGTCAGCGGAATGGATTCTCGTTAGATCTAACCCCCACAGGTGATGGAACTTTATGGTCTGACACCCAGTGATTACAGGCGGCTTGTGCCTGGTCAGACTGTGCGAATTGGTGGGAATTTAAGCCTCTTGACGAGCTTGTCAAGTGATGGACCTCGGGCTGTTCTAAGAAAAGAACCGTCAACATGCTGGGGGCGAGAATGGCTAATCCACGACCCCAGGCTAAGGTGCCTAGCTTCACTCCAGCGGCCGATTCTGGTGATAATCGTCCCGGGCCTTGGGGGGAGACTTTCGGGCAAACCTTAGGGCACGTTAGGCACATGTGAGGCCTCCCCGGTTGATGGTTAGACTTGCCCAAGGGCATGCCGCTCTCTGCAGCCTCTCTACATGCTCTCGACGCGATTGGCATATCATCTCGCTTAGCCACTGGGACCTTTGCCTAAAGCGTCCTTGACCAGAGTCTCTTGTGGCTACCTCCCGAACACCCTGAATTGAGTTTGATGCCCTTTCAGCTTGGGAGCGTCCACTGGAGTGCTCTCTGGGTACTCCGTAGGTGACTCTGGTGTTCCGTCCGCTGACCCCAACTTATCCATCACTTGGGAACTGGCCACACACATCTTTTGACGTCTTGAGCCTGATCGTTCTCATCAACCATCGTACCTCCGATCGTCTTTCATCAACAACATCTCGTCGATATGGTCAGCAACTGAGTCAGCCATCCCATCGTCATCCGTTCGCATCAACAGGGAGGTGTGCGCGGTGCTGTTTTGTGCAGCTAAATCGCCTGGTGCCTCGCGACGCGTTCATGGAGAGTCATGGATGTTTAGCGTGCCAGTGCCCATCAGCCATGTCAATCTGCTTCAACGTCTCGACACTCCTCCATGCTTCATGAGGAGCCCTGTGATTCATTAGCATCATGACACCCAAAGTGCTGGTGCGTCCTGCTTCCAGAGGCAGTTCGAGGGAATCTTACGACGGAATCTCGCCTCAGCCACTCGACCTAAATCATGAGGCTCCAACTTCTCCGTCTCGGTCACATGATCATCCACCGACCATCGATTTTCAGCCAGAATCTCCAGCCACCATTCGTTCAAATCATCAGAGCAGTCGCAAACCCGCGGTGAAGTTCCACGAGTTGCCGGTCAAAGCGATCTCCAGGTCTGTCCTTGCCTCGACTCGCACTTGCTCCTCTGAAGCTGTTGTTGTGACGAAGCGAGCGACGATGTACTGACAATCTACAGGATTCTTTGGTCGGTGGATGCCAATGATTTTGCCTCTTTGGCCATTCTCAATCGCGCTTGGTACGCCGTTGCGCAAGACCGGGATCTCTATGCACATCATCTTTCTCGGTGTCCCTCCTACGCTCTCGCCAATACCGTCATCACCGGGCCGTTTCGAAAAAACGATCTGTACCGGTTGAAATCAAAGTTTGCCGCAGAGGTCCGCCGAAATCTATTCCAGGCTTATCTTCGTCCTCGGCAGACGCTCATCAACCTGATCTCGGTCAATGCAAGTTCATCGGCCGCATTGCCTGGCGCGGAAGCTTTCCGGTTCGCCTTTTCGCCCAATGGTCAGACCATCCTCGCTCTGAGCTCCTCGAGGATCTATGTCATCGATGCGACCACGGACCCTATTGGTGTACGGAAGGAGCTGAAGACTCAGAGAAGACCTCTCTCGGCTTCTGTCACTGACGATGGAACCATTCTCGCCGTGCTCTCCTCACGGCATCAGGCCAATATCTACAACATTGGTCCTGACGGGGTCAAACATGTCCAGGTCCTCGTCATGGACAACCCACCAAGGACGATTGCGCTCGCGCCCGAAGGTACCGTTCTCGCAGCCGCTTACGAAGGTGGTGTGGAGGTATTTTCTTTGGCCCCCAGCGCTCTATCCACGGATCGACGAGCAGTACGAAGCGAAGGAGTCGACATCCTGGGTTTCTCGGGAGACGGTTCGATGTTGGTAGGTAGCACTCAAAGTCTCGAAGAACCGTCGTCGGTTGTCATTACGGCACCGTTTTACACCGAGAACGATCTACCGCCCAAGGAAGTCCACAGTCGTATGTGGACTACCCAGATTCTCTTTCCCCAGATCAGCAGTATCTGCAGTCATGCAGAACTACTTCAAGGCCATACAGAGGGAGATGCCAACTGGCTGTTTGCATACGACCACACCTTGATGTCGTATCGAGCTGTTCGAACGGACGACACACGCACGGGCGTGGCCTATTTCCTGAATCCTGCCAGCGCACGGCGCTTTAGTTTACCCGCACCGTCAACGGCGCCAACGGCGACTGTCTGCGGCACACTGGTCGTTGCAGCTTTCAGTGGGAGTGGCCTGTGGATCTACGGTGTCCCAGAAAAACTCGACGTGAGCCCTGATATGGGTTCCGTGGTCGAAAGCCACGAAAAACGTCTTCACGGACGGGGGGTCTCTTTGACGTCGGCGACCGGTCACATGGAACCCTTGATGGCGTATTCACCGTCCATATCAGGAAGCAGTGAAGACTTCGAAGACGATTCGATCGCTGCCAAAGTCGACTGGCGAGAGAGTCTGTTTGTCAAATGCCAGCAAATTCGTAGCATCGACGGTTGTACGGCAGTCAAATGGGTCGAGAAAAGTGACGACCGCCCCTGTGCTTTTAGTGGGAAGAGGTTGGTCGTGGTGGCCCCCGGAGGCGTCAACCAGTTTGTGGAAGAATTGGGTGACGAGACCATGCCGGTAGATGGCTCTCGTGTCTCGATCCTCGATTTTGATTATGCCCCTTCAATGGCAGCTGACCGTGAAATCACAATCGAAGTTGGTGAGGAAGAGCCCGAGCTTCTGACGGAACAGATTGGCGACATGGATATTGAGGTCGCCATGGAGCGACGGCGGACGGTCCGGCAAAGAGGTGGAAGGGGAATGCCTCTTGGTCGCTCGATCACAACTGCGTCACCCTCTCAGGGGTTGTGGAATCAGCGACGTCAAAGTTCATCACAGCCAAACTCTCCTCTCGATGTAGATGCACAGATCGAGAGGGCACAGGCACAGGCACAGGCTGAAGCGGCCCGTTCGCCTCGAACTCCCTCCTCGGCCACTCTGCACCGGTCTGCCACCGCCGCTGGATTCACTACCGCTCGGTATCCACCCCGACCCCCTCTCGCTGCGCCAGGCGATGACAGCGGGCATGTTATGTACCACCGAGCTCCTGGGCAAATGTATCCGCCGGGGGATGGCTGGGAGTCTCCCCCTCCTCCATACACCAACAACAGCCACGGATCGCCACATCTTCATCCAGGAGCCATGCTCGGCTCTCCACTAGTACAACCGCGTCAAATGCAAGGCCCACCTACGTCACCAATGCCCTTGCTGGGTATTCCAGAGAACGTCAACCTACAAATGCGCGGGCAGGGACAACCATCCTCATTTACTGCTAACCACGTTCCCCCCATGCCTCCGACACAGACACAGCGTCCATTCCAAGTCTCCCCATTTGCGGCCCAGAACGTCTCTCCCATAACCCCGATGGGTGGGAGTGGTATCAACGGGCTACCACAACCCAATCACTACGGTGGAGCTCCTCCAAGAAGTGTGTCTGGACCCAGCATCGTCTCGAGTGGATCCAACGGACCGTTACCGCCCATGAATCCAGCATTCGGCGTTCCTGTCCTGCCTGTTTCGAGAGATTCTTCCTCTCGGCCAGTCTCTCACGATGGGAGACCGTCTCCCTTTCAGACCCCAAATTCTCAGCGCGTTCCAGGTGATCACCCACGTCCCTCACCACCACCTATGGACAGCCCTGTCATTTCTCAACAGCAACAGGCACAGAACCGCCTATCAAACTCCTCCGTGACCCTCACGGGTGCAAATTTGCAAGCTCGACTGAATCACCCCGTCCCACCAACACCTCCATCGCTGGAGCAACTGCGCCCTTCACAAGAGAGCCAGCGGAGACATCAGGTAGCGCAACCGAACGGCCTGACCCAACCGCCCACTCAGGCTACGCCTGGAATGCCATATGGTTTAGGATTTGGGCCAGGCGATCCCATGGCCAATGTGGCCCGCCAGCCGTCATCTGCTCAGCGAAAACCCGTGCCGTACACTGCAACTAACGGCGGCGCTTATGCGACCCAGAACAACCCAAATCGAAATTTTAGTGGTGGCCCCATGGGTCAGAACACTCAGAACTCGTCGATGAACAATGGATGGAACGCACCAGGCGGTGCGGGTTTACCGGCATTCCACAAACAACTGGGTCTGCCAAATGGGGACATCAGGCACGGTTCTCGAGGCAGCGGAAACTCGAACCCAATGTCATCGTCCACTCCCGACCTCCTGGCCGGGATGAACCACCAACGACCGATGCCCGGTCGGCTCGACACGGGTCAAGGTCCGCTTAGACAGACAGACCCTCGACTCTATCCTAACCACCCAGGCCATGTCCCTTCAGCTTCCACGGGCATGTACGGCTACCCACAGCAACCCAACCATAACCCACAACTCCACTCCCAACCATCCCTCCAAGCCCCTTACCTCCAGCAACCCGGCCAAATGCCAGGATCATGGCTGACTCCAGATGCCCCTGAACTGCGCGGCCGACGAGTCTCATCCGATCCGACCATGCTGGAAACACCGTCGAAGAAGAAGAAAGCAAAGCGGAAGAAAGGCGACCCGATCGCCGGCCCCGGCAGATCCCAGACACCCATGCCGGGGCCGGAGGCAAGCCAGCAACAACAACAACCTCAGGGGAAGAAATCAAGTCGCTGTGTGGTAATGTGAATGAAAAACGGACTAGAGGAATCTTTGCGCATGTGATTGCGATTGTGCGGAAAGCGAACGAAAAGTCGATGGGATTTGACATGGTAGAGAAATATGTCTCTCTCTTTCTGCTCGATCTCATTGAACCCCCTTTTCTATGATATGTGTGTCCTCCCTTTTTTGGCCATAGGAAATCTAAATATCTTTTATGTGTTTCTATGTCCGGGTTTGTGCCTTGCAATCTGTGACCAGTGCTACCTTCTCCACCACGCCTTAACTGAACGTGCTTTCCTGCTCTCGCTCGAGACAGCCTTCGGAAGCTCATGTTATCGACCCGGTCGCGACAAACTCCTCCCAAATCATACGCTCTTCAACCTCTTCCTCGTCGACTTCTTCATCAACCGTGCGTGATTTCGTGGCCTCTCGCTCAAGGGTCTCTGGGCTTCTTCAAGTGGGTGAGAATGCCTCGAACCACTGGTGTCTACACAACAAACGACCCCATGGCCAAGAGCTCAAATCGCCGTTTAGTGATGTAAAGGACATGGACTTGAAAGCGCTTGCTTTCGATGTGTTTTGTGGAAATCGAGATTCGGGAAGTGAGTAGAATTTAGTTTTGTAGAGGAATATTTGCTACTTTCTGTGTAAATATGATCTCAATTACCGAGCCCCTTTTCGAGAAAATGGAAACATCCCTTCTTTGATTTACAGGACAATCAATCAAGTCTATAAGTCCCTGCATAAAGTGCCGAGAGCGCCCTTCAACCTTCCTTTCTCCCAGAGCCTGCTTGTTAGATTAGTCTTGCTTTCCACCACGGCCATGAAATGATGCTCCATGTCTACCTAAGTTCCTATGTCAATTTCAACGCCATTTTCGCCATTGACACCTACAGAATTGATACTGCTGCTAAGCACGAGGAAAATCTAGAGCGTCCGATGAATTCATGACTCGAGTTGAGATGAGAGAATAGAAAGGGGTCGAAAGTTGGGGTGCTAAGTAAATTATTGAATAGCATTTGACGCCAGGTAAAATGGTTCTGTCTAGCTCTAATAGTGGCACGGACATATCTCCTCACTGTGAAAGGAGGGTTCTTCTGTCGAATGCGCTTGGTGAGCTGTTTGCTCGTGCTGGGGCAGACCTCCGCTAGCTTTCGTTACCAGTCTCCGCTGGTGGATTGAATTTGATGAACTCGTTTTTGAGCTCTTCGCTCGTCCGCGCCGGGCGGATTAGCAGTGGCTTTCGTAACAAGTTTGGCGCGGAGGCATGTCCCTCATAGCTCTGTCAGCCATTCTGTTGGCGTAATGACATCGATGCTTTCACCGAACAGTTGTTCATGTTATTCTTCGACCTCCTTTAAACGCTCACCGGTAGTATTTCTCCATGTCCGAGGGAATCATGCTCCAAAGAGCCGATTGCCTTGGCTTTATATTCCCTTCACGATAGGTGGCCTCCCAGTCGAATTCCAATTGATCCTCCGTGAACCACGTGGACTTGGGCATGGGAAACCTGAAACAGAACTCGTTGGGTAAGATCGTCAGTCTGTAACACCAAGTTTTGGCGTCGACTCGCCCTATTACCTCGACCGGCAGCTCGCTCGGCGTGATCATTGCCCTATCTACACTGGGATCACGCTCATCTTCGGACTCTTCGTGGAAGACTCGTTTTGGATCTATAGCCCCATGCCTCAAGCGAACTGCGGAGATCTCAAAAGCATTTTTCGACCAGTAAGCGCCCTTGCCATCATCCTCCGCCCATAAGCAAAGAAATTTAGCTTTGATACGAAGCCAATGGCCTAGCTCAAGCGCCGCTTCATCATCGTGTTCTTCCAACTTCCCCGTGCCTTCATCGTGTGTATGAGCGCTTTGCTCCCCGGCTCGTTCATCGCGCATATCACCCCGAGATTGTTCATTCAAAACAGGTAAGTTTTTGTCTTCTGGAGCAATCCAACGCTTGCCAGTAGCTTCAGCAGTCTCACTTTGGTCCGGAAGATCAGCCATACGGTCCAAAGGTGGTGTTAGAGTGCTTGGACTGTCGCTGTCTGAATCTGCGCCCGACTGCTCAATAGCAGCAGGAGGAGTACGCTCTTGCATCTGGACGCCTTGAAGGTAGCAGGAATCTTCCACGCTGAAAATTCCAGAGTAGTGGTGGTGCTTCTCGCCGAATTGAAGCTTGTGCTGAATGTAGACTGCTTCAACAACAGTACTTGTGAATAGTTCGGTTAGGTCGCTCGGTCCTCGGTTGCGTACGGCGAGAAGATGAGCTCTAAGGACAGACATTCTGTACTTATAAAGATATGCGGACCGTCTTCGAGTCGCTGCCTCAGATGCGCTGCCTCCGAACCGCTTTCTTTTGAGAGACTGCCTTTGAATCACTGCCTTTGTAGGCTTTGTCTTCAAATCTCTTCTTTTCATTGTTGATTTTCTTCGCCCTAGCTAGCAATGCTCGCTAGCGAAACTGGATCCATTTGGGAAAAGGGTAGTACCGGTCGACTCAAATTGTCGCGCATGAAGGAGGTGCGAATGTTCTTCAAGCAGTTATGTGCTGGCCATGGGTCTCCAACCCCTAATGAAAAAAGCATCACCAACCAACTAGACGTACTCAAGAATTCTCCCACATCCTATGATCTCTTCGCGTCACAGGTAGTCTCCTTTGCAATGCACGGTCTCATCCATGGAGCCGCCTATTGTTCCGTCAATACCCTCAGTGGCATTGGTGAAGCGTGCAAGGCCGCATCACCAGCATTCACATCATCCTTGACCTCAGCATCCAGATCGACCACGATGTTGGCCTCATCCTTCATTTCCACGTCGATGTCCTCTTCTTCCATAGGCCCAGCTTCGGCATCAAAAGCCAATTGTCCTTCAGCCTACCACATGGCGTCCGCGACGGGAAATTCCGTGCTGCCCGACATATACAGTCGATAGTACCACATGTCTTCGTCCAATAACTTCTCTATCTCGCTCTGGGCGCGTCCCTTGAGCCATTCTGCATTGCGTATACTATTGATCTGATTGCCGTTGTCGTAGTATTCTTCACTACGCTTGTCCTCGTCCTCATCAAAGTCCAAATATTCGTGGCCCATGCGACTAGCGGTTATCTGATATGGCATTTTCGACCAGTAAGATCCCATGGTATTTTTCTCTGCCAATTTGCTGTCCTGTTGACCTAGGATGCGAACGTAGTCACCTTTTTTGAATGCTGGTTCGTACTCATAGAAGTTGTCGACACTCAATCCGTCGTTTACATCATTCTGAGACGCATCTTCATTCTGATAGTAGCTGGCAAGAAACGAGCGAATATCGTCTTCCGGGGCATTCCATCTTTCGGGGACGTGAAACTCACTCTCAGTCGGACTTGGGCTATCATCGCCCGACCAGTCCGACATAGTAATTGCGGTGCTAGAACTAGGTGTCATAATTTGAGAGCGGTGGATGCTGGAAGGCGCGCTTGAAAGCTCGGCCTCTCCCTGGGCAGCTTCTGTTGATTGTGCCATGCGAATCGGCTTTGGGAAGATGGTCATCTGTGGGCTTCGCACGGGGCGTGCTGTCTTGACTTATTTCAATGATGAGAAAGGAAGATCCTTGATTCAATGGATATTGAGGATGTTATGAGATCGAGCGGTCGTAGGCGAAAAGACCTGTGACTGAGGGGCAACTCAGGCAGAGTCCAGGTAATGGGTCAATGGACGTGCAAGGTCACTCGTTTCAAGGATGATGACACTAGAGTTTCATGGGTGATGGTGTACAAGACCAAGTACATGTTGCTGTATCAGACCGTGGGGTCTCATAAGTTCCAGTCAATCTGCAATAAAGAAGCATGGCTGAATTGAAACCAAACCAAAGTCAAGCTTTATCGCATTGCTAATTGATTGATATCGCAGATCTCGAACTGCAAGGCCTGTATTAAAGTGAATGATGGAATAGCTAGGACAGCAACGCAGGTTTTTAGAAACTCAATCATCACCATCGTTACAGAGCAGCCAAAATCCAAGCTTTACCAACGTCGCAGCAAAGGAGATACGTCTCCCTCCCGCTTTTACTCGTCATGAACAGCCTCGAAAATTCAGGGAGAGCGTCGCGATGGCCACCTCTCCATGAAAATCGTCCTGAATCCTTTTTTCGTCTGTCATCTCCTGATCACCGTAGTCCAAGGGCACCGTCTCCTCTTTGGCATCATCGTCCTCAATACCGGATCCACAGTCTGTCATCTGGTCTTCATGGTCCCAGTCCGCTTCAGTATCAAGGACGAGCTGGTCTTCCGCCCACCACGTAGCATCGGCCAGCGGATGCTCGTTATCCTCCGAAGACATGTCTAGTTTGTAATACCAAAACTTGGTATCTGGTGAACTCCCCTTCGCGCAGTAGCTCGGGGTATTCCTCGCATCGTGCTTACGATTACGCTGCCCGTCTTGCATCTCATCATCAGAGTCCTCGCTATATTCATCTTCATGATCATCGGAAGATTGCCCGACTGAACAGAATCCCTGTCCCAGAACATCAGCCGTGCATCGTAGGTCAGCTACCCTGTACAACTTCTTAGACCAGTAGCGCCCTGATCCGTCTTTCTTAGCCCATTTGCTATTCTCTTGGCCCTGGATACGAACACAAGCATCAATGCTGAATGCTGGCTCGTATTTATAGTCACCCGGAGTGCTATCATCCAACCAATTGTCATTGCTGTCGCTCCAATTCCACCAACTGTCTCGAAAATGGCGAGCAAGGGTACGCCAAACCGTATCTTCCGAGGCATGCCAGCCTTCATTAACATGAAATGCTCCTTCAACAGGACTATCAGGATCTGACCAGTCTGATGCGGCAATCGAAGCGGTTGGACTTGGTGTGAAAATTCGGGATTGGAGAATACATGGCGATTCGTCTGGAGACTGGCTGCTGGTCCACAAACCTTCCATGGCTGAAGGACTGGCAGGACCCGAAACCTTAGGTCAGGTAATCCTGTTGGAGGCAAACTCTGAGTAAGAGAATATGAAATTGTAAATGTGAAGGTCGTTGCTCTTTGATTTGAGGTAGAGCAGTCGAAGAAAGGCTATTATAGTTGGGTAGAAGCCCAGGCAGAACTCACGATGTTGGGCCAATATCGCCCGCGGCCATTCGTGACCAGGTTTCAAGGAGGAGAGGGCGCTTCTGGTCATGCAGGCATCTGCTGGTGGGTTTCACGAGTAGACTTGACGTATAATTTATAGACTAGGACAGGTGTAATCGATTTTGGGCCTAAGCAGTTGTGTTCGAGACCGTACCGCTGGCCACAGATCAACCTGCTCAACTACTGCTTTGTGTAGTCAAGCTATCTCGGATGAGGCTGAAACCTGCTGTTCGATGTCATTGATGTATTGAAACGATGCTTAGATGATCTGCTACTCTCACTTGTCCGTTGAAGAGGGTCCAGAAGAGATGTCGAAGTAAATGGACGGAGGACTTCACGACGGCAAGCCCAGGACTCGTACTCAGCATGCCAACGCTTGTAAGGAACCGACCCAGAATCCATGGGAACCGGCGGCTCAGAGTATTCCCATAAATGTTCAACCATATACGTCCATGTGATGATCTTGCAAGTACTCCATTATACCTGGCTTCAGGAGAAGTATTTGACGGACATAAGGAGTGTCGGTGGATGTAGTTCGGGAGCTAGGTTCTGCGAAGGTGATTTGTTGGGGCCCTGAGATGAGTGCCGCGGTGTTACATCACACCTGTCACTTTTTGTCATACATATATTTTTTTGACGGAAATTTTTCTCACAATAACCACAAAGTCTCGACCAACTGGGCCTTGATTGATTGACACTTTGGCGGAGTGGTTAACGCGATGCCCTGCTATCCTCTAGTCTAGGCATTTCCTTCGGGGTATGTGAATTCCTGGCTCAAGTGGTCAACCAAAAACTAACTCTCACCTAGAGCGCAGGTTCGAATCCTGCAGGTGTCGGTGTGCAAACACTTTTTTTTGGCACCTTTTTTGCTCGTTCTAAGAGAATTCTTTAGTCAGCTTACTTTCCTTGAGGGTTCTCGAACTCTAGGGATAGGGAATTGTAGCTAGAAACCCTACTACTATTACAATCGAGGCTCGTTTTGACTTATTCGACTAAGCTTAACACGGCTATATTAGATACGATCCTACCTACGCAGTCCCCAAGCACCGAGACTATTCTGTTAGCACCGCTAATCTAATCATACTCACATTGTATTTACCCCCAGATTTGTCTGTGTCCGCATAGGCTGTTCATGCCCGTTTGTGAGAGATTGCGCTTCTATCACGTTGTACTGCAAATCCAAGTTTCTGGCATACGTAACTATTCATATTCCACCAAGATCGAATTCGGGCAGCTGCCTAAGCATCTGAGCCTGCAATGTTGACACGAGCAAAAGCAAAGGTCGTCTCTGCCCCCCCGCCAAAGTCTCTCCTAACTTATTCTTCATCGCCTCATATGCGATATACGTCATTTTTCAAGCCTCCTTGGCGAAATGCGGGACATGGGTGATTAACGGGTTGCTTTCAGGCGACCAAGCCGCAAGGTCATCCTAGAACCTTGGTGGCTCATCATGAATATAAATACGTGAGTTGTTCGGGTAGGTGATTGAGAACGGCGAACCATGGAGACCACCTCAATCTTGCTTGAATCACAACATTTCAGACAACCTCCAAAAATATGGCCACGAAGAAAGTCGTTCTGATCACCGGCGCAAATGGTCATATCGGCTTCCGGGTCTTGGTGTTCGCACTGCAAGAGGGATACAAGGTGAGAGCAGCGGTTCGGAACCAAGAAAAAGCCAGCCGCATCTCGGCTGCACAATCAATCCGAGCTCTGGAGCCGGGAGAAGACCTGACCTTCTGCTTTGTGCCGGATCTTCTCCTGACCGGCGCTTATGACGATGCAGTGAAAGACGTCGACTACATCATCCACATCGCCTCGCCAATCGAAAGCGGAATTACTCCAGACCAGTATGAAACACACTTGATCCAACCTGCCGTCGGAGGGACTTTGGGCATTCTCACCGCGGCGCAAAAGTCTCCCACCGTCCGGCGCATCGTGATCACGTCCTCCATCGTCGCTTTGATCCCGTGGTACGACCTGTACGAAGCCGAGACAGGCAAAGTCTTCAACGAGCAAAGCCGCATTGACGACCTATCCGGCCCATACAAGAGCGAATCCGAGGCGTACGCGGCCAGCAAGGCACGAGCACTCAATGCTACAACGCGATTTTTGGAGGAAGAAAAGCCGCACTTCGATGTTGTCCACGTCTGCCCGAGCTGGGTCCTTGGGAAAGACGAGCTTGTCACGGAGAGCAAGTACATCACGGTCGGCACGAACGGGTCGGTGTTACGACAGGTCCTCGGCGTGAAGCAGGAGTCAGCGACGCCGTCGACCTCAGTCCACCTCGACGACGTCGCCACAGCCCACGTCAAGGCTCTGGAGCCAAGTGTTCCATCTAGTTACTGTCTGGTCGCGCAATCTGGTGGAGTGCAGGGAACGACCTGGAGCGATGCGATCGAGATCGTGCAGCGCCGCTTTCCCCAAGCCGTAGCTGCTGGGGTTTTGCCTAACAACGGCTTTGCATCGACCAAGCGGACCAAGATCGATGCGTCGGAGACTGCAAGGTTGTTGGGAATCGATTTCAAGAGCTACGAGGAACAGGTTGTCGGTGTGGTGCGGCATTACCTCGAGCTCAAGGGCGTCGAGCCGAGATGAAAGTGCCTGTTGGCCCCTGACAGGATAAGTGCCGATCTTCCTCTACAAAAGATTCAGACACGCCCATTGAGAAGTTTTAAAGGGGAAATTTTGAGCCATTGGCTGGCACGTTGTATTTATTCTGACCACCTCCTTCAGCAACCCATGTACATTGAGATCTCATTGACCTCTGATGGTCTCTTTGGAAGAACTCCCACAATTCTAACACTCTGCATCTTATTTGATCTCACAATCAGGTGAAGTATCTCGAGCAGCTGGTCATCGCCACAGCCTAAAACGCTCTGCCATGAGAATCGTGTGGTTGCCATGCAACTCTCAGACTCCTTTGCTGTTCAGCGCCATCATCCATATTCTCCACCACAAAGATGCATGAGACATGATCGACCAGTCCAGGTACTCTCCAACACAGCATCATCCATGTTCTAATTCCCATCTATGTCACCAATGCTTTCACCTTCCATGCAATTTCCCCCATCGGCCTCGAGGTCTGGCGGATGATAGTCTTCTTCGGCATTGAACGCCAGCCATCCTGCAGCGAACCAAGGCGAGAGAGTCCCAGGAAAGAGGGGAAATTGGCCACTATTGTACCAGAGCTTGTAGCACCATTCATACTTCTCACGTAAGTCACACCCATCACAGGGTTCGTTTCCGTCGGCACCAACGCAGTCGTGATCAAAGCTGTCGTCAGGAATGGCCTCGCGTGACGCAGTCATCTGCTCCTCCTCCCATTCCTCCTCGGTCCATGACTTCTCGTCCTGTGAAGGAAAACCACAGCGCCGTCTTGCAGCGAGGATGTGATATGTTGACTCTGACCAGTAACTTCCATCGTCCTTGTTCTTTTTTCCGAGTGTCGATGAGTCTGGTCCCTCCTGTCGGATGCACACCATTTGGCCGACTGAGAATCTGGGTTCAATCAAGTCAACGTTGTTGATATCGTAGGAATCGGTGGGCACGATATGTTCATCTTCACTGTCTGGGTGCTCCTGTTGGTCAATCATGTATTCGGCCATGATCGCTGCTGCTTCTGGTCCAGAAACATAGAAGCCGTTGTTGGTCTCGGTATCGGTGTCCGTCTGAGATTCTTCGTCTTCAACCGCTAATGGCAGCTGATGATGGTGACGTCGAGACTTGCCGCCAGCCATGTGGGGAGATTGCCAGAGACTGGTGTAGGTGTGGAGTGTGTGAGGAGTGTCTTGATTTGACTGAGAGAATTGGGGACTGCTACAGCGTTGTGGTGACAGATGGAGTGGACGCCGCACAGGCTGGTCTTGATGAACACGAGTCAGATACTGGTAGTTGAGAGAAAGAATTGGACTGGATGAGGAAAGTAAAGTAAACCCCAAGTGGGAGAAAGGGAAGCGACGAAACTTTGAGGGATTTGGCAACACAGGAAGGGAAAGGGAAAGGGCAATGGCGTGTCGGAAAGGCAAGAAGTAAAGGAAGGGAGGTGATTTGAGGAAGGCTGAGCTTTTCTGAAGTCAGCAACCTCTTGTTCTGGCTGTCTAAAGTACATAGTCTCGTCATCAGACTGGCAGCAAGTCGTCTTGATCGTTTATCGAGACAGAATAATATCACATGAGCACAGTTTGCACCCGCACAGCAGGTCAGCAACTTGTACTGCAATATTCACCATCTCAACATTGCAACAAAGCAATCACCAACATGGCTTCCACCTTACATGACCACGGCAAGATTGCATTACCCCCTGGTCTCCATCACAGGTGCGATTGCAAGAAGATTTCCTATTGATAGCAGTCTTTTCACCAATTCCAGAAGCGGCGGCGTTTCGCATTGTGTGGATTGGCATCCTCCTCAAAGTTATTGTTCTCAGCGCGACGCTTCTCTCCAATTTCAGGGTGGGCTGAATTGTTGCCTTGGGTATCGGTCTCATCGGTGTCCAAGTTCAAGTTTGGGAGTGAAGGATAGGTTGGTCGTACAGCACCGGCAATGCCTGTATCAGCCACTGCCTCCTTCTTCACTTCTTCCAAAGTCTCGTCAGTGATGGCCTTGTCAACCTCTTCATCATCGTCAATCACAACAACATCTGAGCCCTGAGCGGAAGGGATATCGGCAAGGCCAGTGGGAGAGTCAGATTCAGCGACAGCATCGTCCATTGCAGTATCACCGTCCTCTGAGTCGCTGTCATCATTGATGGGAATGTCTGTCAAGATCTCGCCGTCGCTCTCACATTCAGAAAGATCGTCCGTGGCCAGAGGTGCAAACTCGAGTTGAGATTCGTGCCAGAAGGCCACAAGAGGAACTGGTCCATTGGTACTGTCACTCATGTCGAGACGATAAAACCACTCGTTTCCTCTGCTTGTCCAATCAGGATTAGAAATGAAATCGTCTTCGTCCTCTGAATCAATTTCGGATTGTCTTTCAGAGGAATCAACACTTCCTGCGTCGAGATCTCTATCATCACTTTGCTTCTCGAATTCTTGGGACCTGAATTTTAGTAGATGGAAGATCTCATAGCCCTTGCGAATCTCGAGAATTTCAAATGCTTGCTCAGGTTCAGTCGACTCATCGTCAACCTCCGATTCTTTGTCGTTGTCATCATCGGCAAGATCGGCGTCATCACCGGTATCAACAGCCTCGTCATTTTCAACTGATGCTTCGTCATCCTCAAACTCGTCCTCATCGTCATCGGAAGTGTCATCTTGGTCAGTTTCATCATCGGATGAATCAGAAACAGCCCTGGTATAGACTTTGTCGCCAATATGGAAAAGAGGTTCATGGTCGGTAGTGAAATTGATATCATGGGGAATGTGCTCAATGCTTGAGTCAATAGCGTGATGCTGGAAAATAATGTCTACAGCTTCAGCGGTAGGGGCGAAATACGGCTCTCTAATTCCATTGACCTCAGGTTTCCATGGTTTGCCAACTCGAAATTCGCCTGCAATATTCTCTGTGGTCATGACGGCAGTGTCTGAAATCACTTCGGGAGGCTGGTGTGTCGGTTCGGCAGAACTAGAGGCGCGTTCGCGAAGCTCATATCTGGGACTACCACTGGGAGGTTCTCGAAGCAGGTATCTGGAAGACATTGTTGGGTGAATGAGGAAATTTGTGTGTGTGAGATGAGGATGAGAAGAGAAGGTAAGAGCAGGAGAAGGAATGGCATATCTAAGTGCTTTTATCTCTTTCACTGCCTTCAGATCACCATGAGAAGTCCGAGACACCATCGTTGGCCACCGCATACCAATGCCGGCTGCCTGGCAAGCTTAAACACTGCCTTGCCATGTCGTCTCATACATGTGCCCAGACGTCTCAAAGAGATTCCGTAGAAATATGCCTTACCAAAATAAAGATAGAAAATAAAGGACAACGCTCGGAGAACAGAGAGCAGTCACAAAGAAAGAGGCAATCTTGCCGTGGCTCAACTTGGGCATGTCATGTACGCACGTGTCTTGTCGCCGGCCCTACTGAAACACACTGAGTGACAGTCTCAAATAGTTCCAGCATAACTGCGACCTACCTTTGAGATCCGAAGCTGTTGAAAGACTTATGGAGAAGTCAATTACAAATGTGGACAAATGTTAATCCGGAGAAATGGACAGTGATCCAATGGGGGATTCGCAGCATATCTATGGTGCTTCAGACAAGGAGACCAACCATCGTCTAAGAACAGCTGAGCTGTTTGAGTCATTTGGATAATCAATAGCATTGCCATATCTGGCCTTGTGCAGTAAAGTCCACAGGATGTTCCACTTACCAGACTGGGTCACATAGAACCATTTACCTAGCATAGGCTTCGACTGTCGAGACAAGTAGGAAGCGAGAGTTCTGGTTGGTGATTTGTTAAAGCTTGCGTAAGCAAAGAATACACGAATTTGATGTTGTGCAGGCAATGCGACGTGTATCACACTGTCGGCGGTCTGGAGTTGGTCCGGTAGGCTCTCGCAAGAGCGGTGAAGCAACAAACGAGGTGATTCCCCGCTCTGGCACCAAATGACTGGAGACGGTATTTTCAACGCGCGTTCCTTTGGGTGAATGGCTCATTGAGAAGTTCCAGTGGCGGCCTCGTCCATCAATTGTGAATCTGATGTCGAAGTGGAACGAGAAGGTCAAGAGAAAGTTTTCTGGGGAACTTTAAGCATCGTTCAAATGACGAAGCAGATGCAGAAATCAGTGTATATTCGGCGCGAAAGTAGTGTTAATGATCTTGTCTGACAGTGAGACTATGCTCATTTCGCTTGCTGGACTTGGCGTTCTTCACCTCCTTTTCACTACTTAAGCCTGAAAGTCGTTACATCCAACTTTCTTTCAATCACCGTCGATACGCCTGAGATTGAGAGAAAGCGTAGCCACTTACCAACGCACAAAAATCATCATGGCGTACGATAATTGCCGAGACCCAGACGTCAGCTCTTGAACGATACTGATATCAATGGAAAGAACGCGTAGCGCCCAAATCTCAAAATGGCGGGTTAGTATACAATTTCGACCCCGATTCTGAACAAGCCCTCCCTGACGCCGTTCTCTAGAACCGAAATCCTCAGAAAAAAATGTCAATGCCGATGCTGGAGGTGGAAAAGCAATTCAGCAACCATATGTCTTCTTCCGAGATCACATCCGACCTTGGTTCCCTGACCCATCCTTCATCAATCTACATTACCTCTATTTCATCTTCACTTGCATAACTGCAAGCTTGATTTTCTGGGGATCTTCGACCCCAGAGAGAAGCGTTTCTTATGTCGACAGTCTTTTCCTCTGCACTTCAGCCATGACGGAGGCTGGTAAGTTGACTCTTCAAACCAAGCCGTTCATCATTATCATCTAAACACTCCTAGGCCTGAATACTGTCAACCTATCAGAGCTCAACACATGGCAGCAAGTAATGCTGTTCCTGCTGATCATCATAGGCTCGGCCATTTTCGTGTCGAGTGCTATCTTGAACATCCGAAAGCGGGCTTTTGAGAGAAAGTTTGCGGAACTGGCCGAAAGACGGCGCAACCACATGAAAGTACGCCATAACCTGTCCTTCTCATGGTCGAGGCGCCGAACGAGTGTGTCAGACCAGAGAGAAAATGCCATAATTTCTGGTGCCCTGAGAGGCACAGCCATCAAGGAAGATTACGCAGAACACGGTCGTACGGCATCCTTCAACTCGCAACGGCATGGCAGGACTTTGTCAGAGGCCACCTTGGAAATGACCGAGGTGGGGTCACAGATCGATGGGACGGTCCTTGACAGCGATGCGAATCATGTCCGATTCAAGGATTATCTCTATCCATTTGAACATACTGAGTCTCGACACCGAACCACGAGAAGACACCATGCAAGTTTCTTCGAAGGTCGTGGTGTTGGTGCACATGGGTTGGAGAATCATCCTCGCAATACGAGACCGATGGGCTACGATATATCGCTGGACGAGTCAGCCATAGAGGATGATGACACCGATCTTTCTACTCGTCGACCACCCTCTGGACTAGACAAGTATGTCCATACGATCAATGGATATCTAGGTCGAAACAGTCAGATTTATCATCTGACAAACAAGGAGAGAAGGAAGCTTGGAGGCATCGAATACGATGCTATCTGCCTGCTTTCTTGGGTCGTGCCATTATATTTTGTCCTCTGGCAGCTCTTAGGAGCATTAGGAGTCGGAGCTTGGATCTGGGTAAATCGTCCAGGCATGACTCTTACCAATGGTGAGCTATCCGATGAGAGTCAACTTCATCCATCATACTAACACCAGTAGGCCTGGACCCGTTTTGGACAGGTGCATTCTTCGCCATTAGCGCTTTCAACAATTCCGGCATGGCACTATTGGATGCCAACGCGACGGTGCTTCAAACGAGCTATTATGTCCTGCTGACACTGTCCTTGTTGATCTTGGCAGGAAACACCTGCTTCCCACCATTCTTGAGATTGATCCTATGGACCATGAACAGAGTGATCCCGCAGAACTCGCCCTCACTGAGATGGCAACGTCGACGACGGACATTACAATTCTGTCTCGATCACCCCCGAAGAGTCTACACCAACCTCTTCAACAGCAAGCAGACCTGGTGGCTGGTTTTCTCGCTGATCGCACTGAATGGCATTGACTGGCTGGCATTCGAGTTGCTCAATCTCGGCAATCCCGTCACGGAAGCCATTCCTACTCATTTTCGTGTCCTGGACGGTCTTTTTCAAGCCTTTGCCGTGAGAAGTGGAGGGTTCTATGTCGTTTCGATCCCCAGTCTCAGACAAGGCCTCCTCGTCCTCTATGTACTCATGATGTACTTGAGCGCATTCCCGGTGGCGATGACAATCAGAAACTCCAACGTCTACGAAGAGCGCTCCCTCGGTCTTTATGCTGAAGATTTATCCCGAAATATAGCGAGTGTCGACGACTACCAGCCCAACGACGAAGAGAAGCAAAGTCCCAAGCTCAACACCACCAACACACCCACCAACAACCGCATCCTCTCCAGCCTCAAACGCACCGTGGCCCTAACACGAGGCCCACCGACCACCCCGCGTCCCCAGTCGACCTGGACACGCCAAGACTTCATCCGACAACAACTGCGCAGCCAACTGGGCCACGACCTCTGGCTGATCGGGATCGCGGTGTTCATGATCACCGCGATCGAACAGGGCCAATTCTCACGCGACCCCGTCGTCTTCAGCACCTTCAACATCATCTTCGAGGTGATTTCCGCATACGGCACCGTCGGGATCAGCACGGGCGTGCCGTGGAACGCCTACAGCTTTTCGGGTGCGTGGCATACCGCGAGTAAACTCGTGCTGTGTGTGATGATGCTACGCGGTCGGCATCGCGGGTTACCGGTCGCGATCGATCGTGCGGTGCTCATGCCGGATGAGACGCTCGCGTGGGCCGAGGAGGAGGATGCGCATAAGCGCACGGGAAGCTTTGTCGGGTTGAGACGGCCGAGGACCTCGAGTCTGGGAGGTGGTGGTGTGCCGGGACCGAGTACTGTCACTGGTGCCAGGGATATTGGTACGATGGTGTGAGGTGAGATGGAACGTGGCGTAGCGGGAGACTAAAGGTGGGTAAGAGGGTGTTACGATCGTTCTCAGTGAGTAGTCGGGCATCCTTGGGGGGAAGTCAGAGTGCAAGATCGACAAGGGGGTCAAAATTGCATCGCGGAGGAGTTTCATTTTTCTCGACTTTCGTTGAAGATACCACCGGGGTTTCATTTTCCTTTACCTTCCTTTCGTTTTCGTTCAGCGAGGTCAGAAGCCAAGCATGAGATAGCGTTCATTTCCTATCTAAGTCATAGAGAGCAGAGAATAGAGATGTAAGCGTTGGGGAAATCCATATCAATACTAAACTCATGGCTGTAGTAAAGAACAAGCTTCTCATAAACTCACTCGACTTGTGCTCAGCGGTGGCTGACAAGGTTAAACCGCGACATCTCTGGGATTATTGTTCCATTCTAACAAGAGTACAAGATACATAGACGAAGAGCTAAGAGGCAGACAAAAAGGCTTTATGTGGACACCATAGATAGGTCCCTCTAGCTAACATAACTACCTAGGTAAGTGGTGATATTGATGGGGTGGTCGTCTGGAAAAGCACCGTGAGCTCCATAATCATCATTTCGTATACTCGCAGCCAGGGTATGCCAAAACGCCGGGGTGGGTAGATATATCAATACTATGGTCTTGGCGAGCAATGCATTGATTGTGGCATTGCTCTGCAGCTCAGTGAGACCAACCTCATTCCCGTGTATCAGCCCAATCATTCAAGATTATCCAATCGCCTGAAAGCATCACGTCTTAGGACTCTGTCAAGCACATGTCTCCAAGGACTTTGTGTGGCCTTGTTCATGTCCCAAAATAGATCCAACAACTCTCCATCATCACATCATAATCATCACCCGCTGGTTCAAGATTGTTCAGCTCGAACTCAATCCCTTGATATGCTCGTCCACGCCATCCACGACTCTCCGGATATGTCGCCCCTCGACCTCTCTAGCCCGGGTCCTGCCTTCCTCCAACCTCTCAACGCCAAGTCGAATACTCTCGATGTGCACACTCAGTGGAATCTCTTTGTGCTCGCGCAGCAGCTCTGCACTTCCCACACGTGTCCTTAACTCCTCGAGTTCGGCACCCATGCGCTGCAACGTCAATATTGTGCCGGAGACATGTGCCCATGCGACCTTACGGTACTGGCCGAGCTGGCGGAGAAGGGTGAGTTGATTGTTGTATTTGCCCAGCTTGCCTCGATTGCCACCAACAAGCGTCCACAGATGAGTCAGGATTTCGTCTTTGGATGCCTGCGCCGCAATATTGTCGTGCATAGCCACGGAATGAATGACATCGAGTCGGTCTTCCAGATTCTGAAGGACGAGAAGTAGAGCTTGTGCTTCTTCGATGAGTCGATCGATCTCCTCGGACACAATGCGGGTGTGCTTAACATATTGGTCGAGAAGGCGGTCTTCGGTGAATTGAACGGGCTTGAAGGGCGCGAGAAGCCTTTCCTGGAAGAAACTGGGGATCATTCCGCGAGAGGACTGCTTCACGTCCATGTCGTCGAGCACGCGTTGGGTCCAGCGCGCCGTACTAAGTACGATGTCCACGCCTCGACCAACATGGGAATTGAATTTCTGGAGATCGTAGCTAGCGATCCTGGCGGTCTCGATGAAGCCGTCGAATTCCAGGACCAACTCGTTGCGGGAAGCCAGTTGAGAGTGGCGTACGATCTGCCGAAGGTCGCGTATGGAGGTCTCAGAGCGTTTCATATCCATTGGGAGAGATACACCCGCTGCCGACTCGGACATGATCTCCTCAAAATGAGATTGCGTCTTCATCAGTTCGTCGAACTCGACGGGCGCAGAGCCTGATGAAATCGTAGGAGTGTCAACATCAGTCGAGGCGTAGTGGCAGATTGGCAAATGAAGCAACGAAACACCTGGAACGCGACATATTGGTGAGAGCGCAGTGTAGATGGAAGATGTAAGGAGATTCTGGATCGTCATGATGAGGCCGGCGAAGAGATAGGCGGCAACAACCCATGAGATAGGCTTCTTGAGTGTGCTCAGGGCACCACCCAGCACATCCAAAAACCACCCTCCGATCTGAAGAATGACTTCTATTGCTTGGTCGCTGAGCGATGTTGCATTGAGATCTTTCTGCGCAGCTCTCAGGGGTCTTTGTGATGGCCTTGATCCTGGATTGGGTTTTGAGCCGAGCCTTCGAGTTGGTGTGACAGGGTTGCGTGTTCGGACTTGTCGTCGAGTAGGTGAAACTTCATGGTCGATTGCAGGCATGATGAATTCCGGTTCCCCTTTTGCGGTGTAAGAACGTGAGTTAGAGTAGTTGGAAGTCTGATTCTCTTCTTCTTGCGAATGATTTGCGTGCCTTGAAGATCCGTTGGTCTCCTGTGATGCTGGAAGGCTTGGTGGTGTGCCGTCCCAACTCACATCAGAACTGGCGTCATCAACTACCCAAGAATCGTCGAGTTGAGATCTCGAGGCAGGGGCCATTGTGGACTTCCAGATCTAAGATGTCGAATTAAAGACTGCCTGTGTGTAAAGGATTGAAAGCGTGCTTGTGGAATATAGATCCCACCTGCCACGGGATGGCAGCCTTGTGTGAATGCCTCAGTTAATGGTGACCCAGCGGCACACAACAAAGGAATGTCAATGGTGAAAGGGTCCGCATTAAAAATACTGATAGCTTTGTACAATCACGGATGAGAAATGCAACTTACTCGGGCATCATCACAAAGATGTCGTCTACCGATTGTGTCGCCACCTTTGACGTACCATAAACAGAGATGAAGCGATCCAGGTCGCGTCCCAGGCCGCTATGTTGCGTGCTGTGACGTCATACACGCTCCTGAGTCGCGGAGCTGATCAAAAATGTGGCCCGCGAGTCAGTCGTCACGTCCGCCCACTGCACGGCTTGAACTACAGTACGGCTGATCATCACGCTCATATCTGCCACTCCGTTCGAGGACGTAGAAACACCTGTAGAATTGTTGAGTCTTAAGGATATCATTGTCGTATGAGTCTGACAGGATGGTCATCACTGCCTCGTTTAATTCTAATTCCTCCTCTCAAGCCGAAGCCTGGTAAAAGCCTTCGTTCATAATTTTCACAACTTGGTAAGAGATCTATCTCAAAGTAACCAATTCTTCTGCGCTTGTCTGTCGTGGGGAAATCACAGTTAGCAAAAGTACCACAACTCAAACATTCATAAACGAAATGGAAGCGTTTGGCACTTACCGGATGAATAGCAACAGTGCTGTCGAAATCCTTCTTCGTGGCGCCCATCTTGACGGCCACGCCGAAGCCTTGGGTCATTTCACCGACACCCTCACCGAGGATATGGAGACCGACGATCTTCTCCTCGGGCAGCAAACACACGAGCTTGAATTCGGTGGGGTGTTTGGCTTTCTCTTCCTTGGGGAAGCTGTAGGTAAACAGGTGTGTCAGTACATCGAAGGATTTTAGGGCAGGAAGGAAAAGTATAATAGATGACTTACACGTCATAGTACATGGCCGAGAACTTTGTGTGGTAGATCTTGATGTTCTCCTTTCCATATCTCTCAATGGCTTCGGGTTCCGTCAGGCCAGTTGATCCGACTTCGGGGTGGGAGAAGACGACCGAGGGGATCAATTCGTAGTTGAGATGTGATTCTTTGAGCTCTGGGGGTCCAAAAAGACGGTTGCCGAGTTGTCTTCCGGCCGCGATGGCTACGGGGGTGAGTTCGGCCTGTTTTCGGGTTGTTAGTACGGAGACGAGGCCTTCAAGAACGAGTTTTCCCCTTGAGAGGATGGAAAAAATACCTGGCCAGTGACATCGCCCAGAGCATAGATGCTATCCACAGATGAATTCTGAAATTTATCGACCACGATATGGCCCTTGGGACCGAGCTTGATGTCGATCTTGTCCAGACCAAGACCTCTCGTCTCTGGGCTTCTTCCAATGGCCCATAGGAGCTCGTTTGTGATGAGCTCGGATCCGTCGTTGGAGATAATTTTCAATTGCTTCTCGCGAGGATCTGTTTCGTCCACACCTGCTTGCAGCTGGATGACCTCTTTAATTCCCGGGTGGTTTCTGTGCACGATGACGCCAGCCTCCTCGTAGTGTTTGGTCATGGTCTCCTGGATCATGGGGTCGAATTTTCTCAAAAAGGTATTGCCTCGGATGAATAGGTGTGTCTCAACACCAATCGCATTCATGACTCCTGCCAGTTCGACTGCGATGTAGCCTGCGCCGACAAAGACCATCTTCTTGGGTAAATGCTCAATCAAAAAGTACTCGTCAGAGGTGATGCCGTACTCAGAACCCTTGATGTCCTCGGGCTTTGTGGGATATCCTCCAGTGGCAATGGCGATGTGTGGTGCGGTGATTCTGTAAGCTTCGCTTCCATCTTTGGGTTTGATCTCGAGCTCGGTCTTTGAAATGAAAGAAGCAGTTCCATGAATCAATTCTATTCCTTCTTTTGCCCAATTGCTTTCATATGCGCCGTTGAGAACCTTTATTCTAGCATGTCTCTTCTTGACGAAGGATTGGTAGTCGTGCGACACCTCTCCATATTTATAGCCGTAGTGTTTCCCGGCCTCAAGGGTTTCATTAATGGAAGCATAGTTCCAGGTCATCTTTTTTGGTACACATCTAGCAGAGAGCATCAGTATATGGACTCGGTGCGGTGTCCCAGGAGAGCCTCACCCGACGTTCACACATGTTCCGCCTGAGACGCCAGCATCAATGATGGCGGTCTTTGCACCGTACCACCCACTGGCTCTTCTGGCTGTGCCGGAACCACCAGAGCCACCACCAATTACGATATAGTCAAACTGCTTCGTGACGGGCGCCATGTTTAGCGTTGAGGACGAAAACTGTCTGGAAATGCCTGCAAGGCGAGATGTGGAGGATGACGCGGGGTTGACGGAGGGAATGGGGCGAGGAGAAAGAGTCGTGATGGATTTCTGGGATGCCAGATTCAGATGTGCTGGACGGAGAGAAAGAGCAGAGAGTTGCCTGGGAAGAGACCTGGAACCAGCGGACATATCACAGAGGAAGAAATAAATACTGTGGGAGAGGGCAGGGAAAGGAACTAATTATTTGTGTAAAGAACGAACAGCCAGCACGGCGAGTCGGCGACCAGTGATGCAAGTGTTTTTGTTGGAAAAGGGAATGAGTGGATAGCAAGCAGTTCTAGAACGCATTGATGATGTGATCTGCTGCGAGTTCAAGTGGTAGCATGCTGCGATGAAATAATTGCCAAAACTCCCCTCCACCAATGTCATCATTTCCCGAGGTTCAGGCCCTGGTCCACGCTGGTCGGCTGCTGACAAAAGCTCCAAGGCTTGCATCGCGATCGAAGAACCTTAGTCAGATGACTGAGCGGGCTGCAGGGACAAGAAAAATAGAGGGATTCATCCGATATAGGAACAGAGTCTCATCCATTAAGTCTGGGCATCAGGTAATGACCCAACCTAGTAATGACCCACGCGTTTTCCAGTCGCGTCTCATGCTCCTAGTCTCCTACAACACCTCATTACTCAACCACCTCCTTTCTATGTACGATATAATGGCATCAAATCGAGAGACTAGAATGCTCCAAGCGATATCCGACTACCAAAATTGTCGATATACCAGTATCCGCGCTACAGCGGCGGCAAATGACGTGGATCGAAAAAGCCTTGGCCGTCGACTACAGGGTGGTCTTTCACGAGTAACTACTCATGAATCACAACAACTCCTATCGAATCAACAAGAGCATATGCTCGTACGATGGATACTCGACCTTAAGGTGTAAGGACACCCTCCTAGCTTTACTTAAGTACGAGATCTCGTCGTTATTATTCGAGGTGTTCCAACGGAGCATTCGAGTATTGGTTAAAACTGGATATTACGATTTATTTAACGTCATCCAGAGATTCGCTCTAAAGTAGGTAAAAAGATCCATAGATTACGTCTCTAGAGCACTACTCCTAAGTCCTTAAATCGCTGGTTTAAGCATTTTAATACTATTCGAGAGCGATATTCAATACTCTCGAACCATATCTACAATATAGATGAGACTGGAATCGCCCTAGGCGTCTATGCCAATCAACAAGTAATTGGTAGGATTGGTACTACCTAATCTTACAAAGTAACACTAGAAAATCGTGAATGGGTCTTAATTATTGAGACAATATCAGCGACTAGTCGTCGACTATAGTATCTCGTTATATTTAAAGGAAATATGCTTCAATCAACGTAGTTTACGAATCTAGACACTCCTAACTATTCCTATACGGTTTCACCTAATGGATGGACATCAAATACTATTGGAATAGCTTGGTTACATCAAATATTCCTCCCTCAGACGGTAACGAATAGCTATCGACTCCTCTTACTTGACGGGTATAAAAGTTACGCTACGTACGAGTTTATGTGGCAATGCCATATTAATCGAGTGGTATTAGTCTATCTAATCTCTTATTCAAGCCATATTCTCCAGCCGCTAGATCTTGCCTACTTTTCGCTCCTAAAATGCCGTTATCGAGATGAGATTGCTAACTTAGCAAGGTACGACGACGCCTCGGCCGTAAAGAAGAGCAGATTTCTCAAAACCTATGAAAAAGCAAGCAATGAGGCCTTATCAACCTATCATATCCGTACGGCGTGGAATGCAGCTGGTATATATCCATAGGATCCTCGTAAAGTCATTCGATCGAGTCAAGTCCTTCAAAACAGCCAAAATGAGCGAATACTACCAACTACGCCACCGTCACGCAAGCAAGCTCAGTATATATCGAATGATATTCATACGCCACTTACTCGACAGCAAATACGACAGGAAACAGAGTCGATTTCAGCCCAGGAGACTCTTTCTCGCTTAGTACGTCGACTACTCCAAAAAACGGCTAAAGCATTCGACCAGCTACAATGGGATATCACTATTAAATCGCAACAGCTCGTTACTCAGCGTCAACAGCTAGATGAGCTAGTTGCTAGGAGACAACCGCGAGTCGCAATCGATTGTAATGAGGTATTTGCGAGTATCGAGACTATCAGGCAAGCTAGGCAAGGTATGGAGGCATTAGGGGCGACAGCGACGTCAACTACGCGCTCAACCACTAGGAATACCACTAGTAATAGACACTTGGATGACTCCTTGACACCATTCATGCATCAATTTAGTGTCAATAGCCCTGTAGAATAGGAAATTCATGATTTAGTTGTCGTGGTGGCGATATCGAGGCGTGGGTCATTACTAGGTTGGGTCATTACCTGATGCCCAGACTTATTAGCACCTCCCTCCCCCTTTGTGGTCAGTGCTAACGGGTTCTAGTAGGTCAATACTTACTCGAAGCATCAAGATTCAATGGTTCAATAAATGATGTCATGAATCTATTCGTGCTTCGAGGACGATGCGCAAGGTACGACTCTACTATTCACGCTGTTGCTGATTGAGTTCCTTTACAGCTTTGGGCGCTGACCCTCTACGACACCACCGTTAATATCAACAGGACTCCACCAAGGATATGCGTCAGGTGCGTCTTGAGGGATCTGTCCCGTAAACTTCGCAGGCCTTTTTTCCATGAAACTTTGGACTCCCTCATTGTTATCCTTGCTGCCGAATAATCCATGGATGACTTTTGAGTCGAGCAGGTGGGTACCCTCGGCACTGTCGGGGCCTCTGTACATGAGGTCTCTCATCATCTTGGTAGAGACCGTTGACGTGTTATTGGCGACTTCGTCAGCCAATTCCAAGGCCCGAGCCAATGTTGCTTCTGGGCTTGGAAGAAGCTCGGAGAAGAGTGTGCCAAAGAGAGGATTGTCGGCGGTATATACTGAACCAGTCGTGGTCAGGTGTAGGGCCCTCGAGTGTCCGATCAGGCGAGGAAGGAAGTAGGAGGAGCAGGCTTCCATGATGATTCCACGTCTGGAAAAGACGAAGCCGACCTTGGCCTTGGAATATGCAACTCGTATGCATGCAGGTAAGCACATGGTGATACCGACACCGACTGCGGCACCTTGGATGGCGGCAATGGTGGGTTTGGTGCAGCGATGGATGGCCAAAGACACTCTGCCACCTCTGTTGCATTTGTCAGTACATGGGTTCTTGCGTGGCCATCTCATATTCCTCACCCATCCCTGTGATCTACATCACGTTCAGTCTTCGCATTCGCAACACTGCCATCTCCCTTCTTGCCACCGAGGAAACCGATCTCAAGATCGGCTCCGGCGCAAAAACTCCTGCCCTCTCCAGTCAAAACCACAACCTTGACTCGTTCGTCAATATCGATTAACCCGTACGCTCTTTCGAGATCTTGTCTCATGACATCTGTAAAGGCATTGTGCTTATTCGGGCGAGACAATGTGATCTGAATGACGGCTGTGGGAGTAGGAGAGGATGCTGGGACATGAGAGACTTTGATGTGGTTGAAACGGAGGGAGTTGTAGGATTGGGGAGCTTGGAGGGAAGACATGATGGATCAGATCACTGAGGGAGTCTATCGATATCAGTAGAGATTGTATTCCGTCGTCTGTATAACGGAGAGGAACAGTCGCGGCTGCAGGGCCGAACTACATCTTTCAAGTACATTTGATGGGTTGATCTTACCTGCAGACTTATCCTCGGCTCAAGGAAGACCTAGGTAAGTACGTGTCTGTGGGCCGCGGATGGAATTTGGAGAATTCTTTCTGCAGGCACCGAGCCACAGGCGCAAGATGCGGGGAACAGTATGTCTGCTTGGGCAGGATGCTATAGCCAGAGATGCCTAGAGCCCCTGCCCGCTGTGCAGGCGAGGGACACACGCAGTGCTGAGCTATGGAGCTGATGACTTGGATATATTTGCTCAAGTTCAGTATAGAGCCGTTCAAGGCTGTGTCGACAAGTTGTAGAGTGTGATGGACAAGACGTTCGTAGCCGATGGCTTCATAATCAGGCCAGCTAACTCTCCATAGAAAGTTGAAGGGTAGAATTGACGCACAAGCCAATTTGCAGCTAGAGTGTAGATGCTCAGGTGATTTTGATCAAGAGAAAAATCGACCACTGCAGAGCGCAATGATGAGTGATTTGGGGAAGGAGCGATGTTCAGGTTCAATCGCCGAAGCAGGAGCTTCCTCTGCTGCTCGCGGCGGCGGCAGGACCGTACCTCAAACTAGACCTCCGTGAGATGGAAGGCACAGACAACCACCTACCACATCCCTCGTCACTCAACAATTGAAATTTGTGCACTCAAATTACATCTACTTTGGTAGAGACCGAAGTCAGAATATCTAGTTTTCATATTGTTCTCATCGCCCGCCTGCAGTTCTTGAAGTTGTGGTCAAAAAAACCTTCCGGCACCTCTGCCCTGGTCCTCTCCTCATTCCAATTTCACACCATATGCTCAGAACGCCCTCTTCTCACAACCTAGCTGATAGCTCTACGAGTCTTCCAAATGATTTTTATTCCCATCCCGTCGATGAAATTATGACACATGGATACAGCAACCGTCAAGTCCAAGGATCCCCAAGAACTCTTCTACACCCGTCCACAAACAGAACAGAACACTCTTCTCCAAAGCCTCGCACAAGGGCGAAAAGACCAATGATGAAAAGATCACACAATGTGATGATAGAGCCAAAAAATGCGCGGATAAGAGCCCCGAAGGACACTTAATCACGACCTCCACCGCGATGTGCAATGCAGGGACACCGTAATAGTAAGCCCGATTCTTGAGCTGGGCCACTCCCACAAGGTAAGTATGAGGAGGTCTCAAAGAAGAATGGGAGGGAAAGCGAGGTATTTATACCTCTGTGGGAATGGCAAATGCTGCCAAGGAATCACTTGGATCAAACGGTTGGGTGTCACTTTCGATCAGGCACCAGTGTGATCTTCACGGCCAGGAGGCTTCTCATTAGCCGGACGGGCCTACGAATGGATCCCGAACCCTGATTTGTGGATCTCAGGGTCCTTCTCTTCACTTCCAAAAGGTCTGCAAAACGCCGAAGCCGAAGCAGGGTTGGAAGAATCGTGGACGAGGACTCGGCACTTCAGTGAGAATGAGATATCTCTATTTCATGGAGATACATTTTCTTGTTGTCGAAGCAACAGGGCTCTGAGACATCGTTCGATAGAGAGGTGATGGTCACCTGTTTCGCGACAGTCGCCCGATTTTTCACCACCCAAATTCGCACCTTTTACACATACGCCCTTTATCGATTTGATCTCAAGATATCTATCTGCTGGAGAGTCTGCCAGTACATGGATGAAGCTATGCTCTGTGCACTGAACTAAGAGTTGACTATTATCTGTTCTAGAGATCACCGTTACTATTGTAGTGCTTAGAGGGACGATGTGGCTCTGAATCACCTAGGCGATTTAGAAGAGGATCAATCAATCCATTCATAATCACTCGGATCAGAACAATTTCTTGGACGCACATGGGAACATGTAGCGTACTTGATATTCATGGCATACTAGTATCTCATGATCTGGATCCAACAATCGTCTAGCTAGGTATCGTTTCAATGGGAATCGTATCATGTGCATTAATCTGTATTTCTTCTCCGATCGACCACCGGGATCTTTTCGATCAAAATCTTCCTTGACAGGAACACATGAATCATGAATAGAGCTCGGAATCTTCTCGTTCAGCTACTCGATCCGCATCGTCCTCCATTTCCTCGGCATATTCAATAATGCCATCATCATATTTTTCATCCTTGCGATGGGGTATAATGCATTTCTCAATCCCGAAGCTCTTGGTGATTTCTTCCCAGGTGTCAAAGTCTAGAGTGAACACGGCTTGATTTCGCTGTGATTCCTGTCTTTCAGCAACTGACCGACTGGCTGCGATACCCAGTGTTGGCAGACCGTTCGCGTCGAAGTCCAGTCCAACCTTTCCTTCCTTGATTAGGAAGCTTACATAGAACATGTTTTCCACGGTCTGTCCGAACGACCTGGGGTTGACGCAGAAATTGAAAAGTGGAACACATCCATTATCCGCCATGTTGTTGCGGCGAAGGATGTCTGCTGCTTCTTCGTCGGTAGGATCACCAACAAGTTCCTCAAATTCTCTCTCGGCATTCTCGCTGCCCTTCTCCTGTGCATTCGTGAGAAGCCGTGCAATTTCGGTGCAGACCACTGTGAGACTAGCAGACTCCTGGCTCTCTAGGTCTTCAGCACCCAGTTCCGTCGGCCGAGTGGTTTGTGTATTTTGACTGCGCGCCTCTCTCGCCTTCCGTTGTGTCTGTTGTCGCACCTTCTTCTGAACAGAAAGCGGACCAAGCATGAAACCTGTGAGGCATGGGCGAGAATTGTAGAGGAAGCAAGCATTCTGCCCAAGATATTCCCAGTTCATCGTATCACCATCACCATCATCCTCATCGTCTTCTTCAGCTCGGGTGCGCCGCCGCTGGTGCTGGGACCCAGCCTGAGTGCTGCGCGGATGATACGCAATATTTCTCTCAACTTCCTGTCCTCTCTTCATGAAGCCAATACACTTGGTGACAAAATCGTCGACATCGATTCCAGTGGTCACATTTCCCAGATGTAAGCTGTTGATTTTCTTGTATGAAAAATCTGCAACCTCTACCAGCAACCGAGAGTCGATAGTGGCATCTGACGTTTGCTTGACATCCTGGTAGAGCTTGTCTGCCTCTCGCAAGGTCTCTTCTAAACCTTTATTGTCTGGCTTGAGATAATCTGTCTTGGATTCGTTGTACTTGGAGTAGAGTTTGCGAAAGTTTTTGCGCAATTCTCGTCGTGCTTCAGGATCTTGCTCAGGATCATAGTATTTCGTGTCCAGCCGTTCCAGTTCTTTCCGATGTGCAGCCTGACTTTGAGGGCCGCCTTCACTGACTTTCCTCCTCTTCGGGGCACTGGCGGATCCAGCGTCTGATCGATCACCCATGGATACAGCCCCACTTTTGCGCTTTCCCTGACTCTTTCTTGATCGCTGGTTATTCTCCTTGTCAGAGTCGACCGATGGGGGTGTAGATGCAGTTGAAGATTCGCGAGTAGAAGAAGAGGATCGCCTGCGGCTTTCTATCTCAGATGAGGGATGTCGGGTGTTTAGCCGAGCCATAGTCAAATCATAGCCTGACTGACATTAGTAGGGAAGTTAGTCTGGCTGAAATAGTCGTGTACGGTAGCAATCGAATTTATAACACCAAACCAGATCGAACAATTGAAGTGTCTAGGATGAGCCTGTAGTAAATGTAAACTAATGTGGTAGGTGCGAGTGGCGGTGGAGGAGCAACCACAGACGCGCCTGCCACTTGGATCGCGTCCCTAATCAAGCTTGGCGCGTTGAGGGGCGCTAGTGTTAATTAGGCCGCAATAGGCTGTCGAGGAGGAAGCCACCGCCAGCACCGGGTTTGCCTTTGACGACGACTTTGCTCAATACCCAAATACATACATCGAAGACTCTAGAGTCTGAGCGACTTGGAATTTGGTTGATGCTTCCGTGATGCATCTGTCACTCGGAACATCATGGACTCTTACACATTTGCAACATCTCGTCAGATAGATTTCCCGGTCTGCATCAAGATGTATGTTTTATCCAGCACAAGGCTCCTATCTATCCTTGAAGCCATGGGTCTTTACTCTCAGCTGAATTAACACACATCTAGAAACAACTTGGAGGGAAGACAGAAATCAATACCGTACTCGACTTTGTTAAAGCATCCTGAAATCCGGCATATCGGATCAGTGCAAAGCCCAACATCGGAACTTCATGTGACGGCACAGTTATGGGCAGAGTCCAAATCGTTAGGAGTATCGATGCAAACCCCGCATATCTTCTTCAAGAACACTCGAACTTGGAACAAATGGTTGGAACTACCAGTCTTGGTTAAGGACTGTCCTCTGTCTGCCCAGATTGCCATCACGATATGGGATCTCTCTCCCTGTCCAGAGGATGGGAGCATTAACCACGATATCCCTTTTGGTGGGACAACAATACAGTTGTTTGATAACGATGGTGCACTGAGAAAAGGTCGCCAAAAATGTAGAGTCTACCGCCGTCATCAAGCAGATGGTCACTCTCCCTCATCAACTCCGCACATACCTCGACCGAAAAGACGGAAACGAGACGAGAACCCGCCTCCTGCCATTCCAGAGGAAGAGGAGTTGGAGAGACTCGAACAGTTATTCAAGAAGCACGAAATGAATGAACTCCCCCAGAATGACTGGTTAGATCAGTTGGTCTTTCAGAATGTCCGCAAGAAAGCTCGCGAGGTAGATGAACTCTCAAGAAAACGGGCTGCTATAGCGAAAGCAGCAAAGCACAAGGCTGTAGAGCTCAAAACCAAGAATACCGAGTCCGACGAGGACAGCGATTCAGATGCTGAGACGGACGACGAAGAGCATTTTACATTATACGTCGACTTTCCACGATGGGACTTTCCAGTTATTTTTGAAGACCATGAATATGAGCCATCCAAAATGATGAAAGAGTTTCAGCACACTCCTTCAGCTTCAGCTCTTGGTGCTAAGCCTCCACCTGAGGTCCGCTATGGTCCAGGGATAGCAGCAGGAACAACTGTTGTGGACGACGAAGAATTCCCTGTCATCCAACTCTTTGATCCTGATCAATTTTACAAGGAGAATCCCTGCGAGATCAAACATCACCGTCTCGTTCGAAGCGACCGAAATGCCTACTCCGACAGCGATCAGAAACCAAATGCTAAAATGAGGGATATCCTAAATGACATCTTGTCCTATGGACCGACCCAAGAGCTGACTTCTCAGGAAAAGGATGTGTTATGGACCTTCCGTCGTCACCTTAGCCGCGACAAGCGGGCACTCACCAAAGTTGTCAAAGCCACGGACTGGAACCACCCCAATGAAGCTCGCCAATTGGGCGAATTGATACCAAAGTGGGCAAAGATTGATATCGACTCTGCACTCGAGCTGCTTGGTCCTACCTATGACAGTCCAGTGGTTCGAGCCTACGCAGTCGATAGGTTACGACAAGCCGACGACACCGAATTATTATTATACCTTCTTCAATTGGTACAAGCCTTGAAATTCGAAAAGTACAAGGCCGAAGAGGATGGCTTACCCGTTTCATCATTAGCCACATTTCTCATTGATCGCGCCGCCAACAATTTCACCTTGGGGAACTATTTGCATTGGTTTCTGATGGTTGAAGTTGACGATCAAGGACTAGATACCAACACATTGGACCGAAAATTATTTGCGAAAGTCGAATATCATTTTATGACCGAGTTAGAACGACGAGATCCCGAACAGAGAAAGATCTTGTTGAGACAAGGTGAAATGATGGCGGTACTGTCCAGAATTGGCAAGGAAATTCGGTTTGGACGAGACAGTCGACCAAACAAGATTGAGAGACTTAAGAAATATCTGGCGGATCCCAAGAATGAACTCATCAAAATCGAGCCACCAATCCCTTTACCACTGGATCCTAGCATTGAGATTAGTGGCGTGGTTCCCGATGGAGCAAATGTGTTCAAATCATCCCTGTCACCATTGCTACTCAAGTTCAAGATCGCCAATTCAGGAGAGTCATCTACAATTTCGGCACAGTCCCGATCGCTCTCGCACAGTGAGTACCCGATCATCTTCAAGACCGGAGACGATCTCAGGCAAGATCAACTGGTGATTCAGATCATCACGCTTATGAATAACCTACTGTTGAAAGAAAATCTCGATCTCAAACTCACCCCCTACAGGATCCTGGCAACCTCTCCATTGGCTGGCGCTGTTCAATTCATCCCATCTACTGCGATCTCTGTGGTGTCATCCAAGTACAAAGGATCCGTGCTCGCATATTTGCGTGCCAACAATCCCGATGCATCAGGCCCGCAAGGCATTCGGAAGGAGACCATGGACACGTACATCAGATCATGTGCTGGTTACTGTGTGATTACCTACATTCTTGGAGTAGGAGATCGTCATCTGGACAACCTTTTATTACAACCTTCTGGACACTTCTTCCATATTGACTTTGGTTTTATCCTTGGACGAGATCCCAAGCCTTTCGCACCCCTCATCAAGCTTTGCAAAGAAATGGTGGAGGGCCTAGGTGGAACCGCATCGCCTCAGTACGCCCAATTCAAGCAGTATTGCTTCACAGCGTACGCAGCTTTGCGAAAGTCGAGCTCATTGGTGCTGAACCTCTTTAGTCTCATGGTCCAAAGCTCGGTCCAGGATGTGAGATTGGTGGAGGAACAAATGGGATTGACTGGGGGTGCCGTTGGCAAAGTTCGAGAGCGCTTCCATCTTGACGTGAGTGAGGAAGAGGCAGTCAAGGTCCTTGACCAGGTGTTGGCCGACAGTGTCAATGCAGTCTTCGGGGTGGTGATCGATCGCCTACATGAATTTGTGCAAGGCTGGCGAGCATGATTGTTCGTACTACTAAAGCCATTTTGGCAAAGACCGAGGAGACTCCAGAGCCCTAGATAAATGCATTTGCTTCCAGACCTCCTCAGCTGCTTTGTATACCACCTGGACTGCTATCATCATACTGTAAATGTGAAGAAATGCCCGCAGCCACAAGGCTCTGCCAGGCTTCCCCGCACGCGTCACCCTCACCCCACTCCAGACCAGTTGACTTTTCTGCAATTGTCCATGGTCATCAACACTCTAAACATTCCCAGATTATATTGAAGAAACTCGTTTGTTTGCACTAAGCTCCCTTGATACCACCGACATGTCCAGCGAAGCACGACCCATCGACGCCTCACAATTCGCGCTCGCAATTCAAGACCTCCCCGTCGAGAACCTGTACTCCAAAGCCAACGAGATCCAAAACTCCATCACCCACCTCGAGGCCTCCAACGGGCAGCTACAAGAATACAGTGACAGCATCCGGGCCGACACTACACTGCCAGAGGAAACGCGGCAAGACGGAGACAAGGACTGTCTTGAGGCGATCCAGGAGAATCTGGTCGTCATTAATAGGCAGAAGGATCGGATTCGACTGTTGAGAGAGGAGGTCGAGCGACGAGGTGGTAGGTGGCATGGAGGTGATGAGGAGGGAAGTGCGGTGAATGGCAGTGCTGATCAGGAGCGGCCGGCCGTTACGAATGGCTCGTCGGCCGCGCCTGGGGGCAGGTTGACGGATGAACAGTTGCGGCAGCAATTGAGGGATCAGCTGGGAGATGATGATGAGGACAACGGTGCTGATGGAATGCACCTGTGAATAAGGAGAACTATTATGAGCATGGTGATACTCGAACCACAACTACAGACTCCGCGAAAGGCTTCGCAGGATAGGCTGGTCTGCCATCAAACTCACGAATCTGGGTCTCACATCTTGATGGCCAGTCTACGACCAGTCTCAAAACTATGGCGGACAGGCACACATATACGATGGCTGACGAAGACTTTGCAACTCCAAGTCTCTCCGACCTCTGACTTTGGGACATGCCTGGAGAAATTCTGTCCGTGAAACAATCAGCCATGATAGAACAACAGTTCTCATCTCCTGAAGGGATGCACGCCAGAAAGGGCGATCGTCAACACGAAGTTTAACCGCAGACCAAACGCACTTCAGCAGTCGGAACAAAACATTCCGAGTCGGATCCTCCCCTACCGCTCACTCGATCACGTGTCAGGCTGGAGAACGGACCAAGTACGATCAAACTTCGAAGGAGTCTCCACCATGCGCGTCATGGATCTTTGGTAATGTCGATGCAGATCTCGATTGCCAATCAGTTCAAGCATCAACCACGATCGAAAATGCCATACAGTCTCCACATCCCTATCAATGTTAAGCAATGGGTACCTGGGATCGCCACGTCTCGGAGACCCGGGTACGCCTATTTAGATCATGACGCCCATGGGCATTCATGACGTTGGGTGTTGGGATTTTTCCCCATTCCGAGTCGGGTCGGATATCCCTGATGATTCCTAATACGAGCCTTGATGCTGCAATATATGAATTATATATGTTGTTGAGACCTCCAGTCTTTGGTTGTTTTGCCATTTCGCTTCGCGCTGCCACTCCCTCCTTGCATTCCCATATTGTCTTGTGGAACTGATTGCACACAATGAAGGAACTCTTTCGAGATACCGTTGCAGGGCAACTCCTACGCTTGGTGACCAGAGACAGAATACTCCCATATCCCGAAGAAATCGATCCATCAATATGCCAAAAATATATCAATGCCGAGAAGTCCGAAAACATGGCTCGCGTAGGGAGCACGAACTTACCACCGCCACCACCCAAGGAGGAGGAAGAAAAGACTGAAGAACAATCCCCGTCAAGTGAAAGCAGACATCCTTCCACCAACTCGTCCACAACCAACGTCTCCGACACTAACAACCACGGAACCAATACGGCCAGCAACACCAAAGTCGACCCTGAGAAAGGCCGCGACGCACACATTGTTGACTGGTACGGACCGACCGACCCGGACAACCCGCAAAACTGGGGTGTCGTGAAGAAAGTCTGGGTGACATTCGAGATCTGCCTACTCACCTTCTCCGTCTACATCGGCTCGGCGATCTACACGGCAGGCATCCTCGATGTCAGCGAGACATTCGGTGTCAGCCGCGTCGCAGCCACACTCGGCCTGACGCTGTTCGTGCTGGGCTACGGTGTCGGTCCCATGCTGTGGTCTCCGCTATCGGAAATTCCTCAGATCGGCCGTGGTCCCATCTACATCGGAACCCTCGCACTCTTCGTCATCCTGCAAGTCCCAACAGCCCTCGCGACCAACTTCGGTATGCTCCTGGCCTTCCGCTTCATCACGGGCTTCGTCGGCTCACCGTCGCTCGCCACCGGTGGCGCCTCCATAGGTGACATGTACACGCCCGCGAAGAGAACGTATGGTATGGCTGTGTGGGGCGTCGGGGCAGTCTGTGGTCCGGTGCTAGGACCACTCGTCGGAGGATTCGCGGTCGAGGCACGCGGATGGACGTGGACGATCTGGGAGCTAATGTGGCTGTCGGGCTTCACACTCGTGCTCATCACACTATTCATGCCAGAAACCTCATCCGCCAACATCCTCTACCGGCGCACGCAACGTCTCCGCAAACTCACCGGCAACGACAAACTCATCTGCGAGCCCGAGCTCGAAGGCCAGGACATGACAGGCCGCGAGATCGCGCAGATGGTACTGGTGCGCCCGTTCACGCTATGTTTCACAGAGCCGATGGTCTCCCTGCTCAACCTGTACATCGCGCTGATCTACGGCCTACTATACATCTGGTTCGAGAGCTTCCCGATCGTGTTCACCGAGATCTACCACTTCAGCTTAGGGCTCGAAGGCACGGCGTTTGTGGGCATTCTGGTCGGCGTCTTCGCCGTGCTACCGCCCTTCATCTACTACCAGCGCAAGTACATCGAGCCGAAATTCAACGACAAGGGCGAACTGCAGCCGGAGTGGCGCCTTCCGCCCTCATTCGTCGGCGCCTTCGCCATCCCGCTTTGTCTCTTCTGGTTCGCGTGGACCTCGCGTCCGGATATTCACTGGATCGTGCCCATCATCGGCACCGCGTGGTTCAGCATCGGCGCCTTCTTGCTCTTCAACTCCGTCCTCAATTACCTGTCGGATGCGTATCCCAAGTACGCGGCCAGTGTGCTCGCGGGCAACGATTTCTTCCGCTCGTCCTTCGGCGCGGGCTTCCCGCTATTTGCCACGGCCATGTATGAGAAGCTCGGTGTTGGGTGGGCCAGCTCGACGCTGGGGTTCATCTCGATTGCTTTCATTCCGATTCCATTCATATTGTTCAAGGTCAGTTTTCTTAATTCCCGGTCCCTTCTACCCCTTTGTTGAGTTCGTAGCTGACATGAAAAAACAGTATGGTGCGAAACTTCGACACAGGAGTAAATACGCGATGAAGGAGTTTTAAATACGCGGTCATAATCACCGGTCATGTAATAAGCGCCACACCTAACATCCGACCCATCTCATTTCTCTCAGCTGGTCGTTGCACAAAATCAGTATTTGGTCTCCCATCCATCAAAGACTTCATGATATTATCGGCTGCCCTGATTTATTTTCGCACTTCGCTGTCTTTCTCCATGACTTGAATGATATATAGTACAGCAAGGCGTCCAAAGAGGGGGAGGTGGGGGTTTGTTCCTTGATACGCTATGTTTCGATGCTTAGAGTCAGAGTAAATGATCACATCAGTATAATAATTAATAACACGTCTAGAAGTTTGGGATTGGTTATCACTAATTGTACTGAGATATATTCGGCCTTGCTAATATTTAGAAACTAGATTTCAAAGAATGATGATCCACACGATCATATATTTCCCAGCTTATTGAAACGGCGTTATGCCTGCAAGAAGACGAAATATGCAGCCTTGTGCTGGCCGAATTAACCCTGATCCACCCTCACTCATCATCTACGCATGCGCCCGTTGATGCCCCTTCTACCTTCTGCCACCCTTTGACCAACTCCAGACCTATTTAGATCAGAGATCTCAAAACAAGGCCAAAGAAACTCAATAGCATAGAACCACGACACCGCTCATGTTACATGGGGTTGAAGACCCCGAGCCCACACTCGGGTACTGCCGCATGCCAAAAAATGACATCGTTAGGAAGATTAAGACCAGTGGCCATTCCTCACATCATCTTTCTTAACATGCCGTGGTGAGCGATATAGACACTGGCATTTGCCGTGATTGAGCTTGGTCCGTTCATACTCCGCGTCAACTCTGTGAGATTCCGGCGATTTTGCCCGAGGCAGTGTTAGCCGTTGCTTTTCTCTCTCTCGAAGTATCGACCAGAGCTGTCGATTTCAGCCTCGTTCGCACTGGGGACCAACATCACCGTTTCCTGGGCTAATGATGTGTGGGTGATTCATTATCAAACCGTTGGTCATGAGAGATAGACGGAGCCACTCGAGCGCGACGCCGAGCCGTTGAAGACACCGAAGCACGTCGTCATATGAGCGTTTCAATCACTGACCAGCGTGAAAACCCGTACGCCCGCCCATTTCGACTGTTTGATGTGAGCAATCAATCAACCACATCAGGTGACCCAGATAGCATGCGAGGCTAATGTTACGTCGGCTTCTTCCATGACATTTCCCAAGGAGTAATCAACAGCAGGATCCGACGGTGGGAAGTTCACCATCATCGTTGGAAACAGACCAGGGTCGTCAGGATTAGTGAAGCTGCTTTCCAGAGGACCGCTATAAGGGAAGTAGTAGTAGTAGTCCAACCAGGGGGGATTGGCTTGCAGGAACGACCATGGATCGTACGGTGGATTGAAGTCGTCCACGTTGATTTGATCGTAACCCTTGGCGATGCTGTTGTCCGTGTAAGAGCTATATGGACATTGATAGGCGAGCGGGGGTCTCTCAACGAGAAGGTTTGCGTCTAGATCGTTGACCGTGTGGAGCATAGCACTATCAACGTTATCGCACGAGAGGAAGTTGCTAGTTTGAAGGTCGAGGGTGGCCATTGGAGGTGGTCTGTATGATGACAAGTTGGCAGCATTATCGGTGTAGTACATGTTGTCTGGAGAATACCCCTGCAGGAGGGTAAAGTCGGGCAGGGAATCGCCTTCCTCTGAGGTCATATATGAGAAGCCGTTATCTATGTCCGTCAGGTTCGGGAAGAGTGGAGTTGAAGTCTGATCAACGTTTTCGAATAATGGCATCGTTGTGCCTGCTACCAGTATTGGAAGAGTCTCTGCCGCCACTGCTTCCTGGTTGTGCTCGACGCGACTAAGGCATGATCTTTCGTGCCTGTGCGGTTGCAGTAAGTAATCAGTGAATGCTCTTAAATGCAGTCGAGTGACAGAAGACATGTTCTCAAAGGCATGGGCCAAGGGTTGTTGGGCGGAGCGGCAAGGCTGATTTCACCAACAGTAAAATTATGTCAAGCTCACCTGATTCTGATATCGGAGCGTTTGAATGTATCTTTCTGACAGTACCGACATGTGAATGTTTGACTTCCATGTATCTGCGAAGGTATTAGGAACTACCGAACATATTTTTTAAATGTAAGGACCACACTGACAAACCTAACGTGGCGCGTATAGTCCCCAGACCTCTGAAATACCTTGTCGCAGTCTACTCTTGTACAAGGATATGTTTGACGATTAGGATTGTGTGTCTCCAAATGCTGTCTGCGTGTGCTCTTGTCATCGAACGATCGACTACAGTGCGTGCAGGCATATCGTCCTTCTCGGCGTCGACTATGCCGGTGGGAATTGCTCATCCAGGGAAGTTCTCGTGGAAAGTGGACATGAGGATAATGCTTCTTTGACCGTCGTTTGTGGTCAGTCAATGCCCTGGCGCTGACGAACTGCTGACCACATGTCTTGCAGGAAGTTTTCTTGCCTCGCTCGATCGTGGCTCGGGTTGCGTTCTTGAATATCCTGGTGGCTCTCGGTGCAGAACTCTGTGGAGCTGCTTCGATCGTCACATCTTCTAAAGAATTCGGTGATATTGGAATGCTGCTCGTCGTCTCTGAATACATTGAGGGGCGGAAATTGTCATTCAGAGAAGGATTTGTAGAATCAAGAAAGAGAGACATGGAGAGTGAAGAATGAGTAAGCGAGGACACGAGGAGTGTCCTAGTAATGAAAAGAGGGACAAGATCCCGAAACCTACACCTGAGAATGCTAAGAAGAGGAATGAAGAAGCTGCCTAGCTACAGGGTAATTGATAATCCCTGTATTCTCTGACCGAGTGCGGAAACGTCTTGACATTCACTGCAGCTGTATGCAGGCTTGTGAACGTCCCTCCTGGGAAGGAGATCATACCCAAATTCAAAGCAGGTGGGTGGAAACAAAGATGACTGGATGGCTTCGGCAGTGGTACCCAGCTAAGGAGTGGTGAAGAACGCCCAAGATAATATAATCCAATCCGAAGCATGAAGGATGACCTCAGTTTTCACCTAGAGCGCCATCATGGAAGCAACATCAAGGAACTAGTGAGGATAGACCCGAGCCGGCAGTGGCGTAAGTGCGAGTCTGGACGCATGATGACTTATGGTTCTCCAGTCAAGAACTGGCTGATACTGCACGTATACAAGGAACAAACAATAGTCGACCACCGGGGGCGGTGCCGAACCGGAATGAAATGTGATATGTTGCTAAGCTGAACTAGTACTGGAGAGATGCCCACCAATATGCAAGGATAAAATGCCAAGTTGTTGAGGACTGCACAGGTTGATGGTCAGTCTGTTAGTCTTTCCGTTGACCGGCGACCATTGCCGTTAAGCTATCCACTTGCTCACTCAACCTTTGGATGAGAAGGAGCATTTCTGCATTTTCGACACCGCCTGAGGCAGACTTCAGCGTTGAGTCGACCATATTAGGAGACCTTGATGGAGATGTTTCAGGAAGCGCTGTACGTGAGGAAGATGCCTTGACAAAATCGTGACCCCCGTCAAAATTGAAGTGACCTGAGCTAAGGGGGCGAGTCGAAAAGTGTGGGGCCTTTGTTAAAGTAGGATGGGGTTGAGAGACTAGTCGGCGAGACTTCTCGTATGCCCAGATGACAGCCATGAATGGGAGGTGGGTGGCTTTCAAGACAAAGATACGGATCCGCCGAACCTGTTCCGAGGGAAAAAAGAGTCGCAGGGGTCTCAATAGGGTGAGAGGTAGCAGATTCAGAGGGGGCATGAAATAGGTGAGGCGACGCGAAGTACTGCTCTCGAGCACGTAGATGGAATATTGGAAAAGGTATTCCTCTCGGGCGTGTGCCATGACCTGTAACCAATCAGAAGTCGGAACCCGAAAAGGAGGGAGGCGCGGCGCTAAAGAAGCACATCCGGCCGCGTTTATGCGGCCCTTGGTAGTAATGCGAATTGCCTCAAAACTCAACACGTACCTCAGTCAAGGAGTTGGACACGAGAGAGACGAGAGATGTGATGAGTAGAATGTTGGTCAAGCAGACGAAAATCAGCCTGGGAAGAATAAAGGTTAGCCAGATGCCAAATACGCGCCCAGGCTGACTCTTTCATTGCCAGGATGTGTTCCCACACTGACTCGTGTAAGCGCCGGCCTGCTTTATGATGGCAGCGCTATTGAGTTTGGAAAGCTGCGAGGCAGTCGCGGGGGCTTGGTGAACCTACATCAAGGTATATCCAAACAGTGGTGAGATCTGTAAAGTTGCAGATGTTAGTGTCAGTTCATAAAAAGCATAGAGGCAGTGTACCTTGACAGCCATGTCGAAACCAAGATAGCTCGATCTAGAACAAGATCAGTACTTTGTATCACAATTCACTATTGACAATAGGTACCCAAAAAAGACTTTGATGAGTAGCCAGGACATCTCATTAAGTGACATTCGATCTCGAGCCAGCATGGTAAAAGTGGTGAGAAATCCAAGATAAAGGACGATTATGACAGGCAAAAATTTGCAGAATGCTTTAGTCTAGTCGACTGTCAGTGATACGGTTTATGTGTATAGAAGTGAGACTCACCATTTCTTTGAGCACAGGTATCTGTCCTAATTGTGAGCGTTGCTTACAAGTCAACTGGTACGGTACTACTTACCAAACTGCCAAAGTATGGGTTCAAGCTCATGACTGAGAATATTCTGTAAATCCGTGTCAACATCCAAGATGCACCAAAATGATTGCAAGCCTTACCTGGGAACGAGGAAGAGTGCAACCATGGACAATATGTCGAAAGCCACATCAATGATGTAGTCGCTATCTTTCATGAGCCCCACGATTCCTTGAAACACGTTAGGCAGAGATTCGAGACATCCGAAAGAACAACTCACGGGTGAGAACAAAGGCAGCCGAGACACCAATAATGCCAATATCCCACAGGGACCAAAAATCGGTCTGGTAGAACATCAGACCGGCATCCTGAATTTCTCCAAATTCATCATATGCAAAGGCAGCGATCCAAATGTACAACATTGCCTCAGTCGCAGTAATATGATCCGGATTGCGCTCCACCAGTACTGCATAATATAGCGCAAGGAGCGAGACGAAAAACGCGGTCTGGAAGAACTTTTGATATTTGGGCACACGAAGGCGAGAGAATGGATCGGCGAGGCGTTTGTTGTAGACGCGAGGCTTCTTGACCGCATGGACGGAGAGGGATTCCCAGAACACCACGTCACCGTTCCAGATATCTTCGACGATTTTCTGCACCGGGTTCTGGGAGAGAAACTTCTTGGCATCACCAATCGCCGCTATTTCCAAAGCATTCATACCGGCCATGGACGCGTCGAGGTTGATTCGAGAGCCATTCGCGTCGTCTTGAAACATGGAACTTGGAGTGTGTCCACTCAGATGATCGATGCTGGCACGCTTCGGTGGGCGGAAGTTTCCATATTCGGCGGTACAAGTGCGAATGAGTGGCGATCTCTCATCAGAATGGCCATTCCCATGTGGTCTGGGGGTCCTTGGAGTTTGGCCATTGGAACCTTCTTCAATGGCTGATTCATCGTTTTCGTCGTTTTCGTCGTCGGCCGACTCATATTCGGGCAGTTCGTACAGCAGGTAGTCGATCAACTCCTTCTCAGAGAGGAAGGTCAAGAATTGCCAGGCCACGAGTTCACAGGCAAGAGCCCTCGAGTCGTTCAATGCACTATCGCTGTCGGAATCGGCATTGGTGAAAAGATACCTCGAGGCGAGTAGCCCGGCAACCACTGCGGGATGGTGGCAGTTATCACTCAAATTGGAGATCAAGGGTTTCAGACTCTGCCCGGCGGTGGTGGTGCGAAGTTGTTCATATGTGTAGGCTGAATCGATTGCCTTGGCGATGTAAGTCGACAGCTTGACGACCACATCGGTAAAAGATTCCTTGGAGTCGATGACGGGAACATCGTCTTCCATCCACTGCATTAGTCGCGTAGATTTTGGTGTTTGGGGGTTGGGCGGCATAGTGGACGCGTCGTGGGTGTAGGTCCTCAAGTTGAATATCAACCCTCGAGGACGCATGGATAGTGACTAGGTATGTCTGAAAGAGATATGATTGTGATTCTAACCAAATGACAGCATCTTTCGACGGCAGTAAACTCAATATCGTCAGTGAGGGCAGTGCCCAGATGAGGAGCAATTATGTTGTCATTCAAGTGATTCAAGCATTCCAACTTCAGCTGCCATTCGGTTAAGCTTAGGGGGAGAAGGGAGAAGCTAAGCCAAAACCTAATCAAGTTGGCAATCGGCCAAAACCTGAACTCCTCGACTCTTGGCATCACATCCCGCTTCAACTTGAAGTCCGTGATCTATCCGATCGACCTTCACGCTTAAATTGATCATGATGTGGCTGAAGTGGAAGGTTCTCAAGGATATCTAGTCACATAAATACAAATGTGTCTCAATTATATGAAATCAGTAAGGCTATGGCTTGGGATAACCTCCCCTTTCTCTTAGGATAGATCACGACCTCGGTAGCTATTGATATATTACCTATCTCAATAAACCTCAAAATGAGCCTCAGTAGGCGACCCATTATTAACACTGACCAAGTCCTGCGGACAAGCACTCATGACAACGACAACATCCCGTAGCACCTCAAAGACGACGAACTGACCCTTCTCACTCAACGGCGCCTCAAATCTAATCTCTCCACCCGCCGTCCTATTCCCATCCCCACCGCCCTCCCGCGCAACAACGGGGATATTCATAAACAGATTCAACGGATCCGGCGGCACCTGTCCGGACACAGCCCGCTCAACGCCCCACGGCTGCACCGCGCGGAAGAAGTTATCCGCACAATTGGCGCGGCCGGGGGCGCCCAGCTGGGCGTAGCGTTCCGGGTCGCACGCTGCGATGAGCGTGTCGTGCACGCCCGGTGTGGTGTCTTCGATGAGTTTGAGAAGTGGTGCGCGTATGTTGGTTACTAGCGTGTCGCCGATGAGTGGGCTGAGGTGCAGGCTTGCGCCGCGCGAGTGCGACATTGAGAGGTACTGGTAGGTTGGTGAATCCGAGAAGGCTAAAGCCCAAAAGTCAATGACTTGGTTGCCGTGCGTGTTAATGACTTTTATCTTTTGGTTCTGCTTCACCGCGACGGCGACGCCTGACCGGGCTGGGATTTGGTGGATCTTGTTGGGTGTGTAGTTGGTGGCCATGGCTGACTGCTTCGGTATTTTAAAATGCAGCCTCTGGAATTGATTTCGAGATTTCGAGGCCTTGAGAAGTCGATGAAGGTTTTCAGATTGCTCAAATCTGCCTGCAATTCCTTTCTCATGTAGTATATTAGTGATGGGGGTCGTCATTCCACAGCTCCATTTCCAAGCAAAGACACATCGAGTCGTGGATCTCCGTTGCGGAAAAGACCATGGTCGGATCGGACATCTGGATGGAGAAGAAGCCTAGCATAAAGGTTTCCCATCAGAACTTAGGAATTGATAGTGGAGTTTTTGTATATCCTCATCGGAGTATCCAATTTTACTAGTAATATGGCCGTTTCTGCTCAGGTATCACTCTGAGAGCCATGGTTAGCTGGAAAGATCAAAACACAAAAAGACAAATGGTGGAGGGATCAAATGTGATGATATTGTAGATGAGATCACTTCATAATTAAAGGCAGGCTTGCACCAAACGCCATGCTGCATCATTGTCAATTATGCACTAAAAGGATGGATTCGTGAATGTGTTCGTAAGACTTTGCTTCTGTTGTTGACTGCGCTTCAAAGAAAGTATGGTAACGACGGCATGTCTCAATTCACGTCGAACAAATCCGAGACCAGTACAACTCCCATATCCAAAATATCTCTCTTTGTTTTCGTCGAATCTGTGTCCGTAAAAGTCAAGTTTCCAATATCGCACCAATTGCTCACTGGCAAGCAACTCAAATATTTGCACCATGAACACGTATCATGGTATGTGTAAAAATTGTTCAATAGAACAACAAAGCCGACCAGAACCGCAATCAATGCACCAGCACGGAGAAGCCACCATCCCCACCATAATGGTTTCCGGCCTTTGAAAAAGTTGATCGGGCCCTTTGCGAAAGCAGCAACATCGGCTGGCTTTGCCGTTGACTGGGGACCACTGATGAGGCTAGTCTTGGGGTTCTTGACATCGTTCACCTCGCTGTCAGATCCCATGTTGTTGTAAGACTTGGTAATTGGTTTTCCAACTCGCTGTCGAAGAATGTTGGGTGAATGTAAAAGACAGACACCAGCTCCGAGGCCCATTAAAAATCCGCCAATATGCGAAAAATTATCCAGTCCTGGAAGTAGGCCCAAGACGAAAGAAATGACAATGTCGACCAAAATCCACATCAAATCCTTGACGGGACTTCTCCTCTCATTCCAGGTATAAATTAAATCAAGAAGCACCAGGGCCAAGACTCCAAAAAGGCACCCAGAGGCACCCGTAGATGCAATTGCGGTGGCTGCAAAATTACCGCCCAGGACAAAGCCGAAGATTCCCGAGCTGAAGTAAACCAGGGCGAATCGAATACTACCAATGGCTTTCTCCATTTCTCGACCCATGGTCAATTGCAAAAGTAGGTTGAAAGCGATGTGAATTAGACCGGCGTGTAGAAACATTGGGAGTATAAAACGGAACCATTGATTAGGCTGATCGTTGTTGAAGTTGGAGAAGCCACACAGCTCAGCCAGATCGCACTGATTGCTCGGGTCATTGAGATCGGAAGTGGTCGTGTTTGGGCAAGGCCATTGGATAGTGGTGTTGGAATCCTGAATGGCTGGAATACGGCGCATGCATGGTGTAAATCGAGCCCCCATATTAATTTGTATGTAAGTCGAAGGTCCGATCATAGGGTTGAATTGGGGATGAATCATGATCGGGGATCCGGTCACGATGGCTGGATTGTGGTTAGTACGATGCATCTCGAACAGTTCCATAAAGACTTACAGTTTTGAATTATTTCAGCAATGAAGACGGTGATCTGTACCAGGCTGACAATATACACCACCCAGGGGATCTTTCCGGAAAACCACCCATCCTTCTTCTTTGATTTTGTCTTTGACTTTGGTAGGAGAGGAGGCGCGGTCTGCGATTCGGGGGAATTAGAGTATTGATTTGATTGTGTGCGCCAGTCGTCCTGATTAGTGTTTATAGTTTGTTGTTGATTTCTGAGAGGAATTGTATCGGAGAACTGGGAGATTCGGGAAGAAGAATGATCATAGTCATCTCTTCGACCATCGGCTGCGGAGACTAATGAAGGATGTGATTGATCGATGGAGGAGGAGCTATATGAGGGATTGTAGGAGTTTGCAGTTTGCCCGGCTGGCCTTGTGTCCAAATACTGGGGTCTGTTATAAGGCTGTGACGACTGTCCTGAATAATAATCGTTGGCCGCCATGGTGCGAAACCTGAGTTGAGGAAGATAGAGATGTTAATAGAACGGTGTGCAAGTGTATTTAGAACGAGAGTCCGGTGCTGTTCACCATGGGTGAAGCAAGGCAGAGTGGATGAAAGAATGACGAGTAGTCGGTCGGGCTCAAAGGCGAGAGCTGAGGAATTGAGACAAAGCTCAGTCGGGTGGTTGTTGAGATTAATCGAAGCAAGGAAATCAAGATGGAAGAAGGTTGAACGAGGGTGAAGGTGCAATTCGCCGCCCGGCAAGTTGCAACCTGGAACCTGGAATCAAGTTGACACCCCCGCGCAGGTGAGATGAAGGAAGTTGACAGGTGCCAAACAATAAGAGATCAGATTGGGCTGGAGTCCCTTTGTTGGTGGGGATTTGCAGATGGCAGCCCCTTGACCACGGAAGCGGGAATGAGTGTTTGAGAAATGGTGGTGATGGATGACGACGATGATGTTGAAGTCAAGGAGTCCGTTTGATGGAGAATCAGACGTGTGATATGGCCTGGTACTCGGCAATGGCTGTGTTTGTGAGAAACGTGGCTTAGGTTCGGGTTAGGTTGGAGGTGTCTCTTCTTAGGCGTGTTTGAGAGGGCGCAATCCAGCAAGGCGCCCGTAATTAGGCTCCGTAGCCCACTCTTCAGCCACCCATGACAGGCTTTTAACTGGTCCCCGGCTCTTGTACCTGCATTAGATCGTGCCCCTTCTCCTCGAAATAAGTTCTGTCGTCCACTTAGAGTCACCCAGTTGGGAATCACCCTGGTTCTTTGATCGCTTGGGCTTACGTAGATGTTCACTCTGCGCTTCAGCTGAAACCACGCTGCATACGAATTCAGTTCAGGTGAATCTCGACGGTTCGTGTGGCAAGAATGGTCGATTTGCTCCAAAAGTCCCGGTCCCTTAATTGTATAGGTACCTGTCTCGTACTCTAAGTACTTAATGTACTCGTAAGTGCAGCCCCAGTACCAACTAACTCACTAGCATAATCGGGCACCCCACAAATCAGGCAGGTTTAGCGATAGTTCTCCTATTTTCATCGTCTTCTTGATGTTTTCTCAGCAAGTCTTTGTTTCCACGTCGGTGAGCTTGATCAGTGAGTGCCGACCTAGACCAGACTTACCGACTGACAAGGCGATTCATGGTACATCACAGGTAGGTCAGTGTTATGGAACCCTTATGAGCAGTTGAAGCGCCATTCCGATAACTTGTTTGTTGCAACCAGTATCCTCAACTGCGAACATGTTCACCTGAGATCCCAAGAAGCGGCTTCCAGCATAAGAGCCTGCACGTATTGATGCTTGAATTGTAGTGTGGCGTTTTCCACGATTTCATGCAAGCAAGCACCTACTTCCGTCAATGCGAACTGATGGCCTTTCTAGCATTTGTTAGTCAAGCTGTATATGGGACCGACCATCATGCTTGATCTTGCGCTCTACATCTAATGTGAGTGGTGCTAATTATTCACGTACCAGCTGCAGACTCCCCCAGGGTTCTTTCGGTTGCAGGTGCATGGGTGCTATAAACAAAGCTGGCCATCTTGGTTCTTCAAACAAGCTTGGCCCACATCACAAAGCTCTTGTTTGTCTACAACGTTACCCTCAGCCTTGCAGCGGTTCCAAACCTCACTTCAGACAATCTCATGGTTTGAATGCAGGGCCTCTAGCAAGCAATACCACGTTCCTCTCGACAGTCAGGCTCTCTGTCGTTTGGCACCATACTGTCTCTGCATGAATACTTCCTTCATTGTCATACAATCAAGCAATCAGCCATTCGTTGGGATTGAGGGATGGTGCAGACTTTGATCCGTTGGGCACTGTGTAGGAATATAACATCTCTTCAGGCCCATTCCAAGATGGACTTCATCTTTTTCCACCTCCATCAATTTTTCCCTTGTCAATCCCGTTTGCTTCCCCTTCAATCAAATCTTCACCCATGGCAGGTGCTAATGCTCGACGCAAGAAGCGAGAGAGAGAACAAGCACAACCAAATACCACCAGCACAAATGTCAGTGGTACTGGAGTTCCCGATCCAGTAGTTCCAGATGCTCCTGGAGTTCCCACACAGCCTCCCGCCCTTCCAGTTCAAGATGCTGCACCGCCAGGCACAACACCACATGCTCCACAACCACCTCATACAGGTTTCAATCAATATGGTCCACCAGCAAATGACACGCCGCCACATCGTCGGCCTGTCGTACCTCCACATGGTAGAGAAGGTGGGCCAGTACCAAGGCCTCAAGACACTCACGAATCCATGCGCAACGATCTCTCCAAATTGAGTATCTCAAACACCAGTTCGGCGCTGGCTGCCAATTATTTCCCTATTGAGATCGGAAGCATCAATGTCGTTTATCAGTATGACCTGGAAATTTCAAGACCTGAATCCTCTGGAAGTTCCGGAAAGCCTGAAAAGGCCAGGAATCTTGGACACGCTGGAAATGCAGAAAGGCCTCCACACATAAACGCCAGTCAAAAGGCAAGAATCGTTTGGCTCATCATGAATCGATTGAAACGAGAAAATGCCAAGGTCAAAATGGCAATGGCTACCAACTACAAGACCATGATTATCACCAGCGCAGAGTTTAGTGAAAGCACTTTTCCGCTGACTTTAAAAGTGCCGTATCATGACCAATTTCACCAAAGCCCTCCTCAGACCAATCCGACTGTCTTCAATGTCCTCATTAAGGCTCCAGAGCAACTAGTTCTTAGCGAACTCATGAACCAGTTGAGCAGTGGTCAGCCTCGGGGTTCCAATCCTGAAGAATGCGACCAAACTCTTACGGCACTCAATGTTATTTTTGGCTATCGCCCATACCAGAAATCCTTCGTGCAGCAACCCCCCACTGCGACGCGCCAAACTGAAATCCTGCCAACATACACTACAGTAGATGGGGGAAAATTCTATGGTGTTGTCTACCGAACTAGAAACGATAGTGCGACTGGACAGCCACTAAAAGATCGAGGCTGGGAAAGACGCGACGGCGTGAAAAGCATTCTGGGGTTTACCAGGAGTGTGCGACCTTTCTCCGGAATTCCAGGCAAGCTACATCTTAACGTAAACACTACAACCGCTATGTGCTATCCCTCAACTGGCACGGTCGCGGAATTGATCCAACTCTGGGCTGGACAGCAGACGAACCTCAATCGATCTCAGAGTCACCATCTGGATCTGTTCTTGACCAATTTATGTGTAAGAACACACTTCCTTCATTCTCAAACTGTGGACTACATCACAAGCATCGCTGGCGTCCCAGGAGCAGGTCAAAAAAAATGTGCCGACCGCTGCCACCTGGATGACTCCACAAGGCCACAATTTGGTGCAATTCTTCCAATCGCAAGGCTATGGCAACATAGTACCAACTGGATATGTTGTTCATATTGGCGATCGCAAAAATCCTACACCTTTCCCCGCAGAGCGCTTGTACATTATTCCTGGGCAATTATTCAAGAATAGTATTGACAAGCCTGTTGGTGCTATCAGGTTGCCAGTAAACAACCGTCAACTGATAATGGACAAAGGCTTCGATCTTTTCTATGGTGTTCCCAACGAGGAAGGCCCAAGGGCATTCGATTTGAGGCTTGAGAAGAAGATGCTACAAGTACCTGTCAGGCGAATGGGAACACCACAGATCCAGTATCGAGGGTCCGCGGTGCAAAAGGCCAAGCTCACAACTGGGGCATGGGATTTGAAGGGCCAGAGGTTCTTCATCACCAGTGAGAAGCTAACAGACTGGACTTACCTGGTAATCAACCTGTCAAACAAAGAGACGTGTCATCAAGACAGTCTATTTAGCTTCGGTAGCAGCCTCCAGACTGCCCTCGATAGCTATGGAATGCGGTTCAAACTGAGAAAGTCGAAAACCCCCTCTAATCATCGACTGACACTACCATTTGAGAGGTTGCCTGGTACTCGCCAGGAAGATGATTTGGCAGAACAACTCAGATTGATCAAGGTCAAATTGCTGGAGTTGGTTGAACAGGCTGGAGTCCGACTCGCTGTAATCGTCCTTCCTAGTAAGGACCAAGACCTCTATGGCGCGATCAAACGAGCGGGCGATGTCCAAGTTGGGATCTCTACAGTCTGCACAGTCGCGGTTCGACCATCAAAGAAAGGTAACACCCAGCCAGTGAAAGGCGCTTCTGATGCTCTCAATGCACCGAAAAGTAGTCCAGATTTCTTGGCCAATTTGTGCCTCAAAATGAATTTGAAATCTGGCAAGGAAACTGTGAATCAAGCTTTGACGTTCAAAGGACCCATCCTGACACAGCGGACCATGATCATAGGAATCGATGTCACTCACCCTGGAGCAAATGCAATGCTTGGAGCGCCGAGCATAGCAGCGGTGGTCGGCAGTGTTGACTCGGAATTTGCACAATGGCCAGCTAGTTTCGGCGCAGTCTACCCGGATCCATTGAAGGAGTCTAAAGAGGAGATCGACAACCTCGGCGACCTTGTCTACAAGCGCATCAAGGACTATTTCGAAAGAAACCACGTACAGCCAGACAAACTCATCATCTACCGCGACGGCCTGTCAGAGGGACAGTTCAGAATGTGCAGGGAGACCGAGTATCCATCCATACAAAGAGGCCTCGACAAAGTCGCACAGGAGTTTGGTTTTCCCAAACCCAAGGCGATCCTCATCTGCGCTGTTAAACGGCATCACACCCGCCTGTTTCCGAACGAGGACTCGCTGAAGAGGGGCCTGGTAGATGACAATGGAAATCCACCACCAGGCACCATGGTGGATGAATCAATCACCTATGGCGACGGCGACGATTTCTTCCTCGTCAGCCAGAAGGCCATCCAAGGCACCGCACGACCAACTCACTACGTCGTCCTCAAGAACGACCTCGAAGAGCCTTGTTCACTTGGAGCAATGGCTCAGATGACACACAACCTCTGCTATCTCTTCGGCCGTGCAACTCGCTCCGTCGGTGTCTGCCCGCCCGCTTACTACGCCGACCTGGCAGCTGATCGTGCCCGTATTTGGGTGAGACGCTTCTACAACGCCCCCAAGGTTGACGGACAGCGACAGAAATACGATCGAGCGGTACATGATGCCGAGTTCGTGGGTGGTCTGCTTGCTGAGCATCAGAATCTCAAGGGCCACATGTTCTACATCTAGAGATTTTTCGGTGTCGCTTTTCAACCTTGGTTGATCGGATACTTGGATGTTACTTTCTTTTCTTTTTCTTTTTCTTTTTCTTTTTCTTTTCTCTTCTCTTTTCATTCCTTTCAATCTTCCTTTTCATCACAAGTTGAGATGACTTAATCTACAAATGCGCGGCATTCCGCAGGACAGGGGCGGGGGGGCGGGATGGGGCGAAGAGTTATATTCGATGGTCTACGAACTCTCTTTCCACTAATCTTTCTTCACTATTTCTTTTTTCTTCACGTATCGGCATATGATAGTTTCTTTTCTGGGGTCATGTGTCATGTCATGGAATGGAGTTTTCATTCTATTCCTTCTTTCCGTCTGGGGAAAATCACGATGCATGGGATAGATAGAATAGGGTCGATTTGTTGTTATTCATCTTTGGGCAGGATCGAGTCTCGCCAGGAATTGAAAGGGGTCAATTTCATGAGATTGGAGATGTGGCATGGCATGGGCAAAGGTAGGAAATGAGTTGGTTAAGGATGAGGAAGAAATAAGCATAAGCTTCAGGAATATTATCGTGTTGTAATCCAGGACTTCTTTACATTCCAAGGGCTTTCTTCTTTCTCTTTCAACGAATGTAAGTGAAATACCTACCTAGTACAGCGTACGTACCGACCAAGTTAGGCTAGGCACCCAGGAAGGTCAAGAAGGAGGCCGCCCAAACATCAACAATCTCAACTACTGCCTTGTCCCATCTTCCGTGGAATACCGCACTCTCCTGACCACAAAATCCAAACCCTCGTGATCTGAATGAAGCCTGGCACGGATAAATAACCGCACCCTTTCCAGCACCAGCAGCCACCCTCATTAGGGGCCATCCCGTCTCATCCCATCCGATTCAGTCATTCACACGGAATGGCTAATTCAATAATAAAGTAAGCAAGTAAAGTAAATGAATAAGCGAGTAAGCAATGCAATGCATGCTCCAATTCCATCACATCGTGGGTCTCGTTCCCAACGCCGCTTCGCGCTTCGCCGCCATTTGTGTGAGGGAGGGGTAGAAGCGGGCAGGCGTGTGGAGTAAAATACAGTTGATTGAGTCGTGATAAGTCGTTAATGTAGAAGAAGAACAAACGGGGGGGAGGGCAAACGTGGTGGATGGAGGAGTGACGTCCGGATCGATAGGAAGGTTAATGGATATCGAGTGAGCAAGTGAGCGAGTGACTGGTTGGGTAGTCTGGGAAACTTGCAGTGCAGTGAGCGGTCATGTTCATGTCGCGTAATAATTTCGCTTGTCGGTCGATTTTCCTGGTGTTGGGTGCGTGGTGGAATGTCGACTGATGGTTGGGAGGGAACCGTGAGACAAATGTCATCCGAGAGATGGATGGATGGATGGATGGGTGGGTGGAGGACAATGACCCTGACATTTCGAGGTGGGTTTCCAATACTGCGATTGGCTGTTTGGTGACTGTGCTGTTTCTCCTGTTGAGTTCCCAATGTCATAAAAACCACAATTTTGCAGCAGCGGTCCAGGCCCAGCCCAGATCCGCAGCCTGTTCAACTCTGCCCAGCTGAGGCTACAAAAGCGCGGCTACGCTTCAAACCGATATGCTCAACCTTTTGCACAAACCTCCAGCACGCTATTTCCGGCGCCATCGCCGACAAGATACCAGATCAGGCGACACAACCAACCGACGAGGAAAGCCCGCATGCCCCAAGTCGCCGCATAGAGAATCATGGCGGCTATGCTCAGGATCACGGCATTGAAGATCCACTTCTCGCGCGGCGTCATCATATAAACGCCGAACGTGACTTCGTATTGGTAGTAGCGCAGGCGGACGTAGTTGGAGAGGCGGCGGTGGATGACGAGGGTGGGGCGTTTGAGGGAGGAGGGTAGCAGTGAGGCAACGGATGTCGTGGAAGACGCGGAGGTACTGGACGAGGCGGCGGCTACGAGCTGTACCGCCGCCATGGCGATGGGTGACGAGAAGTAGTTCGCGCTGTTGGGCGGCGCCGAGTCGATGAATAGTGGGAAGGGCTCGAGCGCCCGTGGTGAGGTGAAGGCTGTGGACATGATGGGTGGTGGTGAGGATTTGTTGCGTGTTGATATAGTTGAGGAGATGGCCGTGCTAGCTAGGTGCCTGCCCTTGCTCTGCTGACAAGGAACCCGTCGATGTTGAGGTCTATCTGGATGTCGGTTCTTATGTGAGCGCGGTGGTTCCTCCTGAGATCGTAGTCCGCCCTGCGCGTGCGTATCGGATCGTGTCCGTGTCGAGCTGCGTGATAGTATGTATGGTTTGCGGGATTGAAAGGCTTTGTCTGAGAAAATCGAGCCACGCGGTGGTATCTGAGTTCAAGCAAGCGGTTTCTCCGCAGAAGTCTGGCTCCCGAGGTAGAGATATGACGGGTACAGAGTGTAGAGCGCGGTTGGAGGAACTCAGAACGAATGGCACCGCCTCTCGAAAATTCGCGGCACTTTGACTTCCAAGGACCAGCTTACTCGTAGGTGAGTTGAAATTTGACGATGGGCAAATTGGCAATGGATACAAAATGTCTGGGTATGACCTCACAACTGCAACCGGGCGGGTTGTTTGGTGGGTCGCAATGTAGCAATAGCGGATGAAGGGTGGTGTGGTACAGGGAATCGAGGCGGGAGAGTCGTCAACATTCCTTGGTGGTTGTGAGTTTATCCCGATACTGCTGTGCGCAACGGCAACGTGTGGAGGAGCAGTGGTGAAACTATGTACAGCGACGACGAGAAGGAGGAGGGTATGCCGGCCTTATTAATATTGAGGGAACTGAAGATCAAGGTAGGATGGGAGGCCGGATGCGAGCGGATTGCGCCAGTCGAGCTTTGGCCTTCAAGTTCGCGAAGGAATACGAGCCTGAGGTGCGTGCTCGGCTAAAACTGACCTTCAAGTTAAGATTCTTCAACTGGAACTTGAAGCCGCTCACTTAACTAGAGTTTAGGCGGACCCCAACTTATCAAACACGCCCAGAGAAGTGATAAGGGGACTTTGAATCCTAGAAGATCCATCAGCTCTCCTCATGGGGCCGGGTCTGCGAGAAGGCTTTTACTTCATCAGGTAGTCGTCAAAGATAGCTTTCCACTCCGTCGACTCAAAGATGATCCTATCGCAATTGCTGAGTGAGCGTCGTTCTCTTCTACTAGTAGTTACTTAACTAAGCCGCTTGACCCCGGGGGCGTAGGGTGGTCCGAGGGTACCCCGTTAACTAAAGCCGACAGCATCCGAGGATGACGCCAACGGGGATTATCTAAGGGCCGCTAAATGCTCCACAACGAAGTCATCGATCGGTCTGTGTGCCAGCCTCGTCGCAGATCATTCGGCCATGCATGTGCAATCCATCGAATATGCTAACTGGACCTCGAGCAGCCCCATTCTCTGGGTCTTGCTTGATCAACGCCGCTATAAATATGCATGTACACAGCTCGGCCGACGGCTGATGTCCGTCGCAAGATGTTTGAGACATGCGAACCAAGGTCTTGTATCGATGAACCGCAATAATGCATCATGGTAGAACCGAGGAGTTTAGGACTGCGGTTGTTTTCGTCTTAACGCCCGGGGATTCTATCTTTAAAGGAGACCGTAGCTGGTCAACTAAGTGCGGTGGCTAGGTCACATTGGACTGATCAGCAATAAGGTGGAATCCAGACTTGATCTGGGCCTCACGAATACAATCACGGATAAGCAACAGCTATCATGTCTTGCTATACGGCGGAATGGTGTTCGCCGACCATTGAAAAGGGCCACCAAGCACCGGTGAATCAGCATAGACATTTCCGTGAGTGGACTCGGGATACCAGGGGCGTGATGCTGTGCCAGTATCACAAGCACTTGTGTATTGATCGGTAGTAGTCGCGACACTGGCATTCGGAGCTCTTTCGGTGGCGTTAGGAGGCCAGCCGTAGTTGAAAGGATGACTCAGAATATCGCCCACACCATCGAGATGCCGTTGCGACAGTCTTTCTGGCAGTGGATTCACATCGGTGGTATCAGAGTGGTTGATCTCACCGTTCATGACGGAGTCTGCACTTCCATGCTCTAGAGAATCATCCTTTGCGGTTCTCAGGGCATTGTAGTAGAAGGCAAGCATGGAATGATAACCCCTGGCGACGACATCGCCTTGTGCGCAGAACTCCAGTGCAGCCAGGCATTCTGCCGCGTGAGAGAGCTCTTCCTCATACTGTGCACCTGGAGCTCCATGAAGTCGTGTTTGGGCAACATAAAACAGAAGCACAGCACATGCACTAAAAGACTGATAAATCACCAGCCAACAACGCTTGAATATGATCTTTTCTGCAAGTAGCAAATGAACCAGTCGAGCGGTATGTGTGGCCACATCAACAGCGTCGTCGGCATAGCGCAGCGCCTCCTCTACCTCTCCATCAAGGGCCCATTCACCATCTTTTTGTCTGGTTGAGAGGTAGAACAGGTGGCGTCGATAGAGGAGCAGTAATGCACCGAGAGAGTTGAGATGGATCAAGTAGATACTGCGTCTTTGTACGACTGTGAAGCCATTATCATGACTTAGTGACCCGAATTGCATTGAGGGAGGAAGGTTGTGGATCCACTCGAGAAGTTTGGCCTGGTGCTTCCGTGTACTGACGAGGCTGAGCGCATCAGGCAAGAAAACTTCTCGAAGGACGCCTGCGCTAAGGACCCCAACAGCTGTCATTTGTTCCTGCGCCACAGACTCAATGGATGGATTGATCTCAACCACGGAGAAATTCTCTTCAAATTCGGGTCGGAAGGCTGCCACAATCTCTGGGTTTGAGCCTAGCGTGGAGGATAGCCAGCTGGAAAAGAAATGGTGAGATCCTGTCCGAGAGGTACGAAATGGACTGAAGCACACCTGGCCAGGAAAATCAAGGTTCTCATCACTTTCTTCTGAGCGATCCATTGCTCGGGGGAAGTCGAAGATGGCCGCTCTTCATGGTGGATGCCTCGCAGCCTCGCCAATTTCAAGCCAGTCACTAGACAAAAGTCAGGCACTCCCTATGCCTCAATCGGAGAGAAAAACTTACAAACCCAAGTCCACGCCGTGAGCCGCTTGTCCATTACACAATATATCGCGAGGCAACATAAAGTCTGCATGCCTAACAAGACATCCTCTTCGATGCAATCATCGAGATAGAACTTGGCCGTTTCATAGTACGACAGTCTCAAGGCCGGGTCGATGTGCAAATCGTCATACTGGCTGGCCACACACACGAGCGCGTAAAGAGCACCTATCGATGATTTCGCCACAACATCTGGATTTGCGTAGACAGCTTGAAAGAGCTTGGTTGATTCGTCGGGAGTGAAAATGTAGAACAAGGTTCCAGTGCATTTGAAGAACAGGTCAACCATCGATCGGGTGATGGACACATTTGCGAGTTTCCCATCATGAAGGATCTCCACCTGATGGGATGCTCTTTGGTCTTCGACTCTCTCACGTCCGATCGGTGCAAGCAACAATCTCGCAAGTTGTTCCGGTAAGACGGACATAATGACAGTGGTTATTATCAAGTCTGTCTACTTTCCCCAAGGACATGAGAATTGTTGTGTTCTTTATGCCCCTGAGACAAAGCACAGTTTCAGCCGAGTAAACTCCAGTGCAGGTCTAGGTCATTCGCCACCATGCGAGCTTCTGAACTGGCAGCACTTATCAGATCTGATACTGTGGTATTCAGGCTGGGAAAAGAGAAGGGTGAGGGGTCATTTAAAGCCAATCAGTTGTGAAACTCCGGGCGCCGGAAGTTCCTTCCGTTACCCCTCATCCATTATGTGCCTACGCACCTTGAGAGTAAATAGTGTGTGTCGACCCGGGCATTCAACCACATCATGATCGACTGGGATGCTGCATCGAGATCTTTGTGATAGGCGATTAATCGTATTTAGAGATCAGCCTTCACCAGAATTTATCACTCAATAACAGGTTTGCCAAGAAGGGATAACCTGAGGTTACCACTTAGAATGTTAAAGGACTATGTGCCTCAGGATTCTAAAGAGAGGCTTAAGTCTCAGGCCTCAGGCCTCGTCTATGCAGTAGCCCTTCCCCAAACTTTCATTCAACATTTCCAACCAACGTTTTTAACAGGGATTGGCGGCGTGGCTGGATCACTACGTTGATAAAAACTCTTAGCCCCTCCCAGGGCGTTGCTTCTGGACCGTGTTCTGACCGAGCGATCTTTTGTGGTGTTGAGATGCAAACTGAGCCATCAGCGTTGTCTGCACTCAGCATATCGCAGATGCGGTCCCGTCATCAGTACGTTATTGTCGAGCAAAGGGTGAGAAGAAGTATTCGTGTCGGCGTCGGTATGGTCGAGGCGGGATGGGCGAAAGGTTTTGTTGTTGATTATTCTTCCCGCTTTGACTTACATTCTCACCGACAAGTTCCTGAGCTTTCATGTCGATTTGGGCCAGCAATGAGGTTTGTGCAGTCGTTGCGAGTGGAAGAGCGGGAGGCTTGCCATCGAAAAGAGCCTCTGCTGCTCCCGCGGCCGCAGCCGTCGAGAGTCGAGTTTCATGGACGAGTTTCTCCAGCCATGCTTTTGCCCACTCTTGATGCATGGAAAGCTCTTCGAACATTTCAATTATGCCGCGTAAGTTCTGAAAGGAGACTGGGAAACGGTGGAGATGTATCGTGTAAGCATCAAGAAGCGCTCGACAGAGTATTGCATTGAAGCCTCTCAATCCGTATAACTTTCGGTAGTGAATCAAGAGTGAATTGATCGTGTGGGCGGCTTCTTCACAAACTCGATGCGCTATAGTGGTCTCTTGTAAGCCACGTGTTAAGACAGGTCGAAACGATTGTATCAGACTGCCGTGAAACCACATGTGCATCATCATAACATGGGCGGAAGCATTTTCATTCATAGAAAGGTCGATCGGGAGAGCAGTATACCACGCCGAATACCTCCTTCCCCAATTTTCAATGTCGAATTTCTTATTGTCAAAAGAAAGGTATTTTGACTCCAGCAATGTTGTGTTCACAATCCTTGCAAGTCTTACCATTTGGAGCATGTAGGCTTCACGCATCACATCGACATGAAGTTCGGGGCGTGTTTGAGACGTGGGCAACAAAGCACGTGCATCGCATAATTCATTAATTGTTGCAAATCTGGCATCTGTCTCATCAAGGACAATCTGTGGTTGCCATCCTGTATTCATGGAAACCATCCTAGAACGAGATTAGCTTTGGTGTTGCTTAGCATGGAAGATGGAAGATTGACTGACTGGTCCACCTGAAAACATATCCAAAACAGCTGAAGGCGTACGTAGGCTAAAGTCGCCTCACGATGATCGACCATGGTTGAATATCGGTCGCTGACAATCTCCATGTGAAGGCCGAGAAACAGTGCCATACAAGAAGCACGACCTGAAAACCGGTAACAGCGCTGATCGTGAAGCTGCAAGTTTTCGAGCATCGCCAGAAGACACAGGGCTGCAATGCCCGTCAAGTTTGGCTTGGGATGTGCCGCCAGTAATTTTTCAGCCTCGCCGGTGAATGCCTCCACAGTAGGCCAATTCTTACCACTTGGATTGAGCTCGTGAGAGAATCCAAGAAGTGAGCATCCCACAGCCAACATCGCGTTCAACAACGCTGGTGAGCAGTATGTCGTTTTACCAGAGGCCAGATCATCCCGAACCAATGATTCCGGGATAACAGGACATATTGGATGGTGATGGGTGAAATACAAGGAGAGAAGGTGGTCGATGATTTCTCGATCTTGCGTCACAGTGGTCCAGCACACCTTCTCACTTCCTCTGAACTCTAATCGATTAGGAGCAAGGTCAAATGGCTGTAACAAACCGAAAAGTGGATGGACCGATGGGATGGCGCTCAAGGTCGGCGAGACAGATTCGTCCAGTGTTCGGTCTCTGGAGACCCAATTCGACTGGGTTGTATCCTCTCCATCACTCAGTGGTGTGGCGGTGATGTCAACACCATTGCGCAAGGATCGTACCAGTTCTAATGCTTCGGAATCCGAAGCACTTTTGAACATCTCCAACAGCCTGTCCAACTCGACGGTTTTTTTGGTGGCTTCTGCTACCAGAGTTTGACGGTAAATCTTGCTACGGTGATCTGCATCATAGTGGCATTCATACCCAGACCGAGAGCATCTCGAACATGGCCGACCGCCATTACACTATGATTGAGAAGAACGTTTGGTCAGCTATAGCTCAGACCGATTTGAGCAATTGCACACAAGATTATGGACTTTCATACCTTTTGACGCGCTTTTCTGCATGTCTGACAAGCATTGGAGATGTTTGGCCGTCGTGCTCGTATTCGATTCGGGGCAGGCTCTGGTTGCGCATGGATCGACAAGACCGGGTAAAGAGGTCGTAACGAACGTGACGGAGTCGGCATCTCCAATGATGTGGGTTCGATCACGATGGGACTCTACCGTCGATATGAAATAATGCCGTCCAGCGTTCAGAGGATGAAAACAAGTCGTTTAATCATTATTGATCAACCAAGGACTGGTTCAGCTCGAATCACGTGGATCCTTGCATTATGATAAGTCGGAGCTTCAAACGGATGTCTATTTCCGGGGTCATGATGTGAGTGTGTTGAGGGGGAACATGAACGGATTCCCGTTGGTTTGCCGGTACAATGGGCTGAGGAGTTGCAAGTTGCAACTGCATGGCTTACCAAAGGACAAATCAAGTGTGACGTCAGGGTCAATATCAACCGCGTTGTATCTACAATACGAAGGCGAAATGGCGTTCGTCACTCGAGGCTATGAGATTTGAAGATCTTGTCGAATGTCTCTATCAGGGTGTCCAGCAAGTCAGATCTTGCTCTGTACGGATAAATAGTTGGCTTGGGATCACTTATACGTTAATATGTCACTACTGCCTAGGTAATGGTCGGCAAAGACATCCCGCCCGGTTCAAGCAGCCAGTCACGGAGATTATCTTTTGGAGAGCCCATCGGTCCTCTAACTAACTAGTATATCCCATTTGTGATCCCATATTAAGGATTCTTCTTCATGCAGGATTCTAAAGATGGACAAGTATTCCTGAATCGGCTTTTTCCCACAGCAGTATATTATTGCTCCGGGGGACCGCCCGAAGGTGATTCGGCATATTAAATCCACGTCATGTCGTTCGTCAATCATAATGTCCTTCGCTGCCCTAAATTTGAAGGCTTCCGAGTAGATAGGAAGCCAGGATCCTTTTATCCTTAGGATCGAGAAATAGCTTTGATTCGAGACGAAGCCCCATGGCCTTTGGTCCTCAACTCGCCAAGGGAGGTAGATTCAAATCAAAATCCTCCGTGTCAAGTGCGACCCTGCCGATGATACAATTCATCTCGTTCGCGGCCACAAGACCAGGCAAGCGGGCCGAGAGACGGTGAGTTTCCAGATGAGCCATGAAAGCCTTCAAGCCATGGAAAGTCGGCGTGACGTGAGCTGCTGTTGTTGGTTTATTGCCGCCAAATGTCCCTAGGGTGGCCAATTGCGCATGAACTTGACTTGCAGCACCGCCGTCGTCCAGCCATCCCTTAGCCGCACCCTCTGCACAGCAGAAATAGCAGCCAAACGCGTCGTTACCGTTCGTGGCATCACTATTGGCTGTCTTGTTGAGGATGTGGCTCTTCGCGAGGAACGCCCAGCGGTAGCGTATGGCTCCTGAGGTCCGTACTTTCGTGTCCATGGTCTTCTCTCGCTTGACGGCGCCTCTACCACCGCTTGGAAGTGCTGCTGAGACGACAGCGGGACCTTCGAAGTTACATTTGGTACACCTGAAGCAGAATTCTTGGCCTGCTTTGCCTCCTTTCTTTGATTCAACACCAAAGCCTTTTTTGCGGCCGCCGAGCTGCTGTCGGACTGCACCTTTGCAGAAACCGCCGAGGTTGGCTTCGCTGGGTAGATTGAGCTCCGATCGTGCGATTTGGATAGAAGATGACGATGGGGCGACAGCGCGCATGGTGGATTCAAGCGAAGGCGCATTCGAAGATGGTGGTCGGGGCTTCTCATCTAAGGAGAGCGTATTCATATGTCGCGCGATAGGAGATGTGGGATTACTACCCGTCGTACTTGACCGGTCACTCTGTGTCAGATCTAGCGCTTTAGGCTTGATGTAACGGGGTTGTTCTTCTTGAGGATGGGGCGCTGGCTTGTTAATCGCTTCGACAATTCCAGGTGGCAACGCCTTTCTTAAAGCAAACGAAGCAAGTCTGGATCCTGTGGAAGCCGTTGATCTTATCGATAGTGGTCTTGAGTTTGAGGCCGGTATAGATGGAACCTTCATTAACCTAGTTAGTGATTGCTGTGGCCGTGTCGATTTTGTCAAAACACAACTCACCTTAGCTTGAAGCAAAGGGTCAATGGTCGCTGGGGTATTGGTCATTGACACTTCGAAGTTTGTTTGAGATGGTGGTGGTTGTTGTTGTTGAATTCCTGTCCCAACATGTCGATATGGCTGCACGAACTGAGATTGTACGAGAGGCTGGGAATAGTTCTGTGCGACAGGTGGATACTGGCCATTGTACAGGTGACTTTGCATGGGGGAAGTGTGGAATGACTCGGCTCGAATCATAGACTGTCGTTGCTGCACGACGCCTTGACTGAAAAGAGGTTGCGGGCGTAACTGATTCTGCATGTTCATGGCTTGCATATATTGTTGATATTCAACGGACGCTGCGAGAGCAGCAGGAGGTCGACTTCGAGACTCTAGCGCTGCAACATATTCCAATGTGCTGTATTCGGGGTTCAGAGGGACGAGCTGGCTTTGCGGGATCGAAGGACTTCCGACCGAGGAATCTTGATCTGTAGAATGAGGAGGCATATCCTTGGAATTGTCATCCAGCTCATGGATGTGAATGGCACGAGATCGAATTTCGACTTGTGCCATACCAGGGGAGAGCGTGGGAATAGGACTTTGAATAGCATTTTCGGGCACTTCTGCTACCGGTGGCTCATAGAAACTTGAACCTGGAGGAAATTTCTGACCCTTGTCATCGGTCGTGTGAATGAAAGAATTGGCGGCGTAGGGTGGAGGCGAAGAAGGGTTCGAAGCAGTTTCCGTGTCGATGTTTGAGGGAAAGCGTCCACTACCTGTGGACGCACTATCCAATGGACCCTGACTTGCTTGTCTCTGCATTGGGAAGGGAAGTGCTGGAACATTATCTTCCCCTGGTGTTCTCATTTGAGGTCTATCTCGATCGCGCTCACTAGAGTATGACATGGCCGAGTTCATCGAAATTCTTCTCTGTGGAGTGAATCCGCCAGAGGGTTTGCGGTCGTGTCCGATTGCCGTTTTCGAGCTATAAGTCGTGTATGAGGTCGAGGATTGCGCATCGTATGGTCTGCCTCCGAATGAAGAATGAGTACTTCGACTACTTGAGTATGCGAGTGAACCCTGCAGATGGACCTTGTCTGGCTCATCGACATATGGCCGATGGAGTTGCTTTACCGCAGCTGTAGCTGTAGACATGCGCTGATACAGTTGACCCAGAGAGACTGTTGCGTTGACACGACAGTCATCTGAGGTTTCTTTCAGGGCGTGTAAATTGAGTGAAGCCTCATCCATGAAAACTTCGCGCAGATGAGAAATGACATTTTGTTGCAAAGTGATAAGGATATCCTTCATCTGTTCTCGAGCAACAGCATCACCTCGTACGTACGTTTCACCAAACCTTCGGACATCGTGATCGTATTGACTCTGGACAGCTGCACACCCTAGTAACAGGGACTCGTCGAACTCTTTCGTGAGGTCCTCTGGTAGAATGAAATCCTTTGAATTGGTCTGCTTGTCCCTGAGGCGTTGAACCAATTTGGATGAATCCCGATATGCCGTGATCACTGCACATTATTCCAATCAGTAATTAATCACTCATGATTTCATTGGACGTGGGATGTGACAAGTGGGTATCATATAAAATCCGGACATAAACCATGGTCTAGGTAACAAGAAAGGAGTCGGACAGCATATGGAGTAGTGGTTGCACGACAGTGCCCAGGAATAGACAGTAGGCCCATGATACGAGGACGTCATCATGATCTGAGATGTCTCTCTGGCAAATTGGGTAGCTGCGTAGTCATTGGGCCAATATTGGTGGAGGTGTGCTGTCTATGTGCGGCCTGAAAGGCGCCTGACAAACGTCCAATCCTGTATTGCCGTGGGATGTTCGTAGAATTGTTTGTGGGGCCCATCAACAGAGGATTCAGAATAAGATCTCACCTGCTTGGACACACGACTCAACGGATAGAACGTCCATGGTTTTGTGTTGAGAGTGCTTTCAACACGTCTGATGTCGCCGTAATGGTCGATTTTCCCCATTCACGGAGAGGTTGGGGTCTTCGCTCTAGCTCACTAGTGGGCTTCGTGCCAGATCAAGACCAAGAACGTGGGGATGATATAGCGTGAGTTTTACAAGCAGTGGGAAAGAGAAAGGAGAGACAAAAAGACGAATCCCAAGGTGGGAGCGATCGACCGCTTTTTTGAAGCTGAGGCTGAGTCAGGTCACAGAGTCACGGAGGATTGACAAGGTCGTCCTCGTGTTCCCCAGGGTATCGTACTCCGGCTACCTAATAAGAGTACACAGTCGGCTGTGTAGCATAAGGACGGAGTTTGAAAATATCGAACAGCGAATAAAGTAAGCGACGCCCGGAGGTGGTGGGCAGTGGTTGCACAGATTCGGCTCAGGCTGCACAATAGTCTTCAGGCATTGGAAAACATCTGACCCTGTAATGCCAGGGCACGTCTTGGAATTGCCAGTGGCTGGCTAGTTAGAGATAAGATGTTACGCCACGAGCCTGCAGCATCATGATGGTTCCCAAGCTAGTCTGCCTCTAAAGACGCCAGCTGAATGAACTTGTCGGGTATACCCTTTGACCAAGTGGGAGAATAAAGGGGGCATACGGACCCAGGCGATGGCTGATCAGGACTATATGCCTTTCGCCTACCACATGTGGCCCAAGGGTGCCTGGTATGAAAACTGGAGGAAAGAAATAAGAAAAAGGCGCGACACGCGATGATAGCGACTCTCAACGTTCATTGGCTAATAATCGGGTTTGATAAGAACCTTGGAGCCTCTGCCTTGTCAATGGTTGAACAACTTGAGCATGAGGCCAAGCTGAAGAATCAGTAAAATTGGCTTGCATCAATTCGACTTCTAGACTCGAGTCTTTTTGAAGATGGAAATCCTGGTTCGCCTACGACCCCAGTATCCACACCCATGCTTCTCCGTGCCCAAAATGCTCTCTGATTCTTGACACTTTACTCCGTACGGTTACGGAGTTTTATTGAACAGCGCCTCGTTCAAGCCCCGTGGACCCGGATCTTGTGTCAAACGCTGTCAAGCTGTTGAAATTTGGCCCATTGGCCCTGGTCAGTCGTACCTTGCAAACATGGGGCCTCAGTAGTAACGCCACGGACTTGTCAGGCTCGTAAACCGCCAACAGTACCATCGATCATGAGGCTGAACTCAAAATCTGGGATTAATGGGTTTTCAGACAGACTACGTAGGCGGATGGACCGCGCCCGAGATTTCGATGCGATGATCAGTCAAGCTCCTCCACAGACGAAGCTCCTCAATTTAAGAAATCAAGAGTCACGAACTACAAGCATTCCTTAAACCATACTCGGTGCCACGTGGATACGGAGCAGCCGAAACACTTTTGAAGCCAAATCGCTTAAAGAAATCGGTACTTTGTGGAGCAGGTTTACAAAAGGCCTGTCCATTGTCCAACTCTCGTAAACAAAGGATGGACAGCTGGACAATTGAAAGACATCTGAACGGCCGAGTCCTCATGAAACTGGAGGGAGGAGCAAGCCTCGTAGTTTTGACTCGTTCGCTATCCAAGGAGATACAGCTTTCCAGTGACACAATCCAATCTCGTCATCAAATAGACTCAAAAGCAGAAAGAATGATCCGGTGGAGAGCCGGTGATAAAGCGTGATCTCTCCGGCGGTACATAACACAAAATCGCGTCCAGCACGCGTCGCCCAGACGGGCCTAGTCACATCATTAATTGTTTCCCCACTTCGATCCAATAACTAGCAAACCTCGACATCAACAGGCAAAGAGAGACACACAGGAGAAGCAAGCCAACCACCACAGGTCGACTATGGACGAAAGTGCAATCTACAATGATCCAAAGAATCCGCTGCTGAGTCTGACCGGGGATGCCAATTCGGGAGTTTCGCCACTCGAGCAAGAAGTGCTGGATGAATATGAGCGACTGCTGAATAACATGAACGAGGTGAGTGAGTGGCATGGTAGCACCCGACTCTGTTGCTCTTGTCGTCTCAGCGATAGTCATTCTCAGAGCGCTCGAATGATGATATGGTATGCGACCTGAAACTGACCCTTCCAACCCCGTCTTTAGCTATCGTCAACTCTCGCCAGTCTCTCTAGTGGTCCAATGACACTGGAAATCGCCGAGGGCCTGAGGCTGCTGGAGCGGAAGGTCGCCAGTGTCTACACGTTGATGAAAGCCAGTGTCTACAGCATTGTGTTGCAACAGGGTCAATTGGAGGGCGATGATGGCAGTGCTTTTACCGGAGATAGCAATAGCCAGCCTTGAACTTTTGCCAAATACATCCGAAGACTCGATGTCATGACTGGATTTCGACGACTGGACGTACGATTGTACATGCCGATATCGCGAGTCACGCGCCCATCAACTCAATACTGGGTATTTCTTCCTCCAGACGATCCGCTGGGATTACAAACGCATAAGAAGTCACAGTTGACACGACACGACACGAAACACCTGATCACGGAGATCTATATTACATAGTATTGACATGGTCGCTAAAGTCTTGCAAAGTATACTGTACAGCTTCTATGTGAGTCCAGCATAATACACCTTGCGGACATCGACAAGCTTTTTACCTCGACCTCTAGCAATATCTTCAGGGTCTTTTTGACTCAACAAAGCCTGAATGGTGGCTTTGACCGTGTTCATGGGATTCCGGGCACGATGAACCTTGGCGGAAAGATCTTGAATGCCAGCGCATTTGCAAACTTCCCAAATGTACTGCTGACAACGAAGACCGAACCCTGAAAAATGGAGCAATTAGCATAAATCGTTGGCTGTAAGAAAGAACTCGCTGAAAACATACCAGGAGGTCGGGGATACAGCTCCAACTCTGTGGCGCTATATTTCGCCTTGAGGTCACCAAATACGGTTCTGTCTTCATACCGTAGAATCGGTTGCATGTTGCGAATGGCGCGATATGTGCTTTGCATTCTGGCGTCAACACTTTCCATACTCTTGCCCTCACCATAACCTATCAGTCCATCACCGTTTCCTGCGACAGTTAAAGCGTAAAGCCGGCTGATCTTTCCCATTCGTGTTTGATTGGTTACACGATGCATAATGACCGTCTTGACTCGGATTTTGGCGAGATCCCTACGATCATACCCTGTCTGTTGCATCAAGGCAACCAGACTGGGCGAGGGAGTTTCTTGTGACATTGGAGCTTTTCTGTCGCCATCTTCATCCATTTGTCCCTTGCCTTTTTCCTGTTTGATCTTTTTTCGTTCCGACATTTTGGGTAGATCCGGAGCCAGTGCAGATCGAGGTGCGAGTTCAGCCTCTTCCCGGCCTGTAGTCAACCGCATGTTCCTGTCAAAGTCCAAGAACTCGTCTTCTGCGGCACTAGGCACGAGGTGTTCGACACCAGCTTCGTCCACCCATGTTTCAAGGTTTGTTTGTTTCATTGCCTGTTCGATAAAGTCTTCGGCAATTTCATCATCGTCCTTCATGCGCTGGGCATCATCAATGTTGGTCCACGGGGCTCGGACGGGTTTGTCGATGACGGGATCTATTGTTGTCAAATCGTCAAAGTACTCCATGGTCCAGGGCTCAGCACGCATGCGACCTGGTGAATCCTTGATGTGTTGTAGAGTCCCAAACTTCTTGGCCGCTGCGATGGCAGCACGTTGCTGAGCCGAGTATTTCTTAGGTGAGGCTTCATCTTCAGAGAAGAACTTATTGGCACGATCTTTCAGGTAGGCAAGAGGGTGTGTGGGTCGTTTTCGTTCTTCATGCTTGACACTAGGGAATCGTGGTTTGCGATTCAGATTGACGGAGGTAGAATGGAGTTGTCGTCGAGCGGAAGTGCTTGGGCGAGAAGATCTTGAGAATGAGCACAAGAGACACTCTGATGAGCGTGCCACACTCATCTTTGGAGGCCAGGATGAGATGTGGATGCTTACCAGGCGAGCTTCAAGATTCTGAAGAAAGTCCAGAAAGTCCGAACTTCGACTCCGGAACTCGAACTCGAATGCTTGGCACCACCATAAACGCTAAACCCTTTTGGACAATTTTGCAGGGCCTTGCATTCTTCACTTCCAAATTGATACAGCCTCCCTCAGATATTTCTCCGTGGCCTTGCACAGTCTTTGTGTGAAAGGTCTGATTCTGAATTGAGGTCTCGGACTGCAGAAGGGATATGGCTCATCAGCACCGGAACTTGATGACACAGCAACACCTGACTTGAGATCCTACTCTGGTTCAAGATGTTGTTTCCGCCTTACTAAAAGTGTATGCTACGAAAATCGATACTCATCCACAGGACTTGACCTCTACTAGCCCTGGGCGAAGCTAGAACACAGATCAGTTCAACAAGTCAGTCATAAACCATGGACGATTTTCCACACTTTGTCATTGGTCACCACGACTCCAAAAGACCTCTGCCAGTCACGTCCCAAACTGTTCAGAATGCTCATGCTGCAAATGTGAGAGTCGAATAATCCCCTCATGAGGTCCACTGTTTCTAATCCCCCAAAGTACGATATGCTCACAAGCCCAATAACAAGCCCCCATTTTCAATCTCGGGTTTTGACATTGCTTTCAACATATCTCTCCCAGGCGGCAAGTTCAGCTGAGGACATCACTAAGACAAAGAATGCTTCTCCAGTGGCCATTCCACCTCTGACACCGGCTGACACACCATTGACTCCTGATGATTCCATCAGCCAGATCATTGGTATTTCTAGTTCATGGATTGACCTCACATCTCCAGATCCAATTGTCGCGGATATTTCGCGTCAAGTTCTGAACCTCGAACTGGCTTATGCTGCCTTCTGTGGCATTACCTATCTTCTGATTCCTGGTCCCAATTTACGAGGTCATGGTACATCTGATAGTGCCATCGCTCAATACGGTCGTGCGATCATGGATGCACTATCTCAAGCTCCATACGTTCAAATATACATATGGCAATCCATCCTCGATCATTCAGAGGAACAGGTCAAGGAGATGGGCGACTTATCAGCTTTTGCCCGTCAACAATTCTTGGAAAACGAAGATCTAGATCAACAGAGCAGACTGGATCTATTTGGAACTTGGGAAGCTTGGGATATAATTAGATCCATCTGTAAATATCATGCCCGGTTGGGTGTAGGTAAGCATATGATAATCTCCATTCCCAACCCCGTGCCCCTGAAAGCCTACATGAGCAACGGCCATTCTGTTCCTATTGCCATCTGAGGCTGATAATTTCTCTAGCTTTGTCAATGCCGAAGCTTCTTCCTCCTGTGGCTGTTCAATCAAGGTGGTATTCTGAACCGGTTCGACTTCTGACTCTAGACAACAAAATATTCGCCAAGAATGCGAAGGGATATCCAGTCCTTTCTCGTGCTCATCAAGCAATGATCAGCCGGTTCATGCGACTTCGAACTCCACCATGGTTTCTGTTATGCGATGTTGGATCTGTCCCGAGTTCGAACTCGACCGATCACGACGGCCTCGCGACAAATACATTTCCAACAATTGCCGAAGCTGCTCAGAATCCACAATTGAAAGATCCAACACCTCAACTCTCATACATGCGAAACCTACAGACCAAACAACCAATCTTAACGCCTCTCGACAAATTCGGTGCCGGATACCAAGACTATCTCCAAGCTCCATTGCAACCACTGACGGTGAATCTTGAGAGTATTACGTATGAAGTCTTTGAAAAAGACCCAATCAAATATGCTTGGTACGAGCGTGCGATAGCCAGGGCATTACACGATTGGATCGAGCAAGGTAAGCCCACTAGTAACCCAGATGGCCGTGTCGTCGTTGCCGTGGTTGGTGCCGGTCGTGGTCCTCTCGTGACTCGAGCGTTGAAGGCCAGCGAGGACGTCAGTGTCGAAATCGATATGTGGGCGCTGGAGAAGAATCCCAACGCTTTTGTATTGTTACAGCGACACAACGAAACGATCTGGAATAACCGGGTCAAGCTTGTCAAATCTGATATGAGGACTTGGAGAGGTCCGATCCGCGCAGCAAACAATCAACCAACAAGTCGGGTATACAACACCGAGCAAGACGATTCTGATGATCAAGACACTCAACAGAAGGATGACCGCACCAACAGCTCAACCCCTGCAGAGACCGGTACGTTCACCGGCTCACCATCTCTCGACTCGACCTACCTCCTCGCAACCTCACAACCGACCAACACTCCGGCAACACCATACAAAATCGACATTTTGATCTCCGAACTCCTTGGCTCCTTCGCGGACAACGAACTGAGTCCGGAATGTCTCGACGGGGTACAACACCTGATGAATCCGGTACACGGAATCAGCATTCCCGCGTCTTACACCGCACACCTCACACCCATCGCGGCGCCGAAGCTGTACGCCGACATCACACACGGCATGACCAGTACAACGCCCAACGCAGCCGAGATCCCATATGTAGTGATGCTGAACGCGATTGACTATCTCAGCACCACCGCCGGCGCGGGCGGAACCTCCGACTCCACCTCTAGCGATGTGCCGTCAGGTGCCAACAAACCTCAAAGCCCATCCTCCGTCCCTTCGCCACCAAGCTATGCCCAAGCCCACACGCAACAGCGGCAACAACAAGGCAACAACGTCGACGACGCAAACCACCCATCCTCATCAGAAACACCACAGCCCATAATCGGCACAACATGGTCCTTCCAGCATCCAAACCCGCTCCTCCCCTCCTGTTCGTCTTCGTCTTCAACCTCAAACCCGTCGCAACCACCACCACCCTCCTCATCCACGGACCCTCTCCCCCCAATCTCCAACGCCCACAACGCACGACACAGCACACTGACGTTCCCGATCCCCCACCGCGGCACCTGCCACGGCCTGGCCGGCTACTTCGAGACCGTGCTGTACAAGGGCGTCGAGCTCTCTACCAATCCGGCTACCATGGACGCCAAGAGCGAGGGCATGATTTCCTGGTTCCCGATATATTTCCCGTTGAAGGTACGTACGTCTCTTGGATCAAGATTGCTTAAGCTCGGCGTCGTTTTGCTCTGTTTCCAATACCCTTGCGTGGCATTGTCTAATGTAATCCGTCGTCATAGGTCCCCCTAACGGTCCCGGATCACTCGGAGCTGCGTGTCACCATGTGGCGCAAGACGGACGACCGACGCGTGTGGTATGAGTGGATCGTCGACGTTTTTATCTCGGTTGGAGTGGGAGCCGGAGCTGGAGCGAAAGCTCCTGCTGCTGCTGGCGGAAAGAAGCGTGCGAGGAGAGTTCGCGTCGGGGGTAGTGAATTGCATTCGAGCGAGAAGGATGCTTGTCTGATGTGATGTGATGTGATGTGATGGTCCTAGAAGAGCCGATTTGCTTCGATTGGTGTGTGTATGGTTGCGAGGCATGGCGTGATATATCCTTCCGGGATGACGAAGCTACTTGAGTTACTGACCTGCCCAGGAGTCTAGGACGCCTGGCTTGGGTTCAACGTAGAAGCGGCGAGTGACGTGTCTAAACGTGAAGCACGGGCTCCGTCAGGGGGACCGCAGGGACCTGTGCAGTTGGCATCGTGTCTGGGCTATCTACTTGCCAGTGACGAAGGGATCGACCGGTCGCAAGCGAGTCTTCTACTCTTCTATCTACTCGTACTACCAGTGCACTTCCTTGACTTAGGTACTTAGATACTGTCGCGTAGAAACTTGGCGGCATCAAGGCGTCGGCGCGGGCCGTCTTAGCTTTTGAAAGTTAGCACTAACTAAGATATTCGTCCTCAGAGAAATTTTTGTTTCCATATATATTCTATACTTCGTCCACAGTCTTTCGCAATCGACCATAGGATGGGGAAAACAGGGCTTCCCGTTCGCTCAGCCGTACTTAAGCTCCATGCCGATTCGTTAGTACTAAAGTGGGTGACCATTTGGGAATCCGGATTGTTGATTGTTTTTGTTTTTTTTTGTATTTCTTTTCTTTTCGCATTTTTTGATTGACGGTAGGATGATGACGGTGCAGGAGGTAATTACAGCGAGTAATTCTTGCGCCCTTACTCGGGTCGTATGGATACCTAGTCTATAATATCGCTGCCGAGCCTTCGATCTGTTTGGAATTCTTTTCCAGCTTCTTAAGTGGTATGTCCACTTTCCTTGTGTCTTCTCGTGTATCTAATCGTGAACGACTAAGGCTCAATCGTGGGCGCCGTATACATCTGAGATGTCATACGACCAAGTGGTCACGTACGTAGATCATGTCATAAAATCTCCCGAGGAGAAGAGGATCTCCTTACCCCGTATCCGTATCTGTGTGGAATGACCGTACGTTCATTATGCTCGGTATTATTGGGGATACTAGTCTGCAGGTCCGTCATGAACTCCTTCCCTGCTGCTGTCGATGCTGTCGATGCTGTCTATGCTAGTGAGCCCAAATCTGTAGATTTCAACTCCATCCATCCATCCATCCATTTTTCCAAAGTACCTCAATCAGCCAAATCAAATTCCCTGGGTGTTGTGTTCGAGCTCTTTTTGTGTCTCCTCTCCGATGCTAAAAGGTGGTGAAAGGAGTGAAAAATAAGCCAACTACATACAGCTCGTGGGAGGGAGAAGATCAAAATACTCGCTCGAGTACCCAAGTCTGAATGTGAGCTTAGTTAAGCATATGGTTGCCCAGGATATGGAAAACAGATTTCCTGAATCAACATGTCACAAATCCAGCCCATCGAGGTAAAACTCCTTTTCGTAAGCTGATCCATTTGGGGTAGTCAAGACCCCGTCCGTTCATTCATGAACGCTCAATGCAAAAGCGAACGCTCAGATCAAATTAACTCAACCCCAAGTCAACTCGTATCCAAGTTCGTGTCCAAACTCGTGCTCAAGTTCAACTCCAAGCATCAAGCCAGGCGCCGAATCTGTCTCGGCAGCGATTTCTTCACACCAGCGTCAGCTACAACACCAGCCGCCGCCGCCACCGTGACGGCATCCTAGTCAAGCAGTCGCCCCTCGGAATCGCCCGTGCTCGCGGCACTGAAGCTCTCACTCCCGGTCTCGGTCTCCGCTTCGGAGACCGCGCTGCCGACACTATTATCGCCAGCGCTGCTGCCGGCTGACTCTTCAGGTTCGAACGTTACGATCTTCGGTGAGGCGACAGTGGCGCCGGGGATAGGGATTGGGGTGGAGATGGGGACGGGGATCTCGAGACTCTCGGTACTTCCGGTGAGTTTCTCAGCGAGGCTTTTGTTGTTGGTATCGTTGTGCGAGGCACTGGTCTCGGTGCTCAGCCAGCTTCTGCTACCTGCAGGGTTGGGGGCGTCTTTTGCAGGTTGAGTTGGTTTGGAGGTGTTTGCACCGGTGAGACCTCGACGGATGGCGAGGACGGAATCGACGATGACGGCATCGATGCCTTGCTTGACTTGTAATTTGACTTTTGAAGAATCGTTGTTGAGCGCGCCGTAGCTAACGCAGACGAGACCGCTCTCCTTGACGACACGGACGAGGCGGGGTGCATAGACGAGTGGCTCCGCGGCGCTGACAACACCGAGCAGATTCCAGCGACTCGCGAAGCGAATGGCTTCCTGGAGACTCGTGGCGCGCACGTCGCCGACGGGGGAGGTGCCCGCGTCGGTGAGGAACATGACGGGAATACTCGGCTGCTTGAAGGAGAGTAAGAGGCAGATGTCCGGGTTGAAGGAGGAGAAGATAATGTTTCGGCCTTTGCCCATGTCGTAGACTTTGGTCAGGACGGTGTCGACGAAGGAATTGAGTTCGACGGCGTAGGTATCCATTTCTTCGTCTTCGCTTTCAGAGAGCATTGGGTATTTCATCTCGATGTTGAATCCGACGTTGGAGGGCACTTTACGGAACATTTCTTCCAGAGTGGCGAAGGGGGCTTGGATGTGGTTTCCGCGACTGTTGCCTTTAAATCCTTTCTTTTTGAAATCTCGTGTGTGTTTCATTCGTTCTTCCATGTCGACTGATTCGTTGCTATCTCCTCCACCGACAGACATGGATCGAAGTCTGGGTCCTCGCGAATCTCCATTCTTCAAGGTACTGACCTTTGGGTTTTCAAAGGGCACGGGGGATGCCGGTCTTGAATGACGTGGAGTTCTCATTTCATTGACATGAAGGAATTGTTCCAACGTCAGAGTGTGCACTGGTGCATCGACTCCTGTTTCACTAACCAAGAAATCGTGGTAGATGACCGGTACATGATCCTTGGTGAGTTGAACGTCGAATTCAACGTATGACGCACCCAGATTGGCGGCTGCGATGAACGATTGAATTGTATTCTCACCCAGTTGAAGAGAGCGACGACCAGCAGCCTGATTTTTGCCCAATCCACGATGACCGATGACCATTGTCGAAGTCATACTCTTCCAGTATGTCTGATTCTCTGTGACGACCATACTAGGATGATGAAAAGGTGTAATAACCAGGAAATTGAAGGTCACAGAACCAATCACCTCGAGATCATTGGCGGCGACAATAGGAACTGTGACATCACCCTGTAGGAGCATGCGCTTAGTACCAATATTGGGTTTTATGGTAGAAAGCAAAGCCACGCCACGTCCGACGATGCGTTCTCTTGATCCAGAATAAGTCGGAATGAGATCAAAGAACAACTTGACTTTTGACGGATCTGCAGCATGGAAGACAATTGGCTCAGTGGAGATATTATCTTGCACTGGTAAATCAATGACTTCTGCTTCGCCTTCAGCAGATTTTGCAGACACCACGATTGAAAGTGCGGTATCAAGTTGCGTCGAATGCGCATTTGCTAAAGGTATTCTATCGAGATTGACGGGTCGAATCGACTTGCGGGTATCCATGGTACCAAGACTGACGAGGATCATGCTTTTATCCGTCAGGTATCGATGGCCGAAACTCTTGACGGGTTCGCTCATCTTCACACCCTGGGTCGGGGTGGCAATGCCATTTGATTTCCTCTCTGCCAGAGAAGACGAGACTGGGGGTGATGTCGATGCGACAGAGTCGGGATCTTGCTCTGGCTCTTGTAAGACCTCACAGAGCAATTTCGCGATACTGACATGTCCGCGTAAAGCTGCATGCTCCTTAGCGGTCCATCCTGATGAATCGAGTGTTTCCAGATCGGCTGAAGCTTCAATAAGGATTTCCACGACCGGCTGATGACCATCTACGCAAGCGATAAACAGTGGAGTCCAACCGTAGGTCTTCTCACATAGTTCAGTGTTCGCTTTTTGAATATCACTCCCAGCAAGCAAGATCTTCGCACACTCCAGATGACCGAATCTAGCGGCCAAATGAAGAGCCGAATCACCGTGATCGTCCTGATAATTGATATCGACACCTGCCTTGACCAGAAGTCCGACGATGTCGGCGAAATTGGCCTTTGTAGCTAGGGCCAGGACGGCTGAGGACTTTGGAGAATTCCGCCGTATGGTAGACTTGGAGAATTCTGGTACCATTGCTTGCTCGGCATCAAGTAGTGCTTGGGTGGTAAGTGGATGGCCACCAATTACGCTCAGATGCAAGGGCGCCCAGCCCTCGTTGTCCTGCCAGAATGGACCATCGATGCCATCTTCCACATTGAATATCTTCCACTCCTGGAGGTGTTCAATGATGACTTCGCACATGACTCGAATGCCGTATTCGGCGGCGAAGTGAAGGGGAGTACGCCCAGACGCATCTCGCGCCACCAGTCCCGGTCGCTGTGAACTTGAGAGACTATCAAGAAGGAAAGCAAGGAAGGAAATCGAGGTGTCGGCCCGAGTCACGATCTGAGCTCGTTTGCCTTCCTGAGGGACGGACCTTTTAAAGGGGAGCACAGGAGGTGTTGCGGGATCAATAAAGTTCGTCAGTTCTGTCTCCGCACTGGGAAGGAGTTGAGTGCTGGGCTCCTGGTCAACGTTCGAGTGCTTACGACCAATCGAGACCACCAGACGATGGATTGCATTCCGACCATTGATGTCATCTGCGTCATCCAGAAAGACTATTTCCCGTAGGAGACAGGTAGTTGAGACTCGACTCCGAGCAGAGATGGCTCGTTGGAGTAATAACTTCAAGAACTCCTGGATGGCATGCTCCGAGATATCAGAATCCGGTTTGGCACGGAGTTCCTGGATGAGTTCTTCTAGGTCAACGGGGTCATCTTGTCGTATGCCGGCCTCGAGCTTTGCCGTGCGTTCTGGAGAAACATGCAGGGAGGGGCGAGAAGTGGTGCGTTTCAGAGAGGCCGAGGATATAGATGCCCGGTCCTCATTACTGATGGTGACAGGGACCTCGCCCAGTACGGAGATCCAATCGTTGATTTTACTCAAGGAACTGGACAACTGCGCATTGGTCGCAAACGCTGAAGGATCGACCCTCAACTCGAGATATTTCTTCTGCGCCTGCGCCTCGGGGATCCGCTTATCCAGCTTTTTCGTGATCTTGATGAAGCCCCTCCTATTGACCTCGCCATACCACTGTAGATTCCGCAACTGGGCGCGCAGTTCCAACAGAGCCGCAAGGAGGTCTTCACGTTCATCTTCTTCGAGTTGAGCGGCGGCCTGGAGGGAGGGGGAATATCGGTCTTCGAGCAGTTTGAGGCGCCTGGAGAAATCCTGATACTTCTTGTTGTAGAAGTGGTCTACGTCTTCGAGGTTGCGGTCCAAGGTGTAGAAGAATCCTGAGCACAATAAGTATTCGTGCCAAACAAATCAAAAATGGCCCAGGGCCTTGAAGCCGATCGATTAAGATCGGGCCCCGCAGCGATTATGTTCCTACCAGCAAGATCGAGTTTCCCGTCCTGCTTCACTCCTTCCGCCGAGGCTTTGATCAGCTTCTTCAGAGCTTTGTAGTTGATGTACGAGGACGCCCATTCGGGGACCTGGTTGCGGGGCAGATTGCGTCCGAACTTCATGATGTTGGACTGGGTGCAGTTCTCCCAACTCAAAAACGCAGTCTCAGACCAACGGACAAAGAACAAGAAGAGGGGAATTGGATAGTAGAAAGGGCCATGCGTAATCAATCGGTCACAGATAGGTAAGGGATCTTAGACGGACTCGACGAACGGGGATAAATGGGAGGAAACGAGGGGAGTTGGCCATAGCAGACGATGGAGTCGTACAGGGTGTGAAGGCCAGCTCAACATAAGGCGCATGTCCCAGACTAACGGGTGGTTCCTCGGCCCATTTGGTAGCGGAGAGAAACAGAGGGACGAGACAAAGGGAATCAAGTGAAGGGGAGAAAGAAGTGAGAGTAAAAAAGGTCAGAGACTGTCTCGTGGAGAGAATGCTGGGTATTATTGGGCCTTTTGCTTGAATTTTCCGGGCGGGCGTGCTATTGGTTATTGGCCAGAGATGTCCCTGACCGCTTCACGTTTTGAAGAACTTGAAGAGGGTCAGTCGAAGAGGGTCAAAACATCCACCCATTCGGAACCTTGCATATCACATGGGATGAGAGACCTGGTGTAGGTAGGGATGAATAATCCCGGCCGCTACCGAATGATGAGGTGAAGGTGAAGGTGGAAAAGGCTAACTTGAACGCATTGTCTCTGCCCTGCATTGCATCTTCGTCATTCACACCACGGCCTCCTCCATCAATCCACCAATCATCAATACAATACAGGGGACTGGAAATGGAAATAGATCTCGGTTTCCATCAATGTCATATAAAAGCTACCTTGGTACTTGGGGGATTCAGTAAACTCCTGGTCTTCAATCCTCTGTATATCTGTACATGCGCCTTTTTGGTTCATGAGAAACAAACGCCAGAAGATGCCTGAAAAGCCGTGACCAGCATAGCGCTCCGAGTTCCTCTTCCACAAGTTGCACCTGACCTGAAGATTTGTCGGAGTGAGAAATTTGAGAAGCTTTCCATCGCCTCACATGATCACTGTCCACCAATCTGAGTGAACGCCAACTCCGGGGAATACCTTAAGTAGATACTTAGGTAGTAAGCTTCCCCGGAAAACCCAAAAAAAGAGGCCAAGTGCCACCGGCTAACCTCACCGCCCGTTGGTCGGTGGTCCACTGTCTTGCATTACAATCGTGTCTTCGTCGTCGTGGTGTAATGTGACACTGTTGAATTCCAAGAATGGGTCCGCGATTTCTCCTCCAGGAGTCGCCATCCCCGAGTCAAGAGGCACGCCCTTGAGCCTCGTGGCTGATCCTCCAATCTCGACGCTGCCACTGTCTTTGACCGTTCGGAAATTCAGGGTGTCAATTGCACGACCCTGATGTGGAATCATTGGTGGCTTCATATGTCGAAGAAGTGCCCATGTGATAGGTCGGAAAAATGGATGACTCTTGACATCAGACGCTCCTGCCCGTGATCCCAATCGTTTCATCTCATCTTTGATCAAGAGCTTGCGAATCACAGATTTGCACAGACTGCAAAATGTCAGTCGACACCCCAAATGACGGACATCGGAATACTTACTTGCTCACTTGGGTGGAGTGAGAGTGATCTGGGAATGGCACCTCATCTCGAAGAATGTTGGCGAATGTCGCATTACGATTCTTACCCTTGAATGGTGTCGTGCCAAACAGCATCTCATAGATCAGAATTCCAAGCGTCCACCAATCCACCGCACTTGTATGCCCGTTACCCTTAATCACTTCTGGCGCAATGTATTCTTCTGTGCCGACAAATGAATTGGTGCGGAAATCAGCGATACACGATTTTGTGTCCACAAGTGGGTATCCTGTAGGATTCGAAGCATTCCGAGTCCCCAGGATCATCGTTGGAGCGCCTCCCGAATCCGATTGTTTCGACAAGTCAAAGTCGGATAACATGATATGGCCTGATTGATGTAGAAGGATGTCTATCCATGTCAGCACCTCGATCAGACGCGCTGCGGACAAACTTACTTTCGGGTTTCAGATCCCGATATATGAAGCCCATCAGGTGGAGATACTCCAAGGCAGCCGTCACTTCGGCCGCATAAAACCGAGCATCCTCTTCGCCTACACACTTGTTCGGTCGGGTTTGTAGTGCTCGGAAGAACTCTCCTCCACTGCAATATTCCATGCATAGGTACAAATGCTCCTCGGACTGAAACGAGTGGTATAATGTGACAATAAACGGGTGATTGCTCGTCGCCAGGATCTCCTGTTCGGCGAGGGCTCGCTTGATCTTGTTTCGCTTGATCATTTCCTTTTTGCTGAGGACTATTTCAAAGTCAGTTTAGTTTACACCGTGTGCTGACAAATGGCAGCATGCCCACCTTTCATGGCATACAGCCGATTCGACTTCTTCTCACGGACCAAATATACCTTGCCAACGTCGCCTTTGCCGATGAGTTTGATTTTATCGAAACTACCAGGACCCACCTCGACATTCCGCACTTTGATCGAATTCGAACTATAGGTTCGTCTAAATGCGATGGACTGTCGGATTTGTCCCGGCAGAGGGGGTTTTGAACCAGGTTGCGGAAGGCCAGGAAGACTCAACGTGCTGACATCCTCTTGGGCTATCATTCCGAGGTTGGGCGAAGACCCTGACCCGACAGCAAGGGGCTCCTTGCCCAGTTCTGCGGTCTGAGGTCGATCGCCAGCGTTCTTACTTGAGTTGAACAGTCCTTGTGCGTTGGGGGCAGAAGCCACTCGTCTCAGCTTTCGGGCCAACTCTTCTTTGCCTGCAGAAACCACATTCTCTTGTACCGATGAACCATTGACCTGGACCTTTGGGGTATCGGGAGGGGAAGGGGGAACACTCCCCTCATTGTGGTGTCGCAAAGCCGGAAGACCTTGGTGCATGAAATAAGGGTTGGCCTGCGCAGTTGGAGAGGCTATAGTATCGTCAAGAGGATGGCCATCACTGGCAATGGTGGTGGAACGATTCCGGCCTAACGCTGGGAGAAATCGAGACTGTTTGCCAGGCTTGGTTTCGGTCCTGGGAGTTGGTAAACCATCGGAACCTATCGAGGTCTGACTGCCACCACTATTTATACGGAAGAAATTCTTAAGTTTGGTGGTAGTCGGTGTATGTGTACCTGAAGGGGTATCGCCATTGAGGTGTTTCTTGGAGGAGAAGGAGAGACTTGAAAAGTTGCGTTTCTCAGTAGCCATGGTATTGCAGAGACCAAGTGAATGGATCCGCAGAATCGGGATTGAAAGGTGGTCTGGATACTCGAAGAGCGACCGACTTCAGGAAGGCTTATGTAAACCTGGTCGAGAAGTAGAAGTCGCGGATGGATGATGAGGGGGACAAAGGTGGTGGGTGGAGGATAGAGGTGGGTGAGTGGACGGCGATGGATTGGAAATAGGGCGTTATCTGCGGGACGCCATGTCAAGATGGCAGATTTCGGCTGGTGATTAGAAGCCTGAGATGGATTCAGACGTCTCTGTAGGAATGAGCGAGTGTAAAATAGATTGCAAATTGTGTGGCGATGAGGAGGGAGTAGGGAGAGCAAGTGCTGTCTGCTTAGAGAGTGAGGGTGATGCCGTTGATGAGGACTAGGGAAGTTGGTAGTGAACTAGCCGGTACTGCCACTAACTTGGATGGAGGAGGAGCAATGCACCTGCACCCGCAACAATGTAAAGCCCTTGTGGAGTATGCGTGGTAGCTGCCACTGGCACCCTGTAGCAGCCTGCTTATAGGCCTCTAGGCTGCGTGTCGCACCTAAATTACCCGGGGCCGGCTGCTAGAGGCATGGCAGTTAAATGTGGGGGTCAAGAAACGTGGGAAGCTCTCTCACTCGCGTTCCTCCATGAAAAGTTGAGGTCTCAAAGAATAGAATTGTATATTCTGGTCTTCAAGCTCCAGCGAGTTGTGATCAGGATCTAACTAGTAATACTGTGTACGAATCTGTATTATCCCTCTGGCAGATTACCTGAATGTCACATCACAGCAGTAAGCAGCAATTTGCACACAGACCACCGTCTGGACTCGGGGATGGTAGGCTCCCTTTGAAATCATTACGGGCTAAAAGGGGAGCCACTTTCTATTGCTTGCTTTCTTCTGCCTCTGCCTCGAAGATCCATGAATGTGAAATAAATGAGAGCAAACGAGTGCTTTAATTGTAAGCATCCAGGTTTCCACTTTGTGCTTTGACTTGTTGAACACTGCCAGTCGTCGTCATCGCCCAGGAATCAGGACATCTGCAGCTGCACCTCCGGAACCCGGTTGATTTCTCAGCATCGATCGACTTTGACATCTTCCTCCATCCTTCTTCATAATGTTACCTACTCCGTACAGAAGACTCATCAATACTGAATGACCATGTGCTTGGCTCAATGCCTGCCGGGATTGGCTAGCTTTATTGCAACTATCACTTGCTATCATTATCTAGCTCATGCAACTGTTGGTCTGCATTTGATCCTCATGTATGTTCCGAGACTGAATACATCTTCAATGCTTTCGACACTTGTTTCCTCAAGCGTTGGTCATGCCATGCCGTGTTGAACTGACATTGGTGAATATGCTCTGTTGTTTGTTTGTGTCATGCACCCTCCCAATATCGTGAAAGTCATACAGCCAACCATACTAATCATGTCTCCAAGTTGACGACTGATCAGCTCGTACCTATCATACATCCCAAGGAAGGAGGCACTCCAATCTCAATATTACTGCACACCAACTCGCAGTCGAAATCCAGGCTTGGTATCCTAGGACAAAGCCTCAGATCTTCTGTACTCCCTCAACGTTGGGGTGGAAAAGCAACGTCTCCCTCACTCGCCTGGCTCTGAACCTGGCGTGAATGTGGACCGAACCATGCGCCTCCGGTTGGGCTTGGTCGATGAATAAGAGTTGGGCTACGAAACTTTCCTGCTGCAGAAAGTAAAGACTTTGCAGAGAACTTCTGACCGTCAGTGGTTCCATCGAGCATGTGTGGAAGGTGACCCATTGCATGCACATTCTGCACAGACACTGATGAGTATCCTTTATTGACCTGAGCATCTTGTAAAGATTCCCAGTCCTTCATGATTTGATCCTGGCTTGGCCAATCTGCCTGGTTATTGCCTTGATTCCAGATGATGGAGGTAGATGCAAAAGTCTGCGTTCCCGAAAATCTCTCGGTCTTTGCTGTGACAGGCGGATGATCAGCAGGCTTGTAACTTGCATATTCAAATCCATCGCTCCTAAAACTCGGGTTAGCATTCGACCCGGATGCGCGGGGGTCTCACTCCACATACATTGCCAAATCATGTCCAGCTTGTTCGAAACTTCCTTGCTGGGGGCGTGCGGAATGAGAAGTATCAAATGACATGGTTTGTCTGGAGTTCTCGGTCTGGGTGGCACTAGATGCACAAGCGCAATCAGTCAAGAGCTCTAGTGAAAGAGTTGAGAAGCAACAAACCTTTCCTCCATGCTCATTCCATTCAAGCCAAATGACAATGACATTTGATCGAACGCTTTCCCCTCGGCAGAACGTTCTACATGAACAAATTGGTCGGCCATTTCCTTGGTCACGACTGGCTTGGAGGTCCAGTAGCGTCGCTCAAAGTCGTCCATGTTGAAAGATGGGGGTCGCTGTAGTCCACGACCTGGGACCTCATGATATGTGCCATCGGGAAGTCGGACTTTGCTGACCACTCCTTGTGGAAGTCTCATGGCGTCAAGTTGGAGCTCATAATAGGCCTCAACACTGGCTGGTGCGTTTCCAGGCTTGACTGGCAACCATTCGACAGTTTCCGAGTCATTCTCGCTGATGGGCTCGGGGATCACCGCAACGGCTTGTTGATTGAAGCTGGATGACTTGGAGCTAGCCTGAGATGTAGAGGCAATGATTGATGACCCCACAGGCTCAGCTGGAGAGTCGCTTTGTGAACGAAGAATAGCGGCCAACATCTCACTCTGTTGACGTTCAATGTGTGGAGGTGGACGACCAATTCGGACACCCCACTCATCAACTCCTTGATCACTGGCAGGGCTGGAAAAAACACTCTCAACAACTTTCCCCACTACTTCCTTGCCAGGAGGGGATGCTTTGCGCGGAGCTACAATTGGGATAGCACAGCGTCGTGCCTTGATGATAGGGTGACTGGTCTTGGTGCTTGCATCAAAACGCTCTGATTTCGAATCGACCATGGTGTTGGCAGATAGGGGTTGAGTTGCCGTGGCTGGCGCTGAGTTGAGAGGAACATAGCTCTCAGCTTGAACATTCAAGGGGCTGCTCTGTTGAGTCGCATGATGACGAGTGGCTGCTTGATTGTTCTGTTCAAAGGCAAGCTTCTCCTCCCAGTAAGTTATTTCTTTCTTCACATCCGCACGCTGCGTGACAATTGCCATGCGCTGGTTGGTAACGTTGATGTCACGGTTGATGGTAGCCCGGAGGCGGTCAATTGACTTGAGTTGTTTATCAAGTTCTTCGAAAGTTCCCTTAGCAGCAAGGAGCATGTGTTGACAGTACACCAGAGCGCCCTGGCCCTCTGCCATAGGCATAGGACTTGGGATACCGTATGGATCTCCATATGAATACAAAGAAGGATGGTATTGGTTGCCAAATGGACCAGGGTAGGTAGTGATGCTTGGACCAAATGGAAACCCTGCCATCGGAAAGATCGGTGCAGGTTGAACCGCGTAGCTATCGAGTGAGACACCTGGGAACAACGGGATGGGTTGGATCAGTGGGAAAGTTGGTGATTGAGCAGGCACTGCATTGGCAACAAAATGTGCAGTTGGGAAAACAAAGTTGGGGTCAAGACCATTGCCCAGGGCATAGTTGTCTGTAGTCTCTGAACGCATAGAGACATTGGGGAGGGCTGTCTCAGTCATTTTCATGCCAACTTCAGACTTGACTTGATTGTTAATCTCCTTCGGGATCGGTGCAAGGATGTGTGGGCTTTGTGCTTCCTTGGGTGAATCCTTGCGAAGATCGACCGCACCGTTGGAGGAGGGTTGGAGGGAAAAGACGGGAGGTCGCTGACGTTGCTCCATCGGAACAATGCGGCCACCAGTAGTGACACGTTGATGGGTGGGTGATGAATGCTTTTCAAGAAAGCGAGCAAAACCTTTGTCTTTGTGGGTGTTGATCTCTCCAATGCTGGGTGGAACTGTGGGTTGTCTCGCAGGTTGCATCACACCACGTCCAGTGAAGGAAACAACTTCTTCTGGCGATTCACTGGATTCGTGTGACCAATTTCGAGGCTGGTCACTGACGACTCGACGAGTGGCCATAACACAGGCACCCAGTGGAGGTACAACACCAGCTGAGGAGAGTGAGAAGTCAGTGTCTGGATCACTGTGCTCGATACAGAAAACCTTACCGCTGGCTGCGTCGTATGTGAACTTGGACAGATCGATGTTGGATTCTGTTGCTGAGGGAGCGAGTTCGAGGAGGCGAGTCAGGGTGTACCTGCGTGGCCGAGTAGGCAGGGAACCTGTGATTTGTTTAATCATACTGGTGATATCTGGTGTATTGAGCGCAGCTTGAGATGTAGTTGCGTTTCCAAAGAAGAGCACCAAAAAGACAGCCTCTCGACTGGCACAATCAGACCGGCATGGGCTTTGCGGATGATAGGCAAAGAGGGTGGAAGTGATGGGCAAGGAGAATTTGGAAAGTGAGGACCAGGTGATCACTCTTCATCATCAAGATGAAAGAGCACTGGGGAAACGGTAGGATTTGCGGGTTGCAACTCACCAGAAGGATAGGATGTCAACAGGCAAGAGCAACGGTGGGGCCTCGAATTTGAAGCAATCCAAGAGAATTGATAAATTGCCTATACCAAACAATGGGAAGGATAAAGAAAGTGTACACACACACTCGGAAGAAATTCAAGTCAGAAAAACAACAAGTGATTTAGAGGCAGCGCCGAGATAAGCGACTTGAAGTGAATGTTCTCAGAATCGATCCCAGCAGTTAATAAAATCTTCATTCACATTTAGGAGATCACATGTCCGTATGGAAGTAGTTGGGTATATCCTAGCTTCATCTTCACTGTAGCCCTCCGATCAAATAATGTCATTCCTTGTTTCATGTTCTCATAATTCAGATGCGATGACGCCCTGACTCCGAATACAAAATGGCTCAGACGTGGTGTTTAGGGTCCACTGGAGAGGTGAACGGATTGATGGGCATGTCGTCTTCTTCATAGCTTGGACGTCTTGGGCGATTGTTAGTCTCGAAGATTCTCCTTTCTGCCTCCTGGGCCTTTGCCTGCTCCCTCAATTCCCAACTTCCCACGCGTTCATGGCCTCGTGTCTGGATGGGACTTGGGCTTGCAATCACAGTTGCCCCAGCACCCCCTTTTGGTATTGTCAGATCTTGATCACTTGCTAGTCTCTCCGACCCCTTGAACCCTCCCAATTCTGACCTCCGTTTGTTCTGGACACGATAGATTCGGACACCGCCAAAGAGTGCTATTGCACCAAAAAGTAATCCAGCAACAGCCAGAGTAACCACTGCACCAATCACACCAGCGACAGTGGGTGACAACCCCCCACTCTTGCTGTTTGGAGATCGTGTCGTTGGGCAGAGAGATCCATCGTCGTCGACAAATGCAGGACAGAAAACCGAGAATGAATTGCATGTCGTGCACCAGTCTTCCACATTCATAATCATGAATTTCTGCAGATTCGTGACAAAGTCCTGCAAAGGAATCATTGTCTGGCTTGGACTCAGACCAAAGAGAGGATAGGCGACAAGTTCTGAATCTGCACCCGTGCCGTTCTGATAAAAGAAACGTACAAAAATCTCATCGTTCTCTGGGTAAGTCTTGTCGGTCGCCGGTTGCATGGAGTACAGCTCAAAGATGAAGCTTGCACCTGGCTCTGGAAGGTTATAGAAAGCGGCATTCTGTGGTGATGTCAAGCCTGCCAGTGCAGCAAAGGCGACCATAGGTTGGAAATCACCGAAAAGCAGTGTCATCTTCGCTGACTCCCCTTCGGTACTAATACTGGTGTATATAGATTGGAGGATTCTTGTTGCTAGTGTCTTGCCCGCCATGGCCCTGATGTGGTCTCCTTCAACCGGCCCTGAGACTGCAATGTCGGCATTTTGGGCGAATACCAAATCAGCGGCGAGGATTTTAGCCTTGGTCAAATCCTCTGGCTCAAGAAGTCTTGCAACCGTGGTGTTATGAATGCTGGCATATCTGAGATAATCGTAGATGTAGTAAGCATCAAGATAGCCGGCGGACGGTGTAGAAAAGTATCCATCAAGGAAATCTGACTGAAGACTGCCATAGAATTCTTGGGTGGTATTTCGCAAATTCTGAAAAGCGGCAGTCTGGTAGTAGTCATTGACAGACGATCTCCATGTCGGGCAGTTTTGAGTGCCATCAATCCAGATTGAATTCATATCATTGCTGGTCAGGGTCAAGATATCCGGATATTGGTAGCCGTTCAGAGGGGCCACCAAATTGGTGCCATTTTCGATGGTGCTTTGGCCAGCGATGTATGTATAGTTGGAGAATGTCTCCAGTGGAGGGTAAAGTCCTTGGAGGAAGGCCTGAGCAGAACCGGTGACATATTGTTCCTGACCGGCCAAAACAGTCAATTGATCGTATTGAAGCTGAAACGGCGAAATGCCCACGATGGTGGTGACATCTGAATCGCCTTCAATGGGGGTTACATATCGTTCTCGCACTTTGGCACCTGCCTCATAGAGCTGATGAGCACCTAGTGGAGTCAGAGTCGCTGGCGAAGAGAAGACAAACGGGGTTCGATCTCCATAGTTAGTATAGATGAATGTGCTCAGCACTTGCTGTTTGAGGCCTGTCAACGATTGTGCGACTACGGCAGAAGAGAAAACAAGAAGAGCTGTTGGGAGAGCAATCGAGATACGACTGGTATCCATTGTCACACAAGTTAAGACTGGCAGGATGAATGGTCAATCTGTCGTTCGATACTTGCAGTATATCGAATTGAGAGAAGACGGTGAATACCCGCCGCGGGGTGCAGCTTGCATTATGAGGTCAAGCAGAGAAGCAAAATGGGCCATAAGTGGTAGCTGGCAAGGTCCAAAAGAGCTCATGCGGCATGCATTGGAGAGCTTTCTCGATAACCAGCTCCATGCATGAAGCTTACTACATTGAGGTGAGTGTCCCATGATCATGTATATCCGGCAGACGGGAAGGTGGGAAGGATAAGCCGTAGAGGGCTCTCGATAGCTGAGGCAGAAAGTGGGGCTCATGGTTGTAAATTGATTTGGATTCGCTGACAGAAGTCTTCGGTAGCCTTTGTAGACTTTGTACCGAATGGCCTTGAACGAATGGACGATAGCCCCATGCTTGCCGTCGTTAGCTTCGGCGCCAGAGCATGGTGCAATGGTACCTGATAAACGATATCATGCAACCATTGATATCTCGAGTTAGGAAATGGATGGACGTGGAGGCGTTGAGCAGATGATTGCGACACGAGCTGTCAAGCACGACAGATTTTCATAAATAAGTAAATGATGACGCGATCGTGAACATGGTTTACATAGAACCCGGAATTTGTAAAGGAGGACGCTGACTCCGACCCCAAAGTACCTCGTACATCCTTGATAGATGGGGTTTCCAAGGTTCCCAGAATGACGCCCGAGGCGTGCGGATAGCTGACAGTGGTCCGAGCCAAAGAAGGCAAACCCAAATACTGAAGTCACCTCAGGGCCGTATCGCTAGATCGAGGATGGTATCCGTAGAACGTCGTAGGCAGATGCCCAAGGTAAAGTGAAATGGAGGGGGTTGGGATATCGCATGCTTTAGCCGTACCAAGAACACCACGAAGCGATATCTTGCTCCTAGCGTAGCCCGAGTGCTCGTAATGGAATGCAAGGCAAGCCTCCCTCATCAAGCAGGTGGGTTTGATCACGAAGGACTTCAGGAAATGATGACATCGTTATGGGGATTTTTGGGCGACCTTGTATCTGTATCCTTTCCATCCAATATGCAAAACTTCACGTTGGTGGTACAGACCTCGAGGCTAAAGTCATGGTCGGACTTCCAACTTCCCCACACTCAGATTCATCGGGGGAATTTCTCCGTATCTGTGATACTCGAAAGCTTTTCCCCGACCCTGTAAATATTTTGTCCTGACAAGAATTAACCCCGCCATGATGCTCACAAAATTGGCGGGTGATGGAGTAAAGTTGCGTAAGGAGAATTGTCAGACCCGCATATGTGATTTCCAAAGGCGCAAAATAATTCCCACGTGACGGTCTTCCCCTTCTCTCGACTTTCTTCAAAAAGTCTTCTGTCAAGAATGTCGGTGGTATCCTCCGCGCCAGACGCTGCTGGTGATGCTGAGGCAGCCGTCTTGAAGGTGGGAAGTCCAGGTGAGTGGTTTGAAGTCGCGCCGCCTGGTTGCTACGGATTTGACTGAGATCAACAGGTCAGTCGGCGAATGTGACTTCCCAGCTAGAATACTCGAGCGTCTCTGATGATAATCCTCGAAGTCCGAAGCGAAGACGAATCTCTCCCGTGAAAGAGGAAGATGCCTCGAGTAGCGCGCCCGTGCCACAGATCCCTCACCACCGTCCCAGCGATCCAAATGTCGAGACGGTTAAAGTCGAGGAGCCGACCGTGAAGAAAGAAAGCCAAACTCCCGTGATTGCGACCACTGCAGCCCAACCTCAGAATCCTGCTCTTGCTGTTCGACTGGAAAATCTACCAGCCCTCGATAATGCAGCTTACCATATATTATCCTTTCTCGCACGACTGACTCCTGTCGATGCGCTAGGGCTTTCCCGAGCCCCAGACTCCCCAAGCTCACGAGAATATGCTGCTTTACGGTCACAATTCGAATATATCCGGAGATTCTACAATACTGGAGCCCACTTTTTGTCACCAAAAGATACAGGACTCGAAGAGAAAGGACAGGTTGATACCCTCCGAAAGGCAAATCAAGCCATCTTCGTCTCAAGTGTATTTACAGGAGAGATTGGCCTCCGTGATATGGATCGCAGTTTCCTTTCTGTTTTCGTGCCGGAAGGAGGGAAATTATTGAAGCCACAGGGCTCCATGTATCTCGAATTGAAGACACAAGGATTTATTACGGCCTGGCGGACAGGTGCAGCACCACCAGCGATAGTCATGTCGGACTTATTTGGTCCTGACATCGACAAAAGCATTTTATCAAGAAGGCCTGGAGTATCTGCATTGGCTTCGAGCGAGCAGGATTTTCTCAACAGACTTGCTTCTCGTCGTGAAATCCTTCAGACCCATATCAAGAATAACACCCTCAATCAATTGCCGGAGAAATACAAATGGGAAGATTTTAGTCGGGAGGTTTCCTCTTATCTTTTCAAAAATACCGAGAACCCTCTTGCCAACAATGATGTAACAGCTGGTCTCCCAAGAAGCGAGGGAGCTCGTGTTCTTCCTCAAGGACAAATGGAAGGTCAATTCTCCGTCAATCCTGGGTCTTTTGCATCAGGATCACAAGAGCCGTTCACCTCATCATTAGCGGGAGGAGCAAGCTTAGATGACTTCGTCGCGCAGGCCGCGAGGGCTGCAGAAATTGCGATGCAAGCTGCTAGTGGAGTTCCATTTGCAGACCCATTGCCTACGACAACGTCAACACCCCCACCCAATCAAAGCACAAATCACACGGTACCAAGCATAAAGAGCGAATATCAGCACTATGATCCCAGTATAGAGCGAGGCCCAGCAAGATCACCAGCGGAGCATACACCATCGATTCAGAGTGAGATACCGCATGTCTCCCAGACAGCGCCCACGTCAGTCCTTTACGAAAGAGCGCGGCTGGCCGCAACGACGAAAGCACTTGCGGCACGGAAAGGGGCAAACCCAAGCCAAAGGCGGCCTTGGACAACTGAAGAGGAGAACACTTTGATGGCTGGACTTGATCGGGTCAAAGGTCCACATTGGAGTCAGATCCTGGCCATGTATGGACCAGGAGGGACCATAAATGAGGCCCTCAAAGACCGCAATCAGGTTCAATTGAAGGATAAAGCACGGAACCTAAAGCTCTTTTTCCTCAAAAGTGGCATTGAGGTACCGTACTATCTCAAGTATGTGACGGGTGACCTGAAGACACGGGCCCCTGGACATCCCAGTCAACAAGAGTCGAAAGATCAAGACGGTGGGCAAGGGTTCACATCAATTGATGAAGTTGAACAGGAAGGGCTGGCGACAGGATCTAGTGGGTCAGGTCGTCAGTCACCAGCCATTGATGATTATGAAGATATGCTGCCTTCGGTCGATGTCAAGAAGCCATTCGAGCCCAGCATGGATGATGTAAGTACCCTTTTCACCTGTGCGTCCTGAATTTCAAAGTCCCCCGTGTGAAGACATGGCCAGTGGTTCATGTTCCCTCGTCGGACAGAGCTAACGGACTTGTCACAGGTGGAAGCAATGATAGCTAGAGCAGCAGCACAAGCATCTCAATCACTGGGCTCCGACTGGCCATGATGACGACCAATGAACAGAAGAATCTCGGACAAATGTTTCTCGAGATATTGGTTTTTGTAACACCATTTTACGCGACACGCACACGGGCATCTAGTCGCTGAGTTGGGTTTAGATATGCAGGCTCTCGACAATCAATCGACAAGAGACAAATCTCACATTCGTATCTCATTGACGATTTTGTTGTCTTTCAGCACGAAAAGAGAGGATTTAACCTGATCCCAATGACTATATAAACCCGAGTACCCCGTGTTGGAGAGGTCAGTGGCCAATATTTGATAGCCAAACTTGAATGACTCGCTCGCTTCAGAACTTGTATGAGTAAGAAAATGGACAAATGAATCCAAAGGAACAGGAAAGCGACATCCTGTATACCTATTCTTCCATCAAGCGAACTTGATCCTCAGTAGATGAGGTTTAGAAAAAGGGTGAATATCCTAGTCTTTTGATTCAACCCCAATCATTCCCCTCCCCGCCTTGAGCATTCGTCTTCTCCGCCCATCACTCCAACCTGCTAAACAATTTTGGCGCAACCTCAACATCTTCATCACCACGACCCATAATCGCAGTACACTTTGATACCTTCAATCCAACCCTCACCTCCCTCTCTCTCAATCTCATCTACGATGTCCACAGAAGCCAACGACGCCACGGCAGCAGCGCCCAAAGAGATGAACGTGGAAATGGACGTAGATGCCGAAATGGAGGACAGCACTCAGGATGCCAGCACGACAACGGCCGCTGGCAAACCCAACAACTCACAGAACAACAATGACTCCTCATCTGCAACACTCGACCACGAGTTCACGCAGTCCGAAACTCAAGCAGCAGCGAGCTCGGGGGCCGGCGCAGGCGCAAATACGACGACCGCGACAGGAGGAACAAGTGGCGGCACGGGCCTTCTACACGGGAATCGCAAGGACGTGACGCTGCGCGAGTTCTTGAGCAAGATGGACGACTATGCGCCAATTGTACGTATACCTACCCATCACTTTCAACCTCTCTGACGACGTCGTATCCCATACACCGAACCTAATCACTAACCCACATACCTAATCCTCGCACAGATCCCCGACGCAGTCACAGCACACTATCTCACACTCTCCGGCCTGCCACCGCCATCGCCCGCAGACCCAACAGGCGCAAGCACGAACACGACCCCGCTCCCGCTCGCGCGACTCCTCGCGCTCGCGACCCAGAAATTCGTCGCCGACATCGCCGCCGATGCGTACCAGTACAGCCGGATCCGGTCGTCGAACTCGGCGTCCGCGAACAACCCGCTCGGCAGCGGTGGCATCGGCGCCGGCGGCCCTGGCGGCGCAGCGATCGGTGCATCTGGTGCGGGCGCCGCGGGCAAGGGTGGTCAGCAGGGTGCGCAGCTCGGCGTGCAGAGGAGTGGCTTTGGTGGTGGAGGGCAGGGCGGCACCGGACAGGGGCGCACGGTGTTGACGATGGAGGATTTGGGCATGGCGGTCCAGGAGTACGGGGTTAATATTAAGAGGGGGGAGTTCTATCGATGAGTTGAGTTGAGTTGAGTTGGTGAGGAGGGCCTGGATGAGTGGGATTTGGGCGAGAGTTTCCTGCGTGTGATGATGTGAAGGCCGGATTACATGGTCTGGTTCTGGTCTCTGGGATCATGGGATCATTGCACTGCATAGCGACGGCGTTCAGGTGGGTGGGAGCCCTCCACGGACGAATGGACACATACATTTGGGAGGAATGTTTAACGAGAAAAAGATGCTCAAGGTGGTATTTGTACATGTATTCTTGCTTTCTCTTTTCACCTGCCTCAGTCATTGAAGACAGGCAATCAGCGAAAATCAGCAGAGAATCTGCCGGCATAGATAGAGCTGAGAGGTGACACAAGGTCGTCCGCTTTTCTTCGCATGAAGAAAGAGAGAGAGCTCCTCCTTGTCGTTCAGATGGGCATTCGGGGTATGGCTCTTCTGTCTCTGATCATCTGAGTTTCATGCGCATCCCATGAGATCTAGCATGGCCAAGTCTTAAATCGATGAGTCGTCCAAGTAAATGTACTTGGATTTGACAAGCCATTTGTCCTTCGTGATAGGTAGTGTAGCATGTGTATCCATTCAATGCGCATACCGTCCAGGTTCCAGCCCCCCCTTGTCGGTATGTTGATACAGTTGAACGCCAGCAACAAGACCAATCCAACAACACTTGCTTTCGTCGAGCTCGTTTATTTATTCTTGCTCAGTTTATAAGTAAACCGCTTTCTCGTCCTGCGCATTACACGGGTCAGCAACCAACGCAACCCGTTCGTCCACACAGGAGAACTCACGGCGAAAATTCACCCAACTTCCGGCCCACCATCTCCTCCGTCACGTAGACGTCGTTGTATACTTTGCCATTGTGCACCAGGAACTTGAACCCGACCATGTATGGCGTGATGGCTGCGGCGCGGGCGTGCGTCTTTATGGCATGGGTTTTGGGGCCCGTGAGGTCGAAGGCTATTAGGTTTGGTCCTGTAGAAAAGAGAGAGAGGGTTATATGTTAGTTCGAGAGTTGGTATTGGGAGAGAGACGGAGCTGTTCTGCTGCAGAGAGGTTCGATGTTCAAGTTGTGTTGCATACCTTTCCAGATAGATCGCTTCAGGAGCGACAGTGTTGGGCGCATGGTTATCGTAGGGTCATGGCCTGCTTATCCTCGAGGTGTAGTGTTGTGGCGTGGTCTCCCACTTGCTTGTGGTAGTTCTCTACAAAAGATTTGGGATCGACTTGTGGCTTCGACTCGGACTCGGATTTGATAGTGATTTAAAGAAGGTGTGTCTGACGGTGGATTTTACCCCTAATGACAGCTTTTGGTCTCGAAATTGCCTCGTCAGTGACCAAGATTATCGACCGTCGGTTTAGGCACCCCTAAAAGAACGCTCTAGGCGGCCACAGCCACGATCAGCCTACCCGGGCACAGACCTTCCCGGCAGGCCACTGCGTTTATTCTTCGATCGACAGGAAACTTGAATGGCACTGACAAGCATGACAAGGATTCAAGTTTTAAGTGGTTATTGGATCTAAGGCAATCAATATGAAATGATATCGTAGCATAATATCCGAACGAATAGAGATCACAACTCCACATATTCATCATTCAACAACTTGACGGAAATTTGGTGCCTGCCCTTGCCCACCAACATCTTCTCCTGAACCACACGACCTTATTCTGTCCCTGTTTGCTCATATACCTTCGACTCCCTTCGAGTCTTGAATTGTGGTTGAACGCACAGTAATATCCCACCATCTTTGTTTGTTCGGTCATTGTCATGACCTTACGATAACCCGAGGCTCCTCGAATCTAGTCGACAAAGTTCTTGTTCTTACTCTCCAGGCCAACTCTGACCCATATCCCAACCAACGTCCGCATTCCACCTCGCTCCAAACGACTTACGCATCTATTGTTCTCAAAATACTCTTGACCTGGTTCACTTCAAGTCTACTGGTCTATATCCATAGCCGCCATCATGGCATCTCCCGCAGTTGGGTCGTACTCGAACCCGATGAAGAAGTTCAAGTACGCAATTCCTCCACTTTCAGATGCATCCAAAGTCCGTAGGCTGACGGGCAATCATTCACAGACTTGTGTTTCTTGGTGAACAGAGTGGTATGTTTACAGCGCCTGGCCATTCCCCCGATACTCGTGCCTAACCATCATCCCAACAGTCGGCAAAACCTCATTGATTACCCGGTTTATGTACGACTCGTTTGACACCACGTATCAAGCCACTATTGGCATCGATTTCCTCTCAAAAACCATGTACCTCGAGGACCGCACGGTGCGGCTACAATTATGGGACACAGCTGGTCAGGAGCGTTTCCGCTCCCTCATTCCCTCCTATATTCGAGACTCCTCTGTTGCAGTGGTGGTGTACGATATATCATCCAAAAAGACCTTTGAACAAACGCGCAAATGGATTGACGATGTGCGGGGCGAACGAGGCAACGATGTAATCGTCGTTCTGGTCGGAAACAAGACCGATTTGGGTGATAGCAAGAGAGAAGTCACCACCCAACAGGGTGAGGAGGAAGCCAAGCGCTCAAACGCCATATTCATGGAGACCTCTGCAAAGGTTGGTCATAATGTCAAGGCTCTGTTCCGGAGGATAGCACAGGCTTTACCCGGCATGGATGCAGAGGGCGAGAATCAGCCCAATCCACAGAGTGAGTCATACCCTCGTTGTTTGGTCTCGAGTACGATACACGGTGAACACTGCAGAGCTAATTTGGAATGAAACTATAGTGATCGATGTCTCGATAAACAACCAAAAACCGGCCGAAGATGGGTGCGCTTGTTAGAAATGCGATTTCCGGGCAATCACCACCTACCAATAACCCAATCTGCAGGGATCACAAGTCACAAATTGCGGATGGACACCGAATGCTCTCCCATCTCGCATTCCCTATTCAAGCCACTGTACAGTCAAACGTCCATTATTTTCATTTTAATACCGCCAGGCTTAATTTTGGCACAACCACTGGCCTGCTCAAACATACATCATGTGCTGATTCACGAAAGGGTGAAGGCATTATATTAGGACGAGGCCAGTGGTTGATCAGGTGCGGTCGCCAAAGAGAGCCACCTTCGTTTGACGCACACAGATGCACATTTCATCCATCCGGCTGGCGAGGGGAAAAATTATGAGGTTCCATCCTTTTTAGCATAGCAGGGCGTTCTTGGGTTGCAAGGACTTAGGTCCGGCGAGATGAGATTGGTTTGCATTTTGAATCGACCTCAAACCTACCTATGTAGGTACCTATTTTGTTCTCTTGGCTCGGCTTGGAAGCATCGGCATTAGCACAGTTGCCTTGCATACATGCTGTAGTTGGTTTTGGACTGGATGGCGGACGTGTGTATTCATGCAATCGCATCTACATACGTACCCCTGACAGAGGAAGTCACGCCGCCCGCAACAGCACTGAGACAAAGATAGCGATAGGATGTAAATGATATTAATCTTCATGTACACGTTTGAATCGTCATTCTTCTCAGGAATCTAAATCCAGAATCAGCCCAAATTCGCAAGACGTCCTCGGGATCAATCCCTCAACCAATCCGCCACATCTTTATACAGGCCATCCAACCCCTTCAGCCTCGCGACCTCCTCCTCCCCTTTCAACGGAATATGCGTCCAACTATGGACGACATCGCTGACTTTGCGCCATCGAACCCCATTCCGCTCCCACTCATCCTGTAGCAACACCTCCCCATCGTCAACGCCAGCCAACAACCTCGCCATCTTTCCGGCCTCAAAAGCCAACATATCCAACTCGGCGACGACGAAAAACACGCGTTGTGGAATATCCTCTCTGTCCGCGTAGATCGGACTCAACAACTTGTCCGACCGGTCCACCCCCGGCGATATATACGCCCAGTTGAACAGGGGCGCCAGGCCCTCCAGCATGTCGGGTTTGCCGTCGCGCGTGCGTATGTAAGGGCCTTTGTATTTGTCGGTGAAGTCGACGACCGGGTAGAAGGGGACGAGGGAGTGGATTTTATCCTTCAGGGAGGGTAGTTGCGCGACGGATAGCACGAGGTTGCCGCCGGCGGAGAAGCCGATGAGAGAGACTCGCGCGGGGTTGTATAGAGGTGTCAGGGTTGGGTCGGACAGGATTGAGAGGATTGTGCTGGAGATGTCGTGCAGGGGTGTTGGGTAGGGGTGCGTTGGGGCCAGGCGGTAGTTGATACTGATGACCAGCATGTTGTGGGTTTGCGCAAAGTGTTGGTTGATGTGGTCGTCGACTTGTGGGTCGCAGATCACGAAGCCCTGTGAGGTGATTGAGAGTGAGTAATGGTGTGATGGAGCAAGCGAGCAAGTTCAAGAGACATACTCCACCGTGGATCGAGATCAACAGAGGCGGTCGCTCTCCGTTCTCCGCTTGCTTCCCAGGGAGGAACACCCTGTGCTGCAGCATGGGTCGCTCGGGATATCGCTTCGTGTATTCAGGAAGAAGTGGTTTGAACTTGCTGGCGCCCGTGAGGCGCATCATCTTGAACATGGACGCCATCAAGGTCTTCAACGCCCATGCTTGGAAGAAGAACTTGATGCGTTTGAACAGGCTCGCGCGCTCCATGATATTGGACTTCGTGCTTTTGTTTGGTGGTGTTCCTGTTGTAGAATCATGGTCGATCGAGCGTGTGCTTGTCGTGCCTCTAGGTTTTGCCATGTTGGGGCTGGATCCTAGGGATAACCTCAATCGTTACTCGACTCGCGAGAGATGTTGTTTGGTTGCAAGAACTTGAGAGAGGTGCTTTAGGAAGCGAGGGAGAGTTATACGCGGGCCACTCACTCACTTACCGGTGTATTTTTCATGTGTTACTTACCGATTGTTCATGGTCGTTAACCTGGAGCCCTCGTTGGAGGTCATATTCATCTGCCGAGGCGACGGGCAAATAGCACGCGGCAGTTCCTCCAGGGTCGTGGCTCAGGAACAAGGTGCAGCCTGCACACCACGCAGTAAAGTCAAAGAACAACGAGCACATGCATGTGACTTAAGTGGCCTTTTACCTCCGTTGCCAACTTGGATCATCAGGACCTCAAAGATGAAAAACACGAAGAAAGATAGGAACGAAACCAGGAACACGAGGGATGATCTCTACTAAATTGATCAAATGGAGAGTCCATCATCTTAGATCCTGTAATACCCGTTGAACCCACCACATGTGAGTCATGGCTATCAGATGAAAAACAATGCATGGTCCATGTGCCACGATATTTTCAGCCTCGAGAACCTTCTTTCCAGGCTTCGTTAAGTCCATTCCGGGTGCCCGAGTGGCGGAAGAGTCAAGCTCCAAGCTCCGAGAGTAGCTAACAAGCTGTCATTATTGGCCCGGGGAGTGTTCATTCAGTCCTGCATCGCCTCCCTTGTCCCTAAACGTTAAGGGCTCGGATACCCGTTAGGCGGGCATCCTAGGCGTCATCCATGCAATATCCCCGGGAAGTTTAGGTATACCTTCAGGAGGTGGAGCATCCCTAAAACGCCAGGATAGGCTGCATCCGCGGGCACACGTCTTGTCCCCTGCTCCTCTTCTCATTCTCCACCACCAAATTCCCTCATCTTCCCGAACAATTCAATCTGTTTCCACCAAATGGTTGGCTCCAGCCTTCGACTCTCTTCCTATCCTTTCCTCTCACTAACTTCATCTGGTCATCATCCACCTGACTCTCGTGAAGGGAGCTCGAACTCGCCTGCTCCGCCAGCCTGATCATTCGTTAGTTGGTCTACCTCGTCACCACTCCGAGTCGGGCTAGGAGTCAAATCCCGCCAGGCACGACTTTTACGAGTACGATTCAGATTTCAAACACCACACCCACCCGATATTTCTATCACAGATATCCTTCTCCCCTAACGTTCGTTTCTCCATCATTTCACCATTCACATACGACCTCTCTCCAACAAGACACTCCACTCTAGGGTGTCCCTTTCCATAATCCCTTCACCACTTCTATCTGCGCGTTCTTTGACGGCTTCCAAGTCGTCAAATGAACCTGCCTCTTCCGCAATCATAATCCCCTGGACTCGCTACTCTTCCACCTGAAGAGACTCGGCCTTCGCTAAATGCCTTTCAAGCCCTTCGCACATCTCGCCAGAGTTAGTTTCGCAAAGGGAATCGCCCACACTTACGCTCCTTCTTTTGTCGCTGCTGGTCAGTCACTTGGTCAATTTCAAAATTACCCCGTTGCCAAATTCTCAAAGACCGCTCAATTACAACAAACCTTCTCCGGTCCTGCAGGTTCCAACGCTGGAGCAAAGGCTGGTCAGAGTTCACAATCTGGTGGAAATGATGCTGGTTTAGCTCAATACTATGCAGCATGGCAACATGCACAACAGACAGGGGATGACGCAGATTGGAAACAGCATGAGTCAGCGAGGAGGATAGGATGGAAGGATCAAGAGAGAGTACACTCGACAAAGCCACCGGTCCTTCGCCTTGATTCTTCAAAACCCATCGATGCTCTTCGAAATACTGTTCGTCTTCCAATTTCACGTGATGATGCCGATCGTCTTGCCATCCAAGTCCAAGAGGGTAATGAGTCGGAAACTGAGGGCCTCCTTGTTCAGGTCGATGAAGTCATCACAAAAGAGATTCAGGACGTCCAAGCGACATCACAAATTGAGGACATCACCTCTCGCGAGCCCGAGGTTGGCACTCCCGTCGCCAGCACAAGAGCCGCAACTCCAGCTCTTCAGGACTCTAATAATACCGACCTCGACTCCTCTGCTTATTCTCAAGAACAAACAACCCCACCAACAGATGCCACATCCCTTGCCTCGGATGAGTCTATCCTATCCGAGCATATTGTTCAGCTAGGACAGCAACAACGATATTCCGAGATTCCGGCAGTCTTCGAAGCCATTATCAAAGATGGTCAGGTTCCGAGTGTGGATGCATACAACTATATTTTGTTGTCCGCAATCAACTTGACCAATGCCTATCAACCATGGCCAAAAGCTCTCGAAGTCTATGGCGACATGACCAAACGTGCCGTCGAACTCAATGCCACCACGTACATTATTCTTCTACGCTTCTTGGCAGCAAGAAGTCTTGAGGCACATCAAGTTCAAAAGACCCTGGGTAGAAATGCCGCTAGATATGGAAGTGAGGGAGCACTGGTCTTACCTTCTGCTACCAACCAACAGCAACTCTATGCAGCTGACACTTCCTTGACCTTTGCAACAAAACTGTACAACATTGCTCGAGCCACAGTACAAAATTTCAGACCTTCAGCATCTCTGTACAATGCGCTGGTCAAGAGCTCAGCACAAAGTGGACTTGTGGACCACATGAATGTTCTTCTCGCCGATATGAAGTCTTATGATATCCCACTTGACGCCCGTCTATACACAGTTGTCATCGAAGCTCAGGCAAGCAAGCAGGATATTCATGCCGCCCAAACTCTCTACGAAGATTATCGTGACCGCGCCATCAGCCGTTCTGCAAACGATCCGCTCGATGTGCAAGTCTATGCTGCATTGATCAAAGCATATTATAGCACTGGTCTCGCCGAGACTGGATTACGTTTCTACGAGAGAATCTTGCATTCGTTCAAGGATTCCGTCAACCAGCACGATCTTTCTGAAGATTTGACCACTGCCTTCATTTTGAATGGTCTCGTTCAGCACCACATTGAAAACAAGGCTTTCTCAACTGCGATCTCCAGCATCAATGATTTTGCTCTTCAGCCTGTTGCTCGCGATCAGGCCTTGTCTATGGTGTGTGTGTCCGCTGCCGATGCCAACAACCAAACAGATGCTCTTGTGGCATTCGAAGCTATCACCTTTGAAACCCTCAAAGCGGAGCCTGTCATGGCCGTTGTAGCCATGCACATCCGAGCCGGTGACGTGACGAAGGCTAAATCCATTTGGAATCAAGTCCGAACCATTCCTTTGATACCCACTACCGACTTTGCCGCGATGTATGCATTAGCACTTGTCCAAAATGGTTCTATCGAGGAAGGTATCACTGAAGCACGAGAAATGTTCCAGCGAATCCGTGGATCAAGTTCTTCTGAAGCTGGACGTCAACTCGCCATTGCGGAAATCGATGAAACCATTGTTCTCTTTGGTGAGGCTTTGGCAAAGCAGCAAGCCGTGGTTTCGGCACCAACTAGTGTTTCGATGTTGCGGGCAATGATCGAGAATGGTGGTTTGGTTTCGCCTGTTGCCCAACATGCCATTGCTAGTCTTGGTCCTGAATGTGTTCATCAACTCAGTGCTCAAGATATTGCGTTGGCTCTTCACGTCCAAGCTCAGATGTTCATGTCTGACAATTCTGCCGACATCGCCCACCCTGCTCGTTTCTCCCATCTCTTGGAAACGGTCCTTAATCGTGGCATTCTGATGGATCCTTCAACCGTTCATGTTGTTAGTGAGTGCATCACCAAGATCACCACTATTCGACCCGATCTGGTTCAACGTTGGCAAGATTTATTACACCCCAGTATCCCCGCGCCTCTGAATGTTCAACCACGTTCGCCAGTGACACCTCAATCTGTCACTGCTGAACATGTCGCTCCTACTGATACCTTCGATCCTTATGCTCACACCACTGATTATCGCGCATCGAAGGCTATCTCTGATCTGGTTGAAAGCACCAGTGGCCGTATCGAAAATCACTTGAGTGATGCCCTGAGTCGTTTGAGAAATGTCCGTCGTGCCGGTAGACATCTTCACTATTCGGCTTATGCTAAACTAATAACTGGTGCTGGAAAGGCCAAGCAAACCAATCTGATTCACGAGATTTTGAGCATGGCTCATGCTGACGTGCCTATGGCGTTGCAAATTCCTGCTGTTCGAGCTGGATGGGTTTCAATTCTGGATTCAATGGTCGCGGCTTGTCTCACTGTTGGCGAACGTGATCAGGCAAACAAATTCCACCAAGACCTTCTCGAAATGGGTGCCGCACCATCAGCCAACACTTTCGGTATTTACATCACCACACTAGAAGGTACATTTGATGAAGCCACTGAGGCCGTCAAGATCTTTCAACGTGCTTTGTCAGAGGGTGTTACTCCAAGTGTATTTTTGTACAATGCTGTGATTGGCAAACTTGGCAAGGCTCGTCGCATCGATGACTGTCTCCGATATTTCGGGGACATGGAAGGTCGAGGAATTCGTCCATCCTCTGTCACCTATGGTACCCTTGTCAACGCCCTCTGCCGAACCAGTGAGGAACGTTTTGCTGTGGACATGTTTGATGAAATGGAGGCTGCACCAAACTATCGACCTCGACCAGCTCCCTACAATTCCATCATCCAGTACTTCTTGAACACCAAGCGCGACCGCAGCAAGGTATTGGAGTATTATGAGCGAATGAAGTCCAAGAACATCAAGCCGACCTCACACACCTACAAATTGCTCATCGAAGCTTATGCTTCTCTTGAGCCCGTCAATCTTGAGGCCGCTGAAGCTCTCCTATCTGAGATGAAACAAGTTGGTGTGCAACCTGAAGCAGTTCATTATGGTTCTTTAATCCATGCAAAGGGGTGTGTCATGCATGACATGCCTGCTGCTAGAGCCGTCTTTGATTCCGTCATCAATGGTAGCACAATGCGACCTACAGATACTCTATACCAGAATCTACTTGAGGCAATGGTTGCCAACCACGAAGTCGCCAAGACTTCCGAGGTTGTCAGCGATATGCAACGACGTGGTATTCCAATGACACCATATATTGCAAATACTCTCATTCATGGCTGGGCTGGAGAAGGAGATGTCTCCAAAGCAAAGGCCATTTACGACACACTTGGACATTCTAAACGCGAACCGAGTACATATGAGGCAATGACCCGAGCATTCCTCACCGCCGAGGACCGTCCAAGCGCCAATGCTATTGTTCAAGAAATGATGCGCAAGGGTTATCCTAGTGCTGTCACGGAGAAAGTGCTTGCCCTGGTGGGAGGCATGACAGTTTAGGCCTATTGGACGCCGGAAAAATCTTAATATCACGTTCGAGTGTGGCATTCCGATGCTTGCCTCGGATGTTTTACCTTTTTCTTTTGTTATTCGTTGATGATGATACCCAGAATTACACGAGCAACCAAGCATGTTGGACTCGTACGGCCTATGGCGTTTTATTGGTTTTCGGGGCTTCTTCTCTGAGGCGCCAGCCTAGTGAATGGTAGCGTGGTGCTCGAGATGATGGCGACCTGGGGAGATGTGGATATTGCAACGGGTTGCGACCCCCAACAAAAGGCGAATCGGACTTAAATTTCAAATGCATGGCGAATGGTACTGATGGAATGCGAAATGTAACAACAGAACATAAAAGGATACACTCTACTCAAATCTTTAGATAGGATAGACCCGTGGGAGATATTTGTGGCCATGTCTAGGGTCTGTGATGGAACAGGATGCCCGGGCCAAAGCCCCCGAATATACTTTGAGGACGATTAGGTACCAATATTGGCTAGGGGCATCATTAGTTGTTGACTGCAGCGGGCTGACCAGCAAAAGCTGGCTGCCCTGGCTGAAGTCATTATTGCCACGAGGTGGTTGAAGAATTCAACTTTCTATACGATGTTGAAAACACCAAAAACCCGCTTCTCGTCCGCTCTCCTTTTCTTTTCTTGGTTCTTTCCCTTGCTTGCCCTTTCATGTCTGCTTGTCTTGCGACATACTCGTTGCCCACAACATCTCACGGACTAAGCCTCTCAATCTTCCACTCGCCACTCCCCTCCCCACTACCGACGGCGTCGACTCTTGTATAGCGAAAGCGATCGTGCAGCCGGCTCTCCCTGCCCTGCCAAAACTCGACCGTCTCCGGCACAATGCGCAGCCCGCCCCAGAACGGCGGCACGGGGATGTGCTCCTGGCCGACGAAGCGGGCTTGGACCTCGGCGACCTGGGCGTCGAGCTCGGCGCGGCCGTCGTCGACCTCAGCGTCAGCTTCACCCTGATGCGGCGCCGTGTCTGCGTCAGGCTCCGCCCTCGGCGTCAAAACACTACTCTGGCGACTCGCCCACGCACCGACGCGACTGCCCCTGGCCCGGGTGTCGAAGTAAACCTGGCTCTCCTGGTCCGTCAACCTCTCAACGCGGCCCTCGACCCGCACCTGCCGCTCAACGTCCTTCCACCAGAAGCACAGGCTGGCGAACGGGTTGGTCGCGATGTCGGCGGCTTTCCGCGACGTGCCGAAGTTCGAGTAGATGACGAAGCCGCGCGCGTCGAGTTCTTTGAGGTACACGACGCGCGAGGACACGCGGCCGCTGGGCAGGTGTGCGGTTGAGAGGGTTGTTGTTTCGGGCACGGAGTGTGTCAGTGCTGGGTGGGTGAACCACGTGTGGAATTGCGTGAAGGGGGAGGGGGACAGCGAGGGCCGTGAGAGCCGTGATAGTTGGAATTGTGCGGCGCGTTGGGGGGTGGGTTGGTTGTTGTTGTCGGTGGTCGTGCTGTCAGTGGCGCCGGGAGCGACTGTTGTGGAAAAGGGGAGTATGTCAGTTTGATGTCTTTGTTGCGTGTTTGCTTTTCGGACCATCGCTCTTCTGTCTCGGACATGTTTTTCCTTATCTGAGTCATGGAGTCCATCATAGGAAGAACGCCGTCATCAACGGCAACCACATGCTCCAGAAAGCAAGGGGGTTCTCATTGCGGGGCCCAAAAACTGGTATAAATGTTTCAAACTTGACCTCGCTAACTAGCGAGGCAGACAGAGAGAAATATTGCACTTACAGATAAGCTTGTCCTTTTGGGGCGGCGCAGCAGACGTGGCCATGGTGGCTTGGTGAAGCATGGGTTGTAGATGTGAAAGGGGGTTGTAGAAGTAGGAATGGCCTCTCGGTTGTGTCAATTTGTGAAAAGTGCTGTTCTTGATCAACATAGACGTCGATGCAACATTCAAGTCAGAAGTCTGGGAGCGAGAGATTATTTATTTATCCCGAAGTTTGTGTTACTCGCTGGTAGAAGCTGGATTGCTTTTTGAAAGTTATGACATGAAGGAAATTGACTATTCGTTCGCCTTGAGATGATCCCGCGAGGATGTGTTGTATATTGTTATCTCCTGACACTTGCAGTGGGAGGAGTAGATGTTATTTGCTCGATGCTGGTCGAAGTACTTTTTCCCTTTCTCCAAGGCTGTGGAGATATCTCGTACAAGCATCCGGAAGGCATGAATGATGATGTCTTGATTTCAGTTTGCTGGTCCGAATCCAACCGAATTGGGATTCATATCACGTGGTTGCAGGTTCACCGAAGCACGTGCTCAACCCCTCCCTGGCTTCCCCCTCAACGCACACGCAAGCTTGCTGCATCATTCATCAACTTGGACCCCAATCATCAATGTTTTAAGAGAACCAATTCTGCCTTGCTCTCTGTTAAAAAATTGGATGCCTGTTAGGACCAAGAAGCCAAAGGGAAACAAGCTCATTTTCGAGACACCTTTGACACCTCTTTGATTCCTGACCTCTTTCAGCCCAACCCACCACAACCCATCCTTGGTCTTACACACATCTCCCTAACGCCCACTCTCTGCCTAGCATCCTGTATCTTCTGGCCCTTTGGAATCTCGAATCCCATCCTTCCACAATCCTTGGCCAGCTGTAAACTCCCAGGTCCCGACCTCGTACTACCAATTCCACCACCCTGACCTAATCTTCAACCAGTCAGACCCCCCCTGATCACCTTTCTTCCCGTTCCACTACACGCACACAACCTCACCTGGTTGGGTTTCAATCTGTAGCATCTATATCTCAGCCCAACTCTTCTTTCTTTTTCATTACTTTTTCCCATATGCCTCCTACCCTCGAAAAGATTGATACAACATCCCGCACCACTTCCAACAAGCCTGCTCAACCCGCAATGGTATGCATTCAGACCTTTGATTCCATTTATTCCCCTGTCACTCCACACCGAACAATCCTGGACACATGTTTAAAAACCACCCCTCCATTGATCTTTCTCAGACTAACCCTTGGCACGCCTAACCGCGTGGACTTATAGGCTCCAGAGACCCCCGTTACACTATCAGCAGAGGAAACCCAAGCTTACAAGGACGTCTTCGCTCTGTTTGTACGTATCTCACTTATCTTCTAATTTCATCTCTCGAGCTTCGTTGCTGACAATTTTCTTTAGGACAAGGATGGAAGTGGTAAGTCGACCCACCACGGCTGTTCAAGCATCAACCTTTTCAGCCCCGCCTTTGGAATCAACACGTCTTTCTCGGGACAAACGCTCTCAGCCTCAGCCTTGTAAGCGGGGCTGAGGTTTTGTTCTTCGAAGCTTGACTCTACCCTTTATCACCTACTCGCGTGCATACCCATCGTGAAGGGAATCATGTTTCTAACTACGATCTTCCTCTATTAGGCACCATCACCGCCGCCGAACTTGGCGATATCATGAAGTCGTTGGGTCAGAATCCCTCCGAGTCAGAGCTACAAGACATGGTAAGATTTCCTCCACCTCCATCACGCCGAGAGTTTCCCCGCTTCAACGTATATACACCTCCAAATGGCCCAGGATTCACCATTTCCATCAAGATGCCCCATGAATATCATGTTTCATAACTATGAACTCGTTGCTCACAATAACTCCAAATGTTAGATCAATGAAGTCGACGTCGACCACAGCGGCAGCATCGATTTCGATGAATTCCTCAAGATGATGTCTCAGACAGTCAAGGCGACCGATTTTGCCCACGAGACTCGTGCTGCTTTCAATGTCTTCGACAAGGATGGTAGTGGTACCATCTCCGCCGATGAGCTTCGCCAGGTCATGAAATCTCTTGGCGAGAACCTTACGGATGAGGAAATCGACGAGATGATCCGTGAGGCTGACAAGGATCGAAATGGAACGATAGATTGTGAGTTCTTAACATCCTCCTGTTTGTACGTGTGCATCTCAGGCTAATCACTCATACCTTTCCAGACGAGGAATTCGTCCAGCTTCTCTCTCCCAAGTAGTTTGCCATCTCTGCAGCTGGGAATCACGACCTCTCCAATAAATGGGTTTCAAAGCTGGCTGGTGGGTTGGAACCTTTCGTTTCCAACAGTGGACATCGTCAGATACCACCCGATATCATTTCTCGTTTCGTCTTCTTTCAGTACCCTTCTTGGGGATAGACTGGGGTTACAACACACCGCGCACACCACACCACGCCATGTCATGCCATGTCTTGCGAATCCATCACCCTCAAACTTAACAGTTTGGAGTACCAAATCTTCTGTTCAATTCCTTCACGAATAATTGGCACGACACGAATCCACAATCAATCACTCATCAATCCATATACACGACACGATATCACCTCATCTATGAATGAGAGAGACAGAAAATGAAGAATCCATTCTGAAACATGAAAAAAAAACAACGACCGTTTGACAACTCCTTGCTATTTTGTTATGCAACATATGTGAAAGTTCTGCTCCCACCCATTCTGTCCCCCGATAAGAATCGAACCATGATCATCCCATATCCCTGTCGATGAGAAATGGCAGCCCTCAGACAACATCTTCCAAACCCACTCTGACGACGGGACGCTCTTTCGGATAATCAAGGGTCTTATCTCTCCATTGCGCGTGTTTAAATCCGTGTCTGTATGCCATTCTTACTCCTTACGCCATGCCCTTTCGCTGTGATACATGCCCTCTGCCCCGTGACGCGACGCCTATGCAGAGGATATCCACGCCTCAGCCCCACATACCGGCCAACAGTTCTACGCCCCGATTAAGTTGAGTCCCCTTAGCTATAGTACCTTGATAACACAGAACAGTTCAAAGCACAACTTCCTCACGTCAAGGAAAACAAGGCAGGCAGGAATGACAGCATTGCAGCGCAGTGCAGTGAATTGTAGCACAGTGCATTGAATTGCATTATATTAATCTGCTGTAGTGTACAGCAATGGGGACGTGATAACAAGAACGGTGAATCACTCGGTCAGCCAGAGTGCGAGGGGCGCGAACAAGGTAAAACGACAACGATATGTGTCTCTGTCTAAGGTAAGCTAAGGTACCTAGTTGTAGTGCGAGTGTGTGTATGTGTGTTCGTGCCTTCCCATCTGTGTTGAACATCGTGCGTCCATACCCATGCCATCACTCACTCCAGCCACCGATGAAGGCACCCCTCCCCACCCAAATACACAACACACGACACACGATAGTAGTATTTGCGACAAAATAGAGCAATTGCATGGCATGGCATGGCATAGCGGTGCAAGGTGGTTGTTGTTTGGAGAACCGAATGTCCCCCCTTCCATTGTCCGGTTTGGAAAAAAGACGATGACGGACGATGATGATAAAAAGAAGAACAAGGAGAAAGTTTTGTTTTCAATAATACAGTAGAAGGTCGGTTTGGAGGCTTCCTTCTTTCGCACATCCATTTCCCATTGTGACTTGAATGTCAGTCACCTGATTACAGTCGGAATCGCAATATTGCGCATTGTGGTTTCATTCACCATCCCAGGATAATCCCACACCTCCCAGCTCTTTTTTTTTAGAATCCACTCTGTGGACCAGTTCGTTGACGAGTCGGTCTTGTCTCCCGTAATAGAATAACACCCAGTATTGCTTGTGTCAGAATCTGTCCTTGACAAATTCGAAAACCTCGTTTCTCACCATCGACCCCCTTTGTGAACATGAACAGACGATAAGGCCCTCTAGTTTGCCTTGGAAGTCTGACGAGCTCGGTGATTGGTTCGATGACGGGTGTTCGGGTTGCGCCCATTGTATGAACCACTGGAACTTGGGGGACCACTACCAAAGGCTCGTTGCCGAGTTCCGACAGTCGAGAGAGATGCTTTCATTGGAATATCCTTCTTGATTGATTTGATACTTCCGGGAATTCTGATGATGGCGAATTGGGGCTTTTGTGGACCATTATGACGTTCGAATAGGTTGCTAACCATAAAGGCCGCAGTAGACGTGGCATCGATAGCAAGTGGTAAAACTCTTGAGAAAGTTGATGGCGCCCATTGAGACGGTAATGATTCTCGTGGGAATTTGATAGCAGGCAATGAACCTGGCTCACGATCTTCAAAGAGGTCATCTTCGCTTTCAACATCTTTGGTAATCACCAATTCTTCGTCAATAACTAGGCCTGTTGCCACTTCAATTTCGTTGGGCAGAGACACAGATGCGGCTGGGATGGATATATGTTGGACATCAAGAGGCTCCTTTGTGGAGGACGCAACAGCTAAAGCAGGGCCGACTAATCGGACGGGTTCTTTGGCAGGTGAAGACTTTCTCCCTAGCAATCCATTAAAGCGCTCTTGCCAAGAAGGGTTCTGTGCTAGTGGGGTTGACACTGAACGCAATGAAGAAGCTGTCGCGGCAGGTGTAGTCACAGGCACTGACGGTGGTGGCATTGAGACTCTAGCTGCCCATGTCAACGGAGTGTGTGATTCTGGTTGAGGTGCAACTTCTGCTTGAACTTGGGCTGGGCTTGATGGAGTAGGTGGCATCGCAGGAGGAAGCTTGACCACGGCCTTTTCTCGAGGGAAGTGTACAACCGGTCGTTCATAGTCTCCGTCAAAGGCGGGGTGAGCACTTGCAAATTCTTCTGCTGGGGGAGGCGATGGCGTACGCGGCTGCTCAGGGTGACTGTAAGTAACAGCACGTCTGTCTTGAGGCTGTTGGTTACCAAGATGCTGAGGGAAAAAGCGTGAACCGCGTCCAGCTTGACCACTTCCTATTCTAGGAAGTGGATCGGCGTTTGTAAGTGAGCCAACAGAGCCAAAAACACTGGGGGGAGGAGGCGGGATGTTGGCCTGAGAAATGTTTGTGAGTTGTCGTTGACCTGCTTGATCACCAACTTGTACTTGTTTCCATGTTTCATTGAAGCCATATTGAGGTCCTTGACGAATTCCTGTTCTTAGTTCTTCTTCACGGCGAGCGGTATTTTCACGTTGAGTCTTTTCATTTTCAATTCGCTCACGCTCACTTGCAACGGCCTGAAAATTTCCCCACGCTGCGAGACCCGTAGGCCTAGATCCATTCTGGTAATTTTCCATGACTGGATGCGTTGTTTGTGATTGAGGGGGACCGATGGGCGCAGGTTTCGTGGTAGGAAACAAAGAGTCGATCTCACTGTCAACAGCAAGAGGTCCTTGGTCGGGTGAAGTGACAGATTGAAATGAATATGATCGCGACTCTGGGAGCGCGTGATTCACTTGAGGTGAGCGACCCGCGTGGGGCGTTCTGCCATTCATCCAACCTTGCGCAGTTGAGGACGTCCGAGAAAGATCTTGAGGTGCGTAGCCAGCTAGACTTTGATCAAAGGTGCCATTGCCGAGAGCTTTGTTATTCAGATTTGGCACGCCCCAGAGATTGCTTGTTTGAGGAGCGCGATGGTCGTGACGCAAGTCATTCCACCCGCTTCGCATTTCGCTCCCAGTATTATGCTTGGGGAACTTAGGACTAGGCTCAGGTGGGCCGACGATTTCTTGACTACCTGAATGCCGTCCTTCAGACACTGCTCGAACCCCGTTGATGATAGGTGATGGGCCTTGATTGGATTCCACTTGTGGCTGCTCTTTGGATAAGTTTGACTCAATTTTGGCAGGAGGGATTGTCTTATGAGAATCAACAGGACGTGACAATGAAGTTCCATGCTTCTTGATTGAATCCAGAGGATGTACTTTCATCATGCCGTATTGTTGTGGTTCTCCTGAGGCAAGTGGTTGCGGTGGCTTTGGGGGGGATTGTTGGGTGCTCAAAGCATGTGCGGGCGCAGGCACTGCCTGCTCGGCTTTCTTCACCGCGCTGTCGTGAATGTTCTCATCTGCTTTACTAGTGATCATGGTGCTGGGACCAAGGGACGCGAGCTTAGCTCGGATTCGTTCTTGCTTCTCAGCTTCCTCTTTCTGCTGAACCTCAAGCTTCCTCTTTCTTGCCAACTCGATCTTTTCTTTCATCAACAATTTCTGTTGTGCTCTTTGTTCTTCAAGGTCACTTTCTGGTGCGTGATGAGGATCTGCTGAAATATAGTCACTGGCTCCTCGGGCTTGATAGGCAGGGGTCTGGGTTTGCGACAGGGTCCCATCTCCCGAAAACGGTGGGACGTCAACCTCATTCGCCGTCTTATGATTTTCGAAGACGGGGGTGGCATGCTCAGTAGACTTGATCGACATACGTCGAGCAAACTGTCCACTGCCCCCAGAAAGTGTTGATGATGCCCTTCTCCTTGCCGAATCAGTGCTTGTTCGATTGGTTTGGAAAGCTGCTGATGGTTCGGCAGGTGCGTGTATATCACCTTGACTGGGCCGTTGTAATACAGCAGCGGCACGGAAATTTTGATCATTCCGAGACATGCGCCTTCGATTTTCGGGAACTGCTTCGTATTTGCCCGAGTTTGGCATATACAGCTCTCGCGTCTGTGCGGGTGAAGAATCCCTCCATGAGCGGTTGAAGTCATCTGCGGATATTTCCTGCGCTGGAGATGGCGCTGTAATGGCAGAAGAAGGACTTTGGGAATAGTTTCCACCTGGGGGAAGTCGACCGGGTGGTGGCATTGATGGTTGCGGATTGATAGCTATAGGCGAGACTTTGTCTACTGGCGGCAACGTCGCCCAAGGTGACTTAGCCGGGGTTGGCGCATGGTTCTTCGAGGTCATGAGGGTCGGTTTCTCGGAGGGGCTTCTTGACTGAAGAGTAGCAATTTTCTGCGCTTGTCTTCCAGCATTGGCGCCCAACTTCAACACAGTAGCATTTGGACCGACGGAACTGGTAAATTGTGGCGGTACAGGTTGAGGTGGTTGTACGGGCTTGACCTCGTTATTCACTTCGGCAGATGAGACGATCTTTTGAGTAGGTGGAGGAGCAATTTCGGCAGGCGTGAGGGTGCTTTTGGTGCCGTCATTCCACTCAATCGTTTCCGGGGCCCAGTCATCCTCATCGTCGTCGATATCGGCCCATTTCGCTTCCTTCCCATCTCCATCCTCTTGAATACGTGATGTTAAATGGATGCCGTATTGCTGCTTAAGCTCTTCATCCGTCAGATGCTTCGTTGAGGGTTGGGGTGTTACTGTTGCAGAGGGTTAGCATGCAAAGACACCACGCGACAGATCTCCATGGTTGGTCGATGATCAAGACTGGATTGTCATACCTCGGTTCTTGTTCCACACCTGCATAGGATCAGGTGTGGCAGTTTTGAAGGGTTTAGCCTTTGATTGAAGTAAGCTTGTCGTCTTCGCGACTAAGCGAGGACGCCCAGCGAGCGGAGTTGATGAAGATAGGGAATTTGGAGGTGTAGCTAATGTCGGGGGTTATTTGTGTCACCACAATGCGAACAATGGGCATGGGTTCATACCTTTGTCTGTGCCTTTGGTCGTTGAACTGGCCGCGATCACCTTGGGGACGGAATATTTCGCAAAACTGACAGGCTTTGCGACAAATTTCTTCAATGGTTTCTGTTCTGTAGGCTTTTCGCCAGTCACACTACCCTCTCCCTCGGCACGGCTGGTATCGGTGTCTGATCGACCGGAGGCATCGTCGAGTTCATCCATTCGGAAAGGCATGTGGTGGATTCCATTCTCTTTTGGCACAACCTCTACAACAGCATTATCTTCCCCACCTCGCAGTAGTTTGATCTCAGATGTTGATGTGGTCTCAGGTGCGTCGGAAGGCGAGAGGTCGCCGACCGACAGAGTTTGGTTTACCACATCTTGTGCTCTCTGCTCTGCCATAACAAACTCGGATCTAAAATGCGCGCAACGATGTCAGAGTCAGTTGCATAGTAGTCTTCGGACTCTTGTATACCTGTTAGGGTGTGTAGTCTGCCACGGTTGCCGCTGCCAGGCTGTCCAGCGTGGTCCGGTTAACGTGATGGGCGTCGCAGGCTTGCTATGGGTTGGTGGTACAGGGGTCGCGATCGAAATCCAGAGGCGTATGGATTCTATCGAGGCCTCGGCAAGGAATAGAGGGAATTAGGGAGGAAGAAGAGGAACCGTGGATAGATCGGCGAATGATTAGAGAGATAGGAGGGTTTGAAGGCTGCGCAAGTGGAAGTCAAGTCGTTCAGATTCAGGTTCGACTTCAGAGTCGGCTGAGAGGTCTTGGCGCCGACAATTATGACACCTAGGCGTCGGTTATGGAAAGTCTATGCCTGAGGCTCGGAAGCTTATGGGCGGGGGAGTACCTAGAGGTGTAGCGATTGACGGCTGATCTTACCTAAACATAGCACCTAAAACTTGAGCCTAATGAGGTTCACGCCAGTTTGGTGGTGACAAGTCACAACTTCAATCAGGCGCTCAATACTAGTAATGGACATGAAGTTCATGCCTCAGGTTCACACTAACAAAGGAGTCATAAGGCTCAGCGCAACCGCTAGCACTGGTCGTTCAAGTGTTGCCACAAATAGCCCGGTGCATGGACCACTTATCAACCCTTCTTTTTCAATAATGTTCAGCTACGGTACGAACTCGTATACATATGCGGAGCACTGCGATTTGGATGTCATTCATCTTGGACGAAACGTGCTCACACCGAGAACGTTCATTTCTCAGTCCTGGTCTGACACTTGTATAACAAACGGCTGGCCACAAAGGGATATCATAGAACGTCACTGGGCACAAGAGCAAATAGCAGTGGGATCAAACTGATGAAACGCTTGATTTGGTCTAGAACAACTTCATTCAAGCTCACAACTTCTGTTTGATGCTTGATGCTTATATACAGTTTTGCCTCGTCTCATCTTGACAGTCAATTTCGCCTAATGAGCATTGTTCTTGTGGTGTCCTATGTCACTCGTTAGCCAACAGTCCCTTCCAATTGTTTTGGGACGATCCATACTCAGATGGAAGTAGTACTCCATGCTGTAACCCAGCGTCATGATACCGAAGATAGCGTGCCAGATAGCTGCTCCGTGTTAGTCTTTTGACAATTCACAACCATGCTGGTAAAGCCTTACGAGCCGAAGATGGGTTTTTGCCAAAGTATTTTGCTTGATACCATCCCAATGGTCCGCCTCTTGTTCGGTCAGGTGCTGGTCCTTTTGGTAGTCTCTCGTAGAATTTAACTATTCTCGCCATTCGGACGGCATCTTTGGCGGCTCCAAGTCCCTATTTCCATGGTCAGAAACTATCCATGTCGAGAGCTGCGGCCCATAAATCCCCCCTAGTCGGCGTTCGGGCGACTGGTTATTGAGAACGAATTGGGCGATCGAGATGCTCGCGCGATCGCGACATTGTCTGGGAATCCAAAGGTGAATATGAGCTTACCGCTGGGTTTGCAACCTATAGTAAGAGTGTTAGCTGCCGCGGAGTCCATACAATTGGGATTGTCCTTACCTTGGGAGGGACCAAAGTCGACACGCTTCTGCGAATGACAAACGACATTTTGAGCTGATGAACCCGATTAGTGACTACTTAGATGTCTGATTGAGGTTTGAAATCACATACAGAGAACTCAAATTGCTCGTACGTGGCGTAAGGAGTGATTCGAAGCTGTTGAAGATTCAATGTCTGGTCGACAGCTTCAAGTTCATTCAAACTCCTGCACCCTGCAAGTGCCAAGCCCTGGAGCTTTAAGTCACGTGTCAGAAGTTACGGGCTATCCCGGATTACCTAAGCACCCTTCTGGCCTTGAATTTTGAAGACCTTCAATATTGACAAACTACAGGCGACTCTCTGAAATCGAGGATACCTGAAGTTTCAAATATTACACACTTTTTCCGACCAAGTAGCTCTTGAACTGCACAAGTCACCATTTACACCCTACCGTGGATTGATACCTCACAATCATTCTCTTGTCCGGACGACCCACCGACCCGATTCACTGAATCAATCGTATTACCATACTTTATGCTGGTACTTGTACCAATCCTCTTCAGGAACTTGCTCATGATGTGAGCTCAATCCAATCGTCTGAAAATTGGGCTCCGTATGTAATTCAAAGTCCCTGTTCTCAGGTAGGGTATCAAGGCATGGCCGCCAAAACGCTTCATCTCGCGGATAAATGATGGTGTTAGCTGTCGCGGAGGTCTCATACATGTGGGTTCCTGGCTTCGATCCACCTTCCAACTCCGCTGGATAGACAGTAGTCTGAGGTGCTTCAGAATGGCAGACATTTGTGGTACTGTGACTTGATCTGCATGGCAAAGATACACCCCTGCTTGATAGTCGGTTTGTCCCAGATGTGGAAGGAAAGAGGCGTGGGAAGAAATGCTGGATTGGTGTTCTTAACATTGGTAGGTTTGCACAGATGATCCCCAGGCCAGCTTCAATCGTTGTCCATATTGTCGATATCAGAGAGCCTGCCGTGGCATCGGTACCATACGCCGAAGAGTAAAGTGTTGTAAGTCGTGAGATTGATGCTGCGCACACGATGGTACCCAATCCAAAGATTCCAGTCAGGGCTAGCTTCTGTCGCATTGGCAGCTTCAAGGTGAAGATCACTGGTGGTACCATCAAGACGATGATCAGATCCGTCAAGATATTGTAGATGGCGTTACTGTACCACAATCCAAAGATGTTCACACAACTTCTTTCTGTGCTCCAGGGTTGCCAGGCACTTGATATCGGACTGCACTGCACCAGTGTTGATGCCGTGAAGCCGATGCAAGCGCAAAGGACCAAGACAATCAAGCACCAGCACCCACGTACGAACCACAGACGATCGATGAATATTCGAAGGTACAGGAAGAGTATGGATAGCTTTGTACAGTTGATAGTCAACTTGTAAAATATTTGGACGAGGAAGAAACACTAGAGGTACCATGAGACTTGTGCATATAGGGAACAGTAATGGACACATTCCTACCTTCAATGCTCGAGCTGCTTGGTGACGTTCTAGAGTTTCAAGCGGTCTGCCATACCCGAAATCGACCGCCGCAATGGAAGTAGCGCATTGAGCAAGAAGAAAAGCCTGTCCAGTGGTCAGAACTGCAGCATTATTGAACAAAGACACAGGCATCTTACCGTAGCCAACATCGTTGCGACATCATCAAGACCGAAACGTCCAAACATACGAAAACGCCAATAAAGACGATTCATAACCAATAACACCGCAAGGCTAGGGCCCAGCACAGAAGGTACAACAAGGTGAAATCCTCGTCCCCCGAGTCCGAAGATTTGCACTGAGCAATCGGAGCATTGGCCTGCCATGGTTGTAATTTTCTTGACGGAAAGTAAGATCACAATGGTTTCCGCAAACAAATGGGCTTTCGTACTTGTATATTGTTGTCTTAACGTCTCAAACTGATTGTTGATACCTTCGCCAGGCTCATCAACAATGTTTGATCGCGATTGGTAGCCTGGGGGGCCGGGTACGGATCGTGAGCGGATGACGGGTACGGAGTATACCAGAGGGCTGAAGGTAAGAGGACCACACTCTCTGAGAATGCTCGATAATGATATAATATATCCAAGCAAGTATATTCAGGGGATGACAAAAATGACACAAGTGATGCACATAGGCTATTCACCCACCATTCAGGCCTCCTTGAGCAGCCCAGGGCTGGAGTTCCGTCATGAACATTGCTCCATCTTGAGCGGGTATGCACTCCAGACAACGCTGAAAGTATACAAGGACTGTATCAGCAGGGCGTGCCTTGTTGTATATACGAGATGGAGACATAATGTATGTCGCATAACTGCATCATGGAGACAAGTTGAATTCTGGAAGGTCTCGTCATGGATAGAGGTCTGGAGTCTGAACGCCGCAACATCTGTGAGCGGAGAGGTTTTTTCAACAATGCTTGAATGGAATCTGCATTTTGACGAGAAATTATGATGTATCTCTGGGGACTGTAAGGGCAAAGGCCCGACTCGAAAGCTCAGAGCCAGTCCTAATAGCGACGGGGATGGGTGAAAAGTATCCGGTTGCCATCATCGCATTAGCCGAGTTCTAAAGCAAGAGAGAACATAGCGCATTTGATCCAACGGCTATCAGGAGGACTCGAGAAATGAAAATGTAGATCGTGATTAGCATTCGGTCTAAGGCAGCTTGCCACGACTTGTTACACTGAGGGGATGTTTTTGTGAATCAAACCCATCCCAGTCAAACTTCCGAGGTTGGTGGATGACATTCTCTTTTGATGATGTAAATAGCTGGTACACGTGGCAGATGCATGTAGTTATTTTGCAAACAAACTTGGAAAAGTCTGATACAAGACGCCTTATCACAGAAGTCGACTGAGTAGCCCCTGTGTTCAAGTTACTTAGTATCTTACAGGTTAGGTACCTAGTTAGCTAAGTCAGAGGTCGAAATCCAAGTTCAAGATGGCTTTTCATGCCATCTCCGGTTAAAGGTCGCCTGATGTCCCGAGACAAGCTCCTCAACACCTGACGACTAGGCCAGCCAAACTTCACAGCCCCTAAGATGCCGACAGATGGTTCCGCAGCAGTGACAAAGAAAGGTAGGTCGACGTAAAGACCTCACTGTATCTCGCTATGACGCACGCATGAGGCAGTCAGCGCCGACAAGTTCTCAACTGGGTTTGGCTGTAAAACCTGTGCCGCGATGACTCCGACGACCTAAGAGCATAATCAACTCGAAAAGGTATTTATACCTTCGCAGAGGTCATGCTCGACTCTTCCCTCTCTCCTCTCTACACACTGCTCAGAACAGTCAATCATTCCTTGGTGCATACAGAGCCAATCCAGTACCATTGTGCTGCTCTAAGGACAGCCAAGGAGGCTATACCACTGATTAACATGAGCGTGAGAAAGCATTGCGCGAATAACCCTTTGCTACATTGCTACTAGGTTTACCCCTTCAATAGGCATATATCAACAAACCTGAAATTGCTGGTGATCGGAAGGCATGACCATGCTGTGGTCCATCGTCTCATTGAAGATACCAAGCTGAAGATGACCGAGTGTGAACCTGAACTAGAGCGGACAACTTTGCAACCGAAGCCATAGCGCGAATGAAGAACTCGTGCACAGAGCACTTTAGCATAGCGGCTAGTCTGCAAAACAAGGCAAAACATAAAGGCATGCTCGTCCGCGATAATGGCAAGCTAATACCCTTCCAACCTGTAATTTACTCCTGATTAGCACTACCTCTCGAGGAGGAGCAGAATTCGATACGAAGTTCACTGCGGGTGCTCGAATCCGGTTTTACTATCCTAGAAAGGACAGGGCGGTAGTTATCATCTGAAAAGGGGAAGCCCTTCGATCAAACCCATCGAATACAATCATTGTATTTCTCGTTGAGTTAGCCACAAACCATTACCAGTCTCATTTTGCAAATGAAGTGGCCGTCGCTTCCGCGGAACCCCAATGTCGGGGGAAACGAGCATAGAGTGACAGGGCAGCCTGACCTCTTAAGGAAACAGATCACCCGTAACTATAAAGCCTTTCCGCATAATCCTGGGATTGGTGGCCTCCTGACAAGTTGTAAGAAGCCGAATTAAGAAGCAAAGCGGCTCCGAACCCAAGGAACCAAGCTTCATCAGGCCGTATGAGTGATTCAACGATTCTGACAATTTTTCGAGAAGCAAATACTGAGGCCTGTCGATTGAGGATGTCACTGCGTACCCCAGAGTCCCGATGGCACCTTTCCTGTCTCTGAGCTATATCGTCCATATATTGACACAGGCGAATCCAATCTTCTATCTCTAGCTAGACTCTAGGAGGACGGGGCTGATGTTGTCCAAAGGACAATCCTGAGATGTCCGATTAGGAGTGGTACCAAGCGTCGGTTCCCCACGATCCCCGCCGGGTCCCCACGGCCCATCGGCCCCTCAGCCGAGAGTTGGAATTCCCTTACAGGGGCTCGTTTCCTTGTCGAGCCAAATATTTGATCAGCTATGAAAATGACAAGATGATTCACATTAAGTGTGCTATTCTCTACTGAGACTGCACTGTAAGCCATATTCAGCGCATCGTAGGCGGAATTTTCTCAGTCTAATGATAGAGCTATCGTATCTTTGTGATGGCCCTTTCGACCTACTAATGGAAGCATCATCACGAAGGACTGATACGAAGTAAGAGAAAGTCACCCCATCAGGGCACCGAGAAGGTTTGAAGATGTGTCAGTGACACCATGAACACGCTCGAGCAACCGGCATCTTCCGACGCTCCTCCTCCGCAAGAGGCTAAGAGCATACTTCTTAGATTGGCGACGCCTACCGAGGAAGCGAAAACGACTAGTTAGTGGTCCGGCCAGCCGACAACTTTGTTCTCTGCATAGTACCAAACAACATGATATATTCAGTCGCCTAGTGAAAGTTAAAGCAAAGCCGTTGAAGGACGAGACTCTCAGAGTAGTTAGTCAACCGCAGATTCCAGAATTCCTTCCATGCAGAATTGAGCATGACACCCCTGATTTTGGGAGGAAACACAGCCTGAGCCGTCGCTTCCAGATGTGCTGGACCCGTCTCGCGGCTTCTTCATCCTTCCAACTTCAGACCAGACTGTCATACGAGGTACAACGTCAAGTTGTCCAGTCCCTCGTGCATTATTGACCAAGCCGTTGCATACCGCGGAGTTTTGACTTTACCAGTCGTATCCGTACAAACCCCCCCGGCTTGGACACTCTGCCTGAGGTGCAACCCATGTTGATTCGTTCCGTGATTTTATGTGTATGAACGTTGCGTTCCCCCTTCTCTCTACTTACGCATTTTTATACTACAAAACCTCTACTCGTCCATGATATACTGCGAGACTCATTCAGAGTGGGCTTCGCACATAGCCAATATGAATCCGCTCTCAATGTTTCTGGTGCTGGCGGCTCTGGTTTGGCCGGGGCGCACACAAGAACTATTTGAGCAATTACCATCATGTACTGTATGTTGGAAAAATCAAGGGCCTCACACAGAAATAGTCACTGACTCGAGGTAAACAGTTGAACTGCACTAACCAGTATATTGGTCGGACGACATGCTTAGAGACGGACAAAGCATGTCTTTGCACTGAAATCGCAACGTTTGCAACTGGCGTGTCCGGATGCTCTACGGGGATTTGCACCACAGGCGAAGTTCAATGTGAGCGGAGCACACTTGACACCCATGGCAACCCCTTCAGAAGTCCCTAATACGTTTGGCAGCTGCCATAGATGTCGTACTGAAGTACTGTAACGACCGAGAACGAAACAGTAGCTCGAAAGTACTAGTTGTTACTGCTACCTTTGGCATCATCACACTGCTGGTGGTCATACTTAGAATGGTCACACGAATACCGCCGTTCAAGGCCCCATTTGGCTGGGACGATGGACTCATCCTCATAGTCTTGGTAAGTCAATATACCCTATTTCGCAGCATGTCTGACTAGCATGACCAGATCTCTATGATTGTGATGTCCTCGAGTGATCTTGTCCGTAAGTAGACATGATTTTTCATCCAGTATACTCTGACAACATGGTAGTGATACATTTCGGTTTCGGTAGAGATGTCTACTCGATACCACCCAACAATATCACAACCATTAGGAAGGTCGGTTAAGATGCTCGCAACATTCACGTGGTACACCTAGCTAACGGATTTAGTTTTTCTATATCGGAGTGATATGTTACTTCTTTAGTATCATGGTCACTAAACTTTCGATCCTCGCATTCTACCTACGAATTTTCCCGGATCGAACCTTCATATACTCGACCTACGTTCTGATGGGCCTAATAGTAGCCTGCATCCTCTCATTTATCCCCGCGATCATTTGGCAATGCACACCAGTATCCTTCGCCTGGACCTCACTACCTGGACAGACTGGAGGGCATTGTATCAATACCTTCCTTATGACCTGGATTGGGAGTTCAATCAACGTTGTTCTTGACCTCGCTGTCATTCTGGTACCGATTCCACATCTCCTGAAGCTTACACTGTCTCGAAAGAAGAAAATACAAGTCGTTGCCATGTTCAGTGTAGGACTATTGTAAGCCAGAATGTATCAAACAATCCCCAGAGAAAGTCGAACTAACACAATTTCAGCGTGACAATTGTCAGCGCGGTCCGCTTCCACAGCCTCGTCACGTATCGAAAGTCGACCAATTTTACTTGTAAGTTTCTTGTTCTCCAAAATTTTTCCATCAAGACTTCTTCTCACAGTTCCATCATCAAGGGGACTATGTCGACTCGAAGTACATGTCGACACTCGAAGTCGACGTCGGCATCATCTGCGCATGCATGCCTGCGATGCAGCTGCTCCTTCGCAAAGTCGCACCGAGCCTGTTCGGAAGCAGTGCGGACAACAAGAGTTCCTATCTCCACCCGTACAGCAATTCCCACGCCAGGACGTTCCGCAACACAAACAGTCACAACCCGCCGTCCAAGAACATCACCAAGACAATATCCACCACCATCACCGATATGCCCTTGAAGGACAGCGACTCCGTCATGGAGCTCGTCGACAACTCGAAACCCGGGAGTGCCAATGGCCGCTCCGGCTCCAACACCACCCTCCCGCCGGACCCGGCCCGCGATCACAACTGGTGATGAATATATATATGTACACAATATTTCGCCCCACTGGCTCTAGTTAGCACACAGCATAAGGCAAGCCATCATGTATTTTCACGACGAGAGAAAGACAACAGCATTTTTGCATTTCTGTTTTAGAAAGATTAACCAGCGATTATCGAAAGTAAAAGTAAGCTCTAGACTACAGCGTATGATGAGTATATCCCCAGTTTTCTCTCTCTTACGAATCAGAATATCTGTAGCTCAGATCATAGCATTGATCACATCTAGCACTCCTCATCGATCGTGTGACTTCCCTGTGTTGTTTGATATATCTCGACAAATTCAATAACCCCAACCAGAAATCCTTATCATGAAGACCGAGGCCGCGGTTGTCCAAAAGTTTTGTGTCCCGGAGAACACATCAATTCGGTTACGTTCATCGCATCGTCAATTCATTATAGCATCTCCTGTCGTGTCATGTCGATCACTTCCCTAGGCCTTTGTTTCACCGCAAGACAAAATCCATCGTGTGCATACGACTCGGAATCAAGCCGTCCATCAAGCCATGTACATAACAAGCGCCGACGAGGAGATACTCCCGGCCCCCTTCTTCGGTGCCGGTGCCGGCACGGGCTTCTTTCCCCTCCTCAACAGCAACAGCAGCAGCAGCGATCGGCCTCAACACAAACGGCACGTTCGCGCCGGCGATGCACACGATGAGGTCGCGGCCTTGTGCGTCGTTGGGCACCGCGCCGAGGAGTCCGCCGTCGGTCCCGACGAGCATGCGGCCGTACAGGAGGCGCCGGGCTTTGATCTCGAATGGCCGGCCTTTGTGTTCGAGTTCGCGTTCGTGTTGCGTTGAAGGTTGTGGTAGCGTTGGGAGGTGAGTGGGGAGGCTGTCGAGTTCGAAATCCTCTGCTGCGTTGGAGCTTTGGGGTTTCAAATGTCTGGTATTGGATGGTGGGAAGCCTGTGGTAGTCTCTTCTGGCTTTTCTGGTCCGGTTGCTTGCGTTGTTGTGACGTCCATGTTTCCCAGGGTGTCGCGTGATGCTTCTTCTTTCGGAACTTCGTCCTGTTCATCAGGAGAGTGAGCCTCCTCGGTGATCGTGCATGTTTCCTCAGGCTGTGGCACGATGGACATATCCTCAATTGCATTTGCGAAACGAGTGATATCTCTTGCGTCATTTTCAGTGTTATCTGCAGCGATTTCTTCATTCTGTGGACCCAATGTTGTGCCTTCAAGATTCAGATCGTCGTCGTCGTCGTCGTCGTCGTCGTCGTCTTCTACATCTTCCCAGTCATCTTCATCATCGTCGACTTCACCCGCAGCATAGAATTCGGTGAACATTCGAGCTCTCAATACGGTGACCAACTCCGACCATGCTGCGTAACATTGTTCATCATCCCATCCCGCGCGGGGTGTGTCGTTCCCAATGTCAGCAGTCATTGTCCGCCAAACCACCGCCCTGTACTCCTCGCCGGTATAGTATTTTGATTTGTTCTCGGTCAATTCTTGAATACCTGCACAGATATTAATCGCATTGGCTTCCATGAGTACCAAGTGTGTCCGTGGGTCTTGTATCTCAAGCTCCTGGATTAACTTCCCTGTGAGGTAATTGCTTCGCCACCCGGTGATTGATATGCCATCGACGATGACGCCCCGTACGACCAGTTTTGTAGGGTCCTCGGAATGAAGTCTAATGTTGGGCTGGCTTGATCGTGCTGCTGCGTAGTAGAAGCTTGACAGAGGATAGCGAGGTTCAAACTTCCAATCTGGTACCCAGGTTGGCAAACCTTCAGTTGAGCGTGATGTTCCTGCATGCTCTAGTAGTCGAGCACCTTGTCCTGACTTGATGAAATGGAGAGCAGTGTCAAGATATAGCTGTTCAGTTGTGTATACTGGGGAGTACTCAACCTTTACTGATTGGCGGTCAGATTCGTTGAGGAGACCCATGATTGCGTAGACTTTATCTCTAGAGTCCGTGGCCTGGGCTGACCTGGAATAGCAGAGAGCATGGAGAAAGTCCATCTCTGCACCAGCCTTTTCCGCGCTCTCATAAGCCTGAGAACCTAACATATGACGGACCATACCTAACCATTTGCCATCCATACGCCAGAGCAGCCCGGCTTGGTTCCATGTATAGGTTTGACGCATGTTGAAACCGATGGACCAATCGCCTTCTCTGGGGAAAAGGTCCATGACATGGAACCACAATTCATCTTTCTGATAGAGGGACAATGGCCAAGAAGAATTTATTGTCCCGTTTCCATAAACACACATTACTGTACCCAATATGACCTCTTGGATAACCCAGCAGCGACCAAACCATGGCTGAGACCAAAGTTCTTTCCAATCAGCATCTGCTGCATCATGCGCTTTGGAAGAATAGAGTGCTGCATTATTACCGAAGAACATGGCTTGAAATGCTTCAACTGGGTCGGTGTGCTGGGGCGCACCAATGTAGCCAACGACTTCCCTTGCCTTGCGATAAATATCACTCATCAGAGGTATTTGTGTGTTTTTCTCCATGAAGTTACTTTGATCGATGCAAAGTCCATCTGCCCAGATGTAGATCTCTTCCCCCAAGGTGTAAAGCTTCTCCCAGATAACACCCTTACGGGCGTGAATGGTGCAGATTACGGTATGGAGGGCACGTGCCAGGTTTTCATTCACACGAATCTTCTGACCGTCGCAGTCGAGTTCAGTGAGGAGAGTTGGGTTTCCCCATGTGTAGGACAAGGCAAAGTATGGTGGCAGTTTGTCCAAGCTATGGACTTGCATTTCGAATTTGACCTGATCAAGGGATTCCCATATCTGATCGGTGCTGGTATCCAACACTGCTCTCAGTAGGCGTATTTCTGGTGGTTCTGTCGCCAATTCGGTGTATCTATATTGCTGTGTTGTCATGATGGTCCAAGCATGGGATTACCGACGTTCCGAGAGCAAGACAGTAAGAGAGTGAGTGCGTAAACGTGGAGCAGTTTTCACGGAGCAACAACTTTAAGGGTGGATGGAATTGGTCCAATGAATTCTGCAACCATAAGCAGCATGGTAATAAGGATTTCGATGAGTTTGTGTCTCATGTCTTGATGATCGGTTACAAGGCTGGGGTTTCAGCTCATTTTGAAGGCAGCCTTGGCTCAAGTCTTGTTTTCAAACGTGCATGTCAACCGCCAATAGAAGAAAGAGGAAACATGGTCCAATAATCATCTTCTTCCGTGCTTCAGCCGTCAAGCTCAATGTTGACGCTGGGGTGCACTGTCTGACGAACAAGCAACATGATGGTCACTTAGCAGATTACGAGCACAATAACGGTTTTACCTTAGACCTGGTTGCGCATCTCAGAGGGTTTTGTTTTGGAATACCTACCTAGGTAATGGAGATGAAGCAAATTTCTCAAGAGTCGAAGTGATCTGCTCTGGTGTTCTCTGGACTTTGCCGCTCAGAGGACCACCACGCATTGAACTATAGTAAAGGTCCATGGGAAGTCGAGCTTGACAGCAGCACAGATGATGGCCGGGTCAGATATTTGGACGGAGAAAACTCCGGGAAAGGAAGGCGAGGTCTTTCGTATGAACCATCTCTTGCTGGCTTGGTAGTCATGTATGATGTCAAATTCAAGTCGTTATTTGGAGGTAGGCATCAATTGAGCGTTGAGACAGGACTAATCCAGCTGCCGTTGATTGGAGACGGACATATGGTAATTGACGATTGGAATCTTCCAGCCTAGGTAGGTAAGATAGCATTACGCATTCATTAATTCAATGATGCCATCCCAAGTTTCGAAGTGGCCGTCTCTCTCGACGAGTCATCAATAATGATGTGGTAACTCTTCGCTAGTCAAATCCTCTCTATCGAAGAAGGTGTTACCTCAAAGCTAGTTCATACCGGGGAATGCAGGAAGCAGGCTCATGCATTGATTCGAACTCGGTCTCGGATGAGCACGCCACGTTTGTGCAGTGTTTTCTCAGTTCGAAGGGAAGTCAATTCTCTTCCCCGCTTCGACTTTCGGGTGGTTGTCCAAGAGGGGTTTCCCGAATTTGTCTACCGTGATGCATGAAAAGGCAGAACCTACCTGAAATACGAGGTGGTAGAAGTGCAGCAGACACGAGTACCTGCATTGAAAGTGACGGTGCCTGCATTCTGACATCAACGTACAGGAAAGACTGCATTAGGGTGGTTGGTGTAGGCCCAATTGTGTTGCAACGATGATGACCACCCCGAGTTACTGTGTGGGACAGATCTTAGCGACATCGATATCGACATCGTAAGAGAATAATGTTTGCACTCGGTGTGGGAAAAGAAACACAAACTTCTCGGGATGACGCTATTTGTGAGTTCGCAACACTGATTGCGGCAACATGGCGACAGGCAAGTGGAAAAGAAAGGAGGGATAGGAGATTTGATGATTGGAGGGAATGCCAGGAAATAGGCATTCGCATGGGCACAGGCCACGCAAAGAGAATAAGCGAAAGAGAAGTTGACCCTTTTACTATCTCACAGGCCAGCGGTTGGCGCGGGTGGCTGCAAACGCCATGCAATCTCCTTTTTGGTCAAACACTCCACTGCATCACAATCGCCATTGAATCTTGAATTGGTGACTATTCTCAAACCAACTGCCGCAGGTTTCGGTTGTCTGCATCGTTGAAATCTAGTGTTGCATTTGCGTCGGAGATGAAGTCGATTCGCCTAAGAAACCAGAGGTGACGAGGCCAGGTAAGTTCTCAACATAGCTAGGTCAGAGTACAGTAATAAACACCGAACACGCCACAATTCTCAGCCTGAGGACGCTGGTCTCAAAAATAACAACTGTATATTTTCCGAACTCAGTTTTTTCAAGAGAAAAGATATACACAGCGAGGGCTTGTTTCAAATACAAAAACAGCCGACCGGGGCTTGAGGCGAAAAGCATGGGGATGGGCCAGTTCAAGTCCGCGAGATTGGAAAGGAGAGGAACGGGCTTAGGGGGCATTAGTTAAAGGGACTTAAGGTGTATTAGGCTGTCCGCTACTTGGAGGCTTTACCTGGAATAGCTAGACGGGGTCACTAGACGAGCCGTTAATCCCTTCCAGTCGTGGTTGCCAGAGCAGATCAACAGAGGCGTTTGTCTTCCGTAGGCCCACCACCGCCATCGACTTGCGAATGGTGTCTGTGCTGGACAAAGTCCGTCTTTTCCAGGCCTCGTCTACCTCGTACTTGGTATGAGGAACTGTCTGCCAGTGCCACTGCAGTGTGAGTGTCATGATCATTTTTGTCCGTCCGGTCCAGAATCCACCCTCCTGCATACTGCGTCCTGCGTCCTGCACCTGCCACCACAAACACCCTCTTTCTCTTGCCATCCTCCCAATCACCGCTTGCTCTCCCGCACCTCTTCTCTTCCTCTTTCTGCTTTCCACTTCACCTTCAACTCGAGTTGTTGTCGATTTGCCATTCGTTCGCAGCGCGTCATTACCCGGAGCTCTTGGAGCTATTCTCTGACCTATAGTCACTCGTTTCTCTTTTGGTTCTCTTCCGGCGTCGTTGGTCTTTATTTAACATCTTTCACACCTTCAGCTCGGACCTTCTCCCGACTGTTGCTTCGACCAACTCCCTGACCCAGCTATCCGGTTCCTGTCAAAGCTCAGTCAACCCGCCTCCTTCTCCTGTCGATAGCCTCGCTGCTTGGCCGGGCATAGGGGTTGCGACGACGATGTGCTCAGAATGATCTTGGGAGAAACAAGTACTTCTTGGACACCTGGTTTGGGGAACACCACTTGACCAACGAGAGAAGATTTCTTTCGAGTATGGTAAATTTCAGGCTATTGGGCGCATTGGCCCTGGTCTCCCCGGCCGTTCTTGCGCAGGACTGCATTTCCCTGGCCACCTCGACAGCTTGCAAGGCTTTCAATGCTTCATCTATATCTGCTACAAATACTACTTTAATTGGACTATTGTAAGTCGGCATCGCACCAACCTTGGGCATCAACCACTGACTTGAATAGTCCATTCCTCGCCTATGTCACATCTACAGAATCATTCGACACCGAATTAAATCGTTATGTCTCTCAACAGTATGTCTCGGAAAAGTTCACAAACCTCTTTGGCTGTGATAATGTCAACCTCGGCAACACCTCCAGCTACTATGCCCGTTATACGACGAGCTTTCTCTGCAATGCAATCATACAGAATTCCCGGGACTCTTGTCAATCCACCCCAGCACAACTGACACCGCTGTGTGCCGACGCTTGTGCAGACATGGCAATCAGTGAAGAGCAGATTGTATCCAACAATGCCTTGTGTTCCGGACGAGCGGACAGCTATGCCGACCAATTGCGCGCTGACTTCACCAACTGTGCTCTACCGGCCAACTCTATCAGTGGAACATGTATCGCTGGAGCATTAAACGAGCCTCGAGATTGTGGTTTTGCTGGAAATCTCATGGGCCTCTGCAATTTCTGCCGAGCCAGTACGGAAAACGCCACCGACTCCTGCTGTTTGACCTCCAACGCGACTGGTCGTTGTGAGGATGTCACCCTCCCGGTCTTCTCTACGCTTCCAAACCTTCTTTCTTCAACCGCCAGTGCCACCTCCTCATCCACCGGAAGCGCTTCAACGAATGCCGCAGCATCCACAGGAGGTGGCAATGGTCTAAGTGGTGGTCAAATCGCTGGAATCGTGGTTGGATCAGTGCTGGGATTCTTGCTACTTCTGGCTTTGATTGTCCTCGCCTTCATGTGCCTACGCCGCAGGAAGAACGATAGTAAGGCCGGTAGTTTACTCAATCAGCCATCTCCACAAAGGAAAGGACCAACATCCTCAGCTTACAATCAACCAATGACCCAACCAGGCTATGAGGTACTTCCTGGTGGTCGAGTTGCTCGCATGTCAGCTCTACAAGATGAACAACCCTCGGGAGCACCTCATGTTGGGCCCCGTAACTACACTTCGCACACCGACCCATATGGTGGCAGCCCAGGATCGGGTCAAAAGGCCTTGGGTATGGGGGCCGCCAAGCTCGGAGATTCTCCCGGAAGCGACTCACAACAAGGCAGCTCACCTGGCAGTGGAGGTGATTTCTCTTCACCAGAGGGAGTTGCAAGTGGCCAGTCAGAACAATTACCCTTTTTCAAAGACTACTACTCAAATGACGACATCCACCCTGGAGATAAAGTCTCAGCTCTGTGGGCATATCAGCCTCGCGCCGGAGACGAGTTTGAACTGGAAAGGGGAGACATGCTCAAAGTGGTGGGCATTTGGGATGATGGGTGGGCCACAGGTGTTCGAATCGATGATCGTGCCGAAGACTATGATGGCAAACACAAGCTTCAACGCGACAGCGGAGTGTCGAACGGGACGGCAACTCGAGAAGACTCAGGAACACCTCTGGGAGAAATCAAGGCATTCCCCTTGGTTTGCGTGTGCCTACCCGAAGCATGGAGAAAGACCGTTGAAGGTGATACTTCGACGGAAAGCGGCTCAGGAGGACCGCCTCAGATGTGAAAGTACCTGCTTTCTTCAATCATGCTGAGTGAGTTACGATGACATGCAGTTAGCCCAGGCGTTGGAAATGACGGCCATGGGCCAGAGAGAACCCCTCCAAAAGACTCGATAATACCAATAATACCACAAGCACGACCCTCACACCATATCAAGAACGACCCGACTTTGTATCCGGCTCATGGACAATGATTGCAGAATCAGTGTTTAAAGGGTGGCATCACTTGTGCATTTTCGAGGCCCATGATTGGATTTGCGTTGGCTATTGTGCTTTTACCGTTTTTCTGCTTCGATTGATACCCACTTGTGTATAGTTTTGCTTACGCACTTTTAAGCCCTGGCGTCTACTTTCCACATGGGAAACCTTATGGGGTGAAATGCATTCTATTTGCGTTCAACTTGCACATGGACACGACAGGGAGCAACGATGGTGGAGACCAACCCTGGGCGATCGACCATTCAAGCATATATATTTGTGGGACCCTTTGAAAATCCCAAACATAAAAATTCAGTCCAGGTGATGGTGATGGTACATGTTTTGGATTGGGAGAGCGGAGGGAAAGGCAACGAGAGCCTACATATGCATATGAGCCACCAGACTCGAGTTTTGACTACCTCATGAATCCTGACTGAACATAAAATACAATGGCTTTTGGTGACAGAGTTGCTGATGCCGAATTTTGAATTACACAATACCAAGCTACCTACCTAACCTAGGTCTCTGGTGCCCAATGTTTCTCGCCTGACTTGGGTAGGTACCCTTGAACCCTCGACATTGCCCTAGGGACGGACATCATGGAAACGCTCCTACATTCAAGGTATCATCTCACTAAATCACTCCAGGTAATCATAATCTTGCGGATATATCGCTAATACCACTCTTTCTTAACATTAAGTTGACGATTCTGACTCATTCAATCAGAAGGTATGAACAGCCCCGTAAAATATCACTACTCTGGAGGTTGCTGCCAAAACACCATTGGTACCCGGTAAGTCAGCAATGCAAGTCACCAAGATCTAAAATAAAACATCGGGACCTAGAAAACCCCCCACAAGTTTGTACCGTTGGAGGCTAATCCGGCTGACTTCTGGAACCGACTATGAGGCTTAAACCATGCAAAAGTCTCCTGAGCTGTGTCGGTGATCAGTTTCAGACGGCCTGATTGGTGAGATCGTCTTGATGGCTCGCCTAAAGGGGCGGAGCCTCAACTCACTGCTTCATATACTGTGGTATGACCTCCAGAAGTCGAACGCGGCCTTGTACGAAATCTTTTGTAAGCATACTTAACTGCCAAATGATGCAGCCTGCGATCAGCTACAACTCCCTCAGTCCTAAGAAGGATTCCTCAAGGTGTTAACAAAATAGTATTCAGCACTCAATACTGCACCGGCAGGACCCCATACAAGGCTACGATATGCCTGTGTCAAATGGATTCCCCACAAAGAATCCTTCCCGTCGCTCGCGAATCCAAGAGGGTCCCATGACAGCATCCCACGAAGATATTCTTCCTTTGAGACATATCTCCACGTTAATGAGTACTTCCTCTAACATCAAAGACGAGAAACCAAAACATCAGTCTTCCACAAACACTTTCGACGATGGTGTCTTTTACAATAACCCAGGACACTGGAGAGTACTGTCCAAAGATGCAACCTTCTATTACTCAGCGACGGCGCTCTCTGGTTTCATCCCAATAATTGCTTTGGCAATATGGCTCGGTGTGAGCAATGGTCGTTGGAAAAGCATTGACTGGTCCGCCATTCATAGTGACAAGATCGGTGGTCGCCTCACTCAACCCCAAGCAAAAGCAATCGATCTCGTCTGCAGTGCTCTTTTCGCACCGCTGATATTAGGCGCATTCAACTTCATCTGGTTTTCTTGTGCTCGTGTCGCAGTCATCAATGAGAAACAAACGGGGAATGACGCAGTCCCGCTCTCGTGCCTCGTGGAGGTCAGCAGTACTACCGGAGGTTCATATGATGTTCTCAAACTCTCAACCTTGTTGGCCCCTCGAACCAAGAGACTCCTTTCCCTGGGCTTGCTCGTCATTGTGTCAGCCATCGCTAAATCAGCCCTAGGAAATGTCATTGCCTACGAGGCATACACTGAAGACACGCTGGGAGGTTCCGCCAATCTTCGACTGCTTAGTGACTCACAGTTGGCTGTACCAAACAGTTTAGTGTCCCAATCATTCGTTGGGACCTGGGGATTCAACACGCAACAAAGGTCATCTTTCGCCAATCAATTCAATGGTCTCATGACCGGGTTGAGCATCTTTGATGCCCGCTCCCTACTAACCGAGGATCAGGCTTACATCATGGACAATGTAACTACCGCCTCATTGGAGATGCCACAAAACGTTTCTGCTCTTCACAAACTCCCGGGTTCTCGCTGGACCATCGCTTGTGAACCATTTGTACCAGATACATTCACGGTGCTACAGATGGGATCCAAATCGGTACAATTCACCATGACGAGAGGAACAAAGGACCTGGTCATGGGCAACTACCCTGGCTCCATATCAACGATGCAGAACGCCTTCAACGAGGAATATGCGTTCATGCTGTTCCCCTTCGATGGGTCGAACGTCGTCCTCTCCTTCGCCACGAGCTTCAACCTCAGCGACCAGCGCTACAACTCACCTTACGGCACAATCACCCCGAAAGCATTCAATATGTCCACCTCGGGCTTCAACTCAACCAAAGAAATAATGTCCGTTTGGGCAATTTCATGCGCCATCTCCCGTCAAGAGGCAACCCTGGACCTGGTCCGATCCTCAACGACTAACGAATGGACCAAAAACATAACCTCCCTCTCTGTCTCCCCCGAGAAAACACCCCAAAAGAACCTCCGCATGCAACAACTCCAACTAAGTCTCAACTACCAAGCGCCCGACGTAACACTCCCGGGTCTTGCCCCAGCGCTCGCCCGCTCCGCCGACCCCTGCATCGACTACACGCTGACCGGCCAACAAACTGCATCGGACACAACAACAACCGTCAACTGCAGCGCCGCAGCGTCCAATCCGAACATCACCACAACATCCTTCGAAACCCTGGCACTCAATTTCCTCTACGCGTCCGCAGAGACTGAACGATTAGCCTACGAAGTCGCCACGCAGAACACCACGCGCGCCACGCCCGCCGAAGCAGCTTATTCCGTCGTCACCACCGCCCAGACCCTGCACTACCGCATGACGTACGTGCCGCTGATCTTGTTCGTGGGCATCGGATGCATCTTCTTCGCGGCCCTCATCACCTCTGCGCTGGTGTGGAGTGTTTGGGGGACGCTCTCGGCGCGCATGTTCCGCCAGGTTGATGGCTTACGGTTGCTAGTTGACGGTTTGGCGGGTTTGAGTGGTGGTGATACTGGCAGAGAAGGAGGAGCGGGTCCCGATGGTGATGCGGTGTTTGATCACATCAAGGGCCGGAGTAATGCTGCCCTCTACGCCTGGGCGAAGGATTTCCCTGTAACTTATACCGTCCAGGTGGACTCCGGGCTGATCTCCCTAGACCGAGCGAGGGAGACGAAGTTATGATACGATGATGTCTGGTGTCGACATCTGAGATTTATGCTCGTGCGGAGTTATTATAGCGGTTCAAATGGTGAGCCTCGTGTCGCAATTTTGGCGAGTATTTTGTTCCCCATTTGTTTAAATGTCCTGAGAAATACACTCTTGGTAGTTTATAAACGTAAATCTCGCGATGCTATGTAGTAGGTACCTAGGTGATTTACGATGATTTCCTTTGCCTTCGCTTCTGGCTCTTGTCTTCTCATGGCACCAGAGAAGCGTGCGTCGAACATCGCTCCCAAGTGGGAAGAATCATCCTCCCAATCCAGCATTCCCAGTCCCATTGCGTGACCCAGCAAAATTATCGGTTAGGGTTAGAAGTCGATATGTGATTGGCCGATGGAGTTCCGTCGGTGGGTAGCACCCCTTTTCGGGGATTTGAGCTGTCCTAATCCAACGTTCCTCCATCTTTTTGATCGCACAGCAAATGTGGTCAGTTAGGGTTAGGGCTCGACACCCCATTGGCCAGCGAGCTACCTGGGTGGTATTTTGGGTTCTTCTGCCATCCCAGTTCAAGGGTCCTATGCTTTAAGTAGCAGAGTAGATACGTCGGGTTAGGGTTAGAGGTCGATGTGTCATTCACTGCCAGTGGGCGACTTCAAGGACACCAAAACTTGGATCACGATCCGAGGACTACAGTTTTTCGAACCTAGGTACTTTTCGCGCTCGTAGTGCCGCCATCGCTGTAGGGACGTCTTTGGTGTTGACGGCCGCGGCGTTGTAGACTGCAGTGTACTTGAGACCTGATAACAAAGTAAAAGTCAGGGCTAACGATCCCTCATAAATGGACAGATCGAGAGCTTACCTGTAGCAACATCGTGGTCTCGACTCCAGTCGAGGAATTCCTTGATCGCCTGTATCGCGACGGGGGATTTACTCGCCATGACGCCTGCGACACGCATCGCCTCTTGCACGGCTGTGGCTTTGCTTGGAAAGATGCTGTTCACGAAGCCGACGCGAAGAGCTTCCTCGGCGCCGAACGTGCGCGCCGTCAGGCACACGTCCTTGACCCAGGCGTAGGAGCCGACGACCTTGGGCAGCCGCGTCAGTGTGCTGACGTCGCTGGCGATGCCGACGTCGACCTCCTTGACGCTGAACGACACGTCCGACGTGCAGATTCGCAGGTCCGCGCACACCGAGATGTCGATCGCCATCCCGATGGATACGCCGTGCAGGACACAGATCACAGCTGCGGGATGAATCATACTCGAGTAAGTAAGTCGACGAGATAAGGAGATGGTCTGCCAGGGCAGCAACGGACCAGGGGGCGGGCAGAACTTAATAAACTTACGTTTCTCACAACGCTCGATGCTGGACACGCAGTCCTGGAACTTATAAGCGAATCTCCTGACCCTCGCTGCGAACCTCGCTGCGTCGGCGACATCCTCTGGCTCAGGGTTGAAGAAAGAACCCGGAACCGAGGCGGCGGCCAGGTCCAGCCCTGCTGAAAATGCCTTTTCTCCGGCGCCCGAGAAGACTATTGCTCGCACTGTCGGGTCTTCTGATAGATCGTCGAACACGGTTGGTAGCGTTGTCCACATTCTATTGTGTGAGGTTATGCGATTAATACTTGGAGCCACGAAAGACAGGAACAGATGAATGGAAGAGGAAAGGGGTTGACTTACTCCTCCGTAAATGCATTCAGCTTCTCCGGCCGATTGATCTCGACGTGTGCTATCCATTCCTGTGGCCTTGACACGGTGAAGTTGTTGTATGTTTTTGCAGCCATTGTGAGCTTATGACTTTTGAAGTACCTTGAGATCCGAACTGTCAAAAGGTCTTGGAGTTTCCCAGAAAGTGTTATGCTAGCTTTGGCAAGACTGCTGCTAACTTGGTAACCTTGTAGGCACGTACAACTGAGTTAGACGCTGAGTCTTTCGATCATGTGCAGCATACAATATAAAACAGAGTAGAGGCAGCAATATGTGGTGATAGAATTAGAATCTAGGTGATTAGTATATGCCCAGCCTCTTCCCCTTCACACTGACTCAGGTCACCTTCTAATCTCATCCTACGTTGTCGGTAGGTAGCCAATAAGGGCTATTCCGCCGCGCGGGCCGAGGTTAAGCCTCGTCCGAACTTCGACATTGTTGACATGTGAGGTATTTTGCAAATCTCCTCTTGTTGCTGAATATGAAACATAAAATAAAACGACGATCGAATGTAGGCAAGGGAGAAGGCTTGAGTAAAAGATTCATTTCTCAATATGACTTGTCTATCTCTGCTTGAAAGCCAATCAATCCAGAACTCCACCCCCAAATGTCCTCCCTCCTACCCATGCTTCTCCCACCCCAAGGTTCCATTAATTTTTACATGCCTTTTCCGTTGCCTGCCCCTTCAATGCTCGTCTCGTCCCTCGATGCAATATTATTCCTGGTCTGAACTTTTGTCGAACCGCGTTTTGTCGTGGTAGTCGTCGTTGCGTTTCGTGATGATGTGGGTGTGTCGCGTTGCGTCGTGTCGGCGTTTCAATCCTTCTCAGTCGTGTTTCCATGCTTTTGGTCAGTAATGTCGTTTCGATGTCGTCTATGGTCGGTCCAAATAACCTCCGTTGTGCTGTTGTCCCATCCAGTCTATTTTGAATGATTCCCCCTTCCCCACCTTGATAATTGATACAAATAAAAATACAGTGCAGTAAAGTACAGATGACATGCTTTTCCCCGAACAGACTCGTCCCCGTGACCCAATGCAAAAAGCAATACTAAGACAATCTGGTTTTGCAATACAGCAAATCAAGCAGAAATAAGAAAACATCTCAACCCAAATCGTGTCACCACCAGTAACTCTAAGCAAATAGGACACCACCAGTACTTGTGCCGGCCGGAACAATCTCTCCATTGAGACACTCCGTGCCGGCAGCAACAGAGCCCATAGGAATGAGACCGCCCTGGTCACACATGTAGAAAGCAGAGAGACCGTTGCAGAAGATGTTTCCAGATGGCGTGCACGGCCCGTCGTTCTGGCGCGTGAATTGTCCGTTCACGCACTGCATGCCAGCCGCCACGGAGCCCATGTAGACGAATATCGTCGAGGAAGCGGATGTAGATACGCATTGACTGAATGTGCTGGGGCTGTTGCAGGCGAACGTGCCAGGAGTGCAGGGCAGGGGGAGGGCTGTTGATGTCGGTGAGGTGGTGGGTGTGGTGGTCAGCGAGGAGATTATGGTTGTGAATGTCGTTGGGGTTGTTGGGAGGGATGCTGAGGTTGTGGTGAGGGTGGAGGTAGCAATGGTGAGAGGGGTGGTGGTTGCTGGGAGGGTTGGGAATGATGCTGAGGTCGTCGTGATGAACATGGGAGTCGTAGTAGTGAAAAGGTCAGTGATGCTACCGGTTAGTGTTAGTATTGTGCCATTTGTTTCCGAGGATCCAGTTGTCGTAGTTGAGTTCGTAGGTCCAGCTGTTGTCGATGAGTTGCTGAAAGGGAAAGGTGGTGTGAATGTCGGAATGCTTGTCGTCGTTGGGCCAGAAAATCCAGTTGTAGTAGCCGCCGTAGTCACCGTAGAGCCGTCGCACACAAGACCTTGGCCAGATTCCAGAGGGACCGTATCCTGACCATAGACAACATCTGAACCAGGATTGGGAAAGACGTATGCATAGTTCTCCTTGGTCACACAGCCTCGTCCGACGTTGGCGACAAACATATCAGGCAAATCCTGCAGGGGTGTAGACTGTCGTTTGGAGCGATCGTTTGAACGACGAATCATTCGCTGGTTCGGTCCAGCGACAATCTTCACTCTCGCACAATTTTGATACATCTCTCTATTGCCCACGACGTTGAACCAGGACCAAGAGAAGAGAACTGTGCTCGAAGCTGGTGCATTGCTCGGAATGGTGAAGGCGTAGCTGGATTGGAGAGGGCAGCCACCGATCATGGATTTGATGACTTTGAAGGTTAACCCGTTGTCGTATGAGAGAGATAGCTGACAAGATCCTCCGTGGTGACTGGCCGTTCCAGAAATGGACATCGAATAGGTAGCTCCTGCGGCATAAGTTGCTTTGACCACGTATGAGGCATCGTCGTGTTGATATTGCTTGCAAGGAAAGTTAGAACCATCAGCGAAGAGGGGGGATGTCATGTCGTAATCTTTCGACAGATATGAGAGATCAGGATCAAGAGGGCTGCGGAGCGGATATGGCGAGCTCATCTGCATATGGGCTTGAGTGCAGATGGGCAGGCATGTGAGGAGAGAATAGGTGATGAGGGTACGGAGGGAGTATTGCATCATCGTGATAATTTGTCACGGGGAAAACGATATCAACGTTGATGCTTAGGTAAGTACAGGGGGACGGGTATGGAGAATCAGTGAGCATCAACCTTGGGTATGATACTACTGTATAAGGAAGAAGCGAGTTTGTCTGTGTGTGGAGGAGAATTGAGGGTGAAATGCAGTGAGGATGATAGCGGCAAATGGTAGTGATGTGCCAAGTTTATATTTCCAAGATATCAACAAACACAAACCCAGGCAAACCGCTTAGTGTAGCTTGTTGAGTAATTATATGATGTGGATTCCTGGTATCAGGAGGACTGCGGTCCAGTGGAGGGTTCACTATTCCTTTTCAATGTTTATCGTTGTGAAGAGCCATTGCTAGTATGTAGCCCCCGAGAAACATGTTCCTGCCAACAAAAACCTTGCTGTGGCAGGTTGGGTGTCAAGAGGAGCTCGTTCACCTTGTTGATCTGGATACAAAGTTTTGGGAGAGGCTGAAGGTGGTGGTGGTGTAGTCATTAGGTTCGTATAGAGGCCAAAGCCCAGAGTGGAGTGCAATCTCCACTCGGAGAATTCGTTGCCGAAGCACGATCGCCGCTAGTCCCAATGCGGATATTCCTGGACCATCTTCAGCCTCTGGAGACCATCTTCAGTCAAAAATCTCGGCTTCAAGCCACTCGGTGAATTTCCTCAGTTTTACGTCAAGCCAGCTTTTGCCTAGGTGACAGGGGCTTCAACAACAGCCACGAAAGCTTATGACGAGGCTCGCTCGTGCATTATCGCGATGAGGAGTTCGTAAGTGATTGAGCTTCCCCACCTTCGGCTCGCAAGGCAGGTCACTGAAGGGTCTCGAGTGGACAGTAACAACGGATGATCGCCGTCCTTGCTTCCACTGCGGGCTGCGTGTTGCATGCTGATTGACTATCGATCATGTGAAGAAGTTCGAAGACTTGGTGGGACGTCGGTAAGGTGTGTGAGGCACTGGCAGGCCAACACGGAGCACGTGGTCTGAGCGAGACCTGACCGTGCACAGATTGTTGCTGCCACGTTTCAATGAAAAACAACCATTATATGGCGACGATTCAGGACTCCACCTTCGGCGTATTCTATATGCTTCAGAGTTGTCGAGAATTGGAGAGCCATCACCGATCCAGAGAGGTGGTGGTCTGGTTAGTCGAGGAGTGCCATCACTGAATGTGGCCATAAGAATTCATCTTGCACTGGGTGGCCACTGTTGAGAATGACACGAGCTAGACCAGAACCGTGCACAGGGTGTTGGCACCGCAACCAGCCACCAGAAGAAATCGCCCCATCTTCAACGGAGGTTAGAGTCTTCTGGATGGAGTAGGCATATGCTCCAATTCGGCATACATTCACGTTGTGACCTGCTTGCGCGTTCCCAGTCTTCCCATCTGCTGCGCATTTCCTTACGTTCGTTGTGGTCGACCGCGTGACTATTCCAAGCCGAATCCCGAGTATCAGTCAACAGTGGACCAAGCCAGCGATAAACCGCAATGATCAACCAAACTTGGTGGCGTCCTGAAGCGTCTGGAAATAAACTTTCCCTTGATTGAAACATGAATTGTGTCTTGCAACCACGAGTAAAGCAAGTCCCCTTGCATTTCGGGCGAAATTTACCGTCCCTTTCATTTATACAAGGCGGACCCTTCACTCCTGGTGGTAAACGTTGAGTATTAATGCAAGCCCTACAAAACTTGCTTAAGATGTATGGATCACCCAGTTGAAGATGCGGGCAAATGCGAAAATTGACAGCTTGCAACGCAGTGGAGACTGATCTGGCTTGAAAGACCTCCTTGTACATACCACTGCCTCCGCTTGTCCGAACATTGTAGAGAGGCGAAGGAGCCTGAAGAATGCCGATTTTGGATATTAATAAGGACTCTGATTTTGGATTCTCCAAGTCAGTCACAGAGGTCCCCTTTTCCGGCCTATCCGCTACTGATCTGTTTCGTATTGAGTTCCTGCATCGTGAGCAAGACAACAAATTTTCGACACGAAAAGGTGATTCGACGCCAGCTTTGAGCATGCGTACACACTTTTGATATCCCAAATAACGATGCGCGCAAAGCCATATTTGTCGACAGTCCCGAGAATCTGGCGGTTGTTTGATCTCCGCTGCCGGAAAGGTGGAACGATGATGGAGTTCCTGGCAATTTCCACAGACAAGCTTCTCCAGTTTGGTAGAATCTTGATCTCTCTCAGTCATGCAAAGAAAACCAAAGAGCTCTTTGCCAGTCAGAAGAAATGACTGTGTGGTGTACAAATGGAAAAACCTTGAACACGAGTGGCGGAGCGCGACTTCGCTAGCGAGAGCCAAATAAGGCCGAAGAACCATAAGTAATTCTGTAGGTAAAGAGAGAAAGCCACTATCGACATCGTTGATGATCGTCCGTTCGGAGAGGCCCGTTGCTATGGAAGGTACTGGTGGTGGTGGATCGGACTTGGGTGATTGAGAGTCTTCAGTGATAGTTAGTCTGGACACTAACTCTTCGTCGGATGGAGTCAGTGACAAGGCTTTGCTAGGCCAAGGTCGAAGCACATCGGCATCATTGTCAATGTCAACATTTGCCGATACACTCTTGGTGCGTGAGAGCTTTCTCCGCATACGCTCGAACACCGGCATTTTATCAAATGTTCGACCTGAACATGAAGACTATACTTAGCAACGAGTTCCTCGTGCAAGAAAACACCAATATCCGAGGAACAAGCGGGGAAAGGCTTGCAACAGCTCTTGAGCGAATTAAGCTCATTTATGCGGGCGGTTGTCCAGATCTAGCTCTTCCAGGGAGCTTCAATTGAATGTGCCACCAGTTCTTGGAGACAGCCTTTTGCCACACAGCTCAAGACAGATTTCGGACGTTCAGATGAGCAGCAGTCGGTCAAAAGTAGTGGGTGTTCGAGTACACTGTCCCTAGGTGGTCAATTATAAAATGAAGAAGAGGAGTTGCGGACTGCCAGTGGCTAGACAGACATGGGTCAATTTGAGGGGCAAATCGAGCCTACCGAGCCCACCCCGATTGACAACACATATCCGTACCGATTACGGATATCAGCTTCGATCTCAGATTGGAGAAATCCAAACCGAGATTGCACGCGACTTACTATCATTTATCACGCACCGAATTCCGAGGGATTCTGACTTACTTTGAGCGAAGGATGGCCTCCTAACTCTTCATATGTTCTTTGATTCCGCTCTGGTTTGGGTTGTGTTTCACGAAATCCAACATGATCCTTACTTTTGGAGATATGTCCACGTCAAAAGTCGTGACGCGCTCGCGTCGTGCTTGCATTCTTGGCATAAATATGTGGTGACGTAGATGGCAAGAGAGAAATTCTGTCACCAAAAAGCCATGGCCAGTTGTCGTCAAGCCTTCTCGGCTCTGAATATCTATGTAGGTGCGTGTTGGAGATTGTGATTAACTCATAGCCTCGCATGGTTCATCTGCGCCTTCGATCGAGACTGCTTGGATATGCTCAACATCACTCATTGAGAAGCCTCGTCCCTGTGTCCCATACTCTCTTGTATCACAGAGTCGCTCCCTGGGAAACACGGGTGTGGCGAAACCTGCACACTGATCCCCTTTCCATCATGGCTAAACGCAAGAGACCGAGTTCAACTGGAGTTGCGAATTCTGTTGGCACTCCAGCAGATCTACCCATTAATCTTGTTTCGACTGCATCCAACATGATGGCCCCCACTCCAGGTCGGCGAATGAGCTCAAGGCAAGCATCAATGGTTGCCCCTGCAAACATCGATACGAATCCTGATACAAACCCCAAAATTCAAGATGCTCCTGGCGCACTCCGAGCCTCACCCGATGCAGAGCTGGCAGTAGCTGGAAGCTCGCAGAAAAGGAGGAAGGGCGCGCAAGCAGCACCAGGAAATAGTGCTGCGAATGAAAAGATTTCCAATTCAGTCAAATCCAGCTCGCCCACAAGAACTGTGAAAGGCAGAGATGATGAAGGGGAGAGAGGTGACCCAGAAGAAGATGGTCCAGGGGATGCCGATCCCGAAGAGCTCAAGGAAGCTTTGTCTCGCCCACCACCAGTCAACAGTGCCTATCTTCCCCTTCCATGGAAAGGCAGATTAGGATATGCATGTCTAAATACCTATCTACGCTACTCGAATCCTCCAGTTTTCTCATCACGAACGTGTCGGATTGCTTCAATCCTCGAACATCGGCATCCTCTTAGGGATCCAACACAACCAGAACATTCAACCAAGAATCGTCCTGATAAAGATCAACCCGCCGATATTGCAAGGGGACAAGCTTACGTCGAAGCCCTAGGTATTGCAAATGCACGAGATATAGTCAAAATGCTACGCTGGAATGACAAATACGGCATCAAGTTTCTTCGCTTGTCATCTGAGATGTTCCCATTCGCATCGCATGATGTATATGGGTATACTCTAGCTCCCTTTGCTTCGGAGGTTCTTGCAAAGGCTGGCGCCGTTGCAGCAGAGTTAGGACATCGATTGACGACACATCCGGGTCAGTTCACTCAACTTGGCTCTCCTCGAAAAGAAGTCATTACGGCCGCAATCCGGGATCTAGACTACCATTGTGAGTTGTTGGATTTATTGAAACTTCCAGAACAACAAAATCGAGATGCAGTCATGATCTTACACATGGGAGGTGTTTTTGGTGATAAGGCTGCCACAATTGCACGATTCAAGGAAAGCTATCTCCATCTTCCCCAAAAAGTCAAAAACCGTTTGGTCCTCGAAAACGACGATGTTTGCTATACCGTCCACGACTTGTTACCGGTCTGCGAAGAGCTCAACATTCCTCTTGTTCTCGATTATCATCATCATAATATCCTTTTCGATGCAGATAAAATCCGTGAAGGAACATTGGATATTATGGACCTCTATCCGCGCATCAGAGCGACTTGGACAAGGAAAGGTATTACACAGAAAATGCATTATTCAGAACCTACTCCGCCAGCAATCACAGGCCGACAAAGACGGAAACACAATCCCAGAGTTGCAACACTACCTCCTTGTGCCGATGACATGGATCTGATGATCGAGGCTAAAGATAAAGAGCAAGCTGTATTTGAATTGATGCGAACATTCAAGCTTCCCGGATTTGATACATTCAACGATATCCAACCACATGTGCGAAATGATGAAAATAAGCCATGGAAGCCCCCAAAAAAGCCCAAGAAGACTCCCGCCAAAAAGAAGAACAAAACAGAACAGGACGAGGAAGATTCTGGCGACGAACCGGAACCCCTGCCCCCAGCCATCATCCCCGAGAAAGAGGTAGGCATGGGTGGTCCTGAAGGTCGAGTATACTGGCCACCTGGTATGGAGGAATGGTTGCGACCAAAGAAACGTGAAGTCAAACCACGAGATCCGGAAAAAGCCAAAACGACAGCGGAACGTGCGGCAGCTCGTCGTGCAGAGAAGGCAAGCTGGCAGGCGACTCAAGAAGCCAATAACGGTACCGCTTCTCGCGATACTTCTGCAAGTGCGAGCACAAGTACCAACGGCGGAGGCGAAGCAGCTGGTACGAATCTTGATCTTGAGGCAACAAAATCAGTGTATGACAAAGCAAAGTCTTCCAAGACAAAGGCAAAACCAGCTCGTGCGCCGAAATCGAAATCTAAGCCCAACGTCAAGGCTGTCCTGACTCCAAGTACAAGTGACCATGATGACGAGGATCCAGTCATTTCGGATGATGAGGACTTGTCAATGCCTGATCTGACTGATGGAGATGAAGCTATTCGTCCCGTTAAGGTGGAGGAATCGAAGAAGCCACGGCTCGCTACTCGTGCTTCTAGTGGACGTAACGCACGAAGAAAAGTGAATTATACTGAGCAGGATGAAGATTGAGAGCGATACAATATAGCGCTCCTCTGGGTAGTGATTCTCCTTTCAGATGCAGGCACATCTTGTGAGGGACTCACAAACTTGATAACCCTACCTCGATCGAACAGTCGTGTTTCGATCTTCTTCGAACTCCTTTGCCCTTCCACTACCTCATGGTCTGCTACTTTTGCGTTCTTCCTTCACCTTCGATAGGTCTTACTTGTCACTACCTATTCAATATCCACACCGAAACCTTACTCTGATACTGACAGGTATCGCTGTGCCCATCTCACATGATATCCTATGTGACATCGCTTTATTGATTCACCCACCACTACCACTCCAATCAACTAACCTCATCTTCATCTCATCCATCATTTCCTCGCTTCCCATCTCTCACATACGTGATCCATTACCTTTCATCGTTCTTGACCACTCGGCAAACATCAAGGTCAAGCTCAGACACAATTCTCACCGTCACCGTCACCGCCGCCTCGACCACCAACAACCAGAACAAAATGGCCCTTGTCAAAAGCGAGCTCGACGCTTGCCTTGAGTCATCTCAAATGGAGTTAAACCATACTCATAGAGATGTTCAGAACATTTTAGAAATGGCAAGAGCAGTGAACAACAATGACAAGAACTTGAAGTCAATGCTCCAGGACCAGGTGAGTTTGCTGATATTCCAACATGCGTTTCTTCGGCCTGAACCCAACTATACAACTTCTCTTCCCTTCTCTCACTTCGGCCCCTTCTCCAGGATCCCACTTTCCATCAGTGCCTCGCTATCACAATTTTCCATTGATTAGGTCTTTTTTCCATCACTAACCCACATCTTCTGGACCAGCAAGATGAAAATGCAGCTCTCAAAACTGTACTTCTGAATGTCAAATCCCAATATGAAGCCGAAAGCGCAGCTCTCAAAGCCGAAATTGAAGATACCCAGGCCAAGCACAAAGCCGAAATCAAGGATCTGAAAGCCGATTACAAGACTCTCAAGACAGATTACAACACCATGCGAACAGAAAGAACGTCCCTACGTTCGGAAAAAGGCAAAAGCAATAAGCTCATCAAATCTCAGGATGCCAGAATCAAGCTCCTGGAGGAGAAACTCAAAGATTGTGGTGGCGACTTCGACGAGTTAGTCAGTTCAAATACAAAGACAAAGTCAGCTACCACAGCCACGACGTCAGGCAGAGTCAGCAAAGGAGCGAAGGGAGGCGCCAAGGGAGGTTCGAAACGCAAGTAGGCGGAAGCGCGTCTTCTTGTTGCAGGATGAATGGCGGAGATATGATGGCACCACATGTACTGAACTGGACATTGACACCCGCTCGACTTGCGATCTCTAATGAGCTGGACTACGAATCACGAGAGCCTGACTGAAACGATTGTATTGACCTCAAACTTGCGCGGGCTACGTTGACTAAACATCTACCTGACCTGGAGCGGTGTGGAATGGAAGGGACGGACTTGAATTGGACTGGACTGGACTGGAAGTGCATGAATCAGCTGGAGCGTGTTATTTATGGGTAGAAGCAACTGCTATGCTGGAACCACATGAACCAACACCGTACTGCGTCGCACCGGATTCGATTGACGGGGCCCAGCATGACTGACATTGGGGACTGGATGGCGTTGGTTAGACCAGACCAGATCAACAGCTACTTAAAAGTTTACCAACATCATCGCAGCGAGAGCCAATTGCTGCACGGATGAATACACGTCCCACGATGATTCTTTCCACGTGCAGACATCGTAAAGGAGATCGATCGCAATAGCCCTATCTAGGGAACTCATCCAAAGACCTTCCCCGTTGGACTATCTCGTGCCTACCCTACTCGTGACTCACCCAGCGTCTCCCACTCCAAGTCCGAGAAGGGGGGGAGAAGCGAGAAAAAGGAGGTATTTAGATCGAGATGAGCGATCGACGTCGACGACGAGCTTTGTATCATAAACGTTCAGGACATTACACTTCAGCACAAGAAGACCGTCAGATGTATCCATTCGGTGGTCCCGTGCTTACCACAATGATGGGTCTTATCTATAGAGCTGTCCATCCAGAACGTGGAGCGGGAAACTGGCACCTATGTACATAGGATGTAGAGTGTAGTGTAGAGTGGAGCATTCTAGTCTCTTTCACTCCTCCTGCTCCTCTTCTCAGCCACTTGAAAACATTCAGGACTCAATAAAAGGATATACATGTCTACATGCTTCGTCTGAACCGCACGAGCAGTTATCAAACCCAATTTCAACCGCACGCCTACCTACCTACGGGGTAAAAGAGAAGCATCTTCTAACTACGGCATGGCTCTGTCTCTGTTCTCGTCATGCTTTTGGGGTCCTGGGACTGGGCTGATGGGCGCACCGTCTGAGGAAATCCAGAGCCTGATATCGATGTAATTGATTTGGCTGCTATCGATCGATCTCAGATGATGGTGGTATTGCGGTAGATATTGTTTTTCCTCTCTCGATAAATACCGTACGATCACCATCAATGGCATCGGCTATTTTTGTAAGTATTCGTTCAGAATTTTGATTGAACACATCTGGCTGTCCTCCGCGTTCGATGGCTTTGAGGTCTCATGATTGGCATTCACGATGATTGCATACAATATCATAGAAGACATAGTCTCATACTGATGTCCTTGATTGCATACCTATCCAGATTCACAAAGTATGGCTTTCGTTGACCATCTCACGGATCATTGAGCTTGTATCTCTGCCACGGGCACGTTCAAATACAACACTTATCCCGCCAGTACCCTTTCCTCGCATCAATCATGTCCATGGGTATATGATGAGAATCGTGAGCTTTCGGGACAACCTCATTCATCTGCGTTTCTCATGCCTGCATTCGTCCTAACATTCCAACGTTGAAGAAGGGATACCTCATTCTTAATCAACCAGGGATGAGTCTCCACTATGCTCGGTGTTCTGACAATCGACAAGAGCATTTGAACGGCCACTTTGAATGCTGGGCTCTTCGAAGTTGCTGAGTATTGATTCGTGAATTTGCTGATGTTCCCTGTCTTCCTTACCAACTTCTAGTGGGTCTGGTTGAACAATTTGGATATCAACAACATTGATTTCAATTTGATCTTGTGGAACCCTTTCTTTGCCCTTTCCTTTAATTTCCGACTTGGTGTCCGATGAATCCGGTGCCACAGCCGAGGCAGGGTCGGGTTCGTCCACAATCTCAGCTTGTGATCCTTTCTCTTCATTCCTCTCCTAGATGAAATCTGCCGAATATGAAAATCCACGGAATTCTTCTTGATGAGCCGGTGATAGCACTAGAGTTGGCCCGTTAGTAAATCCCATTCAGATTGAGTTGTGAATCACTTACCACTCTGCACAGGTGTCAAAACCGGAGTCACACTCGTGAATTCCGAGTCGAAGTTACTTGTGTCCTTTTCGTTCTTAACTGTAGGTTTGAAAGGTGTGGGAATGCGTTTGTTGTAAATGTCATCCCAATTAACACCCTTGAAAAACGCATGGCTCATGATTTCCTGTGCATCCCCCGGCCCACTACCCAGACGAAGTTCAGGCTCTCTGGTCAACAACTTCTGTAGAATCGAAACACTGTCTCGCGGCATGTGGATTGGATAGAGGGGTTCATCGGCAAGAATGGCGTCGTAGATTTCGTCCTCGTCTTCACCTCTGAAAGGTGATTGTTGTAGAAGCATTTGGTAGATAAGAACACCAAAAGCCCACCAATCAACAGCTCGACCGTATTTCTTGTCCAAAAGGATTTCGGGTGCCATAAATTCTGGAGTACCACAGAAGGTAGAGGTCGTCTTCCCATACCACATGTCTTCCTTGCAAAGACCGTAGTCTCCAATGACAATGTGCCCATCCAGGGTGAGCAGAATATTGTCCAATTTGAGATCCCGATAAATGACACCATTCTCGTGGAAATACTTCAGAGCCAAGCAAACCTCTGCAGCATAGAACTGAGCCCGTTTAAGACCAAACTGTCCACGTTGAATGTGCAACATCAAATCGCCGCCTGATATATACTCCATAACGAAGTAAACTCTCGTTTCTGTCTGGAAACAAGCATGTAAGTTCAACAGGAACGGATGTCTCTCCTTATTGGCAATCAGAAACACGCGTTTTTCGGATTTTGTCGATTCCACCTCATCGTTCTCAATGATAAATTCCTTCTTGAGAACTTTGATTGCATACAGCTTTTTCGAACTCTTGGCTTCCGCTAACATGACTTTTCCGAAATTACCTTTACCCAGAACGGCCAAGAAATTAAAGTGGTCGAGCCCGATCCTAGGTCCTGAGCCTCTCCCTGACGGAGGACTTGTGACTTGTTGCTGTGCTGTTTGTAGAGCTTTGACCGGGCCTGGGGCATAACTGGGTTGGGGCTGTGGCTGTGGTCGGTGCTGTTGAACGATCGCTTGCTGTGGTGCTTGGTGTTGAGGTGCCTGCTGTTGAACTGGTTGTCGATCGTATTGTTGATATGCTCGAGGATCATAAGAAGCATGTGGTGGTTGCTGTTCTACCGCTGGAGGCCTAGCATTTGCATATCGATCGGGTGGTGGTTGTGGTTTCTGAGGGCTATAATCATTGAAACTTTGGTTATAGTTTGATGATGAGGGGCGAGCTGTTGCTGCAGCGGCAGCTTGAACCGCAGCAGCAGATACAGCCTTTTGCTGAAGGGGCTTTTGCTGATGTTGAGGCTGAGGCTGTTGGGGCTGGTTATACATCGTTGCTGCAGCGCTCATAGCGGCAGTTGACGGTTTGGTGCCTTCAGGATAAGGATCGTAAGAGTTATTTGATGGTTGTGGGGCCAAAGTGGTGGTGTCAGAAGCAAAGCTTTGTGTTGGTGAAGTAGGACCTGGTCGACCGGAGTTTGGTCTAAGGGTTCGCGAGCTCAATCCTGTGCCGGAGCTGACAGAGGAGGATTTGTTATGATGCTTTGTTCGTTGGATAGTTTCCAGAATCTCATTGGCAACAATCATTGACATACCACAAAAGTCCGGAACTAAGTGCTGACAGTGGGCATGGCAAGTAAGACCACATTCGGTACATTTCTTAGCATTGCGCCTTCCCAAAGGTAGCAAGTAACCACAATGGCAACACCAATTGGCACCAATGTTGGAAAAGTTGTCGAAGCGATGAGGAATTCGGTGATTGATTTTCTCCTCGTCTGGATCCGTCTCGTAGTTCGCCTTGCTGATACATTTCGTAACAACTTTCGGGTAACATTTGGTATGACATGTGTACTTGCAATCCGCACATTGCATACCAGCCGAATATTTGAGGAAATCGCCACAAAGTGCACACCGCATGACGTTGTAGAATTGTTGTTTGACGAACTTGTGCCCCTGTTTCTCGTGAACTTCCTCTTTCTTTTGACGTACAGCGCCTTGGCGATTGAGCCCAATATCAAATGGTCGTCGAGCACCGGTTTGTTTCTGGAAACTCATGGTGAGATGAATCCGACCTGCGGGTTCGAGAGAAAACCAAGAATCAATAAAGACGGGTTGTACACCACCACCAGCTCCACCATGTTGGGCAAATCCTGCGGCAGACCCGGCACCAGCACCGTCTCCGGGAGGCATATAAGGCGCTTGTGGCGTGTCAAAGCCTGGTTTACCAGGACTGCCGCCGTTGGCCATTTTGTCAGCCGACACCCAACCATTCTGCTGGAATTCGCTTTCAATCTTTTTCCGTCGCATTTCTTCTGCAATGTCTGAGATTCGGATCCACAGAAACCCTATAGGGGTGGGCCTATCACCGGCTTTGTCATAAACTGTGAGTTCAATCTCGTTGGCCTTGTCGATATCGACATTGTGGACTTCCTCGGTCCACTTGTCTGTTCGAGTGGCTCGAGTTTTAGCACGAATGTTGTCCTCAACTTTCATGATGACAAAAGTTTCAGGGCCTCTTGAGAAGCGTGAGGAGGCTGCGTGGTCGACATCTTTGATAGCATGAATACGCATTTCCAAATGACCGGTCAATGGTTTGCGCATGTTTGGCGCATTGAGACTATCATCTGCCAATTTGTCAGTAGAGTAAGCAGGTTGATTAGTGGAAAGCAAAGCATACCGTCTCCGCCATCCGCGGTTTCAATATCAACATGGAGATCCATATATCTTTTTAATGCTTGTTTCAAGAGCTGAACCTTTTGGTTGCTTTCTATCCGGCGACCTTCAGCGTCCAATCTGCTTTTTCTGTCTCCTTCGTCTTGGTATAACCTGACCATTTTCTCAATGCCGGCTTTGTATTGTTTTTCGACGGACAATTTGAATTCGAGCTGTGAAAGCATGAGTTGAATTTTGGGACCCAAATATGGGGTATCATATTTGATAAGGTCTATGGAGCGGATCAGTTCTAGTGGCCAGAAGTGAAGAAATATGTCAAAAGATCATACCTAGTTTTGAGAAGTTGGGACGAGGCTTGTGAGCGGGCGCACTGTAGGGTCGATCGTCGTAGGAGCCTCCTCGAGGAGCGTTCATTCCTGGACCACCGGGTTGAGGATAGCCAGCTGGACCTTGACCGCCATAATCGTCGCGGTCGTTGCCGAAATAATTTCGCTGGTCTTTTGGAGGTGGGGTTGGACCATTGCCCGGATGATACATGCGTTGATTGCGGTCGGGTGAAGGATAGCCTTGACCATGAGTAGGCGGGGCAGGAGGAGCACCAGAACCATCGTTGGTGTCTCCGCGTTTTCGCAGTTGTAACTCATTGAGCTTGTCTTCTAGATATGTGATGTTCCGACGTCCGTCACGAATGTTGCTGTCGACGCGAGCCTGCACAACAGCATTGCTGGTCGACTGCCGCATGTGAGTGGCGGCATTGATAAGAGCCTTTTCTCTTTCGATTTTCCGAAAGACCTCGGCAATGGCCTGATCGGTGTCACCCATTGTGGTGGAGGATGTGAGGCCAAGCAGAAATTAGAACGTTGAGGATAACGGGTGAGGGTGAGGGCGACGGATTGGAGAGATGTGCAATGTCATGGGCCAAGAGGGGCCGGCGGTGGTGGTGAGGAAGTGAAGTGATGGTGGTGGCAGGACAAGAGTGGCACTGGCATTTGTTGACGTGCAATGTGGGGAACGGGAGAAAGGTCTCTCACTCAGGCTGGGCCAAAAAAAATAAGTGATGGAAGAGGAGGAGCGAGTGTAAGAGTAGGTGTAGAATCAAGTAGATGGAAATGGCAATGATGGTCGAGTGTCATCACCAATAGACATGTTACTGGGTGAAAGTTATTTGAAAAAGAATATGATGGTCACGGTGTTTTGGTGCAGGTCGTGGTGGTGGTGATGATAATGGAAGTGGGAGGGAGTTAAGTTAGTACTTGCTTAGCCTGTCAGGCTACCTGGGGAGAAGTACCAGGTCAACTGGCAGGTGCCCACTGGCAACGGCTCCTTAGGCAGGGAGTGGTCGTATTTAGGTAGAGGTTAGGTAGGAGCAGGCACATTTAGGCTGCAATAGAGGAACAATAAGATAACCAAGCCTCAGCTTGTTCGTGCATCAATGCGCAGCAACTGCATCTGCACCTACAACTCGGCGCCTAGCAAAGCCTGAGCCTGGATTTCAAGTTGCACCCACAGCAACCACAGGTCGCCAAAGGCACGTACCTGGTCTATTCCCTCATGTGCAATTTGTGACCGTGACCGTGACTGCGACTGCAACTGCAACTCAGTTGAAACTCAACTTGCAGGCAAAGACCACAGGCCACTGGCACGCCACCAACTACTATGTCAGCCTCTTGCCACAACATGCCGTCCAATTGAAGGCTGAGTTGACTACGAGGAGCTGAAGATGATGACCATTTGAGAAGTATATTTTCTCTCTCTACGGTACAAGTCCTGGAGTCGAACTCGCAACAAACGACTTTCTATCTTGGGGATTTGGTGTGACTTCATAGGGATTGTGGACATGCCACTCGGAAGTGGAAACAAGGCACGAAACGGAAGGAGGGGCATATTTTGTAGGGGTTGGGCTGCTCTTGCTCGACAGATAGATAACCTGACCTCAGCCCTGTACAGGGTCCATTCCTCCCCCTTCTCGTTAAAGAGTGACGGCATTGAAAATTCTTTCCACTTTTGAGCGAGCCTTGAGCATCGACCCTAGTTCGCCATTACTTCATGTCGTTTCGAGGAATTAGTTCTACATATCCAGTCACCGATACTGATGATTGCAGGATACTAAATATGAACCTCTCTCGGACAATCTTTCTATCAACTCAAGGTGATCAATACTGCATGTGTCTCTGTTGCCCCCACTATTCTACGCATACCCCACCAGGCACTGCAAGGCATGCGATGCGAGAAAGCCAAAGGCTACCTTACAACATACCTGAGACAAAGTATCTAAGAATGACAATGCAGTACTTTTGGTTGCCTAGGTAGGGCTAGCACCTGCCCTTGTGCCCACCGGGAAAGCGCAACTCCAGGCATGGACACAAACCTTACCACACGAGTAAGTACCTCAGGGAGATACTGTCACTACCCTCACGGACTCCCTGCTCACCGTCCGCAGACTCAGACTTAGACAACGGCTGAAGAATCGATATGTAGGTATGCACCTCGTACATTGTCCGGAGTATTTACATTTACACACTTGACTACCGAGTACAATCGTGCGAATACGCACGCTCACATGCCATAAAGCATGTCATTGGAGTCTTCCACTGGCCAGGTCTGCAGTGCATTGTCAGACGAGCTGAGACTGGGGGGTGGTGCAATCTCAAGATCGGTAATCCTAACTACAATCGCACAGAAGTGCAACACCGCTCCCACGCACTCCGAAAATCAACATGCACCATCACCTCCTCACTGGCCTCGTTCGGATTATCATGGCCTATCGCTAAGCCCTGTCACTCAACTTCTCATGCATTAAATGTCCGATACTTGTTCAGCTAATACTATTATTTGAATATCTGATTTCAATCTCCTGTGGGGTTCTCTCCCCTACAGATTAAAAGACCAAACCGGTCAAAAGGGTGACGAATGCCTGTTGCTCACATCTCAGCCCTAAGGCAGTACGGAGCCTGACTTTGCTGTAATCTATCTAACGAGATATTCTAATATCTACGACATCCTATACGACTACAGCATGCAACAGCATCGATCGCCTGGTCAGTTCAATCACTCCGCAACAGGAGGCACCGGGCTCATCACACCCCTGCCAAAGAACTCACTGACCGTGCCAAACCGATTGGTACTGCGGCCCAAAGCAGCCTTGAACAGATCGTGCTGCTCCGTACTCTCCACCTGCTGTCGACGGATGGCCTTGATGGTATCATTGCCCGGTTTACAGATAGGGCAATCGCCAGCATCGCCGTCGTCCCCGCCAACTTTGTTGCCATACCCAATCCCCGGCTTGTTCAAGCACTCCTGATGGAATGAGTGCTTGCACATGAAATGCACTGTTGGAAGAGTGAGATTACGACCACATGAGGAGCATCGGCGTGCCTGAAAGACGACGGGTTTAGACTCAAGATCTGTAAGTTCCGCCGTCTTGCTGGCGGTCTCGGTGCGGTAAGAATCGATGAGTCGGCGGTTCGCTTGGATTTCTTTTCTTTCTCGAGACACATTCTCGGCCAGGTAGGACTTGACCATGCCCATTGTGACAGCGCCACCTTGTGATAGAACCTTCACCACCTGTAGTGGCGCCATGAGATTTTCCTCATCGATCCTTCGCAGCACCGTTTGAAGTTCTTCTCTCACTCCTGCTTCTTGAAGCACTTCGACCGAGGACGAGAAATAGCCTAGAGCCAGAGGGTATAGGCTAGGGTCTTCTGATGCGTATTTTCGGAGCGCCGATATCGCCCCCGACGTGTCCTTCGCAGACGTGAATGATCGAAATATGTCCGCATAGAGATGTGCTCGTTCTCGGACGAGTGTCGTTCCGGTGGGGAATCTCGAGAGCGATGATAACAGCAAGACATTTGAGACATCAATTGGGGAGTCATCACTGGTTGCTCCTTGGCTGGTGGCAATCAGACCACTCGCTTTCGCCTGCCATCGTATTTTGGCTGCGGCATCGCCGGCGCCATTGGCGGCCTCCAAGTACATCTCAAACAACGTCGTGGATAGATCTGCACGGTCTTGCTTTGACAGGTTCTCTTGCTCGATGAGCGCTTCTAGAAACGTGATGAATTGTGATGGATGAGCGAGGAAGGATGAAAAAGCTGTTCGAGGGCGTGGTGTTGGATAAGATGGAATCTTCTCTGCCACTACCTCGCTTTGATCTGCGCCATCAGCCACGGGCTCTTGTTCTACAGCGGGAGTTACAGCTGGTGTATCTGCCGACGAACGATGCATGAAAGGCAGTGTCCACAGTGCCGACAGACTCTGGAATGTGCCGCCTCCGGTCTGGGCTTGCACCTCAGAAACGGCGGGCACGTCTTCTTTTGGTTTGTACCGTCCGGTGTAATACTCGATGAACAGCCTCGTCGTCTCTTCCGGACAATGCTCGATCAAACTGCGAGCATATTTCATTAACACCGGATACGCCGTGTCAGGCTCCAATCGCCAGATGAATTGCAGTGCCTCGGCGTATTTCTTCGAATCCTCGATCAATATGTCGATCACGAGTTCGTTCTCGCCGTGTTTTGTTGCAAGATAGGCCGCCTGCTCGTAGTACCCTCCTTGTCGACACATGGCGATCGCGGTCTCAACGTCGAACTTGGCACTTCCGGGTGTCCGGATGAAGGCGTCCAACTTTTCCGTGTCCTTCAGCTTTGCATAGCAGTTTAGCAACAGTGTAGTGTGGTCCGCCGTCGCCCTATCGTGATCATGGAGTTCTTCAAGGTAATCGATCAGGTTGTGTATACGTTGCGTATCTAAAAATCGTCGGATGACTTGTGATGGCTCCGTGTTGTCGATCGCTCGCAAATACTGCTGCATCGCCGTGTCATAGTCGCCCTTCTGGTATAGGTAGTCTCCGTACTTGCGGAAGATGATGTTCTGTTGGACTTTGTCCGCCCCGAATTTCTGTGCGAGGTTGATGGCATGGATATAAAGGTTTCGCTGGTAGAGGATCTCTAGCTTCTGCTGGAGGCTCTTCTCTTGATATCGATATAGCTGTCTCCGTATCAGTTTTCACCTGGGCCACGCTTCCAAGTAGATCCGGCACTCACCTTGCCATCGATGGTCAGCAGAAACAGCTCGCCCCACTCGACGAAAACTTCCTTGACCTGTGCTGGCAGTGACTCCGTGTGGGCGATGTATTTCAGATCGGTATCGAGCAGAGTGAACGATGAGCTGCTGAACAGTTCATCTATCTCGTCCCCACCAAGACGCCTATACGTCTTGGACTTGGACACCTGAGCTACCCGTGGCGGACAGACCAAACCAACGTATTCCTTGAACACCTTGACGATCTTCTTTGGTCCTTCGAAAGCAAAGCTCGGCCCACGGCCCTTGGGGCCATAGTAGTAGACCGCATCTTCTCTGGCGATGATGATATCTCCACTCTCGGCGTCCTGAGTCATGCACCCAACACTGGCGCCCTTGTTGTCGACAGTCCGCACCGGCTGTCCTTGGCCCTTGCCGGAGATGACGAGACTGCATATTCGCGCCGTGTTCGCGATGTATAGAGTCTTGGTTGCGCCCTGCCGGACCTCGAGGCCTGTGATGGGATCCTCCGACTCGAACACCGTGCGTTGCTTCGTGCCCCGGTCGTGGATGAAATCGCCCCGTATGACTGTGACCGAGCCATTGGCGAATCCGACCGCAACTTGACTCAGATCGTCGAGCACGACGAGTGCGGACGTCGGGAACTGTCGTCTGCCGTTCTGCACCGCGACTGTGCAGAGACACTTGGGGCTGCTCGACTTCTTTTCCGTCTTGTCCAATGCCCACACTTTCAACGAAGGGTCTGTCGAGAGATTCTCCGAGATGGTGACGAGAAAGGCGGTGTTGGGGATATGTCGTATGTGAGTGATGGAGGCATCATCGGTGTCGGAGGCTTGAAATGCGCGGATAACTTTAAGTGCTTTGGACAGGATGCGCACGGTGCCGTCTGAGGAGCCCAGGAATAGGGAGTCGGATCCAGTGGCTAGGGATATGACATCGTTCTACCGTAGTAATCTGTCAGAGAAAGAGTTCAATATCAACCAGGGTAGAGGTTACATACATCGAAGACATAGGATCCCTCCTCGTCCGCAGGCACGGGGACTTGTGAGACCTGGAAGAACGGGAAGGCTTTCCAGCTGGTGAGCGCCATGGTTTTTCCTCACCTTGGAAGGATGGCAAAGTCGATAGAATAGCCCATCAGATATACGGGCTGTGAGCTTAACCTGCGTATCATGCGTGGTCGTGGCTACGGGACTGGAACTCTGGGGACAGGTGAATGGAGGGTGCAGTGCAGGCAGGCCAGCACTCGCCAAGCCAGCAGATCGGCAGCAACCACAGCCTTATGACGTACAATCCCTACCCACCAGCCTTGTGGGCTTCCTCGCATCGGCCCTGATCGTCTAAACGACAACATCGAAGTTCGTCCACCCTGATGAATCCAGGTATTTTAAGATGGGAGGGGAGTGACAGAGCCTACGGACTGCGTTACTGCATAGAGATAATTGCAGCGGAAGCTGGCTTACTTACTTCTTAATTGTACATCAGCTGCATAGAATCGATGAACAAAACAAGTGGTAGCGTACAACATCGTTTATACTGTGTTCTCTATTTTCATCATATCTTCGTACGTCTTCGTGCCTTAATATACGTCGGTACTCTCTCAGGCAGCACCTCAATCATCTGCTCGAGCCATTTCCTCGTGGTAGCCGGGTCAATCACACCATCAATCTCAGACGCCATAGCCATATTCACGGCCTTTCCTTCACTGTACATGGCGTCGATCATTTCTTGTTCTCTTTTCTTCCTCTTTTCAAGATCTTCAATAGCTTCTAATTCTTTCTTGTACGCAAGCCTCACAGCGCCTTCGATCCCCATGCCCCCAAAGACGGCACTCGGCCAGGCGACGCACATGCTGTTGTTCAAACTTCCACCACCCAGCATCGCTTGTGCACCCAGGCCAAATCCATTTCGCAGTACGACTCCTAAGACGCGACCACCAAGAAGGGCAAATTCTTGGGAGTTGCCGAACCAGTCACCAAAGCAGCGGTATGTGCTTCCGCCACCTTGAGCTTCGAGCGAGCGCTCGAAATCGGGGCCGACCATAAATCCCGGGGTATCGCAGAGGCTGAGGACATGCATGCCTCCGAGGCGGATGAGAAGACGGAGAAGACGATTGACCTTTGCTCCGGACGCGACATCGATAGCGCCACCTAGACTGGATGAGGAGTTAGATGCTATGATGGCGACTGCTTGGCCATTGACGCGGCCAAAGCCTGTCAGCACAGAAACTCCCCATTGGGGACAGAACTCGATAAAGCTATCGTCATCCAAGAGAAGGTTGATCACACGACGAACATCGTAGGCTCGGCGACGAGAGGATAGTGGTGGCACTGCGGTGCGCAGGCGAAGTGGATCCGCGGTGTAAGGACTTTGCGCTGGTGGCAGCCGAGGATGTGTGAACAGCGCAATGATTTTGCGGACCATCGAGGCCGCTTCGACCTCGGTGTCCACCAGTACATCAATGCCACCAGAGCGCGCATGGACGTCGACAGGACCGATATATTCGTGCTCAAATCGGCCAAGGCCACCACCCTCAATCATTGCTTGACCACCCATGCCAATGGTGGTGGACTTCCTCTGCGGCGCGTCTTTGGATCCGCCTCTTGTAGCGATGACAATGTCGCATGTTCCCAACAACGCAGCGTTGCCCGCAAAGCAGTATCCATTTGCTACTGCAACCGAAGGTATCCCTCTTGCCCTGATCTGACCCAACAGTGCAAATGATGGTGTCTTTAGGCCCGCCACGCCCAAGTGATCGGTGTCACCGGGTCTTCCACCGCCTCCTTCGGCGTACAACACCATTGGCGCGGGATGATCAATGATTGATTGGAAGATGCGGTCCAACTTCTGGTGATGAAAGTGTCCTTGCGTTCCGGCAAGCACCAGGTAGTCGCCAATGACCATTGCGACTGGATGAGAGTCCATCTTCGCCCAACCTACGATGATGCCATCCCCGCTTGTTCGAGCGATGAGATGTGACAAGGGGTATCTTTTCCTCTGCGCCGCAACCACGAGGTCTCCATATTCAATGAACGAATCCTTGTCCACAAGTAAGTCAAGATTTTCTCGACCTGTGAGATATCCGTTTGCGTGGCGGTTGGCCACGTTATCTTCGCGGCCGGCGTACCGTAGAAAGGCCTGGCGTTCGTTCAGCTCCGTCAGCTCCGGCCGGAGCTTCTGTGGGTCTTCAGCCTCGGCTAGGTCTTGCGTACTGGTGGATGGACTGTCGCCATCCGAATTGATGAAGACAAGTGCGTCGCCGGCAGTTACTTGTTGTCCTTCCTTGACGGCCACTTTGGCCACCACACCGTTGTAGGCGCTCTGTACGGAATGTTCCATTTTCATCGCCTCGAGAACGACCAATTCTTGGCCAGCAGTGACCTTGTCGCCTTCGCGTACTGTGATGGAAAGAATAACTCCCGTGACAAGTGCGAGCAGCTCTTCAGAGCCTGCAGGTCGCTCAACTTTGGGAGCATCCTTGGTTACCGAGGTAGTTTCTTCGGAGTTACTGTCAACTTTAACACGCAATTCGTCTTCAAACTTCTGTGTGGCGCTATAAAGAGCCGCGAAGTTTTCCTGGATGGTCAAAATATTGCTCTTGCCTTCTTGCACGATTGGGAAATCCAGCAAAGCCATGAGAAACGCCTGATTTGTCCTGCATCCTACTATCCTTGTCTCATCGATGGATCGACGAGCCAACCGCAGTGCCGACTCATACGAAGATGAGGTGACGATAAGTTTCGCCAAAAGGCTGTCAAATAAAGGGCTGACAGCATACTGGCGGCCTCCTTCGAGAGCCGTCTCAACTCGCACGCCCACTCCTGTAGGAAAATATCCTTGTCGAATAGTCCCCGCTTCAGGTTGCGCTGTGCCATCTTGCCTGAAACTTTCGGCGTTGATGCGCAACTGGATGGATGTAAGTCGAGGCGGTGGAGGGTCCCGTGTTATTTGCAGATCTACCAGGGTTCGTCCCAAGGCAACCTGTAGCTGTAAGTCTACCAAGTCAATGCCGTTGATCTGTTCGGTAATGGTATGCTCGACCTGTATCCTTGGGTTCGCTTCCATGAAATAATAGTCGTCGGTTGCTGCGTCGACAAGGAACTCGATTGTGGCGAGACTTCGCAGCTTCACCGCTTTTCCTAAATTCACCGCAGCTTCGATGATAGCTTGCCTGAGCTGTGGCGTAATGGAGGGCGAAGGCGCAATCTCGACGACCTTCTGGTTTCTGCGCTGGAGCGAGCATTCTCTTTCCCAGAAATGGCAAACTTGGCCAGTGCCGTCTCCAAGGAGCTGAACTTCAATGTGTTTAGCACCATAGAGGTATCTCTCTGCGAACAAGCTTCCATCGCCGAAAGATGCCTGTGCCTCTCGCTGACAGGCTTCATAAGCCGAGCGAATCGCCTGCTCATCTGTATTGTCATCAATGATGCGAATACCGCGCCCTCCACCGCCAGCCGCGGCTTTCAGGATGATTTTACTGCCTGGTTTCAGGCTCTTCCCAAATGCCAGTACATCTGTGATGGAAGAAGCTCGATCCCGTGTAGTCTTCGTGCCATTAAGAATAGGAACGCCTGCATTTGCGGCCAAAGACCTCGCACTAATCTTGTTTCCAAGTTGTGCCAGCTGCTCGCTCGACGGTCCGATGAATATGATACCTTCATCCTCACATAGTCTAGCGAATCCGGCGTCTTCGGACAGAAACCCATAGCCCGGTGCGATACCCCAGCATCCTTCTTTCTTCGCGATGTTGACAATATTGGCCGCATTCAGATATGCCCGTGGACCTTCTCCTGGGAGCGCCACTGATGCGGTTGCAAGACGCACATGTGTGGCATCCTTCTCAGAAGGGGTGAATAGAGCTACTGTTTGGACGCTCGAGTAGAGCGAGTATGTCCTGATGAGGCGACATGCTATCTCAGATCGATTGGCTATGAGAATCTTGATAGGTTGGGAGGAAGACATCCTAGAGGCAACCCACCTAGGCGATTCTATACTAGAAAGAAATTCAACAACCGTGTCTTACGCATGTTAATGATCTTTACCTCGTTTTCTAGATGTTGGTAGTACCTAGGAAAAGTGATCTCCATGAGAAGTCATCTCCAAAAACGGTTGTCCCTCGGCTTAACTCGGCAATAGCGGCATCAGTCCGCCTATGAAGCTACTAGTAAGCGCTCTCAGTTACCATACCTCAGGTTCCATACAGGGCATAATATTCTTTAAAGTATTCAAGCTGCCATCTAAACCACATTGTCAGCTCAGTGCATCGCGAAGGGCTAGCAGTCGAGTGAGTACAAGTTGAGGACTCATGCACAGAGTAAGTCACGAGCCACCGAGCCTTGTATGACGTACAGAAGCTTCAGCCTCAGCCTCGTAGCCTCCCCCCTCCACCAACCTGTGCAAGAGAAGACGACCAAAAAGTAGAGAGCCAAACTCACCGCCGACAACGAGATTCGAACGTGAGACCTGGATATAGATCAGCAAAAACTTTTCAACCCACCTCCTACCCCAGTTCCAGGGTCAAAGGTACAGTGGGCAGCAAGTGAAAACCCTCGTATCTTTGTTTAACTCCAACGGAAGGGTTTTTTCTTCATCGGCCTTGAAGTCCATCGCAACCGGAATGTTAAGTGTATTTGGAACCAGTTAATTTGGTGACAAGAATTGGGAGGCTGTTAAATTTATGGTTCTGGTTCAATCCCCGATATAGTGGTTGTGGTACGTGTTGTTGGGGCGGGCGTGCACCTCGACTGCGTCAGAAGATTTAAAGCATATGTAATATTAATGTGCAGTAGTGTATATACCAAAACCTGATAGCCAGCCAGGGTCGCAAAAACTATTTTTTTCCAAGATTCCCCCATGGTTTCGATACTAGGATTGACCATATATATCCATCTGGTCACTCAACTGTGCAAGCATCATTGGAAAACATTTCATCTCAGTCGTAAAAATATGTCATATACAGGTAGGTAATTGATCTCTCGAATCGAAAGATCACTGTTCCCAACTAAACCTTGGGCCGGGAGTCTTCGGGCTGGTCGTAGGAGGACTGGTCGGTGCCTGCTCTTCCGCCACGGCTGTCAGCCCTTGCTCCACAAATCTGCTGCCAGTACTCGGTGATCTCGATACAGGACGACCGTTTAATTGTGGCACCATCAAATTGGCACTGCCGTGGGTTGTAGAGGATCCGTTGCTGGAGGGCCTGGGAGATCTGTCATGCAGTGGTCTCGCCATGGTGGCTTCTGGTGAGATGGGACTAGAGAGCGCTCTGGAGTTACTGGATCTAGGCGAGTTGCCACTGCTACTTCCGCCGACAGGGCTGATACCTTGCTCTCCAGAAGATACTGTCCCGAAGCCGTGACTGTTTCGAGGAGTATACGGACTTATGCCATCGCTGTTTCTATTAGGGTTGTCTGCAGGCGAATAAGGAGGAACAGGAGAGGCCGATCGTTGACTGCCTGATGCGTTGATGGCGGCGGCCTCGGCGGCTTTGGCAGATATGTCTTGGTTCTCTAGTTCAGCTGGATTTCGAGGATCGTTTCGTGGTATTGATCCATCTCGCTGGAAATATCTCGAGGAAACATCCTCCACCGCGGCCATCTCGAAGCGAGTTGCTGATGCATCCGCTGGTACTTCAGTCGGATGTCGCTTATCGCCAAGAAGCTCTGAGACTGAGGTCTTGGAATCGAGTGTCCGATGCAGCCTACTGAAGAACCCCGTTCTTGGTGTGCTCTCGGCTGCTTTATCGTCGTTGTGTCGCTTCTTCTTGATGCAGAAATACCAAATTGCTAACGCTATGAGCAAAACAACTATGACAATCCCGACTGCAATACCGGCCTTAGCCCCTGTAGAGAGTGATGATGATGATGACATTGACGATGATGGTTCGTCTGATACCCCAGGCGCTGGTTGCCAGATGCTGTCCTCCGGGGGATTTATCGCCACAAGGTTGACGTTATTGACTGCAAAGTCTGTAAAGACTGCTTGTGACAATGAGAAATTGTTACGCTCATAGTCAACGGTGAGGTAGGTCTCCTGTAAGAAGGCACGACCGATTTTATATTGTGTCCGGTCAGTTGCAACACGTAATGGAAAGTAGTTGGTGGGTGGTGTTGTGAAGTTGGCGTCGAGGTTTGGGTAAGGGTACGACAGTTGGAGGTCGAAGGCGGCAAAAGGCAGATTGAGATAGAGGTCGTCCGAGGCATCTGGGGAGGTATTAATCCCAAACGTAAAATTCAGCTTCCAGGATTTGAGTGTATTCAGGGTTGAGGTTTCATTATTGTATAAATAAAGTTGCAGGTTGTCATCGTAAGTGAGGTTGAGGGCTTTGGCAAAACTATCGCAGACAGTTTGTGGCAGCCATAAGAATGGAGTGGAAGAGTCAATAGTAAAGGTAGCAGATTCAGAACTATCCATCAATGAGACCGGATTAGAATCCCAGTTGATGGGCAATGGGCCATCGGCATTCGCTGTAACCGATATCGTGTTCATGGCTACAACAGGGGCATAATCTGCATTTAAAGTGAAGGTCATGTTATTGGCTTCGAATCGGTTTCCGTCAAACCCTCCAAGTATCAAAGACGCTGGAACGCTTGTAAGCCCTAGATGGAGAAGTTAGTCTCTAGGGTGATATCCAGGAAGCATACAACTCACGATAGATGGCACCGGCCGTGTATCCATAGCTGTGGCTCGGGATGAAGCTACGATCTTGAGCCAGACTTGATAGCAACGATAAATGGTCCACAGTCCCATCGAAACGAGTTTGCTGTACCCCGAGTCCCAGTCTCCCGACCCAGTATTTGGTGGAATTGAGCACCGCTATAATTTGGTCGGGGACAGAGATTTCGTCATTCATGGCGATGGTGTCTAAACCATAATATCCATAATCAAGGTATTGACTAGTGAGCTCATAGAGACCGCGTGGTTGAAAAGTTGTAGACTGGTTGTCCGTAAAAAGTCCACCTCTTTCCGCTGTACACAGCGAAGTGCCATCGCAACCACTTGGGCCTGCTACCCAGGTTTCTTGACTCAAAGTACTCGGGAAAACGGTGAGATACTGCTCTGGGGTGCCGAGGCGGATTTTGACACCAGACCAGAGGCCATCATAGCCCAGAAAATTTGGATCTGGTGTCGCGACAATCGGAGGTGGAGATTGGGCCACGCACGAGGGTATAAAGAGTTCCGACAAGACCAGCCAGGACCAACAACTGGGGTATGAGCGCGACGAGAACGGGAGGTGGTATAGAGGGCGCATCATGTCGCGATTGTGCAAGTCTTTGCCATCGACATGCCAGGCTGAATGGGTGAGTTACAAAATCCAGGAAGGATAATGGATCATGCAGAATGACGAATTATGAGCGAAAAAGTATTACGGTTGACAACGAGAGGACGTCCGTACGACAAAGCGAATGTGTTGAATGAGTTGAGGCTGTACTGGCCTTCATCACCCAAGGTCGTTTGTACGAAGTAGACGAGCAGGACGAGGATTGCAGGGCAGAGGAGGGTGCAATTTGATCGACGACGGAGGTCCAACAGGGCTTGCAGGACTCTGGAACACTTAATACGAGGTACTCGGTGCCTGGGTGAATGCCTGTGCCAGTGGGAGGCGGTCCTCAGGCCGAGTGCCTCTTTAGGCCCCATCAGCCCAGCAGCTACGACCCGGACCAACCCTACGGCAATGCAGCACCCTGAGAGCCCAAGCCTAAAAGAGCTGCAAAACCATTGCTGAGTGCTCCACCTCAGGAATATGACGGCACCAATGGCAATGGAGAGGGCTGACTTGAGGATGTTTCAGACATGGGTGAGTAATAGACATGGGGAGGCAATGATATCTGTTTATGCCATTCCCTCTGATAAGGATGTTTATCTATACAACGAACCAGTTCATTCACTCATTCACGAGCTCTTGTGGTGACACTCACACAGGGCTCATGTCCAGCAGCTGTATTTCCATTCCTAGCCATAGAGATCACCGAGAGGCGTTACTTCGTATGAAATCCATGGTCCCGAGGCTTCTTGGCATGACGCGTTATAGTATCCGCAGTGGATAAAAGGAGCCGAGTATGGGGGATTCTTTGGGAACCTTTTGAAGTGCGGACGGAGACCTTACTAAAAATTCGAGACAGAGTCACCCAAGAGTCAATATGGCAGGTGGGAGGCCACTGATCATGGCAACTTGAGAAAGCCAACATTTTCCGGAGACTCTTTTCAGGCGTGATGGACCTTCCATATGTGGACGTAGAGCAGGTTTCAAGTGTCCACCCCATCTGAACGTCTTGCTGGCCACAGGTGGGTGATGACTTGGAGACCATCAGTAGCCCGTCTGACCGATTAAGGATGCTAGAACATCACCGGCTTGACTGCGACAATGTGTGTTTGAGGACAGCAAGTTCGCAACTGGATCAATTTGGATGAATATGTGCAAACAACAGCTCGCAGTCATTATTAGGGAGAATATATCAAGACCAATGTGACGTTCCAGGAGCAAATCTCCACTGTGCATGCTCTCACTCCTGTCGAAAGCATGTGCTGTTACTTTTGATCCAGTGAGGTGGAGAGAAGTAAAAGGAAAATCCTGGTACTGGAAACCGAACCAACCTTCAACTTAGCTACCTGTAGGCTGTCGCTGGGAAACTCTCGTATTCCAGAGTCAACGGCGTGTCTCAGGTCGACGGTCATGCATCGAGTGAAAATGCGTTTGGGTCTTGGGGCCCTTTATCACGAGCCGGAGACGATAGGCAGGAGAATCTTGAAATCAGCCTTACCAGTTGTCAGTCTCCGGAGACCCTTGTCTTGATTTCAACAGAGATCAATCGATAAAGAAAGTCAGCCTAGAGATGAGGATGATTTGAGACCAGTCAGACCCGCGAGCCAGTCATCTTCCAAGGTTCATCAGGTTGTGTTTGGCTAGGATAGAAGCTTGAGCTACTGGTAAGCTAAATTGGCCAGGAACCGGGATTAGGATTGCCCATGGACGAGGGACCATGGTGTCCGAGTCTACTCGTATGACAAACCTTGGCTGGGTTTGGCTGGCTGCAAATTGCCTGGACCTGCTTGCTTAGCTTGAAGGATCGGGAACTCGACGGGGCTGTCCTTGACTGGGTTGACGGGCTTGATAGGCTTGGTGGGTTCTTCGCCTCCGGGCGGGGAATTCAATTTCTTGGGTATATGCCATCACCCAAACAACTGTCCCGCTGAGTGCTTGCTACCCGTGCCGTTCTGCACTCTAACCAGCGAGATCCAATGGTAAACATGTACCGAGTATCGCCGTTAGGTATGAAACGGATGATTCAGGAGGAGGCAAACCTGGAGGTGAGAACGAACTGCACTGACCAGAACAATCATGAAGTCGATGTCGATATCATTATCATACGATGATTCGAATCCAATCCCCCACCGTTGATTTGACCGGCCCTGTGAATGGCTATTTGGATAACCGGTGAAAATAGAGCCACTTTTGATCTTCTGGGCTCTGGGCTTTACCTGCAAATCATGCCCCGGATGAGGTTGCCGTCCTGGTTAAGGGCCGCTCTATCCCCTGTAGCGCAGCACCTAGCACCCCTGTTGCTACCGCATCGGTCCTCGTACGAGTTACTCCGGGGGGTAAGCCCTTTCAGCCTCCAGCTTCGAGACGTGCCACGGTGCCACTGCCAATGCTGTCCATGATCACTGGAACTTGGCTCAAATCGGAACTTGCTCTGATCTCAGCTTCTCTTTTGAATCTGCACTCACTTCACTCGTTTGTCGGTTTTCGCAGGTGTATAGTGCTGCGCAGCGTATTACATACTCGAGCAAACTGTCAAGAGAGCTACCGGATCGGTTGATTACGCTTTTCTGGACTCTGGACCTGGCGTAGCGCGTTCTCTGTCAAAAGTCGACTCGAAATCTTCAACAACCTTTTCTACGAACGGACGACACCACTACTTGCGAGTCGCTTCTCGTTCTAGACGTTGTGGGCTTCGGCGCGCAAGTCAAGTCTTCCAAAGAAGATGATATAGAGACTTCGCAAAACCTCAGAGAGTGCATGTTGGCACATACACATTCGCTTATTCGACGCAAAACCCACCTTCGTTTCGACATTCGTTTATGAAGCACAGAAGCATCTTTATAATATCGTCAACATTATGCATATACTCAGCTGCGCCCTTCTGTCGTCGCTGGTCGTTGCGCACGCTAGGGATCTTGGCTCACAACCACAGCTGAGATACCTACGAAGAGACAATTCATTCGTTAACAATACCATCACCACGAGATCAACCATCAATATTCCACTTCAATTGAACAACATCACAACTTCCACACTCGTTCCTACGACGACAAGGACGATATCAATAGACACAGACCATATCACATCTTGGATAGCGCCCATAGGTTCAATACCACTATCAACCTCAAGTCCATCGCCCCCTCCGCCGTATCAAAATATATCCACTACGGAGCCGACATGTACTGGTTTCGCCACGTATTTCGAGTCTGCGCCTCCTACTGTGTTTCTTACAGTCACCGAAGGATTCGAGGTGACCGTCACTGCCTCCAATGTGTCTGTGACTGCGTCCGAGACTCTAATAACGCCATTGCCCGCATGTGGAACCACAATCTTGCCGGCTCCTTCGCAGAGAATGACCATGGATGGGGAGCCTTTTGGTTCTGATTTTGCAACTTTCACAAAATCAGTTCAAGATGGTCCACCAGGAGCGCCTGGTCGTCCAACCCAGAATCTACCCCAATTTGCGACATTTCAACCCTTACCGCCACAGACCGTCGGCTCCGAGTTGGCCACAGCCACCGCTCCTTTACAGTCTTCTACTGCTCCTTTACAATATTCTAGCGTGCCCTATACCAGCACCGTCCTCGTGACGAAAAAGACCCCTGTAACGGTCGTGGTACCTCCAACTACTTCACCGGGTGTCAATTTCCAAATCACCGAGCCAACTTTCAACGGCGAGGGAAATACAATACCTCCACCGAAACAGACCATGCCAAACGGCAACAATAACATAATGGGGCCTAATGGTGGAAGACCGACAGACAATCGGGTTTCTTCTTCGAGTCTTCCGTCAACCACCTCACGCACGAGTTTGGGGCTTGGGAACCTTGTTAGCTCCATAATATTCTCCGGAATACCAAGACCTCCCAGAGAGACTGGTCGCAGCACCACTGTCGATGGAATCCCAGTCGTTATCTATACTTCGTCGATTGTGATTGGGGATCAAAGCTTTGCAGTTCCAACTTCTTCGCGGACGACCGTCCAGGTGAATGGTGTTGGATTCGCGCTCGGGCCTTCAGAAATAGTGGCACCAAGTACGACCATCACCGTCGGACCAGGCCCACAAGACCAAAGAACTACTATCACACCACGTCCGACTTCAACCACAGTCACCGTCGGAGATGATTTCACTTTTGTCGTTGGTCAAACTTTGGCTGTTATCGCAGGTACCACATATAGAGTGGGTGAAGGAGCACCAGCGACTACAATAACCATCGATGGCACGACAGTCTCTGTGGGGTCCAACGGAGTGGAATTGCCTCGAACCATCGTCTCTCCGGTTGGTGCGTCGGCATCGGGATATGTAATCTATACCGTCAACGGGATCACTTTCTCGGTTGATGACAACGAAGCAGTCCTCAGCAGCACGACTTACAGAATCGGGACGAATGCCCCGCAGATGACCACCGTCGTGAGCGGAGCAACCATCTCATTTGGACCCAGCGGAATAGGACTACAGTCAACTACGATTGCCCCTACAGCTGTTCCCTCTAGCTCTGCAACAACTGGAGCGCGGTCAAGCTCGTCGTCCGGTGCTGCCACAGGAGTCGCCAATAACCAGAATGCTAGTCCAGCAGGACCGAGAATAAACTTCTCCGAGCTACTGGGCTGGTACTTAATACCGACATGGCTGGTCTGCAATTTCCTTTTCTGATGACGAGTTTTGTTTTATTGAATGCAGCGATCTGGCGTCTTTAAGAGAAGACCATTATGAAAATATAAAACGTCGGTTTAGATTTAGCCTGGGAGGAAGGATTATTGTTTGTTCTATGGGAAAGGACCTTTAAGCCGGCATTGAATTTTGGGGACTCTTGAGAATCATCCCGTTGCCGAGGCAAGACATCAGAGATCTCTCCTTGATGGACTGACTGGTTTTGTTGCTGGAAACGCTGGAAGCGCTCTTTTATTGCGATATTGTCATGATAATACCCGCTGATGAGACCTATATGTATATAATAATCTTGATTGTTTGAGACATGAACTCTTTTCTAGATCCAAACGCATCGCTTTGTTTTGTTCTTTATCATAGCAACGTCCCCGCAAAAACACCCAACCCACTGACGATAGACGCCATGAGCAGATTGATCTGGTTATTGTCGAGAACATCACGGCCGGAATTGATAACTCGGCTCTCATGCAGATCGGCCTTCTCCTTCCCCTTTCCCGTGCTGCTACTGCCACCACCCGCAGGTCGAGCAACCGCTGCACCCTGACTCCCTCCGCGTCCAGACCTCGTCAACACCTTGACACCACCAGCACCCTCGACGATCTTCCCCGAACGCCGATCCACCACCGAAGCCTGCAAGACCGCGCCGAGCAACGAATCCAGCAGGGTACCCACCGTCCCCAAGCCCGTCAACAGCACAAAAACCTTCGCCAACAACATTACCTCCCCACCCTGCCGCGGCCCATCACACAGATCCAGCAACAGACAACAATTGGCCGCAATGACCGCCGCACCACCGATGCCCGCAAGCAGTCCCGCGCCGGACACGCCGCCATTTGTCCCCGGCGGCACGGCGCGCAGACTCGTGATCAGGAGCGGCTTCCCCTTGGACAGGATCCCCAACTCGCTCGACAGCGTGTCGGCCGTGACGGCCGCATAGTTTGCCATGATGCCCATGAGCAGCAGATCCGCGTGCCTCGTGGCCTCGGTCCCGCCGAAACAGATCTTGTCCTGCGTTGACAGTCCATACACCCACAGATGCCGCAGCACGAGCAGACTCGCCGCCAGGCTGTTCGCGAACACCTGCACGCTGGTCCGCGGTCCTTCGCCCCCGGAGCTGCCGCTGCTGGAGAGCGTGAGTGTGGCTTTCACCTCGTGTTTGACTTTTGTCGCTGTCGTGCCCAGTAGGAAGAATGTTACGAGCAGTGTGAAGGGCAGAGGGGAGGGGTGGAGAGCGTGGATCGTCGCGGTTATCGCTGCGGCGAGGATTCCCACCGGTGTTAGGGATTTGCGGCGGTGGGCGCGGATGATTAGCAGTAGGGTCGCCGGGACGGCTATTATGGCTCGCATTGTGGGTGGTTTGAGATTGATGTTGAGGCTATGAGGTAGCTTTGTGTGTTGTTTTGTAGACTTGCAATGAAGTCGAAGGACTGTATGTAGTGTGTAGTGGGGTGCTGAGGATCTGGAGGATGGGAGCGGGTAAGGAAGGATGTTGAAGTTGCTCAGGTTCGAAAGGAGTAAGGCAGATCTATTGCTCCAATATATTAATGTCGTTCTCCGGGCTGAACAACTATTGGATTACGTGTGGATGAGGACATCAGGCCGCAGGCACAGGCAACTTTCTTGATTATTGATTGGCACCTACGAGTAGTTGCAAGGCTGACGAAGTTGTGCGGATGTTCGGAGAAGGCTGAACTAGTGCAGCCTGATTACAGCCGGTCTTTAGCCGGTCAATCTGAGCACGTGTAACAGGCATCGGATACGCAGAAACCATGAGTCCGTCTGAACTCACTTTTACCATCCGGGTTTCACAGTCGTACCAAGAATAGCCAACGTTATAGATCCTACCTACCTACTGAGATCTAGACTATCTAAGGCTCTGTCTGAGCTCTAAATCACTAGGTAGGTAGTATTCCATTGCTTGTGTGCCTTGATACCTCGCCTAACAGCTTGGTCATATTCCCGCATATCTTTCTCCTCGACCATTTCCCGGGGCACTCGACCTTCACTGTCTTTAATTTCGAGGTCGACGTCCATCTTCAGAGCGCAAGAAACAATCCCCACTACTATTTCCCAAAGCTGTGCCTCTGCTGCCAGATGCAGTACCGTCTTGCCCTCTCCGTCCGTTTCGCCTATCTCGCGCCCCATGTAGGGTAGCAAGTATTCACCAATACGCGCCAATTGTAGCTTATGAGCATCGGTGCTATTACTCGAGGACCCAAGAAACTCATGCAGCACCAGGAGTAGAAGCGTCTGCTCATTGATACGCACGATGCCGAATCTCTCGATGGCATCATCACGAATTAGAGTCCAGACTTTGCTCCACGATTTTTTCTCAGCAGCGAGAACCAATGTTTCCTTGATCATGGAATTTGTGCCAGCGAATCTGGACAAACCGTGACGTCGCCAAAGTACGTCCACGTCCTCCTCCGTACCCTTGTCAACTATGAATGACACAGCTCTCCATCCCTCAGCCGTGTCGATACTGAGACTCTCTAGAACGTTCCACTTATGGGAATCAAGCGATAGCACCATCCTGAGTGCATCGAGACTCTCATTACACACCGCAATTCTGAGGGTTCGTTGTCCGCAGTTTGAGCTACCGACAATTCCATCAACACCGTTGTTTAGCAGGGTTCTGATCATTTCGAGCTGATCAGCCTTTATCAGTCGTTCCAGTACACCTGGAATATCGGGAAGCGACATGCCTGCGCGTAACAGGGAGTTTACCATCCGCACCTGATTGCACCCGACTGCCCATTCTAGTATTGCGGGATCTGTCGCTAACCCCGTCAACTTGAAGTGGTTCAGTAGGCGGTCCACTGATTTGTGGTGGCCGTGTTGAACTCCCCACATCAATATCGACTTTGCTGTCAAGTCGGGAAGCGCATCACGTCCCTGGAAATCGCGCTTTGCAATCTCGGCATCATTCTCGAGGAGTAAGCAAACGACCTCCTCGTTCGAATCCAAATCGGCCGCTAAGTGGAGCGCCGTGCGTCCTTGAATATCTTGTACTCCAACCAGCTTTCCACCGCTCGTCTCATGTCTCACAGATTCGGATTGCTGAACGCTGTTAGCTATCTTGATTTCTGGCCCTCAATTTCGCACTATTTTTCAAAGATCCTGTTTGCCTGGGGTGCGAGTGAGGGATAAACCTAGCCCAAAACGTGAAGAAAGTCATACCTCTGCTCTGAGCCTGATATCGTAACTGAAGAGAAGTGGGTGTCTTGCATAGCTTCTGCTCTGATCCCAAAACACATACGACAACAGCATTTCCACTACGTTCAAGTGGCCATTTCCAGCTACAAGATGTAGGGCAGTTCGACCGTGGATGTCTCGCGCCATCTTATCGGCTCCCATCAGAAGGTACAGTTGGACGACCGCCCAAGCTCCCTTTTTGGCCCTTACATGGAGCGGCGTGAGTCCTTCAGCGTCTCGCTGATCCATTTTAAAGTCACTCAGATTGTCTTTTGTCGACTACTACATAGATTGTCCCGCGCAGGAAGGGTTAGAGCCAAGTAGCGTGAGACTACAAACACTCACCGGAGATCGAGGCTAAGTTATCGGTATACGTCAACAACGACTTCCTGAATCTTGAATGACAGCCTGGTTCTCATTTCATAAACACGAAGAGGGGTAAAAGCGAGGTGCTGCCTCGTGTAACCTGGAATCGTATGTCACCTCGTCAATCGAGCCTCCTTCTCAATACCAACAACTCATCCACAGACTTACGGGATGTCCACCCAAGGTATGGCACCGAACTGCGATCGCATTGAGAGTAGCCCTCTTAACTGGAAATAGACACTGAGGGGCTGTTGCTCCGCGCCGTGGTGCAGAGAGATGTCGAGGGCGTTCAGCGCCTTTTAGACGAGGGTAGTGACCCGAATGCTCACGAGGACTCTGCATCGACGGCCTTGATCTCTGCAGCAGAAGCAAAGAATTTTGAAATTGTAGAGCTACTTCTCGAGTACGGAGCAGATCCGAACGGGCAGCAGGAATCTGGATCAATGTCGACAGCGCTGCATCAAGCAGCTCAAGATGGTCAAGAGAAACTGGTGCGATTGCTGCTCGAACACTGGGCTGATCCAAATATCAAGGATAGTACTGGATCGACTCCGCTTCACATTGCAGCGAAGGGCAAGAGCGCGCTTGTTGTAAGGCTTCTGATTGAATCTGGGGCAGATCTAGAAGCAAGAGACAGTAAAGAAAGAACGCCGCGATTCTACCCATCTCAGGTTGATATAGCACGGTGGCTCAATGGAAAAGAAGTTTCTGTCTCTCGGGAGGTGGGCTTCCAAGACTCGAAGTGGTGGAATTGGGAATGTGCTCGCTCGAGATTCCTGCTGACGTTGCATCTAGGCACAAGAAACCCCAATATTTCCTATCAACATCAATGGCATCTCATTAGACCCAACTACACCAGCCATTGAATTAAGCACGACTGACTATGTGCTTATCCAGAGCTGGGCTCGTCTCAGTAAGTCGGAGTGGAAGGAGCTTGATAAAATCGGGGCTCAGCATCCCGATTATGTATCAAAGAACACATATCTGTGCCAATATCAAGATCGCAACCTAGATAGGCTTCGCAAGCTGGAGCCTGTGGAATTTGTCGATGTTTACCCGATGCATGTCAAGATCGCCCAGAGCTTCAGAACTGGACCCAGGAAAGAAAGTTATAAAGTCGATCTTGTTTTCCATGAAGGGGTGGACTCGCAAACCCAAGCACTTCAGCAGGAGATACAGGAGAGGTCACAATGCAGAGATATGGATATCGAATTTCTTGCCCACAAAGCTCGACTGACAGTGCAAGCTTCCTTTCTTGAGGCGTTGGCATCTATCGACCAGGTGCGTTGCATCGAAGAAGTGGGCGAGGTAGTGGCGTTCAACGATATTGCCCGTCAGATATTGAATATTGACAACAGGAAACATCCTTCATCTACGCATGGCCATGCGACTCCCTACGACGGGAGAGGACATGTCGTTGCCGTCGCGGATACAGGACTTGACCAAGGGCAAAATGCACCACTTCACCAAGCGTTTGATCAGAGCAGAATCCTCTGGTTGCCCCTTCACGGAAACACGGAGGACAGCACCGGCCATGGCACTCACGTCTGTGCCTCAATCGTTGGTGACGGCATGCTCTCAAATGGGCGCCGAATTATGGGCACGGCACCACGAGCAGGTCTGATTGTGCAAAGCATCTGGAATACAAAAAAATTGCCTGAAGCCGGCTTAGACCTTCCCAGCAATCTGGCACAGATCTTCGTTGCACCGTATCAGGCAGGGGTCCGGATACATTCAAATTCTTGGGGAACACCTTACTGCAAACAGGATGCACAAGGTAACACTGTCAGAAAGCAAGAGCCCTATAACCTCAGATCGGCAGAGATTGACAAATTTGTTGACGATAATCCAGAAACCGTTATTTGCTTCGCGGCTGGGAACGATGGGTGTGAGCCAATTTCCAACCCAGATATAGGCCACATTGGTGCTGAAGCAGCAGCGAAGAATTGTATAACAGTCGGAGCCAGCGAAAGCTCACGGGAAGCGAGGAGTAGCGAAGACATGGCTAGCTTCAGCAGCCATGGGCCTGCACAGAGTGGGCACGCAAGGGGTAGTCGAGCAAAGCCTGACGTTGTGGCACCCGGCACGTCGATCCTCTCCGCAGCTTCAAAAGCCCCTTCTGCAATTGCACATCTCGCGAAGCAGGGCACTCAACTCCACCAGACTGATCAGAGCTGGTGTTATAGGAATGGTACCAGCATGGCCACCCCGTTCGTGGCAGGCTGCGCGGTCGCCTTGCGTCAAGCCCTTCTCGATAACCCACCCAATGGTACACCAATACCCACTCCAACCGCAGCGCTCGTCAAAGCTCTACTCGTAAATGGTGCAAAAATCTTGAAATATGGTGCACCCAATTTTGTGCCCAGCGATCACTCGGGTTTCGGCCGTGTTGACATGGCCGCCACGCTCAGTGTCGTCCATAAAGAACCAGAAACAGGGTTTCGCGAGGCTCAAGTTAGCGATAGCAACCCTCTTTGGGAAGAGGAAATCGACATCGCGCGCCAAAACACAACCCTCAAAGCAACTCTTGTATGGACAGATCCGCCTGGTGAGATGATCAAGAACAGCTTGCAATTGGTGACGGGACCATCTAAGCGTGGTTCAACTAGAAACAATGTCCAGCAGATCGTATGGAAGGATGTGCCTCAAGGGAAACTGATGCTCAAGGTACACGTTATTGGGAAGACGCTTTTCAGGTCCCCCCAACGGTTTGCCATAGTTTGGAGAGTCTCCTAAGCTTGGGCTGGGACCACGCTCGCTGACTCGACTTGACAGAACGGTGATTATGCAGCTCTAGGTAGCAAGGTAATTCGTAGGTCCCAAATCATCTGACTCATCAAAAAGTACTCGTGATAGCCCGTGGTTCAATCGACGACATACCAGGTGGGACGTCAGAATACTTCGGTGAATCAGAATTGCGAACCCGCAATTCCGACAGATTTATGGGGGTGATAAGCTGGGAGACTCTTCCGTTCATGCATGGCAATGGCAAGGTGCTCCCGAAAGATACGTGGATCATGTCCATCATATCACATCAATTGCACTAAAATTTCCTGGCTATACCAGCTATAACCTGTGCTTCAAACATGATCTTGTGTGGCCCAGCTCTCAAAGATGCCCAGATTGTTCCTCGCTAATACTCGACTGAAATGGCCGAGCACTTCTGTGAGCGCAGCCACAGCCATTTCCACTAGATTTCGAGGACGCAGTCTTCATCTAGCACCACCGTTTCTACTCGATGACTATATCCCTAAATACCATCTACTATCATCGGTGGACGCAGCGAAGAAAAGATCCAAGGCATATGCTCATCTACGAAAGTGCAACCTCTGCCCTCGCCTCTGTGACGTGAACAGATACGAGACGACCGGCCATTGTCTCATCGGTGCCGAGACGGTAAAAGTTTCGACCATCGCACCTCACTTTGGTGAAGAGCCCTGTTTACAAGGTCACAATGGCTCTGGATCGGTCTTCTTCTCAGGCTGCAACCTGCGCTGCGTGTTCTGTCAGAACCACGACATTGCCCATCAAAAGAGCGGGTTTGATCTCACGCCTGAAGAGCTCGCAGAGTGGATGGTCAAGTTACAGGAGGTGGGTGCCGTCCATAACATCAACTTTGTCACTCCAGAGCATGTTGTGCCACAGGTGGCCCTGGCAATTCTCACCGCACGGGATATGGGGTTGAAGGTTCCAATCGTCTACAACACCAGTGCATTTGACAGTCTGGAGAGCCTGCATTTGATGGATGGACTGGTAGATATCTACCTTCCAGACTTCAAAGTGTGGAATAACGATACGAGTAAGAGATTACTCAAGGCTGATGGCTATGCCGACGCAGCTAGGGAATCTATTCAAGAAATGTATCGACAGGTAGGTGATCTGTGCTTCACGGGTGATGGTATCGCCAAAAAGGGTGTTCTCGTACGTCATTTGGTTATGCCTGGTAAGGAGCAAGAAGGAGTGGAGATAATGAACTGGTTGGCCAGTGCGATCAGCAAGGATGTCTTTGTCAATGTCATGGAACAATATTTCTCGACTGCACATGTTGGCAAAGAGAAAAGAGGTGCCAATAGCAACAAAGACAAACGGTATTCTGAGATCAACCGACCAATTAATCGTGATGAGATCAATGTGGTGCAGAAAGCGGCCCGGGATGCTGGACTCTGGAGGTTTGCTGAAGCTGCCAGACATGGTGGTTGGAATGTATGACTTTGGATTACAGCTTCGTTCCCATCCGCCCTAACCCAACTCGCGCTCACAATTCCTGGGCTGTGTCATCCAAAGTCCAAGGAATCTGCAAAATAAAGATCCAAGGACCTCCTGATCCAAATTGCACCTGACAGAAGGTTCGTCCTGTTCTGGTCTGGCGGGATATTCTGCACGTGCAGTTGATGTCCCTTGCACATTCCTCACTTCCTTTGTTGGAATTCACTGCCTTCCCATTGGCCAGCCTTGTCCCTTTGTTGGATTCACTCTCAGCCTTGTCTACCGCAAACAAAAGGATCTTTTCCGCCGTCCTCAGCAATAGAAGAAATGGCCCTGTTGTCTCTCTCAATGAGTGATCTTGGCCCAGTCTTCTCACAGGTTGATCACGACCTATTTATTCGTTTGGGTGAGCAAGAGCAAGTGTCTTCCAGTCCACAATGTCGACACATCCCAAGAGCCCTCCAGGCAAACACCCGAGCCTGTGCACTGCTCAACATTCAATCCTCCAACAAGAGAGGCTTTATCTTCTACGAGGACTGGCGGATGAAGAACGGCGCAAAGAACGGTTGACTTCAACATTGCGCAAGGTCGAATCAGCTCTCAACTTGACTACTAGCGAGCCATACGGACATCCCAAAGCACTTGGAAAGAAAGTAAGAATCCTCCGATCGAAGCTGAATAGATGCAAACGAACAAGCCGGGCACTTTGCACCAGTCTCGAGGACGTGGTGGCCCAGATGGAGAGATTAGATGATCACCAATGGCGCAGAGCACATGATGATTATGCCCAACAAACACAATATGGTTTGATGACCAGCCTGTCACCTACGAGACCTTCTGCTGCGATGATCAATCTATCAGCTGCAGGGCCGTCGATGCAACACTTGCGCACCGATGCCATGCCACAGTCGCCATTCCTCAACTATCAACAACAAGCCATCATTCAGGGCATCTACGCAAATCCAATGGAGCAGACACTCATGTCCCAAATCCCAGCAACCCCAATTTTGAGACCAGTGCAGTATTCATACTCCGATGGTTTCTCATTCTCTCCACCGCCGCGACGTGGCTTCTCTAGTATTCTAACCAATATCAATCCCACCTCCGGGCTCTACTCATATGACTCAACTGGCCCGAGCCCGACAGACACCATATCGACCTACTCCCTAAACCCCAACCCGTGGGTGGCAGGGCGCACTTACCCATCCGAGAGCAATGCAATGCCAGTATCGGGTATATACTCAAATGTATTGGTCCCCACAACACAAGTCTTCGATCTCGTCCAGGGCCTAGGAACCATGGGACTCTCTTCAGGACCGGAAAACCAGAATCTTGGCGTCGCGGGTATATCAGGTGTCTGGGTTCGTGCTCCACCGCCACAATTATCGCCATTGCATTCTGCTTCAATGATGTCGTTCGGGGACGTTGATATGTGTATGCAGGGGGGATATGGGTTTGGGCATGATGCCACGTCGAAGCTACAGGGACGTGCTGGGTGGAAGGGAAAGAGAAGATCTGCTTGATTCGGTTTCGGGAATTATCAGATGAACATTAATTCTCTTCTTTACCAAACACGACCGTGTTTCTTTTGTCCTGTTCATCCTGTGAGTTCCAGTATTGCCAGTATGTTGAAATGAGAGCCTCAAGCCCCCATGGAAGGCTCGGCCACACATAGCTGGATATCCATTACTAGTTACCAGATATCAATCTATTTATAATGTAATATCACCAATCCTAACCTATTGATTTGTCTCATTGTGTTCAGCGTGACACTTGATGGAACTCATTGTAGCTCTCCACGCAGGAATGCTTGGCAACGATGTGAGAAATAGCGGCGTGCGAGACCGCCACACAAACACCATCAGTCAATTACTCAGGTAGGTATCTATCACGCAACTCGAATACATATAAAACTCAATCTCGAAGGACCCATTATGAATCGTGCTGATGAGGGCCCTTTCTCCCAAGACGCTAGGCGAACAAGAACTGCGGCAACAAGGGTCGAGAGACAGCAAAACGGCAGAATGCGCAAGTTTTCTCATATTTTGAGCAAGTTTCTCTCCATTAGCCGATGATCCGCACCACATCCACAAAGCTTGCTACATCTTGATCGGGTGCTTAACCGGTGCTTCGTTCTTTTCTTGCAGTTTGATGGCGTCCTCTCAGCTGGTTTCTCTCCCCATTGCGGTGGACCTGTCGTTCCACGAGTCAGACTGGATGTCAGCTTGTGACCACTGACCACTGACCAGTGGCTCTGGGCTCTGGGCTCTGGGCCTCGTGGTTGCATGTGGCAAAGGTTCTTGAGTAGGTTTTTGATACCGAAGGCTAGGTACTTCGTACTATTTCCCCTTCGCTTGTTGGACGCTGCACGCCCTCCTTACCGAATTGAACAAATCATAATGCTGTTAATTGCTCAAGGTGAACAAAAGGCCCACATTGTGGAGTTTATGGAGGTAAGAGGTTCACTAACTTGTAGTACAAGAGGTTAACGGCCCTACCTGGTCTTGACAGTGTTGGCTTCGGTTGAGTGTTGCTTCTTTCTCTTCTGATGAGATAGGTCTTTTATCTTGAGTCCAATTCCTTCGTCTACCCTCCACTAAGTTGATTCTTATTCACAATGGACATGGACATGGATATGCCTCCTGCGGATCCGACTGTGGTGGACTTGCCATTGTCGGATCCCAGATGTAATACGAGTGATTGTACTGCGTTCGCAGATGCCGCAGCCGAATCTGCAGAACTACACCCGTGGGCAGACCAGTTCAAGTACGGTCGTTGGGCAACATACTACTATCTTGTCATTATCGCTCTGTTCATTGTCGCATACCTATACCGCACATATCATGATCGAAATGCGACAGCCTCCAAAAAGAACGCAAGCCAATCACCGTCAATAGGAAACAAGCTACTCGCTGGAGGCCGCTGGCTGGCATATCGGCGCATTCACTTCCCTGGATCGAGCATCTTTGAAATCCCATCATTTGGAGTTCTCGCACTGCTCCTCGCCACGATCGTGTTCCTGGCCGCTTGTACCTTTGCAACACGACCATACTATCGACAGCATTACAAATATGGATCACCTCCGATCGCCACCAGGACGGGCCTCATGGCTTATGCGTGTACACCAATCTTGATTGCTCTGGCTGGGAAGGCAAATGTCCTCACCTTGATCACAGGCATTAGTCATGAGAAGTTAAATGTCATTCATCGCTGGGTCGGGTGGATTACTTTGGTCTTGAGTTTGATTCACACCATCCCTTTTCTCTATCAACCTGAATTCCTCGAAGGCAGAAGACACAGTCACGGTACATGAACTCCAGGGTTTCGCTCGGAAGCCCTTCCGCGGCACGATTCAAGACGAGTATTAGTGCATTGCTCTCTCCAAACTTCCACTGAGTGTCCCATCTCTTCAAGTAGTCATTAATTTTTTGGGTCTCCTTTTCGTTCCCTTCGCACGAAAAGCATCCAGCGAGAACGACTCTGCCCCCTTTGCGGACGTACTCGACCATCTTGTCTTGGTGGGCGTGGTTTTGCTTGTCGTGTTCACGCTCGTCCTCCTGGCGCTCGTCCCAATTGCCATCGTCCGTATCGCTCTCGTAAAAATAGCAGAAGCCCATACGAGTCACAATGATCGCGCTAGGATTGTCGATACGATTGAGCAGATCAATTGCTTCGTCGATGCAGAAAGCCTTCATGATTACTGATCGCTGAGAGAGTTCATCCATCAGATTTTCATATCGTGTAATGTCCTCCAATCCGGGAAGGTCGATAACCAAGATTATGGGCGGATCGTTCTCGGAAACATGTTGGTGGGTGATCAACTCTTCTTGAGCAGCCGTGTTAGGTTGGTTGCTTTCTTCCATGACAGATAAGTCGGGAAAGGTTGTAGGGGTCTGAACGAAAAGAACACGGTGGCTGCTCGTTGGCTGAATGAGGTCGGTGAGATTCTGTACTTGAACTGCTTTGAGCCGGGTTGTAGAGGATAAGGTACGAGAAGGAGGGGGAGTATGCTGAGTAAGAAAAAGATGAGAAAGAAGTCTCACTTTATCAGACTCGTAATGAGCCAGACGTGAGCTGGAGGCAATGAGGCTGGCTGGTTGGCTGGTAGAAGTCGAGGAATGAAGCTGTCACTGAAACCCTCAAAAGCAAAGACTTCCCTCCTGCTGACATGGAAGCTACGACAAGCCCAACATGCCCAAGACCACAGCGTCACTTTCCTCCACTCCATTCACATCACCAACATATCCCAACCAGCCATTCCCCACCTGCTTGAAAACAACAGCAGCCTCAAACTCGGGAACAGCAGTATCAGAATCATCAGAATCGATCGACTCGTCCTCCGCTGGGTTATACCATGAGGCACTTTTGCGGACTCCCTTAAGATAAACAGCTTTCTGGGAATATGAGCGAGGCAAATCTCCGTTGGTGAGGCCTACAGCAGCCGTGTTCAAATAGAGCTTGGCTCTATGATAAGTGCTATATCTCCATGGCAAGTTCCATTTCTCACCAAAGAACCTGTCTATTCCATCAAAGCTGACAGAGCCTGAGAAGCGACCACAGATAACGGAGACTCCGCCTTTCCGCACATACTCGATGATCTGCTCCGTGACGATGTCGTTCTTCTCCGCCGTGATCGTGCCATCGGTTATCAAGATTCCCTTGAGTATCGTGTCGCCTTTGAGCAGATCAAGCGCCTCACCGGTGTTGGTCGCGTATTTAAGGGTTGCCTTGTGAGCGAGCCTTTTCAATAGCGAACCGAACACCGCCTCTAAAAGCTCTTCCTCCTCAGGACCACCAAGTCCGAATACAAAGACGGTGGGGTCAGTCGCGGGAATTGGAGGCATCTTGAAAGTGACAAAATGTCCCTTGAACCCCTGACCTCAGTATCCGAAAGCCTTTGTTGATGGTGGCACAGTATGTACGCTTCGGAGACGAGCCAGCTACAAGGACTGTTTCCCGTCCAATAAACACTACTTGGATTCTGGATTTTCGGTCGACAGGAGGATCCATCAACACCAGTCACACATCGCTTGAACAGATCCTCGGTTTTTATAACCACGTGATGATAAGAACTAGGGAACTAACTAGTCTGGGCTTAGTGCTCGGATGGAAGGTTATCACCTCTCGCCCTGAGCCTCGGGACTCACCCCGACAGCACTTGACACGTCCTAGGGCCTAAGGACTTTTCCTTATCATATATCTATGTATGTAACAGATCCATCTCCCATCAGCGCTAGCCACAAGGGCAGCAACATTGACGTGCTCATCCCCATCCTTTCCTTCTAAAGCTAAGGTAAGCTACACCGACCCATTCACACTCAGCGCCGCAACAGGCTGCCTCTGTGTCTCCGTCTTCGTCTCCAACCCAATCTGTGACTCAGTCTCGCGGGCTTTTTTATTGACAGCCTCGATCTCGAAACCCGCGATTGCTTTGTATTTCGCACCAACACCCTCCAGCTCCTCCTTCGGGATAATGTCGTAAACGTGTTTGAACCCGTCTGGCGCCCGCTCGTGCGCCAACTGCAGCACCTGATCTGGCCCATTCCCGCGGTTAGCGAAGACAATAGCGGCCGTGGGTGGGAGACGGATCGACTGGTACTCCTGCAGCGCAGCCAGGATATCACCACCTTTTGTCTTCTGGAGACAATTCGCCAGCGCCTCGGCGTCCAAGATCGCCTGTGACACCCCGTTCGAGCCGATCGGATACATAGCATGTGCGGCATCGCCGAGCAGCGTCAGACGGCCAAATGTCCACTGCGAGACCGGCTCGCGGTCGCACATGGGGAACTCGTAGACCTTGGGCGTTGCATCAATCAGGTCCGCCATGCGCAACCCGCCGCACGTCCAGGGGCGGAAAGGGGCTTCGAAGCGTGATTTCGGGACGCTGCGTGTCCAGTCGACGGGTGGGGGCGTGAGGTCCGGGTCGTTCTCGTCGCGGACCCGCAGCTCGGCGATCCAGTTGACCAGGGATTTGTTGCGTTGCTTCGCCGATTGTGCGCTGATCGGGTACGCGATGAATTTCTGGTTCGCGTGCCCGGCCCAAATCATCGATGCGCCCGTCAGGTACGGGTCTCGCTCGATGCAGCCACGCCAGAGGATGCGGCCGGAGAAGCGTGGCGGTCCTTCGTCCGGGTACAGCAAGCGGCGTGCGTGGCTGTTGATACCGTCAGCGGCGAGGAGGATGCTGCCCGTCATGCTGGGGATTGAGGACGGTTGGCCATCGGAGCGCTGCGTGAAGTGTGCGGTGATGCTGGCGGTGTCTTGGTCGTATGAGGTGAAGGCGTGGTTGAGATGGATTCGGTCGTCGCCGAGCCGGTCTTTCACCACGTCCAGCAGCAGCATTTGGAAGTCCCCTCGGTGGATGGACAGCTGTGGGATGTCGTAGCCGGCGTCGAGGCCACGTGGCTCCGACAGAATGATGTCGCCATGGCGGTTGTAGAAATTCAGTTCCTTGGTGGTGATGCCGGTTTCGAGTAGTGTGGGCAGTAGGCCGAGGTTGCGGAGAATTAGCACTGCTGAGGGCTGCACGTTGATGCCGACTCCCAGCGTGGTGAGCTGGGAACTGGCTTCGAATATGTGGACGTCTGTGAACCCCTAGAAAAGGTGAAAGGTGTGAGCTACGTGGTAGAATCGAGGCAGGGGTTCAAGCCTCAGCCTAGCCGGGATATACACATCCCTCCAGGTACTGTACGTAGCAAAGTGCGGGGAAGGAACATACTGCGGCGTGCAGGCACAGAGCTGCACTTAACCCTCCAATACCAGCTCCGGCAATGATGATCCTCGGCTGAGTCATGGCCGGATTTTGCGATCTAGAAGGGAAAAGGTCAAATGACAGACAGGGAGGAGATCATTCACAAAAACCCTGAGTAGTAGGCTTTGAGAAGATGCCCACACAGTCAGTACTGCCTGAACTACCACAGTAGGAAAAGTAATATTTACGCCGAGCTTTTAAAAAAATATCGTGTTTAGTTAGTGCCGCCATGTTGTGTGGGGAAGTGGAAGTGGAAGTGGGAGCGATCTCGGAGACTGCCATGGGGGAAGCAAAGCAAAGCAAGCAAGCAAGCATGGCACCCACATGGAGCTAACTTGGATGTGCGGCTCGAGTCGACCGCACCAGAATAGTCGGGTGTTGTTGTTTGTTAAGCCGTACTGCGTTGTATGTACGTTATATCGCTATATCATCATATTATGTTGGTTATCAGTGTGGTAAGAGGATCGACCGAATAGACGATGAGAATATCCACGTGTTTTGTTCCAGTACTATGGCTGACAATTGTCGATCGAAACGGCCGCCGTCTGTGTGGAGTGTGGAGTGTGAACCATTTGGTGAGTAAAGGAGGTAGGTATACATTTATATATAGTCCAGCATATCTAAGAGGGAAAGTATTCTTGATGCACGCCCGTCCACACACACCCATCGTTTTAAAGTACTCGTCTCTCGAGGAAAGAAGAATCTCTCAGCATACGCACCGCCTGCTCTCAGTAGTATTGACAGAAAAGGAACCTAGTCCAATTTCGGCGCCGAAACACCCTCCTTCTTGACGCCGGCAGGGCCATCATTGCCACTTCCACTCTCGCTTCCAGGGCCAGAGCCAGTAAAGGGGACACCCTCATGAATCCCACTCCGGGAAGTAATGACCTGACCAGCGGGCATGCCCAGCTCCATGAGATCGTCCCAATGCACGTCGTTCAAGTACTTGAAATCCAGACCCTTGACCTCGTCCTCCTCCTTGACACGCAGATAGCAGCCGGGGATGCGATTGATGATGAAGAGGAGAATACAGCTGACGATGAAACTCCACGCCGCACAAGTGGTCGCGGCCGCGAGCTGGTAGCCCATCTGGATCCAGTTGTGATCCCACCAGCCGCCGGCGTAAGCGGCGCCAGAGGCTCCGTCGAGAGCTGGCACCCATGATGCGGCGAAGAAGCCCGTGAGGATGTCGCCGACGAAACCGCCTACGCCGTGGATGGCGAAGATGTCGAGGCCTTCGTCTATGCTGATCAGGTATTTGTATTTGTTGGTGAAGAAGCAGCAGGTCGAGGTCAGGAGGCCGACTAGTGCAGCGGTATAAACGGGGACTGTGGCCAAGCTTGTTAGCATATAGTGTTCTTTATGCATGAACCCAACTCAACTTACCAAAACCAGCAGCGGGTGTAATGCCAACCAGGCCCGAAATGATGCCAGAACAGAACCCAATGATACTGAATTTCTTGGTGTAGAAGTATTCAAGCAGAGTCCAGCCAATGCCACCTCCGCAAGCGGCAAGATTGGTATTGACCACAACGTAGATTGAGCGAATGGAAAGGTTCGCCGTACTGGCACCTAAAATCGAAAAATCGAAAATCATCAGCATTTGCCCCTCAACACTCGAGACGAGAGAACAATCCTACCATTGAAAGCGAACCATCCCATCCAGATGAAAGAAGTTCCCAGGCCCACGAGAAATGGGTTATGAGGCTTGTGGTGGATGATCTTTTGACGAGTTGCGTTGTCGTGTTCACTCAGACGAGGTCCGAGCATCAAACTCCACGCCAGCGCCGCGAAACCACTAGCGATATGGACGGGACCAGAGCCTGCGAAATCGTAGACACCTAGTTGATATAGCCAGCCATTAGGGTTCCATTCGAAGTATGCCAGAATATAGTATACGAAGGTGGTCCAGCAGAGGAGGAACAACATCGACGGAAACAGGCGGCCACGTTCGAGCATTGCGCCAGCCAAGATCATGGCTGTTGCAGTGACGAAAGTGAATCCGAAGCAAGCGTAGAGAATATCAGGGATATCGGAATTGGCCAGAGACGGAGCAGCAAGGACGTTGTGTAGACCTGCCAGTGACAGATTTCCAAGCATGGGATTAGTCGTATGCGATTGGTAGAGACTGTATCCGTAGATCCAGAATTGAATACCGCATGCACAGGCGCAAAACAGAGATTGGAAGATCATTGTCAAGGCGGCCTTGCGACGATGCATACCGGCATAAAGGTAGCCGATGGCGGGGGTGATTTGCCAACATAGGATCGTGCAAACCAAAATCCAGCAGAGGTCACCCTGGTAGAAGTGTAAGAAGGAGATGTCATGATGAGTGAGGGTTATAGATGTGCTGTAAATACCTTGTCGTATGGCGCATTTAAATCATGAGTAATTGGGTCACCGCCCTGAGGGGTGACACTGTAATCGGGCCATTCTGTGATCGGAATGATTTCGTCCGACATGGTCGCTGATAACTGGCAGCCTTACTCACGACCTGCTCTTTACCAAAGATTGAACAGGGATGGCCGTGGGCTAAATACTCAGATGAGAAGGTTTGAATTGAAAGGAGGAAAATGAAAGATATAAATTTACAGAAGGAACGTTCAGATGATGGAAGCAGGGTGTCGAGGGGTAACAGTCGGGGTGTATATGCTCTCACTCAGGTACCGGATAATGCGCGTCTCGTGGTAGATGTCCCTAGGCTGCAGATAACCATGTCGGGCCAAGAGATAGACACTGATAGGTCTAAAGCCCAAAACGGAAACACTGTCCAGTAGCTTAACATATGGTCATCGCAGGAGGGTAACCATGTAACCGATAGTCTTCGATCACCAAGATCAAGAGCTGTACTGGAGGCAAATATCAAACCTGAATGTCTTCTTCGGAGCATATATGATATGGCTCAACTCCATTGCATTGCTGAAGAGACGGAGTGTGAAGGTTTGTAGACACAGAGGCATGGCCACCACTGTGCGATACCAGGCATTGAACTCGGGCTGTGCAACCCTGAGCCAGTCTCTCCGACGTCAACATGCAGCCCTCGTGGCAGCCAAGAAGTCAGTACTCGGATAGTGACACCAATCATTGTCGAGATTCGATAACGGAATTGTCCACAACTGGTGAATCTCGCTTGACAAGCCGGCCCAGATGGCAGTAGTAGAGCACTGATGTGTCTTTGGAGGAATTCCGCCGTGCAACATGAAAAGGCTGAAGTGGAGGAATTACTCACGGAGACCGTAGATCTCTTATCAGTGGATTCCATGCCCAGACCTTGGCATCAGGTTCCGCTCGCAAGGCTGCGCGGATGTCGCTGTTTGTATGGTTCAAATGAGTTGAAAGATAAGTGAATGGTGACAGTGGGGTTGGTCAAGAGGTTTCAAGCCTTGGTAAGACCTTGGCTGGTAGTCCACCTGTCCCTGTGTATCTCCACCACTATCTGGGGTGATTTCAAACATGTTATTGACCCTTTCAACTCTTGGAGTACTTTGAAGTGGCCAGAAAACATGCCTAGTCAGGACAAGGCTGTTTTCGAACGATGTGTCTTACTCGTACGTGTCTTGTTCAGAATACGCGAATCCAATCAATTGACGAACATAAAAAAAGAGCCTAGACGTTCGTACGAGAAATGTGCGGCTGATGCAGTCCATTAATTCGGACACGTTCTGTCACGTCCCGGTTCACTCCTAGAACGCGTGTCGCCACGTGGAGAGTTCAGACCTCGGATGTGTCGGATCACTAATGCTTTGAACCTTTGATGTTGAGATCTCTTCTGGTGTGGCTCAAGGGAAACTCGAGGCTAAATTAACTGCTGCCATCAGAACCATACAAGTGAGACCGTCGTTGGAAAAATATATATCTTTAAATTTTCTCCAGACATCATGCCTGAAGTGAGGATGGAAGGCGACATATAAATACAACCGCTCATTGGCCGAAGTCGACAACTTGGGGTCTCGGGATTTTGAGTAGTGGCGTTGGATACAACCCGGAGTAATCACTCTTCCTACTCACCCATCCAGATTCTTTACGCATTCGTCCTGTTCATCACGCTGCCGTTGATGTAAGCGAGCGGTGTCCTGTTTGTTCAATCTTGCCGGATTCCAGGCATATACCCCACGATCTCTCCACCTTGGTGCCAATCATTGCATGACTGCGGTACAGGAACTTGATTGGACGTGTGGGTTCTCGTTCTTGCTCTGTAAATGTCCCTCCAAATGCTGTTGGTATAACGGAATGTTTCCTCCCCACAATGGTACAATGATGATAGAGGAGAAGAGTGTGCTCAGTGAAGATTTTCGAAACCGAACACATCAACCGTCGACTGATTGATACCAGTCTCCCCAGGAAGTGATGTCAAGCTTCAGAGTGAAGCCAATGATGATCACCATCACACGCCGAGAACCCATTTGGTTCTTTCATATACATAAAAGGCGGTCGCGGCCATGGGGACAACCTTGACGTAACCAATCGAAAGTCCGACAAAGAAACCTCTCCAACCTCTTTCTGCGAATATTCTTCTTGCAGTTTCTGCAATACTCAGTCGATGACCATCGCCAACTGCTCCACCGACTTGCATACGCCGGCGTATTACCTCCAAGGGATAAGATGCGGTCTGCGACACAATTCCAGCCATGGCACCCGAAGTAAGTTCTGCTGCCGCGTTCAGTTGAACTCGTTGGTATGATCTGTCCTTAGACTCGGTGGGCGGGACCGGGGCGATGGCGGTTGATCGCAGAACGGTATAAGGAGCAAGACTTGGATGTCTGAAGAAGTCTCCTATCGTATCGTGTGTTAAGAATGACATGCCCGCGTATGGAAGCATGCCCAATAATGTGGGAGAAAATCCCCGGTAAAAGTTAACGAGCCCAGACTTCGGTGCTACTTGATTTGCAACACTACCGGCGACCGCCGCTGGACCCTGTATGGGTACGGGCTCGGGTTGTGGAGGCTGCTCATGGTATATCTGTCGACAAATGCGAGCTAACGAAGATCTCGAGTCTCGTTTCGTCTCGAAAGCCAGTCGTACTCGTATAACCTCGAGCGGGTATGTGAAGAAAACTGACGTAATACCTGCCAGCGAGCCCGACACGAATCGACGTATGGGGGTCTCGTGAGCTTTGTCCGGTATCACTGCAGCTCTTATCTGTTCATAGGCCAAGAACTTGATTCCAGCATATGGAAACACTCTGAGGAGCGTGGCTGAATGACCACGAAATAAACCGCGTAACCCAGCCTGCTTATTGATATCCTTCATCGCCGTGAAAACCCCGAACCAACTCCCGGTGTATTTGGCAAACTGGGGGTTCGACGCCTGGAAAAGGATCTTGACTCGATCGAGCGGCCCGACGACGGTTTTAGCCTGTACAACATTCGCGTTAGTATTATCCAAGTCATCTCATAGAAAACGTCAAGATGGGGCGAGGAAGGAAATTCATACCGCGCATCCAGCCAACCCGCCCGCGAACCCTGTTCGTAGGAGGTAATCCAAACTCCTCTTATCGACTTTCTTCGCATCTCGACTCGCTGCCGCGGGGCTCGGAAATGTCACCGGCGTAGCGGCATCGTTTCTGGTATATATTCTCTGAGGGCTACTACTGGGAGGCTCCTCGAGCAGACGGGGGGAACCTCGGCTCTCCATCTGGGATGGTTGTGGGGGTTGTGATGTCGTCGCTGCATGGCCTGCACCTTGCAAAGGCATTCAATGGCGGACACCCGTCGAGAGCATGTCGTAGTGTGTGGTGGATGTTTCCGAGAGAGTTGTTGTAGAATGAACGAGTTGTGAGTGAGCAGACAGCTGGCTGCAGTTGGAATGTTTGGTGGTGACGTGGGGAGGGTAGGGCTCGGAGTTTGGAGTGGGAAGGTTCAGTGGCACTGGAGTCTGGGAGCCGAGAGACCTCTCGAGGCCGAGGGCCTAAGTTACTCTCGCCTCCGTAGTCGGCAATAACCAGAAAAGAAAGCCGGATCGTTGCCGCTCAATTTTCGGGCCTTTCTAGGGATGATGTGCGCCTCGATATAATTGGCCTAGGGGGCGCCTTGGAACAGCCTCTCCGTAGAGATTTTCGCCCCAGGCCATAAACATCAAATCACAAGCTTGGGCGTTCCAAGGCTGTGGACGGCCCCGGACCGAACATTTCTTGCCTCTTGAGTCTCTCACCCCCAAACTGGGTTTTCATATCTCGAGCATGCCAATCATCTTTCTCCCATTTCCGATGATTTTGGGTGCAGAACGGTTATTCACGGTGGCACAGAAGTCGCAAGGCCCAGAAAACATATTGGCTTTTATTTAGCTAGATACACTAGCTGGGAAGGTATCTTGTATATACTATTACTATTCAGTTACTCTTCGAGTCGTACCTTGCTTGCAGATGATGATGATGATGATGATGATGATGTTAAAGCAAATCAATGTCGCTCATGCTAATGCTCATGCCAGTGCTCATGCCGTAAAGGAAGATTTTCGAACACCCTTCATGCATTCTTCCTACGGCTTTGATATTAATTATACTTTGGGTCATTAACAAGCATCGCCCTCAGCCTCGGGGACAGTAGGCGGAGGACTGATGGTACTCGTACTCGTACTATGCCGATGGCCCCGGACTCTGGCAGTTGGATTTGATGGAGTAGAAGACGCATCTCGAGAGGAGTTGGAAGAGTCGGTAGTTGCCATGACACTAGGTGCCTTGTCGGTCGGTATTGCTTGCAGCGTCGGAACAAAATTTGTCTGTTTCTCAGAGCTTCTTGTTCTCGTTCTCAGATGCAGCGGCCCTGGTGTCGGCTTTTCTGGGCTCTTCGAGCGTGTTCGCATTCGTGATATGACTGGTGATATCGTATCCGTGTAGGTGCTGGTTCCCATCCAGACACTGTCATTTCGACGTCGTCCTTCAGCCTCCCACCAATTTGGATTTGCTTTGGGCTTCACTGGTGCCGGCTTCTCTACCAGCGACGGTTCCGACTTTAGGTGAGTGTTCTTCTCAGCACAATGCCCATTCAAGAAGGCCTTACTCCTCCGCCGAATAGCAGGCATAGAAAATTTGGAATTGCCATCGATTCTTCTCCACGGTCGTTCCATCCAGGAAAATATGATGCTGTCCACACCAGCTTGGAGGCATAGCATCAATGTCTGCATCACCGCCAACCAATATACGGGGTGCATGACATAGTAGTTGTTGTATGTGAGCGCGTGCGAAGCAAATGGAAAACTCCACATGATGATATAAACTAGTGGGTAAATAAACAAATATCTCAATTGCTTTCGTATTGCGATTCGAGTTTGTTTGAGCTGATCATTTCCTCCATTGCCCACAGTGATTCCCTGTGGCACTTTTTCCTGCGACGAGGTGTTCTGCGCTTCGCTATCTCCAGGACTGCTCTCTGGTACCGTCGAAGGTCTTGCGCTGGTGTTGCAGGAAGAACCTAGTTTCGTGTTCACAGTCGACCCTGAGACTGACGGGAATCTGGTTTCACCAGACCAGGAACTCCCATAGCGAGATGATGGGCCTGAAGGCACATCCCGCGGGACTTGGGAAAAAATCTCTCCAGGCGAGTATCTCGTGGTTGCAAACGTCATGTTCTCCCATGGCTGTAGTGGTAGAGAGTTGGATTGGTTCAATGCACTCGAACCTTTTTGTACCTCTGATGCTGACGCTGACGCTGAGACTACCCCCGGGGCCCGGAGGAGGTTTGGCTCGCTAGAATCTTTTTCCACGTATCTACCTGGGTGTTGGGAATCGCTTCGTGATTGCGATTCATCCCTCAGATCCGATGTCGAGTCACAGGACGAAACGATCTCGCCGAGATTTTCGAAGCCACGGAGTTTCACATGGATGTAGATGTAGATCCAGACATACATGGCCAGGATGATGATGATTATGATGTACCTAGGAACCCAGGATAGTGCCAGTCGATACCAGAATGGACGTTTCGGAAGGAAGCAGAAGGTCCCTGCAGTCACATAGGGCCGGGGGGTGTCAACGAATGCGAGACCTGTTGCAAGCAAGGGTGGACATAACCAGAGAGGATAAATCCAATTCCGGTAAGGATATAGCCCAATTCCGCCCACTCCACTGTTTGGTCGTGCAATACATAAGATTGAGTGGAGAGCAATGATGAAGATTGCCATGTCACAGGCTTCCATTGAAAAGTGCAGGAAGAATCCGCTCGCCTGGCAAAAGCTTGATGTGCTGTGAACAGGGCCCACTGTAAAGGTGACGACCGAGAAAACGAAATACCAGATGGCTTTGAACGTGTCACTCAGGATGAGATGCATGATAAGTCGATGTCGGAAGCTCCGCCTCATGAGCAAAAACCATCTCAAGCCCACCAGAACAGTCACTAGACTGACAGAGGATGCGACAAGGGCAATGACATGTATCGCTAAATTCTGCGAATCGCTGAAGGAGCCCCCTGCTCTGCCTTGGATGCCAGCGGCAGATGATAAATAGTCTTCAACGGGTCGAAGATGGGTCGAATTTTGAATTACATCGCCGGTAATGATAGAGTCAGTTGAGGGTGACATTCTGCCATACAATTAACTCTGTCGTTGTTACTGTTATTGACGTGGCTGGCAATGCATATTGCTGATGGCGAGTACGGTGCACCTTCACCTTGGCTGTTCTCGAGAGACGAGAACTGACAACTCGAATTTTAGGTCATGCAAGGTATGGTGTATATAGGTCAATAGTGATTAGCAGTAGATGGGCGTTCAAATCAGCGTCTGTTCAACAGGCAATCACATGGAGGAAGAAGTGAGAAAACCCCTAAGAAGGAGAGTTGGTAAAACACAGACTCGGACTACGAACACACGAAGAAACCTGGAAACCTATCTCGTAGTCCCGTCAATAATGAATGATGCATGGGTGTCTCGGCAGTCCCGTCGGTTGCACATCAAAAAAGGTATGCTCATGGGGCACTGGGTACTCGGTATGAACAGGGCGGGTGGGAAGGGTAGAGGACAAAACGCTGCGTAATCACGACGGCAAATGGATGTCGACAGGACCGCAGAAAAGAATCATTGGCTTGGTATATGCGATCAGATCAAGAGGCTTTGGTCTTCCCATGGTCCGTGTAAGGACCGTGAACTCATGAGGATGTCGTTGGCAAACCGAGAAAAATTGGAAAGCATGAAGATCCACGTTCGCGTCCGCGCTTGTCCATTTTTGGGATTTTGACGTGCTCCTTCCCTGACAACGGCCAGTAGACTCTTGTTCCTTCACTATTCAAGTTCACTATTGAATACTCACGATTAGTATCGTCGTTTGAAAAAGGCTCCATTGTTTGGATTTGCCTCCTCGGACCAATATACAGAAAGGTATGAGGACAATTCGATGACAGCTCTATTCCCAGATCCATCCTCGGAGTGAGTACCAAGCAAGCACTGCCTGACCACACGACACTGTATGCCATAACTCGGCACCAGGCAAGTCGGAAAATGTTTCCTGAGTACGAATGCATTTCCTAGCAAGCTGAAGCTGGTGATCATCTGCCAGATCAACGCCGTTTGTGTGGCATGGCAAGCTCTGTCCTTTATCACAATGCGGACAATTCGATCGTTCTCATTGATATTCCTGCCTCAATTGAAACCGCTCAGCAGAGTCAACTTATCATTGCGTCTACTCCGGCCCTGAAAACTCCATATCCAAGTACTGAGCCTCAAGGAGATAAGCGAGTCATGGTCCTAGCTGGAATATCAGCACGAGACCAGAACTACCACTGCTCGGTGCAGAACTCGATTCAGGAATCAATAGCCCATATCAAGACTTTATTCATTGATGGTCAAGGCGGCTCCTGGTATCGAACAAGACAATATTTGATTCGTTCAGACACAAATACGGGATCCAGCTGGATTGGCGCACGAGCCTTACCGGAGAAATCCCAGAGGTCCGAGAGCAAGAGTTCGTTGTCAGTGCAAGCCAACCTAGTCCCTGTCATTTTGTCAACCACAGAGCTTCGCAACAATTTTCCCTCGCTACACCAAATGCAAGATGTGGTCGTGCACAATCCCAGGTCCCACGCTTCAAGAATTTGTTTGCCCGACCAAGGTGCATTCTGGATCCCGCCCAACGCCACGTGCATTCAATCCACTCTTGAAGCAGGCTTGGAAGGGTTCATGATTGGCTCCAAGGCATTATCGATACCAAAGTCCCAAGCCTTTGAATTGATACTGATGGATCCACCATGGACCAATAGATCAGTACGCCGTTCTGGCAGCTATCAAACCGCCGAGACCCAGATGATGGACCCGTTCAATTCGGCCGTGCAGATCGCCAGATGCCATCTTGTCCCACATGGAATTGTGGCAGTGTGGATCACCAATCGCAGCTCAATCCGCAATATCGTGGTTGAGACATTTCGAGCCATGGGTCTGGGACTATTCCAGGAATCGATATGGGTCAAAATCACCGCCGAAGGTCATCCCGTGACACAGCTCGATGGCGTCTGGAGAAGGCCATATGAAGTATGTCTAATGTTCCGCCGAGGGACCAATGTAGACCGCGAACCTCATCGGCAAATCCTCGTTGCAGTGCCTGACGTTCACTCGAGGAAGCCCAATCTGAAGTCCCTGCTGGAACAGCACCTTCCCCCTCGATATGAGGCACTTGAATTATTCGCACGGAGCATGACTGCGGGTTGGTGGTCATGGGGAGATGAAGTTTTGAAATTTCAGCATGAGAGTCAGTGGACTGAGGAGCCTGACCCCGATTTCTCAGTAGTGAGTTGAAAATACCAAAGGACGTCTCCGTGTGATGTATGTATGTAAGATGATTCCGAACAATTTCCTTGTTCCCAAACATGCTGTATTATGCTATGAGAGCTCAGAGCTCTTATGATATGCTCTGCCCAAAAGAGCCTTCTATGTAGGGGTGAAGCTCTATCTCTGTGCCCGGATAACCCAACGACCCCGGTCTTTTCTTTGTTTCGAGCACTCTTCTTTCCAAGCCAGTAATCTAGTGCGAGGCCGTCCCACGAACGACAGATATAAAATCGCCATAAAAGGGGGGGAATGGATATAGTCGTCATTTCTCCGCATGCATCCACCACGAATCGCTCCGGTAGAAGACCATTCACTATTCACGGCCCAGCCTCTCACCATCATCCCTCCGCATCTCATAGGCGGGACGATACCGGTCCTCGCCCGTGTCAGGGTCGCGGAATTTCAAATACGGGTTCCGGACCGTATCGTTCACGCCGCCGAGACTCGTGTACCCCTCGTCATACATGGAGCAGTACAGCAAGGGGCCGCCAGTACGCAGGTCCTTGAGACATGGCGAGCGCAGAAAACACCAGATCTCCTCGAGCCGCCAGTCGATGACGGGGTGCACGCGCATGAACGCCGGCCAGTTGTGGTCCGTGGCGTCGAAGTGCGTGAGGTGCCCGCCGTGCGGGTCTGTCCGCCGCGTGCCCACGAATATCGCCTGCACCTGCGGGTGCTTGTCAAGGTACAGCGCGAAGGCGTCGCGGAACGACACGATCGGTTTCATCGCCGGCAGGTCGTGCCCGCCGCCGTTGGCCTGCTGGTACTGCGAGGCGTCGAATTTCGGGGGTGGTTGTGTAAGTGGTGGGTTGGAGTGCGAGCGTTGCTTTTTGTTTGGTCCTGGGTTGGTCGATATGTGTGTTAGGTCGAGGTGGTAGAGTGCCGACGAGTAGTCGACGAAGCTGGTGACGGCGGGGAATGGATCGGGCGGTTTGGCGTAGATGGACGGGATCGACGTCGGGAAGTTTTCTCCTTGTGTCTGTTCCTCCCCTCCCTGCTGTTGCTCCCCGGCCATCGTCTCCTCTCTTGTCCCTGTGAAATGGCTATGCAGCACCGCCAGATATATGATCAACAGGACCAGACAATCCTTGCCGCCGTTGTAGGACAGCGAGACGTGTTCGAAACTAGTATATCGTATCGTCAGCCCTCCGCATGTTCTCCCGCAGTTACATGTGTCCTAACTCACGAATATTCCCGGACTGCTCGCTCCACCACCCCCATAGCGATCCGCGTCTGCTCTTGCGTCCGCCGTGTCACATCGTCGGGCGGTGCAGAGGATAGGAACGTCGTGACTTGGGCGTTAAGCTGGGCGCAAACTTCTTTTAGGGTCATTGGTGTTGATGTTGAGTTGGTGTGGTTTGATACATCTGCTTCTCCATGACTGTGACTGTGACTCTTGGACCCGATGGTGGTTCCGTTCGTCATGGGGGCGTTGGGCGGCAGCGATGTGGTGGGTGTGCTCATTTTGTTGACATGCCAGTGGTTGCGTGGATTGGGATTATGGGTTAAGTGTCATTAGGCATAGAGATGCGAACTATGAGGTTGGATGCCAGTAGGACATTTGAATGATGCAGTGCAATGCATTGGAGTACAGACTCGGTGCGGGCAGCATAGGCGGGACATTGAAAGTCAGAAGCACAGAGAAGTGTGGGGAAACATTTTCGTTTAGTTTCCGAGAGCGGATATCCGTAGGGATTTTTAGTTGGAGTGCAGTGACACTCACTGGCAGCCTGTAGGCGGTTCAAGTTCAGTTCCGAGGCCGAGTCCGAGGGGGATGCCGGAACCGTGCCCCAGGCTATTCAAAGGACTTTGCGGAACTATTCAGGATAGGCTTAGGTACTTGACCCGAATTACCCTTGTTTGACTGTACAAGAAGATGAAATTGAAAGGTAACTTAGTGTTTACAGAATGTGTTTTCTCAATTCTTCTGCCATCAAATCCTTGATTCCACCAACGCCATGAAACGCCAATCGATGTAGGTATCTGTGCGTACACCTGTCTAGGCCTCGGCTATGCCGATCCATATGTCACCAGTCCCGTAGATGAACCTGGCGACAGCAACGGAGATAGCACCGTCGCTGATGATAACAATAGTCATCTCAACATCATCCGATGACCTTCATCTTCTTCTTTTTCTTCTGCTCATCGCCCTTCTTGACCCCCTTTTGGAAATCCCGCCAGCTGCCTATCCGCTGCTCACGAGTATCTTCCCACTTCTTCTCATGCTCTCTCTTCCGCTTCCGCTCATCAAATTCTGCATCTTCTTTGGCCTTTTCACGACCCTCTTCTTGCATCTTGGCCTTCATCTGTCGTCGGCGGCGGGCTTCGGCTTCCACCAGGACTTCCACTGTCTTCTTGCGCCATTCTACCGTGAACTCTTCCGTCTTCAGCTCTTCAGAATCGACCGTGTATTTGTGTTGGCGGATGAGCAGATGACGGGCATCGGCAATGCATTCATCCAGATGCTGACGCTGCTTCTCATCCAGTAATGCCACTTGTGCCTTCTTCAGCCGGTCAAACGCTTCGGGCGCTAGAGGGTTCTTGGTCTTGTCCGGATGGATTAGTAGGGACTTCTTGCGGTAGACGATCTTGATGTCTGAATCAGGAACTCCGGGTTGTAAGTCTAGCACGGCGTAGCTGGTGGGTTGTTAGTATGGGTGTTTGGCGATCTGAGGCTGGGATAACTTACGAATCAAGCCTGAAAGCTTTGAGGATTCGGTCGATTTCAGCATCCTAAAACCACATTAGCAATCCACTTGCATTGACAACAACAACCTTGATAGTATCACGTACCTTATCATATTCCTTGGCTTCCTTCTCAAGGGCATCAAGAGCATCCGACTCATTAGCCATGGTGGGGCGAGTCTTTGGATCTTACCAGTAAGATGTGCAGTCCTTTCCTGTGCAGGCAGATGATATGAAATTGCCTGGACCGCTCAGATGTTCGATACAGTGATCATTTCTTCTCAACTCGATATTTCAAACCCAATTGGACGGCGATGAGGAGAGAGGCAGCGCAGTTGAACAACCAACGTACAGGCAAAGGCAGCGCGGAATTGGATAAACCACTCTCAGGTGGGAAACTTTCCCGGCTCACACGTGACTGTTTTGGAAGGCAGGTGCTCCGAGCTCCGAGTTGGGAGCAGAGAGGTCATTTTAATCTGTGGAGGAAGGAGCTCAAGACTCACTCTCGACAAGTGCATTATGTGCTACCACGCTGCGAGAATCGCATTCAGCAGCACGACGTGTGATCCCTTCTTCTGCTATTGGATGGGTGAGCGCCACGTTGCAAGTATTACCACCCTTAGCCTGTTCGATGGCTAAGGGAATGTAGTGGTGGCAGGCGTTCTCCAATTTGGAGCCGCTCTCAAATGACCAGTACTACATTGCGATTGTCCTGTGCTCTCCATGTTGAGATGGCGGCCATCATGGGAATGCTGTGCAAAGAGCATGGCCAACTGAGTCAGACATAGAGGCAGCTGGACTGATGCATGATCTTCCTTGCATTGCCATTAGAGGTATTTGTTATTATGCTGACTCGCACAAATATGTTATGCCGTTGCAAACGCTAGGGAATACTTCCTTAACCCCCAGCTCTCAATGTTTCTTTACGCGGAGCTAGTAAGGGCAGTGACCACAATATCCACAGCCTTCAAGCGAACACGCAGTGTAATCTTTCACAGACTCATCGTCCGAGTCTGTTCCCCGGGCACGAATATCGATCGCAAGCGCTGAAGCAATATGTTTGCCAGAGCCGTCCTCGGAATTTAAGGAGCCCCCATCCTCTGGACTCGTCTCCTCACTCTCTTCAGGTTCTCCCACCCACCTGATTTTCAACTCAGGGGGAAGAGCTTCAAATCCTTCGTCTGCGAGTCGCCTAACCTCCAGAGGCCCCGATCCGCGTCGGCATATTTCCAGATTAGTCCTGGACGTTCTAGCGCTTTCAACCAGCTCGTACAGCAACGATGCAAGTTTGCACAGGTTCTCGGTGTTCTCCGCTTCCCACTCTCTTATTTCCGTACGCATGTCTTTTATACGGATGTCTTCGAATAAACCACGATCGTGAAACCCAACAATAAGTGTTGGAATTTGGGAAATCCAGAGCCTCGATATGATGTCGGTCATGTCAATCTCCTTCTTGACCCTGCGAGTTTCAAAGTCAAATGCGGACCGTGTCTTGATATCGAAAATACTCTCTTGAGTAATCGCTTGACCACCTTCTTCATCATGAAGGCATTCGTGGACCTTTGTTCTCAAATCGCCAACCGACGCTCTGTCGAGAGCTTCGACTAAGAAACTTTCCTTTAATTGCGGGTCTGACCTTTTGACTTCTCCTCGAAAGTACCCATCCGTTTCAAAGCGAACCAACAAACGCAATCCTCCAAAATCGTACTGGATGACTCTCTGATGAGACTTGGACCCTTTCACATGTTTCTCCCACATTGTGTACTCTTCGAGGAAGGCATGGCCGTAGCCTCGGACATTAGGTATCAGCTCCGTTGGAGAATTCTCCCTGCGGATGAAGAACACAGTGTTCCCTACCCTTACCAAGATAATCCTGAAGTCTTTTTCGACCCCACGGGCAAATCGAGATAAGTTTCCCAATGCACTGGTGCAACAAACAATGTCGATATCTTTGGTGGGAAATTGTGCATGCTGTTTGAACAATGCTTGAACTGCTGGCTCCATAGGGTAGCTAGGATACCGAGCCGCATTCAGATCACGAAAGAATTTGCCTTTATCAGGATCGAGTCGACGATTCACGGAAGGAGGTGCCCAAGCAGGAGGTTGTCCTAGGTGAGGGCAAACGAGTCAGATCATGAGCCAAGCTTGGTGCAAGAATGATATGAAGGTAATGTACCAGGAATGATCACAGTCGGGCCCTTGGCATCGAGCCAACTATAGGACGCAACATAAACACAGTCCTTGATCTGTGGATTGTGTGTAGAATGAGAAATGTCCTCTGGTGCAAGCTCAATGAGAAGCTCGCCAAGGGGAGGTGACGGCGCCTGAGGCTCGGGCTCCTCCATCTTCCTCCATAAAAGGCCTCGAGTCCCCCGAAAGGAAGCGCCTCTGCAACCTCTGGAACCCCCAGGCTTTCTACCAGAAGCTGAGCTAGACATTTTGGAGTGGTTTCAGTATTGATGCGTCTACTTCTGGTGCTTCTCTGTTCAAATCTCGAGGTGGCTGTCTGCGGCGGGGTTTCGAGGGGCTCAGGTTACACACACCTGGGACACCTTGCATGAAGACAGGGGATTTCATTTGTCCATGAGTGTTACACAATATGTCATCCTCCAGGTAAAGCTCAGGATTCTTCGCAGTTGTTCGAAATTTACTTCAAAATTCCTTCGCGATCTTTATACTTCGCGCCATGTCGGACAGATCCGTAAGGCTGTCTAAGTATTTCAGCCTGATTGAGAAAGGTGAGAGAAAGGTGGAGAAGGTCTCTGACGCGACGCTCTTCCTAGAGGCATTGTGCAAACAGCAAGATCCGCTATTTTGCATCGAGAGGCTCGTTTCAAGTCCCCATGCTCTGGCATCACTACAAAATAGCATCCGGTTTGACTTATCTACCAAATTCCTCAATGGACCTATAGAGCGTTTTCTCACATACCTGAGAACCCCTGGTATCGAACAACTTTGCAACGGCCAATTTCTTCGGAAGATTATCTCCTCCTTGGTAGACCCTCCGACATTCTGGAACGCGTTTGTAAATGGGCACAATCAAAAGGTCCTTACCGAAGCTTCCGATGTTGCATTTGCATGGATGCTATTGCAGTTGTTGACATCACCCTCGTGTGGAGATGACATTCACAAGACGGCCAGAAATGCTATTGACGATCGCTCGCTTCTTGAGTCTCCGTCCCTTGAAGTCCGAACACTCGGGTACAAGGTCCAGAACGTCCTAGATATTAGATCCACAGATCTCTCCCAGTTTGGAGATCATAAGCCAGGGGGGAGACATGACAATGATTTTGAAGATTTTCGAAAAATCTCCATCCTTCCAACTCCAGACGAAATTGCATCCACGGAACAGCCTTTTTATCGAGAAGCACACCAAATATATGAGGCTGAATCGGAGCATCGCCCGGCGATGCATTATGACAACCAATTCCGCTTATTAAGGGAAGATTTTCTGGCAGAGCTACGAAATGACTTGCAAGTAGCCCAAGGGAGGAGGAGGGGAAAGAGAACCGCGGGATTGATTAGTGGACTTACTTTCAAGGGTATGGATTGCGGAACCGAGACGAGAAAGAAACTATGCTCGCTGACTTTCCTCTGTGAGAAAGACGTTCCGCAGATGACTGGCATTCCGAAATCGGGGAGAATGGCGTTCCTCACCAATAACAAGAACGTTTTGAAACACCAGTCTTTCGGCTGTTTGGTGCAAGGCACGGATATCGTGGCATTCGCTTCTGTTGATCGAAACGAAAGTCTTCTTGCAGAGGATATTCCCGTTCTTGCTTTACAGGTAGTAGAAAGCGAGGCGGTCACAAGGGTACTCACCAGAGCCAAACAAGCCACGCCCTTTCATTTCATCGTCGTGGATACTGCGGTTTTTGCCTACGACTCCATTCTTCAAAGATTGCAGGAGAAATCCGACTTCCCTCTTTCTGGCTGTTTGTTGTCTTCAGAGCCATTGCTACAAAGTCTCGAGATTGGTAGCAAACTATCGAGCATGGTCGAAAAGCTCAGAGCGACGCAGGGCCAAAACATTCATCGTGTCATGGGAATATCTAAAACGGTTTCGCTGGATCAGTCGCAGTTCGAGTCGCTAATGGTGGGTTTGGTTCACACGCTGAGCCTTATACAAGGACCACCAGGTATTTTTCTGCTCACTATGTTGACAACTCACCGGCTAACTCTCTAAGGAACCGGAAAATCTTTCATCGGAGCTCTTCTCGCCAAAATTTTCCACGATCATACGAATGAAACTATCTTGATCATCTGTTATACTAACCATGCTTTAGACCAATTCTTGGAGGATCTCATGGACATTGGCATACCGGATGAATCTATTGTTAGGCTAGGATCCAAGTCGTCAGAGAGGACCAAGAAGCTTGGCTTAGCCGAACAGTCTGCCCATCGAAGGGGCCCTCGACTCCCATGGGCCTTCATTTACGAATTAAAAGACGAATTAAAAGATCTGGAGCAGAAGTTGAGGCGAACCCTGGCGCGGTACCAACAGGATGTTACGTACGATCATCTGATGCAGTATCTTGAATTTTCAGACGATGCAAGCTGCTACGACGCTTTTCTCTTGCCTGAGCAGGAAGATAGAATGCAGAGAGTAGGAAAAGGAGGGCAGAAAGCCGGGAAGTATTATTTGATCAATCGTTGGGTCTATGGGCAGAACGCCGGGATCTTTCAACACGAAGTCGAGGAACAACACTCCAATATCTGGAAAATGCCTCTTCAGAGTCGAACAGAATTATTGAAAGGCTGGACAAGGAATATTCACCGTGAGCATCTGGAGGAAATTGTACCACTGTTTCAGGCTTTCAATCGCATTCAACGCGAGATTGATGATTCAATTTACCAGACAAAGAATTCCGATATATTCACGACGAAACGAATTATTGCTTGCACAACTACAGCTGCGGCAAAGTATACCCAGGCACTAGAGGCGGCCAAGGCCGGAATCATCTTAGTTGAAGAAGCTGGAGAAATCCTCGAGAGCCACGTTCTGACTGCGATGACAAAGAATACGAAACAATTAGTCTTGATTGGAGATCACAAGCAACTACGTCCAAAGGTCAACAACTACAATCTGACCGTTGAGAAAGGTGATGGGTTTGACCTGAATAGGTCAATGTTCGAGAGGCTAGTGCTCCAAGGCTACCCGCATACCACTCTTTCTAAACAGCATCGAATGTGTCCTGAAATTTCACGACTAATTCGACGTCTCACTTATCCTGACCTCCTGGACGCGGAGAAGACTCTGAATCGGCCAAAACTTCGTGGGTTCCAAAGTAATGTCATGTTTGTGAACCATGAACGGCCGGAACTTGACCTAAGTGGTGTTTCAGAAGCGCGAGACCCGACGATGAAAGCGAGTAAGCAGAATCCGTTTGAGATCGAGATGGTTCTTAAGTGCATCCGCTACCTTGGACAGCAAGGGTATGGAACAGATAAGATTGTCGTCCTGGTACCTTACCTTGGACAGTTGCATCTTCTTCGGAGGGAGTTGAGCAAGAATAATGATCCGGTCTTGAATGACTTAGATTCGCATGACCTCGTCCGGGCTGGTCTCATTACGCCCGCCAGCGCAAACATGAAAAAGCGCCAAATACTGATCTCCACCATTGGTAGGTCCTGTGAAGCATTGATAACCCAGTGCGTGCTAACGAAGATAGACAATTATCAAGGAGAAGAGAGGGACATTGTAATTTCGTCCCTCACCCGCAGCAACGACAGAGGAGATGTGGGATTCATGGCTGCACCGGAACGTCTGAATGTACTTCTTTCTCGAGCACGCAACGCATTGATTGTCATTGGAAATTTCAAAACCTTTCGTGAGAGTCGCAAAGCAAAGGTGTCGTGGCAACCCTTGTTTGACCTTCTAAACGAGAGTGGACATGTTTATGATGGATTCCCAATAAAATGCGAACGACATCCAGATAGAATGGCGATCCTACAAGAACCTCGAAAATTTGACACTCAGTGTCCCGATGGAGGTTGTGCTGATCCTTGGTATGGCAAACCCTCATCCTCCCATTTAAAGATTCGCTAACGATATCTAAGTACGTCGACACTCCGGTGTGGTGTTCACGTCTGTCCCCAACGGTGTCACCAGCTCTATGACCATTCGAAAATGGACTGTTGTAGCATTGTTGAAAGCACATGTCCTAAGAAACATAGGTACAGTTGGAAATGCCACAACGGTACGCCAAAGTTATGCCCTAAATGTGAATACGAGAAAAAGGTTGAGGAACAACGAAAGCAACGAGATTTTGAGTTGGAGCTCAAGCGACAGGAACGCCAAAAACAACACGCCAGGCAGCTGGCTGAGATCCAGCAGAACATCGACGAGCAGAAACAAATTATGAAAGACGTTGCCGATGAGAAGGAGCGGCAAAGCCTCCTTGCTCAAAAGTTGAAAGACCTGGAACAAATACAAGTAATGGTCAAGCGTGCCAAAGAGCCTCTGCCTCCCGTGCGGATGCCTTCCAATCCCTCTCCGAGCTCATCTAGTAGACTACCCACTTCTCAGATTCAGACCCAAGATCCGACGCAAATCAATAACCCACAGAGTGCAGAAACTCGATCGCTAGAGTCTGCATCTCGCAATGAATGGGAGAGGCAGAAGGAAATAGAAGGTCAGTCAGATACAAGTCTGGATGCACTCATGAGTATGATTGGCCTTGAAGAAGTGAAAAGCAAATTTTTATCTATAAAAGTGAAAGTGGACACAGTGGTTCGTCAGAACACGAGCTTAAAAGATGAAAGATTCAGTGCAGCTCTGTTGGGGAATCCTGGAACAGGTACGTGTAGTTGCCCATGTAGTGCAAACCCTCGCCTTGACTATTGTACCCCTGTTGGAGGAGTAAAATCTTACTTCATTCAGGGAAAACCACTGTCGCTCGTCTCTACGCAAAGTTCCTGTGTTCTGTGGGAGTTATTCCTGGCGACACATTCGTCGAAACATCCGGCTCTCGATTGGCGAGTGATGGAATCCCGGGTTGCAAAAAACACCTCGAAGAGATTTGCAACGGTAGCGGCGGAGCGCTGTTCATTGATGAGGCGTATCAGCTTGTTTCCGGACAAAATTATGGAGGCAGTCAAGTCCTTGATTTCCTTCTTACAGAGGTCGAAAACCTTACCGGAAAAGTTGTTTTCATTCTTGCTAGTTATAGTAAGAATATAGAGGCATTCTTTGCACACAACCCGGGCATTCCCAGCCGGTTTCCCATCGAATTTCAGTTTCGCGACTATAAGGACATCGAACTACAGTATATTCTTCGTCATCGAATAGAACAAAAGTATGGGGGAAGGATGGAAATTGAGGGTGGCATTGATAGCCTATATACTCGAATTGTTTCGCGACGCATTGGACGAGGTCGGGAACGTGATGGGTTTGGCAATGCCAGAGCTATCCACAACGAATTTTCGCGAATAGCTGATCGCCAAGCTAAGCGGCTGCAACAGCAACGCCGGGAAGGATTGCACCCAGACGACATGGTCTTGAAAAAGGAAGACCTGCTCGGCTCAGAACCTAGTTCGGTGTTGAGCGACAATGTTGCGCTAACAAAACTCCAGAAGTTGACCGGATTGGAAAGTGTCAAATCGGCTGTTCAATCGCTGCTAGATACCATCCAGTTCAATTATCGTCGCGAACTAGAGGAAAAGCAGCTGGTTGAGTATTCTCTCAATAAGGTATTTGTAGGAAATCCAGGCACCGGTAAAACCACAGTGGCAAAATTATATGGCCAGATTCTTGCCGACATGGGCTTCTTATCTAGCGGAGAAGGTTTGTATCACCAGTTGCACTGTCTACGAGACCTCCGATTCACTAACAAAATCTAGTTGTTGTTAAAAACCCCTCCGACTTTATAGGAAATATACTCGGTGCATCTGAAAGTACGACCAAAGCAATATTAGCCTCCACTGTGGGTAAAGTCTTAGTCATTGATGAGGCGTATATACTTTCTAGAGGCTCTTCCTCCACAGGAGGAATGTCTAGTTCCGATCCCTACAAGACAGCTGTCATCGACACCATCGTTGCGGAAGTGCAGAGTGTCCCAGGAGATAACCGCTGCGTCCTATTACTTGGCTATAAAGACCAGATTGAGGCCATATTTCAGAACGTCAACCCAGGCCTCTCCCGCCGTTTCCCCATAGACTCGGCTTTCCATTTTGAGGACTACACCGACAGTGATCTCCAGGAAATTTTGGAGTTAAAGCTAGCACAGATTGGCTTCGACGCAACCCAAGAGGCAAAGAAGGTAGTACTCGAATACCTTCGCCTAGCTCGCAACAAGCCCCATTTCGGCAATACTGGTAAAGTGGATATTCTTCTAGATCGTGCAAAGATAGAGCATCAAAAGCGCCTATAGTCAAAGCAAACAAAGAGTATTGACACCCTCGAGGCTCTAGACTTTGACCCGAATATTACTAAGGCGGACAAGGCTCTAACTAACTGCAGAAAACTCTTCGAAGGTGTTGTTGGTTGTGAAAATATAATTCTCCAGCTCGAGGGATACCAGAGGACTGTCATCAATATGAAGAAGCTAAAAATGGATCCACGAGAGCAGATCCCGTTCAATTTCCTCTTCCGTGGTCCACCAGGTGAGTCCGCGCCATGATCTGTGAAACAAGGCTATAACTGACGCAAGTGGAACAGGCAGTGGTAAAACCTCTACAGCGAGACGAATGGGAAAGATATTCTATGACATGGGATTCTTGGCCACTGCTAAAGTAGTTGAGTGTTCTTCCACAGACCTCGTTGGCCAGTTCGTAGGCCAAACAGATCCCAAAACTCAAAATCTATTGACGAAAGCGCTAGGTAAGGTTCTATTTATTGACGAAGCATACCGGCTTACGGAGGGCAATTATGCGCAGGAAGCAATGGATGAACTAGTCGACTACCTCACGAAGCCTAAATTCTCTCAAAAGCTCATTGTCATTCTTGCTGGGTACGACGAGAACATCAATCGTCTTATATCAACCAACCCAGGCCTAACCAGTCGCTTTCCAGACACTATAAGCTTCGGCCAACTCCCACCGGAAAACTGCCTCGAGCTATTGCAAGCATACCTTCGCAAAGCAGGCAAGCTCGAAAGTAGTACTGTACAAGCGCCTTCTACAACGTTCAGAAATACTCTTCTCGAGTTGTTCAGGAACCTTGCTCAGCTTCGTGCCTGGGCTAACGCTAGGGATGTCAAAACGCTAGCCAAGTCCATAATTGGTAAAGTTCTCTCCAGCACCACGACAGATACCAAGCTCGAAGTCACAGAGGATACGGTACTCTCAATAGCGCGCCAAATGGTGTCCGAGCGTGAACATCGTGCCAGCTCAGTACGTTCTCCAGGACATCCCGCGGCGCTTCCAACACAGAACTTCTCGCATCAGGATCCACCAATCCCTCCAGCCTTCAACACAGTGACCAAGGCTACCGCTAAGAATTACCAGTCAGTACCTCCTCAATTACCGGAACCATCATCGCAAAATATAGACCAGGAAAACCTCGGTCGCGACCCTAGTGTCTCGAAGGAGACCTAGAATCAACTAGAATCGGACAAACAGGCAGCTACGGAGCGGGAGAAGCTTTACCTTAAGCTCTTGACCCAGGAAGAAGAGGCTCAAAAGCAACTTACTTCGAGAGTGGCCGCCGAACTCGAGGCGAGAAGAAGGGCGGACGAGGAATCCGACGCAGAGGCACGTCGGATGCTTGAGGAGGAGCGTCTCAAGCGTGAGCATGAATTGCGCGAACAGATAGAAATAGTGGCAAGGATTGAGCAGGAGAAGAAGGCAAGACAGCAGGAAAGACGGAAGGAGGATGCTGTGCAAGCCAAGGTGAAACAGATGGGTGTGTGCGTGGTAGGGTTTCGATAAATCAAGCAAGCTTCGGGTTACAGATGTGCTGGAGGTTCTCATTATCTTTCTAACGCGCAACTTGGAATCTAGCCACCTTTCAGGTGTGGCCGCAATGAATCAAAGCAGGAGATGAGTTTCTCCGCTAGGACTAGTGCATATATGCACGCAAGTCTATGAAGAAACAAGCAACGAAGTAACGAATAGTCTCCTTCCAGCACCGTTTAATGAACACCACTTTTATTAGCAGTTGGTACCATATGACGTCCCAGGAACGGATAAATAGCAGTCAACGATGACTATAACTAACTCGCTTTTGAATCATCGTATGTCAAAGTATTGTTTTAGCATGAGTCATTATTGTAGCCAGAAGATACATCCCACCCAACGATAACCTGACGCGTAAATTCAATTCTCATAGTCGCGGCGGCACGCTATCCTGCAGTCTGCTAGTGCTCTTTTGTGCGCTTCATCAGCAATGTTTTGGCGGTCTCAGCGGCAAGAACTACAGCCTCGTCCTTAGACACACATCCCTCCACAAGGCCAAGGGTCTCTCCTTTCAAAGTGACAGTGCACCGATAGGATGGCATTGAACTATCCCCCTCAACATCAACGGTGTATATGGGGGCGTCTGACCCAGCAAGGCGTTGGAGAGCATTACGTGGATACTCGACGATAACAGAATCTACCAACACGCGCTGCAAGTATTGGACCAAGCCCAGGCGCTCGAGAAAGCGTTGACACGGCGCCAGGTCCCCCTAGGAGTCGGTGAATATAGCGCCCACAATACTTTCGACGATATCGGAGAAAAACTTGGGCGGATTCAGTCGAGCGAGAAGGCTCCACGAGTAGGCGGGACTAGTGGCCAGAGAGCTCTAAATGTCTCCTTGCAACTGGCTGTAGAGTGGAAGGTTGCGCTCCTACGCCATAGTTACTTCTAGACTGTGGTGACGCATGAATTTCCAAAGATACAATTACTCCCGGAGCGTCCTTGTCCTGAATACACCCAGTGGATTTTATTCAACGTCGACGATGTCTTGGTCAATGCTGAGTCGCAGACAAAGAAAGCCGAGGAGGTGGGCGTTGACCACGGCAGACTTGATACGCGTCATCTCACCCTGAGATATATTCTACTTGGCTAAGATTCCGGCAGCCACCATGTCCAGGACGGCATCTCCAAGAAACTCAAGTCGCTAATACGATTCTATCTGGCTATCTCTTTCGCATACAGGGTGAGTTAAGGACTCGAGTAGAAGTGTTTTGGTCCGGAATTCGTAGCCAATAATAGATTCTACTTTGACGATGTGATTTGTCAAACCATAACTACCACCGTCAGTTAAGGTTCTACCATTAGGCGCCCGCAGGTAAACATAGATCTCGGGCAGGAAGGCGTTGATACAGACCAGGGCTAGATAAAATCCACCATCTATGTATACAGCACCAATTAAAGCTTCAACCACATCCGCTAGGACCTTTGAGCTGAGATTTCGTTTCTATAGATGTTGACCACTCTCGTAGGTAAATACGCAGGGGAAGCCTTTTACCCCAGTACGTGTGGGCTCAGCCATAATAAACGCGTCTAAACCCGTTCGTATCGCTACATGAGCAAGGGTATTATTTAACGAAAGACCCGCTCTAGCTTACGAAAGATACCCTTCGTACCAATTGGATCGCTCGATGAAAAGCTGTCGTGTAGCAACGAACTTGAGCACAGAGTCGCCAATAAACTCCAATTGTTGGTAGTTAGAAATCCATTGCGCTAAAGGAGAGCTTAGCGCAGTAACAACGAGTCCAAGATCTTTGAAACGAACGGAGCTGAGAATGGTTGTGCATAGTTTCTATGCGACCAGATGGACTTCCATTTGTTGTAGAATTCCTGGGATGAGAAGACCGAAGCGGGCTTGGTCGAACGAGAGGCGGTCGATTGTTGCATCTTCTGTAGGAAATCTTTCACTTTGTAGTGAACTTGCCATGATCATCCCCTGTGAATCCAGGCGCGATAGCAAGTCCTTAGACAGTGTCGCTCGATAGAAGAAGTTTTTTCGCCTTGGCAGCTGTCCGCATTCAACCTCTAATCGGGAAGACATCTCATGAGCGATCCACTACTAGAATATGTAAGGTCTACCGAAAAGTGATGGCGTTCGTACCAAACCCCGGCAAGAGATTAACGGTTTCGTGCTGAAGTAATCGCAAGCCGATATTCGACCCTAGTTCGATTCGAGCCATTTTACGAGATGGCTGTTTTCGATCCTAGGTGTGAACAATACTATAAAATCGCCTCCATCCTCCCGATAGCGGTCCGAATGCACAGATCGCTATATAAGGCTCGTGGCTGATCTCATAACCTTAAGAGTCTCAGATCCGCCTAAAGTAACTTTAACCGGACCCTCCAGCTTGATGGTGAAAGAAATAGTTCTATCCCAGTACATAGTGAAAGGCTCGATGATCGGCATTCTTGACGAAGTCAGGAGAGACAACGCGAGATCACTTCCACCATTAATTCCATCTTACTTTAGAATGATGGCACTTTTGTAGAAATTAGGGGATGACCATACTTTAGCCATTTCAACCCAGGGGTCAAACTGTCCGCTTACCTCCACAACGACGGGGAGCTCAGTGGCCGTATCAGTAGACAGTGCCTTGTCGTGAACGAGAGGAAGAAGATAATCACTCAAAAGACCTTCTTTAAACAATCGATTGTATGCTTGAAAAGCAGCATCTTTCCCGGCAGCTTTTCTCGTTTTCCATTCCTTATACCCTCTGGCACATCTCACCGAAGCGTTGATACAATTTGGTAGAGTCACCGTCGCAATGAACGATTTATTCATCGGATGCTTCGTAATTTCAAAAACAGGGCGGTTGTCCACATAAGGTTGATATGGCAATAATGCACAGAAGTGATACAAGTGCGCCATGGCACCATCAGCATCAAGTTTCGCCCTTGATTTAATGATCAGAGTATAGCCAAAAGGAAAGAATTCAGGAGGGCACCTACCCCGTAAACGGAACACTGATCTCAAATGGTATATCTTCAGCATCTTCCTTAGTGGTGTCTTCTTGTATCGATCTCGTTTCATCTTGGTATAATCGAATCATTTCTTCTTCTAGTCGTTACCAGGACGGGATTTTATTCGCATTCTCAACAAATTCATCCAGAAGAATAGCGAAGGTTGACTGTTCCTATCTAGCGCGCCCTCGTCGTTGCAGGAACGACTTGAGGTTTGATGGAGTATCAAAGCAGACCACTAGATTACAGGCAGTAACGTCAATACCCTCTTCCAGCACATCAGTCGCGACGATAAGATTTTTCAATTTAGCTTTAAATTCGGCCAGCGCCTCATACTGTACTTTCAAGTCCAACAATTCAGACATTGAGTATCGACATTTAGCATTATTTGACTGACCAACGAATGTCGTGCATCGAAAGAGGTCTTTTATTCGAGACTCCCGTAACAACAGCGCGTATAAAACAGCGACGGTAGCTCGTTCCTTGACAAAGACCAGGCCGGAACATCTTTCGAGGTCTTGCTGAGTGAGAAATGATATCAAGCACTCAACTTTGGTCGAAATTTGCATATTTACTCCGTTCTAATGGTGGTGGCTGGACAAAAGTAACGGAATCTGATTCAAGACTCGAACCAGCTTTATCTTCTCATCGTCTTTGAACACCAATAAAAATTTGGGTCCGCCACTTAAGCTTTCGCTCAAAGCCTTGATGGACTCCAGTATAAAAAAATCCGCGACCCATGGCCCAAGCTCTTCATAGACCGTATTGGCTTTCCTCCTAAACTTGATCAGTTGTTCTTCATACCTACCGCTTGGAAGAGGCAACTTAGTGCTCAGTACGCCTACTTGCGCGCACTATTCCGCGTCGGGAACAACTGCACGACAGACACTTCTAAGAAGCAACAGCGCCATGCTTCGAGGCGCAGCTTCATCAGTCCTATGAGAACGATACACAAGTTCTTTCACCACCGGTCTATGTACAAAAGTTAACATCTCCACTCTCTATAAGCTCGGAGTGCGGCAAATAGAGTCGAGATTTCTCTCAATGATACTATAAACATTAGGGCGGATTTCTAAAGACGAATCGATACTCAACACTAACTCTAGATCACGAACATTGCTTCTCACCACCGGGCTGGCGGTAAGGCCGAGAATATAAGGCACTGAGGTTGGCCCAAACAGATCCTTCCGCGGATGGTAGAATCCTTGCATTATCTTGTTTGCTGGGTGTTTTTTCCTACAGCGGTAGGCTTTCTGTGGTTGAGCTTCATTGCTTGATGCAGACTAAACAACATTTGCAGACTATGGGAGCCGGCCAGATATAAAACTCACCTTCGTCAAACACTAGGAGTGCTAGCCGTGATATCGGAACGTAGCCGTATCCCAGTGCATCAAGGAGGATGGCGTGTGTTGAGACAACGATTCGCACATCGGTCAATACTGCTTCCCAGATTTTATCTTGCCAACAGTCAAGATTGTCCGAGCCGATCAGGAGTCTTGTCCTAGCGACTAGTAATTGTGATAGAATGGCATCGTACTGCTACGTGCACAAAGCCACGGTAGGCGCCAGGAACCAGACCATCTGCAGTTATCATACCTGTTTTAACGCAATAATGCTAAAATCGGCAGGAAGACCATTCACCTTTTCAGGAGAACAACGCTCAAGCTCTTCCATAATCCGCATAATGGCTCTAAACATTCAATTAGCACGGGCCACTCCTCAATTGATTCTCAAATTGGGAAGGGTTTCGTTCAGCATCTATCAAACAGACATTTGTGTTTTTCCACTTCCCGTATCCATCTAATTATCAAAGTCAGTCGAGTTAAGACATAGGAATGAAATGGTGATGAGAATTTAGTACCGCAACTATGATGTTCCTTGCAAGGCTCTGTTCGAGCATTTCCAATTGATAGCTGCGAGCTCGATACATCGATTCGATGACCCGTATTGAGGTTTGACCAGAAGGAACTTCTGGCATCATGAGTAATTCGGATCAAGCACTGAAGAAAATCGCGAGGAAAATGCAGAAGCAAAGTTGGAATGACACTGTTAGCGAGGCTCCCTTATATGTTCGGCAACAATGCAGGTGTGTGTGTAACCATGAATTTGACCCCGCCGCGGGGTGGCGTACAAATGCACCGCAGCTCTTTCATCTTATCGAAACGATCACTACCCAGTGTGCAGGCAAAGATGGAGCTCATTAACTAGTTGATGATGATTTAGCATTAGAGGCAAGCCAAGGATGTGATAGTCCCCTGTAGAATTGCATGAAGTAGGGTATGATTCAGGGAGGAGATAGATTCCCAATGCACTTTCTGCGAATACTCTTAGCTTTACCTAACCTCAGAAGCAAGGTTGTATATTTTTGCTCCAACCAGCAGCGTGTCGATCTTCATCTCAAGTGTTTTTGCATGACAGCTCAGGATACCTAGGTGGATGGGAGGTGCCTGATAGCCTCGCAACCTGAGGTTGAGCCAGCCTTGCCAAGAGCCTAGCACCCCTTGGGCCGCTAGTGTCGACAGACAAGGCTACGCTATCGATAAGAAAGTTCAAAAGAATTTCACTTCTGCTCCGCAGGCTCAAGTGACAGCCTACACACCCGAAATCGAGTCAATGTCCGCCGCGAGTCACTTCTGAAACATGGCTCCACGGTTAGGTGGCCATGCAGGAAGAACAAAATCTCAAAGAGCGTCCCAACAGCCTCGCGCCCTCAAGCGAAAGCGGCAGGAAGAAGATCTCGACGCACTCGCTCAAAAAGTTGCGGACCTCGAGCCCAAATCCTCCACGCCGCCTGAGAGTTTCTCCGACCTACCTCTGTCACAAGCGACGGCTGATGGCCTAGATGCTTCCCACTTCAAGACCCTCACGACCATCCAATCGAGGACAATCCCGCTGGCGTTGAGAGGCTCCGACATTCTAGGTGCGGCCAAGACTGGCTCAGGCAAAACACTTGCCTTCTTGGTGCCGGTTCTTGAGAACTTGTACAGAAAGAGATGGACGGAATTCGATGGCCTCGGAGCTCTTATACTCTCGCCAACGCGGGAACTGGCTATACAGATATTTGATGTGTTGCGCAAGGTTGGACGAAACCACACGTTCTCCGCAGGACTGGTCATTGGAGGCAAGAGTCTGCAGGAGGAAAAAGAACGACTGGGTCGAATGAATATCTTGGTCGCTACACCTGGCAGGATGCTGCAACATATGGACCAAACGGCAGAGCTGGAGATAGGCAATCTACAAATGCTAGTCTTGGACGAGGCGGACAGAATTTTGGACATGGGGTTCAAGCAGACCATAGATGCACTCGTGCAGCATCTGCCTTCGGATCGACAAACACTCCTCTTCAGCGCAACACAGACGAAGAAGGTGTCAGATCTAGCCAGGTTAAGTCTTAGAGAGCCCGAATTTGTCTCTGTCCACGAAGCAGCCGAGAGCGCAACCCCCGCAGGTCTGCAACAGAACTACATCGTCTCCCCTCTTCCAGAGAAACTCGACACCCTCTGGTCGTTCATCAGAGCCAACGTCAAGAAGAAAATTCTGGTTTTCTTCAGCAGTGGCAAGCAAGTCCGTTTTGTCTATGAGTCGTTCCGCCACCTTCAACCAGGTATTTCATTACTTCACCTCCACGGTCGCCAGAAGCAGACCGCTCGTCTAGACATAACTACCAAATTCTCCAACAGCAAGTACGCCTGCCTCTTTTCGACCGACGTCGCCGCCCGAGGCTTGGATTTCCCTGCTGTTGATTGGGTCGTGCAAGTCGACGCACCAGAAGATGCGGACACATATATTCATCGGGTTGGCCGCACAGCACGTTATGAGCACGAGGGCCATGCCGTCATGTTTCTCGACCCGAGCGAAGAAAAGGGGATGCTGGGCGCACTGGAGAAGAAGAAAGTCACCCTGGAAAAAATCAACGTGCGCCAGAAGAAGATGCAGAATACCGTTCGCAACCAACTGCAGAATATGTGTTTCAAGGATCCTGAGCTGAAGTACCTCGGTCAAAAGGCATTTGTCAGTTACGTGCGAAGTGTGCATATTCAGAAAGACAAGGAGACGTTCAATCTGAAGAAACTAGACTTGGAGCAGTTTGCCGCCAGTTTGGGTCTACCAGGTGCGCCTAGAGTGAAGTTTGTCAAAGGCGAGGACGCAAAGGCTCGGAAGAATGCTCCTAGAGCACTCCTTGCCGCCCTTGCTGGAAGCAGTGAAGATGACAGTGATACGGTGGATGGCAAGACTGAGGCCAAGGACAAATCGAAGACAGTTCGCACCAAGTACGATCGAATGTTCGAGCGCCGAAACCAAGACGTTCTAGCAGAGCACTACACGAAGTTGATCGAGGACGACAACGATGCACAGAGCGGAAAATCGAAGTCAATCCCCGATCAGACGGCAGACGCCGAATCCGACCACGATTTCCTCTCCGTGAAACGACGCTTCGAGGCTGGAGACTCCGATCTCGATCAACAAGACGACACGTCCTCCTCAGACTCGGCGGATGAAGCGCAGAACAAGCCCAGCAAAGACCGCAAACCCAAGCCCAAAACCATCCAACTCTCAGAAAACCCGTCAGCCGAAGCCCTAGTCATCGACTCGCACCGGCGCGAAAAACTCCTCAAATCGAAGAAGAAGCTCCTCAAGTACAAGGGTCTCGGCACGCACATGACGTTCGACTCGGACTCGGACACGCCACAAAATCACCGCGCATACCGCGACGAGGACACGTTCACGGCACAAGGGAAGAGCGGCGTCGAAGCGGAGAAAGCGCAGTTCTTGGAGCGCGAGCGCGATCGCGCCAAGGAGATGGATGTCGTGGATAAGGAGGTTGCGAGGGAGAAGCGGCGGGAGAAGAAGGAGAAGAGGAAGGAGCGGGAGAGGGCTGCCCTGTTGGACGAGGAGAGTGATGATGGGGGCATGGGTGGGAGAATTGCGACGTTGGTTCCTTATGATGAGGTTGTGGAGGGCAATACTGCTTCGAGGTTTGACGATGACGATGGTGACGCTGGGTTGGAAAAGGAAGAATTGCCGCAGCCGAAGCCTAAGCGACAGAAGAAGTGGTTTGAAGACTCGGAGGAGGAGGATGGCGATGGTGACGGTCTGACCTCACGACACAAGAAGAATAAGAAGGGCAAGAAGCGTAGTGACCAGGCGGCGGACCAGCCCCAGACCTTGGAGGATCTCGAGGCCCTTGCATCTGGATTGTTGGCGAACGATTGATGATTCGGGGGATACTTTGAGACGACTAAGTTTTAATTGAGCTAAAGCTCAATCCTCCTATACTTAATAATGAGCGCATGTTATAGCTCCTATTGACATGCGATCTCGGGAGAGACAGCGGTTTCAACATCCACATCGCCCAAAATTGTTTGCAGCTGCACTCACCGATATCCCAAACCTAATCGTAACATCGTACCAAAACAATGTATAAGCCCAGGGGCTGCCTTTAGGCAAAAAAAATTAGTGTACTTGTACTCGTAGGGTTGCATCTTCTAGGATACGATGGACGGAGCCAAACCATCCAACCGTGTCTAGTCGTCCGACTAGCGACTTCAAAGTCACCAAAAATATCGTATCCAAACCCCGCTTTCGAGAATTCTTCCACGTCCTTTCCACGCATCGCGATCAAAATCTCAAGTGACAGTCTGCTGGTGCGATCAACTCGTAGAAGACGACAGCAGAAAAGCCCGGTGATATTCCGCAGTCTACTATGTTGCAGATAGTCATACCATGCACAAACTTTCGTCATCAAAATGGAGATCGAGCCCTCACCCCCAGCACCCAGTGTCGAGGTACTGTCTCGCAGTTTCGTAAACTTCAGCAGCATGAATGACATGGCGAGCGCGAGCACACGTACCGCGATCGCATCTCACGCAGCGAGACTCCGGCGACAGCATCGACGCAAGCAAGCTTCTCTGAGTGCTGGTGAGGTCGTCCATGATTTCCTGGTCTGGAAGCGGGATCAGGCTCAAGATCCGGAAGATCAAATTGATGGTGCAGACCAACAACCGCAGGAATATCAGCGACAGCGTACAGTCGCGGTACGGCTGAATCCTGTGCCTTTACGCCGAGTGCAACCTCGACCATACAATATACTTGGACAAGGCAGGAAAGATCCGTTTGCCACGTTTGCCGTATTCGATCCACCGGATATCGTCCATGAGGTGATCGATCATGGTACGTATGAAATATTTTCGAATCAAGTCAATCGTTTTTCCACCGATAAGTGTATGCCTTGAACTCACATAATGACAACCTATCCAGCTGTCCACCATTTCTGGCCAGGCTTCACTCCGGGAAGTATGCCCAATTCCGAGAATCCAGTTGTCACGCGATATCTCGAGGCTATTCGGCAGACACCACTCGCATTCTACGCCTATATGATAGGCACCGCTGAGAATTATGAATTGCTGAGCGGAATTGCGATGGTAAACAAAGCATTCTCACAGCTCTGCCTATCCTACCGCGTTGAGATGATGAAGTTGATCAACCTTGAACTTCAGTCTCTGACAGGTCCACCTTCTGATAACTTGCTTGGCGCCATCGTGGTGCTTGCTGGTAATCATGTTCTGTTCGCCGGTGGTCAGACTAGAGTTGTCTCCCTGGAAAGCGTCAACGCCTCTCGATTTCGATCACCCTTAAGGACTGCGCAGTTCATTCATATATACAGCTCAAGACCTTTTGTAAGCCCTCATAGCGCAGCCTTGCTACGTCTGACGGCCATGAAAGGTGGATGTTCTAAGATTGCTTTGCCAGGGGTGGCGAGTACCATTGAACTGTAAGTCGCCCTGCCCTTCTGCCTCGTCTATGTCGTGATATTGAGGTGGAGTCTAGGTGCGATCTCGTCTACGCCTCTCAGACGGACTCCCAGCTCCATTTACTGTCAATGGACCCACCAAACCTGATGAGTTTAGAAAATTTGCGAGTTTCAACTTTTAGCTCCTCACTGATCGTGTGGACACAGCTGCCTATCTCTGCAGATCAGCAATCACAGCTCGTCCAAGTAGTTGAGGGGCTGTCTCTGGTCACGAATGCCCTCGAATGGCACATTCGCGGATCCCCACCTAGTGTTGAGTATTCAGGTCTTGTCAGCGCCCGCAATGCTGCGCAATTCCTGTTGCTTAGCCTTTTGCCAGCAGCCCAAGATGAGCAAAAATTGTCGCCTGGCGGATTGCCCGAATATATGTTCGAGATTGCCCGCCTCAGCCTCAGAATTTTTAGCAACCTAGTGCTCTTTCCAATGAATCCCACTGGTGGCACAGCCAATCTCTTGTCCCTTGCGCTCAAAGCTGCAATTTTAGGCTGTACGACTGCCGTTACAGGGCTCGAGTTGTCCGCAGCGTGTAAGAAAATCTTGCTTTGGTCATTAGTGCTGGGTGGTATGCAAGCCGATGATGATCGTGAGAGCAAACAGCAACTCCGGACATGGTTCTTGTCTCAGTATATCGAGTTGTCTTCGCAGGTGAACTTAGTGAGCTGGGAACTGCTCAGGGAATGCCTCGTGTCAATCTTGTGGTCAGAATCTGTTCTTAATCTGGCTGCGTGGGAATTTTGGAATGATTCTCTTGGAGGCACCTTCATCCACCAAGACTCCTAGAAGACGGCTTTTTAAAAAAGATCCCTTCCTGCGGAGCTGATCGGGGCGGCTATGAAGGATAGGCTGAGAACTGCCGGGCAAGCTGTTGCACAGAAGCGCAATGTATCAAAAAGGCGAATCGTAAGGAGAAGTCATTCGGTCGATTGGTAAACTATGACCTTTTCAGGTCTTCTTGGGCCATACCTCTTTCGAAACAGATTGATGGTGATAGGCACCGACCATGACTGATGTGGGCATTTGCCAAAAATCGTGGACTGGTATGGAAAGTGCAGCTCTTTTTGAACTCCTTCAAGTTCCTGCTCCAAAGGCAGGAGCTGCGGTACCTTGCTCAGATCACAGAGAAGTCGTAAATGGACTACGAAAGTGCGGAATCCGTGCATATTAAGTTGTTCACGGCATACTGAATGTTAGAGGTCCTGTTCATTCTCGATTAATCCATCCTATCAGCCGAGATGCGGAGTATGTAATGTTGCTTGTTTAGTCTTTCCTATTCAAGGTGCCAAAGTTACTCAACCTGGCTAGTTAGAAACCTAGGATGAGGTGAAAGCCAACCACATCCCTCCAGACGGAATTACGAGACGCTAATTCTCCGATCCTGGTTTGGTAGGACGAGGCGACATCAGAACTTACGTAGGCATATATTTTCGAAGAGTGGGTGGCGGTTTAATTTGTTGTTGTAAAGGCCCAAACGATTAAAGCCGTTTCCCAGAGTCTTCATCTCGCTAAATGCCTTGAATACTATGGGAATGATGGCCACAGATTGCACAGCCTGCTGGAAGTCGAATGACTCTGGGCATAGATCGGTGGTGTATCCATGGAACTGTTATGGTGCCTGGTGCATATGCTCGGGGTGCGATTGCAAGACCAATCGATCCATAATCGTATGAGTGGCCGTGTGATAAGACTGCTCGGCTAGGTCAAACCGTCCTCGTCATCAACTTCCCCTGCCTTCCCCTGCATGAATGCTGAGATAGCCGAATCCAGATGCAGAAGGACAATATCTGCGCCACCACTTTTATGAGCGAGTACGTTTCCCTCTTTATCGATGTGAACAAATCCGACATTTTTACCACTTTTGGAGACGCCAAAGTTCAAGGCTTTGAGTAACTCACCTTTGGCGTCGCTAAGTAATAGGTTGTTCGAATTTGTGGCTTCTTTGTAGGTCGCATTTGCCGATACCGACTGTGGAGTAAGACCGATGGGTGAGACATCTACGGTCTGGTAATCGTAGTCGATATCGTCGAACTCTCTGATGAAATCGCTAACTTTGGTCTGGTCAGCCAAAACATCTTTATCTGTGTCGCAGGCAGGACCAATGTTCTCAGAGGGTTCCAAGATCGCATTGAACATTACTACTGAGTAGAATACTATGTCATCAAAAGCATTGCGTTTCTCACTCACCATCATCGTCCGTTTTGGGATACACAAAGAGAAGCACTCCTCCTGGATGGCTTATTTCAAGCTGCTCTCCCAGAGAAGTCCTCGCTCCATCATCCTGAATGACTTTGAGTTCCAGAGTTGCTCGTGGAATCTTATCTCCAACCCGCAGGGCTGAAGGTCGGGTTTGAAACTTGGCAGATTTGGCCTTTGCTGGAGGCTTTATGGCTGCAGACTTCGCAGGAGGCTTTGAGATTTCTGGACTTGTTGCTATTGTATCGGAGGCAATATCTTTCCTCCTGGCTGATCTTCGTGTTTCTGTCGGTCGAAGAGATTGTTTTCCTTTCTGGATCACCATCGCTTGCTTGAGGCCGTGAGCCTAGATGCCCGTTTTAAAAAGTGCTGGCCACTGAAAGAAATTGTCGAGAACCAGCTGTCGAACCCAAAGCAGTGGGACACTGGAAGGAATGTGAGTGGACCGTCGATGCCCAGAGACGTTGCCTCGTCGGGTCGAACTGGTGGCTCCTCGAAATGTATGTACAACCAGGTCTCGGCCCCCATTTCGATGATTCCAGGCACCAGCCCCCTGCTCACTAGGCTGAGGGCAGCCAAGGCTCACGGCTACAGAGTCGATACAGAGCTTCGGTAGCTCCAATTGTGTCATTGGGACCAGTAGCTGACGGCCAAACTACTTCCTCATTGAGAAATTTCGCAACGGTGGTCATGCGACCACATCCAAACCAATAATAAGTCTCAAAATTGGTTCCAAAATAGTCCTAGAGTGCTCATCTCAAGGCCGCCCTTTCAAAAGCCATCAGCGCGTTTGCACGACGACTTTCGAGTTTCGAAACCTATGATTCGATCTTTTCGAGAAACATAGGAAGCAATAAACAATCGTAGAACCTCCACGACTGGATGACGATCAACAGAACCTGGGCCTTTAGATCGTGTCCTCGACTTCCCCATCCGGCTCAACTCACGATAAAGTCTCCATAGCCTGGGCGAAACAGCGATTAGAATTTCGTGAGTGACACAGGCATATTCTTACTTTCGTCGACGGAAAGTGCGGCAATAACCCAGTGACAGAGCACGAGTTGGAGGTATTCCCATTTGCGAGCTGCTGTGGCAAAACCGTCATTATGAGGACCTTCAGTAGACAGGATGGCTAAGCATGTGACTGCTGGGTTCTGAGACAACAATATATAGCTCGCCATCCCCATAGCGCAGAACTCGTAACGGACATTTCGCGGAACAGAAAAGGGAATTCTCCACGTTGATGTGCCCTACATGCAGTCTTGATTTTCTTTCGGCTCAACCTATAGCACTTCCAAGAAGCCCGTTGTCGCTTGTCAATAAGTTCGATATGATAAGCTTCCAGATGGAGTTAGCATGAGCTCATTACGAAGAGCATTCGTCGGCAAATTCGCGAATAATGAGCAATGTGGATGGATGTCACTCAACACACCCCTAGCGCTTCATGATCAACATAGATGGCACTTCAATGTCAGTCCTAACGACCTGTGCAGTAAGATACCAAGCGTGTGACCTTCAGAAGTCGATGCTCAAGCGAACATTATAGGTACCTTAGTACCTAGGTAATCTACCTACTAAGTACCTAGGTAAGCAATGTGGTAGTAGTAAGGCGACGGTCAAATGTCTTTATGAGGTGCAACTGTTATAACTAATTTAATGAGTGCAATACCTTGAATAGGTCAAGATATAGTTGAGTTCCTTTGAGGAGGTTTTTCTGTAAATAATGCAACATTAAATAGATTTTTTGCACGGAAGCAAAGCCTTGGCATAGCATCCAAGTTGGGCAGTCCTCATCACCTATCTGGGGTGACACCTCCAAATTGATGAAACAGCAAAGGTAAAACTGGAAGCTCTCATCCAGCCAAATTTTTGGTGAGATAAAAGATATTCAGGCTATGCCGAAAGCATTAGTACAGACATGATGTCATGCTTACATAGATACACGTGATCCGCCATCAGGCCAAGATCTCCTCTCCTGCAATTCATTCCTCTCAACCACATCTTCATGGGCGAGGATCCTGCAACGCTGCAAGTAGACAAACGTTCTATCAAACTTACTGTAATTATTGTTGACAACTATCAACGTGCCTACGTATTGTTGTCTCTGAAATCTGTCCGAGCACGAGGACGACAGAGGCCAGCTTGAGTCAACTACGCGATGCGGTTAGACCAGAGGCGCAAGTTAAACGCTAGACCATTTTCAATCTCTCAGACCACCTAATTTCTGGATGAGAGACAAAACGACTTCCTCGGACCAACAATCGCAGCATGACAGATTTCAGGCTTTCCCCAGCCTTTATCAGCTCCCAGGAAAAGGATGCCGCTTTCGGGGAATGGGACTCGGGAACTCGAGGACGTCTAACATAATCAATGCTCATTGCTTCGCGTGCGCATTGCCCCTGGGGCTCTGCCACAAGCGGCCGTATTACAAGAACGAGCTACTCTTTTACGCGGCGATAATGGCTCGAGGAATCCGCATCGGCTTTCTGAAGACAAGCACTTCGCTGGAAATCACCTATTTCTGTATTCGATTTTGACATTCTTGACTATCCTCGGAGATGATACAGTGTGTTACTCAAGGTTTGTCCCTATTGAAATTCGTCTAGCGCTCCACGCTTGGGATTGACGCGGTAAGAGTCAAACTGAGTGTTGATATTTCTCCTAGACAGCGTCACACCACATCACTCACCTGAGAGGAATCACTACACTCCGTCTTCGCTTAGCTCCTATACACTATAATATTATAACACGCTTCGGGGATTCGCCTTTGTTGTTACGCAGTCTACTAAAATTAGCAATCAAGTACACTCCTTCATGCCCCCTGGGCAGTGCATTGATGTCTTGCTCACTCTCATACTTCTGTTATAAAGCAAGGTAGGAAGTCATTCGTTCTCATTTTCCCTCCTCGTTATAGCACTTTATACACATTCTCTCAGTCACCGCCCTCTTGCTGTGACATTCAACATTCGTTTCGCAATGGAAGTTTTCACAAGCATTGGTAGCCTCAATACCACTACTCTTCTCAATGCATATGGCAACAGCGAGATTGCCTATCTTTTACAGCACCCCCCTACTGAATTTCAGATACTACACACATACAGATGGGCTCTTCTGTTTTCATTATTGGCGGGCTCTTTCGTGTTCTCACTGAGCAAATACCTTCTTTTCCACGATAGAGCGCCCCCTGGCCTCAAACTTATCCCAGGTCCACGGAGCACACTCCCTTGGCTAGGTCGTATACATGGAATAGACCCTGTCGCGCCATGGAAGTCGATGAAAAAATGGTCCGATGAGTACGATGGTCTCTTCAGACTCACAACTGCTGGCGGTGAAATGCATATCTGGATAGGGAAAGCAGAGATCGCCCAGGAACTATACTGCAAACGTGCAGCCAAGTACTCTTCTCGGCCAGAGGTCCCTGCGGTTCCCGGCAGTGATAAGCAGGGCCAATACCTTCCTCTTCTGCAGGACGATGATCATTGGCGACACCAACGAAAGTTCGGCCACACTGTACTAACAGAGTGCGGTGGCAAGGAGTTTTACGGTTATATTTCTCATGAAGCCAAGCGTGTCAGTACTTTTTATGACAGGATTGCTTAAACATACTAACATCCTTTTAGTACGTTTATAACTTAATCAAAGACCCCAACGACCACTATACACAATGCTCTCACTTCTGCGGGCGGATATCTGCACGTTTGGCCTATGGTAATCCCAACTCCGGGGCAGCGCACTGCAAGAACGCAGGAGAGTTCATCCCTCAGATTTCTCCTTCTGCAAGTGGACCTATTACCAACATCTTCCCGTTTCTTGGAAAGCTTCCAGAATTCATCAACACCACCCGCATCGCTCCTCGTCAGCGTCGTGAGCGGGAAGAGCGACTTTGGAAGGGGCTCATGTGGCAGGTGAAAGAAGACATGGCCAACGGTATAGCACCTCCTTCTTACGCCCGTTCCTACTTCGAGAAAGCAGCCGCAGCACCACAGGGCCTCGGATTTGGCATGGACGAGCATGAAGCCGCATACGCTGTTGGTATGTTGTGCACCGTTGCCATCATGACCAACTCCGGGCCTATGTATTGCTTTTTGATGGCCATGGTATTGCACCCTGAGTGGCAAGAGAAGGCGAGAGCAGAAGTGGATGCCGTTGTCGGTCCCGACCGTGTCGTCGATGTCTCTGATACACCCAATCTGCCTATCCTGCGCGCTGTTATCAAAGAGTGTATTCGCTGGAAACCACCCGTCCCTCTTGGTAAGTCATTATTGGCACAAACACATTGGCCCCCATACTAACTGTCCTAGGTGTCCCCCGCAAAGTGACCGCCGATGACGAGTACAATGGCTACTTCATCCCCAAAGGGGCCGTCGTACACGCTATCGACCTTGCCATCGCCCAAGACCCAGAACTCTACCCCGATCCGCTCACATTCAACCCAGCACGATGGCTAGAACCCGAGTACCCCACTTACAAAGAACCTCTATCCGTCCATCCGACCCTCCATGGACACCACGGCTTTGGCCGAGGACGCCGACTCTGCCTAGGTATTGAACTCGCACAGGCAGAGTTGGTGGTTGGCTGCGGTAGCTTGTTGTGGGCGTTTGAGATGCTGCCCAAGAAAGATCAGCAGGGAAACCCGATCTGGCCTGATCCTGACCACTGGACCAGCAATGTTATTGGAGGACCACTGCCGTTGAGTATTGATGTCAAGGTCAGAAGTGAGGAGAAGAGACGGAATGCTGAGCGTCTGTTTGAGGACAGCCTGAATGACTATCCTGAGTAAAAAAAGGCCCTCAGACGTGTCAAATTACGACGAATGTAATATTAGGCGTTATTTCTTTGTGTTAGGTTGGGAACTTTTCTATGTTCTAATTGGATGTGGAGAGATATAGCCACCGAGGGAAGACGGGTAAGCATAAGGATAAGGCATCCCAGGATTTCAATCTTTATGAACATTCATGACATGAGGTTCTCATTTTCTTCATCTGCTATGGTACATGTAGTGGATTTGATCTCTTCTCTTGCGCATTTTTTACCAACGCCTTCAACCTTGTGGCACTTGTTGAGTCGCACAATGGATCCCCCCACCCGTTCTCGGTAGTATATTTAACAGCACCTGCACAATCTCTCTATCTGGAAATAGCTTTTGAAACAACTCGAGCGCCGCGGTATCCTGCTTCACTTGTCCGAATTTCGGCATGATGACAGCCCCATTCACAAGAAGATAGTTCGCATACGAAGCAACGACCTCATTGAACTGATCAGGTGGTCCGAGAAGAGCAGTCTCTGGCTCCTCACAGTCATAGACAGTCAAGCTCCGGCCCTTTGCATCCTTGGCGGAGGACAGGATTGAGCGTGCGGACTTGTAGACCTCGATGGCAATACTGTCAGCCCTGGGGCTCGGTTTGCTCAGAAGCACTACGCCAGGTGATATGAACCGTGCCAGTGCATCGATGTGGTAATCAGTGATGTCGTAATCTTTGACTCCAGGTATCCAGATGAAGTGCGTAACTCCTACTTTGTCCCTGAGTTCTGCCTCGACCTCCTTCTTCGAAAACCCTGGGTTGCGGTTATCGTTTAGAATGCAGCTTTCCGTACCGAGGAAGGTGCCTTCGCCGTCGTGCTCTATTCCTCCTCCTTCCAGGATTAGCTTCGATGTTACCGAGGGTTCATTTGCGTAAGCTGCGACCTCTGCTGCGACGTTTTGGTCACCGATGGCGGGTAGCTTGCCACCCCAGTAGTTGTAGTTGAATCTGACGGCAGTCATCTTTCCTGTGGATTGATCTTGGGCGTAGACCGGTCCGCTGTCACGGATCCAAAGCTCATTCACCGTTGCTGGCTTGACGAAGGCGTTCGAGCCAACCATTGACGTTGCTTGCGAGATGAGCTCCTTACTGGCGTAGAGGTGAACTGGCTCGAAGCGAGATATCGCATTTGCGATGTGTATCACTTCTAGTTGAAGTGCTTCTAGATGCTCCCGACTTTCTGCTGATCGTATACTTGGGAAGGCCATCAAGGTGTGAGAATGAAGTGCACTTTCAGCTGGCATACGAAAACGTCCATGATTTTGGAAGTCTGAGTGTTGTTGGTCAGATGCTCTACTGGAGTTGGTTAGGCCTGGCATTTTGGATGTCGATATTAGTCTTCTTATGTTCGATTTTTGAGTTATGGTAAGTTTTTTGATAGATAATTGAGATAGGACGCCGTTTGCTTGGATTGACGACCAAGATGTGTTTCTACCACATACAGTCGACCCCTTTAAACCTCGGATAACGATAGAGAAGCCCATTTTCTTCGCCATCAGCCGGACCCCGAGGGTAGCGGCATCGCTGAGAGTTACTCCAAGAGCTGTATGATATTGCGAAGCCAGATGGAAGTCTGGGGTAGGAGGCTCATTCCGGAAGGACTTACCGAGTTTGGCTAGACTAGACGGAAGATTTTCGGCAGGACTAACCTTAAGTTCGCCTGCTTCGAGCTGCCGTGGACTTCTCCTTCCTTCGCAGTCTAGCCAACACCGGCAATGTCGCTGACTCTTGCTCTTGAGAGCAGCGCTGTAATTCTATAGAGTCATGAAGCCGGCGCAGTCCGATAAAGATTGTGGTTTCAGGCACAAGGTAAGAGTTGCACAACAAGTTCTCAGCAAATATCCAAAGCAGGAATCAACTGGCATGACACGGCATCAGATTATTGATCCATCGTCCATCTTCTCAAGAGCTGTAAGTCTCAGTGACGACTTGGCATCCGTCCCTTTAGGCTCTATCACAAGCGTGTGCTGCTCACCACCTGTTTGCGCCACAACATCAATTGTCGAAACCATCCTTGTCACTCATACTGCTCATCTAGAGCTCCGCAAACATGCAAAACCGTAGCAGCATCGTCGACGCGACTATCTCAGACTTGTCAATAGCTCTGAGTAGTGGGAGACTTACGTCCGTCGACCTTGTCGCCAAATATTTTCTCCGCATTAGTGCCTACGACTGCAGAGCCACGGCCCTCAATTCAATTCCATTGATCAACGAAAACGTATTTGAAGAGGCCGCAGCAACTGATGACCGCCGTGCCAGCGGCCACGTCTCAGGTATTCTGGACGGCATTCCCTTCACAGTCAAGGACAGTTACAAAGTCCAGGGAATGACCGTTGCCAGTGGCTCGGAGGCTTTCGAAAATCTTATCGCCAATGAAGATGCATTTACGGTAAGTGCTCTTCGTGAAGCTGGCGCTGTCCTAATTGGCAGGACAAATATGTGTCCCATGGCCTATGGCGGCATGTTAAGAGGAGTCTATGGCCGAGCAGAAAGCCCATATAACAAAGACTACCTTGCAGCGGCTTTTGGATCTGGCTCCTCGAATGGCAGCGGCGTTTCCGTCGCTTCATCTTTCGCTGCCTTCGGCATGGGCGAAGAGACTGTCTCGTCTGGTCGATCCCCAGCTTCAAACAATGCATTAGTCGCTTATACCCCATCGCGAGGCTTGATATCAATCCGTGGCAACTGGCCACTCTATCCAACTTGCGACGTGGTCGTACCACACACACGCACGACAAGCGACCTGTTCATACTGCTGCACGTCCTTTTTAAGCAGGATTCCAAAACAATTGGCGATTTCTGGAGAGATCAGCCATTCTTTCAGCTTCCCCAGCCTGGGTGGACTACTTCTGAGAACCTCTCTGCTGCGAAGGGTATAGGATTTCTCAAAGGTAAGCGAATTGCAGTTCCTCAGATATTCCTCAAGCAAACTTCGAATGGGCCGTATATCTCCGAGGCAATTGAGCCGCTCTGGAATCAAGCCAAAGTCGACTTGGAAGCTGCTGGTGCACACGTTGAACTTGTCCAAGATCTTCCTGTTTTCAGTATATATGAAAAGCTCTTACGCACCTCTGATGCTGTTCTCGGATCCTCGATACCAGAAAACTGGAACACCACCGAAAGAAGTGTCCTTATAGCTCACGCATGGGAGGACTTTCTAGAGAATAACCACGATGCTTCTGTAAAATCCTTACGCCAAGTCGACCCAACGAAAATCTTTCCACATTTCTCATCTGATAACGTCCAAATCAAGTACACCGAGCCTGCAAATGCCGTCCCCTGGGCGAAACTAGCCGACTACGCCTCCAATCGGCCCCCTTCTAGTACGCAACACATCCCGGACAAGAGAGAGAAAGCGATCTACTCCATACCTAATCTCTGCGAAGCAATAAAAGCTCTTGAGAATATCCGCATAAAATTCTTCGAGGAGTGGCTGGCTACTCACAATTACGACTTCGCAGTCTTCCCTGCTGCTGGTGAAGTGGCCCGTGCCGATGCAGATGTCAGCGACTCGAGCGCACGGCATGCCTGGACAGATGGCATCAAGTACAGCCACGGCAACCGTGCACTGCGGCATCTAGGCATTCCGAGCGTGACTGTGCCGATGGGAGTCTTGGATGACTCGAAGATGCCAATGGGCCTCACATTCTTGAGCCGCGCGTACGATGACTTCAATCTGCTACAGGCTGGGCATGCCTATGAGCTGGCGAGTCAACGAAGGATACCGCCTCCATTGACACCCCCCCTGGCGTCAGACGAGATCCCAGTGGACAGCCAAGTCTCATCGGAATCTAGGCCGAAACTCACGGTCACAAAATGCATCAAGACTCCAGCTGAGAACGGTGATATCCTGGTTTCGATTGAAGGCACACTCGACCTTGTCTCCACCCAGCCATCTCACGCCGATTTCAAACCTACCCTCGAGGTCTACATTGACGGAAAGTCTGTGCCCACATCTTCAATCATCATCATCAGCGATGAAACACCAGCCCAAAAAACCGTGTACCAAAAGTTCAAAATCGAGCAGTTAACCACTCCCCCACCAGCACAAGACAGCCGCAACCAAGTCGTCGGCAAGATCGCGAGAGACAGTACGATGGTTATGATTCTCGGGCGCGATGGTGAACGGGGCCGACCATCGGGATATGTTAAATTATTGCATTGAAATCTATTCGCTTTACAATGACCGCATTTTAGAGCGGTGGAAAGTCAGACAGCGCCAGCTCGGCTCCGTTCCAACACAACTGCCACGGGACCAGACTTCGAATGCAATAGATGGGGTAGTCTACTTAGCTGGTATGGCTTAGCTACATACTTAGCCTCGATGGGGTGTCGAAAGTGTATAGTAGTACGTGTTAGCCTCAAACCACGAGAGGGCTTTTTTTTTAATTGCTAGCCTCAGCGGAAGGCTGCATTTGGTAGTCTTGATCTCAATCTTGTCAAGCTTTTCGGCTCTTGGAAAACCGGTCTATAAATATGCCTGCTTCAAACTCTTTCTAGACGTAACACGTCACAGAATTGGGCTTTTTCATCCATTCCCGACGATGATATTCCAGGAAAGTTTTGAGAATTCACGATGATGACTACCTTATTCTCCTACTCTGCTCAAAAGGCTTACATGGGTTTAATACTGTCTCTGCGCCCAGTGCTCGTACTTCCCAGCCAACTGGATCCTCCACTTCCGACCCCAAATAATGAGAGGCACGCAAGTCAGGCCGAGCACGGCGGCCAGCACACCACAGATGACAAACATGTTGTAGATGCCCATACCCGTGATCCACGGCGGGACGCCGAAGACTAGAGCTGTGCTGATGGCATTGCGCACGAAGACGACGCCAACGAGAGCGTCTCCTAATATCTAGGTGACTTGTGTCAGTACGGGGGGTTGGAAGAAAAGGTACAGAAAGGGGGAAAGGCGTACATGTTGATATGAATCCTGCACGTAGGTGAGTGCCATGTCGCCACAGCCGCCGAGCGCAAAACCGACGAAGCCCGCGCCGATGGCGTTGAGGATCCATGCTTGGCCCTGGAATGAGATGTTAGTCGGGTTTAAATTCGCATTGTGTTGTATGTTTCGACCACGAGAGAGCCATACCTTTGCAATAGTCAAGCCGTACAACAATATGCCGAGAATCATGCCGCAGCCAGGGATCATAAAGAGCCAGAGTCGAGTCTCTGGCTCGTGAATGCCGGCTCTCCGTTTTGCGATTTGAACTGCGAAATAGTCGACCGCTGGGCCGCCCAGGAGCGAGCCCAGGACTGATCCGATTGCCGGTGGAAGACTCATAAGCCCAACCGACGCGGCGCTGAAGTTGTATGGCGGTGCAGGGTAAACGGTAGCTTGCGTGACCGCCACCACGGCCAGCATGGATACAAGCCAGCCGTACTGGAGCGCAGCAAAGGCGACGGCGGGGAATTGGAACAGAATGATGAATGGCTGGAAGACATGGCTGATAAAGCTGTTTTTCTGGCGGTGGCCTGCTGGATCTGTGTCAAGAGAAATCAAGCGATGGCGGCGCCAGTAGCCATCCAGTGGTATTGTTGACTTCTGTAGGATGGAATCTCGCGTAGCCATCGTGATGAGAGTGAGCTCTGGCTGTTCTGTCGCTGTTGGTGTCTTGGACTTGGAATTCTCTGATGCACTATCAACGACTCCTCCGGTCATGACAGGAACAGTTTCGCCGATGACTGTGGGCGCGTCGAACTTTGTCTCCTCCAACGCTACAATCAGCGCCAGAGTAGTGATTCCCATGAATATGGCGAGGTAGTAGAACGCCCATCGCCAACCTTGTGATACTGCGACATATCCTGCGGCGACAGGACCCATGTAGTTGCCAAACGACACGGCTGCCAAGTATAGTCCGTTTGCAGAGGCTCTTTGGTGGACGAAAAACATGTCTGACACGGTCACCTGAAAGAGTGCTTCGTTCACAGCGCCTGCCAGCCCGCCGATGACATTCGATCCCATGAAATCTCCAACCGTTTGGGCTCTCGCTTGCCAGATTGCACACGCCGTCATAAGGAGTGATGTCAAGATGTACACTGGTCTTCTGCCAAACTTGAGTCCAAGAGGGACAAAGAAGATGCAGCCCACGCTCAAGGCTCCCGAGCTTGCAGCGTATGCATTGTTGAGATCGGTAAACGAGACGCCGGTCTCGATATTGATATCAACCCATAGAGGTGTAGCTGAAGTCAACCTTCATTGCGGTCAGTAGGGAAAGCACGACAGATAGATAGGAGCCTACGTTGCAAAGACAAAAATGCAATAAAAGCATAGAAGTGTCATATGTAATGACTTTCTCCCCTTGGACCAGTTCTGTCTGCAATCAGAGATGCTTTTTTTGTGGAGTTTGCAAAGCTCACCAGGGGTTGGTTGGGGTCTGCGGTCGGAATTGGCGAAAGGACAATGTGTGCACCAGTCTCATTTTCGATCCGTTGCGTGCCCGGTGGCAAGGCTTCACGTGAAGCAGGGCGATCATGCTCCATAACCGTCGACTTCTGAAATACGGAAGAGAAATCTCAATGTCTTTGCCTCTGGGTGTCGGAGGCAGTGAGCTGGCGAGCTACAAGCATGAAGTAGCTGAATCACAAGCGAGGGGGTCCAAATCGTGTTTTAAAGAATTCCAAAAAGCAGCAGGCTGGCTATGTGCGGACGCGACTTACAATACTTTAAGTAGATATGAAGAGTCTCCGTTATCTGCCTATCTCCCGAAGAAACGTTGGCCGTCGACGTGTAATCTGGAGGTTTGTATGAATGAAACAGATAGGAAAGAAACCACGGGAGTTGAGCTTCGACTCAACTGCGACTTGGATCGCTGCAGAAGTTTGAGATTCGCGGCCTGCCCCTAATCTCGATGCTCGAGTCGAGGCCGCCGGAATGTATAGACCAATCATCTGAACCCCAAATCTGGGCAGGTATAGCCGACGGAAGATTTTGAGCAGCATTCGTCCACCAAGGAGGCAGGATTAGCCAACGGATGATTTTGCGCCCCAGGCTTGGGACGTTTTGACGCTCCCAACTCTGTGGGGAAACGGCACCTTCTTATCTGGCTTGACTTTCCCTTCCCAATTTTCGAAATGGCTCAGGTCGAGATGCCGTAGGTAGGAACCGTCATGGACGGAGTCCTCCGCTGGTGCTTTCGCAACGATTGATTTATGATGTCGTCGCAGACGCAGTTACATAAAAACGTTTTCTTCAGCATCGATTGTAAAGTTGTCATTAACTTTTGCTAATCAAGATGAGGACAGTGTTCGAGAATGGGGTGATCTACCATGGGAAGTGCAAGTCTGCATTCGAGACTTGCACCAGTATGGTCATTAACGAGAATCGGATAGAATACCTGGGCGACGATGCAGGAAAACGAATCCCCTCCCTCAATAATCGTGAAGACACCAATACAGTCGATCTGAAAGGTCGTTCTGTGTTCGCAGCCTTTGTCGATGCGCACATGCATTTACTGCAATTCGGAGCGTCCTTGCTTAAAATTGGACTTGACAACTGCCACAACCTCGAAGAAATAAGAAGTACCATTGCTCAGGCGGCGAAAAGCAACCCAAAAGCTCAACGAATTCTCTGTCGAGGATGGAGACAAGCCACCACTAGTCGCCAAGCGCTTGCGAGCATGCTCGACGATATTGACCCTCGCCCAATCTTCATTGATGCGGACGATCTACACTCTTGCTGGTGCAGCAGCTCGGCGTTGAAGGACTTGGGCATCACCCGTGACACCCCTGAGCCTGTTGATGGAACAATTCACAGAGACAAAGATGGGAACCCTTCAGGGCTAATAAGCGAAGGCGCAGTCTTTACTTTCGTCTGGCCTTTTTTGATAGGCGTACTTTCCAAAGAGGAGAAGAAGGACTGCGTTCGAGCAGCCACAGACGAGTACCACGCTTCGGGCTATACTAGTGTGATCGAAATGGCCATGGACCAGGGACATTGGGATTTGTTCGAGGACATGCACAAGAACGGCGAACTGGGTCTCCGAGTGGCGGCGCATTGGATGATAATACCGACAGGAAAGAGTGCGGATGAGCTCGCTCAGGTTCAAACGGCAATCGACATCCATGCACAGTACAATCTCCAAAACTCTCCAGATTTCCGGATCGCTGGAATCAAGATAATAGCTGACGGCGTGGTGGATTCATGTACAGCTGCGCTTTCAGAGCCCTACCTAGTGACTCCGCAGGGGGTAGGTGATCTCAACTGGACAGACGATGCGATACGAGCAGTGGCTGCAAAAGCTGACAAGTCTGGTCTGCAAGTCGCCATTCACGCCATTGGTGACGCCGCTATTCATCAAGCAATCAACACACTGGAGAGTCTAGGCACCACTGGACAGCGACACAGGATCGAACACCTCGAACTCACTCATCCGGATGACGCTAAAAGACTGGGAAAACTCGGCATCACTGCTTCTGTGCAGCCAGTGCATTCTGATCCTTCGATCTTGGGAGCATGGCCTGAATTGGTGGGCAAAGAGCGTTGCGATTGGGCCTTTGCGCATGGAGCCTTCCAGGAACATGGTGCTCAATTAGCCATTGGTACTGACTCGCCCACTGCGCCACATCAGCCATTTCCCAATTTGTATGTCGCGAATACCAGACAGTCATCACGAGACCAGCATAACCATACCAAGATCAATCAACGGCAAGGTCTAGATATGCACCAGGTGTTTGGTGCTGCAACTTGGGGCGCTGCTTATTCTGGCTTTGCCGAAAAGGAACTCGGCAGTTTAGAGGTTGGAAAAAAGGCCGACTTTATCGTAGTAGACGGGTTGCTGGATGGGTTCGATGCAAAATCCTTGCTGAAAGCTTGTGTCACGGAGACGTGGATGAACGGTCGGAAGGTGTATTCGTCGTAGACCACCTTATCAGCGTTCTAAATGCGTTGGCAATGGTTGTTATTGTATGATATACATTTCATGGTCCCATGGCCACAGATAATCCTTGGTCAATGCACTCGAACCAAGGTAAAGCTGGTCTGCGTCGTCGATTGGCCCATATATGTCTCAGCCCTGCCGCCATACTCTGGCACGCTCTTGGTGCTAAGCCGTTGCTGATCTTATTCATGGTCTCAAGGAGTGGACTTTCCAGATCTTCATCCACATTAAAGTTGTCCAGGCACGCCACGAAGTAGGGAAAAAGGACGTAATTCGGTCTGTCGACTCCTTGCTCCATAACATCCAGGATTTCTGCATGGAGTTGCACAGCTTTGTCATGTGCTAACGCGTCGCCAAGAGGGGTCCTTTGAATCTGCAAAAGTAAAAGCTGAACTGCGGACTTGAAGGCTTTGGCTTGAAGTAAGAAGTGTTGCTTCTCGTCTCTATCCACAACAATCTCATCACGTAGCTGAAGAGCCGCTTCTGGTGACCACTGGTCGACCAATGAGCTGATCCACTCAATCCCTAAGCTAACATCGATCCAGGAAGCAGTGCCCGACCTGACAGAATTGCATAGAAGACAAACGTCGTAAAGAAATGGGAGAAGCTCCGGGCATACTCCATAGTAACGATCAACAATTGTGTTCTCTTGTGAAGGCTCATAACGAAAGACCGGTGTTTCTCCCAACACAATGCACTCCGTTACCTCCACGAACAGAATGCATATAATATTCGGATCTGTATCCTCTAGCGTTGCGCGTATCAGCTGTTGTTTCCAGGGCAGAGCTTGGAGGAGAGCTGATCTTGCTATTGGAAGAGTAGAAGCCCCTATCGTGATGTCGTTGTAGGTAATAATCATCATTGCAAGAGCCAAAGCAGCCCGAGCGTCTTCGATCGAGGTTGTCTGTATGGTTGCCAACTTCTGGAGCGCTCTGGAACCTCTTTGACAAGAAGGATCATTCAGGTTTTCAGCAACCGTGGCGTGCTTGTTGGCTAATAGGGCGTTGGCGAAAGCGAGTATGCCGTCCTTGAGTTGGTCGGTGGCGGCATAAAGCTGGGACGCCATTTCTGAGCGCATGGAATCCTGGAAGGTTCGCCCATAAACGAGACTGGAGATCTGGTCGGGATGGAGGACGAATTCGACCAAAGTGAGTTCATCCTGGCCGAAACCCTTCCAAATGGGCAAAAGACGGCCATCAAATATTAGCCGCGTCGGAGCAGCAGGAATCAGTGGAAGTGGTGAAGATTCCTGCTTTGGGCTTGGAGTACGCCGCGGTTTCAAGGCCGTGCGTGGTCGACCGGGCGGCAGGATAGCTCTATCTATCCTGCACACATGCCCGAGTCGAGCACAGCGCTCACATACTTGTGAGTTGTTTTCATAATTGCACCGCGCCTTGATTCTGTAGCACTTGTCGCACGACCTTGATGGCTTCATTCCCCTCAATCTGCATCTACATAGTTGTGTGGAGAAGAGTGTGGAGCAGAGGAAGAAAAGAGATGTCAAGGAAATGGGAGGTTTCGCACGGATGTTGGTCCTTGCCATGGCTATGCTAGCCATATCCAGTTAGCTATTTATAGTCTTGGCATCTAGTCGTTGTCTACCAGGTACTCAGGTACCTAGGCTACAAGTACCTTGAAGGAATGGATTAATGAAACTTCCGTATCTCAACGCTGCTGACATGGTGAAATGGGAAGGAAAGTGGTGCGATAAGTCGGAACAAAGGCTGAGACTAGGGGTATCTGATCACGAAGTTTACCAATTTATTCAAAGTACAGTGATGGGTTGCGGTCGGAACAACCAGGTATTCACATTTGGGGCAAAAAGAAAAGAAATAAATATGGCTGAGGAACTTGATGTCATATGAGTGATGGCGTTTGGATTAAGAGTACTAATATGTAGGTTGAAGAGCAGACAGCCTCTCCCCAATTGAAATCCTTGATACTATAGAATATATCGTCGCTTGGTTGTTCAAAATCTAATAATTTCGCTATACCCGCTTGTTCATGCTCGTGCTCGTGAGATGTCGAATGAAAAATGTAAGATGTCGGTGGGCACTCAGGCCGCGGTGTCCAGCACCGTGCGCCTTGGTTGGAGAAATCGATTGTTGTTATACATGGATTAAAAAAATAGTAGAAAAGCTTCTCCCAAATGCCATTGGGCACCAATTCATTGCATCATTCCGAGGGATTAGAAAAGCCGTTTTCGTGAATTATGTGCAAAGTCGTAAGAGTCTGAGTTGACGCCGACTTGGGTATATCAATCGCGATCGCGAGGTCCTAGAATGCCTTGTATGTCCATCCTTGGTCGTTTTGGGTCCGGTTCCTGTGTTCCATCATCTCGATTCGTTGGTTCTTCCTGTGGGGAACGTTGCACTCCTTGCCGGTACTGTGGTTCGGATATAGCAGGGTCGATCGGTCCAACACCAGGAGGTGATGTACGAATGGGCGGTAGCTGAAGGCCCGCAGATCCCTCTAAAGGCGGAAGAGAGTCGCCAGCCATGGACGGACTCGTCAAAGTTCGTGGAAATATCGGGTTTGAGTATGTTGTAGGGGGTCCCATGTGCTGATAGGGAGGGAAATTGTATGAGCTCGGGTAGGTTGCCATTGGCCTCATCGACGATTCCGGAGGAGAATTGCTATAAGGTACTGGAGGTTGGGCAGAGACAGAACCAGAACCGCCAGTATACGGGTGGGATGATGGGACAAAAGTGCCTACAGCTGTCGCGTGGCTCGGCGATATTGAAGGCTGTGCATACATCGCGGGAAATGGGGGTCCTCGTCCATAGGGCGTCTGTAAAGGTCTAATCGGCGGATATGTGGTCGAGTGCATTAAGCTACTTGTGTCCGTTCCCGGAAGCGTCCTTGGAGAATACGATAGTGCCCCTGGCGGTAAAGACTCGAATGTTCTTCGTGCCGAAGGATCTTCTGGCTTTAGAGGGGGTCGTCCTCGCTTTTTGTGCTCGACATCTCGACATGAGTCCTAATAGGGTTAGTATTTGCGTGCTCTCTGGCAATTTTTGCCTCGGAAGACCTACTTCTTTCCCACTTTGTAAACACCTCCGACACGGACGACTTTCGTCACATCTTAGATGCTTTTTCTTACAGTTGACACAAGCGGAAGTGACATGAGGTTTAGGCTTTCTCGTTGCCCTTGGAGAAATCGGGCTTTGCGATAAGTATTCTGGATCGGTGACAGCCACAGTCGATAGACTCGATGCTGGTTGATAGGAGCCGCTCGAAGCGAATGGGGAGGCATACGGGCCAGGCTGAACCACGGCCTCCGTGAGTATATCACCACCTCTTGCCAGATTGCCTGGTGTTGATGTAGTTTGATCAGATGGTGTCAGAGGAACAACGCTGCTGGAAGCAGCCGTCGTTGTTGGAGGAGTATGAGAACGCTTTCGTCGTCGACCAGCAATCTGAGGAGGGTCAGTAGGTGGCTCCGGTGGGGGCGATCCGGACATGGGAGGTGAGGGTAGAGGTGCCCACAAGGGCGCAGCGAGTGGTTTGGGCAAAGTCAGATTGATCGCGAATCTGGTGTTGTCGATACTGGACCGGTGTCGCTTGAAAGAGGGATGGAAAAGAGGAAACTGAGGTAGAGGTGAATGCTGCATCAGGTCACCCCGAGTACGCAATATCAAATCTGCATGAATGGTCGCTTGTTCCAAGTTGCCGTGTCAAGGTGGTGCAAGGCTGGACGGAGATGGAGATGTGAATGGATTTCGTCTCAAGTGTGTCTGTGCTCAATGTTGATCGGTATGCTGGTCCAAACCATCCGCTAAGTCACGTCTTTGAGGCGAAGTACCAATGTCTTTTCTTCCGATCTTGTTCCGATGTCCGTGCAGGTCCTTGGTACTGAGTTAGTGGTTTGCCTTGGGTCCAATAAAGTTGATCGAAGATGAACACAGCATATATCACTGTCGCTCTGCATACCTTGTCAATGCCTTTCAGCCCCGATTTTTTACACAACCAACATCGACCGAACAGATATCATAATATAGCTGACCAACCACGGAGAAGTTGAACCACTGCTCGACTTGAAATAGAATTCGGGCGGGCGAGCACACACCTGATGCGAGGGCAGGAGCGGCAACTTGCAACGACGAGGGATTTCCAGATGGTCAATGTCTGGCGAGAGGGCTTTCGGAGGTATCGTTAGTGTGTTGACTGAATGACTGTAAACAGCGTGCCTCTGTATATTCGAAGATCAGGTGGCTTTGGCCTACGAGCGAGTCACCAAACAAATTCAATCAGGGCTTGAGTCTCTCAGATAGACAAAAGCCCAGATGGTCGGGGACTGGTGTTGGTCTTGCGACGCAGCGGTACAAGAACGGCTTGGGCACGTAGCCTGTCAATAATGGAAAACATGAAATGCAGACAAATTTCCTCATGGTCGTGATCGTGGGTGACGATCTGCTCTATTGAAAGGCAGAATATTTGTCCAATAGTTCAAATGGCTAGATCCACATCGGTACGATGGAGATGCCCAGGGATCCATGAAGGAGCTGAATGTTTGCATTAGCTTTTGCGTCTGACGGACACTTGGCCATGTCTGCCGCTGTCAATTGCGACATGCTCTAATCCGCAGCAAGCGACCAGCAGCCTGGTGTGGATGAGGTTTCGCCGCTCGTGAGCGTCTTGGGCATTGGCCGCTCGGTAGTACCAGATAGTGGTGTCTCGGCAAGCCAGCGTGACGATGGCACCAGCCACAAGCCACCCCGGGCAAGATCAACGCTGAGGGTTTGTCTGAATTCAGCTTCTTTGATTCTGGGATGGGCATGGATAGGGCAGGGTGGCAACCTGGCGGACCCAGTGGGCAATCAAGTATAAGCTTTCTCATGGTCAGGGGTCTAGCGGCGGTCGATCGGCAGACCTCAACGCCGGTGAGTTTGTGCTGGGCAACCCCGGCTGGGTGCCCGGCCCCAGTAGCGGATGCTAACGAATGACTATTCAATTCTTCGGTCGTTTCCTTTGGACAAGGCTTGGAGGTATCGTCATTGGTTGGGTGTTTGTAGTCTGCGTTGGGCTTGAAAACGGTGATTGCTGCCCGGGAATCTCTGCGAGCTGTTTATTGGTAGTCGAGATTGTGATATGGAGAGACATTCAGAGACAGGCCAAAGGCAAGTATAATCTAGTCCAGATGTCTGGACGAATAAAGAGAAGCCGACAGCATAATGCAGAAAGTTGACCTCCGTGTCCCCTGCATTAGGCCTTCAGTCTGAGGGAGGAAACCCCGATTAAGGGAAGGTGGAAGGTATCTCGCGGGCAAGGAGTATGCGGCCCCCATGCACGCCAAAAATCTACCTTTAAGCCTTGTGTCCTGGAATCAATCCGTGCAGAGTATTGTTATTTGCGCCATCCAGAAGCGAATGTCTGGCATGAAATCCGGGACTCGAGGTCGCACTCTCAATCTCATTCTTTATTAACCGGGCTCCATGTGCCAGAAATAGACACGTCTGTACCACTCATGACGACCTGGGAACCTCCGCGATGGGTTTGATGTTCCACAAACGTCCTACGGAGTAGCCACCAAGAACCAGTACGAAGGACTGGTGGCCCTGGGTTCAATGAGTGACCCGGACGTCGGGGCATGCGTTCTCTGAATAATAATGCTCCAGCAAAGCCCAGTAAACTCCAGGGAACAGGCACGTAATCAGTGGAACCAATTAATATTAGCCAAGACGATATCCTTTTTCGCTGGCATGATGCTATCCGGTCCACGTTAGTAGGTTACGGAGTACAGCCATTTATGACTCGGGAGTACCTACAGATCAATGACGAGGAAAACACAATCGATAACGAAGGCTTCGTCTTCTAAATGGAACCTTGCTAGCACTTCTACAGGCATAATCAGGATGTGCCAGGGAACGAGGAAGTTAGACCTAGAAGTCGTTAGCTCACGGAGTATGCTTTCCTTTTTGATGCTCGTTCGAATACGGAGTCCTAATACCTGATATCTGACTTTTGCACATGACTTCAGACTGCAGGAGCATCGAGAGGAGCAATATGAAAGTGCCCCAGTTTCTCAGGCTTGTTTTACTACGGATATGTATAACTTCCGTAGATTCGCCGTTATGTTTTCCAACCTAGTCAGCGTAACACTCTGAATCCCGTAAGTTTCTGTGCCGTTATTTTAGGAGTTCCTATCTACCCGTGATCCTCATGACTCCATACCCTACCTGTTGTGAGGCTGGGCATTGTGGATTCGTGGAGGGACGAAAACGCAATTCGTGGTCGCATGCAAATTTAATAATGGATGCACCAGTAGTAACAAAAATATCTAGATGTCCTCCGAATCCATGAACAGACCAGGGGACGCGGGTTATTTCTGCTTATCCGAAGTCCGGTGTAGGCTCCTGTTGGCTCATAGTCCCGGGACTGGTTTCTCGCTTGTTGGGTGTCAAGCAATCCTCCGGCTAGGCCTGGACAAGGGTGGTAGTACTTCGTACGTGGTTGTTAAACCTTGAGAAATGGATTGACCACGATTTTCTGATTGCTTCATGAAGCTGTGCACTTTACACATACGACAGATACACTCATGACTCTGACGTGCTGTCATATAAAATTAATTGTGGAAAATCATGGAGGACCACCATATCGTAGAATACATTTTATTTGGCATCAAAGCAAACTCTACCACAAGCAGGCTCACAATCGTATGTGGCACAAACTTAGAGTCGAGTAAATCATGATGTGGCACCAAACAGCCCGCTTAGGCCATGGGCGATCAGGCTTGAATGCTCAAGGCTAGACTAGGCATTTGGAAGTGATGACTTACCTTGCCGCAATCTTGAAGGATGTCAGCCAACCGAAATCTTGGTTCCCAATCAGGTATTGTACCTGAGTGATTTCGTCTCAATTTGTTGACGGTGATCTCAATTGTGTTCGATAGTGGGTTACGCGGCAATAGACCAACATATAGCACTATTGGATTTCCCTTAACGGGAGCTCCCAAGTGGGATAGTGGGTTGGAATTTAGCGACAGTGGGCGATGACAGCGAAGGAAGCTCGCATGGACCACAGGCGAGGAAAAGGATCGTTCCGATGGGCGACATAATATTCTCCGCAAGCCTTGACTTAGGTAGGCATCGAGTCTCGACTCTCGAGGTCCAGCAGGCTAGACTAGGAATTCGTGCCTCGTATAATTTTAATGTACATTTGGTGCTGGGGATACCTTTGAACTACTCGGCTTGACAAAGGTCACAAAATTAGGGCATCCAGTTACTTTACCCATTGATAATGAAATCATTCCCAATCCCAATTCCGCTGTTCTGGATCTCCAATCTTACGCCTCTCCATCTGCATGTCATGGGGCTAGTTACCCAGCTTTCCCCTCTTGCCCCGAAAATCAATGGAGGCAAACTATGAGATATGAACGTTGCAAACTCTGTCTGTGTGGAAAACAGGGGTTTACCTTCGAGGTGGAAAGCAGGAGACACGGCTCGCTCGTATAGAGAACGCTGCCCGTCGCATGGCGCGTTAGCCACAGGCCCTGGAAACACTGTTGAAGCTAGGTAATCACTAGTGGGGAGGGTGGCGCCCTTGTTTGCCTAGGGAGGGCATGATGGGCACGCCAACGGTTACCTAGAAGCCATCTCCCGGTGAGACCTTGGGACACCATTTTATTCTAGTGCTGCGCCCCCTCAGCCTCTTCCTTCATTCCTGGAACTTGGGGACCAAGACTATGCATGGACCCCCTGGAAAGCTGAAAGTGTTTGGTTTGTCGCTTGTTTGAATTCAATCTCGACAAAGCAAAGAGATGACACGTGGAAGATCAAATTCAAGCCAAAAATGACATTGGAAAATTTCCGTATTCAGGCCCAGAAGTTCCGGGATCCGGGGACTTAACGAGTTGTCTAACTTCGTGGGGAGACCAAACGTTCACGAGAAAATTGTCGTGTGCTATTTGGGCGATATACTGAAAACCGCCGGAAATGCAAGAGATTGGATATCTGAGTAAGGGATAACGATATAACCACGAAGTGCAGGTTGGCCTAAGTTATCAGGAAAGGAATAGAGTGGACTTAGGCACTCGGTATGAATATGCCGAACAGGGTGACCAAGTTGCTCAAATTTAGAACCGCGTGCGATTCCTCCTGATGGTGTGCCGTTCGCTGGAGACGCCGCTTATGATGCTGTCGTGTCCAATCTGACAGCAACTAGGGACGGCGTGTTCTTAGACTTTAGTACTGTGAGTTATCCCGTCAGGCGGATACGAACGACGAACGTGTTAAATTTTTGTGATTTTTGTCAAGATTGTCTTGTAGGTAATTTCCAGCGAGGCGTTGAGGTCGACACCATGCCCAGGGAAATGCCGTATAAAAAAACCCAAGAGAGTCACATGACTAGGTCCATGATGGCAAATGCCTCAGGACTCGAGGTATCCATATCGAGTTCACGATACCTACATTTCAACTTCGTATGCTATTCTGCTCGAAGAGAGGTCCCGTACAAGGCCACCGGCAATATCGGCCTGCAGGGATAGATGGTTTACTAAAGTCAGTGAGAACTCACGTTTCCGACTTGCGACATGCCAAGATTTTATATGATGATCTCCAACTCGAACATCAATCCCACGCTTGTGACACCTGATCTCGTTTGTCTTCACGAAAAGATTCCAGTTGATCCCAAACAACATTAGTTTCACTTTTACCCAAATCACAATCCCCAGAGTGAGTTCAAGAGGATTACAAGATTGGGAAACAACGGATCTCTACCTCTTCAATGTGACAGACGCTTCGAATTCCTTCACCAGAGGTTCGCAACCTTCCGAGTTCGGGATTTTGAAGCTATTTCCCCGCCAAAGAAGCTTCGTCCGGACACAGGTTTGACATCACCTCAAGTGACACAATTTCCCTTCAACGCCAGGTCATAGCCGAGAACACCATCTATCAATAGTGTTGAGAAGCAATAATGGCATCTGAGATTCCTCCAGATGGAGACCCTTTGGTCGATACTCTACCCCCGGCCACTGACTACATGACCTATCTCACCCTACTGGAATATCAACTGACACCTCAGAATCTTCCAACCCTCACCAGGCTACTAAGCGATGATGACGGTACCTTAGCCAAAGAAATTGGCTGGGACCTGCTTAAAATCATTCTACGATTTTTGAGTGATACTCCCGATGAGGCAAATCGATGCTTGGAGATCATTGCTCGAAGAGGCAATCCCCGAGAGGTGGTCGTTAGAGTAGCTGAAGAACTTGAGAAATTGGGCGATGGCGAAGACGATGAGGTCAATGAAGGTAACTCTGACCAAGGCGACGACGAAGATGAATTGCCCACTTTCGCGGGTGAGGCCCCTCGAGTTCATCTCGGTGCCATGACGCTAGATGGTATGCCACCGACCAAACCAAAGTCCACAGACAACTCTGTGGATCAAGTCAATGTCGACACCCCTGTGATACCGTCACCTGCTAGGAGAGCACTGAAGTTACAATCTCTCTTCAATATGCTCAGCATTCTACATTCGAGGATCAAGACCCAGTATCCTAGCCGTTTCCTTGCCACGTCTTTACCAGCAGCTCTAGGTGCATACAGACATGTTCCCATTACGGCTGCAACTACCTTATCCTTTCTGGCCGTCTTAGAACAGCTGGCTGGTAAGAGCCGACCACCACTTCCTCCACGAGTCAGTGACATCTCAGTGCCGACAGTGTCAACTAGTAGTGGTCAAACCCAAACCCCCAGTGCAACCACAGCTACTTTACCAGACCCAGAAGCAAAGATCGAGGAGGCAGAGAAAGGTGTCAATCTACCATCTGCCGAAGAGAGAGCAATCATTTCTCGTCTTCTATATGCTGTCCTCCTCGAGGTGTTGGATGAATACCTCTCGTCTCTTTCTGACGATCAGTTTCCATCTATGTCATGGACCAGCCGACTACGCGAGTCACTTGAGCCTAAGAAATCAGTACCAGGTAGGGAAACAGAGACTCAGCTATTCGAGGATTCCCCAAAAACCCAAGAACGAGAATCTGTGCTTTCCAAGGTGAAGAAAATCAGCCTCGATCTGGGTTGCGACATATCTGCAGAAATCAAGAAACTCATTCATGAAGATACCGTAGAAGAAGGGTTTGATGAAGAAACAGAAGAGGAGCCATCGGAGTACCCCACCTCTCCTTCTCAAATCCCACTGCCACGGAATGGAGTCATATTTCTGTACGCGTACCAGTCATACCTTGAAGCCGCAACGACTTCGAACGCGGCAACCTTCTCACCTTCCATCGCAGCAGTTGCTCAATTGATTGACCACTCATCGCCCCTGTCGGCAACACCAGCAATTCCATCAGCTGCATTACTCGATTCACTCCTCTCCCTCCTTTATCGACAAGCGCTGGCAAACTCCCAAGAAGAAGCACAATCAGTAACCCCACCAGATGGGACGGTTCTCTCTCCTGCCAAGTTCCTTCTTCTTATCAGTACCCTAACACAACTTTTCGCCATCACCCCGTGGGCCAGCTTGCGTGACTCAGCCTACCAGATTGCATCGAAGCTCATCCACGCCTACCCCAAGCCAGAAGTCCGACTTCAGATCATTGCACAAACCATCGAGGGAAGCACGTTGAGTTCCAACTGGGCCGAGTTTGAAGAAGATCCGCACCCGGAGCCGGGCATTGACGAGGAAACGGGCCTCACGAGGAGCACTTCGGCATTGGAGCCACATCCAATCCCGCTCGCACCCCCTCAGCAGCTCGGCGTCCTGAAAGCAGTCGGCGTCGACTGGCTGAAAGACGAGATTCTGAGATATCTAAGACATCAAAGACAACCACAAGGCCAGACCACGGATGCCAGCCTCTTCTCCCCTCAGACCGGTCTGAACCCAGACCTCATCACCGATGAAGTCCACGAAGCCGGCATCCGAGGCAATGAATCTTCACTGCTCGATCTCCTGTTCCCCAAAGACCTGACCTCCCTAGACCAAGCATTCAACACTAGGACCTCAAAGACCGAGGAAGAAGAAAATGACAACGACGACACGATCTCCGCCTTCCTCCTCAACATCCCATTCTACATCTCAACACTGAACCTGCTGAGCATCATCCTCCCGAATCCACAGTCGGCATCGTCGGCATCCGCCGCTCCCTCCCAGATCTTCACGGACCGTGCCTCCGCCCACGTCTCGTCGCTCGGCGCCTCGCTGGACTTCCTCACCACGGTGCTTTTACACGCCGCCGCGGACACAGGGAGCAGCAGCGGCGGTGATGCATCCGCGGTCCTGGCCGAGAGTCGTGCTGATATCAACGCCTTGCAGGATGCGTATGAGCGTGTGCGCGTGTTGTTGCAGTAGACTGGTAGGTATTTGGCGGGACTAATGGTTGGAACTCGGCGTTCTGTTGTGGTGGATTGCTTGACCCAGAGGGCCTGAATGTGGGGTTCGAGATCGCGCCTGCAGGGTGTTGGTTGACTTTTTGACGGCGCGGACATTGGGGCCAGGGTGTTCTGGTGGGAACCGCAGCGAAATGACGATGAGTTAGCCTGGATTTGGGTCGGGTTGTGGTGCTGTTTTGGGGGGG